CCACCATGTAGGTACTTTGTATGTTGTCTATACACCCAGGCGGGTATTCTGGTCCATATAACAGTTGAGGTTGGTATATTTCGCAAATATGTATCCGTAAACTTCATTGCTTTGCGATGATGAAAGAGTTGTCTCCGGATTCTCGGTAGAGGCGTCAAGTAACTGCCGGCTGCCACCCGGGTGGATAACTTGCTCACTTTCGAGGGCGCATTCCATCGGAAACGGGGGCTGCTTATTCATATCGAACTTCGTATAGTTTCATTTTTGTGAAGCTCCTCATCACGGGGTATCTAATGCAACGGTCCCTCCATTTGTCCAAACGCCTAGCTCGCTAAACGAGCCACATAAGCCCATAGGGATGTAGCTAAGGTTACTAGTGATCTTGCATGATAACCCCGGGTCATTCAACTGTCAATCCTCAGTGTCGTTCCGTGCCTGGCGGGGGTGGCTATGAAGGGGATTGGGGGGGGAGTGCTATTGTACGCCGGCAAAAACATCCCGTCCTGCGTGCAAAAGGCGTGATATGCCGATCTAAGGCTGCTAACCTTCATATTGGCCCCATTACCCACGGCACCGTGCATGATTTAAGCGCCGAGGGTGGAAACGTGACGAGGAGCAAGATGGGTATATCGACAGAGCAACTCTGCGTAAGCTTATCAGGCCAGAAACCGGTTAACAGGGCATGTCTTGGCCGTAGACCAGAGCATTTTTCTCCTTATGCAAGACTAAAGCATTATCCGCAAATAGGATCGAACAGAAAAGGAAGACCGTAATGACACATAATCAGGGAGCAACCGTGCCTGTCTCTGATTGCAGGTGATGCAGGGCAGGCTCAGAATGCGGGCATGGTTGAACGTCGGGCTCAGGCTCCAAGCGAGGTCACATCAAGATAGCTTGCCCTCCCTGCGACCCAAGTTCAAGCTGATGGATATTTTTGGGATCTTGACGACTCGACCGTCCGCTCTTCTCGACGATGATGGGACGTAAATAGTAGGATGGCAGTGCTATGTCGTTCGTACCAAGGCAGTGGCAGGGGTTGGTTGCAAGGATGACAAAGCACAGCCTCCAAAATCTAATAATATCTTCAACGTCAACTCCTCCTGCAGGGTCTAACAGGCGCAAAAGTCCATCATTCTGCTCATCGCCTGTCGACTATCTGCGAGCCATAGGTTTTCTCTGGTTATTTTGAGAAAATGGGGAAATCATCCTTGTACGCTGCCCCGGTTGGACACCTGAACCCGTTCGCCAGGCCCCAGTGGGCCAATCGCTGCCGGCTCAGGTTGAAAACTCATATGCAGACATTCAGAAACCAACGTTTATGGCCCAGGAATGACACCAGCCGACTGGTTAGCCACTGAGTTTGCAAGGTATACGGCTATCAATGATAAAAAACCTCTCCATTTTATTGATAATCTACCCCACCATCTCGGCACTTGTCGATACAGGTCCTCTAGCCTATGATGCTGAGCCTTGTTATATGCATGGGAGCAATGGCCATAACCGCTTGTTTCATGCAAGCCAGTGTAAATGATACAGCTGATTAGCCCCCTTCCCAGGTTCAAGACGTCCCCCCCCCCAAAGGCGCGGGGGGGGCGGCTGCTATTGCAGATTAACGGGTCAGCCAGGCTCCGAGGGAGCACTCCGATGTCCCCTTTGAAATATTGTACAATTTTTTCCTTGGAGGAACGAGTTACTAATGATGGTGTCTACTCCTTTGAGTTTCGCCAACTTCCTGATATTTTTGCCGATAGGTTTGTCTTGTATCATCGATATGCAGTTCCTGCAGGATGGGGGAACGCATGCTATATTTTACGTTCCCTCTTGTCTTTTTGACCCGAGTTGTTGTCCAACGACTCAATGGCAGGGGTGCCTCCAAAATCCCTATGCCCCGGCAAATCAGCTGCGCCCTCTATAATACTAGTTTTTTTTTTTTTTCAACGGAGCAATTAAATTGTGAAGTGGCATGCATCCTGCGTTAACCTTTACTGCTAAATCAAGGGTCTTTCTAGATGTGTTGGAGGAACCTTTAACCCCCATTTTACTCTGTCACATCCCCCGGCTGCCGTGGTTGGAACCCCTGCTCAACGTCATAACCCACGGTACAGGATAGCAGTACCGTTACATGCCTATTGGACGATGGCGATGATTTTCTATCCCTAGGTGTGTGAGATCTTTTAGTGCTGCTGTGGTTGACAAAGCTTCCAGGATTGCACGGATGCAATGTGGGTATTGAGAGAGCATGGATCATCACCCAGAGGCTGGAACCCTGTCTCAATGTCTAGGTCTTTGGATTTAAGATGGACTACATTCCCCAAGAGTTCCGGAATCACCATCACTTCTACCATCGTTAACTCGTTCAAGTTGTTCAAGCTCATTTCCTGCATCAAGGCAGCAAATAGCGTTCTCCTTCAACCAAACCAGTGTACCATTAAGAGCGGATATTGCGAATTGCCCCTACAATACCCCTTCTTTTCACCTCTCTCCTGGCTGTGCTACTATCACCGTCGCCATGGCTTTCGAATATGAAGCCCTGCCATCCTTGCCTACATTAAACACCTACACATATGCCCTAGGCCCGAACCCATATGAGAGCCCTTCTGAATCATACTCTGAATCTTCCAGCCCGGACACCTATGTAAGTGAAGGGGTTATCCCACGCCTAGATGCATGAGATAGGTCTAACAGCTTTGTAGCATATGAGACAAGCCATAAGTCCGTCTGAATCGTCGCCTTATCCCATGCTGCCGTATGGCAGCCCTCAAATCCAATACTTCCCACCAGCAGAAAAGATACCGCTAGAATATATCGATTCAACCTCATTAGACACAGGGGATCGAAGGGATCGACGGGCTGGCCAAAAGGGACAGGTCTCTACAATGCACCTGGTAAGTCACCCCATACTATCTAGCCATTTATCTGTCTATTTGCTTACAGGTATATGATTTGTAGAGACGCCGAGCACAAAATCGTGCTTCTCAGCGGGCTTTCAGAGAACGCAAAGAAAAGCACGTCAAGGGACTGGAAAGCCAGCTGCAATCACTCCATGAACAGCACCAGAATCTACTTCAGTCATACAATGCCCAGGCCAACGAGATCGAGAGTCTAAAAAAACGAGTTCAAGAATTGATGAAACTACCCAACGGATTGCAATTCAGCGACCATTCCACTTCCCCAGTGTGCAGCAGCAGCGGATCTACCCAGGGATTTACAGCGCCAAACAAATTCGAGATGCCCACCTATTCAGCCAGCTCGTACCCTACCCCTGAGCCTTACTTCGATAAATCGATAATCCACGCTAGCACCGCATAATGTATTTTTTGGCGATAACAGCCATCCACGGATTTCATGGGCGACGCAGATACGGAAAATTCGGAAATCATCCAACTAATCTAATTCACTTTTTTCTTTTCTTCTTTCCTTCTTTCCTTCTTCCCTTCACAGGGCCGGTCTAATACCCAGTGGGACTATTATTGGTTTCTTCCATACCTTTTTCATCGCTTGTGCTTCGGTTTTCCTTCAACTTCGCTTCATACACTCCTTTACTAACTAATTTATTTCCTTCTTTTGGCACTTTAATGTCTGAGCTCGAGGAAGCAGGCACTTTTCTCTCCTATCGACTGAGTTCGATTATGGAAGCCAGGGTTAGTCTACTTCATTATTTTCTCTCTGTTTTGGTGTGATCTTTCTCTGTACCAAAGGCGGAAAAACTTTACTGCTAGATAATTACTGTACATAATACTTGTGTCCCCGTCGTGTCTCCCGGATTTTCTTATAGCAAGTTCAATACCAAAATAATAATATAAATCTTACCATCTTAGTCCTACTACGCCTACCATATTGAGGTTTAACGAAAGCGCTGGCTCGGTTTTGTACTGCGGTGCTCTAGATGCGAGGAAGGCTGGTTGCCTCTGGGATTCATCAACGATACTATCAAGGCCGGTCGTACCTACCGAGATGTGGCGGGTAGTGCAACTGCAGGTAGCCGCCGTATGTTATCTGCAAGTGATGGGATAATCAAGCCAGGGGTAATATGTACTATGATTTGCAATTCCTCGGGAGGATCTTGGGCCATGATGTTTCAGATGGCAATCTAGCATTGTCGTGACAGGCTTTCTGGATATTGTTTGTGTAATAGTGGTTATGTATGATTAGCTGAGCGCGTTTGTTATCACAGAGCTTTTATAACTTATCTAGTATGTCACGGTGGTCATCGAGTGGTGTAATACCTTACTCTATAACGTCATCGCGCGCTAGTGATTGCTTAGCTTGTCACTCAAAAATATCTAGATATATTAAATATTCGACTCTTCGACTTCATTATTCATTTGTCTGCTTCAACCTCACAGCCCTTAACCACTCTATAGTCAACGAAAAGCAATACTTCTTGTCCCTTTTACAACCATGCCCGACTACGAGTTAAATGACTCAAGGCGTCAAGACCTTATTCGACAGCTTCTCAAACAGTTATAGGAACACCGCGCTTCTTGCGCTATACTTCTCCCTCTATTCTGGGGTTCGGTTTGGTTTGCGGATCTAGAATGTCTAGAGATTATCGTTACGAAACTGTCCACCGATTGGGAAGAGTCCTTGTCTTACTACCACGGCACTCTGTCTAACCCGTGTGTCGCGGCCTGCTGTAAGATGTCCCTCCCCTCGCCGAACTATATTACTTCGAAAAGCCGCGTCGCTTATTTCTACTTAAAGGGACCAGCGTTCGATCCGGTGCCAGTACACCTAAATCTAGACCAGCTACTCCAACGCATCGTGAGACGAACTCCGAAGGTGAAGCAGCTTCAACCTTCGAGAGGCCGGCCCGCAAAAGAAAAAGAGTAGATGGCGACGATGACATTTCTTCTCCAAGCGCGCAGCTAGAGACCTCGCGGGGTTTCAGGGTAATAAGATCGAAAGAAGCTGCTGAAAATGTAAGTAGCGTAATTCTTGCTTGCTAGCCATGGAAAGTATTCTAACATGTATATTTCAAGTGTCATAAGAGAGACAAGATGTGTGCCATCACAAAGGCCACCGATCCGTGTGAAGCTGCCCACATCATCCCATTCAGCTTCGGATGTCAGCCACAATGGGGCATAAGCATGTTTTGGAAGGCTCTACGTTGTTTTTGGACCCAGGATCAGGTTGAAAAGTGGCGTCAGTTTCTTGAAGAGAACCCCGCCGAAGCAGTGCGCAATATGGTTCTCCTGGCCCCAAGCGTCCACCGATACTGGGACCGGCAACTATTTGCGTTAGAGCCAATGCATATGTCGGACGATAAGACAACTCTACACCTCAAGTTTCATTGGCTTTGCCCTAGGCCTCCAGTTATTTCTTTCCCCCCAGATGGTCCGGTTAGTTATCAGCCCCCTGAGATGCCCGGAAATCTAGAGTTTGGTGGCCGTACCACCAAGTACGCCCTAAAACCAAACCTACGACTCTATAATTGTGAGACAGACTGCCGCATTTCGTCAGGAGATGTTATAACCCTCTGCACAGATGACCCCGACCTACTTCCACTACCAGAAATAGAACTTTTCCGCCTACAGTGGCTTCTGCACAGAATCACTTCGCTTGCAGCAGCCGCGGGATATCTTGAAGATGATGAAGACTACGACGACTTTGCGTTTGAGCCAGCTGCTCTAGAGGACGAGTGTTCCAAATTATTTCCCCCTTCTCGCTTCTTCATGGGAACCGATGATTCTTCGTCTTATTATCTATAGTGTCGTTTTTTGTGTTCAAGCACAAGCGGCCAATCAGTTGTCTCCAGGGCTTACCCTATATTTGCATACGATATTAAGTCTTACTACAATAGGCTCTTAGGGGGGCTAGGGGTCAAGCCTTAGATACCGTTGATCCTCAACAAAAAGGGCATCAGAAGAATAAGGCGGAAAAATAACATACTAGAGTTAACTAGTCGTCCTAGTCGATTAGGCCAGCCTCCGTTGAATTCGCCCACGTGATTGACCATGCAAATATATCATGAAAGTCTCGATAGGTCCATATCATTGACCAGCCATCGGAATGCCTATTTCCCTTAAGGGCCTCGAGGTTGATATCAGCGGCACACATGATCCCCTGGCGCAGATAGTGGCGCAGTGCCCAATATAGCTGGGTGTTACAGGTGCTGTCTGGCCGAGAAAGGAGTTTGGCGGCCTCCCTTCTTTAGCTACTTCGTTGCAGTCAAGGAGAATATGGTAAGCCATCAATATCGTGTGCTAGAGCTTTCCTTTCGTTAGCGTCGTTCAATTTATATCTGATTCCACTTCGCTGGAAAGGCAAGGGAAGACAAATCAGGCAGTACAGCTAGCTCATGGAAGACAACAAGGCCCGAGATATATAGTGCAAGCTCCGGGTAACGTCTGTTGGGTGAAGGAAGTATTGGGTGTAGCTTCTGCTGAGGCTACAAAGCTTGTCTGACTTAGTTGGGCGTCATCCTCCAAAAAGCATGGGGTGTTTGATTGAGAGAGTCCAAGTTCTGACTGAGGAACATCAAAATTTACTCCAGGAGGGATCGCATCAATAACTGAGTGGATTCTTTTCAGATGATCCGGCGCCCACTTGTCATAAACGTTCCTCGTAAACGTATAAGCAGTCCACTTCTCTCTGCCGTCCAGCTCCATAAAGACAAATGTTCTGATAGGGTGACGGTAGAAGGAAGCCTTGCTTCCTTCAATGACCGCATAATGGCCGTAGATTCTCACTGTCCTGTTGTCGTGTGAGATCGAGAAAGTCAAGATCTCGCGATTCACCTCATCTTCGCGTCCTACAAGTTTAAACAGCTCAATGACGCCCCTCACGGCAAGGGTCATGCTGTGTGCGTTCTGCCGGTCGGCGATGTCGAGCGCGGCGGTGCCTTTCACCTCACTGGTCAAGAAAGGGAAGTACATGTAGAAGGTGGCCAGGAAGAACTAGCTGTAGGTATCCGGGCCGTAGCCGAGGAACGGCTCGAATTTCTTCAGCTGGTCTTCTGTGAACGCAGAACGGCCGAACCCGGCCGCATAATCCGGCTGCGGACGCGGTCCACAGAAAGCAATGAAGGAGCTCCACTGTTCATTGACGCTTTCAACTAGGTGTTTAAGATTCTTGGCCCCGTCAACGGCGAGAGATTCTGCCAAAGGTATAATTAATCGGGATATATCTTGGATAACTCTCGACTCATTCTTTCCTTGTAGCCTTTGACAAAACTCGTCAAAGGTATCGTCTCGAAATAGCGTGTGTTTGGGAACAGGTTGATCGGTTTCCACTAAATCCTTACAAATCCGCTTGCTCTTATCGGTTATTCCTAGCTCTGACTTGCGCATGAAGCTGCCTTTACTAGCGAGGAGAGTTTCATAAGTAGCGCTTCTGTACTTGGCATTCTTTCGTCCCTTGACTCTTGATCAGTGGGTGTGTTGGAGCCTGTAGCAAGACTCGACGTCGAGTTTTTGCGCCGAAGGGAAGCCGATGATTTTTTTTCTCGCAAGAAGGTGGCTCATATCTTCAGTCTGTCCAGGCTGGGCTTCAAAATATTCTTCGGGCCAGCGAATGGCCTTGCACTAATACTCGATCAGGTCAGCTTTCTTCCAGTTGTTAGCTGAGCTATGGACAGACAATCGTAGTCGTTTTGGAACGGGGGGGGGGCTTGATCTTCACAGTATCGTTTGTGATTTGGCTTCATATTCTGTTCCCGGACGCGGGTTTGGGTTTTATCGGTTCCGGGAATCATTTGATGACGGGCCATTGTGGGATAGGAAATGGGGAAGCGTGGTGAATGCATTTCAGGCGCTTCTTCAGCATATTTTGAGATCTTGAGGTGAGGTGACGTCGTTCCTCCCAGCTTACATAACCTATAGCTTATATAACATCTTAGTCATACACGTGACCAAGGCGGGGCTTATCGCGGAAATCTTTTTTAAGTGTGTAAAAATAGTCCCACAGTCCGAATGGTCGTACTTCTTCTCACCCCGCGACTTGCACGTCAATCTTTGAAGATACCCAACCGTCTACCAGCTCCGTCTCTTTGCAGATTCGAGGCCGGATCTCGATCGCCCTTCAGCACTTCCTTAATACCATATAGCCCGCTTCGCAACCTCAATTCCACCGCAAAGATGAGCGAAATCACCCACCCCACCATCAAAGGTACAATTTGGTCCCAAACGCGATATACGGGGTCTACTTTCCGAATTTCTTCAGACATATGCTATTCACGCATGCTAATTGCTTCCAGATGGATGGTTCTCCGAAATTTCTGACATGTGGCCCGGTCAAGCCATGAATCTCCGGGTTAACCAGATCCTGCACCACGAGAAGTCCAAGTATCAAGATGTGCTGGTCTTCGAGAGCAGTGACCACGGCACTGTCTTGGTTTTGGATAATGTTATTCAATGCACTGAGCGGGACGAGTTTTCGTAGGTTATGGCGTCAACAATTGCACCTCGACGACAAAACTGATGTATAGATAGGTACCAGGAGATGATCACCCATCTGGCCATGAACTCTCACCCTAACCCCAAGAAAGTCCTCGTTATCGGCGGAGGAGACGGTGGTGTTCTCCGAGAGATCGTCAAGCACGACACCGTCGAGGAAGCTGTGCTCTGTGACATCGATGAGGTTCGTTACCACGCCAGGCTAGGGGGCCCCTCCATCTTCTTCTTTAGTCTGTGGCTCAATTGACACGCATGGGACTAGGCCGTTATCCGAGTCTCCAAGAAATACCTTCCAGGAATGAGCGTTGGATTCCAGCACCCCAACGCCACAGTCCACGTCGGTGACGGATTCAAATTCCTCGAGGAACAGAAGAACCAGTTCGACGTCATTATTACCGATAGCTCCGACCCAGATGGCCCAGCTGAGGTCTTGTTCCAGAAGCCATATTTCGAGCTTCTACATGGCGCTCTTCGCGAAGGAGGTGTCATTAGCACTCAAGGTTGTTCGTCGCCTCCCTACTTTCTTCTCTTCTTACACTTGGTCCTTCTTCACCCTTCCCCTTTTCACCTTTGTTCACTGAAGTGCCCTATCCTTCCCTTACCTACCATACTTCTCCCCGCTTCTGTTGAGGCGATATCCTGACTTCAAACTTCTTTACTTCAGGTTAATATCCACCCGACTCCTCCGCTCGATTTTCATTAACCCCCTTTTTCTCAACATCCCCCCCTCTTACTTTAACATAAGTTATTTCCACAAATATAACAGAATAGGCTAACCATTTAAAACTATTTACTTCCCGGGCGACTCCCATCGCCAACTATCGCCAGGGAAGTAAACTCGTTTTGTTCACTATAGCTGAAAACCAATGGCTTCATCTCTCCATGATCACCAAACTGAAGAAACTCATGCGTGAAGTCTTCCCCGTCGTCGAATACGCCTACACCACCATCCCCACTTACCCATCCGGCCAAATTGGCTTCCTCGTCGCTTGCAAGGATTCAGAACGCAATGTTCGTGAGCCAGTGCGCTCTTGGTCCAGAGAAGAGGAGGATAAACTTTGCAGATATTATAACCAGGATATCCACCGGGCGAGCTTCGTTCTTCCCAACTTCGCCAGAAAGGCCCTCGAGTAGACGCGTCAATTCGATGGCGAAATGGACGACATTATAAATTTGTATTTTTTTTCTTTCACTATCAGAAGGAATCGGACGAAAACTACAGGTTAACTGTGGGGCAACATGCTTCAGGCATGCTTGGATATAACTAGAGCGGCCCCCTATTTTGCATGGGATGGTGAATCTAAGAAGGACCACCCAGGAAAGGAGAAGGTAGAATTTTAATGGAACCTTCAATTAATATTTTAAACACATAAGTCGATTCCTAGCATTTTATACCTACTGGCTATTAGGTCGTATGGCTAAATAATAAGTATCAATTTCGTTAATCTGTTCATGAGAGGGGTAACTGAAGTAAATAAAATGGTATGACTATCTAGCGGGTAATAAAAAGGTGTAGAAAAATAGTTGTCTTCTTTAACTAAGCTTCCGCTGCTTCCTTTCTGACTTCCGTCAGGACAAGGGTTTAAGCAATACTACAGTGAAAACTGCATGGCACGGTGGCTTCTAAGAACGGACGGAGAGAATATGGAGAGGTGAACGGGAATTTAAATGAGTTGCTGGAAAGCACGGTTGACCGGGGAGCGGACGGTAACACCCTTGTAGAAATCGATGGTTGCGATAGCACGCTTGCTGATACCTTCAGGGGTGAATTCGAATTTCTAGATATTGAAATGGTTAGCATGGCTATGCAAATATTTAACAAACAGGGTTGAGGGTAAACTTACGGCATAAACGTCCTTGTAAGGACCAGAGGCGCCGAATCGGTTGAGACCGAATTGTTCGTGTGAGTATCTCTCCCAACCAAGGGTGCTCATGACCTCGACACTGAGAATTGGGGTACCATCTGGGAAAACGCTGAGTCTGTAGTCCTTAGGTTGGGCGTCGAAGACCTCGAAGCAAGGCATGGAGACGACACGTGCAACAACATTGTGCTTCTCCTTGAGATATCTGGCAGCATCGATACAGATGCCGACTTCAGATCCAGTACTGACAATAGCGATGTTGGCGTTCTCGGCGTCAAGGACAACGTATCCACCCTTAAGGGCCTTCTGGATCGAAGAGGCTTCGAGCTGTGGTAGATTCTGACGGGTCAGGGCGAGGATCGAAGGGGTGGTCTTAGCCGTAAGGGCGGAGTAGTAGGCAGCACTAGTCTCGTTACCATCGGCTGGACGCCAGACCATCAAGTTGGGAAGGGCACGGAAGTGAGCGAGAGTTTCGATGGGCTGATGGGTTGGGCCATCTTCACCGAGACCGATGGAGTCGTGGGTTGCGACGAAGATAACACGGACACCGGTGAGAGCAGAAAGACGGACTGCACCGGCAGCGTAGGAGACGAAGTTCAAGAAGGTTCCGGCAGCGGGGATCATGGTGCCGTAGGCGGCCATACCGTTCATCATAGCGGCCATACCATGTTCACGTACACCGTAGCGGAAGTAACGACCAGACCATTCACCGATACCAAGGCTTGGAGGCTGGAAGTCAACGGCTTTCTTCCAGCGGGTATTGTTTGAGCCCGTCAAGTCAGCGGATCCGCAGACGAACTCTGGAATGACATCGTAGATCTTTTCAATCACGGCTTCGGAGAGCTTGCGGGAAGCTATGGCTGGGTCACTTGGGGAGTAGGTGGGCAAGCAGCTCTCCCATCCTTCGGGGAGGTCACCGGTCAAACGACGGGTAAGGTCCTTGTGCTCCTTAGGGTACTCGTTGGCGTATTTAGCAAGGAGATTGTTCCACTCCTGCTCCTTAGCAGCGCCTTCGGCAGAGCGGCGGTGGTAGAGGTCATAGACTTCTTGGGGAACAGCGAAGGTCTCCTCAGGGTTGAAGCCAAAGGCTTTCTTGAGTTGCTGAGTATCATCAGCCTTGAGAGGGTTTCCGTGAACGCCACCAGTGCCCTGAAGGAGGGAGCCGAAACCAATAGTGGTGGTAACCTTAATCATGGAAGGCTTGTCGGTGACCTCCTTAGCCTTTTGGATAGCAGCTTCAATGCCTTCCAAATCATGGTCACCGTCTTCGACATGCTGGACGTGCCACCCGTAGGATTCGAATCGTGCACTCACATCCTCGGTGAAGGCGCACTTGATATCGCCATCTATGCATTTAATCAGCAGCGCTAAAAGACGATCTTAGGGGGGTTTAATTGCATACCAATGGAAACGTGGTTGTCGTCGTACAGGCAGATCAAGTTGCCAAGCTGGAGATGACCAGCGGAACTAGCGGCTTCACTCGCAACACCTTCCATGGCGCAGCCATCACCAAAGATGCAGTAAGTGTAGTTATCAAACAAGTTGTATCCAGGTTTGTTGAAGACTGCGGCAGAGTGAGCCTGAGCAACAGCGAGACCAACAGCGTTGGCAATTCCTTGGCCGAGAGGTCCGGTGGTGACCTCGATTCCGGGGGTATCGTGGGCTTCAGGATGGCCGGGAGTGATACTGCCAAGTTTCTATCCACGAATTAGTGACAGGAAAGGCGGGCAGAAATGGGATTCAAACTGACTCTGAAGTCCTTCATGTCATCCATAGTCAGGGCGTATCCAAACAGATGGAGGAGGGTATATTGCAAAACACAGGCGTGTCCATTTCTAGGTATCTGTTAGTCACCATTTGTTTGACTTGGCTCCCCTCAATTAAACATCAAAGTCCGGGAAAGAGTGTAGAGATGGAATACAACGTACGAGAGCACGAAACGATCTCTGTTGGGCCACTTGGGGTTCTTTGGGTTGAAGGACATGAACTTGTTGAACAAGACATGGGAGGTTGGGGCTAGGCCCATAGGCGCACCGGGGTGGCCAGAGTTGGGAACTGCAGTCGCATCGACCTAGACAGGAGTCAATTCATGTCAATTCAAGTTCATATAACGATAGATATGCTCCGGAATGGTGCGGAATCCTTCATCTCGGATTCCCATATCAGATCGATTCAGACCGATGCGGGGTGGCCGGGAGCCCATTCTCAACCAAAACAAGAGCAAACGAAGAGCTATATCTCCAGCAATAGATAGCATTGAAAGAGAGAGACTTACGGCAAGAATACGGATCGTATTGATAGCCTTTTGATCAACTTCTGAGTACCCCATGATGGAAGCTGTGTATGTAAAGACCTATGCGGGGTAGGAAGCGGTGTTGGTACGATAGACTCCTGGAACCAAGTCTAAGCTGGAAGAAGGCTGATACCGAGTAGCAGAGAGAATCTAAGCAGCGAGGAGAAGCCTGAGATATACGAATCTAGAGAAGAAGAAGAAGAAGAAGAGGAAGAAGAGAGAGAGGAGGATGAAAGATGGAAGTGCAAACTTTGAAGCAGGTTCAAATCCGCAGGTTGGGTGGGGGTGGGTCCCTGGAGTTAAATCGCGCAGTATAGATTACAGCCGTACCAGATCCATGACAGTACCACGCTGTTTCTATTGGACATGCAGCGTATTTTACAGTGAGATACGCTTAGTGTGATGCATTTTATTGGCTATTTGTGTATTACGCCTTGTGCTTGACGCGACCTCAACCTCCACGACTCCATTAATAAAACATACAAGATACAATCCCATTGCCCATTTCTTCTTGCTTCTGGAGAGTCCGTTACTAAGTCGGCCAGGTCGATGGACGGCCAGGCCACGGCAGCTTACAAAAAGACAGTCCCGTGATGGCTTTATACTACCGCTAACTATTCGGCCGGGATCAACATCGTCGCGGCTATTGCCAGTGCCTCGTCAGACGGCTGATATATCAAAAAGAAAGATAAGGAGAGGGAGAGGCCTGGTTGAAGGAATGCCGGTTCCGTGCCCGGGATGCGAATTCACGCATATTCTTCCGCAGCGGAGAAGCCACAGTCAATCAGATCGTTCTCTGGCCGAGTCCCTGCCCTCATTTGCTTCTTTTTCACGGCGCCAACGCTCATGCAACGGACAATCTGCAGGTGTATACGGTGGACGTATTATAACCGCTTTGATGCGTCGGTTCGGAAAAAGGACGTCATACATACGGGCTGTTTTAACGTCCCGCCCGAGGGGCCCGAGGGAAGGAAGTACAACCCTTGACACATCTTGAATAACCTTCTGACCAACGGGAATCCCCAGGTGCTGCGAGATCGGAGACTCATTGGCCAATGTGTGCGAGTGGGTTGATAATTACATTTGCGCAACAAGACGTCGTGGCTGCTTCCTCAAGCGGCGGCCGGCATTGATCGTGACATCACATCACGTCTTGAAGACCTTGCACGACTGAGCCTACGAGGTAAAGCGGATGTAGTGGTCGATCGCGGTTTACTCCGAACCAGAATTAACTATATACGACAGCTATGTACAACATGGATATGCGATGTCGCGAATATGAGAAGCCCAGCTTTGTCTAACCTTTGTCTCAGAGAGGTAGCAGAAAATCAAACATAGAAGGAAACTGGATATTGGTACCACTCCGCAGTAGTTATTCCAGGCCTGCCTAGGAAATAAGTACGCTTGATTAGTGACTGTTGTTGCTGTTATACAACTGACAAAGGACTGGAGGCAAAGCGAGGAGCGCCAGAAAAAACATTATCTCTCCAAGGCCCAGATGTCTAAAACCCAAGTTGCACCGAACGAAAGGATATAATGAGTGAGTGGGTGCAGCCGAAAAATATATTATCCGGGTATAGTATTATTTATTTGAAAAGGCCCTTTTCTAATCTTTTTTTTTCTTCTTCCGAAAGTGGTGGGCTAAAGTTTGGTCAAAAGTTACATCACAGAGTGCTGACCCCAGGCACTCGAGATGGAGACGTTGAAATTGGTTGCGTCCTGCATTGAATCGAGGTTGTGCGGCATCACAATAGCTTCGTACGGGTTCAACGGTGGTGCACAGGTGTTGATGTGCCTGTTATGTTGCACATTTGTTTCGTGGGTGTTTGTGTGGCCCCCCATATGCTGGTCCCTAACATCTAGGTTTCTGCCATCGTTATAGGTCGTTGGAGATCCCGCGGGTGCGCTGCCATTCGCTGGGTTGGCGCTGTTATGGCTGGGATGGCTACGCGGGATGGCATTTCGTGGCGCCGAGGTCCACGACTCCTGTGGCCAGCCATGCATACTCTCTGGCGACGATTGCAAAACGGGTATGCTGAGAGAAGGTGTAGATTGTTGAGATGGCGGGTGATAGCTTGAGCCCATAGCAGCGAATGCTGCAGGAGCTTGCCCGCACTCACTCCCACCGTATATCCCCGTGAATATATTGGCATGGCCGCTATCAATGTCAGTGAGGACATGTTCCCACTCAGACATGCCCACCTGATGGTTGTAGCCCGGGTGCATCTGCTTCTTGTCGTCTTTCTTGACATGGAGCGGGACATAGTCTAGACTCATGGGTTTGTCGAGAGACTGGTTGGAATGAACGCGAGCGTGGACCTGGTGACGATGGTGCATACTGTCACGCTGGTCACAGGAGCTGCTGCTATGCGAACTCGAGGATCGGACGCTGCGAGATAGCCTGGGCGACGAGGGCCTGGCATGTGCATTGCGCATGTCATCTCTAGCGGGCGTAGCCATACCAGACTCAGGAGAGAATGATAAACGAGCCCTTTTCAAGCTCGATACGTACTCTTGGACACCACCGCCCCTGTCCTGCATCGACCTATCGACTTCTGACACAAGATGTATCAACGAGCTAAACTCCACTGCTGCCTCGATGGATTCATTCTCGAGCAACGAGACGGTTGCTGCAAGAGTCTTATGTCCTTCCTTGACTAATTTGCTATCTCGGCCTAGTTGTAGGTTTTGCCATAGCAGGCCAAGGCCAGAGATTAGAATCAGTTCGCGCTTGTTCATACATAGCGAAAGGCTCATTCTCCTGTCTTCGAGGAGTCTAAGAAGCTGAATGATATGTTTGGCGGAGTCGACAAGGGAAAGCATCGATGGAGATGAACTATTAGATGAGCCGAAAGAGACCGCAGGCCGGCGGATTAGAGTGCGAATGAAGTAATATATGGTTGACTAATGCGATGTTAGCTGCACCATTCCTCAAGTATCGTGGGTATCCATAAACCTGGCCAACTCACAAGCAATATCGATCGACTGTTCGTCAACGTGGAATTTGGCTTATCCTGAAAAAAGGTAAGTTGCAAGTGTGCAGGGAGATTTTTCAGCCAGTCGTCCAGCTCCTCTGCCAAAGAGTGGACCGTCGAAAGGGAGATCTCATAGCCAGCTGGGGAGGGATATAGCTCTTCCAAAACTCGGTGAAGGATTCGCGAGACAGAGAACAGCGCGAGGGCGGTAGACATTCGGGTCGGTTCTTCCGGAATAGTTGGAACGAAGCCCGTTTCCGTGACATTTTCATCATCGACGTCGGCCGGGTACTCTGTCGAGATATCTGACTCGGCTAGTAATACAGGCAATCCGGTCAAGGCCGCACCGAATCTACATGCTCATATGTTAGCACAACCATTGACCAACAAAGTACAACGACGATGGTGAGCCATACCTGTCGAGAGTGTATTGACACCAGAACACTCTCTTCCTCGTTTCGCTTACCAAGGGGTTAAGCGAGAATCTCTCTTGACTCTGGTGAAGGCCCAGTTGCAGGCAGATCGAAACCCCCAAACCTCTATAATGCAAAAGACTCCGATAGTCTGCTTTCACGGAATAATACACTTGTGCAAGAACATAGCATTGGAGTGTGGTTAGTGATATGTCACTTGCAAGCATCCTTAACTTTGGTATCCAATGCCGTTCGAAGAATAAGGGGTCCTGTGGCACGCGAGACTGCGAAGAGTTGAATCGTTAGCCAAAAAATGATCGTTCTAAGGATAAGGACTACCCACGCTTATGCGTACCGTGGATGAGATAGCAGCAATGCCAAAGATCAAATTCAGCTGTGCAAAGGCATGATGGTCTGCTTCGATCGAGTCAGGGTTGGTGGTGTAGCGGCTGTACAGCTTTAGGATGGCTGGACGATGAACAATAGGGTACAGCGGCGCCCATTCTTGGAAGAATATGTTCAAGAGCCGGTCCGATACCAAACGGGGGAGAATCTTGGACGGAGTGACATCCTCACGCCTTCGGGAATTCAATGATGGCGGAGAGAGCAAAACGTCCGCCAGAATAGCGGTTGGTGACCTGCCGCTTCTTTCAAGGCGGGAAGAGAATGAGTCTGCCCAACGGTCCGAGTCAGCGGATACAAAAGAGGGAAACATGGGGGGGGTGCCGGTTTAGAATATACCTATAAAAGCCCGGGTGCTGGAATGTCCGGTGAAAGGTGCATCCTCAGAAGGCTTCGTTAAGGGGCAGGTCGTCTGCTGCACATATATAAGGTCGTCACCACCGTCGTTCCGTATTGTCTGCGGCGGTCGTGGGTAATATCCGGCTGGCGAATGTGATAGGGTCGACACCGGGGGGGAGGTTGCCTTCTGGGAGGACAGTGAAAACGACTGGAGCCGGGACAGAACATCGATCTTCTCGTCCTTCTCCTCCAACAGGGACTTCAGCTCCCGCACTTCAGCCTCCAACGACCGGACTCGGTCCTCCAGGGACTCGGTATATCCACGGGGGAACGCCCGTCTGCTGAGTTTGTCGCTTGTCTTGCATTCGAAGCCGACATTCGTACACTGCGAACACGACGGCCTGATCCCGTCACACCGAATCTTCTTGCTCCGACACCGGTCACAAGCCTGGGCAACTCTGCTCTGCGAGCTGCTCCCGACCTTGATGACCTTCATGGGTAAAATTCCGGGCATGCTAGCTTCTCTTCTATCAAGCGAGGGTCGGAAGTCGAAGAGCCCGTCGTGTCTGATATGACTCCGATATTGCTGGTATTGCTGGTATTGCTGATATGCTGATATGCCGATATACTGACACTGCTGATATGCTGATATTGCTGGGTGCTCGCCGGGAGAGCTAGTGGGTTTAAGGAACGAAAGAAAGAAAGAAAAAAACAGGACACGAACAAGTCCAGCCCTTCAGTCCAGTATCTGCTCGATCAAGAGGAGTATATAAACGGGGAGCAAGGGTGTGCTATGGCTCCACGGACATACTGAGGGGTTTTTATGTAGGTACGCTCCCTAGTCCTGGTCCCGGCGGTGCTGAAGAAAAGGGACCATCGCATACACCCCAGAGATTAAGTATATTAAGAGTTGCAGGCGTTAAGATGACAAGTTTAAGGTGCATCGAAGATCGTCCCCGGTGCTCAGTCCACCCATGATGCAAAACCCGAACATCTTAGGCGAACCTTCTCCTATAGGCGAACCTGGTTAGCCTACTTATCCCAGCCAGCCCTTGGACGTCGTCTTCTCGTCCCTATCTCCCCTTCTTCCTCCGCTCCCCTAACTTAGCACCTGTCTTGTCTTTTGCAGGGCCGAGTGACCTTGGGGGGGTAGCGTTGCGCCAAGAGCCCGGACGAACGGAAGCGCTGCGCGGCTCGGCAACGTCGAAACTTCCAACTCTCTCTTATCCACCGGGGCCAGGACAGGACGACCTAAGAAAAGAAACCCGACTAAGGGAAGGCGAACTAAGGTGGAAGAAAGACGTTTGGCCGCAACTCAGCTCTGCCGTCTCCTGGATCGGATGATCTGGGCTTCCTTGCAGCATACCTTGCAGCGACAGGACGTCGAGAAAGGGGCACAAGACCTGGTCGTCGACGCGCGCGTGGGAGCCCAAGCTGCAAGAGCTGTCACGCTCACTGAAACGCTGCTGGTACTACCATCGACTGTTGCAGTTACAGTGGCATCATGTCGCATGCCACGTCCGTCCTTGGAGCCACGTCTTGAAACCACGGGGAGGATATGGCGGTGGACGGTGGTGGATGGTGGTGGATAACGGTGGAGGAGGGCAGCGAGAAGCAGGAGACGAAAGAGGGATGGAGGAGAATGCGAATGCGATATCTCAGCCAGACCTTAACCTGATCCTGTTCCTGCTCCGATGCATGAGCGGAGTTTGGCCTCTCTGCTAACTCGTCTAATGGCCGCTGGCCGCACAGTCCCTTTGAGTCGTCACAAGCAAGCTCCAACCGTCTACTCAGTTACGGATACATCCATTTTTTAAGATGCAGCTAAGAGGAGGCATGCTTTTCCCGTCCAGGACTCCATTCGACCCAGTTCTCAACAAGCGTCCTTGAACGTTCTCGCGGAGAGGGTCTTCCCCTGTTTTACCAACGACACGAGAGCTTAAATCATCTCTTCTGGCGCTACCCTTTTTAAGTCGAGCCACGGGCCCTGTCTATCATCCGCAGTAGCGCTCCTACCGTTCTTTTTCTTTCCCGCGGCAAGTCCCCATAAATTTACGATTACCAGAGATATTCCCCGGGAAAGTAGATTAGAGTCGACCAGCTCGGCGGCGACGACCACGACCAGGGCCAAACGATCTCGATCCCAAGGAAATCCTGTCTGAGATAGCTATATCTGCCAAGACACCGAGATCCCGACGTCGGCTTCCAACAGTGCCAGATGCTAAACAAACAACGGCTGCACGGCGATCTACACGGTTCGTGCGCGATTCTAGATGCAAGGCGCTCAGCGTTATCACGGGCGTCGCAGAGTTTGGTTCCTTCCCTCGGCTTAACTCAACCTCTCTTTCCTTCTCGAACATCCAGGAGTGGCGGTCCTGCGTACATATAGTTGTACAAGCTCCTGAGTACAGGGTGCACAACAAAACCTGGATCCTGCTGCTACCTGCCATTTCCCTAAGCATAATCCTGCCCTGCGCTCCCCCCAGGGCCAGGCAGACAGACCTCCAGAGCTGATCCACGCCGTACATAAAACCAGCTCGTTTTCATTAAAGTTCAGTCGTGTCGGAACCGACCCGTCCTCCTCATAATTGGGCGGGCGCTGACAAATGGGGTACCACGGGCTTTCATATGATTCAACGGAATTGTGACTCGATAGGGCTAATTAGCCATGAATTCGAGAAAATCAAATGCAGCCGGGAATGTAGGGTTGTGTCACCCCTCAATTACTCCAACGAACGTCAAGGTATTGACACTGCTACCCCTCATATGGCAAATATGCAAATGCAAAAAACCTGCACCGTTTCGGAGCCTGTTATGCAAAGAGGCTAGTAGCAGATCTCAAGGAATCACGCGTACCTGTTTTTTTTTTCTCCACAGGCACGAACAGAGGACGAGATATCGCTTGTTCAGAGACAAATATCCGCTCATTCATCCGCTTTAGAGTTAAAGACATCGTTTTTTGGTTCCCACCAGACTAAACCTGCTAACATACGAGCGGGAACATCGCACCAAATTAGGCTAACGGTGCGATCTGTCTGAATCGCCCGTAGAGGGACGGCTTCCTATTCGCTGATAATTCGACGAATACTAGCTTTCTAGAATCTCATGTCGAACACGCCAAGGTCTATTAAAACAAGAAAAGTGGCCCAATCAGCGGAAAACTAAATGTCCATAATGGAAATGTCTCGCATGATGATCTGTAAGGCTGTCCAATTGGTAGCTTAGGAGAAATCTTCAGCGATCTCAGAACCAGGGCCATGGGAATTTAGATAGGTCTGAACGGTTTTTGACTCGAGCAACTCTAGCTTCTGCGAAAGTAACCGGGCCAATTAGCAAAAGTCTTCCTTCCAGGCATGTTGGAGAAGGAAGAGACGAGAAGGGAAAAAAACTGGAGACAAACCTTTTCGTCTAGATCGTCGTTGCTTCTCGTTAGAAGTTTCTCTTCCAGCGCTCGAAGCTTCATCACCGTATCCCAAACGGACCTTCGAATAAGCGAGTCGTCCACCTTATCTGCCCATCCGCGGACATATTCGTTACTTGCTTGGAGTAGGGCAAGCTGGTTAGCAACGCGCTCCTGTATAACCACCACCGCGCGCAGTTGGAAGATATCCCACTTCGGATCCTCTGCCAACATATCACATAATTGGCGCGACCCAGTTATTTCCTTCCCTTTCCAAAATACCCGTAGCTCTCTTCCCCCGTCATTCGACTGCAAAACCCGGAACTCCAACCCATCCTCCTCGTTGACGCAAACCCACCAGACAAAATCGCTCTGCCAAGCTGTCCTGAGGCCCTGCGTGTCTCCCGCATCGGAAATACGAACCCCAGGGCCATCCTCGCATACGGCCCTTTTGGCTGGCTTAAGTGGGTCGTCATCGGGGATATCTAGATCGAGAAAAATTTGTTGCGCACTACTCACACCCTGGTCTATAAAGCCATAGGAGAATATCATTTCCGACGCCCCCTTATTGTCCCCATATCTAAGTAAACGGTTAGTTAGGCCCCCCTTGTGACGATCTTACTTTGGGTATCTTCTCTATCCAGGTCCAAAACCTACGTGATTGTAACTTCCTCCCCTTCGCTCAGTCTTTGGCCCCACTGCAGTTGGAGCACAGCATTTCCCTCGGGATCCGTCTCATACCGTGCTAGCGTCTTATCTCCAGCAGCATGGTTCGCCATATCGATACATGGAACCATCGCATCACCCGTCCCTGGCAGGTCCATCGCGCGAGATCTATACATCGCATCGACAACCTTCCAGTCTTCAAACCCTATTTGCCCCGTCTCGGGATGCCACCAGTCTTTCTGGCACCATGGGATGTTGAACGTGCTATCCCGTAAACGGTCAAACTCCCGTGCTAGGGACTGCATCTTTGTGTCCAGGGCAGGCTCCAGGGAGGTACCCCGTAGAAGTTCGCGTTCTTCCAACGTGTAGAATGTTGGCAGCTCATAGACCGCTGGGAGAAACTTGATATACTCCGTCCATGGCGAGGAAATGCCCACATGCTCTCCTTTCTCTACGCTCGTATGCGTAATCAAGAGTAGCAAGAAGATCAATATCGCGCCTCGACTCTTCTATGAATAGCATTAGCCAACTAGCCCAGTTCTCTCGGTAGGGCCGCCTCATGAAACATGGGCAAGCGGAAGAGCAATTCTAACCTTTCCAAAGCTCGTAGTCGCTTCTAGGACTTCTCTCAAGCACTTATCAGACTTTGCGTGAATTTCAACCCTGAGAAGAGAAAGAATTAAATCAGGTGGCACTTTTATGAGTATCTCTGGCTCGAGATCTGAATCATCAGATGTCGATTCTAGGCCTTCTCCTCGGCTGGTCGCAAGGATTGCTGAGCCCTTGTCGATTTCATCGCTAGTAGGCAGCCGTTTGACTTCAACCCCATGGAACATGACACTGTTGAGCTTTGCCCATGCTGGAAGAGCCTCTATTGGAAGATATTGCCTCTTCATTTCAAGCAGTTGATAGAAGGCGGGGCTTGTTCCTCTTCCTTGTCAAGTCCCGGTCTTTTTGTCTTTTTGTTATCTCTTCGAAGCAATTCCGACGTAAGCTCTTTACTCGCAACATGGTATTTGGACATAGACCTACATCTTAGGACTCCTACAGTTTCTAATTTTGATCCCCTCCCCCAACGTGGCTGATGCGAAGATAAAAGGCTAGTACGGAAAGGTGAGGCCGTGGGCGAACGTCCGGTGTCAATTAGCTATATACAGCAGCCCTTACACCGCGGCGAGCCAGTCTTTAAGGATTAACTGGGAGAGAGGGAACTGGCCAGCATCCAAAGCTCGAGATGTGTAGTTGTAAATAAGTATGATATGACGTAGGGATATTTGGCTATAGGCGGAGAAAGTAGTGCTTATGTAATATACAGTTACTTGGCGCGAGGTAACTCCTTGACCTGGCTCCCATGCGATATAGGATGCGCATTATACACAACCGCTCCATCCTGGTCTATAGGATGTTGACTTTCCCTCAGTGGAGAGCATCCGAGATACAAACGTTATTTGTGCAGTGGCCATACCCTACGGCCAACGCATTCTATCATCGTAGAAGCCTTCATGGGATCAGGCTGCGAGTTCGATAATAGAAAAGCTTCGAACTAGCCTGTATAAATATACGGAGTATACTATTTATCTGTTGCTTGGCTATTCAGGTGGAATATTAGCAGATTGCTTTCTTCATCTCACCCTCACAAGTTGAATGGCATTGAAATAACCAAGGAATGAACAATCAAGATACAGAGTATACAAACAAAGCATGTTCCCCCGGGTTAATAATTTTACTTTGCCATCCATCTTCTCTACAGGGCCACTTAACACGCAAGTCGTAGTTGTAATAATCCTAGTACTTAAGGCGATGATGTCATACAAACGTTGGCTACAAAAGTGCTCCATATCACAATTCCTACCATCCATGTTGCATTCTACCACCTATCGAGATATTCATTCTATAATAATGACATTGAAAAAGATCCTGTGGCGCCGTGTACCGTTACGCAATCTATTGCGTCCGTCCCTTGCAGCCAAAAAATGCCGAAGTCCCTATATCCCGACAGCACGAGTAAGTAACTGGCGAGGCACTGGTACCGAAGACCAAAATACAAACCGAATTAAGAGGGGGGATGTTACGGATCCGCAGACTGAAGCTACAGATTCAGGCAAAAAGGAGAAGCAGGAATGGAGCCGGACAGATGATAAATCCAAGAGCCAGGCCACAACGGAGAAGGATCAGAAGGGCTCTACAAGAAAAGCGGAGGAGGAATTTCCCAAGGCACCAAAACCGGTCATTGGAATGACTGACGAGAGGGGCGAGGTCAGTAATAATAGGATACCGATTCCTGTTCCAATGTTCACTGAAGGTGGATGGCTGATATTTGCATTCGTGAGTGGTGCAGAAGGGTGCCTGAGTATGAGTCGCCAGGAGCAGGAGGAAGAAAATTGGGGCATGCCTCCCCAATCTAGCTGTTGAAAGTTCCTTTAATCGTACATTGCTACTTGCGCAGGTTTGATCTTCATTCCGTCATCTGCCAACTTTGAAGGAGAGTATCTGGTGGAAGACATTAGCCTTGGTTGCATCCTTCTCAATATTGTTATTCAAGGCACTCACATCATATTTCCCCACGGAGACGATCTCATCTTCAGAAATTCTCGTCCCCTCGGCGCCTTCTACAAATGCGATGGGGACGTCTCCCATAACCTTCCTAGCTACGTCTCCCACTGTACTATTTCTACGACAATATTAGTCTCCGTAATATGAATATCGAGGGGCTACGATTAACCCACTTGCTGACTAGAACACAATCTCTAAACACGGCGTTGCCAGTTGTGCCAGACGAAAAGGTATGGACATTCCGTACTGGGAATATTGGAACCAGCCCTAGTAGTTCGGCAGCACGGGAAAGTACCTGTACAACTCCAGTAGATCCGAATCGATACAGAACAAGATCTTTCAGGTTCTCAACACGGCTACGAAGTGGTTAGTTAGAACTGGTGCGTCAACGCGAGTAGAGAGGGCGACACTACTTACTTCTTTAATTTTTCGTCCATTTCCTTTAGGCCCCCGCCCTCAGGGTCACCCATTTCTATAAGGTCTTCCCTCGTATCGACAAATTCGCTCCCTTCCATATATTTAATATAGCCCTGCTTCGTTAATTTCCGTAGGAACACTTCCGAGATTGCCGAACATAGAACAATAGATTGAGGGTCCTCCTGTTTAGCGATTTTGCTAATGTTCTAAGCGCGCGGATATTAATCCTAAAAATTCCCCATGCTTCTCTTTTAAAAAGGAGGAAAGGTAAACTCACCTTATCTGAATCTGGGTGGTCGATTTTATTCAAGGCGATAACTGTTGGAAACTTTTCGTCTATAAATGAAACGACAACATTCGAAACAGTCTCATTTGACCATTCTTCTAGCGGTTCCTTCAAATTTATCCGGTCGAGGCACCTGGCCACAATTTTCGAAGTACTTCCATATCCTGAAAGCTGTGATTGCAGAGTCTCGACAGCAGTGGATTCTGTTATTGGGTTAGAACATAGTCTATCAGACATAAGGGGCCTCGACGTTGGCTGCACGTACTGGTTGCGATATGCCTTCTTCGAATAGAACCCCTAGTAAAAGAGTAAGTTGTCATCCTCTTGCATAGACGAACCCACGTTGCCGGAGATATACCATCTATCCCTTAGATTCCCTTCTATCCATCTAACAATCTCAGATTTTAACCAAACGATATCTTGGGACGGGTCATATCCTCTCGTGACCTTTCCTACACCCGAGTATTAGCCCACCAACATGCATCCCTCTATTCAATGTCTCCAGGCTCTAAAACTAACCTTCCGCATCAGTTGTTCCACTGACATCAACCACATGTATCAAAGCGTCCGCATGTCTTAAATCGTCCAAAAATTTATTTCCAAGGCCCTTCCCTTCATGAGCTCCTGGCACAAGACCTGCGACGTCTAGAAGTTCAATTGGCACCGATCTGCGGCCCTCATGGCATCCGCCGTAATTTGGTTTGCATCGGTCTTGTAGGTTGTATCGACTACACGCGCAGTCTACTTGTAAATAGCCGATAGCACGCTGGGGGTCAATCGTCGTAAATCTAAATGCCAGCAGATACATTCATTAGTATTTGATATGGCCAGAACAAGGAACAAGAGGAGAGTCATACGGAAAGTTTCCTGGAGAGATTCCATACGCCTATTAGCTCCTATAGAACGAGACACGCATTCCTCCCAACTTTGCGAACATACCAACTTTGGATGAGGCATCTGTTAAACTGCCCCGCCGGCAAGTTAGATATTTATTTCTCGCCGCGTGGAGTCCATATTTTTTGGGATTAAATAATACCTATTCAATGTTGTTGATTTCCCAGAAGATGGCTTGCCAACAAGCCCAATTAACGGATCGCGAGGCATAGTGATTGATCAAGTATCAGTGGTTTGGTGGGATCAAGTGGTTGTTTGATGTTTCTGACAGGGCGTTGTTCTCGCGGTCTTGGCGGAGTTTTTTATATTTTAGGCGCGGACGCGCTGAGAAACTACATCACACTACAACCCACAATGTCAGAATGAACAAACAGTTCATTGACTTGAACATGGGCCTATTGTGAAGAATTTCGCCTAAGTTTGAGACGCAAAGTCTTCTTAGCCCATCAGATATACAATAAGTGTGCTAACACCCGGCTTGGATTCAGATTGATTCCTTCCTCTATACCCATTGTCCTGCAATCAGGCATCCTAGAGCACTAGGATATGCAACAACACGTCCTACTTAATGACATATGCTCTGTCTTCGTGCTGTATTGAGTGCATGCTGTCTGAGAAGCCTTCTTAGCAAGATACCCTATATGATACCTTATTCACTATTCACTTTCTGTGTTGGAGTCATGTTTCTGGACAGCATGACAGAGATAGTGAATAAATATATGACAGCGTTTGGTGACAATACCCCAATGATCAATATGGATCTATATCACAATATCTGGGGTTAATAGACAAATATACAACCTATAAATAGTGGTCCAGCTGCAGCTGCAATATAAATTTGCCGAAAGACCCGTTTAATCCTGTACACAATTCTACATCCGCTACAGGTAGACTGTAGGGTCCAAAATCTTCAAACACACGTCCAAATGGATACTGGAGTGAGTTGATCCTCTACTTTCAGAATAACAGTAACTCATCAGATGAGTGTGCATATCCGCAGGTTTTACGAGTTCAACGGTCATCGACAGCAATGGCTGGTCCGCGGAAAGGAGTCAGCAGGCTTCTGTTGCTTCCATTTGAATTACGCCTCGAGGTTTACCTCTTTTACTTTGCATCTCTCGTAATTCAGCTGGGAGCTCCTCGACCAGCCAGTATGGTGGTTCCATTGAGGTTCAGGCTAAACTACAACTCTCTCGCCATCCTTCGAACTTGTCGTCAAATATTCTATGAAGCAGCTGGACTATTCCTCAGGAATGTCCTACTTTCGTTTGATAGCCTGGATAACGTGGTATACCATCTAACTCGGTTGCCATTCAAACCCCTTTCAGAACTCCGCCACGTCCAACTCGACTCGATCCCTTACAGGGCCCGTTTGATCAGACGTTCAGATTACTCGATCGCAAACAAATTCAAATTAATCCCTCGCCTACAGCTGGATACTCTCACTATTTTCGGGGTGGCGCCATGTTACGATGCTATTGAGGGTTTTGTGAAAGTCGGAGAGGGTTAGAGAGAACTGCGCTTCGTAATCTCGTCACTAAAAGCACGCGAGTTCAACAGGATCATGACCATGGCAACTACAGGCTCGCAGCAACCAACACAACCCGAGGTTAACTGGAACGACATTCTGTTACAGCGTGATGGCGTCGACTCAGGAGCTTCTGTCACTATGTATCGCACGACTCAGCCGTGGAAACTGAATTCTGTGCTGAACCCATTGACGCGGGAGCCAGTCTTGCCAACTAAATCTCAAGAACTTATCCAAAAGAAGGAAGAATACGGATTGTTGGTGATCGTGAGACGCGGAAAAGGTGTTTGCTTCACTGTTAAAAACGAGATGGCTGTCGGAGCCTTGCAGGAAGCGATTTCCGAACGTCGGAGTAGAAAAGGACTTACCTTGAGACAGGCAATAGCTTGCCTAGGAGAATATGACAAGGTGATATCGAGAGCTCGGAGAAGGGGCTACTCCTTGGGCTGGGGATCATAACAGGGGTTTGCTTTCATAGCACTAGAAGAGGCTCCAGATTCGTTACATTCTAGTACATGCTACAGAGATGACGTTGCTCTCCCTTGCCCAGTCTTCTAGTTGAGCAGATTTGAAAAGGGGTGGCTATTGTGCTTTTAGATCCCGAATTCTACACCTGTGTCTCCATTTATGCAATATTTACCAATGATAACGATAGGAAAGAAGAAACGGGTTTTTCATTTAAGTATATACCGTTCTTACAAGCTCTAATGTTGATACTACGTAAGCTTGACCAAGATGGCAAGGAAGTTTACATGGTTTAATAACAAAACACCGGTAACGTCATAGCACTGATGTCAGATCTCAGCCCGCTACAAATCGATTCAACTATATAATATTCGTAGTTCCATCAATTCTTCATCTATTCAACGGATACCAATCTAATTCGATTCTTGTACGTCTTAAATTCAACCATGTCCACATCTAAACACAACCATCCTGAGAAGGACGAAGTCCCCGGGCCTATCACCGCCGACTCGCTTGCCGCAGAGTCCGTACGAGCAGGCGGAAAATTCGCAGATAATAAAGACAGCCAGCCACTAGGAGTTAAGGGCGGTAACTCAACGTTCGCCAATACAGATACTTCGGCCGCGTCTAAACTGCAAGCGGCTCCAGATGCTGAAGCTCGTTTAGCGGAAGCAGAATGGGGTAATGGGAGGCCACAGACACGCTCTCAGACAAAGCCACAGGGTCATGGACAGGCAAAAACGCATGAAGATGCACATCAACATAATCAGAGCAAGTCTGTAGCGGGTTCGGGCTCAGGCTCAGGCTCAGGCTCAGGACAAGGGAATAGTTCAGGCTCCTCTGTGCCTACTGCACCGCATTACATTGATCCTGTGCTTGGTAACATGCAAGGCTCGAAGCCGAAGGGCAAGAACTTGACAGAGGGCGGATTCAATGACGATCCTTCAAAGAACGTGAGCTTCAACACGGATATTGGGTCCAAGGAGGATCCGGGACTCCAGGCGGAAAGGGAAATTGAAAATATGAATGCACAGAATGTTTCCGGGCAAGGGCTCATGTCAGGAGGCGAGAAGAAGACCAGCTCATCGTACGACGTGCTAGGATCGGAGCAAGATGCTTAATGAGTTATCAGCTTTCGGCCTCTGCCAAAAATAACGGGTAACTCTTCCGGGCATATTGGCCAAAAAGAATTATTTCATCGCTGTTAATTGCGAGGCCACTGTATATTAGCAATGCTGTCACTCTGTGGGAGGAAAATGGTATATGGTTCAATGAAAGGGGTAGTAAATGAATAAAATTTTTGATTCCATCCTCGTGATACACCGTAAAACACACACAGACGCCAATAAGTATAAAACAAAAGTCAAGGGCAGCAGTAATCGAGACCGATCCGAGGAATATCACCAAGCAAGCCCATTTTCCCATTTGAACACACGAGTCCAAAAATTCATGACCGGTATGCAGCAAAATTGCAACGGAGACGAAAAAAACGACAGGGGATGTAAACGGGATATATCAAACACGTAAACCAAGGAAAGATGGCAGAGCGCAGGTAAACCGAGCCATTAGGGAGAAAAAAAGTATAGAGATCTTTATATTTTGACCTTCTTCGTTTCCTTTTGGACAACTTTGACTAGCTCATCGTATACGGCCGAGAAATCTTCAGATTCCTTGTCATCTTTCTTCTTATTCTTTCCTCCCTTGGGAAGGACCATAACCACGCTTGTTGGTCGTTTCGTTGCACCGGCGTTTCCAAGCTCGGCTCTGGATGAAACATAAATGTAAGGGATTCCGTGGTCCTCGCAGAGAACTGGAATGTGGGATATCACGTCCATTGGCGATATATCGGCAGCCAGCACAACAATAGCAGTGGGTGTGGTGATGGCAGCATTCGCAGATGGGGTTGGGGACTTTCGAACGGCCTTGACAACTTCCTTTACTCCTCTCTTCAGAGACTTGTTTCCAGCAGCTAATCGCACAGAGAGCGTTAATAATTCGTATAAAAAATGATAGTAGAAATGATAGACGGCGCAACCAAACAGTGCTACTAGCTGACTGCAGACGGATGTGCTTACCCTTCTTAACGCTCTTCAACACCTTCTTCGCAACCTTGTCCTCGGCCAATGGATTTGCGAATGGGACCAAAGCTCCAAGAGGGCGCTCGTCACCGTTGGTCATGGCGACATCCTGGACAGCAACCTCCGTCTCTGGCGTCTTTGAGCTCAATTCCTGTTCCACGGCCTTCTCGAGCAGCTCTGCGTTCTTCTTTTCCTTCTTGGACTTTTTGTGCACGCCATCAGTTTCCGATCGCTTCTTCTCCTTCTTCTCCTTCTTCTCCTTGTCACCTCTGTCCTTGGCCATTATAAGTATATGCTAGCAAGCCTTCCTCGGTCGAAAAGTGTACAGAGCGTTCGCGGTGTCTGGGGGCTGTCAATGCGGTTCCGAGCGTGCTTCTATCGCGAGTGTTTCTATTTTCTAAAATTAAAAAAAAAAAAGCTGCGACCCTCGAAAAGTCAAAAAAAGAACCGACGCTAAGCCCGATGTGGAAGTCTCCCTCTGGGCCGCGGGTGAAAAGGCGGGTGGGGGCGGCAGTAATCCATAACAAGGCCGAATGGTGTAGTTGGTTATCACGTGTCGTTAACATTCATTTGTACCGACAAGGTCCTGAGATCGAGCCTCAGTTTGGTCATTCTTGTTTTTTTTTTTTTTTTTTCCTCCTCCATCGACAATTTGCAACTGCGAACTAGTTTAATGACGGTAGATGATTTACAGCCTTAGTGTGTGGTGGAAATAGGCTAAACAAATTTATATTTAATTGCTTTCTAAGTACTATACAGCGCAATCACCAACTACCATTTTGAGTCCTCCTCTATTGGCGCTATCTTTACTCGTCAGAGCCGGTGGCAAGGCGGCCAGGCTTGGACATAAGGTATTCGTTCCTATCACAACAATATCAGTAACTGTTAACATGGAAAGACTGCTTGCAAGTCATTTCCGAATAGACCGTATAGAAGATGCAACGTACTTCTTGGTAGCCCAGTCCATGATGGCGTAGGCAATAACGAATGGTGGGACAACATAAAGGATTTGCGCCTTGGATCGTCTGTAGGTGTTGAAGAAGGCGTTGTAGAGCATACCGGCCAATGGTCGTTGACGATTCTGGGAGAGAGTGTATGTGGTGATACCCTTCATTGGGGTGGTGACGCCTGATAGTCGACAGAGTTAGTCAACCGAGTACTCCACGCAGAGATGCCAGTGTCGATTCAATCGCATTGGATGTGCCAGACTATGCCACGCAAGGCCGGGCTCGATTGCTCATGCCGGAGTCATTTGATGTGCGAGTGCGGATGTGGATGCGGTGCGTAACGCGGAGAGCAAAACATACCCATGTTACCCCATCCACCAAGATACCTATAGAAGATGGTCAGTAATCTTGCCAATGATGCGATTCCGCGTAGATATCAAGACATGGAAGAAGCAATAGAGAGTCCCGTTGTTGCCGAGTTGCAGGTTCAGAATAGAGAAAGATGCGGCCACTTACACGCCATGCTTTGGGTCGAGACCTCCACCCATGATGTCAGTCGGAGAATAACGATGGAAGAGAAGAGAAGAAGAGATCGAGAGCACTTGCTGCTGCGTTCGACGATTGGCAACTGGTCGATGTGATGTCGACTTCGACTTGATGAAGACGAAGAAGTTGTTCCTGTCGTCTGCGTCGGCGCTAGTCCGCTTCGGGCATGGTGAGGATATCAAATGCTCGAAACCTCCAAAGCTCTGCGTTGAATCCATTGCGAGTTTATCAGCCCAGAAATACAAGCAAAAACAGATCATATCCACCATGGCAAGCCCTCTGTCGCTCATATACAAGTACGCCGTACCGGTCGCGGTCGGTGCCTCGTTCGTTCAGGCTTCGATTTACGACGTCAAAGGAGGATCTCGCGCTGTCATATTCGACAGGCTCTCCGGTGTGCAGGAAAAGGTCGTCAACGAGGGCACACATTTCCTTATTCCATGGCTACAGAAGAGCATTATCTACGATGTCAGGACGAAGCCCAGAAATATCTCCACAACGACTGGAAGTAAGGATTTGCAGATGGTCAGCTTGACGCTCAGAGTGCTGCACCGACCGGAAGTTCAGAAACTGCCCGTCATCTACCAGGTATGGACAATGTTCTCATGAAGCATTGCATATTAAAAACTTGCTTGCTAATTTTGCCAAAACAAAAATAGCAACTTGGCCAAGATTACGATGAGAGAGTCCTCCCATCCATCGGAAACGAAGTTCTCAAGTCGATTGTCGCCCAATTCGATGCCGCGGAACTGATCACCCAGAGAGAGGCTGTCTCGAACCGCATCCGCACCGATCTCCTTCGACGTGCTCAGGAGTTCAACATCGCCCTTGAGGATGTCTCCATCACCCACATGACATTCGGCCGCGAATTCACCAAGGCCGTCGAACAAAAGCAGATTGCGCAGCAGGACGCCGAACGAGCCCGATTTATCGTCGAGAAAGCCGAGCAGGAGAGGCAAGCCAACGTCATCCGCGCTGAGGGTGAGGCAGACAGTGCAGACATTATCAGCAAGGCTGTTGCCAAGGCTGGTGATGGTCTTATCCAGATCCGAAGAATCGAAGCCAGTCGTGAAATTGCTCAAACGCTCGCCTCAAACCCCAATGTAACATATATCCCTGGCGGTGAGGGTGGAAAGGAAGGTGGGAAGGGAACCGGCCTTCTACTAGGCCTGAGATCATAGAGGAAGCTTGCAAGGTGTTGCATCTTTGTTATGTCTGTATAACAAGTATCTGATTCTCCCCCAAGCGATGTATTAAGGCTCCTATTCTAGTTTGTTTAATTATATGTTCTCTTCTCCTCCACCTTGTGTGTTCCCAGATGCTCATGCCCATATCAACAGCCACACATCAAGCTTCAGAAACGCCCACCCATTGTTCACAGGCAATACATCTACCCAAGAATGTCTCTGTCTCTGTGTCTGCATTCTGCCGCATGGAAAATAGGTATGTGGCCTCCCACTAACCCTTTTACAACCACATTATATCCTCATAAAGGCCCAATGCATTATACCATGAGAAACACTATACTGGATCACTTGACTCCTGTCCAAGTCCAATACACTTTAAACGCCGAGCACGCCTGTCTCTTCACTTTGAAGACTTTTACAGACAAGTGAACATGTCAGAACCTTCCGGCACTACTCTAGACATAAAGAGTGAGAATGTCCTCTCAGATCTCAGATATAACCAAGCAAAATCTTTTGGCAAGGTCGATACTTTTTCTTCCCTCCACAGGAAAGGCTCTCTATACGTTCAGTTTGGCTTCGAAGCATTGGTTTTTGCCAGATTTTACTCTGCTATCATCAAGCAGACTCTCAGGGTTGAGGGAAAGAGAGGATTCGTCAGTATGGCGCCTCTGGCTGATGACCCTCCGAACGAGGGTACATACTATCCTTATTCATCAGGAGCCGCGATTTATGACGAGGATCCATGCGGCCTAGAAGCAGAGGGCTCTAGAGTCCTATCTGTGATGAAGATTCATCGAGAGGAGCTAGGTTTGAAAGATCCTCGTGAAGATTCGAAAAAGGCGAATATATCTGATGTCGAATGCCTCGGGACATACAACTGGATAAGTGAAGATAATAAAGTCATTTTGGTTCCAGGTGAGTAAGGATCAGTGTTGATCTATCAAGCGTCTATTACAATCACTGACCACAGTGCTGTAAGTAGGAGCTCCGCCCGTTTGGATGCCCCCGAGCCACACAGCTTGTGTTGGAAGCAGAACCAACCAAGGCTTTGTCGATAATAGCTTGAGAGAATGGCCCAAACACCCGTTGGAACCTGCTATTCACGCTGCCGTCCATATGTCCCCCGACTTTGAACTGGCCAATTTCCACATTGTAACTGACCATGTGGCAATGGACCGCATGTTTGCTTTTGTGGCCTCCGCGCCTATTTACTTCACCTTGGATGTTGAAGTCGTCGAGCATACGGTATTCATCGTCTGCAAGGGAGAAGGGACACACCCATATAAAAGCGACAATTTAACCAAGTGTGTATCCTGGGAAGAGTGTGTCAAAACCTCTCTGTCTCACCACCGAGTGATTTCGTATCTCTTTGGCGGGTTACGGATTCTCCTACAATCAACCTGTCATGGCTATCTTTCTGAAGCAGCCGGGACTGTAAGGGGGCCGGAAGCACTAGAAGATATACATGATATCAAGATGCCAAACTGGTTGACGACCCTTCAAGGAGGCAGCATCCCAGCCGGGAAACGCCTAACCCCTCGTCGCGCAGGGAAGCTTGTACCTCAGGAGGCGCTTTTCGACTTCAAGGCTGTTGTGCCTGGCGATGATACCCTCACGGATGGCGACCTTGGACGACTGTGGATTAGACAGGTTCCAAAGGTGGTAATTGCAACTCACGATTGCTCGTTCCTGGACTCTCAGATCAGTGATGTTACCGAAGTCGTCCAACAGTGGGAAGAAGAGCATCGGTCAGAGCTTGATCAGTTAGCGGAGCTGTTGTGGAAGATCGGCCGTGTGGCCAACCAATCGACCTTGAAAAAACTATCTGTTTGTCGTTTTGGAGATGTTTTGCGAATTGACGAACTGGGGACGCCATTGACCATATTATCAGGCATGTCCAGTTTAAAGCTGGCACCGGTGAATAGTCCCGCGGAGGAGGACAATGGTATGGGGGAGTCCGGGCTATCCTCTATCACCTGTAGTGCCTCGTGGGAATCAATTCCTTTAACCGACTGGGAGGAAGTGGACTCCGACGGTGATTGGGTCGAGATTTAGAACCCAGTGTTAATGCAAAAGAGAGTTAAAGGTTGAACAAGATGATCTGGAGAGTCCAAGAATATTTGGCACATCGGCGGAATTTGGATCAGAGATTTGGGTAAAATGATACTTGATATTGGACAGACCAGGCAGGCGTTTGCCATCGACAAAATCACTCACTCGAGAAGAGGAGATACAGCATCAGCGTGATAAATAGTCCATAATCTCAGTTCTCGATAAAAATATAAATACAGTGCCCAAATTCCAGCAGTAGTACTCCTTCAGACGAACAAAGCCGCCATCATGTTGCGAGAGCGCGGTTCTTGGTAAACATTTAGTCATAATAGTTATAGAAGTTGTGGCCCACACCAAAGAACTTGCCCCAGCTAAAACCCAGATTTATTCACATCCTACGCATACGGGTCTGACTATATATTCCATCCTCCCAGGTCACAAATAACAAAATAATCTTACTCTATCAAACACGACGGAGATACGAAACGTCCATACGGGGTTACTAGACTAAGCAGCAATGCCTCAACCATCCCGATCACAGCCGAGGACGACTACAAAGTCGAAGAAAAAGGATACCCTACCCCGGAGGATACCGTCTAGCCCCGAGATAATCATTCGTACCACGCCAGTTGAACTACAACAGCTGATTTTAAACATATTTTCGGATGCACTTCTCACCCAGTCTTCTACCCAACGAGAAGCTGGCACAGCTCTGAAGGAACAAATCCAAACCATCAAGTCACATCTTTTTAATAGAGACTTTAACTCTGCCTTTGCCGACGCGAATACCGACTTATTAAGGGCATACGCCCTTCGGTGGAGTGCCGGGAGGGCTCTTGCTTATACTGGGATTTTTGATGCGGTTTTACAGCTGGCATGGAAGGGCGACGCGGATGCAACTGTACATTTACCTCCTCCAGGAGTTGTAACGGAAGCTATACGCAACCAGCATGTTCTCTGCATTGGTGGCGGAGCAGGAGCAGAAGTCGTAGCACTGGCTGCTGCTATACGGTGGGGGGCCGGGGCTGACCGGCTTCGAGGATCGAGCCTCAATCTTTCAGTCACGGCCCTTGACATAGCCGACTGGCAACCGGTGATTGATAGGCTATCCCAAGGGTGCACATCCGAATCGATCAGCACAAAGAATCACAGTATACCGCTTCCACTACTAGAGCCTGGAAATCTTGCAATTACGTTCCAGAAACAAGATATACTGGAACTCTCAGAAGAGCAACTATCACATATAATATCTCCGCCCACGAAGGAAGTAACTAATCTGTATGGCCGAGATATCGAACCGCACCGACCCCAAACAATTTTGATAACACTCATGTTCACCTTGAACGAACTCTTCTCAACCTCCATGCCCGGAACGGTCGCAATGCTTCTACGTTTGACTGACCTAGCCCAACCAGGGACTATATTACTGGTCGTCGATAGCCCCGGGAGTTATTCAACCTTGTCGCTTGGATCCAAGGGTGCCGAACCACAGGGAAAAAGCAGCAGTGCCTCCTCAGCTACCATTAACAATAAAGGTGAAGAGAAAAAGCCGGAAAGAAAATACCCTATGCGTTTCCTACTGGACCATACTTTATTGACCACGGCTGTCGGGTGTTGGGAATGTGTCTTATCTGAAGAATCAAGGTGGTTCCGGCGTGACCGCACACATTTGGTGTATAACATTGGAGAAGGCATTGCTCTTGAAGACATGAGGTACCAAGTTCATGCTTATCGGCGAACTGCAGATAAATAGTTGTGTCCTTCATTAGGTAGCTATACAGACAACGAAGCAATTCATTCAAAATCCGTCCATGAATTAAAGTGTACTATATCTGTGCTGTGCCCCAAACCATACCCTTCTCTATGATATTTAGCGGGCTTCCACGAGTCGACAAGGCTGACCGGCGACTCTCAGATGTAGAGGACCAGTACAACTACAAACTCTATAATATAAATGTAGGGACAACGTACTGTTCAACCCCAGGGATGAGGGGAAAGCGCAGGAAACTGTACCTATAAAGAACCGGGTCATACGAAGTCTCGTTTCTATGCAAAGCGAAGGGTCCGACGAGGATAACTGGCAATTGGTCAACGAGGCATGGTTCGTATCGGCTGAAGGAAGAACATATCCACAACTTGAAGGATTGAGCTTCACACAGGGAATACCGATGTAACATGACAACTTGGGCAACCTCATTGCTTATGTTATTCCAGAGAAGAGGATCAATGATGCACTCGAGATATGGTGGCTTTGGTCAAGAGTTGACTAAAAGGCTTGATCTCCTATATCAACCTAATCCCATGTAAGGAATAAAAATGCACCTTGGCCGATGAAGGATTATACCCTTAACCATATGCATTCTCCGTGGCCCATATAACTAAATTATTTAAGTCTGGAGACAGCCTTCCACGAATATTCCACATTCTAACCTATACACCCTAGGTTTTATGTGACCCATATATACCTTCATCATGCTTCTCCAAGGGGCAATCGTTTGCTCTCTCTTCGCGAATGCAATTGCTTCCTCTATCCCTTCATCTTTCCTCCTACCCGAGCCTTCAGGACCTTATAAGGTCCAGAGAGAAATCCTCGAACTCACAGACTGGTCTAGAAAGGATGTCAATTCCACCCATCCACGCAGGCTAATGGTCTCTCGCTTCGATCCTATTCCTGAAAAGCACTGCGTCAAAACAGAGGATGTTCCTACTTTCCCACCTGCTTCTGCCAAACTGGAGGATGCTATTCTCCAGGCAGCATCTGGCGGCCGGTGGGTGAACGGTCTCTTTGCAGGGTCCAGGATAAGGGTATGCACTGAGACCAGGAAGGGATATGCCTCAGACTCTCAGAGCAACAACCATGGGTTCCCCATTCTTCTGTTTTCCCCCGGAGCCAATACAACCAGACTGCTCTATTCATCTGTTGCGCAGACTATTTCCAGTGCTGGATATACCGTCATCGCCATGGACCACCCTCATGATACAGACATTGTTGAGTTCCTTAACGGGGATATCATTACGGGCGGAGGAGCCAACTTCTCTGATCCTGCTGTCCTGCCCTTCTGGAATGAAATTCGTGTCCAAGATACCGTCTTTGTGCTAAACCAGGCCCTAAAGAAGTCTCCTCATGCTCGCATAGGAATGCTGGGCCACTCTTTCGGTGGTTCTGCCACTCTCTCATCTATGGTCAAAGATGGCCGTATCAACAGTGGCATTAACCTTGACGGCGGTCTATGGGGTCCTGCAGTTGAAATAGGACTCGGAGGAAGAAAAGAACCCCAGCCTTACCTGCAATGGGGAGCATTCTACCATAACCGACACAATGACACGTCGTGGAACACATTGTGGAAGGCCATGGACCGCCTTCACCCTGATTCCTGGAAAAAGGAACTTGCTATCCCTGAAGGCCGACATAACACTTTCACTGATTTCCCAATCATTATCGATGCTGCAAAAGTAAGAGATGTAATCGACAAAAGCGCCATTGAAGAGCTGATTGGGGATATTCCAGGCGTTAGAGGAATGGAATTTATCAAGGCATATGTTAACGATTTCTTCCAGTTCTCATTGTTTGGGAAAGACGAAGGGCTTATCAAGGGACCAAGCCCAAAGTATCCAGAGATCACCTTTCTGGACTAGATATACAACTGCAAATGAGAAGCTATGCCTGAAGAAAATGAGTTAAAATGAAAAACGCACTTTATATTTCGTATCGACCTAACTACAAGTATTATTATGAAGACTACTGGATCGACTTGCTAGACTGATAACATTTACTAGAAGATCATACTTCTGTCATTAGGAATGGAGGGAAATACTCTGCTGTGTCTGTATTCTCTGCATCTGTATCTGGTGTTTTTCTCTCCCTGCGGTCCCTCAAATTTAAATCAAAGTACTCGCCCGCCAAATGAGAAGAGAGGTGATCGGGAAATAAAGTAAGGGGTTAAGTAGATGTGTAATGCAAAGACTAAGCTGAGGAGATATACATCCCACGGCTAGCTAGGAGGAAAAGGAAAGGAATCGAAATTGGCCGACATCTAGACATGTAGGATGAGACACAAACACAAAAAGGAGAGAGGAGTTTTGATAAGATGAGAAAACGGCAAGTAAATGGGCTGAAAGAGGTGTGTATCTTTTCTCTGCATGTGCTGTGCGCTCTGTGCGCGAAGTCGTATGGTCTGAAGTAAATCAAAGAATGGCAGGTAAAAGGAGATGCATTTCGTTTGTGACAGAAAAGGAAAAGGTAATGGCTGATTAAAGAGAGATTAGAATAGGGAACGTCGTTAAAAACCGAAAAATAAACATGAGCTAGGAGAGTTGGAAAAGAAGGGAAGAAAACAAATGTGCTGCGCTAGTACGCATGCCGAAATGCAGGTAGTCGAACAAAATGGAAAGTCAAAGAGGGTATGATGATGGTAAGAGAGTGGAGGGTAGAATGAAAGGTCTTTAGGCGTGTTTTGAGCATTTGAAGGAGTTGTCGTGGGTCGTTGATACTCCTAAGAGTCAAGGCAGAAGGAAAGAAATAATAAGCATGTAACGAAGGATTGAAGGAAGCAGGAGCAAGAAAAATGGAACAAGTATGGCTTGCGAGTTTTGTTTCTTTAAAAAAAGCAGCTGAACTAACTTGCTCTGAGCATTTGATTTTGAAAATGTCGTGTGATAAGAATCGAACACGAACTTGGAGAAAGAAGAAAGAAGAAGAAGAAGAGAAAAACCAAATAAGAATCAAACAGATCTCCATAAGTCAATAGCCCTATCCGTGATATCGTGCCTTACCATGTACTCCGAGCGATTGAAACACAAAAAGGAATAAAGAAGAAAAGAAAAGAAGAATAAGCTAGGCTTGATAATGAACCGTAAATAAACCAGTTAGATGCCACGAAATTGAGGTGGGAGAACCGTAGGGAGAAGAGAAAGGGGGAAGCGGGTAAGAGGTGGTAAGCGTTGTTTGACCAGAACTCTACTCCCTCCGCCTATCTTTATCCTTCACTTTCCAGAACTGCATCAACCGACTGATTCGGTGGCCCTTCTTTTTGCGCTTGTCTGGCTCATCCATAGGCGCCTTCTCCTCGTAGCTGAGCTTACTACGCTCGGAAGTAGCGCCAACAAGTCGCGAAAAGCTAACTATGCTGGCACGTTTTGACGAGCTAGGCCGGTTATTGTTGATATTATGACTATTGTTGCTGCTCAATTGTAGCACATGGGAGAAGGAGGCGGCCCGGTCGCCTGGGTTGCGGCCATAGATGGCGCTGGGAAGGCGAGGGATGTTTCCTGTCATCGTTGACGAGGAGCTCGTTAGGGACGGAACATCCTCGATGGAGTTTTGGAGGTAGTCTGATCCTGGCTCGCCGGAGTAGACGGAGCCCGAGCTGGGTTGGCGGTCTGTGATGGAGGAAGATGCAGTGTTGAGGCGGGGAGCGTCGAAGGATATGTTTGACGGGGCGGGGGAAGGGAATGCCTGTGGGATCATAGGCACTGGAGGTATGATTGAAGGGGCAGTCGTAAGGTTTGTAGCGTTCGAGATGTTGTAGATGAATTCGGGGGAGGTGGAGGGGCGCTTTTCGTCAAAATTGCGTGGGGAAGTTTGACCAGAATCCGAGCCTACGATGCCAACGCTACCAGGGTGATAGGTAGTGCTGTTGCTATTGCTGCGTTGGGACTGGGATTCGAAATCGATAGGTTGAGCATAGGGGGTGCGAGGAGTGACGACCTGGGCGGTACTGGGGCGGCTTTCAACAGAGGCTGGGTAAAGGTCTGGTGGATGGCTGGAGTCGACTACTTGGATGCCCAAGCCAGCTCCTTCACTATCACTTTCTTCCTCCTCGCTTGATGATTCGCTATCAGTTGCGTCTGCCTTTGCCAAACCGGAGTTCTTCTTGGGCTGGTCATCGTTCTGAGCCAAAAAGGCATCCTCTTCCTCCTCATCAAACACATCTGGGTTCTCAATGGCAGCCGACAGACCGAATCGAGAGTTACTAAGGAAACTGCGGTCGAACGGCGGCATTTCCGGCGCACTCTCTGCCCGTCTGTGGTATCGCATTTCTGGGCCCACGAATTCACCCCGACGTCCACCGCTATACATCCGTTTTGTGGCGATCACGAAGCCGCTAGTGATGTTCCGTTCATGCCCCATTTCAGGAGTATTGAATGGACCCAGGGCAGCATCGAGATCGATAACAGGGCTAAATATGTCAGGGTTGCTTTGTTGCTCATAGAAGCTTTTTGGTTTCCATGCGGTTTCCAGGCTGGCATCAGTAGAAGCTGCTTCACCTGATCGTTGACTTTTTGGAGCATTTTGGGCGGTGGGAGTGCGGATTACTATTGTGTTATCTTGATCGAAATCGACACCATACATAGATCCGAGCTCCGAGTTGGTTCTTGTAAGCACTGGTGGAGGGGTAGGCGCCTTGCGAGACTGTTTCTTCGACGAACGCTTCTTTCCCTTGCGAGTCAGGATGCCGGTCCAAGAACGCTTTTTCTTTTGCTTTTTCGACGGTTTTCGCTCGTGTGATGTTCGTTGTTGAGTTATTGTGGACGTTTCAGCATCAGTCGTCTCGCCGTCTGATACATCCGGGCCGTTAGCAGCAGAGACACCCTTGGCCTCCTGGGCCTTTGTAGCGTCTGCCAGGTTGAAGTTCAAGGCCATAGATGCTGAAGCAGAGAGCGGTCGTTTGGCGACTTCGTTATCATTGGAAGGATTGAAAGTTTTCCACTTCATGGCCAGCTGTGCGCCGGCAGTTTTAGGCCGAGCCGAGGGTTCATTCTGAGGGGAGGTTGCACCACTTCTCTGCCCGGAGCCGGAACGATCAGAAAATATCTGGTTGGGACGGACGGTTGAGACGCTGCTCTCTGACGATATTGTTGAGAGTGGGCGGCGGAGGGCTGGCGGTACTTCGGGAACCTCGTCTTTGCAGGACGGCTCTGTCTGCTGCATGGGCCGCTTCGGGGACGCTTGGGAGGTATACATATCCGGAAAAGACCGTGATGAGAGTTTGGCATTCTTATCACTGGCGAACGGTAGGATGGGCGAGGTCGGTACGCTTCCACAGACAGGAACTGGTGGGAACGCTTTGGCCACTGCAGTCAAATCCACACTTGATATTGCCTGTGATCTGCGGTGGGCATGCCTGCGTGCTCCTCGACCCTGGCCAGCAGCAAGTCCAGGACCCGGATGAGGGAGTGCTGAAGGTGCTGTCATGGTATTGTTGATGGCTGCCTGGGCGGACACATCACCAAGCAGTTCGCTGGGTAGTCGACGGTGACCGATTGTATGCAGCTGAGGGGCGGGTTCAACGAGCGTGGGAGAGACCGGCCCCGCAGCAGGCACCGTCACAGCCGCAGCCGCAGCCGCAGCACCAGAGTCAGCGGGAGCCTGGGGGAAAGAAAACGAAGGTAGGGCAGCGGGTGCCTGCCGTCTTGCCCGACGTGAACTGCTTGACATGTTGTCTGTCGACGGTTGAGCCGGAAAACTAAACGACGGGTTCGGAGGCGCAGAGGAGATCATGTAGGAAGTGTTGTGTGTATCGTAACTCGGAGATTCCTGTGAATGCATGTGTATGCTGGAACTGCCCCAGTGAGAAGTCTCATGGGCCGAAAGAGTGATGGATGTCATGATGAGACAAAAAAGAATAATAAAAAAAGGAATAAATAAATAAAAAAAAGAAGAACCGAACGACTGAACTGAACTGTTGGAGCAAAGACAGGACAAGAGTCAAAAAATAAGTATGGGCAAGAATCGAAGAATTCTCCTTTTACTTGCTCTTTCCAAGTGTTCGCATCTGATGCTTCATGTATGCCGCCAGATCAAATAAATGACTGAGTAGACACTTGAGAGCCGGTTTGTGTGCTCCTCTTTCTTCCTATTAACAATCCAGATATCCCGGACGCATCGTATGCCAGAGACGACTCCAATATTGAGACAGGTCGTGTGTTGGAGGCGGTGTTGGAGGTGATGTTGGTGTGTGTTGCTGGCGAGAGACCGGACTCAGGCGACAGCGATAAGCCACGGAAGGTTGCGAGAAGAGGTCGAGTGCGAAGTAAGGAACGGACGGCCACAGCGACTGTAGCCAGGGAGAAGACGGCGACGGCGGAGGTTGGAGGGCGTTGAGCGAGAGAGAGAAGAGAGAGAGAGAGAGAGAGGAAGAAGAAGAAGAGGGAGAGGTTGAAGATGAAGCGCAAGAAGAGGAAGAAGAAAAGAACGGTTCATGGGACGGGAAGCGACCGGGGCAGGGGTGGCTGATACGGTACGGTGACGGTACGGCAGATACAGCATGGCTCCACCTATGGCGCTTTGACTGGCTGGAGATGGCCCGAGATGGAGACAGGTGGAGACACCGGGAGGACGGCTTGGCGGTAGTAGGGCTTACTACGGCATCTTACTGGCTGAAGGACCTCGAGAAGCGCCCAAAGAGGCCTAGTTCAGGCACACCTGGCGTATCCCAGGAACAGGACAAAAGTTACAGGAAACAGCATATAACATACATAGATTACATAGATTACATATACAACATCCGATATAAAGACATATAGAAGAGAAGAGAGGAAGAGGAAGAGGAAGAAAGGAAGAGAAGAAGAAGACGGAGAAGAGCACGGCAGGATGTCTTGCATCGAGTGCAGCGCTGCCGTGCGCCCTGACAGCTGTTGACGCCAACTATCCGTCCCTCCGCCTGCTCTACTGACTATCGCGGATCTCACGATGCGATCGATCCCTGCCAGGCCCTGGCCCAACCCTGGCCTGATCCTGGACTCAGTTAGTCGAGCAGGCTGCTGTCATGCGCCCGAGCACTCACACTGCCTTGCGGATACATGCTGAGAACGCTTGGGAATACTACGGAGTGCACTGCGAACGCTTGGAATACATCTACGGAGTACATTGAAGATACACTGATATCACTGCATTCATATACTGTCTCATGATATGTACATCGATCCAGCCACCGCCGCTTCTCCCGTCGTATTTCGCTGCACCTAACTCCGTCCCCAAAAGCAATTCTCTCACTGTCTCTTCCTCGTCGCTGCGGAGGATAGGATAGCGCATGCCAGTAGCGCCGGTGGGGCCCCCTTTTGCCTGTGTTTATTGATGCCTTTTGATGGGAGGTATCTCGCCAATCAGCCGATGGCACTGTGTTTTGCACCCGACTGGACCGTGGCTCCCTCTGGCTTCTCTGGCTTCTCTTTTTGCTTCTTTGGCTTCCTTTTGGGCGGTTTCTTTTTCTTCGTTTCTTTTCCTGCTGGCTCCTCCCTTGCCTCTGCGTGGCAGGCCGCTACCGCCGACTAAGGCAGGGGAATGATCCTGGCCCATCTATATGATCGGCTTGGGCGACATTGCAATGCTTGTGCTGGTCCCGTTGACCCTGCCCTGTATCTCGTCTCCTTTCCTCTCCTCTCTCTTCTCATTTGACCCGAGTGGGAAATGAGATCTTTGCTGTGTTATATTCAACCTGATCCATTTCGTGTCTCCACTCGCAAGCCATCATCGTCCCGCGAATCAAGGTACGCAGAGTAACGGGACTACGGTGGAATACGGAGCCCATCGTCATGGTGATGACATCAGCTAGCCAGGTTGCTTGTTTCCGTTGGATGTCTCATTTTGAGCCATCAGCCCTATCGTCGAGATTTCCAATGGGGGAGATGAAACATCCGTTTCTCAGCCTCAGCTTCAGGCTCCATCGGAAAATAAGGCGGACGCGTCGACGAATGGAAGGAATAAAAAAACTCGTCGACGCGGCTAGGAGATTATCTTCCAGCCCAAGGTGAACAGCGGATCCTTCGACAACGCCCAAGTTGTCAGGTCAACCATCAGATCTCATATTTGGATCCCCATGTTTGATTATTCAATGCAGCCCGCTCTGGCTCTGCCAGTCGTGGCCATCGGTAATTGCATGCGCCCTGCCAGTTCCAACTCCAGCTCCAGCTCCAGCTCCAGCTCCGGTCTTCAGCTCCTGTCTGCAACTTACAATGACAACCAACGCTGCTGTGACCACGTCAACGGCCAATCGGTTCATAAAAAGACAGTCGATCCACCGAGTTTCCCGGCGTGATTCATATCATACTATCACCGTCCAACGGCCACAGTACTCCATATATTGCATATATATATACCTCGCGTTGCACAGGTACAAGTCCTCAGACACACATATAATAAATCACAAAAGCAGTCTATCGTTTTCTCATTAATTCGGCCCTTAGCATACGGCGCGTCAGGTAGCCACTTAAAACGCTAAATAACTTGCAGCGTTACATGCATGAAATTGGCTTGTGGATGTGTGGCTAAAAAACATATATAACGTTGCCTCGCTGATTTTATAACTCGTTGATTTCCGCTCCGGGCCCTGGCTGCGGAGTACCCCCGTATGGCTCGGAGGAGAAGGCGAATACAGGAGCAAATTGCTTGTCTAACTAACTGTTCGTACCACATCTTCCTTTCTCTGGTTCGCATATCCTGTTCCTTGTTTATTCTCCAGTTCTTTATTCCGTTGCCACTACGCTGAGCACGCATCATTCCGCAATGGTGTGTATACAGATACAGACATGCTTGCATAAGATATGTAAAAGAGTTCCTTGTGAAAGCGGCTATCCCTGCTGCCGGAAGATGTGTCCGTCTGCCGACATCAGTCTGTCGGTGCTGGGAGATCTTTCTGAAGAAAGCCGTTCCTTGGGGATAGCACAGCCAAACCCTCACCCACGCCCAACGGAGTGACGGCTGGGTTCAGGCATTACAAATTATACATATAGAATACAAGGAACCGTGACAGGGTTGTCATGCAGAAGCAAAGGTACACCCATGCCTGCACTCGAACCTGTCCAGTTCTTTATCTAGTATATACCTCGTGCAGAGAGTAGGTACGCGCGATATCCCCGAGTTTAATGCACGCATACGCATCGCCTGAGCAACGATATTAACAAAGATATGAAAGTATGCAGCATAGGCACATGTTCATCAGTTTGAAAGAGGAAGAACCTGGCCAGGTAATTATGGAGCGTGCCTGGATACCAACCGTCAGGGATGTATGGATATTTAAGGGGCAAAAGCCAAAAAACGCCTCCCAACCCCCATTTCCACTGTACGGAGTACAATTAACTAGAAAGTAACCTCACAGATACGACGTATACACACAGGTGTGGTACTACGATACACCGCTGCAGGGGACGATTAACGGCTTTTTCAGACATGCCAATTCCCCAGAAGAAGACAGCAGGATGAAAGACAGCCAACGAGGGACATGTGCTACCACTCTCTTATATGGCCTCTCCTTTTTTTTTTTCTCACCGTTCAACGAGGGAGTACGGAGTAGCTCAATCTGCAGGGCAGTTGGCGCTTGCGCTGTACTCTGTTACTCTGTGCCACGGCTAGGGTGTATCTTATTCATGCCACCTTGGCCGTCAATGCTTCTCCCATCTCGTTATCACCATTCACCGATCCTGGACCTAGAAACGATAGATCACCGTGAAGGACAGGGCTATCTATCCGTCACCCGCCGCCGTCTCAACCGCGCCGCTGGCTATATGTTACATCCGCACCCTCGAGCATTCTCGGTATTATCTTCCACATTAACATAAAACGAGATAGGCGCAGAGTCAGCTTCATCCCTTCATAGCACACGCTACTCGGTGGCGGGTACTTTCTTCATGGTCACGGTCCTGGCCGCGTTCAACCCCAGCTTTCTGGCATGCTCATCTAGATCCATCACATTGCTTCTGACGATGAGATAGCATGCCTGTCCCATACGAAACTTTAACAAGATGCATGGCAAAGACGCGGACAGATGACCTGTTCGTAGACCGGAACTGGTTAATGTTAACGAATCTCGTTCTCTCGTGTGGGTGGAGATATCTACCCCAACTATGCTTTTTTCTTCCCATCTCCCACTGATGCCATCGAATATCAATCTCGTAATAACCCATGTCAATCGTTATCGGGTTGCCTCTTCGCTTCTCCAACCCTCCAAGGTAGCTTTTACTTCTCTTTTATCCAATCGTCAGGCGTACTTTTTCACAGTCAAATACCGCGCACCACTGACACACACCGCATGTGAATCTTAGACGAAGAATACATCCATGGATCCGTGCTGAGATAGATAGCTAACCAGCTGGTTTTCATCGTTAACCCTATCCAGCTAACACAGCCGCCGAATATACCCGCTCGCTCCATCATGCGAACTATGTCAACTAATCGACAATATGGTGGCTGGCAAGTAGCTAACTTACGGGGCCATTTTAAAATGGAATAAACAATCATGGATGACGATCGTTCGGGGCTCAAGGAGCCATGACAAATTGGAAATCGATGGGACTTCCTATTTCAACCGGCTTGCGGTCATCGACTCTTCATAATTGGATATTGGACGAGCAATAATAATATTAACCACGGCACGGAATACGTAGTTGCACTTATTTTGACACGCCCGCAATCTCAAAAGGGGTGCCTTATTACTAATCACAGCCTTCAAACACAGTCATGTGACTATCCCCAGGTGTAGAGCGTATTTGCAATCTATAGATGTGGAAATGAACAGCTAGGGGTTTAAAACTGGTGCTGGTATTTGGAGGATGATGGACTGAGGGGGGATGCCTAATGGAATCAGGAAATTAGAATCTAAGCATTTGTCATCTCCTCAAGAGTTCGGTATGGATCGAGGCTGCGTTCCTTCATCTGTTCCATCTTTTCGTGGATGAATATCTCAATATCGTTTTGTTCCTCCTCCTTCAACAGTTTCTGTCAGCCGTTTGTAGACTCGAAATGGCCGTAGTACCTTGGATGTATGAACTTCCAGTAGATATCATCGAATGAAAAACTACAAATTGCTGCAAGGAAAACCCAGAAATCGCCATTTTTCAGCGACGAGCCATATGCGCTGAGAGACGGGGTGCCTCAAGGCCAACACCACTTTCGGCCAACTCATTCTCACAATCTTTCAAAACCTCAAGGAAGACCCTTTGGCAAGATATGTAGTGAGCTAAGAAATCGTCGATGCCTGCCTCCCACGCCTCTGGACGAGCTAGCAATAGCCACCACGGAGTGCAGTAGGTAAATTCAGCGGGGGCAGCATAGCAGTACTCCCAATCTATAACAGCGCGAACTCGAAGTTCCTCGTCAACAAGCACATTGGAGGGACGTAAGTCGTCACAAAACAATACAAATAGCCTATTATTATACGTTTTGCAGAATTGACGAGCAACTTCACGAAACAAGCAACGCGCAATGTATTTCTTCCGGCAGTCATCTTCATCTACGATTGCATCGTTGTGCTGTGTTTTTAGATGATAAAAATGGTCATTGGCTAGAGACCAAAGGTATGTGGTTGTGTCTGACTAGGAGTGCTGGGATAATCTTTTGGGAGGGAAGTTTCTAAGCCCAACAAATTCATTCATATTGAAAGTCATCGCCCGTTTCTCTACTGAGAAGCCCCCCAAGGCACCCTGAACAAGGCCACCGATTGCTGGAAACCGACATGTAGAGAGCTCCAACAGGATCTTTGCCATACCACGATAGGCCTCGCGTAAGGTAGTGGCATCAAGGTCCAAATTCAGGGTTGATGGCACCTTGGGGTCTTGCGAGGCTCTGAGATACTCAGACAATACCTTCCCCTCGACAAATTCTAGTATCATGTATGGACCTACGGCGGACTTGCCATGGCCCAAGACGCGAGGGATCGGAATGGATGTATTGCTGGCGATATATTCCATCACAGCGATATCGTCCTCAAGTTTTTCTTGACGAAACATCGACCTTCCAAGAGGCGGAAACCGTACAAGCACATCAGGCCCATCTCTGAGCTTGACTCGGTAACAGCGGTTGAAGGAACCTTGGGAGTGGTACATGGCATCGACTGGCTCTCGGCTAAGGTGTTTAAAGGCGAGTCTGGCCGCCAATTCATCCGTTTTGTACTTCTCCAAGTGTCTTGTCCACACAATAAACATAGTGTCGTTCTGCCTACAAGCCTCATTGTCGGCGTCCATTGTAAGGGTACAATGGAAACTTTAGGCTTGTCGTCTGGGTATAGGATGGTGGTATGGTAGATGATATGAATAGGTTGGGATACGCCTTGAACAAAAAGGGGAAGCGTATTATATAACCTGACTCGGCCTATCAGAAAATATATATTATACTCTGGGTGTAATTTGTTCAGTTAAGTATACGGGGGAATATTTTGATTAGCTATATCACCGGTTTGATAGATACAGGGTGTTTAGCCGGTTAGTAACCTGATTGGATGTCTATAGCCAAAATCTAGTATCAAGAGTCGACAAAAACACCTACCCTTCAGCCTCACCTCGTCCACAAAAGCCACGTCTTATTCATAATAAATGGCTAAAATCTTTAAGACATGCATGACCAACGAATAAGTGGCATGACCCGAGTCGCAAAACAAGTCGCCAATAAACGAATAAACTACGGAGTACTCCGTCGTGCCAGTTCCTTTTCAAGATTCTGCCTTGTCTGCCACCTTACCATAAACATCCCTAGTATCTGTTTCATTTGTGGAAGATGTACCCCGTACACTTCCTATCGTAGGTTTCTTTCACATAAGGTTGCATTGAGGTCTGTGATGAGGGCCCGGTTACGTCCACGAACTAGATATGGGACAGTAATGATGGCATATGGTAACTGTAGCATAGAACTACAACTGGCAAAGTTGGGGATTGGGGGTAGGCTAAGCGACTAATCGCAACTAGCGTACGGAGTAAGCTGTTAAGCCTCTTTGATAACCCTATCAACCAGCCTAGGGTTTCCAATTGCGAATGAATGTCAATCCTTGCCAAATACCAGGAGGGATTCTTCTCTAGGCTCTTTAAAGCACCTTGAAAGTGGTATGATCTTCGAATATCGGGATTGCCCACGTAGAGCTTGGGCCGCTCCTGGGTGATTGGTGGGAAGCAGTTATAGATAACGGGTATATGCACTATTGTAATTGCAAAGGATATAATTTGGGGCCCGGTATATAAGGCCACTCTGGTTGGCCTACATCGTTGGACTGCTAAAAAGTTTCTAAAGCTAGATTTTTCCCTGCCGCCATTATCAAGTTAGTGGAGCGCACGGTGACGAGGGGCGATGGTGGGGAGACACAATCATTCCTTGCAGGCTGGTGTCATACGGCTTAGGTGTGGCCCAAATGTGTCAAGGTATTGAATAAAGGACTCCATATGATATCCTGCGTTATTGATGCTTAGCGTATAGCTTATCGAAAGCCCATTCATAATTTCTCATTTCAACCCCGCAATATCGGACATCGCAGTAGGAGCATCATGTGTCCAGAAATAAGTAACTCTCCCCGATGGAGGTATCTCCAAGATAACGCTGCGGTCTTGCTATCGAAACACCATTTCGGAATGGTAGTCTGGTATCCGTTAAAATTGGCATATTTATATTTGCCTTTGTTCGTAGTGTAGAATCGGCAGTACACTCCACCCACCCTCGCTTCCTAGAAAATATAGAAAGACCCTCAATAGGTAAAGTTGATATTGGTGACATATGGCTACATCAACACTGTGTGATGCAAAATCGAACATTCGCTTTCTGGCACCGGGTGGAGGAGGCAATGATTTGCACAGATGGATGATTGGGTATATCGAGATTTTTGCCACTGAAGTGATACCAGCAACTTGAGGTATGAAAATCCCAGGTATGTGAGCTCAGACAAATAGATGTAGATTGCAAATAGCCTCTTGACATCAGGCCTTCAGCCAGTACCATATTTTGCGATGAAGGGTAAACGCCTGTATCTCTGATATGCTGATAGGGGATGTCGTGACTTGAATTAACCCTATTCTAAACTCGTGTTTAGGTCGGTATGATAAAGATGCAGGGTGAAGTATCAATATAAAGAGTAAACCGCCCAAACACCAAGCGCCCTGCCTTGGTATTAGTCGCGGTATGCATGAAATTATTTTCGAAATCAATGCCTATCCATCCGCTATCCACTCGATGTAGCGACATGCATAGCGCACGAGATATCTTGCATTTCACAAAACCAAAAGCCCTGCTTCAGCGAAGAATCGAAATACGTAACCACACAGAGATATTCAAGGCCGACGTGACGTTTTGGCTATACGTCCGTCTGCGTGTTCACTCACAGTTTACTGTCTCGTCACTAAAGCAACAAACTGCTTGGGTGGAGCCGCAGGTGGCAGGTGGCAGCCGTAGCACATAATCTCTTCGGAAAGCCAGACTATCCAGCCCAGCCAGACTGGGTCTTTAGGGTCACTCCGATGAGCAGCCTTGAAGGCATAATGACCTCTACTATGGCTTTTCGACCCTAACAGAGTCAAAAGATAGCCAAAAAAAGAGGGTCGGTGGTGTCATAACCTAGCGAAAAGGTGTAGTAGCAAAGACTGAAATAAAAAAAGCGGATGCGCTGGAGGTCACATCCCAACTCTGTAACTCGAACCCAATGGGTGCGTTGCAAGGTTTGGTGGTGTTACTGGTAGAAAGGTGTCAGCCTTCCGTATGCAGGGTTCCAACGGAATGAATCTATCACAACACAGTGACAGGAATTGACTGAGCCGCGGTGTGTGTGCGTCCATGTTAGTTCCGCTTGGACGTAAGTGCCGATGGCCGAGTATGATAGTTGGCATTCTGTAGATGCTATACTTCAAAGGGGAAGATGGGTGTTGCCGAGATGAAGCTACGCAATGTGAGTAGACATCAACATATATTCGCCGTTCTTGGGTCGATAACTCCCTCCACACAAATACAATGCATAGGGTATCATATTGCAAGACGTGCAACGCTTGTAGTCCTTTCAACATAATCAGTAACAATGAAATGTTCTCGAGGCCAAACCAAACAACTCGTGCCCTCTTCTTAGGCTAAAACACCGTATCTCATGTTATAGAGCTCATGTCTATAAGTACAAGGTATAGGCTGTTTAAGAGTGGTATATGAAGCTTGAAGATTTTGGATAGACATGTACCCTGGAAAGAGCCGTTATTAGATACTGCCCAATCAGTTCATTGACCGGAATTGGACAATCTCTATTGTAAATAGCAGACTATATAGAGGCTTTATTTACTTCTATACACCGGGGAAACTGGCAAAGTACATCTGTGCCTGCATCGTTGATGTTGTCCTTAGAAGCAGAAAGTGCAGGCGGCTAACAGCTGCTTACTAATCATACTTACATCAGCAGTCGCGATATCGACGGGAGTTCTCAAGCTTCTTCCAAGTTTGTCTTCCTCTGACATAAAAAGCTCGCCATCAAGCTCTAACCTCCATGGATTAACACAGGAAAACTTGGCCTCGCTATGAAGAACACTTGTCGAAATGGAATTCTCAACGCTAATGAACCCGACTGCATTTCTGTGGCAAGCCACGCGTTCTCGCCGACCAAGATCGCACGACATGAGATGAAACCACAGATTTGGCATTGAAGGTGGCCTGTAGAGTCGCGTCACACGATATCGCACCGCCCCGATCGATCCGGCGTGGCACAGGCGGTGTTGAGGTGCATCTTAGATGGACGACGGTCTAATCAAATCGGTGGTTTACCGACGTCACCTAGCTCCCACCAATCACCAACCCAACGGACACCAATGGACAGTCGTGGAGTGGGATATAGTTTGGGTCTTTCGTTCAGCGAAGACTTTGAGTTCCGTGGCAAAGGCCTTTTTCGCAACCCACCGTCGGGGTCACCTTTACTTCCATAAACAAGGTTAACATTCGAAATCGAAGGCGTTCTTCTTGATCAACCCCTGGCAGCAATTTCACGAGGCGAGGAGAAGCTCTGCCTCGGAAACGTTACAATTCGTGCATATTGTTACCGAGGGCAAGGCTGATATCCCGCCTCTCGCCGATTATCGGCGGTGATAAGACGAAAGCTGACTCTACAACCGACGACGGAACCTGGTAGATGCAATTCGTAGTCGATGAAGGCCCAAACAATAGTGGGTTACTGTTTACTATCCCCACATTGACGCATCAGTAAGTATGGAGTATATAAGCATGATTATGGGCCAGGACTATGGGTGATATCAAGACTCAGCGTCTACAAACCTACGTGGAAACTAGTCGATGAAGAGAAAGGAAAGAAAGTAGACGCAAGAATAGTGCATTCATTATTTGCGTTAGCTAGACAAGCTTGAATATTCGGTGGGTAGAATATCGAGCAGTACAAAGCTTGAGCCGGGAGGCGGAACAAAGAAGAATGCAGTAAAGAATGTTAAAAAAGGGGATAGAAGGAGGAAGAGAAAGAGTGAATCATAATCAACCAAAGCCGAAAAAGAGGCGGGGTATTAGAAGTTGAAAAAACAACGAAAACAACGGCGTCGAGTAGATGTACAGAAGGCAGAAGAAAGAAGTTGAGACATTACCCCCGCTAATTAACACCGAAACAAACAGATGATCAGTAGAGCAGACAATTTTGGATCCAAACGGACGGTAAAGCAAGTAATGAGATTCCTTCGCTTATGCAAACCGGGGGAAGCCCGATAACCCATAACCCACACGTCCAGCGAGGAAGGGAAGACGAACTCCAAACGAATGCATGTACTCGAAAGGGTTTTTTTTTTGGCTTGTATATGTGTGTGTGGGTTTACGACTCCATGGCCCCCGGCGATATAGTAAGAATGATGACCAAGCTGCTCACCATCAACGAGGCGGTGATAAAGGCCGTCAAGGCTATGCTTCCACGGCTAGCGGGGAACTTCCCTCTAACGACCCAGTACTGGCTCTCGAAGTAACGGTGGAAGCCTATGAAGAGGACAAGTATGGCGATGGCGATGAAGGTGGCTCCCAGGGGTTTACCGAGACCTCGCAGCTTGTTGCCGTCACTGGTGATGGTGAAGTAGAGGCCCTTGGACGTCTGTCTGTATTGCTCTGCGAGGAGAGAAGAAGGGTTGTTGGAGTTGTTGAGGGAGGGATCTAGTTGCTGGATGGCCGTGTTGAGACGGAATAGCTGGGTAACAGCTATGCCTATGGAGGCGAAGGCGAGAGAAGTTCGCAACCACGAGAGAAATGTGCGTTCTAGTTATCGTTAGTATTATTCTTTTAATATAAGAAGAGCAAAGAAAGGACATACCGAGGGCGAGATGGTCTCTGGCAACGCTGCCTTTATTCTCCAGCTCCAAGCTGCCGTACTTGTCGAGCATGCGCCGGTAGAGCGTGCGCGGCTGCTCCTGGCGTATGCTTCCCTTCCGCTGAGACGAGTATGAGCTCCCTCGCTGCTGTCGTTGTATAGCACCGTTGGCGACGTTATTGCTGTTATTGCCATTGGTATTGGCATTGGTATTGGTATTGGCATTGCCATCGGAGGCCGCCACAGCGCCAGGCGCACGCTGTCCCTCGCTATCCATGGGACTGTGGTCTCGGTCGCGGACTATCGACTGATGGGTTCTTATCCTGCTGAACTGCGGCCTGGAAGCAGTGTGTGTAGACTCCATGGAATCCCTCGAGGCCGTCGACGAAGCTGAGTCGGAATGCGAGTCTGCAGCAGACGGAGACGAGAATGAACCATAATTGGGCCTTGACCCGGACCTCGTCGTCGTCGCCGAGTTAGCCATCGTCACCGTCGCCGTATCTCGGGCTAGGCCCCGACTCTGCTTCCGCTTTGTGTTGGTTTTGTGGTTCTTGGGAGTGCGCTGGACTGGCTGGTTGGTTCTCGTGCCGGACAGAACCGTTAACCACTAATTGGCGGAGCTGCGGGATAAACGGTGAGCCTCTTTGTCTATAAACCCAGGACGACAAACACTGTACGGAGTAGTGAGTACTCTGCTGTTCTGTGGTGAGGAAGAAGTACTCTGTACGGAGCGGGTGCTGCGTATAACTATCCCACGACCAAGCCCAGGGTTCGTCCAGGGATGCAGCGACCAAAAACTCCGGCCACGGCTTGGCCGTTGATCATCATCAGATCACTGCGCCTGCTCTCATGCCTCTCGTCGTGCCTCGTACCTACATATGGGTTCTACTCTGTACGGGGTATGCGAGTGAGGTTATCGACCTCCCTCTGCTCTGTATGTCACATCGTCTGCCAACATTGTCTGCCAACACGGCATGCCAGCATCGTCTTCTCTTCTCAACGCCATGAATTCTAGATGAACTCCGTCGTCATGGACGGGCCCACCGAGCAGAGTTTTCGCGTTCGGATCGCCTTCTCGCAGCTGTGTTAGTGAGTTTATGGATATAAGTCGCTTGACTAGTGGCGTCGGCTCTGTGTCTCTTATTGGGCATGCGGCGCCCCCATGACGACTGGACGAGTAGCAGCGAAAGACAGTTCGAAGGACGGGTCTAGGTGTGACGAGAAGGCCCGCCCCAGGCGTGGACGAGGTCGAGGATGGCGGCCGCTGGGATGGCTTGAGGGATGGCTTGAGGGATGGCTTCAGGGATGGGCTTGGGTGACTGGATCAGGCGCGCCGTGGGACGAGGAACAAGGGGGACGAGATCGTACAGACGTCGTGCATCCTCGCCTGTGATAGGTTTCCTGGGGAGGCCAGAATTTTGGCTGAGTTTTGATACTCGGCCTTTTGCGTCCATTGACGGCGGCTCTCTCGGTTCTCTCTTTTTCTTCCTCTTTCTTCGTTCTATACTTGGCCAGGATCAGGCGACTGGAGAGTCAAGAGCTGACGAGAGATGATAGCAGGGATGAGCCACCGAGTCTGCCTCATGTGAGCATCAGCCTGTCTGTACGTGTTAGGCGACAGCTATACGGGGTGTACTTTGCTAATCTACGATACTTAGAGGATAAGACACCGTCAGTTGCCGTGTCTTACAAGGCTGTCCTCGATGACGTTGATTTATTGAGTAGCCTCTCACCATTACCATAGTGGGAGTAGACTTACTACTATTCATGGACGTGAATGAACATGTACAGAGTAGAGCAACTATTCAGGCGGTGCCGTTACCTTACGAACGTCGGTATGGAGTATACTGTCGTTTATACTAAAGTGATGGATATATATGACGAGGCGAATTATATCTACTTGATGGCGCAAACTTATGCATCAATATGACTGGGTTGCTTTTGATACGCATCAATTGATTGGATCAATTGACAAGGCCGCTTCTAGAATCGAGTACGCGAAAGTATAGTTGCAAGAACGTCTCTTGTTGCTATACTTGCGGCTACCACCAAAAGTCTCGTCAGAGGAGAGTTTCTAGGTCTAACGGTTCACATCTCCTGTCGAGTATAGATCATGCAGCTACTCCAGAGACTGTTCTCATCCCAAACTAACACAACAGAATGTGCAATCCTATTAAAACCATAATTCATGGCTATTCCCCCTTGAAGGTACGTCCGACATTACGACGGATTCGGGCTTGTCCTCGTCCGTGGTCTACTCTTTTCTTCCTTATATGGCCATTCCCGTTGCGTTATTCTGTACCGCACCCACTTCTATCCGTGGAAGCACTGGTCGATGCATTCAATTGGAGACTAGAACATGGACTTCGCCGAGATAATACAATCGACAAATCCGAACAACGGAGCTCCAACTTCACGAGGGAAGAGGCCCCTTCCTGGACGTCGGGGGTCGATGCTGTCGCGAAGCTTCTGGCTTTTCATGAGCCTGGCTCCAATTTAGCTGACATCACGATGGAACAGCATTTCCTGAAGAGAAATATCAAAGTGCCGAATGGGTACTTCTACACAGTGTAGCCATGAAGGTTTAGGCCACGAGCAGCGGGTAGTTCAAATATTCCGTGTTTTATCAAGTTAACACCCGCCTTATGGTCAGAACAAGTCTATATAATCTATACAATTGACATGAGGGAGACCATTGACCGAACCACAACCAGGTAGAATGGAACCTCCATCCATTCCTTGTCAGGGATCTCCGTATAAAGCCTTTTAACTGGTTTATTAATTAATCATCTTGATATCTAAGTGCTTTCTACTTCTTCCACAGGCTTCCTCGATGATTACGTCATTGTCACGGGTTATCAACTTCACGACGACGAGCGAAAGACGAAAAGACGATAGACGAAGAACAAACGAGGAACAACCAAGCACTCCAAGCATCATGGCGTCTTCTGTCCAGGAACAGCCGCCTCGCGCTCCGATCCCCAAGATCGACTTATCCAAGAAACTAGCCCGCACCAGTGGAGGTCCTCGACGCCAGCCAGCCGCCAGCGACGCGGCGCCACAAACCCCATCTCTGCCCCCTCGCCCTGCTATCACAGATCTCCAGTTCACGCGCCCTGTTCCGCGTATTCTCTCCGTCCAGGACCATCAGTCCTTCCTCTCGTCCCCGTCGCACACCTTGGTCACGGCGTTTGTGTTCAAGCTATCAGACAGCGTGCGCCAGAAGTCTATCCCGGACGTCCTCGAGCACCCCTCAGCTTCATCGCCACCATCGCCCATCATATCCAAGATTCTCCAGGTACTATCATCAATAGATTCGCTGCTCGATGTCCACCCGTCCCTCGATCAGGGCGGATCACGCTTCGGCAACCCTGCCTTCCGCTCCCTTTTTGATGATGTCGAATCTCACAGCCTGCCATGGCACAGAGACCTGCTGGGCATCACCGACGAGGCCACCATAGCTGAAATATCCACCTACCTGGTTCACTCTCTGGGCTCGCGTTCACGTCTCGACTACGGATCCGGTCACGAGCTGAATTTCATGATGTGGTTGCTGTGTCTGTACCAGTTACGCATCCTCGAGGAGCACGATTTCCCTTTCCTCGTCTGCCGCGTCTTCACTCGCTACATCGAGCTTATGCGCCGTATACAGTTAACATACTACCTGGAGCCGGCCGGGTCACATGGTGTTTGGGGTCTGGACGACTACCAGTTCCTACCGTTCCTCTTCGGCGCATCACAGTTAACAGGCCACCACTATATAACACCCCTCTCCATACACAATAACGTCGTCCTGGACGAAGAGCGCGAAAATTGGATATACCTTGACCAGGTCAAGTGGGTGGATAGTGTAAAGACCGTCAAGGGCCTTCGGTGGCATAGTCCCATGCTAGACGACATCTCCGGCGCCAAGAACTGGTATAAAGTAGAGGCCGGGATGAAGAAGATGTTCATTAAGGAGGTGTTGGGTAAGTTGCCGATCATGCAACATTTTTTGTTTGGAAGCCTGATTCCTGCGACACCGGAGATGGGAGTGCGGACGCCTCAGGAGGGCGTGCATGATCATGACCACGGCCATGGCCACGACCACTCTCATGCGTCTTCTAACGGAGTAGACTTCTGGGGCGACTGCTGCGGTATCAAGGTGCCTAGTGCTGTTGCCGCCGGAGAAGAGATGCGGAAGAGACAGGGAGGCTCTAATCTACGGCCAATCCCATTTGATTAATGCGTTACGAGCATAGCTAGCTCCGTCGTGATGTTACCGGCCAGTTAGCCAGCTAGTATATATGAAGATAACACTTAATTGAACTAACCGACCCGGCGAGTAGACCCATTCTTTTCTTCCATTGCTCAGCCTCCCCAGGACGACATGCCGGCTCCTGCGTGATTGCCTAAAATTAGTTCCGCGCGTAATTCCTCAGATGGCCACTTTTTTCGGCCTGGTGGTATGAGATAGCCACTTTGCAAATCACAGCCTGATAGAGGAGGTTCCCCCGTTCTTGAGTTATACACTCAGTTTTATATTGTAAATCCAAAGCCAATAATAAAACTCTAACAGGCGTATATATCTCATTGGCCATCTCCCTAGGCACTACCCCCCTAAGCCTTCCCCCTAAGGCCTCCCTACCCTCCCTAAGGCCTACCCTCTAAGCATACACTCCCCAACCCCCTAAGCCCTTACCCTACCCCAAATATCCATTCCTGAAGCCCTTACCCCCCAAGCCCTAACCAGCCCCTAAGGCTGGCATTAGTGGTGGTGGTAGTAGTAATAGTATTAAGCCTGGGGAGATGGCCAATAAGATATACGCTTATTAGGATATTTATTATTACTCTGGGATTTACAATATAAAACTGAGTGTATAACTCAATGATGGGGGAACCTCCTCCATCAGGTTAGTAGTTGAAAAGTGGCCATCCGAGGAATTACGCGGATCAGGATATCATTGACTGAATATCCCAAACCGCCGACATCCATGTCTAGCTGGGTTCGGAGATTATCAAAATAAAACTCGGCTGCTATTCCCGAGATATCCCATTTACGGGGCGCAGTGAGATCCATCCATTTCTGCCAATAGCCCGTCCTGCAAGCGGGCCTCATGATCTGCGCATACTCCCAGTAATCAGGGTACCAGCCGGCATACTCCCAGTCGAGGATGCCGGTAATGCGATAATGATCATCAACCATGATGTTGCGTGGGGCAATGTCAGCGTGTGTAAAAACCGTACGGGATGATTGAGGGAGCATGTCCGGTAGCTCATTTTCATATCGCCGACCAACAAAATGAAGGTAGCGGGTGTATATTCGGGTTCTGACGTCTTCGTCTGTGTATAAAGGGGTTCCACAGCGGTCCAAGTCTTCGATTAGAGGGTCGAGAGTTGGCGAGCCGTCGGCAAGACACTGGAAGAACTGTTTTAAGGCAGGTGGTTGTGGGATTTCTCGGAGTTTGGCGATTTGATCCCATGTCTCATGGCATATGGACTTTTTTGTTTCGCTGTCCAACTTATCCCATTGGCTTTCTAGTGTAGTGCCTGGAATAATTGTCATCCCGATCTCGCCGCTGCGATCACTCATGAGGGTGTAAATAACTTCAGGAAGAGGGACGGAGGTGCACTTTGCTACCAGCTTCATAGCTTCAACCTCAAAGCCCTTTACAGCCGCTCCACCCTTGGAAACACAAGAATAATCTCGCTCAAGAACCAACCGACCGCCTTGCTTGCTTAGAACAGTAATCACATCCCCGTCTAATGGTGGTCCGTTCTTCGGATCAGGCGTAATTCTGAAGAGCGTTTTATCCAGCTTGAGATAAGTCTCGCCCACACGGAGATTTCCATATGTATATGGAACGCCATCCTCAAGGTTGTGTGTGCTTTCTGATTTGGACACTATTAGGGCCGGGGTTGAGGCGTTGGACGACATGGTTTCGGGTACTCGGGCTTGGTTTTCGCAGATGCAGAAAGAGAATTATCCTTCGTCGCATGCTTTAAAACATTTGACACCCATCTTGAACAACCGGCGCTCATATATCTTCTGTCGAAGTTCCTGAGAAGTGACGTAATATTCGCTTACATAATACTCAACGTCCGATACGTCGAACTTCCTGCAGAAGAGCATCCTCCCTTCACCACGCACGCGACCAGCGCATGACGCCGGGGAAACGAAGAGAAATGCAGCCCAATCGATAGCTGAGCCAGCGCGACCAGCGAACCGAGCCAGTCGATTATAGAGTTGTTACCCCTCCTTCACGCAAGCCATGGCACCGTCAGAGTATGCCGTTAGCGGAGGAGGGCGATTAAAGATCAAAGGATCCAAGGTCCAAGACGGCCGCGTGGATAAGAAGAAGAAAAAGAAGAAGAAAGAGAAAGAGAAGGAGGGAGGAGATGCGACTGTGAGGACGGAGGAAGAGGATACGAGAGAGAGTGCTGGTGAAGCGGCGAGCTTGAAGGAGAAGGACGACCAGGACAGGAGAGTTGGCGAGCTGGTTTCGGATGATGGGAAGACTGCGGCTGAGAGACGGTATGCCGAGGCGAAGAGGAAGAGGGTACGTATAACGTCAACTACTACTCCGACTCCCTACTACCTGGAGCAAGGCTGGCTTACACTTCTCAAGCTAAACGAACGACTAAAGCGCGAGGGCGTCAAGACACATAAAGAGCGTGTGGAGGAGCTAAACAAGTACCTCAGTAACCTGAGTGAACATCACGACATGTAAGTTTACCCATCACTCTCATTCCTGCAGCATAGACAGAGGGCTGACACGCTATTCCCTCATAGGCCGAGAATCGGACCTGGATAACACGATCGTGGCTGGAAAGTTGCTGGTTCGATTACGATATTTCGAGCATCTGGTGGATTCTATGGATCGTTCAAGTCCGGTGACCCGGTCCCAACTCGGTACAGCCATCACGATATACTAAGATTACAGGATTTGGTGCTTTGGAGTTCCCTGTTTCATGCCATGGGGAGATTACTTTGATAGTCACATATCTTTCCATACCGCGAACGAAATAGTCTATAATATATTATATTCTTTGGTAACTAAATACCCTTATCTCGCAAGAGAGAACAGTCTTTCAAAAGGAAAACATCAAGACAAAAAAAGGGCTAAATAGAAATTTGATGAACCAAGCCAAACACCATGCAAAATAGCTGGAGGAATTAAAAAAAAATAACAAACCCGGCTTAAAAGGCCGGCACACTGCGGGGCTTGAAAAGCAGCAAGCAGCGGAATCCAAACAGAGAGGGAAGAGAGTCAAAAGAAAAATCCAAAATGTAATATCCAAATACCAACCCGCCAAAGCCAGATCCCCAGTAAGGAAAAGGAAATGGAAAACCCCGTATCAAAGCTCGCCGGCCGTCCAGCAGATAACTCATCGATAGCTCATTGTAATAGTGCACTCACACACCCTTAACCACCGTTGTCCGCTCGGAGTTCAGCCGCTCGGCATTACGGGCGTGTGATTCCTTCTTGCAATCCTCGAGGCCGCTGCAGCTATGTGATTCGAGCATGCGGTGCTTGCTGCAGAACTGGCCCTTGCAGAAGCCGCAATCGCCGACGATGCGTTGGGCGAGTTCCTTGCAGGCCTTGAACTGGCAGCGTGGCTTTCTGGATGGGGCCATTTTGTGTTGAGGGTAGGTCGGGAGTGTTCGTAGAAAGTAACGAGGGAGATCCGGCCTTTAAGAGGTAAAAGAGTGAATTGCCGTCAAGACTGTTAACTTGAAGTCAAAAGGGTTAAAGACTATATAAGGAGACGTTAGCTTTGCCGGAACAGGACGATACTTTTCAGTATCAAACTTCTGAGTCAGGATTGCCGCTCCGAGATTCGGACGACAAACGACATTCAGGGCGGTTTGCTTCATACCAGATCAGTACTCCGTAGGCAGCTTGTACCGTAGACAGCTTGTACGAATGGCGTGAGTCAGCTGGAGCTGTCGGCGCAAGACGGTGTATAGTGATAGTGGTGATGGTGGTGGTACGGCGAGGTAGAGCCGGCGGAGACAGGGACGGCGAGGAGAAGACGACGTGGTTGGGCGATATGTATGGTATATATCAGGGAGAAAGAGAAAGACGGGCGATGGAGGCCTTTTAAAGGAGTGAGAATCAGCAGCGATGCCCGGCGGCTGGGGGGGCGAGGCTAAGGCGATCCAAGCGACCACATGAGATGCGTTGGGTTGCTTGGTTCTGGTGGAGCTTTTCACATCAGTTACTTAGTTACGGAGTACGGAGAAGCTACTAGTTTGTAGCATGCTTGTCTGCTTATACAGAAAGCTAGGGGGTGAGGGCGTAGGGGGCAGATGAAGTTTCGAGATGCTGCGTTGTCACCCTTTAGCTGGCTTCATCCCCCTTGCCCGGCCCAGGACAGCGGCAGCCCCCACGGCATGGTCTCCAGTCGGCCTGTCGCCCAATCGCCGGTTCTTGCTTGGCCCTGAGCGCTAAGTAGTCCATCAGTCGTCAGTCGTCAGTCGTCAGTCGTCAGTCGTAAGGCGTCAGGCGTCAGGCTTCAGGCTTCAGGCGTATGAGGCGCGAGTCTCTACTACACAGTGAGAAGAGTGAAGAGTAAGACTGAAGAGAGGAGATATCCCTGTGTAGGACGGCACATGCCCGAGATCCGCGGCCATGGTTGCATCTCCAGGATCCTAATATTGCCCCTTATCCCCATCCTATATCTCTCTGCAGATTCCGTGATATAGAAAAAAAGATAAGGCCGAAAAAGGGAAAAAGGGGGCGTATCACGATGTATTAGATTACGCCACCAGGTCACGTTGCACCGCCAAAAGTCCGCGGGTATCGGTGTGTATCGTTGTATTTGTCTGTATTGCCGCCGCCCCCCGTGACCTGCGACCTCACCGCCACCCTAAACGGGAAACCAACGATCTCTTCTTCGTCTTCTTCTTTTCTTCTTCTTCTCTTTATTAACCAGCCGAGGGGAAAACCCTGCAGCGGATAATCACACAAAGAGCGGTCGACGGTGCTACCGGGATACGAGCTTTTTCCGGTGGTTGTGGTTGCGCAGGTAAGCCCCGAGACTATTAATAAGTCGCTGTGGCGAGGGATATCTCCGTGTGGCATGGCATCATCATAGCATCATAATATCATGGCATCATAGGGCTAACGATAAGTAGGGGATACCTGGTACATACGTACACCGGACGCTAGGATGTCCTGCGCTAGGATGTCCTACACTTGAGGATATCACCCCTACAGCCCCCGTCAGGCTATGTATCTGCTCGCTACCTATGCTCGCTTCTAAAGTACCCCCAGGCTGCCGATTAGACTATGCTGCAGCTTCCGCTCCGCAAGAAGGGGACCAGAAGGACTGCTAGGTTGCGCCAGTCCCTCTTCGCCAGCCGAAGAGCATCGGAGGCAGACTCGATGAGCACGGCGTCCTCGGAGGGCACTGATGCAACAGACGCAACAGACACAACGGACGACGAGCACGATGTGCCCGTTTTAAGTCCTTCTCAACCTGTGATAACTCACCCTCTCCAGCGCTTGCTCCCTTGTGCTATGCCCTTGACTTTTTTTAAAAAAGAGATCCAAGTAGGTTTAACCGTAAATAGGAACACCGTAATGGCTCTACATCACCACGCAGCAAGGAGGAACCTCCAGGTTCCCCGCGATTGCGAGCCGACAATGTCAGGGACCGTCTCTTCTCTCGCGCCCCGTTGTCTGGGCCGGAATGCGAGGCTAGAGAGGCCCTGGAAGGCACCACGTCTGCATCCAGCTCCGGTAAATGTTCGAACGAAGGATGCACGGTACACCCTCAGAACTCCCCGTTGTCCGGAGAAGAGCTAAGAAACATATTCTCTGGCTCTCCGCATTTCTTGCTCGAAAAGGGCACACGTTCGCATTGGTTCCCGCATGTCGTCTTCCCCTGGGACGAGAGTACTCGGATTCAGAACCTCCAGGACCGGAAACCGTTGCACCATGCCTCGTTTACGCTCTCTACGCTCCATGCGCATCTACCTGCGTTTCTTGAGCGGAGGAAAACTTCTACCGAGCCCCAGGATATGGCAGAACTAGAGGGGTCCAAGCAGCCGGCTTTTGATATTGGTGTCTTTGAGGTACCCAACATGCTCTCCTCCCGGGCAATGGAGAGAGGATGCGTTGGTTTCCGCCATTACATGGAACTTCCTATCGCGCCTAAGCTGAAGCCCAACTTTGATAAGCCCCCGGACATGGTCTCGCCGGATTTTCAGTACACCTCCCGGAGAGGTAGTGACGAGCCGTACGTCTGCTGTCGACCTGGTATCCGGTTCAACCGTGCACAGCTGATCAAGGGAGGGCCACCAACGTGGAAGCGTCTCGGGGTTCGTGGTTGCTCGACAAAACAGGTCGCTCAACGGCTGGAAACACTCTGCGATTTGCGTGACCAGATGGTTTTCCAGGCTAGCCCAATTAACTTATTTGATACGGAGTCTATAACTGAGCTCCATCAGCGTTTATTTTCTACTTTCCTCTACCCACCTCCGAGAGAAGTGCAGGGCGATGCCTTCAAGCATACTAGCCTAAAGACTCAGATTGATATACTTGTCAAAGTCCTCGCTGTCCAGGGTGCATGGGTTGATTTCACCCTTATTGAGTGGAGGATTCGCGCCGGCCAGCTTCTCTGGGAATGCCCGCCACACCACGACGGGATCATCAAGGACCAGTACCCAGATGGCACAGACGTCAGTATCGATGCAGAAAGGCAGTGGCTCTTGATTCAGCTGCTGCTGGCTGCTGAATTGGTCCTGCGACTTGACGCCGCCGTCAAGGTTGGCATTATAGGCCGCTCAAAGGGCCTCAGCGTTACCCAGCGGGACATGTACCATATCAACGATATGAGGAATGATCAGGTTGACTGGGCAATCATCTGCTGCCGGAGAGCGTTTGAAAGCATGACCATCAAATATGCTCCCACAGGTGGGAAGTCACCTACTATTGTCGTCGAACCCCAGGAGACGTCCATTTCGCGAATTCGGCAGATGTTAAAACGGGGTAAGATCAAGGAAAAGCAGTTGCAGCAGCAGCAGCAGCTGAGTGAGGCTCGAATAGAGTGGGATTGCATCACTAGGCCCCGATTTCTCAAGAAGCAGCTGGACGGTCTCTTTGTGTTCATGGATATAATACAGTGGCCAGATGCGGACGGTATGAAGCTTCAATTAGAACGGAAATTCAATGCTGTGGTTTCCGATCCTGCTGCTATGGTCCGGACGCTCTCTACACCGCTCCTCACCGGCACGATGAAACCCGACGATAGACCTCTCCAGAGGCTATCCGACTATGAAAATTCAATCACCTCCCATCTCGTTCTGCTGGTGCCTCCCACTCAAGAAAGTTCCGTTACCTCCTCGACGACATGTTTTGGCGGATGGATATCTCGCTCGTGGCTCACAGGGTTTGTGCTACCTGGAGAAGCTGTGAATGACCTGCTCATTGGGACCTTGTTAGAAAACGACCCTCATGCGCTAGATGCTCTTGGCCCAGTTGCCAACCTATACGGCGGATTTATATATAAAGGTCGGAGCTGGTGGAGTAAGATGTGCGTCGTATCCCGAATTGTCTCCTGTCTAGAAGGGTCCACTACGTGCATGGGATGGGTTTCGAGTCTGGTCGTACCTCAGGACGAACACGGCAGGGATCATACGGACCAATGGGTTGAAGTCGAGTTGAAGGATGACCTGCGCGACTTGACGGTGCCACGAATTTACAAAACGACGCAGGTCTTGCTTGACTCGTCGCCACTTGGGCCAGGCGGAGAACTTACTCCCGAGCAGTTCTCCCTGCCAATGGACGATGCTGACCTGTATAACCTCCGCCAGACAAGCGTGATGTTTAACAACATAACGCTTGCTAAGGTCAAACGAGACGATCCAAGTAAATATCTCCCTCTAAAGGCGCTGGCGTACGCCTTTTTCACCATCAAGGAAACACCCAAATCAAAACCACGCAAGGTCCTCTTCCCGTTAAGCAAGAACTCACTTTTCGTCTCCTCATTCCCGTGTCTTCCTCCTCGGGGTTGGGCTGCTCACTTCGCAAGTCACGACCATGGCTCAGAATCCTCATCATCTCCTCCCCACCCAGAGTATCACAGGCACTTCCAGCCCCCTACCCCAGACGACGAAGACACGTATGACTGGAGCTCGGGACCCGACTCGCCAGGCACAGGCCCCTTCAATGCTGCTCCAGGTCATAAAGTCAACAGCTTCCGCCTTCCAGGCCACCCGCTCCACACCTATTTTTACCCATACACGTACATCCCCATCCCCTCGCTTCCAAACGTGACGGTCTTCCCGCCAAAAGCCCCCGAGACCGCCGATCCGTCCCCGCCAGAGAACCAAAACACCCCTCACTCAGGCAGTGCGGAGAGGAGGCGGCGGCGACGACGACGTCAGGCCGTCACGTACATCATCGACGCCAGGGGGAGCAAGCACAAAGAAGCGTTTGCAAGGGCGTGGTGTACGGCCGTTTGCACAGATGCAGTGGTCGCAAGGGTGGGGCGCACTTGTCTGGCATGTAGTATTCGGGAGGCTAGGGCGATTGATGTAAATGTGGTCATTCGTGTTGGCACCATGGCCAGTGGGATTAACTAGACTAGATCACCACGGAGGCGTGCATACATATGTAGGATTACTGTACATGTAGGTGGTATGTAAAAAATGGAAGATAGTTGGATAGACGGTGATCAACAAGGTTATTTACTTATTATTTTTTTTTATATAGACACCACTCTAGCTCGGTGTGATCAGTTGGCTGCATCCATTCTGACCTTGTTCGGTTTGATACGTCATATGTAGGACTTTTCTGCAGACCTTGATCAGGCTGAGGATATGATTTGCAGTAGAGAACAGTCGGTAATCAAGATATCCTCCTAGCCCCTCGCTCCTTTTATAAGACACCTATATAGGTCTGAGAGAGACATATATCCTAAAAAAGCGCATTATCACAAATGCTTGTGGAGGAAGGCGACGACGGTTTTGTATCCGTTCTCGTACTCCTTCTTGACCTCGGGGTTCTTCAAGTCACCTCGAGCAGACATCCATCCGTGAATCTGGGTCGGGTATGTTTCGACCAGATTCTCGACCTTGAGGTTGTTCTTGTATGTCTCTACCTCAGTAGCATCTTCGTCCTTGGAAGCCAAAATGGCCATGGGGATTGTCACATCCGACCCTTCCTTTGGATCAAGCATTGCCGGGTGGACCTGAACGGCAGCTTTGAAGAGAGAGTCCTTGCCAGAGAGGAGAGAGGCGATTTTCCCACCCCAGCAGTATCCGACAATCCCCCATGACTTGAAGCCTGAACCGCCAGGGCCGTAGGTCTTGTTTATCTCCTCGACCGTCCCGGGGATGCGTGGGAGAGTGTTTGGTGGCGGAGCTCTGTTCTGGAAGAAGGCACCGAACTTTTCTTTCTTGTCGTCGGTGTCTGGGGGGTACCAGGAGATGTCTGCGGGACTGCCATCGAAGAAATCGGGCATGAACACCCGGTATTTGCGCTCCGGGTCAGCGGACGACATGATGTCTGCTCCCTGGAGGGTCTGGTCAAAAAACCCAAAGATGTCTGTACCCATTGGAGTCAAAAAGTGTCATCCTTTTGTATTTTTCTGGAGCTGGACTCACCGTATACAACGAGGATGGCCTCCGTGGCGGTCTCTGGGCCGGTGACATCTACAATCAGCAGTCAGCTCAGTGTACCAGACAAGCTATCTCAGTGAATCGACCGACTTACAGGTCTTCATCCCGTTGACCGTGACATATTTGCCCTTGGGTTCGTACGCAGTGTCGACCACTGGAGGCAGTCTACCTCGAGGTTAACCCCCACATCCAAGCTCGCCGGCTCAATTGAAAGGTGTACTTACGTGCAACACGCCTTGCTATAGGTGGACATGCTGATTAGCTGAAGACTAACGCCGTGAGAGCAACGAGAAGAGGGTTGAAGAGGTGTATGTGTGTTCGCTGTCCGTCGTGGGCGGTCGAAGATGAAGTATATAGGGGGGACGTCGCGGGCGGAGGTGGGGTACCAAGGTAAACACGGCCCTCTTCCGTCATAGATCGGCCCTCCAACCACAACTCGGTGTTTACATCTTATATCGCTCTAGGGGGGGCTCACGCCTCCTCCGCTACGCAGCCAGAGACGCACTATCGGTGTCGATGCAGAGAACTAAGTCAGATACGAGCAGCGAGATGCAGAGGCAGCGGTCGATGCCGGAAACAGGCCCGCTTCACGCCTTTGTATGGAACCATTCGTGTAGGGGTATATCATTAAGCATACTCATACTAGCCAGAAAATAGAAGCTAACAGGCGGCCAGGGAGAACTTGAGCTCGTATTGCATGGAGACCTCACTGCAAGCCTGGCTATACCGTGTCAGTCTCGGTGCGAGAGTCCACGGGATGGAAATGTGATGAGAAAAAAAGGAAACAAGATGCTCCATACGGCCTCGCAGAAACAGTCAATGGAGGGAATAATGCAGGATTAGAGAGCAATATGAAGGCCTAGAAACAGGAAAAAAGAAAAAGAAAAGAAAAAAAGGAAAATGCCCCCGAGTAAAGGTATTTGATAGCCTTCCCTCCAACCAACTGCTTTAAAATGGGGAATAGTTAAATGAAATTTACTAAAAAAACATCAAAAAAGCCCATTGTGAATCAAATGATAACCCTCCCTTCCATTTTAATGAGAAACCCCATGTGACTCTCAGAGCCTACATTCAATGTAACCAGTTCGTAGTCATATAAACGAAAATGGAATAGAAACGGCGAGATTAATGAAAAAAGTAAGAAAAGAAAAAAGGCCCCGGGATGAATGGAGAGCGGCGATCGGGGAGATAAGAGGCAATGGTCAAGCTCATCACCAAAAGAATGTAGCATGAAGAAGTTTATCGAGGAAATGCACAAATAGGGCAAATGAGACCAATTCTGGATGTAAATGGGGCCAATTTCATGCAGTAATTAACCGAGATTTGTTTTTCAGGATAGCGGAATGAGAAAGGAAAGGTCAAGAGGGTAGGCGGAAGTACAATCAAAGTAAGATTATGGAGGTCGATTAGTCCTCCCAAGGTAAGGAAACGGAAGATAGAAAGAAAGGAAGAAAATGATGCCCGTTTTATGTTCATGTACGCCCGCTAATGAATAAATGCCACACAAGGTGAGCAATGAATAAGGTTCCCGGCTGAGATGCCGTTTCAAGCACGAAATGAAAAGAAAAAAGGTATCGTGGAAGTAGCGAGAGAAGAGAAGAGTATCCACGGCCGGTCGTAGAGTAGTGATTTTGGCCAAGTTTCTAGAGATAGAGCGACACTGTAGTTTGTGGATGGTAAATTGTACGTCGTTCGTCTAAGGCCGTGTAAGTAGATTTGAGCTGTATGTCAACCCGGAGGGCGATGCATCAGGTTTTGATGGTCGGGTATGAAGGCCTGCTGGTGTGCCTGCAGTGAATCTGGCGAGTACCACTCCGAGAGCGACATCGGGTCTGCTGCAGAGCCAACAATAACCTGACCCGGGTGCCGTATAGCTTCTGGTATGACTCCGGGCATGTTGTATGTTGTGAATGGTATCTGGCTTTCGTCAAAGGACACTGGAATGGGTGTAGATGAGAGCTGAGGTATGGCATGGGCATGGCCCATGGTGGTAGAGTATGTTTCGGCGGGAGTAGTCATTCGACGTTTAAATTCAGGGCTGATCTGCTGTGAGGGATGGAACTGGCTTGGATATGGTTGCGGAATAGGTGATGGCACGCCCGATCTCGCGGACAAGCTCATAGATCTCGATATCTGGCCTCCCCATGCTGTGGTATCGTGAGGGCCGCCAAATCCAGCAGCGGAGGACATGTTGACCGGGAGGATTCCTGTGGGATCTTGCGTAACCGCCATTGCGCCCGTGGATGGATGAACTGTTCCTGGTTGCACCATCCCTGGGGGAGGTCTCAGAACCATTCCGGGAACCTGGTTTTCATAAATGGGTTCGTTCCATGACGGAACAGGCTGGCTTGGATTTGGCACCGCACCCAGCTCAGGCACCGCCATAGGATCTAAAAGAGAAAGCCGTTTTAGTTATGACATCTTTCCTTCACGCGCCGCCCCTAGATAAAATCAGACGGCGCAGTTCTCCGAATGTGGCAGAACAAACCTGGTGTGTATGCTGCCACGGGCGTGCCGGGGTATGCGCCAGAGTTGTAGGCTGATATATCTTGACCTGGAGCTATTGGCATATTCTGGTACTGGAAATAGGATTCCTTCTGCTCCATCATGCCTCCGCTGCTCAGCAGAGGAGGTGTAGTAGTCAACGAGACATCAGATCCTGCGGTCTCGGGTTTCGATATGGGACGCCCTCTCTTGTCTACCGCCGGCTGTTGATCCACCGGGTAAAAATGACATTCTTTCTTCAGCCGGATACAGTTCTCGCAGCGCCCCTGAGAGTCGTCCGGTGCGAGTAGGCATCGTATTTTTCTCCTTCTACAGTGTACTATGGAGAGAGACGAGAGGTTAATTCATAGCTCAAATGGCTGGAGGAGGAACGCTTCGTCAACATGCTCGCCAGGGCCACCGGGGAAGTTCAAGGTTGAATGGTTTGAATGGTTGCTGCTGCTACTGTTGCGCGCGCAAATGTGTGGAGATGGAATGTACATGGCGACTTGGTCTGGTAGGCTAAATAAGGGGGTAGATGAGAAAACTTGTAGAACGCTTACCACACGCAACAGAAGTTCTATGGTAGCCCAGTTTATTCCGTTTTTTATCTGCGGCCGATCCCGTCGAGCTTTCCATGGCCAAGGCCGTTTAATTTTCCTTGAGTTACGGGTCGATATGTGACCTCGCGCATCGCTTCCACACAGACGGGCAGTGAACTGGAAACCGTTATCGAGGGCGAACGAAGGATAGTGATTCTGTGCCCAGTGGCACGGCGGAAACGCTTCTTGTTTGCGCTGGCGATATATGATATAGTGAGGAGAGGCGAGTAAAGGGACGATCGGCAGTAATACCCATGCGACAAGGAGTTCCAGTTGTCACGGTCTCATGTCATCCCCGACAGAGTTCAACACTAAATAGATGGTTGATATTTCCAAGCTGGTAGGTGACCCGCCACAGAGAGAGGGAGAGAGGGAGAGAGAGGTTCCTAGAGGGTGACCATGGGAGGGTAGAGGAGGGAAATATATTTGCCCAAACAAACAAAAGAATAAAAAGTCAGGCGTCTTTCCCCGCAAGTGGTGTGGTACCAAGGGAGGGGATACTATATATATTCTGAAAGGGATCGTAAAATATATATATACTTCAGGATATAACCGCCACTGTGGATGGGGGTAATGAAAACAGGTCCAGGAACAACCCAAACGAGGAATGGTGCAATACGAAGTCAATTCAGAACAAAAGAAAGAGGAAAGATATTACGGAGTAAAGGTAATCGAGATGGAAGCGACTGAGGGGGCGCTTTGCTAAAAACCAAGCGAAGGGAGAGGACTGATAAACACACTCCCCCCGGCCCGCAATTAGGACACGAAATGAACCAGGCTAAATCGTGGGGTGAAACGTCCCAAGACTTTTTCCTTTTTTTTCCCTCTCTATATGCATCAAGCACTGGGAAGGAGAAATATAGGGAAAAAGCAAATTTATTTTGATTTGAATGGCGATGGAGACAGCTACTGGCTGGTCAATGGGTAAGCTTGTTAGATAGGACGAAGCAACAAGATTAGGCTACTGCTACTACCATGGGTAGAAAAGAGAGTTAGGTACTCTCTCCACAGTAGCCAAAGGGGGGGGAGAGGAGGTTGGTTGGTTAAACCAAGTGTAAATTTCTTTTGAAAAAAAGAAGAGAGAGAAAGAGCCAAAGTGGAAAAGGGCAGGTAGCGCCACGAAAAAGAGCTAAAATGTATGAGGAAATAAATGTTATTGGTGCTGGTATTATGGAGAAGTCGATCAAACGAATAGGTGTTGTCCAAGGGTTGCCTCAGGGGGGGTTCTAGCCATCTGGCTGACGGGGCTGATCAGCATCAAATATAGGCACTTAGGTAATGCCCTGCTGTCGTCAACCATTCAAAGTATCAAGTGGAGATTTGGGGTCTAAAAAGGTCCCAGGAGTCCCAACGTGTTTTTCCCTCTATGTGAGAGTGAAGGGTACTGTACTCTCCGTACGTCGTTATACTCTTCACAAGCCTCCTTGGCAGTCCAAAATTAATATACTTTCATTTTCGAGAGCCAGAGCTAAAAAAAGACAAGATCCAAAAAGTTACCCGCAGCCAGTCAGCAGAGCTGGTCCTCTGGGGAGATGCAAATGGTTTGACTATTGCATCCTTACAAAGAGTAGCATTGTTACTGCTGCTCGCGTTAAAAAAAGAACCCAAGAACCTCGGTTACTTTCCGTGCAGATAGTAAAAGCGTATATAATAATCAGCTGCGTGGTCGATTCCCATCTGCAAAACGATCATGGGTCAGAGGACGCCTTGTTAGGGTGACTTTCCCTATGCGGGGAAAAGAAGACTCGGAAGCCAAAGTGTGTTATCGAGACGAGATGAAACATTGTGGATGCGTGGGAGGTACTTTTGCTCGAACAGGGAGTGTGCTACCGCTGAGTGAAATGAGAAGGAACGGTCTTCTTTTTTATGAAAAAAAAAAGCCAATTGAAATTGCTCGATTTGTGATTTCGGCGAGGCAGGAGGCAGGGCCCTGGTCGATCGGCCATATAAACTCGTGCATAATGCGAAAAGTACTCGGATTAACGTGAGTCCTTCGTCCGATGTTAGCTGTAGGAGACTAAAAGCCAATCTGAAACGCATCTCCAACAGTGATACGCCCGGTGCCAAGAATGTCCCTAACCAAACGGCGGCCCCCCTGGCCGCTTGTTTCGACTTTTTAGTTGTATTTAAATCGTCTGCCTGGTCGGAGACAGGCGCGTGCTCACGGAGAAGAGCTGCTGAAAGTAACCCATCCTCTTCGCCTCCCCCCACCCGGTTGCCAGCCAATGAGCTACAGAATTGAGATGTCAGCCAGATTTCCAGTCATGATCCTAACGCGCGAGGGGAAGGGGGGGGGGGGGGGGGGAGGAAGAGCTGAGGGTTAGAAGCAAGTATTGTTGTCCCCGTATCGAGCATCCCCCTTTGCTGAGAGAAGAACCTTCGCTGGCTCACCCGGCTGCCCCATTTGGTCTGGCGTGCCGCATGCTAGAGTAGTTATCCGAGCCTAGCTGGGTGCCATAAATAGGCCACCGATCATCGCCAACGCCTGAACGTCGGCGGTCCCTGTGTATATCGGTCTATAGTGGACATCGAGAAGACGTTCGATCGTAAAACTACGCGCAAGGTTAAAAAAAGGGGGGGAGGCCAGTGTTGCCTAATACGGTTAGGGCGTTTGAGGTGTGTGGGATGGCCGCTTTTATAACTGCTGAGTCAGCCTAGCTTAAAGCGCTGATGTAGTGATTAGTCATAGGCCTTCCCTTAGTGCGGCGCGTGCTCCAGGCGAGGCTACTTCGAGGATAGAATCACAGTACTGAGGACTCTCCGGAGTACTTCTTTCTTTTTCTCTTCTCATTCACGGAGTACCGTCTCTTCTCATTTGCTTTCTCTTCTTTCTTGTCTTTTCTTTTTCAAGATGCTAAACTTTGCAAATGCGGTGCAACTCTAAGAAATATCCGAAGCCTATCTTGACAGGAAAGCCTGACTCCACTCCCACCAACATTGCAGCACGCTCACACATGGCATCCCATGCAACCGGAGTGTTCCCCGAGGTGGTAGAAGCCCGAGAGAAAGAAAAAGAAACGAGAAATTTAAGTCACCTTGCACCGTCGGACGCACGCAAGGCAGAACGGCGATGCTTCCTCTCAGGTGGTTGAAACGTCAAGGGGAGATACCAGCAGGCACTCGCATACACGAAAAGTCTACTAAACCTCGACATGGCCGGATTATATACATATAAAGGCCCTCCAGATTTAGCCTTCCTGGGAGAGCATTCAGCTCATGCAACGGTTCCTTCCAGTCGATCGCCGGCCGTATATGTCACAGGAAACCTTTTTTTTTTACTTGTTTACGGCGTACACCGACATGTGTATAGATATCGGCCATCGAGCGCATGTATCAGTCGGTGGTTACAGCGTGGAGTTGACCAACTATATATGCCAAGGCCAACGATCAGACGTAACCAGGACATGCCGATTATTAACGTTTATCCCTGCTAGGGTCATCACCGGTTGTACGGAGGCTCCGTCTCTGATCCAATGAAGAACGGGGGACAAAAGAAAAGAGGACTTGATCGGGATACCTCTCCGTTAAACTACTGTGTGAGCGACTATCAAAGGCGCATATTTAACCAAACAGAAGCAAACTCCGATTAAATTAAAGGTTATAAGGGTTAAGATTTTAGCCGGAGAGGAGTCACGATAACGGATGTATGCTCCGTAACGGATATTGTCAAGAGATCGTTCGCATGCTCCGTTTTTACCTCTCAAATTATACACGGTGGACATCGAGTGTGCGTCAAAGCACGTACCTAGGTGCATGAACGTCGCCGTTCTTTCAACAAGAACTTATCCGCACCCTCAGGAATCTTAGCTCAAGCAGAGAGTACAGAGTTATTGCTTGGTTGGCTGCTCGATCGCAGAAGCTCTAGGTGGTCCACAAGTGGACCGAACGATGAGATATTCAAGAATGGGCTTATCCACCACTCCACTTATGCTGTGTGCGCGCAGCGCGCAGATAGACGCACGATACATATCTGGTTATGTAAGTTACGCTTTGTCGTCGTAAACAGCTTCCACTCTTGGACTGCTCTAAGCCCTCGAAGGAAATTGCTTCTGGCCTCACTAGTTACGACTGCAGATACTAACTGTGGACCAGAGTGCACAACAAAGATCTTTCCGCCTACTTGTCCTTCGAGCAATTTTCAGTTATCTGGCTTTGCAGAGAACATGAGAGATTTACTCCGTACTTAGTCTGCGATAACTTTAATTATCCCCAAACTCTGGGCTGCTTCCTCCGCATACGGAGTATGGAGCCCCTTGCGTATAGTGCATGTTTATATATACATGCATCATACTCACCAGCACGACTCTCCAGGCTGGGACTCGAAAATGGGCATACGGAGTATACGATAGAATCACGATCCTTTCGCCGAACGCCAAAAGAAAGTGTCGAAAAAAGTCCAGTCCGTTCTCCTGTCTCGGGGGTGCAGCCAAAGCAGATTGAGGGATAGGGGCGGCGATGGAAGGCGACAAAATAAAAGTGGAAAAATGGCGCATGCAGTCGATGTCCTGCGATGGAGATTGAAATGCCAAAAAGTCCAAGGGTGGATTGCGCAAGCTTACGACACCCTAATTTCCTGAGGAGCAGGGTATGGGTCCCTGTTCGGCTATACCAAACTCCTATTCTTATCACGCCTGTGAATGGACTGGGTGGTAAATTAAGGGCTGCGCTAAAAACCACCGTTGGCTGCTAACTTCTGCTCTGTGATGGGAGGGCCCCCTTTGACTTTCGCCCCTTTAGGATTAGGCCCCCATGCTTATTGCCATGGGTTGGAGAGGGTCGCCGATTAGGTAAACCCTCGCCTTGTTATTTGAAGCGTCTCCTGCGCCGTTCAACCCAGCCAAACCCAAGGGGCTGGCTTTTTTCTTTTCTTTTCTTTTCCACGAGTCCTTACCGGATATTGATCAACCTCTCGGTCGCTATACTACCACCGCTCTGGTTCTGTTCATGCGCTTCTGCACGCCACCATGGCTTGTCTCCATAAGCGGTGTTTCCGATTCAAAGCAGCCGACGCAACAGGACCGGTACAAACGACCTTGCACGTTACAGTACCAAGGTAGGGGAAGGCGAACAACTTCTCTTTTTATTTATTTATTTATTTTTTATGTTTTATTTTTTTATTTTTATTCTTTTTTTGCTTGCTCTGAATACCCCCTTTCGAGATTAAAGGATGGAGCAGCCCGGACTTTCTCAACTCCGTATGGATGCATAACGTACAGCAGGAATTCGTTTCTTGCTTTTTCACAAATCCAAAAACCCCCACAGCCAAGTCATTCAATGAGATGGGTGCAACAACTGCCGCTGATTGGATATTCGCAGTATCTTCAGGCCCATAAGTTCACGGTCCTCATGCTAGTCGATGGGTAAAGGGAAGAGTTTAGTTCGCTACATCCTGCGCTCAGACACCTCTCATCTATGATGATGCATAGAAAGAAAACATATAAAGATAAAAAAAGGCAAATTCAACAGTCGCCATTGCGCAAAACGCCAAATGAGAAGCCATGTTGCGCAAACCGGACAACTATTGGGGCTGACATAATCCCACCCGTTGTCAAGATCAGCAGCCTACTCAACGCCTTGATATGTATGGAAATGCAATGTCTCTCTTATTGTGAGGTGATTTGCGATATGGAAAAGAAAAGAAGTCCGTCAATCACTTGCCTATATATGCACAGCGAAAGCGCAGGTAGTCATATGACAGAGGCTTCTTTTTTGTTTTCTCGACGAAGTATATCCTCCTCCCCCCTTCGCCTCACTAGATGTGATGAGCATTCGGAGACTTTGAGCACGCCAGATTTAAAATCCAAAATACCCTCTCGACCAATGCTGTAAAATCAATCCTCGCCCGTTTCTTTTTCTTTGCACCCGGTATAGTCACTACTTCCGTCGATTCCACCGTCTGGCTCGACGCTATCATTGGGACTTTTCGAAAGCTGGCGGTGAACCTAGTACGGAAGATACCAAACTTAACGCACAAGCTACATGTTTACTTGGCGTGGCTGCACCTTCTCATGCATCTATTCCCATGCATATTCTCTTCGTGCAGATGCCTCCAATTAGAGGGACACGCGCAAGTCCGTTTCCTGGTACGAAGTAGACAACTGCAAGTGTGTTGCACAATGCAACATGCAGGAGATTTACTAAATAACGTGCTTTGGATTCATCATCTTCCAGAGGGAAGAGAAAGTTTACCTGCAAACCCGTCTTTATTGCAATAACCAATGGTCTAGCTTCCCTATACAGTAGGTCGGGCTATCTTTCTCCGCATCTACCGTTTCTACCGTTTCTACCGTTTCTACCGTTTCTACCGTTCTATCCAGATCAGAGCTCACGTCTATAAGTGGATACATACTATTCATACAGAGCCTACTACTCCATGTGAAGATGCCACATCTATACACAGACACCCCGTTTCGGTAGGAGTCGGTTATACCTTCACGGTTTATGCATTACCGCCCATTTGTAGACACAAGCCTTGCTTCTGCGTTGCTTGACGCTTGCGCCGCTAATACTAACTAACAATGCAGTTATTGGGGAGCTGGAAGCTCCAAATCGCAATGAATAGGGGCGATCATATAGGTCGGGCCTTTGGCTCAACCAATCCAAAAGCGGAAAGCCAACTTTTGCCCACCTAGCATATCCTTAAACCGACCGACGAAGTTGACCGACGCGGGCGATTCTATGCAACTTAACGTTTTATTATTTGTTTGTCTAGCTTATAGCTAGCTGTTTAGCATTTGTGCTATGTTGTCTAGCTGCGGAGTACCCAATGGAAAACTTATCTATAATTGTACGCCGTCGGATAAGTCTAAGACTCTGTTCGGACATTTACCAAACTCTTCCCAGACTCCAACGCCATCAACGGAATTGTGTTTTACACAGAGAGACTAGGTTGTTCTGCGACTTCGCTAGATTATTCTGCAACTTCACTAGATTGTTCTACAACTTCAGGCTAACGCAGATGCAGTGCGCGGACGCCTCATAGATTGATATTACGGTTAGACCTCCAGGCCAGGCTGTCCGCCAATCCAAGGCCAAGTCATGGAATCCACGTATAAATCGATTGTGGGTCTTTCTTTGGTACGAGGGTTTCTATGTGAGAAACGGTGGACTTCACTCCAACGCCCATGTTGACAGGCTGCTGGAGTTTTCCATGGCTACCTGCAGTTTCTATACAAACTGAACCTATGTTCATATGGACGACGTTATATAAGTTAATCTATATTTATTAAAGGGCTCACTCTTAATATGGATATTTTGTTTAGTGACTAGTCCAACAGAACCCTAGGCCTTTGTCGTGTTTTCCCAAGCCATAGTAGGACAGCAAGCGGTAAACGCATGCAAAGGTTCACTACAGCAACAGTTCAACCATGGTAACCATTCTTCAATATCTTTATATCGACTTTAAAGTTACAGATATAATGGTTTGAGGTAAAAGCCTTGTCTTGTGGTTGGTAAAGAGAGTCCATAACATACCTGTTGGCCTGCCATACGCTACAGAGGTCGAAAATACGGACCATCTTTGCTATACTCTATATATCAAGTACAGCACACAGAACACGAGGAAAATTCGAATCTGATCTAGGATTCGTGGTACAGTATTTCCAAGCCAAGGCCTAGTATGCCAGTTGTTTTTGCAGTATTCGAAGACGCAGTACGTAGAGGTGGATGATAGAATAGTCCAGGACGGAATGGACCGGACGTGAACAAGCAGACAAGCCCTGCACAACAGCTGTGTAGTTCGGGTTCGATGAAACGGATGCCACGGATCGGCTAAAAGCTTGTGCATTCTAAGGATAGAAATCTCATCGAGCAGTGTTGACTTTAAACGTCAGTATACGGCCAAACATCAGTATATGGTCAACTGTCAGTATATGGTCAAACGTCGGTATATGGCCAAACGTCAGTATATGGTCAAACGACAGGATAGCTCTGATATCATATGCTAGCACTGCTAGATATCTACCATGTAGGATTGTTCCTCGTCATGTAGCAGGAATATATGGATGACGATGAGAGCATGGCTCTTTCCCGTTTTCTGGCACCTACCGTTGCAAACAGCGGTTCCAGTGAATGTCAACATTGGTAGACGGCAACTGCTGAGGTAAACGAGTCCAGAATATCGGGAAGTGACGACATTGACTTACAGAGAATCAAATCGGCAACTTCAGGCAGTATCTCCCAGTATAAACGGGGGCGTAGGTGTGCCATCGTTCTTCTGACCTTTAAACTCAAGCTGCCATATCCATCACCACCGGGAAATAACAAGATTAGTATCCAATACGCTTCTGCATCGGCCTCATCTTGATTCCAAAAAGAGAGGGGGTCTTTCAGTCAGCATACTGTACCTCACTTTTCCTTTGTCAAACTGTCGACGTAGCCATGGCTTGTCGTGGCCGTCGATACAGACGCGCAAAGAAGGCCTCCAAGGCCAAAAAGATGCCAGCCAGAGCTGAAGAGAAGCCACTCGTACTCTCCGGTCTGCCCCCGGAGATACAGCTATGCATCCTCAAGCAGCTGGACTACCGCGATATCCAACAACTTCGATGTACAAGCAGGTACTTTAAGTATCTCCCGTCGAAGCGAGACATGTCCTATGCCCGAGAAGAGTACTCTGCACGGCTGTTCGCGGCTGAGATGGAGGAGTGCGAGTCAGAGAAAGCCTGTAGTGATGTGAGTCCCTGGGACGACAGAGCGTCGACCTTCCGATGCTATACCTGTTTCCAGCGCCGGGCCGGATGGAGGTTCGCCGACACGCAAACATCAGGAAAGCGTAAAAAGGGCGCAGTAGACGGCAGGCTGAGATACTGCTGCGAATGCGCGATGAGGACCAGGAAGTGGAGGCTGGGGACTGTCCACCGCACGGGAGGCCAGTTGAGGATATACTGTCGACTGTGCCATAGACTCGGACTCCTGCCTTGCAAAAGAGGTTGCAAGTCCGGGCTCTGTCTCCGGTGTCAGGGGCTCGTCGACTTCGCCGAGTATGACATTGACCGTCCTTCTCACCGGTCTCAGAACGGTGACGACTCAGATCCTAAAGAGGAGAGCAAAAGGGCCAGGGACAAGAGAGCCCATCGAAGCATCGACTGGAATCATTTGAGGCCATTCGTTGCCCGCATGGTAAAGAAGAAGCCAAAGGAGGGCTCTGCCATGGCGGAAGATATGGTCTTTATAGATCAATATCTTCGAGTCGAGCCGATACGCGGGCCCGTCGTAGAAACTGCCTGCCATCAAAGTGCTTTCCCTTGGTAGTCCACGCATACCACCAGATCCTTCTCCTCCTGTCTCCTTTTGAATCATGTTCAAGGCGCATATAACGGATAGATACCCATAGAACGAATAGAATGATATGAACAGTCATCCTAATTCTCATGCCAGTAGCATCAGGTGAAGGGTATCTTGATATCGCACTGGACCATCACGGCTCTAACCAAGAGCGGAAGAACCAACTGAAGCGATGCGCCATTTATACCAAGGACTCCTTTGTCTTGTCTTCGTCTTACTCCTCCTAGACTCTCTAGACTCTCTAGACTCTCTCTCTTGACTCTCTCTCTCTCTCTCTAGACTTCTTCTCTCGTCAAGGGAGTATGGTCGAGATGAAGACTGGGTACGGTATCGTAAAAACGCGTATGTAAGGTTCCTAAATCTCCCGGCCAAGGTACAACCGCAGATTAGACTACGGCCTGGCATGGATCCCACCCCATCCCGAACCGATGCTGGGATCTCGCGACTGTGAAGAGAGGCCAGAGGAGCGAACCTGGGGTTTCCATGCCGATATCGCCGTGCATGAACAGCGGTGAAGCTCCCTCGGCCACATACCGTGATATCCAGCACACCACCAGACATATTCCCGGAGCATCCCCTCGTACCCCAGCCAGATGAGACCAGCCCCGAGTTGTATATATATATAGCTAACGGACGAGACAGCAGGTGAACAGAAACAGAAACAGAAACAGAGAGAGAGCCCTTTGGCCACCTCGCCACGTTGGCAAGGTACAGGCAAGTTACAGAGAAGTTCGCCGTCGACGGTCAGGCCTCGCTGCTGGGTTTCTTACTTGCAGTCCATACCTGTCGAGGCATACATCATATTCTACGCTGTTAAGTTTTGTATCTGTGCTACGGACGGACTCTTCCCCCTGCCTGCTACGGCCGTCGTCAAACCAACCTCCCAACTCCGTCTTCAGCTGCGCCAACTCGCAACCGTGTCAGGGCCAAGAGCAACGTCGAGGGCCACTGGCATCCTGACAAGTAACGGGCCGCGGTGGTTGGGATTGAAACCTGTCCGTCCGGCTCTCGTGACTGGCACTGTTGATGAACTGAGGAGGACGAGGATGAAGGGCCAGCGCAGTTCTGAGACGCCGTTCCGCTCAACTTTATATATCCTACTCGCATCAGGGCCCATCCTTGGCCAGATCGCCGTTCTTCTGGAAGCCTAGAGTTATTATGCTCTAGTTGAGCAGAATGTATGGATACCTGGCACTGCCCTACATGCTGCGTGTGCAGGTGTTTCATCCAGGTACATGCATATATGCAGTGTCTATATCTGTGTGCTGTGCTTGGAAGTGCTTGGAAGTGCTTGATGGTGTGCTCTCGATCCCTGCCCCGAACCGCAGCCTTCTCGAGATCCGAGCCTGCCCTCCTCCGAGCACTAAGCACGGAGCAATAGCTAGGTCGTCGAGCTGCCTTATCTCCTTATTTCTCTTGTTTCCTCCATCCTGGTCGCCCTAGTCGCCTCAGTCGTCGTCCTGGTCTCTAGTCGGCTTGCACCGAGTCCATCGGAATGATTAGGAGGAAAGTTGCTGACTAAGCGTATGTTACCGGTCATGTACTGTCACGTCTTGTAACGTAACCCACCGTTACGTCTGTTTCTTTTACAGCGAGAGACAACATATAGATAATATAATATAGAGTAAATAGATATAATAAAGATAGAGAAGAGTAATAGAAAGAGTAATAGAGAGACTGGTCTATAGACGTGGCAGAAGGTTCACATCGCGTACCCAGTTTTCGGCCCACCGACGGCAGAAGGCAAAAAAGAAGCAGACGCAGAGACGAACTCGCTGCGGGCGACGCCGAGGAAAGGATTCGACCGTCCCCCCCGTCGTATACAGTTATATCTTCTGCATCGCATCTCCCGAGCAGAGACACGACACCCTCGACTCCCACCTCGACCGACAAGAAAGACGACACCGAGAGCCAGGTCCAGGTCCTGGCGTGCGCGAGTCTTTCGTATCTTCCTACGAGCCGAAATCACATGTTGTGGGCGACTTCGACTGGCTTCCCACCATCGATCGAACAGACGCACGAAACGAACAGACAGACAGAGAGAACGACAAGACACCCCATCTCAGGCAGAAGACCGCTGCGGACAATTCAACTTGGGTCGTAGGCTGGCGCTCTGCAATCTCACCGGCCCGGTCTTGCTCTTTTCCCCCAGAACGCCGTCGTCCGTCACCTGTGGGCGGTCTGGTCAACCCTGCCGGGACCCTTCCTCCATCTATCCCCAGGGATACCACTCGCTATCGGCATCGTCGACAGGTTACCCCCCTGATAGCAGCCCAATCGTTCGGCCGTCGACGTGGGGAGCAGTGATCGCAGCCGTCGAAAGCTGTCTGGCGATATCACACTTGGAACGAGAGGCCCGTTTGGTCCATTCCACGGCAAGCTGGATCGGACGTCACCGGACAGCGTCGCTCGCGGGGGGTTGCTCCGCGAGTCGGTATTCTCGGACTGGAGGGATGGCACTGCGTTGGAAAATACCGAGGACTTGCAGAAGAACGACCCGCTAGCGACGCAGATATGGAAACTATACAGCCGGACGAAGACCCAGCTGCCGAACCAGGAGCGGATGGAGAACTTGACCTGGCGTATGATGGCCGTCAGCTTGCGAAAGGAAAAGGAGAGAGAACAGGCGCAGGCACGGTATGTATTCATAACTGCTTCGTCAATTTATTGCATTTTATTTTCTTGTCTGGTGTTAATGAAGTCTATAGGCTGGAACAAGCACAGAATGAGGAGGCTCTACGCTCGCACGATGCCGGCTCTGCTGAGCCCATGAACATCGATGCTTTCATGGCTTCGTCTTCTTCCATCAGCTCGCCTACTGGATTCTCGCCGTCGATGAGTGACGGTCCGTCGTCGCACCATGCTGTCGCCTCGGCAATTCCTATCAGGAGTGCAAAGGACGAGCACCAATCACCCATGGGCATAGTCATGCCTGCTTCACTGCCCCATCATCCCCATGTAGGAACTCAGACTAATGAGTTCGGCTACGTCCAACGTCGAGTCAGAAAGACGAGCGTGGATGAACGGATTGTGAGTGTAAACTGCTATTCTTTCAAATATTACATCTGCTTACCTCCATGACTAGGCTCGAAAGCGACCTGCTGAATCGTCACCACAGGTCCCGCCTGTCCATGGGCTGATTATCTCTCATGATCCAGACCCAGATGCGGGTATGACGGACTTTACTCTTGACCATCACCACCATCACAGCCACAGCCATAACCTTGGTCACGGTCCCGGTCACGGCCATAGTCATAGTCATAGTCATACTTTTGGGATGAGCCAGCCACCTCATTCGGCACCGTTGAATCTGGATACCTTCCCGGTAGACGACTCTAGCGCCCTGGAACATCCATCGTTTAGTTCTGGTGGTTTCCAGCTGTCCCCCACGGAACTGTCGCATATGCAGAGTGGAGCGTTCTCCAATCTATATTCACACACCCCACTAGGCTCGTCGCTCAACTCCACTGATTTCTACTCCTCGACAGCCTCAGGATACCATTCCGCAGTGTCAACGCCACACCCAGGCTTTGAAAAGGACCAGTCTGCATACCAACACCCTGTCGGCCCATTCCACTCGCACTCACTCTCCAACCTTTCTGCTCCCGCAACGACCCGGTACATGTATCATGCTGCCAATGACCATCCGTTCAACATGGCCGGGAGCAGCGGTGCGTCTTCCGCCGTCAACCCATCCGGATTCAACCTGCAGCAGCATTTTGTTACCCCTTCGTCCGGCCCGTCCCATACCGACCCATCTGCTAGGCCATCAACTAGCTTATCCACTAGGGGAAACATGTTCAGCTTTGGCGGAGACTCAGACAACGAAGATGATGGCAACAATACCTTCCTTGACCGCAATATGGATCTCTCTGCGGACTTTAATATGCTTGACGACCCTTCGATGAACTTTGGCTCGAGTATGCAGTGGGATGGAAGCTATTCCGGCTCCATGAGCTCCATGCCGTCCGCCCATAGCCAACCATCCAAGCAGCAGGCCATGGGTGGGACCGACTTAGACGATAGAAACAGCGATTGGGCCCAGCTTGGAAGCCTTAACCGAACCCACGGGTCAGCCGCATCGGTTAGCGAACTGCGTAACCGTGATCCAGACCCGAGACGACAAAAGATCCCTCGGACAATATCTACGCCAAACGCTACCCAGCTCCTCCGGCAAGGAACAGACAACAACGGGTTCAAATCTCCGCATTCTCCCAGCTCTGGGCCCAATAGCAATGCTCCATCTCGGCCTGCAAGTCCTGGTGGCTCAAAGAACGCTGAGCCGGCTGGTGCAACAACGTCATGCTCAAACTGTTTCACGCAAACTACTCCCCTTTGGCGCCGTAATGCTGAAGGCCAATTTCTATGCAACGCCTGCGGCTTGTTCCTCAAACTTCACGGCGTCGTACGCCCTCTCGCCCTCAAGACGGACGTCATCAAGAAACGCAATCGTGGTGGAGGAAGCAATGTAACAGTTGGTGCGGGAGCAAGGGCAGGCAAGAAAACTGCACGCAAAAACTCAACCAACCAGTCTGCCGTGCCAACCCCTATCCCAGCCAGAGCCCAACCAACCACCCCAGTGTCAAGTACGCCTACCAGCATAAGCACCACCCCTACGTCATCGTCAACGTCGACGTCCATGCCCTCACGGACCGCCGTACCCATCGCAGCTGCTCCACCAAGGCCAAACCCTCCTACCACTCCATCCGGCACCAATACTACAGCCGCACGTACCCCATCCCGGCTTATCCCAGGACGACCTCGCTGTCTCGATAAGAGTTCCGTCTCGGGAATGTACGCAAACGTCAGAAACCCTCCAGAACCTGACATAATGCGGGACTCCCTATCGAATAGACAAAAAGTCACGCAGGCGCCGCAGCAACCGCGTCAGCCTCCAGCAGCTTTCAACCCAGCTCACCATAGTTTGGCTGCAGGTGCATCAAGAACCAGCAGCCAGGAATGGGAGTGGCTGACTATGAGCTTGTAAGTAAATAGCAGACCTTTCCCACGAACACGTAAACCGGTTCTTTGGCAGGAGAAACCGAATCGCCTCCTCGTCAAGTTACCCTAGCGACGGCTCTTTAAATTTGCCGTGATTTCCTGGGCATCCTCTCTATCTTTCCCATATTTCGACGCGGGTTTTGTCTATGCACCATTTGCAGGTTCTCGCGACGGGATATAGGAAAACCCACGATGCGACGTTTGACATTTATAAATCATTGTTATTTTTTTCGGCTCTTACCAGGGATCTAAATGGCTCTTACATTCTTAAGCTGCCTTATAGGTACCCTTGATATATTTCTTGCTTTCTTGGTTCGTGTTCGTTTTACGTTTTCCCCCCGTTATCCCATGATCGATCAAAAGTCAATCATAGTATTCCTTGTTGAACAAGAAATACATTCCGGTGGCTCGTTATCATTATCATTAACTACTAATACACCCCTCCCCCTCGCTTTACGACATCCATTATTCCTTATGACGTCGTTTTCTTATCGCTACCTTACTTTACTTCCAGTGCTCCTCCACGGCCACTTTATAGAACGCTATGATTTCTCCCCCCCTCGTGATTTTCTCCTTTCCTCCTTTGCTATCTCGTGTTATCTTGTCTCTGATTGATTGATACAACCGCGTCTGTTCTGAATGCCCAACCAACCACCATTTTCCTAATAATCTGTTCTCTACATCCTACCCTTCCCCCCTTGCGACTTTTAGTCCTGTTTCGCGTCTTGTTTCTTTTGCCTTTTTATGGTTGGGCATTTGGTCAGAAGTGCGCATTGCTGTTTGGTTTATTTGCTCCTTTTTATGCTATGTCGTTTGGTTGATAGGATAGGATAGAACCTCGCTCCACTCCTACCCACCCAAAATCTACGAATTAGTTCATATGATCTTTTACTCCTTCATACGCTATCAATGTATAGGCAGCTAATATCGCCTTTAAGTAGAGCTGGCTAAAAATTGCAGCCGTCGCGCGTGTGAAACTTATATGCATTAGTAGGGAACGGGGAATTAGGAAGTATCTTGTAATCTGCAGAGGCCACCTCTGACAGTGACTATCTTCCTCAGGCGAGGCGTCCTTGGGCCCGGCAGTTCCCTTGGAAATAACATCATTCACCAAGATATAGGAAATCACCGTCTCTAGGTAATGGTTACAATGGTAAAGGTGAAGGATTTTGCCATCTGATTGAACAAATACCTGGGTTATTCCGACAAGAGCTGCTTTAAGTCTATATACAAACTGCCATTCAGTCGCTAAGCCTAAGTCCGTTAATATCACACATCCCAGCCGGTCAAGTCAGGCAATACCTGTTCAGTGAAACAGTATGGAGAAAAGAAGAAAGCAACACAGTCCCCCTAACCATACCATGGCGTCAAACGCAAGTCAAGGGGCATTGGCGCCGCTGGCAAGGATCGCTCAACTTGAAGAGCGAAATGTGCATTTGAACAAAGAGATCGCAGACCTCCAAACTGTACTGTTGAGAGAGGTATGGGGTGCCAATATTTGATGGTGTAGCTTCCATTTTATACATCAGCTAACTAAGTCTCGTTTCCTCAGATGTCAAGACAGGGGGTGGCCATCCCCTTGACTCCCATAGAATGTGATGAACCAAGTGGAACACTTCAGGATCTGAAGCGTAGAATCAAATATTACCACAGGAAGGATGTGGTATGGCGCCTTCGGATACTTGAAAAGCGAGCGCTTCTAAAACATCAAGGGGAGGAGCCTGATTCAGACCAAGAAATGCAGGATGATGAAGATGAAGATGATGACCAAGACGATGAAGATGACGAAGATGAAGCCCAGGATGAAGACGGTAACCAAGACGATGAAGATGAAGACGAAGATGAAGCCCAGGATGAAGATAGCGAGATATCTTCCGAAGACGAAGCAACTATCGATCAAGTTAGACATGAGCTCACGCACGGGGGCGACATTGTCGACGATATAGAAGCAATTCGATATGCTGAGGCCAGGGGCCTGGAAGCCGTATCGGAGTTCAAGGACAACTTCGCCAAAGCCTACAACATCTCGTTCGACGCAGCCGTGGAGGCTGTGAGGTCAAGCCCGATCGAGCTCCTGACAACCTTTAACGCTCTAGCATCAGTTCGTGTGTATCCCCGTTGGCAGGAAGACGACGCCAGGACATACAGGGCTGCTATCGAACATATGGCGACTCATATTATCGAAGCTGCCATGCTCGTCGAGGAGAAATACCGCGCAGGACTTTTTGGGAGGGACGGAATCCTAGGAAAGCAGTATGATTGTATGCAGCAGTTGTACTTGCAGAGAATCCTCGGTATTCGGGAATGATGGCCGACAAGCGGTGGCGCAGGAGATCTATCCATCTTCCATGAAGACAGCCAGAGTATCGACACAATGACATCAACCTAGTTTGGAATAGTTAAGTGACCTGCATTTTAGTAGATAATTTTAGGAGTTCTATAACCACTTTTATATTCCCGGATTTACACCTCGATAAGATGGATGTCATGTCTCTATGAAAGTTATGAAATTTCAACCAACAATAATATAGTATAGTTATATTGTACCTGGAAATAATTTCATAACATTACCGGTTAACATATTCTTGCTCTATAAGGCTATTTATTCGTTACACAATATTAACATATTCTTAACGAGATAGTAATATTATTTCACCTTCGAAGTTAGGATATTTAAATAGACTATGTATAAAGGAGCCGCGGTACAGGAATAATATACCTGCTAACACGGTATTTTTACTGGAGCTGGTTTTGCCCATTCGCTCCGTAATTTAAGCAGGAGTGACACTTACCTTTGTTCCATTTAGGGAACATAGGGTCAAGGTCAACGATTCCTCCCATGGTCCTGCATCACGACTCTCCAAGACTTGGAATTCCTGGGCCATACGGACGGTGACGTAGGCAGCTTCGGTCAACGCATATTGCTGGCCCAGGCAGATGCGTGGCCCGCCGTTAAAGGGCAGATACCCCCAGCGAGGCTGAAGCCGTCCATCCTCCCAGCGCTCCGGACGGAATACTTCTGCGTCGGCCCCGTAGAGGTCCGTCCGCCGATGCATTGCATATACATTGTAGCTGAATAGGGTGCCCTTGGGAACGAAAACTGGTGACAGGCCATCCTTGCCTCCTCCCATTGGGAGAACGGTATCCCGCATCGCCAGGCGATCGTTCACCGGTACAACGGGATGCAGACGCAATGCTAACAAGGCTAATCAGCTACGACTGAAGATCAAAACGGTGGAAGAGTGGGAAATTCCCTCATACATTCATTCATACAGAACTTAACATATTTGAGGTTTCGGAGCTCAGTATAGGTGGGCAAACGACCCTCTAAACTAGCCACTTCCGCGCGTAGTTTAGCCCATATCGCCGGATGTTTGGCCAGCATAAAGAACATATTGCTCAGAAGGCTGGCAGTGGTATCGCGTCCGGCAATTAGAACGTTCATGAGCTCATCCAAGATACGGCGCTTGTCAGATGTGCGAGATGCCAGTTCATGCGAGAAGATATATTTCTGGCGCTTCGTCTGGGGGTTTGTTTTCTCTTCCCCTTCCTGGTCAGGCTGAACGGCGTGGATCGCTTTCTCTACAAACTGTTCTGCAAATTCTCGGCAGATGCGGTTGGATTCGTCCGCTTTCCGGTCCCGATAAAAGACGCCTAGGGGTCCTAGCATCCCCTTCGTCGTAATGGCATTCAGGGCATAGTTAAAGGCGACGGTGAAACCAAACTCCGACTGAGACTTCTGCAAACTGCCAACTGACTCTCCGAACAGGAACTCGGTGGCAGAGTCGGTGGTATATCGAAAGAAGAGACTCTGTAGGTCTACGACCGTCTTTCCGTCACGCGGAATCAGCGCGAAGAGGTCCGAGATCAAGTTTTCAAACATTGTCAAGTCTGCCACCTGGTCACGGGCAAAGTTGGGCCGGATTAGGGCACGCGATTTGGCCCAGTGGTCACCATCGGTGTCGAATATTCCCTTCCCTAGGAGCGGTTTAAATACTTCAAAGCGGTGGGCAATACCATAGTCTGTAAAGTTAACGGCTAAGGCCGTCTTGATATTCTCAGGTTCCACGCTGACAATCACGGGTGTCAGGAACATTTTTGAAGTATACGTGTTCCCGTAGAGGCGAAAGCGTTCACAACTCTTTTCAAGGGTCTTGTGCTCACGGGCAGCACGGATACCTCGACGGATGGTATCAAGCCCTAGAAAAGGGTCCTTGTTGGCGGACCTTGCGACTGGCTGGCAACCGTGGCGCCGTGCAAACCGATTGTGAATGAAGAGACGCCATATTCTTAAGGAGATGAATGCGATAGTCGCCAGGCCGGCAGCCAGCATGGCCACCCGCTCTAGCTGGAAGTTCGAATACATCTCCATGTCTTATTTATGCATCTTATCTCTCGAAAATGAAATAGAAGGTGGGTGAACATTTTCAGAACAAGTGGATGTTGGGGACTTATTTGAGAGGTTGATGAATATTGCTGCCTGCTGAAATGACGTAGACTGCCCGTACAGGGATTCCCTCCACGACTTTATCACTTTCGTCAATGAGTACGTGAGCACTAACTTCTGGGTATATTTGGACTCTTTAACTTAGTCCCGGGCTCCAACGATATCCTTCACTCAGTGTTGGTGCTCATAGTTCGTTGAGTGATGCCCCTGGTATGGCATATTTGCTTCCCAGTGGCCATGTTCTTGGAGATGAGCCCAGCCGACCCCTGCTTCTCTAATATAGACCTCTTAGCCGCGTTGGAAGAGGCAATTAGGGTATGACATCGCTGTCAGGCATCTTGGGTATCGGGGAAAGCGTCCTGTTCTTTATCAAATCACCCCCTAGTTGATAAAACCTTGAATTGCTAAAGCTATTATGAGTATACGATTATCAGCAAGAGTGATGCCAAGGGCACGCATTCGAAACGGGGATATAAGCTGGCTCCTGTCTGAATCTACCCTGATTTCGTGATGGTATCTTGATTGTGAGCACTCCGATATGGCGAGTTGGGAAGGCTTGGAGACTGGCTTTCGAATATTCTCTCGAGAAACAAGTAGACCGCAGACCCGTTAATGACACCTCCAGCGGCAACGTAACTACACCATCACGCGCTGGCTCTTTGATACGGAGTACACCTGTTGTGTGTTGTATCTCATGGGGGTCAACGCCACTGGTGTGGTATGTACTCCGTATGGGGAAAAAGGGGGTGTTCAATCTCAAGGCCTATATTATATGGTTATTAAGAAGCCAATCGGAAAAAACCCCATCTATCCGTTTCTTTGGAACCATAGATATGAACACGGAGTATAGTTGATGCAATGTTTAATATTCCATACTCGTCAGCATATATTTGATAAGCTAACGAGAAAGTTGCCTCTTTGGGCGGATCCGACCACTTCTTATTCCAACCACCATCTTCATTCGCAGAAACATACGGAGACACGAGAAACAAGACCTCAGGGATAACAGATACTTTTCGCAGCAGGCTGAAACATTGGAGCTCTGGTTATTCTCCATGACATGGCCCACTCTGCGTCTATCTGTCCATCGCCACGGACTATGGGTCTGCAGCTACTAGAGGGAGGGTCTAATGAAGCGACAGGTAAGATTGTCGGGAACGACGGTTTACACCCATCTTTAATACTCTTTAACATTGAAGCAATTGCGGTTCTGGATAACTGAGAACTGACGGGAACGGAAGATAGTTTCTTTTTAGTCCCTCCCCAGTACCCCGTACAACGCGCGTTGCACTTACGACTGTCTGACAACCTCAAGCCTTATGTTATATTTCCCGGTGCTGACTGTGCAAGTTACGCAGCACTGAGTGCTTCATGAGCTGAGGCCCGGTTTGGCACAGCTGGTGTCCGACTTGCCTCGTGGGAGTGGCGATGGCAGCAAGGGTCGGTTGACCCAAGGACCAGAGTCAACAACAGCCCGCACCGTTAGCTCAGCCCTAAGGCCGCTCTGGGTGAAGGTCGATGTCGGGAAAGGCACCCTGATCTCGGGTGGATGTCTGGGTCTGTCCTCCGTAAGTATCTCTGGAGTACATTCGGAGTCCGGAGTATATGTATCTGATTTATTGTTCAGGGGTCATCCAGGCCGTAGGGATGGGTATCCATCCCCGATGTTATTTTTATCACGAGAAAGCGCCGGGATCTATATCTGTGTACGGAGTAAGGGTCGGGTCCCAATGAGCGAGCGTCGCCAGTTACCAGCGTCAGCCAGCGAAGCATGGCCATGCAAGGGTTTAAAAAAATTACCTCCAGCCTACATTTTGGGGGCGTTATTAGTCCCCAACTTCGGGAGCCTGCCCCTGCCGCCCTTCCGTCATATTGAAGCTTGAAGCTTGAAGCTCGCTTGTTCCGTGGGGTTACTGCGTATCGGCCAAATCGAAAAAGGCGAGAGGGGATGAACGGGCACCCGAAAGATAGAAGTTATACTCCGTCCTCCGTCTGCCTGCAGCTTATTTTATCTGATGGTGGCCACAAACCGGTTTCTAGCCAGACTAGGAATGATAACGGACTCGCTGTCGTTATTTGTCGGCGATTACTAACCGGTGAAACCATCTAGATGGAAGCCCGAGAGAGGTCACTTGCGGTGAAGCTCCTTGAAGGGGGTGTGGTTCTAGCCTCAGCTCCTTAATATGTCTGTTACATGGGGTCATGCAAAAATAGCGTGGGAGGAAGTGAGCTGCAGCGTTGCTTGCTTTGCTCATCAATTCGTTTCCTCGCAACAGCAACCAGGAAGACAGCTTAATGCTGAAACCGTTAAGTATGCATCTGGGCGCATTAGCTTTTCCTTTCTTTTCCTCTCTTTGCTTCTTGCTCCTCCTCTGAGCCCGTGACATTCACGATACTTCCTACGCCGTACTAGCCTTCGTGACTGTCAACGTTTCTTTTTTGTACCGGTTGAAGGCCTCGCTGATTTTTACTAGATTGATTTAACCTTCGCGGTCCATCTTGCTTTGACGATTTATGATGTGAGAGGTGACACCCAACCACTATTGGGGCCAAGTCTTGCCAACCCAGCGAGGCCAGTGTGCTGATCGAGCCCGTCTGAAGGCGAATGGTCTGCCTCCTAGCGTCGACCGCAGCAGCATTCTACCCTACCACCCTTGACCACGCATCCCTGAACCCTGCCGCATTAGCTCTCGCCATCTCTTACGCTCTGCCCCGCCCGCCCGCCTACGCTTCCTGCGTTGGATGCGCTGCGTGAGTCGATCCACCAACATCGTCGAAGGACGAGAACAAGGGCGGTCACACAGACATCTACTAGTGGAAAAGGCGCATCCACACCCTGCGCCAGTGACAGACGGATGGGTGCGATCCGTCCCATTCTCACTGCATAAGCACCAGCCTCTTGCCCACCTCCAGTGGGACCCGCGGAAGAGGCCTCTGCCAGCCCAGTCAGACCTCCATCATCCCATGCTGTTGCCAAAAAATCTCCTTTTGGCCCACGCTCATCGGCTCCGACCAATCCCCACGGCCAGAGGCACACACCGTGATTGGAACTGAATAAACGAGATAGGAATCGAACCCAAGGTCCTAGGCTGAAAAGAGACTGGGCTGTCGCGTGTTAAATGCTTTTTCTATGCCTGGCCGTCAGAGTCAACCTGGCCAGCTCTTTTCGCCCTAGGATCGGTCGGGAGAGGCAAAGGTTCTCTGCTGCGTGTCTCTTGGTAGTCCGTACATATACATCAAGAGCAGTCCCGCTGCCGATGACCGCGTTGTACGGGGTAAAAAAAAAGGGGCCTCGTTCTGGACTGTTGTTGCACCCCCAACTTCTGAGCTGATCACCTTCGTCAGAGTTCCTAATATATCCGCTATTAGTTTCTCCCTCCTGCGGTACGAGCAAGTCGATCGATAAAAAAAAGAGATCGACACATTTATTCAAAGCTCTTTCGTCTCTTCCGGATCTTTGACTGGTTGCTGCGTACATCCCCTAAAATAACGACTATTACCTATCACCCTTGTCACCTTTTATTTCTTCTTGTGATAAGAGTTTTTTTGTGACTTATCCCTTCCTCAACCAAATTGCTTATTATTCTTATTTACTGCCCTCCGCCCCATTTATACAATCTGGACCCGGATTTATTTTCGACTAGCATCTGTTTTTTTCCCTCCTCCAGCTTATTTATTTTACAGTTCCCCCTGGCCCAGCGTCCCATTTTATGGGAGCTGATTGTAACGCGCCTTCACCTCCTTTGTTTACTCTCGATAGGCCAGGACGATACCCAATCCCTACCCTTTTTGCCACCCACGCATCAGGGGCCTGTCCCACCAGACACGTCGCAAACTCCTGAATAGCGGGAAAAACAAAAGGGACTGACCTAACAAGAGGACCATTTTGAAGACCTGACAAACATCGCGCAGAAAGCTTTGCGTCGCTGTCCTCTGTTTGATTTGCTAGGTGACGACCACAGTGCGCCCAGCGGAGCGTCTACGCTACCAACTGATCGTCGTTCCACAAGCTCCACCCTCCCGTTTCTTTATCAACTTTTTGGATCCGAAGCCATTCTAGGTATACATCTTGAGTCCAAATCCCCCTACTGCCACCGTCGATCCTATGCAAGCAAATTGCTCGATTGTGTTCGTCATTGACTTTGACTCTAGATTATTAAATACCCCCATCTTTGCGCTGGATTTTCCTCTGGCAACTCAGAATCTAGCAACGTGGACTGGCTGGCTGTGAACAGAGCATCCTGCCTACTCTGATCTCAATTTCTCTACTAGGCCGCGTGGTGCTACTAGGAGCTTTCTTAAGCTTCGGTTTTGTTTGGATTCCAAAAAAAAAGTTTGTGCTGTCACAAGTGCCTCACACCAACAGCCAATCCGGGGAATTATTTTTTTTGCATTTTGCATTCCATTTTCCTGGGCCACAATCCCCCAGCTCTGCATATTCAACCACATAGTGGATTATCTCTAACTGCTTTCGGCTGGTGGATTAGAGATAATGTTTGAATAGCTTACTTTTTAGCTCAACACCGAAGATAATTACTCGGAGAAGCAGCCTCACCGGTCTTTGGCAGCGTTATTAAGGATCTAGGTGATCCAGAAAACCGTTTCTATATTTCTCACTTGGAAGCTTCTTGCACTCGGATGTTGATTTGCCCTTCGGCGTGGCGCAGGAACATCTTTCACAACTCCACAAAGATCCCATACACGGCCTACAGCTCGATCTGTGCATCCTTTGTTCATCACGATTAACAGCCTGGTTGTCTGATAGTTCATCATTGACCATCATACCATAATAACAAGCCCTGACCATCGCCTTTGAAGAAGTCGGCGACCAAGAGACAGCTCGGTGGTCTATCAAGGTCATAGCATCGAGGATTCCTTGCAATCGTGGCTGCTCTTGCTATATCCCCGCCCGGAATGGGGGCGGTGTTCCATGCGCATCAACAGTTTAATCCTCAACCAAACGATACGATACTTCCAAGCTTTGAGCGTACAAATCCACAACCACTACAACCTCAGCCAACCAATCCATCAAAATACTATAGCTCTAGCGTGCCATCGTCACCTCCTCGGAATCAAAAGAGGTCTGCCGGACTGGCGTCTAAACCACAGATAGACAGGCCGAACTCCTTCTCGTTAAATCTGGCTCCTAGCACTTCCGGTGCCTCTGGGCAGAGCAACCCTGCATATTGGCCTGTTCCGTCGTTCCCATTTAACGCTGGTATGGCTTCAGATATATCTGCACACAGAGATGACTCTAGATCTATTACTGACATGTCTGAGCAGGCCGTAACATCCCTCCATCAACTGGTCCAGACGGTTTGTCGCAGTATAATCAAATATCGCCTTATTCCTCTTCTTCAGGAGCTACTCAATCACCAGTCTCGCAGCTACCGCCACACTCGCAATCGCAAGACTCACAACAGCAGACACAACACTCTTCCAACCAGGTCGATCAACATCAACATCAGCAACAACAACACCAACAGCAATCCCAACAACACTCCTCACAAACAATGGCGCAGACATTAATGGACCCCCAGACCAATTCTGGCCATATCTCGCCACAAACATCTCAACAACAATCACCTCTTGATCCATATGGGCACCGATTCCGTTACCCCGGGCCCCAGCAATCTCCAATTTCTCAACACCCATCCAGCTTTCAGCCTTATCCCGGGGCTTCGATGTCAATGAACCAGACTCCCGTCAGCGATGGCTCTCAAAGACTTGCCGGTGTACCCGTTCAAGTCCCCGTCGAAGGCCAACAGCCCCTCCCTCAATACAGCCGTCCATACCCGTCATACTCTCTCCCTGCCATGAACGGCCCAGTAATGAGCAATGTCCATCATCCATCCAATCAGATGGCTCTAATAGGCTCTATGCAACCAAACCTCCTCCCAGGGTTCAACAGCGGACATGCTGCCAGCTTACAACAAATGTACGCACACCATCCACCATCACATCACATGCACGGCCTTGGCCCGCCTGGCCCACAAAACGATAGACCATTCCGATGCGACACTTGCGCGCAAAGCTTTAACCGGAACCATGACCTGAAACGACATAAGCGCATACACCTGGCAGTTAAGCCATTCCCTTGCAACCACTGTGACAAGAGCTTTTCAAGAAAAGATGCCCTCAAGGTATGTAATAAGACAAATTTTACGCTCGTCCCCGGACTCATGAACTTAGTGCTAATATGTACATAAATACAGAGGCATATTCTTGTCAAAGGTTGCGGTAAGGACCCTCACTCCGAGGGTGAAAACTCCAGAATCATAAAGTCTGAGACTGGCCAGTTTTCGGCATCACTCTCTGCAAAGGACGACGATGCCAGCAGCGCCACACCACCCTCTGCAACTGGATCGCGTAAGGGTAGTAATGGTGGAATATAAATCTCTCGTTTAATCACATTTTCTGCGGTCATTTCATTTGTTCCCTGCAATATAAGCTAAGAGGTGGCTTAGTTTTTGATTTCATTTACATGGGCGGCTGCTTTCTACCTTCATTACTGCTCCGTACTTGTATGACCAAACCTCTACGACCTATATCTTTTAATCACCGTTTCCTAGGTCTCCCATCCCTTGGACTTTTCGTTTTATACTCTTTTCATTTTGATCCCTTGAATGCGTGGTGACATTTCACATAAGCGGCGAGATACATAAAACGTTTTTATTCTTGACATTCTCTTTTGCGGCCGCATTTATTTACAGACATAGTTTGCATACTTTTGAATACTCAGAATTGCTGCCAATTCCTTTGGAAACACTTGTTACATGATTGCGTTCGCCTGTTCGGTGTTTCTACTTACTCCTATAGGCGCCCGTTGTTATCTGGGACTCGGCTGGAATCCTTATTTTCCTTATCACTAGTAAATAAATTATTTACCCGAGATTTATTTAACTTTACTTCCTCCTTTGCTGCCAGTGACTAGTCTTTAGAGTTATACATTATTTAGGAGTTTGATGAAGATGGTGGGTGGATAAAAGGGGGAGGTTTTGCACACGGGAAACCCGAGACTATGGGGCAAATATATGTGGATAAAACGTTAGTTAGTTAAAGCATAAGTAACCGAGCCGGCGGGTTCATAGCTGGAACTGCTCGAGCGTCCCAAATCCATGTAGCCCACACTCTCCCATCACACATCCGGTTGAATTGCCAATCCACCGTGTGCACAATGGCCCGGCCGAGGCGATTGTTAGGCCATTATTAACGGTTATATTAACCAATGGCAGCTTTTCCCCAATCGGCTGAAACACCACACGAAATCCGATCGGTAAATCGTCCGCGATTGGGCGGCGAACGGGGCTTCGGATGGGTTGAACGGTTGCCCCGGTGCATGCGGAGTAGAGTATTTTCCCACCCCGAGACAAGTAGGCACTAACGTGTTCAGTTTGTTGAGGAGTAAGAACATAGAACCAGACGACCGAGTAAAGGCCGATGCGGCTGCGCCCCCAGTACCACGTTTTGGTAGTTGTCGTGAACGGCACATCACTCCAGTTCTAGGTATCGGTAAGTATGTAGTTATTGAACTCGTGGCGTTGGATGATCGGTCGTCGTGGCGGACGCCTGTTGCGCTCTTACCTTGTCATGATATGCAGAACCGTGAAACCGGAGCCTTGCTCCTGCAATTTCCATATCAACTGATGCATTGCCATCGGGTATGGCGTTGGCCCACCCAACGTGCGGACAGACTTGCATATCCACATTTGGAGCTGCGGTACCGCATGGATAATGTGGTGGCGCTATCTAGAATTGGCTGAAGTTAATTATCAAGAAAGATATACGGGGTATATCGGGCTGGACTGGGAGTGGTATACTGATTTGATATCAAACGTGCCCCTGATTCCATGTTTCTTGTCATTGAGGGACACACGGTACCGTGAAAGATCTGCAGAGCCTTGCCACCCCATCCGTATAGGATGATATATACCTGCGTATCCAGTTTTGCTGGTTTCGATGACCGCTTTCTGCGCAGGTACGATATGCGTGGATACGGTTCCGTTGGGAAAGGACGCCCATATATAAACCGGTAGGGTTCCTATATTAGGCAACAGGAATGGAAATGCCACAGAAGAGCTGGTGAAAAAGACGACGGTGATGGATGAATTCTGGTCCTCTGACACAGCGTCAAAGTACCACCAGTCATAGACGGTTAAATTGACAGAGCTAAGCTTAGGACTATCGAAATCCGCCGCTCCTGATATGAATTGAACCTCGCTCGGGGAGAGAGAAGAAGTAGAATCAAGTACGTTGATCGATCCCGGTCTGGCTCCGCGATATGACACTGAATCGGCGGCCACAGCCAGACCAAGGCAAGAGGTAGAAAGCAGATAAAACAATGCAAAGGAGCTCATTGTGTTAAAAATTTAAACAGTATGATAGAGAAGCAAGAAAGGAACAGAGTCAGAGAGAGACTCGCTTTCAAATTTGGGGGGATCAAGATCTAGCATGACTAGCCCTCCTCTGGATTGTCATCTCACCACAGCGAGGACAAGGGTGCTAACGTCGTCTCCAATGTCGAAATAGGGTATAGTAGCAGGTGGTACCATGCGTTTGGTTCCTGTAACCGTCCATCTTCTCTACCACGGGCACTCAGTACATGATGTTGGATGGCTAATCTGCCGGGCAGATATAACAAACGGTTCCCGTTCAACGCCGCCAACTCGATAGCCGAACCACGCGAGTTATGCGGCGTATCGGCAGCCTCGAAAGGGAAATAAAAATAGATAGATAAAAAATAAAAAATGGCCGCTAGGAGAATTTTTCACCGCGTCTTTGTACATGTGCATAAGCGCATGCATGCAGGTATCTTCCCTGTCCCTTGGTATTCGTGTATGAGATGCCGGTCCGTCCAATGTGGACGTCCATTCACTTTCTTATTCTGGGTGTCATAGAAATGCCACAAATCCCTGTCATCGTGGATGGCTGAATGTTGTGCACCGTAGGATCCGCAGATACGCCCTCAGCCAGCCATCGGCTATCTCCTGCTGGAGATTGAGCTTGTAACACGTCGTCTATCATGCTCCAAAAAGCATTTATGACATCGAACTTCAACTTTTTGCGTCCATTGACCAACTCGGATTTACCTCGGCCCGTGTTGTTTATCCAGTCTTCATGTTTATCCGAAGAGTTTATCCGAGAAGTTTGCACTGTTTGCAAAGTGTTACATAATACTTACATAACTCATCTCTGATTGGCCCAACCAGGCCTGGCCCACCGAAAAAGAAAATTCGAATTCTCGCTTAGCGTTAGCGCGGTTTGGGCAGGTATATAAACTCGTCCTCCTCTCGACCCTTTTCTAAAAACCAGTCGACTTTACTTCAAAGAATGTGAGTACACATTTGAGCTCCAGGGCCTCTCTGCCTTTTCATGATGAAATGATCACTAACAATTCTTCTCCCAACAGCATTTCTATAGTAAACGACCCTACTCTGTAGTTTTTACGAAAGCGACACGAGTCCCAACCTTGCTGATGACCCCTATGTCCTCGATGCCCTAAAGTGAAGCCTTTTTACTCTCGCTTACATTTCGGCAGGCTTGATGATGCATGATTACGCTTCGGCGTTTGATTGTATCTCATCCTGTTGATCTAGAGAGTGGTGATGATCTTGACCTTGTCGTGGCGTCTGACTTCGGTCGGCCTGGCAAGGTGGGTGTCGAGGAGGTCTGAAAGGTTCTCTTAACGTCTAGTTATTGGAATGGGGTTCGTGGATGTTTAGTTTAGCTGCTTAGTAGTATCAATACAAGAAATTTCAATTGAATCATTTTGCTCTTTGTAGGCCATGAAAATTTAAACCACTCGCGTAATCAATAATGTGTGCAATGTTGCTCCCGTTGAGAATAGAAGCTATACGGCCTCGTCAAGCTAAGAGGCTGTAGGTCGAAGGACTGGTGGTTGAAAATTTACTTCCATCGTTGGATGGATATGTGGAAAAGATTGATATTGACTTATTTACCGCGTCCTCCACCACCACCACCGCCGCCGCCGCCGCCCCCTCGACCATATCCTCCTCGTCTCGGCCCTCTACCACCACGAGGCCCTTGAGGAGTCCCCCGAGAAGCGGGAGTAGGCGTAGGAGCAGAGCCTGACTGTGATGACCTCGACCCTTGCGGTGATTGTTGTCCACCACCGCCGCTTCCTCCACCGCGATTAGCATTACCACCTCTGTTCTGCGCTACAGCAGCCGACGTCCTCCTCTCAAGTACCACTACCTGACTCTGGGCAATAGGCACTGGACTTGCATCGATAGCTTTCCGTAGACTTGCAGGTTCCGCGAAATCAACGTACCCGAAGCCTTTCTTCTTATCAATTTCTACATGTATGACCTTGCCAAACTGCGAGAATCCTTTTTCAAGTAGATCCTCCGTTACGCCCTGGGATGGGTTGGCATGTTTTAGGAATGCTTGGGTTATGGCCGTTGACGACTGGGAGGACTGTTTTTGCTGCTGTTGCTGCTGCTGCTGATTCTTGGGGCCAGAAGACCCTGGTGTCTTTGTATTCGGGGATGGGCCGGTAGATGGAGGTGTTGCTGCCCTCCTGGCCGCCGCTGCGTTTCGGGCTGCTGCTGGCTCCGTGGGTGGAGTGCCTTTCAGCGGTTTGCCCGGTGTAGACTTTGGCGTTGAATCGGCGTTACCCTTAGTCTTGGGTGTAGATGCTGGCTTGTTATCTTCAGGCTTTGAGCTTGATGGTCGATCCTTCTTGGTATCTTCGGCGGCAGACGTATTGCTGTTAGGCCTAGAAGGGGATGATGACTGGCCGGCCTTCTCCCTTCTTCGTGAAGGAGCAGCAGTAAGGCCTAAGTCTCGTCGAAGGATCTTGGTGGCCGCACTGAGATTTCCTCTTTCCCTCCTCCGCTCGGGGGCCGGTGAGGTAGTCGGTGGATTTGATTGCCCAGAGTTGCCCTTATTCTCTGGTTTCGCGGGGCCGTTTGCAGCCTGCTTGTTCGTAGCCTTTACAACATCCTTTACAGCAGCATCCTTTGTTGCCTTGTCCTTCTTCTGTTTCTCTGATGTTGATTTTTCCGCACGGCTGAGAAGCTGCTTCTTCCCATGCGACTTATCAGCCTTGCTCTCTTTAACAGCGGCTGATCGTGATTGCTTCGACGGCTTCGACGACGTGGCTGCCTCCTTCGCCTTGTTCGCTTTCTTGTCTCTCAAGTATTGGATCAGCGGCGTGATAGCAGGTCGCTCTACCTTTTCTGCGCTTTCGGTCTCCTCATCAGATGGTTTGGTAACCGGGTTCGTCAGGCTCTCCAGGAAGGCAATGAACTCCGCATCCTGGTCAATGGTGCCTACCCGAGCATCGTTTCGAACCTTCCCACTAGGCACACGTGAAAAGGGGGCGTACTCCAGCGTCGGTGGTCCAAGTAGGGCGGAATCGTTGTAGCTATTTCGCGCATCTTGAAACGGCGTTTGGCGGATAACATCTGACAGTTCTGGGATAGTAACCGAAGAAGTAACTCGTAAATAAGCCCTCCCAGGACGAGATGGTTTCGACGGGCTATACCGATATTAAAAAACTCCCACGGTTAGCTATACCTTTCATATCGTAGGCATAGAATGGTAAACTGACTCAGTAGACACCTTCCCTTCTTTAAACAGAAACCAATCGATTTTCCCTCGTCCGACTTTCCAGTGATCTCCGAGAGCAGACTCAAACTCGCCCTGTGTCATACCCGGTGGCAGACGCCTGACATGAAGCTTTAGCCGAGGGACATTTGCTTTGCTGGAATGTCCCCTCGACGATGTGGTTGCTGGAGCGCCCTTCTGCGTCGCCGACGGGTTTATGGCCAGCACTCCCGGGGACGCCTTTGAGTGAGGTTTCTGCGACATGGTAGCAGGGAAAGCGATGTGAACGCCAGTCTATCAGAAGTAGGGATCCCAGCCTGTCCCCAAGTAATATCCGTGGATATCGTGAATATGGGCAGCGAAGACTGATGTCGTCTGGAAGCCCCGATCACATGACCTTATCCAGATCCCTTTCTACTTCGTCTTTCTTCTTCCTATTCTAATTTCTAACAGGCATGAAGTATGAGGTCTATCATAGGGCAGCTTCGGATGTCCATATCAATATGGATCTAGACTATGAGATGCTAGACGGAGCACACACCAGAATGTGGACTTGGATATGCAGTTCCGATCTAGATGTCATTTTTATACCAACCACAAAGCCGGTTACAATGGATATTATACCACCTGTTCCCGTCTATTATGCTGTGAATGCCATATAGACAAGCGAGAACGACCTTCCAGCCGGCTTCCCTTGAGATTGAGACTTGATGGAGCTAGTTTGAGTATGTTTTATACATATTCTCGAGATACATGCTCAATTTGCCTCTTCTGGGACCTCGATGGCTCGCCCACGGTTCAACCTTCGCCTATGACGCGCTGGTTATAAAGAGAGAAATTTCTGCTTCCGTATATCTTGACCCAAAAGATATTTCATTTCTTTCATCTTCCCAACCACCTATTCTCCAGCCTCTACAGTCGTCAACGACCTTAATCGACAGACATCTCAAGTCATCTACCTAGGTATCAACAGAACTTACCAACCCTTGACTAAAAGAAAGACACGATGGCTATGATCACTCACGCGCCCATGCCAGCCTCTACTGGTACTATGCACCATGACATGGACATGAACAAGGACATGGGCGGAGGGTGCAAGATCTCGGTAAGACCATCCCGTAACCCCAAACCGCTAGCTTCCCCCTGCTCATATAAACTAGATGTTATGGAACTGGAACGTCATGGACACATGTGAGCTATCACTCTCCTCTGTCTATCTAATCTCCCCAAGGAGGTACGGAGTACAGCGTGATTAAAGTTATGGACAGGCTTCATATCATCTACATGGCAGATCACGTCTAAAGGCATGTTCGCCGGCTCCTGCATCGGCGTCATCCTGCTCGTCATGTCGCTCGAGTTCCTGCGTCGTCTGGGGCATGAATTCGACAACCACATCGCTGGCCGGCCGTCTTTGATCAGCACTTTCGTCTCTCACCCTGCCCCGGTGGGATCAAGGGATGCCGAGAGCGAAGACACCGAAGACCCCCTACCCAAACCAGTTACTCCCGCCTCAGCACCGAGCGGATGTGTACATGGACAAGGACAGAGACGATACTCCCCAACACTCTTGCAGCATACAGTTCGTTCCTTGCTGCATATGATGCAGTTTGGCGTGGCGTATTTCGTGATGCTGCTGGCCATGTATTACAATGGGTATTTCATCATCTGTATCTTGATCGGGGCGTTCTTGGGTAGCTTTGCCTTCTCATGGAAGAGTCAGGAGAGAAGGTGAGATTGAAGCCTCCCCCCCACCCACCGTGTCTTTTCTTTATCAGCTGTAGCTAACGGGGTGTTATCTGGAGGGATGCCTGTGCTGTGACTGTGTGCTGTGGTTGAGATAGCTCTTGACCTGCCATCACCCTTGATCCATGCCGATGTTTATCGACCCACTGTTCATGATGCCACGGGACAAAACAGATCTTGATGCCCGTTCCTCATCCTAGTTTTAACTTACAGCTTACCCTGCATGGCAGTATGTCCTGATCTACTCTTTAATTATTATGCTCGGGCATAAGTTCTTTCTGCAAGTCGAAGAGGAGATCTCAATACGGCCATAGATACAGAATAAAAAAATAATAATAATACGCCATTTATGCAACGAGTCTAAAATATATAATATATGGAAAAAAGGGAAATAGAAAAAAAGGAAAAACATGATATGCGTGAGCATGTATAGCATCGCGGTCTAGAACTCCTTACTCCCCAGCGTAAAAATGAAACGACATAAAAAAAAAGAACACCAAAATGGCTGCTATGCGTCAACTTTGTCCATACGTCGTCATCATCGATCGTTGTTAAATCATTCGCACTAAGCTACCTCTTTTGTTCGAGGCGAGGCGAGGCGGCCCTGGCCCACCCCATCCACTCCTTCCCTTCAAACACCTTGCTAATTCGTTTACACTGACTCTGCCGCTCACGCACACCCTTCGGCGTGGTAACCGGTTTAGGAACCACGGGGACCCCGGCAAGTTGTTTCAGAATAACGTCATCTTCTGGCCGTGAAAAGTATACCAATGAGTACCGCGGGCTCGTGCCTTGCAAGCCAGGCAAGGCACAGACGCGATGTACGTTGGCCCTGACGGCGCCTTCGGTAAGCTTGACGAGCTGCTCGCCCATCAGGATTATGCAGTGGCCTGGTATAGGGTTTGCAGGTGTCCAGCGAGCAGTAACTGTAGAGGGTCCCTGGGGGAAGTCGGTAGTGTTGAGGGCCGGGGAGGAGGAGGAGATGGGATTATCCTTGGGGATGATGGCACTGTGGGATGGGGGCTCGGGCTGGGGAGACCGGAATTGTAGGCCGCCAGACCGGTTGAAGAGGAGGGTGACGCTGTTGGAGTCGGAGTGTTCGTCCAGGAGTACGTCGTCCTCGGGGAGTGGGCGTGATTCCTTGCTAGCCTGCAGCTTGATCCAGCGGATCTGATCACCGCTGTTTGCGTCACGGCGGTGGATGTTCTCCAAGGAGCCCCGAGGGAGGTTCAGGATGGAGGTGAGCCGTGACAGGACCAGCGAGATGATGGCGTGGGAGTTTTGGATGTATGTCTTTATGAGCGGGCGTGAGGAGTTGATGGGTTGAGGCTGGGGCCGACAGGTGGTTGATGGACACGGAAGGTCGAGTATATCGTCCTTGGAGACGGTGTAGAACTCCTTGGTGTCGAGGGTGCGGTTACGGTAGCCCTTGTATCTAGATTCGTGTAAGCTGGTGTCAAGTTGATGTCAAGAAGCTGATTGGGATAGATAATGTACCCGTAGTAGCCACCGAACTTGGCCATATCGTACTCTCTCTTCTCGGGCTCGGTCAGGTCGAAGATGTCTCCTCCTAGACGGAAGAGCCGGTCTGCATCAGCCATGACCCTCTCACCCAGCTCAGTCGACCTGAGGTCTAAGTAGAAGCCACCTAGGTCCTGGCATGCGAGCAGAAGACGGTTGGCCTCTGCAGGGTCGTCGGCTAGCAGACTAGCGAGCGAGAGACGGGCCGGAGAGCCATGCTGAGGCCTGTCCAGCGACGGCGGTCTGTCCGTGTAGCCGGACGATATAGACGAGGACGAGAGATTGAAGTCTTTCTTGAGCTGAAAGGCGGTATTATGTTGATCGTGATGTTTCTTCGACCTTGACGCCTTCCGGACCCAGGTCAAGAACTGGCATTGTGAATCAGATACCATGGCCGCCGTCCGGGAACTGAGACAGCGTAGCATTCATGATGCACAAGAAGAGGAAGAGAGAAGAGGAAGAAGGAGAAAAAGGCCGATATCACGCAGAGACAAAAACCAGCGACCTCGACCCTCGGCGCTTGTCTGAAGAGTGGAGCGGCTGTCGCAGCTCACGAGAATTGCCCTTCTCCCGGTTTTCTCTCTCTTTGGCCTGTTTTTTTTTCCCCCTTCTCGTTTTTTTTCTCGCCGGCCCCTCCGCTTAGGACGGAGGGTGGAGACCGTATCACTCGGCTGCGAGGGCTGAGATGGCCATGATACACCGCAAGGCTGGCGGCACATGGAGAAACCACGTTTTTGGGCCGTCGGGATCGCATCTCAAGGTGGTCGCGGAGTGGACGCTGGCGACGGGGTTTAATGCAGCATCCCAGACGCTCCTCCGTATGCTGCTCTCGTCCAGCCACCACGTCAGACCGTTCTCAGCAGCCGGCACGAGAGGAAGAAAAGCCCCGCCGGCCTGTAACATGGCTTGCCACCGCAGCGCATCCTCGCTAAAGGGAGAAGGTCGGAGTACCGTAGCCCGGGGACGCGCTCCTTGGATACGAGCGCCGTTGGGCCTTTTGAGGCTGTTGATGTCGCGGTAAATAAACTACTTTTACGCTTAATGTTAAACTCCGCGTGTCTTTTTTTGTTCTAGAAGAAAAGAAGAGACAGCTGACTAAGCGGCCCCTCGACGTCACTACAGACACAGACACAGACATACGGACAGAGAGAGAGACATACGATAGACGGACAGACAGACAGAAGAGCGACAGAGAGACAGAGAGACAGAGGACATCGATAGCAGGTGCATATGTCCATGACTTAGAGTGACTGCGATTGTGACGACGATTGAGATTAACCGGAGACTGCAATTGAGACATTGAGAATGGTCGACCCGTCAGTCCCCCAGCCTGGCCCAGCGCGACTGAAGCCCAATGCCGGTCCGGACGAGTGGCTCGAGGCGGCCAGGAACTGCAAGTACCTCTCGGAGCACCACATGAAGCAGCTGTGCGAGGTGGTGAAGGAGTACATGATGGAGGGTAGGTCCAGCATCACCACCATCACCATCACAAGTATCCGGCTGACAGGGTAGAATCGAACATCCAACCGGTCTCCACCCCCGTCACGATATGCGGCGACATACACGGGCAGTTCTACGACCTGCTAGAGCTCTTCCGCGTCGCCGGTGGGATGCCAGGCGATACTCGACCCGCCGCCCCCGCCACGGTCATCACATCCGACGACATCGAGCCGCCGACGACCATCACAGATCCGAAGCTGAAGCAGAGACTGAGAAACAGCTCGCCGCCCAACTCTGTCATCGAAGACGACGGCGACGATGAACCGACCAAAACGGCGGGGGACACATCGCCCATCGGCAACTTCATCTTTCTAGGCGACTACGTGGACAGAGGATACTTTAGTCTGGAAACACTCACCCTCTTACTCTGTCTGAAGGCCCGGTATCCGAACAAAATCACGCTTGTTCGAGGAAACCATGAATCCCGCCAGATCACACAGGTGTACGGCTTCTACGACGAATGCGTCCAGAAATACGGCAACGCATCGGTCTGGAAGGCATGTTGTCAGGTATTCGACTTTATGACTCTCGGCGTCATCGTGGATGGGAAGGTGCTCTGTCTACACGGTGGGTTGAGCCCGGAGATACGGACGCTGGACCAGGTGCGTATCGTGGCCAGGGCGCAGGAGATCCCGCATGAGGGTGCGTTCTGTGATCTTGTCTGGTCCGATCCAGACGAGACAGAGGATCTAACCTGGGCCGTCAGCCCGCGTGGAGCAGGTATGGACACCCTTACTGTATATATTTGGATGCATGCTAATGTGAGATAGGCTGGCTATTCGGCAGCCGCGTGGCTGATGAATTCTGCGCGGTAAACGACCTGAACCTCATCGCCCGCGCCCACCAGCTCGTCAACGAAGGATACAAATACCACTTCGACAGCCAGACGATGGTGACGGTCTGGAGTGCACCGAACTACTGCTACCGATGTGCCAACATGGCTAGCGTGTGCGAGGTGAGAGAAGACCTGAAGCCGGTGTTTAAGCTCTTCGCTGCAGTGCCGGCGGAGATGAGACATGTTCCTGTTTCGAGGCCGCAGAAGGCAGAGTACTTCCTGTAACTAACCCCTACATACTTTTATCTATGGATATGGATATGGATATGGATGGGGGTGGGTGGGTGTTTGGGCATGGGTTTGGCGTTACCTCTTTTGGTATATTGTGCATACGTTTACGAGTATTATGAAAGCAAATACCATGAATCTAGCCATGCTAGAATTAGACGTATATTGGTGAACATCATTCGTTTTATTGCATTTTTAAACCCAGGCAGTCGTATTTACAATGCACAATTTTAGCATGCTTGTTTCTCCTGCTGCTCTTAACCGAACATGGCGTCGCCAAGGCGGATACGCACGGTCTTGATCTGGGTGTAGTTGTCGAGAGCGTATTCTGCAACAAGTTAGTATCAGGATGATAATATTATAGGGAGAAATGTTATAGGCAGGGATAAGGAGTGAACGTACCTCCCAATTCACGGCCGATACCGCTCTCCTTGAATCCACCGAAGGGAGACTGGAAGGAGATGAGGTTGTAGCAGTTAACCCAGACGGTTCTATCAAACGTTAGCAGAAGTATATATACGCGTGGAAGGAAGATGCCTACCCAGCCTTGAGAGCGTTGGCAACACGGATGGAGGTGTTGAGGTCCTTGGTGTGGACGGCAGAGGCGAGGCCGTAGGAAGAGTTGTTGGCGATTCTGATGGCGTCCTCCTCGGTGGTGAACTTCTGCATGGTGCAGACTGGGCCGAAGATCTCCTCCTTGACGATCTTCATGTCGTCCTTGCACTCGCTGAAGATGGTGGGCTGGATGTAATAGCCCTCGGTTCCGTGACGTTCACCTCCGACCTCGACCTTGGCACCCTCCTTCTTACCCTCTTCGATATAGGTCATGATACGGTCGAACTGGAGCTTGGAGATCTGGGGACCCTGGAAGGTCTCTGGGTGGAATGGGTCTCCGACCTTGTTCTGGTTGGCACGCTCCTTGAAGCGGGCGAGGAACTTGTCATAGATGCCCTCCTGGACGAGGATACGGGATCCGGCACAGCAGCACTGGCCGTGGTTGTAGTAGATGCCGAAGTTGACCCAGCTGATGGCATTGTCGATGTCAGCGTCGTTGAAGACGATGTTGGGGCTCTTTCCGCCGAGCTCGAGAGTGACCTTCTTCAAGTTTGACTTGGCAGCCGCCTGGAGGATCTGGCGGCCGACGACGGTGGAGCCGGTGAAGGCGACCTTGTCGATGTCCATGTGGCTCGAGATGGCGGCACCGGCAACACGGCCAATGCCAGAGATGACGTTGACGACACCTGGAGGGAAACCAGCCTCGACGATGAGGTTGCCGACGAACAGTCCGCTGAGCGGGGTCTGCTCGGCGGTCTTCATGACGATGGAGTTACCGGTGGCCAGGGCCGGGCCGATCTTCCAGGCGAACATGAGCAAGGGGAAGTTCCATGGGATGATCTGTCCGCACACGCCGACGGGCTCGTGGCGGGTGTATGTGAAGGTCTCGTGGTCGGTGTCGATGACTTTGCCCTGGACCTTGTCGGCCCATCCACCGTAGTATCTCAGACATCCGGCAGCGTTGGTGACGTCCGCCTTGGCCATGGACAGGGCCTTGCCGTTGTCGAGGGCCTCGATTGCGGCAATGACCTCGATGTCACGCTCGAGCAGGTCGGCAAGCTTGGTCAGCATGCGTCCCCTGTCGCTTGGAGCAACCTTTCTCCAGGGGCCGTCGACGGCGGCACGAGCAGCGGCGACGGCAGCGTCGACGTCCTTCTCGGTAGCTTCATGGACGGCGCAGATGACCTTTTCATTGTGAGGGTTGATGGTCTCGAAGGTCTTTCCCTCGATACCCTTGACGTACTCGTTGTTGATGAACCTGCCGGCTGTTAGTATAGGTATCTATATAGAGAGGGGAAGCTGAAGCTTACAGTCCGAGTGGCTGCTCGTAGGTGACGCTGGGCGTCTCGATCTTCTGTGTAAGGGCCATGATGTGTGATATGATTGGGATTGATGTGAGTGAAGGTGATGAGAAGAGAGGAAGAGAAGAAGAAGAGGAGGAGGAAGAGGAGGAGAAGAGGAGGCGAGGAGGTGGGGTATGCAGCTCTCTTGTTATGTACGCATCTATGGCCGTCGATGTCGGTTGATGTAAGGGTACCTGGCGTCCAGCCGAACGGCAGGCACACTCCCATGTACCTCCCCATGTCCCCCCATCCCCTCCCACTCTCTTCCACTGCCATTCTTCCACTCATCTTCCACTCTTTCCTATCTACCCTGCGATCTTCCCTGCCATGAGACTCTTAGCAACCACCTGAAACCCGGCCGAGACTCCTTTCTATCACTGCTATCACTGGCTCCAGAGTGGTTCGGCATCTTGCTCGGCGCTGTCTCTCGCCGACTCGGCCCGCCAGCTCTTTGATATGTAATCACTCTGATCGGCGATGTGACGCGGCAACCGCCGGATCCCCTATCTCTACTAGGTAACTTTCTCTATGTATAGTCTACCTATATGTATGTATGTATATAGTAAGGGTGAGTGTGTGTAGATGCATGTGTGGTGTATGTACTTCGTATGTGGTGGTGTGGGTGTATATAGAGTCTTCTGTGAACTTTTCCTACAGCTGTGATGGCCGAAGGGAAACCGCCTTGCCAAGCTGCGTCCCGAACCACTACACGTGACCACGACCTTTGACGCCTGGTTCGAATCCCCGAGTCGCGATCTTTCTCCTTTACGGGGCGAGATTCTCCCGCACTCGTGTGAGCAATCCACGATCGGCTGCGGCGCGCTAGGACATGGAAGTGACGCTTGAGGGAAGCAATTCTGCAGAGGCCTTCCACTCGGGGATGGCGGCGCCAGATCACGTCGGCGTGCGGGCCGTAGTAGGGCTCTCGGCGGTTGACTTTTTGCTCTATACACATTCTATACTCTATATTTTTATATAAGAGGCATTATTTGACAGGGAGGATTATTTCGAGCTGTCATAGATATCACCACGCTGCTTCACAAGAGAGGACATATGTGTGCCGACATCAGTTCCAAGACTGGCAAAGCCGTTGATGACGCCCTCGCGGTCCCCCTTGGTGTCCTCCTGGCTCATCTTGAACTTCCCCCCGATGCTCTCGACCGTGACCTCGATGCCGATGATGGCCTTCTTCATGATGTTGATGTACGCCTCCGGGGCGTCAGACACCTTCCACGGCTCCGGCTGTCCGTCCTGCCCCGTATACCCCATCTGAGAGGTCTCGCACAGCTGCGACAGGTCGTGGATCTGCTGCGAGAGGTAGCTCGAGGTCTCTGCGGCGCGAGAGTCAACGTACACGGTGGCCTTGCCGTATACCTGCACCGCAGCGTAGTTCCAGGTCGGCACCACCTTGCCGGTGCTGGGCTTGGTCTCGGTGTAGAACTTGGGCGTGACATAGTGGTGGTGCGAGCCCGTGAAGAGGATCATCACGTCCTGCGTCAGTTGGGCCGGACACTGTCCTGCAGCAGCCTCGATGATGGCCTTGGACTGCGGGTTCTGTCGGGCCATGTGGCCGCGCAGTTTTGCCCTTGACGGGTGCGTCGGGGTCGGTGGTGAGTTCATCGAGCACCCAGGGGATGTGGCTGGCCTGGAGCAGCGGGTGAGACGGCGAGGAGATGGCAGTCGTCAGCACTCCGAGCGGGTTCTGCTTGATGAACCCGAAGAGGGCTTCGATGGAGCCCTCGGCGTGTGTGGCTCTGAGATACATGTTGTGTAGTTATGGAAGAGTGTAGGAAACATCGCCATCACCTTTAATATAGTCTGTAGTCAAAGGGCGTAGAATAGCCGAGGCCATCGCCCCGCCGAGTTCCTATATCAAGTCTCTCTCTCTCGGCGGTTTGATGGAGTAGTTAGTATCAGTCCAATCAACAAGGATATATATCTATCAGGTCGTCTGCTAACTGTCTATGATTGGCTCTCGGCGGCCCTTCTCCGTGCCCCTCCAGCTCCAAAGCCGCCTGCCCCGCCATATTTATACGTTCAAACACTCATATCTCAATCTGTCACCCGTTACTTTACTAGTCAGTTAGTTACTAGGTAGACATTACCATCACCATGGCCGGCCAAGCTGCGCAGAAACTGCTGCAAGCCGTACGCATAGCCCCTGAGATCTTCCAGCTGCGTCCAGACTACCGCGCCCTCCTGCTGGTGGTTGAAGGCATCCCTCCAGGCCCCAGCGATGATTCCACCGAGGCCCTCTTACAACAGGCCGAAACCACCGCCAAAGACCTCCTGTCCAAACACCCCGTCACTGAAATCCCACACATCGCCGCATGGAGAGAGGCATACAAGGCTTTCGGAGCCAAGCCGCAGAAGACACGCAACAGTCTAGAGGCATTGACTCGCCGCGTAGAAGGCGGCTTACCCCGTGTTAACCGGTTGACGGACATCTATAATGCCATCTCCGTCAAGCATCAGATCCCCCTGGGCGGCGAAGACCTGGACCAGTACGATGGATCGCCGTATCTGATCCGCGCCACGGGCCAGGAACAGTTCCATACTTCCTCGGGCGGAGAGCCGTTGGTAGAGAATGCGGCACCGGGAGAGCCTGTATGGTGTGATGGCTCTGGAGTCACTTGTCGCCGCTGGAATTGGCGACAGTGTCCCCGTACTGCGCTGACGGACCAGACCACGCGCGTCTTCTTTGTCCTGGATGCTCTTGAGCCGCTCTCAGATGATGCCCTGACCGTGGCTGCTGACGAGCTTGCCTCGTTGCTGAAGAACCTCTCGCCGGAAGTGCAGACAGCACAGCGACTCGTCACCGCTTCAACTCAGTCGGACCAGGCGTGATCAACCATCTTGACCTAATGCCTATCTTTCCATCTCTCCAGTTCGGGTTTCGTCTAGTTAAGGTATCGAGTTTCGGCTGTTTCGGGTTCTAGAGTATCACCTACATATGTACCAACTAGAAGTATGTGAATAACGAGTGGTCCACCATCGTTGCTGGTCGACAGTCTTTTCCAGCCTGTGTTAGATATCGAAGAGCTTCTGTTAAATAATAAGAGCTTCTCTTAAATGAGGAAGATCTTGACTTCTCAGACGTCGTTTTTGGATTTTCATTAGCTTCAAGCCCCTGGATTATATAATTCCCACTAAGAAGTCTACGGACGCCGTCGCCGAGACGGACTTTGATGGCCTTCCAGGGCTGAGAGCTGCTCGTTTCTAATAATTCGGCCGTCGGGACAAGTCAAGCAGACTCGTGTTGGTTAAAGTGCTGTCTACCCCCGTATGGCTGCCCTGGATTACAAATCGCCATCCCATCCTTTGATCCTGCATCCTCCCGACCCCTGCACCATCCGCGCGTGTTGCAGGAACAGCCACAGCTGGTTATTCGACTGTTCGCTCTCGTTGGTAGCTCCACCGGCTAACAAGCCCACCGACGAACCGCTTCTTCACGGACGAGCTGGCCGGTTGGTCGGACGGGTACGGACAACACGAAGCTGCTTACTCTTCACCGTGAGAAGGGGTCTCCATGGCTGCCTGGAATCGGATCTCCGCCTCGGGTGAACTGTTGGCCGACAGGCCGTCGATGGGCCGTCGATGGGTAATGAGAGCAGCTATGGTGGGGGCGGGGTCGATATATAAGTCTACGAGCTCTCCCAGGTCCAGTATCAATACCGACAACATCATCAACAGCTCAATTAGCACTACCAACACTATCAACACCAGCTAAGACAGAGAATCATCGTTACAATGCCTCAATTCACCCTCTACGCCAACATCATCGCCACGGCACCAGACCGTGTGCAGCTTGCCATCAATGAGGCTGGCTTTACCGATTACGAGCGCATTGAGGTCGACATGGGAACCCAGGAGCACAAGGTAGCCACCTCGTCACCCATCTAGATCTTCTTCGCTAACTGATGACAAAAGACACCCGAGTACCTTGCTCGCAACCCCTTCGGCAAAGTCCCTACCCTCGTCACCTCAGATGGAATCACCATGTACGAGTCCCGCGGCATTGCCCGCTACCTCTGCACCCGATACAACTTCGACCTCCTCCCCGACCCCAAGGACAACGCTGCCGTGGCTCTCTTCGAGCAGGAAATCTCCTGCGAGGCCGCATACTTCGAACGCCCAGTATCCAGCATCGCCTACGAGTCATCCATCAAGCCAATTCTCGGAATGGAGACGAACCAAGAGAACCTTGAGGAGGGCAAGAAGCTACTAGGCCAATACTTCGACACCGCCGAGGCCATCTTCAACAAGACCGGCAAGAAGTTCTGGGCTGGTGACAAGTACACCCTTGTCGACGTTTATTATATCCCACACCTCGCCAGGATCTTTGAGCGTGGCTATGGCGACCTAGTTACCTCCAGACCTGCCCTCAACGCTTGGTGGCAGAGGTGTCTGGCCCGTCCAGCTTCCAAGGCATTTATCGAAAATGTGCCCAAGCTGGAGGAAGTGTTGGCTCATATCCAGAAGGTCAAGGCGGCCAAGGAGGCGAAGTAGAATGTTGTTATTGCATAATATTGGGAGCAGCGAAGGTAGTTAAAATGAATTAGCAATGACATTTCTTGACCTACATACATTCTTTTTTTATATCAAGGCCCGAACTATCGTAGATAGTGTTCTTTTACTCGCAGTAAGGATCACGTGATAAAACTGAAAGTGAACGACGGCTTCAACGACGACATGATCATTCGATCAACAACTGAATCTCGTTCATCCACTCTGGCAGAGTCATGTCCATGCCAGTAACGAGCTTCTCCATGATACGAGCCAAATCCCCCACCATCTTCTTAGCCGTCCCCGAAGCCATGATGTGAGTGTTAGCAATCAATTCGATGCCAACGCTCCCGCCCCTCGAGACCGATAAAATGAAGATGAATGGGGACACAAGCGTCTTCTTAAAGGTCTTCATCCGTGAAATGCCACCTGGCGTCTGGATCGCAGGTTCCTCGTCGACGTTTCGATGATGGAGAACCGTGTCGAAGCTTGAACCGGCCGGCCATTCGGTGCAATGCTTAATGATATCCCTAAAGTCAAGCGAGTCCGCATCTCCCATTGAGAGATATTGCTCTTGAATGGTGTGAACCAGTTCAGAAACAGTTTTGATAGATGAGAAATCAACACGCTCCGGCAGAATATTCAGACAGCATCCAACGATATTCTCCACAGCTGGAATTGCGGCGTTGCGGCCAGCGACTACATGGCCGTAAATCACATCAGATTCGCCCGCCAGCTGTGAGAGGAGTACAGCCCATGCGGCCCGTACTAGTGTGGCGTGAGTAATCTTGCCGGTACGATGTACCAAATGCGCCTCCGTCGCGGCGAGTACTTCCTCCGGCACGGTGATCGGAGGATTAACGGGGCGAACATGGGGCCCAATGGGAGTAAGATGGGACCCTTGCAATAATTGACTCCAGTACGCAAGCGATTGGCCACGACGGTTGGCGGCGTAAGCTAGGAACATGGGAAAGGTTGGCTTCGCAGGAATCTCCCCTTGGTCGCTATCGAAGATCGATTGGAGTAGAAAGGGCGCGCTGAAAGCATCATATTGAGCGTGCGACCACCGCACAGTTAACCTCATCCCCTTATCGTGTTTGAAAAGAATAAATGCGGCGGGGGCCTGGGTTGGTACTATTGATTCCACGTTCTTGAGGCAAAAGTTCCGGAAATACTCCTCGAGATCCCCAACAACGTTATAAACGCTGAAAGCGTCATTGAGCTGATGCAAGACAACCTGCCATGACTTACCCTGGATCTGGAAAAAGCGGGCGCGAAGAATGGGGAACTTTTCGAGAACTCTCATACACCTGCCTTCCAAGTACGACACGTTTAGGCCCGCATCGAGATCAAGATAGGAATAATCCGCTATTGGACCAGATGCTAGACTAGCAGCCACAAGAGTCTCCTGGACGCCAGTCAGAGGATGTATATCTGTGATATCTGCAGGGTTGATTCCAAACTTCAAGTCGAGCTCTCTAAGCAAAGTGGACTTGATAGAAGGTTCAACGAGAATAACTCCATCAAGTTCCTCGGGTGCATCGTTAGTGCTCAGTGATTGCTGCTGGACCAGCTTTGCGATTGTATTCTGGCGGAAGACGTCTGCCATCTTCATATTCATGCCAAAAGTGCGGGCTTTGCTCACAGCCTTCATGACGGTCACGGAGTCACCTCCGAGCTGGAAGAAACTGTCGTCAAGGCCAATGGTAGCTAGGTCAATATTTAGCATCTCAGACCAGATACCTTGCAGCGTCTTTTCGGTCTCCGTGCTTGGTTGTCGCTTCCCTCCCACAGATTCTGACTGCAATTCCAGAATATGTTGCGCCGTGAGTGCCGAGCCCACCTGGCGCAGGATTCTCCGATCAGTCTTCCCAGACGCCGTCAGTGGAAGCCTTTGGATTGGGAGAAACACTGATGGAACCATGTAATAGGGTAGCACTGTCTCTAATTGTCTTTTGATACCCTGAATAATAGCCCTGATCCGGTTATCAATAATCACACCGACGCCATTTGCGTTTTCTTTGCTAGGCTTGAGCACCAAAAAGCCGATCAGCCTAGCGCTGCCATTACCGAGAACACTCAGTTCGACGGCAACTTCCTTCAGGTCGGGTGACGATTGCCTCGCTTGGTGCTCAATCTCTCCAAGCTCAATACGCTGGCCGTGCAGCTTAACCTGAGTATCCTTCCTCCCAAGCAGGTCGATCGATCCGTCGCTTCTATATGAAGCGATGTCACCAGTTCGGTAGAACCGTGACGAGGCAGCGACGGGGCCTAGCGCAGCTCTCCAGGACGGCGCCTTGATAAAGGATTCGGCCGTCTTCTTTGGGTTACCAATGTAGTGCCGTCCGATTACTGGTCCTTCAAGAACGATTTCACCAGGTGCACCGATCGGCACCAGCTGGTTGGTATTTCCTGGGCTGGTGAGCCAGCATCTACAAGTAGTCGCTTTTCCAACACTGGTAACCACCGAGGTTGGATCCAATCCAGCTGACGAGACAACAGCAGCAGTTTCCGCACTGCCATATGCCTGGCGCAAATGGACCACTGCCGCCCAGTCCTTGATCTGGGAGCTTCGGATGGCCTCACCACCGACGCAAATTGTCCGCAGGGATGGAACGTCATCCGGGTGGAGGAGGGCCAACACAGTAGAGGTTAAATATGCCCAGTTAGCGTTTAGCTTGCCAATCGTGGGAGCAAGGTTGATACTGCAATCCTCTTTTGACGGGATGCAAATACAACCTCCATGGATTATGGTCATGAGCATCTCCATGATAGCCCCGGCAAAGTTGTAGGAGCCAAACTGCAAAACACGTACAGCTTTGCTCATACCCAAAATCTTGCCATGGGCAAAAGCAGCCGAACAGTAAGATCGATGCTCGACAACACATCCCTTTGGCTCTCCAGTACTACCGGAAGTGAAAATGATATAGGCGGAGTTGCTGGCAACAGTTTTTGGCATCTGTGACGGCGATCGCTCACCTTGCGACTTCAAAGATTCTATTGTGTCTTTTGAAAGCACGACCGTTTGGCAGACGAAGGGAGATAGCCGGTTTTGGCAAGACTTGGATGTAACGGAAGTCTCCGCCTGCACCTGTCGGGTGATATTCTGAATACGGCCTTCGGGAAGGTCTGGATCAAGCAGAACGAAGGTGCCACCGGCCTTGAGAACAGAAAGCATGGCCACAACGGTCCACATTGACTTCTCGAAGCATAGAGGTACGACCTTCTCAGGACCAACGCCGAGGCTAACGAAGTAGGAGGCGACGTTAGATGATAGATCATTCAAACCGCGATATGTGAGCTCGCCATCCCAAGCACAGACTGCCTGGGCTTCAGGCTCTGTCTGTGCATGTTCCTGGATGAAGTCTTGAATGCATCGCTCTACAACTGGCGGAATAGCGCTATTCCACTCCAGGATCTGGTTCAGCTCCGACGAGGGAAGCGTCTCGAGATCTTCCAATGCCTTTTCGGGGATTGTGCTATTTAATTGCTGCATCATGAACTCAAGGCGACGCAATAGCTTAAAGACAATCAATGGCTCGACTACCCGTGAGTCAAACGAAGCCTTAGCATGAACTTGGCTGCCAGCAAGTTTAATCTGGATCACGAGAGCGTACTCGCTCAACCCCATAAGTAGGCAAGTTCCCTGGGGCTGTACGAGCAATGTTTGAAATACGCAAGCCTTTTGACAGTCGGAAGATGCCTTGGCGATTTGATCTAATCCCAGCTGCTCATAGGGAATTGACTCCGTCGCCTGCTGTTGGACCGCCTGCAAGTAGTCCGCCACTTCTTGCTCAGGGTTTAATTTAACGCGCACCGGAATGATTGTGTTTCCTCTAGATGCTGCTGCGCCGAATACAATATCGCCGGAGTCAGCCATAGACCCGGTGATTAAAGCCCATGCAGCGTGGACTAGTGTTGACATAAGGATGCCCCGGGTGGGCTCTAGAGGTCGAGAAAACTGGTATTCTGTTTCCTTGTCTGTCTCTGGCCGATCTACCGACAGTGGTAGGGTCGGATATGATGAGCATTCACCCCCCGCAAGAACATTGCGCCAAAAGTCGAGAGGGGAGGAATATGAATATTCGCTGGCTGCTGGCGCTTTCGCCGCTGCCTCGACCATCTTGGAAATACTTGGGTTGTCGGCAGCCCCCATTCTTGCGCTGACCCTGTCAGACTCATGCTCAGGGAGCACAGTGGGAATATCCTGATCATTCACCGTCATATTTGGCAATATCTGCCCAAGGAATGAAACCTGCGGATGTACTTGACATTAGACACTTGCTACCTTGCAACGCAATAGCTATGGGATCGCCAACATACCGAGAAACACAGCTGCGGATTCGGTCAGGGAAATAAGAATATAGAATAGACGACAAACGGTTTGGTCTAAAGTGCGGTCTTCTGCGTATTCTACCAGAATCGGTTAACTTTGGCGTTCGGGGCGGCCCGCTTGATGGAGCTTCCCGTCCCGATCGCGGGACCCACTAGTTAAATGTTTGGAGTGGGGAGAGCACGGACTTCAGGAACCAAGAACGCGCGGTTGGCCACACAATGCTTTTATCTAGGTGGTACCTTTACCGGCCCCAAGGGGCTCACTTGGCCTAGTTCTGATTTTTGTGGCCATAAGGAGTACTTATTAAAGCTTCCCCCCCTCACACTGTGTCCACTTCTATCAATCAAGAATCTGACAACTGCAACTGACCAAACGAGAGAGGAAGGCGACCGCAAAAAAACTGTCTGGTTAATTCTAAGACAGTATGGAGTATTCTGCAGCAAGGGGTTGAAATGAGGTTCCACGGCCGCTCAGTACTGCCCATCTCTTTTCCAGCAGGATTCTAACCGAAAACCCCAGGTTAAAAGTATGGATTTGAGCCCAGAGCCCGCGAAACTACCTAAGTTTCGAGTTTTGTTACTTCATGGTGTGTATAATCTCGAAATATAGAGTACTCTTACTTCTGAGTTTGTTCCTTAACAATGAGCTGCTTCCTCTAGGTTTCGCTGCCAACGGATCTGATATTAAAGCCAAAACAACACCTATTACGCAGAGTATCACCGAGCTGATAACCCCTGAAGTTTTGACCGAGTTTCCAGGAGGTATTGAGTTTTTGATTCCGGATGCGCCCTTGGTTCTCGAGCCCCCGATAGGGTTTGGGTGGAATAGCGAGGACTTTTTTGACGACGACGATTATGAGGCAAGCGACAAGGAAAGTATAAGAGCTGAGAAGCAACGAGAGCAAACCACTTTGGGCTGGTGGTATGGCCGAGATACCGTGAGTAGTTACAGGGGCATCGAAACCTCACTTTCCGCCGTAGCCAAATTTATTCATGGAAGGCCTATCCATGGAGTCATTGGGTTCTCGCAAGGAGGCGCCATGGCAGGCATGGTCTGCTCACTAGTCGATTGCCACGATAACCCAGACAAGATCACCGCTATCCGGGCGCAGGGCCTTCCCGTGGATGACTATCTATCTTTACCAGCCCAGGAGCGACTAAGATTTATGATGGCAATTGGAGGATACCAGGGTACATTGAAATATTATGGCAGTCTTTACCAGTGGCCAATGCAAACGCCGAGCATTCACACACTCGCTAGTATGGATGCAGTGGTGGAACACGCCCTATCCATGGACATAGCACGATCTTTCACGTCTTACGAAATCGTCGAATATTATGGCTCTCACTTCGTCCCTCGAGATCCCACAACCGTAAATGCCCTGGCACGCTTTGTTGTGAATGCGTCTGTGGGCTCCTTTTCGCACCACTCACCAACTGCGACCCCGCCCCTGAATTCATCTGGTAGTACAATTGAACACGGTACATGTCTTACTGCAGCTTCAAGTGCTGGGCTATCTGATAGGTCGCTGCCATCGGTCACATCCTGGAAACGGAGAAGAAGATGGGGTCCCAGGAGCCGATGCACCCGATTTTCGGCTACTCCGACAAAGATGGGGAAATAACCACAATACAACGAAGTCAATGTTACCTAGGCCTATACCGAATATCGATTGTCACAGCTCTACTTTGAACAATCAATACACGAGATACGAGGGTTGGATATTTGACCAGCGTGGAAATGTGGGAGTGTGGAAGTTTGACAACTTTTGTCGGTGAGAAGTGGTGGTACTGTGTAACCCTGAGGCATTATAGCAATGATTTCTGCACTTCGTATTTCATGCAGAGATACCGAGTAGATAGTTAGAAGTTTATACATCCATGGTATTATATCTTAGGTTCTTTGTCGTGGCTTAATTATTTACACAAGAGCTTCTATTTGCCGCCCATGACTGTAAGCTAAAAAGAAGCACGGCCCCAGCCTCCTTAAGGAAGGATAGAATATATTAAAGCATCGAGGCCATGAAGAGCTACTTATCCCGGCCCTTCGATAACAGTGTATGGTGGCACGCAAATTTAAACAAGGCGTTGTAATAATGTTGAAATTTTCCTGGATTCTCTGGAAAGCGACTGGCTTCGGCGAATAGTTTCTCCGCTGTCGGTTGATGCGAAACGCGCCCAGACACTACCACAGCGGCTTCACTCTCTACCTGTTAGGACGCATTTACTTACCGACCCCGATTGCGAGTCATACTCGTATGGCGGCTACTTTAACGCTCGGACAGGTCGTTAGGGGCAGACTCAGCCTTTATACAGTCACAAAGCAACTGCAAGACTGCATTTGGCTTGCAAGGTGTGTACTCGACCTTTGGGTTTCACCAGAGTGCTATGTTATTAAAACAATCGCAGAAGCCAAAACAAGGAGACAGTAGTGGTGAAGAGTGTCGACCACTTCCGAATACACAACGAACGGGACATATTACTTCGTTTCCAAAACAAAACAAACTTACTTCGTCCGCTAGTTGATGAGATTGAAGATTCCTCGGCGCCTCATTCTATAATATTGAGATACCTAGATGATGATATTCTGCATGCCTCAAACAGCCAACGTCTTACGCGTCCAGAGGTGAAATTCATTGTTAGAAAGGTTCTTGAAGGGCTCTCGGTCTTACACGAGGAAGGGTTTGTTCACACTGGTAACACCTCCAATTTGAATTATGTTTAGTGCGAAGTTGTCTAATCCAGGTTATAGATATAAAGCCTAGCAACGTGTTGGTAAACTATGGAAAATATACCCGGTTTAAAGACGTCCAACTGGCTGATTTCGGGAGTACTGTCCAGGTGGACTCTACTTATGCTCAACAAGGGGATCCTATCGGAACCCCAATATTTAGAAGCCCCGAAGCACATCTTCAAATGAAATGGGGCACTTCCACCGACATTTGGTCTTTTGGCGCGTTGGTAAGTTATCCTCATAGAATCGTCGAAATCATGCACGCTGTTGACGAGGCTACAATGCAGCTTATCAGTCTGCTATATGGGGAAGGGTTTCACATCTTTAGACCGGATGTCCCAGTAGACCATGATGAATACGACGTCAAGATTCTCATGAAGCATCATCAGTGCTTCGGCCCATTCCCACTATCATACGAAGATATTGCAGACCAGGAAAGGCTTGCAGTTCTTGCGTGGATAATGCAAAATAGCCCTGGCGAGACGTTGAGGCCCTTTCATCTCACAACCACCAGAGAGATTTGCCAGGAAGATAAGGAGCTTGTACTAAGGACGATGAAGCTCGATCCTAGAGATAGGCCGACTGCCCGTCAGCTCTTAGAAGATACATGGTTTTGCCAACCTTAAGTTCCAAGATTCCGCTTATAGGGCCTGGTTGAAACCTCATTATATGTACAGGCCGATCACGGATCGTGGCACACTGTCCACGATTCTCCCCTCAGCCTATACCTTAGCTCAAATATGTGCGGTTCACGCCCTGCCACGTTATTCTTCCTTGCGTGGAAAATGCACGCTTTTTCCATCACCCTTATCATCAAGACAAACGCCGGGACCAAGTCTTTGGAAACCTCGACGTCTTTCTTGAAGCCTGGGCCCTGCTGGTGTGCAATATACTCGGGTCTGGTTGCGGTGCAAAAGCGACCAAAAATAAATTCGTTGACAGGGTGCATTGTGGAAATATTGTCAAGGAATGAGATCTTACTTCCAAGGTAAATACAGACAGGCACCTCTCCTGGGGCTCTTATGGATTTTCAGGCTGCGGACAATTGAGCCGCCCGAACTGGAAAGCACCTACTATGCAACAAAGGAGGGTGGAGCAAACGTATGATTCGTTCTGGGCTGCATATCTACGCGCTTTGATTCACACGCCCTGCGTCGCCTGAATTTATTCAGTCAATAGGAGCTTCCCATTGGGAATCACATTTAATTCCCGTGCTGCTGCCTGGTATGCCATCACGCGGATCCTAAATGGCGTATCCTTATCAGTATTCATCGAGGGAACTGTAGTAAGCGCACGCCTAAGAGGCGTATCTAGAAAGGCGTGACACTTTTCTCAGTTCAGTAGCCGCACCGACGGCAGATGTTATAATTCAAAAGGGTATAGCTAATTCTGAAAGATCTTCATAGGATATAGGAGAAACACTATGAATCGAATGCTATGAAAGCGAGGAGTACTACTAGTAAGACGCGAGCATTTTAATATTTAACGGTACTCCCATTTAACTTAATATCTATTCATAAAAAAAAGCAAAATCATGTGGGAGAGCCTATGTTCCAAGGAGCGGATGATGATGTCTAGGATCGGTTTGGTTCACTTGATGGCTGTCGTATTCCGAATTAATCATTGCACCACGGCCACGAAGGCAGTGGGGGATCGCTGCCCAGATTTTTGGCAACCAACTGTATCTGTTTGATAACTACTCGAGACCCTGGGCTATCAGCCTTCCCGGGTGGGACAAACTTTGCCATTGCTGTAGTTATCGAATGGACGGGTGGTACTCCATGCCGGTGATCAATCACCTTTGATAATATGTTCAGCTCGCCCAGATTGATAGGCAGTGGCTAGTTGCAGGAGACTTACAAAAACATTTTTCGACTGCCTTCATTAGGTTATTACTTTTCTCCGATAGCGGGTAACTATCAGCACCTGAGCTGATTTACACTCCCACTGAAAAACGTCTTCTTGTGCTACCGAGTTCTTCCAGGCTAGACGTTCATATAATGTATTTTCTCCGCTGGTTGGGTACGGTGGCTAGTTTAATCCCAGTTATTTAACACAAGAACGACCATGGACAGTATGAGACAGCAACCTGTTGCGCAGACCAAAGACGAACGCCAGCGCAAACCAGCCGATGATCTCATAACGATATTCGACACAGTTGCTCAACGACAGCCTAATGACACCGCCCTGGTGTCTCTTCATCAGAAAGACCACTTAGGCATTGGTGCCGTGTGCTGGACTTATTCGCAACTCCGTGATGGGAGTGTCCGCCTGGCTCATCGGTTGGCAGCCGTTGGTTTTATAAAAGGGAGGCGCATCGCTACATTCTTATACAACGAGATTGAATGGGCCGTCCTGTTCCTTGCCTGTGCCCGTCTGGGATGCCACTTTGTTCCTTTGGATCCTCGCACGCTTAACACTCCATCTGAGGCAATATATCTTCTGCGAAAGGTCTGGGCAGAGGGCATTTTTGTATCTAATCTTGCCATGGCCAAATTAGTGGAGAAGATCCTCGATACAGAATTAATGTCCCAGGTGCGATTAAAAGTCATCGTTGCGCCAGTCTCGCTGGTACAAAAGGCCGGTGGTATGTCAAGCGGTTGGAAGAGTCTATCAGCGATCATGGCCGATCCTGATCCGTCCGGGATTGTGCTGAACCAATTGAAGCACGATGATACAATCCTCATGCTGGCGACTAGCGGGACCACATCATACCCGAAGATGTGTCCTCATACATCCATCACTATCGTCACTCCAGCACTCGGATTGGTAGACCATTGGTCGCTCACGCGGGAGGATAGTATCTGCCAGCATCTACCGTCTTTCCATATTTTTAACATTGCAATGAATCTCGCCTTCTGGGTTGCTGGAGGAACAGTTGTGATCCCAAGCCCTGAATTCAACACGGCGGCAACCTTTGCAGGTCTTGCTTTTCGGTCGCGGATCTGGATCGCCGCAGTAACAACGATGATCCACGCCATGCACACATACTCGACCACAGTTGAGGAGGACCTTGCATCGCCATATGGGATTTGTCTCGGAGGAGGTCCGATTACCCCAGAGGCTTTGCGTGAGTGTAGAGCACTGGGTGCAAAGAAGGTTGTCGCGGGTTATGGAACCACCGAAGGCGTTGCGACTTTATATAACGTGATGGATGTGAGTGATCCACAGATTATTAATGTGCAAGACAGTGATGAGATATGTCTGGGGACTGCCGTGGCAGGATCGCACCTAAAAATCTGCGCGCCGGGCAGCCGGTCACCCTTGCAGCGAAACGAAATCGGCGAGCTACATCAAGGAGGATATCCCGTCTTTGACGGATACCACCAGGGTAGCGAGGAGGACAATGCGACTTGTTACAGGGAGGATACCATACCTTGGTTTGCGACCGGGGATCGTGGGTATATGGATGACGACAGTAACATTTATCTGCTTGGGAGATTCAAGGATTTGATTATTCGTGCTGGAGAGAATATCTCCCCGCTGAAGATTGAGCAATGTCTGTGCGGCCAACCTGGAGTTGCGACAGCAGTAGTGGTGGGAGCACCCGATGATATCGTGGGCGAAGTTCCTGTGGCCGTCATCGAGGCATACCATGAGCAAGACCGGACTTTCTTCCAGGGTCTTCAGGCTGTGGTAGTGCAAGCGATGGGACGATCATTTGCACCCAAGTTGGTGCTCCATCTCCAAGATGATTTGGGTTGCGAGAAGTATCCCACCACGACCTCTGGCAAGATCAAGAAGAATGTTGTGAAAGAGTGGGTGACGGCCTATCTCGGAGGATCAACGACGCAGGCCTTATCCCCCATAGAGGCAACAAGTATCTCGACAGCAAAGGTTGATAAAGACATCACCGAGAGACTCACTGCTTGCTGGTCTTCCGTCTCCGGTTTGGATCCCCAGGACATCAAACCGGACATGCCCATTCGCACTTTCACTGATAGCACAATGTTGATCCAGTTCCTTCAATTGTCCAAGAAAATGGAATGGAAATTCACACCGAAGGAATTATTGACTGCCAACACTATTTCAAAACAAGCTCAACTGCTCTCCAGAAGGCAATCTTCACGGCCAACCCTACCAGTGGCGCTGGATGGCTTAAATAAGACGATGGCCGCTAATATAAAGCCGGTGGCCACCCAGTTGGGATTGGACGCGGACGATATCGAGGAATTTGTCCCGATGACTGACCTCTTCCAGATGATTGCAGTCGACCGACCATTCCCCGGTGTCTGGGACCTGCGTATTGATTTCTTAGTCAGACGCGACCTCAGTCCAGATAATGTCGCGTCCATTCTAGAGACATGGCTACGACGACACGAGCTGCTGCGCAGCGTGGTTGTTGCAGTCGAAAACGAGCGTCCCGTTTACGCAGTGATGCAGCCCAATGAATCTTGGCTCAAACAGCAAATCATTTTCGGCCCGGAGGTTGATGACCTTCAAGAAGTGACCAAATATCAGATGGATGACTTTGTGGATTCAAGCCACGGGCCCCTTTGCAAGATGACCATTCTACCCCTCCGCCACACAGCGCGCTGTGGGATGATCATTCATATCCATCATGTTCTCTTCGATGGAATGGTGATGGGACGTTGGATCCGCGATCTCAACCATCTCTTTGACGGAAAACCTCAGCTGAACTGGTATCCTTACTGTGAATTCATGGCCAGATATGAAGCTTACCGAGGTACAATCGACGCAGTGGCGTCTATTGAGTATTTTGTCAACAAATTCAGTGGTATTTCCGCCGCAAAGGATGCCATATGGGATGTCCACCGCATTTTTCGAAGCCTCGACAAGGATTACACACCCACAGACAAGCCCGGCGCCAATATCACGCCTGCGAGAGCGAACCCCGCGACTCTACCAAATCGATTCATCCGCCTTCCAGAGCTCGCACAGATGCGATCACAGTTCGGAATATCTGCCCCCATCATTGCCCTCGCTGCATGTGCATTGATCAATTTCCGGTACACGGGAGCCCGCGAAGCGATTTTCACAAACCTCCAGTCAGGCCGATCATGGCCGTCTGATGATGGGTCCGTCGACATCGATATACTCGAAATCGCCGGGCCAACTCTACAGAACCTTCCTGTGCGAATCGCAGTTTCATCGGAAGATACCGCCCTTGATCTGCTGAGTGCGGTGAGACGGGAGCAGGATGAGATGATGCTCCACGAGCATGTTCCAATCAAGCGGGTTCATGAACTAGTATCGCTAGGGCCAAATGGAACTGAAGATTCTGCCATTCTCTGGAAACTCCTGACTAACAATCTCTTCAACTGGCTGCTAGAGACATATAGACCAGGATCTGATGATGCGCTCGAGCTGCTTTGCAATACCTCTCTCTCACGATCAGACTGGGTGTGGCTCCCCAGTCTCTCAGATGGCGATGTGATGCACTGCGGCATCCACCACGCAGATGCTGACTTGCCTGTAGATAAAGCAAACCTCATTGTAGAGGAGTTCTTGTGTGCAACGGCGTGGTTGGCCGAGCCTGCTAACGCGCAGAACCCCATTTCAGCGTGTCGGTTTGAGGGATATACGGTCGGAACCGTGAATTCAATGCATGATACACGCAAAAATCTCTGAACCCGAGATGCAGTCTTCGGATTTTCCAGAATTGGGCGGGAAACGCTCTCTTATAGACCATGTTCTTTCGGTAGAGGGTATTTAGTCTAGCCTGATATTAAGCTGTACTCAAAGCCCATGAAAGTTATTATCATTCCTCAACATTTCAAAACACGAGAGTTCCCTTCTAAATAAATTTATGCCAGAAGCACACCCTCGTAATAAAAAATGCTTTATCTCTCCAACCTGAATATGTGGTGAGACGTGAAGTTTTGGACGTCGTTTTTTTATATGGACGTCTTTTATCCACGTGACTATCAGCTGAGTAAGCATATTCTGGCTTAAAGCGGCATGCAACTATAACCGGAAGTAGAAGTAGCAACCACCCTCCTCCAACTCTGTGTATAAAGGCCTGTATACAAGTCAAGAGCAACGAACTTCAGGCTTCAGTGCATATGCTGGCTGCCGTGACGATATGCCTGCAATATAGGATGTGCCTCGCTTGTACTTGATATATACTGGCGTGTGGCTGGGGCTTTCTGGAGTCAACACGTCTGATCACCGGCTTTCTAGATAACCATGGCGACGAGACCCATTCGCATCGCAGGTGAGATGCTGCTACTGGATCATCATTTAACTATATAACGCTAAACCCCCTGCTAGGAGCGTCAGGCGCAGCGTCAGACCGCCGCCATGCGCTAGCAGACTTCGCTCGTAACCATCCACGCGACCCCATCGACGTTGTCGTCCAGGACTACATGAGCGAATATAACATGTCTGTCGCTGCAGCACGACGCATTAGCCGGTCTGAACACGCTGGTGGTAACGCTGGCAGTGAGCCGAGGCATCGGTCTGCTCGACCAGCATATGAGGTTTCTTTTTTGGAGGCGCTGGAGCCCGCATTGCTAGATATCGCGAGGTATGGCATTAAGGTCGTTACGAATGCGGGCGTGGCAGATACGGAGGCGCTGTATCGTGCTGTCGCTGCCATGGTGGAAGGAAAAGGGGTCCAACTTAAAGTATGCCATCGCGTTGTTGTCCATTATAACAACTAGTTGACGGCGTATAGGTTGCGTGGATATCTGGCGATGAAGTGCTGCATACAGTGAAAGACAGGCAACGATCTGGTGCAGAATTTAAGAATATATATACCGGTGAAGTATTATCACAGTGGCCGTTTGAACCCATCTATGCACAGGGATATCTAGGCGGCATGGGAATCGCGGCTGCACTTGGCCAGGGGGCTGATATAGTGGTCTGCGGCCGTGTTTCTGACGCTTCCCCTATCATTGGGGCCGCCTGCTGGTGGCATCATTGGCCACTGTCAGATATACATAAGCTCGCCAATGCGTTTGTCGCTGGCCATCTTATAGAATGCAGCACATATGTTACCGGTGGCAACTTTACAGGGTTCAAGCAAATTGAGGATGCCCCTGGTGATGATGGCTGGAAGAGCCTTGGATTCCCTATAGCGGAGATCTCATTCGATGGCGAGGTTGTCATTACTAAACAGAACTATTCAACCGGTGGTGCTGTGACGGTGGACACATGCTCATCTCAATTGTTATATGAAATTCAGGGGCCAGTGTATCTCAATTCAGATGTCACCGCCATATTGGATGAGGTGCACTTTGAACAACTTTCTGCCAACCGCATTGCTCTAAGGGGGGTTAAGGCTGACCTCCCCCCGCCAACCACCAAAGTAGGTATCACCGCTCGTGGCGGATACCAAGCTGAAGTGGTCTACTTCTTAGTCGGCCTCGACATAGCGGCCAAAGCAAGAATGCTAGAGTCTCAGATCCGCCACCTACTATCTCCATACTCCAAACACTTCACATCCCTCACCTTCTCAACCCTAGGAGCTTGTCCAGATGATCCCCCGAACCAGAACAGCGCTACGACAGCGCTCAGAATCCTTGCCCAGGCTCCACGGGCAGAATATCTAGCTTCCAGATGCTTTGTGCGTCCAGTCACGGACTCCGTCATGCAGTCTTACCCAGGAGCCACTTTCAACCTTGACCTAAGACAGGCCTTTCCTAAACCCGTCTTTGAATATTATGTAACTCTCCTACCACAGGCAGATATTAACCATCAAGCACATCTCCCATGGCTAAATACGTCACTCCCTATCGCCCCTCCACCAAACACTAAGCTCTACCATATTAACTTACCGTCAGCCACCACCACCACCACCGGCCCAGCCGACATCCCCTCCGATTTTGGCCCTACTACTCGCGGTCCCCTAGGATGGCTCGTCCACGCCCGCTCGGGCGACAAAGGCCCTGATGCGAACTGCGGTTTCTGGGTTCGCTCTGACTCTGAATACGCTTGGCTACGCACCCTATTATCTACACGCAAGGTACAGGAGCTTCTGGGCGGGGAATGGCGGGATGATGGGTCCATGAGCATTGAACGCTTCGAACTGCCCAAATTGAGGGGAGTACATTTCCTATTTCGCAATTTCTTGGATCGGGGAGTAGCGGTTACGGCTACGGTGGATTTTTTGGGGAAGAATGTTGCTGAGTATCTTAGGGCAAGGTGGGTGGATTTGCCTGATAAATTTTTGAATAAGGGCAGATTATAGGAAGATAGGAAGTTATGGTAAACTTTGGGTATGCCAATAATTCCGGGTAGGTCTACAATAGTACGCCGTAGGAGGGTTATTATGGGCCAACAACTATGTAGGAATTGACTAGAATCAATAATATTTTAATCAATATTATGGCGCCGCGCAATGTTCATAGATTTCGTGACAACTAATCAAACCCCTGATTGATAGTTATTTGCAAAACAAGGAACAGAGAGTAAAAATGTCATCTCCTCCTCGTACTTCTCCCACTACTAACAATTGGTGCTGGATCAAATGCATCATCATCATCGTCGTCATCCTCAATCCCATCACTCATCACACTGACGCTACGGGCCGCCCTCGTCGCAGCAGCTCGCGTAGGTCTACTGCTTGACCCGCTACCACTTGTGCCCGCTACGGTTTGGCTCTGGCTAGCTTGAGATCGACCGAAATTCAACGTCCCTTGAACTTTTTTCGTGCTAGCAGCGGTTCGCGATGCTGGTTTCCTCGTAGAACTGGTGGATGATGCTGCTTTCGACCGAGCTGATGAAGCTGGTGCTGCTTTACCTCGCGACTTCGGAGCCGATTGACGAACAAACAAGTCTTCATCATCATCATCTTCTGGGATATTGTCCAGCATAACGGCGTCGTCATCGTCGTCCGGGATAGTTTGCACGAAATCATCCTCGTCGTCATCATCATCTTCAAGAACACGATTTCTAGAGCTTCGGCCGGATGCTGCAGTCGTCCTCCCCCTGCCTCGCGCCGTCGTTGTCTTTGCGGCAGCTCGACTGGCACCTCTACCCCTGCCACGAGTGGATGTAGATGTGGTGGCTGATGCGCCTCGTCGGCGACTAGTGGTAGCAGCCCTGGCAGGAGCCTCTTGTTCTTCCTCCTCGCCATTACCGTCGGCTTCATGGTCAGAATGTAATAATGCGCCAGGTTGATCTTCCCATACGCCATCAAACTCCGTATCCCACCCATCAGGTTTAGGTTTGAATCGCTTTTTCCCGCCAGTCCGTCTACCCTTCCCCTTTGCAAACACTTCTTCCAACTGTTCTCGGTATTTATCCATGGCAGCCTGAATAACACCCTCCCGTTCATCGTCGTCGGGGTCTGCCCCGTCCTGGTCTCGATCTAGGTTCATGAGATGCTTTATCTGGCTTTCTAGAGAGTCGTTGACGAACATCTCCATCGCGTATTTGTCATCCTTGTCAACGAACTGGGAGACGGCATCTCCAAATGAGTTTTGAGGCAGGATAGTTAGGGACTGTGCTGTGAGGAACTCTCGGACTAATTGTTCCACTTTGATTGCATCGAGGGCCACGAGGTGTGAAACCGCAGATTCATCTGGAGCATCAGATTTACCACGGGCAAGAGCTGTTCCTTTCTTTTTGCGATGAAACTGCACTACATCATTCACGTTGGCAACCTTGCCAACGAACCTATTCGAGAAGCGTTGTGGGTTTTCGCAGTCAAAGTTTCCTCCGCCAGCCTTTGAAGTTTCGACTTTGACTCGAACCAGTGGGAGTGGGAATGTGCTTTCTTCGTCATCATCAACTCCTTCCCGCTGCTCCAACCATTCGTTTTTGGCCTCCTCGATCATCTCTTCAACGATACCCATCAAGAAGCGGGTTGTTTCGGTACGGGTATCCTCTTTCCTTGAGACTTTTTGCATTTCTTTCTCCTCGCTCAGTATAACCTCCCTAGTCACAAATGGACGAACAGATTTTAGGAGAATGGGTTCTGATTTGAATTCGCGCCCCGTTATGCTTAATATGGAGACATGCTTCGGTACGGCTTCACCGGGGACTAGGGACGTTGCAACCGACGAGCCTGGCTGCATGACATGGAAATTGGTTTCGGGGTTCAGACGAGGGTTTATCAGACACTCATGCTCATGGCCCCAGATAACTAGATCAAGGAAGTCCGGTAGGAATGTCTCCGGCAGATAGCCAGTCTCGGTATGGGCGTGGTGGTTCTGATGTACACTCATAAGATTGAACCAGTCCTCCTGCTGCATCGACGGCCGAAAGAACTTCACCTTGCCGTCTCGAAATGTGCGGAAGAGCCTCTCATCTCGTACGTTGCTCATCCCGAACAGAGCCAGCTTTGTACGGCCTTTCTGGAGCAGAACCGGCTTGATCTGGATGTTATCGGATTCAGGGGTTCGGCCATAGTAGTTTATCAGCCCAGAGACCTGCAGCAGGTCAAGTGCGGCCAAGTGACCCTCGCCAGAGGGATCATCGTGGTTCCCGTGTATCGAGAACACAGGGATAGCCACGTTGATGTCCATATCTTCGTAGTTCACATGGTTGAAAGCGCCCTGGAAATTCTCACTGGCATCACTGAGCATCTCAAGCTCACACGGCTTATCTCCGAAACAATTCATGCGCAAAGACCGCATTACCTGATACATGGACTTCCGAGACGGCTTGTTCTCGTGAAAGAGATCCCCGGCCAGAAGCACCATGTCGACGTCTCGCTCTTTGGCAAGGCACATCACTTCGTGGAAACTCTTCCAGCTATCATCCCCGCGAACTGGGTCGCGTTCATTGTATCCAACATGATTATCTGTTGAGACAAGAATGCGTATGGTATCCGCGTCTGCATTGTAGACGTGTCAGCACGTCATAACCAACAGTTGGACTGGAGTATATACCTGTGGGAGGCATCGTCGAGTGTCCTGTGTATGCACTTTCGCCCTCATCGGCCGTTATCCCGTAAGAACCCAAGTTGATACACGAATCTCCTATATGAGAAGTAGATTCATAGGCCAGGCTACAGCTGTTTGCCTAGATAGCTCTTCACGATGCTCGAACCACCAAAAAAACGCGGTCTGCTGAAAATGAATGTTCAGAAGGGTGTAGCCTGTCCCAAGTACCTCATATCTCTGTATCTCTGACCTCCCCGATCTCTGTATATCTCTGTAGAATTATGCTTAAGCAGAAATGTGTTTGACGGGAAAGACACGTGTTCACGTGACCATGAGGCTTCGAATTTCCTTTTTCCCGACTTCGAGCTTGCGTTTTCTCCTTTTCTTCGTCTTCCACACTGCACGTCAAGAAAGACTCAAGTCACCAGCATCAGATTCACCTTGATTGCCTGCCATTGAAAGCCTCCTGACTGTTCCGGCGCATCCTGGTCCAGTCTGCCACCTTTTTCTCCCAGTTTCTCCCTTAATTTTTATGCAATCAGAGTGCTACAGGTCTACCCAAACTGCACCAGATAACCAGTCGCGCAACTCTCAAACCGCTGCCCAGCATGGAAACTACTCTTGTGAAGATTGCTCCGTCAGCCGTGTCTCAGGTCGAGATGGCGGAGACGGCGACGATGCCACCAGCTCGGCGTTGCCATCTTCTATCCCATCCGACCCGCGACTCGACGCACCAGAGGCAGGGCTAAGCTCGCAACGCCAGGCGAACGCCGTATCTTCCACCTGTCACTCCACCGAAGATGGAACTGCCCGCAAAGAAGCAGCCACGAAGGCCCCAAAACTCAGCCCAAACACCTCGGCGCGAACAACTGGAGTTTCTATAGAGTCCTTTCCCAATGGTACGAAACACCACCTGCACGTGTTTTACCCCCCAGCCAGCGCGTTCTTCTTTGGCTGACATGGTTCTTTTTTGTATGGCAGAGGTCCTCACGCATATCTTGTCGCATCTTCAGCCGTCGTCGTTGTCGTCGATGAGCCTTGTGAGCCATCGGTTCTACGGCCTTGTGACGACGCCGCATGCCTGGCGGATCGCGTTCTCCCGGTACTTCCCCGGCCCCGCTATCGTCCAGAGGAACGAGGGGCGCTTGGAAGGCGAGGACTGGGAGCATGTCCTGTTGAAAAGACGCGCGTTCTGCAGGCTCACGGCTCTGAGCTCCTGGAGAAACGAATATATCTTGCGGACGAGATTGCTGCACTCGCTCGCCCGTGGGAAGCCCGCCAATTACCAAGTTGCAGACCAGCGGAAATCAACCCGTTCGGGCGCAACTCCCACTGCCCACGCCGTTGTAACGTATAACTCGTTGCTCCAATACCCGATCTCGCATATCGATGGCAACTTCGGGTCTAGCTTGGAGAGTAAACCTCCAAGCTTTGTCCATGGAGCGGGTGAGGAAGGGATCGCCACTCTAAGTGACCCATCGTCAAGGAAGAGTGGTGTAGGAAAATGGGGTCTGTTGTCCGAAAGTCGAATGTTCAACCATTTTTCGGAGAGCTATCCTGGCGAAGCCCAATGGGGTTTGGGATCAGGCAACCTCATCGGTAACCCCAATGTGATGGACGTGAGCCAGCCCTACGGTATGATATACGGAGAGGGCTGTCCTCAGGGCCGCGTCTACTTTCTTTCGGCAAGTGAGAAACGAGGTCGGTTCCTATCGCTCCCGGCCCCCCAACCCCAACATGGCCTCGGGATTCCTTCTATGAATGCCACAAGCCCCAGCATCTGTGCTACCTGGATCGCCAAGTCTGCGGAAATTCTGAAGTTGACGAATGGATTATGCGGAATTATTACGGCATCTTCCTCCGGAATTCTCACGTCGTATGCCCTCGGGCCGCACCCTGCGTACGATCAACGATTTGGACGCGGCCAAGTCACTGCCAGGTGGGCCTTATGCCCCGGGGTTCCAATTATTGCCATTAAAGTGGATGGCAGCTTTTCAACGAAACGCCTTTCTCAACGCAGAATATGGCTAACGGTCCTAAACGCTCTTGGAGAGGTATTTTATCTTACCGATATTCCCCGTGGGTTAGACACCTATCAGAGGCTCGAACCCGAAGAGCTTGAAACTGTCGCATGGCAGACCGGACGTACCGTTTCCTGGGAAATGGTTGAAGACACCCGACGCGTTCCAGTGCCGGATCCGCTCAACAAACTCTCCACCAACGCCAGCTATAGCCCCAGATCATCATCTAACGCCATGGGCTTAGATCGTAGCCAAATCACAACCGAAACCAAAGACATTGAAAAATTCCTTGCACTCAAGCCATTACACTTCCGAAAAGTGTATCAAGGGTGGGATATGAAACGGAAGCTTGAAGTAGATTTTGCTGGCGATGATGGACAAGGAGCCGGCGAGTCTATCATGGTTCTCAATTGTTCTTCAAGCGATGACCAAGTTGCATCCGTGAAAAGGTTTACGCGTGTTAAGGTTGTTGAACACATGTCACTCGATAGTCTTGGAAGTTCCCCTCCAGCGCAAGTCAGTGCAATCGGTTCGTCTCTCTTCGGCCGAACTGGGTCCGAAGGGGTTCTACCTTCCAGCGACCCTCTATGCTCGCCTATATCTAGCGTCTATAACGACTCTAACCTTGCACCCTCCACGGTCGGATGGCGGGTGTCAAACTTGACATTTGAAGACCCAAAATCTGCTGAGATAACTGCGTGTGCCTTGGATATGTCTACTTTCGCACGTCTAACGAAATTCGAAGACCCGTTGCTTGGAATGTGTGGTAGTTCTGCAGTATCTTCCCAGTCATCGACACCATTTTCTATGTCGAGCAACCCACTATCTTCATCTTCCGAAATTCCTGGCCAGCGAGCACGATATATGGCTGTTGGGACTTCCCTGGGTTCCGTTTTTGTTTGGGATATTAGAGCAGCTGTATCTCAAAATGCTCAGGTGGTGAATAACATCACCCCCATTCGTATAATTCGTACGGATTCGCCACAGATATCCAGTCTTGCGTTGACGGCTCTATATCTCGTGCATGGTGGGAACGACGGCCTGGTTCAGGCCTGGGACTATCTAGCCTCGTCCACACAGCCAATCCGGACACTTAATTCCAGATTTTCCTCCCGCGCCCGCCGCCGTCTTATACAGGCAGATACAGCTAATCAGGATGTTGGGCATAACTTCTTCGCCGCTGGTGCCATTTGTCTTGACCAGGATCCTACCCGGCTTAGAGGTATCGTTGCATTGGGAACGCAGCTGCGTTACTGGGCATATAGTTCCTCTGCAGCTGATCAGTACAAGAGCAATAAACGGCGCATCCGCTACTCTCCACGTGGCAACAACAGTTCTCCAGAGACCCAGCGCTTTAATAACTCGGGTCGGGGCGCATTGACGGATTACATCATGAATGAGAAGGCTGAACTAGAAAGGCAAAGGATTGCAAAAGAGAAAGAGCACGCCCACTTGAGTGGACGGTTTGGGACTGACCTCCTTGGTATGGATGCCAGTGAAGAGGACCTTTTAGCCTATGCCTGTCTATTGAGTGAAGAATCATACACCAGTGATGAGAGAAACCGAAGAGGTAGCGAGAGTAGTTCCGTCGGAAGCTCTTCCAGCGAGACTGTCGCATCAAACGAAACGTTCAGTGCAAACCCGCTAACTCGCCAGGTATCAACACCAACTCTTGATACCGTAGATGAGGAGTTAGAGCCTGGTCTTGCCGAGGCTATTCGCCGAAGCCTGCAAGATTCTACTACGAATCCTCAAAATCAAGTCAACAACTTCTTAGACGAGGAAAGTATAGGCCGTCGCCTGTCTCCGTTCTCCTCGCCTGGCTTACCGGCGACCTCTTCGCAAGCTATCGTTGACGACCTCGAGTTTGCAATACAGCTGAGTTTGGCTGAACAACGAGGCCAGACTGAGCCTGGATCCCCACAGGAAGAATTCCCCACGCTTGGGAGTGCATCGAGCACACCATCAAAGCGCAGGAGTAAAGGAAGGAAGAGAATTTGAGCTTTAATGCACTTGAAACTACCTCGTTAACTCCTTGCCAGACCACGGAGTTTCTGCCATTGTTTTCAACAACTAATGTTTATCGTTTTGCTTGTGTCTTCACTTGTGTTTAGATTCCGGTTATATAGCTTAGATTTCTAATAAGTCAATTGTTAAAGAACTACGGTGTTTATCCCATGAAAGTACAATTTCTACTAGACTTACCTCTTTGTGTTATGCATGGTAGCGAGGGCCACTCTTTCTATATGAGGGGAAATATATATGCCCTCTCTTCTGGAAACACATACAGAGATTATCAAACTCCTGAGAAAAGGGGTCAACGTGGAGCGTATGGATCGTGACGGCAGATTTTGGATATCATTATAATAGAACAAGAGCATTACACCCTCGTTAAGCAATGCTAGTATGGTTTATCTATTTTCTCGAAGCAGGGGCAAAAGACAAGAGACTAATACAGTCAGTTATGAAGGCATACGAATTAGATTTTAGACTACTAGCTAGGAAAGCATCCGATATGAAGCTCTACATAGCAAACAAACATCTATAGGCTATAAAGCCACATTACTCTCCTCTATGCAACCACAAGTCCGAGTATAGTCATACCCGCTAGAAGGTAGGTAAAATGAGAGTTGACAAGCTTCATTCCAGCACCAGAATGAGACGCCTTTGAGCCTTTGGGGGCATTGGGGTCGTCCGTCGGAGTACCAGAGGTGTTTTCTCCAGGAACATTAGCCTGGTCGTTCTGGAGAAGTTTAAGCTCAAGGTTGCTGAGGAGCTTTCCTTCCTTGGTGTAGACCTTGGTATCAGTCTTGGTGTTCTTAACTTGAACGAGCTTACCCTTGGGAGGGTTCTTGATGCCGTTCTTGATCATGTCATTGCCTCCAGCAGGTCTCTTTGGGATGTCGAATTTTTTGAGGAAGTTGCTGGATGTGATGAGGCTAGATTTGCAGGAAGGCGGCTTGATGCTGGTGGTGCTTGGGTCAAGGGACTGGAGTTTCTTGATGTCAAGCTTCTTGAACTGGCCGAGCAGGTTGTCGTAGTCAACAAGGAGGGTAGTGTTATCCTTTCCACCGAGTTTAACCAGGCCGTACTCGTTGTCTTCTTGAGAATACTCGTAGATCAAACCACCACACATAGCCTTCGTCATTTCTGGGCCGTAGACAGCTTGAACTTCAGTGAAGATGCGTGGCTTAACTTCGTTGCAGCCATATTCGGAGAAGAAGACGGGGACAGACGTTTTGGAGAAGATCTCAACCAGCTTGTCGTATCCACTCTTCGTATAGCTGGAATCGCCGCACCAGGAGTAGGAGTTAATGCCGAAGAAATCGGCGTTGGAAGAAGGAGACTCCGAAGACTCGCAGGTAACATAGTTCCACGAGTCCTTCAGCACGTCACGGACATCGGCGGCGGAGTAGCCAACTGGAATCTTGCGGCTGGCATGTTTGGCGATATATTCCTTGAGATCACGCTGGATGGCCTGCACGAATTGTTAGAGTGTGAACCAACCGGTAATCCGCCAGAGTGTCTAAACTCACCCGAATATAAGCAGGAACATCCTTTGCAGCATCTTCATTGATAATCTCGTTACCTCCGAAGAAACCGAGAAGGTTGGGATAGTCCTTGAATGCCTCCACCATGGAGAAGAGACGCTGCAGGAACTCCTTCGTGTAGGAAGAGCCAGGCTCGGCACGGTTCAGGTACTCTCCGTAGATAGGGGTGCTGACATCGAGCAACAGATAGATACCGGCCGCGTTGAAGATGGAGACACATTCATCGTGGTTCAGCGAGGGATCAACGTTGTAGATACGGACGGTATTGACCTGTTTGACCGCAGTTAGCACTCACACGGCCACAGATAAATGATAACCGGGACAGGTAAATGCATACACCAAGTCTCTGGAGTAGAATAGCGTCTCGCAAACAATCATCGGCGCTGGAGAGAGGGTCCTTGCCGCTTTCTGGCTTATATCCAGACGAGCCGCCGGGTTGATAGCTAAGGGATGCGCATTAGCCGCCCGCAACCGTACAGACACACCATCCACGAATGCATATAGAGACAACGTACTCGACACCGACCATCTGGAAACGGGTATTGGTCTTTGTGTTCACGAACTGCGAGCCCTCGACTTCGACGGGGGTGACCGCCGCGACGGTGGACAGGAGGCCGCAAAGCGACGCGAGAAAGGCGAACTATGCCAGTAAATGTGTCCATGGTCAGTCGCTAATGTATAGAGAAGAGGATGAAAGGGAAATATCACTTACCTGCTTCATGATTGTGGTGTAGCGCGCGTATTTCGCTCAGCGAAGGAGTGGGCTAAGTTGGTAAATATAAGGAGCGACGAGGACGTATTAGGCCCAGTTCAAAGGAGTGAATAGAAGAGAAAAAAAGAGCGACTGAACCGCGCCTTGCACCAACAAAGAGATCGACTCTTAAAGAACGACGGAGAGGTGGTGGTTGCGAAAAGAGCGAGAAAGGGACGGCCCCTTGGAAGATATTATATGTTCGCCGGGATACTCGAGATGCACCGCTTCCTTTCATCTTGGCTGTTTCAAGTGCCGCCCACTAGCAGCAAATAGCAGGAGACGCTTCGCTGGGACCATGGCCACTTAATTAGAGGCCGACGGGCCAAAGGGAGAGAGTCCTGGTGCCAGGAATAATTAATGGTTCTAGGGGAGGGAGCTATTAGATACTATCACAGTGGAAGCCGGTCATGGTTCAAGCCACCTCTCGCGCCGAAGACAGCAGCCAGGAGAAAGGAGATAATACATATAATAGCCCATGAGGTATGAGAAAGTGTCGTTAAAGTACAGTGTAAATCCCAACCCGCCCAGCAGAACCGCAACAAAAAAAAAGAATACAATATAAGAAGGGTTTCCAAGCGCCCGTTCGAGGGCCAGTCGCCGGTAGTTGAGGCCAGTTTGATTAACGATCCAAATCCAGCCACTGAATATGATATACAGACGGAGAGGGAGGGAGGTGAGGATGGGTTCTTTTTTGGCGGTTTATCCTTTTCGGCGGTCTATCCTTTTCGAAGCCGTCTACTCGACGCTGTGGGCGCTCTCGGCACCACTATCGCTGGTGAACGCACCCAGCTTCAACGACGGGTCCATGGCGACCATCTCGGCTAATATTTCGAGAACGTCCTTTGGCACGGTTCTGTCGTAGATGGAGATGAGGTCCTTTGGCTGTGGGTAGACCTTGAGTGCCTTGTAGAAGGCTGTGGCGGCTTCGATATGGGTAGAGCCTAGATCAAGAGTTTCCAAGGTTAGATCGGGTTCACCTAGCAGTGATCTCGTATGCCCGGCCTGGTTATAACGTACTGTCTCCGCATAGGGCTTCTCCCTTGGCGACCTGGCTCATGAAGAAGCCTTCTCTCTCCTCGAGGTCGGCTGGGAAACCCTCGTCCTTTGCATCGGCAACTGCCTGTCTGATGTTCTGCATCTGCTGGGCACCGTGGGCCTCCGATTCTTGTCGCACCGTCCTTGCCAGACGGCGGTTTTCTCGTTTCAGTGCACGGCGGAATTCCGGATCAGACTGTCTCCTGTAGTCGAAGTAGATTGCATAGGCTGTAGATGAAATTTTCAGGTCAGCGAACAAGGCCTCGAAACAGCAGAAATAACACAAGATAATAGGCAATGGGCATCAATGAGCCTCACCAAGCAATCCCGTAACGACTGTGCCAGCCGAGATGGCCGCTATTGTTGATGTCCTCATCGTCGATGGTTTTGTGAGTGATGCGAGTGTAGCGAGACAGGGAGCGAGGACTGAAGAAGCCGGCGAGATAGAGTCGAGTGCAAGCTTCAAGAAGAACAGCAAGGCAGGAAGATGTAGATGAGAGAAGAGTTACTGCTGGCGATGTTTGCGGTGCGTCTTCTGTCAGCTTGAAGTTGAAAAGTTGAAGCTCTTTTTTATATTTTTTGCCCAGTCCCTTTTTTAGCCTGTCTTGGATTCCCGTTTGGGTTTCGCTCCAACGTCAACATCACTACAGCAGTAGATATCAACAACTACTACTACAACAACACATCACAGCCAGCGAGGTATAGTTACTCGATCATGGATGTCAAGGGTCTCACGCTTCGGAGCAAGGCCTCGCGCCGTCGCCCCAAGATCAGTGCTCCGCAGCCTATCCCTAGCCACAACGCTGCAGCGCCTCCAGGAAGACCCCCGGAAGCAAGGCACCAGGCACAACCCAGTGGTGCTACTTCGGATCTGGTCAAACGACGATATTCTGCAAAGTTCAATACGCTCCCGGGCCTGGACTCAGATGCTCCTCCGGTCCCCATCCTCCCCAGCGGGCCCGTCGAACCCTTTGCGCCTGATAGGGAGCCCGCGCCATCTGGCGGTGCGCAGCCGATTCGCGTGGATGCAAATGCGTTGAGGAACCCAAACTTGCCGATTGAAAGCTGTATGTGGCAGTCATCCCTTACCACGGTGATTTATATGTGCTAATCTTGCTTCGCAGACGTGACCGGGCTCTTAGAACATGCCTCGGAGCAGGATATACGAGACTATCAAAGTGACCTGCGGAAGCTAAAGAGCAAAACCTCCTCCGATCTACAGCAGAGCGTATACCAGAACCGCACCCAGTTCATCAAGATCAGTAAAGAAGCTGAGAAGCTGAGAGAGGAGATGAGCACCCTGCGCGGTTTGATGTCGGAGCTCACTACTACTCTTGGTCAGGCGAATGCAACTAATGGAGCAGGTGGCGCACAGCCCGGGTTCGAGGATGCGCCGACAAGGAGGCATGCACATCGCAGCTCCATCGCCAATCTAGAGAGCATGTGGAATACCCAGTTGCAGCAGCTATGGAAAAGCGTTGAACGGTCTCAGAAGTTCCTTCCGGCAATACCTGGGCGTCATATAGTCATGGAGTCGAGCCAATGGGTTGAGCTTGACTCGGCAACATGGAAACCAAAACGCCCAGTTCATATCGTCCTCCTCAATGACCATCTGCTCATCGCTGCGAAGAAACGAAAGCGCGTTGATCCCAATACGTCGAATGGGAAATCCGTTGCCGCACCAACTAAGCTGGTAGCAGAGGAATGCTGGCCGTTACAGGATATTGACATGATTGACCTTGGCTCTGGTTTAAACTCTGGTGAAGATATGGATGAACGTGGCGTGCCGAACGCGGTTAACATTCGATACGGCCAGAGCTCGTTCACCTATCGTCAGGACCAGCGGAACAACAAGCTCAAAAATGAGCTTGTAATGACATTCCGTAAGACCCTGGAGGAGCTACGTAAAACCCTAAAATCGGAAGCAGAAGTTGCTTCAAAATCTCGGGGCGCATTAATAAACAGTAGTCGACCTGCTTCTCGTCGACACTCTGAATTTCTTGATAATATGGACCCACGCGATAAACTGGAGGTGTTGATTGATGTCGACGGGAAGCAACAGAATATGAGATGGGTGGAAGGGCAGCTTGACGAACTCGATATCGACATTGCCATACAGGTATTTGAAACTGCAGTTTCCCGGGTTGAGAAGCTCCGAAAGCTCGCCAAGGGCCTGAAGGGGAACCAAACCGCTCAAGATGCTATTAATTCCGGCGTGGATGCAAGGGCCAACAAACTCGCTGAAATCCTCCTCCGCGCCCTTGTTGATACCAACTCGTTCATGAACGCTACCAAGACGAACGTTATCTGGTTGACTCGGCTTGGTTATGATGATCGAGCTCGGGAGGCTTATCTAAATGCGAGAAGTCAGATTATAACTAAACGCGCCAGGTAGCTATACCCCCTTACCTATTTATTTGCTCATTTTTCATCTTTTTGCTTTACTAACAACCCACCCAGGCACTGCGTCTTCGAGGGCGACTTACTACTTTACATATTTCAAATATCATTTGTGTACTTCACCATGATGAAAAACACTATCGCCATTTACCAACAATGTTTCCCTTCCCAGATGTCTAGTGCTAGCATTAAATGGGGGAAAGATCATTTGGATGACTTCAACGCCACGCTAAGCCGCCAGCTTAGCAGCGTCGAGCCTAGTAATCCTGTGTGGGGGAAATGCATGGAAATAGTATATCAACATGCGGATTCACTTTCCGAGGTTGGAGTGGATTTCAAAGACATGATTCGTGTCGAGAGCCTTATCGTCAGATCTCCTGATGCCACTCCGGCAGAGTCGAGAACGCCGGTATCTATGTGAAATTTCCAGTCTGGAGAAAGGACCCTATTTTTATATAAAAGCGTTCACGCTTGCAAAGTGTCTCCTCTTCAGTGCAGTTTCCGTTTTCCTTTGGACATCATTTGGCCCTTTAATGTTTATTTAACGATGCTTCTGAATGCAATGATATTGATGTTTGATTTAATATTCTAATTGACATTGTATTAACAGCTCTATAACAGTGATCACATCTATGACCAGATATCGTCCCATGCCTCCACAGAAATAGTTTGATTATCCTCCAGAGTACAAGTCCTAAAGCTTCTAGAGGAAGAGGCTCTGACACCCGTGCTTCCTCCTAACTTCGCCTCATTCTCCAACATAGTGGGCAACCTCATCCAATGCGAAACGACATCAGGAATCTCGTCCTTGAGATGGCTGATGACGATTAACGCCTGGGAGTCAGTCAACCCTCGATGCCTGGGTTCATGCTTAACGCCATTTTTCAAGGCGGGGAGATGCCAGGCACCGAAGTTAGGAATCCTACGTGATCCCGTACTCTCTTCTAACGTTTCGCCACATTCAAGGAAATGCAAGCATTTGTCTCTCAACGATCGAGGCATTCCTGAGAAGGCCTCGTCGAGGATGACGAGGTCGGGCTTATGGATAATGGCGCGTAGGAAGAGAACGAGACGCTGCTGAGCAACGTCCAAGGATGAGAAGGAGGTGTGATCAGCCCAGGTAGAATCCGCATCAGTTGTATACCACATTGGCTTGCCGGTTTCTTGGGAGAAATGTATGTTCAAGTCTGCCGCAAAAAAACTTATAGCCGCGGCCACATCCAGCTTTCTATCCTGATCCAGTTTCGGTTTAGATAGAAAAGTATCTGCCCAAGCGGACTCGATAGATGCCCGTATGGACAAGTTCCGTGGGAAAAATGCATGTATCTCAGGGGAGGAATGCCCGATACGCGACTGCAAGTCAAATAAAGATATTCCCGGCTTTCCAGCTTCTGGTAATCGAGATCTACCAAAGAGACGGAGTGGCAAGGAATATGCCTGTGGGTGGTCCGATGTAATCAGAGATACCAATGTCGTCTTCCCGGAACCATTGAGCCCAAAGACACCCCACCGCTGGCCACGACGGATTTCCCAGAATAAGCCCTCCTTTCGTTTCCCGTCAATAATTTGATCCCAACCACCAAGTACGGTCTTGTCCCCGTATGATACTTGAACTCCCTCCATTTCCACGATAGGCTCTCCGTATTTTTCAGCTCGTTTCAACTCAGCTCCAGGGCGCTTTGATATCAACTCTAGATCGTGCAGTATGGTTGCCGTGGACTCAAAGCGACCTTCCACGAGGAGCTTCTCTGCTTCATCATAGCTTCGGCGCTCCTCCATGGAAAAGGCATTGTACTGTTTTCCTCGCGGGTATTGCGAGGGAGGAGCTGAGGCTCTGGAAGTTCTAGGGTTGAAGTTGGGTTCAACTTACGGTGTGAAACTGCCTTCCATATTTCCAGTTGGCCGAGAACGTCGCCCTTTTCCCCCTGGAGTGCCACAGTGTGGTTCTGACCTAGTATGATCAGATGTGTTACCCAATCAGGGACGGTATCTTGTGGCCGTAGAGATAAGATGATTCGTGGCGAGCCTCTCAACGAGATATTATACAACAAAGGAGAGAGTGCCTTGACAGTTGGAGGATCCAAACCCACTGTATAGTTAGAGCATGGTTAGCTTTGCGGTCTATCATAATCCAGGTTTAACGGTGTACGCACTGAAGGGGTCATCGAGTAACAGCACTTCAGGCTTGTCTAGCAATGCTTTTGCTATTCGTGCCCGTCTTGTTTGACCATTACTCAGGTTAGACAAGGACATCTCCAACAGCTTCTGCAGTCCTAGATCAGCAATAACCTGACTCAGTATTTGATCTTGCTGGGGAGACGCATCTTCCACGCCTTCTAGGGGATTAAGCGATGTCTGGCCCCTCAGATACTGCAGCACGGTGAAGTCTGTCTCCTCCCTCCTGCTCTCATATCTTGCACTAAGATATGAGCCACGCACTCCTCCGGCATCTCTTTTTGCGTCGCCATTGAACCCTACATGGCGGACCGCATGGCCTGGGTAACGAAGACGTGGATCCTTCGCCGAAACCTCCTCTGTTGATAGAAGCGGATATGCTCGAGCTGTTGGTGGTATGCAAATATGCCGGCCACAGAGAATTTCCAAGAAACCCGATCTATCAGAGGACCCGATTACGGCCCAGAAGGGTTGGTTTTGCGACCCCTTTCCACTGTCGGATTGAGGTGACCCATTGTTGATAGACGATAGCTCAAAGCTCAAGTTTGGGTACAGTGGAGGATTCTCTCGCTGGACACCATCGGAAGTTGGATAGTGTCTATAAAATGTTGCATTTTTGATCTTGATTATTGGGGGAATTGTCTGGGTTGAGAAGCTGCGAGCTGTGGTTGCTGCGAAAGCTGGTATATGCCATCGAGAGTGTCGTAGGAGCTTAATCATATCGCATACCTGGGATCTTCTTGGAATTTCGAAGTATACGCAATCTTGATATATCGAGGATAGAGTATATATCACAAAATCGATAAGTTATACATTAGGTGTAGGTAGATGCGCTGATACTTAGTGTTAGTGAGATTTTGTGGATGCCTCGCATTAAAGTACTTGCGAGGAAACTAACCACACCCTGAATAAATATCAATTCATCTACTCCGTACACCATCAAGTATAAACTCCAAAGGGAGATATATATAACTGTAAAATCATATTGTTGAATCGTAACTGGATAACATGTCCAAACCAACCAAGAAAAGTGCTAACCACACGCCATAGACATAACGACATAACAAACATAACATCATAAATAACACAAAAAACGCCCAATGAATCCCCAGATTTTATATACATACAAGACATACTGGGAATCATTCCATGATAAGCTTATATCTAAGTGACTTTTTGTCTAGATCCTAAAAACAAGTGTGAAAAGAGATATATAAAAAACAGAAAATTGACAACAAAACTTTTGGCTAATCATCTAAGGCAAGGAAACTAGCAAGCTCGGACTGGGGAATATGTCCGTCTGTTCTGAGAGTGGAAAAACAAGCGCCGAGATCGAACTAAGGTGCCATCACTAAAGCCAACAACGCCATGCGGCAGTAGAGTCCGTATCTCATCTAGTAAACGAGGGAAGAATATTAGTTTTTGAATTTAGTAGAAGGGAATAATAGGCAATTTCAACTCACCTGTCTAAAGTAAGCAGCGCGCTGGTCGAAGTCCACTTCTTCATCAATTTCTGCGTTTCTTGGGAGTGGATGCATGACAACCATTTGGCTCTTGGCGTGCTTCATGATAGAATTATCGATGATGAAACTATCCTTGAGGCGTTCGTACTCTGCTTGATCCGTGAAGCGCTCCTTCTGAACCCGAGTACAGTATAAGACATCGGATCGAGCGACGATTTCTGGAGTCAACTCGTTGGTTTCGGTAATGAGCTGGCCAGATGTAACAACCTGCTGGCGAATATCTTCCGGCAGTGACAGTGCCCTAGGCGAGACAAGCTGCACACGAACCTGGTAGAATTGGAGCAACTTAATGAGAGAATGCACTGTTCGTCCGTATCTTAGGTCACCAGTGAATGTAACAGTAATTCCGCTAACGGTACCGAGTTCTTCGCGGATAGTGAAAAGATCAAGGAATGCTTGGGTAGGATGCTCTCGGCTTCCGTTACCTCCATTGATGACTGGGACTGGAGAAAATTTAGCCGCGGTGGATGCGCTACTCTCTTCAGGGTGACGAAGGACAATGGCGTCGGAATAGCAAGCAAGGGTGCGGATGGTATCCTGTAACGTTTCACCCTTTTGAGCTGAGGAATGCTGAGTGGCAATCGCCACTGTTCGGCCACCTAGCCTTTGCATTGCGGTATCAAAAGAGGCTGATGTACGGGTTGAGGGCTCGTAGAATAGAGTACACAAAACGCGGCCCTTGAGGATATCAAGGACGCCTTGACGCTGAACCCCGAGTCGCATTTCTTGTGCTACCGTAAAGAGCAGATGTAGGTCGTTTCGGTTGAACTGCTTGACAGAGAGAATATGCTTATGTCTAAATGTAGACCGAGAAAGCAGCTCCTGAAGTGAGGGAGTTCCGGTGGATGGAGTTGCATAGAGAGGTGGTCCGAGTTCGTCAGTGGTAGCGAGCGAGTCTACTTGTTTCAATGGCGATGGGCGAGCTTGAGGTGTAGTTGTGAAAGACAGTCGTCGACCAATCGAACCGACTGCCATAGGAGATCGTGGAGACATTTCCTTACCAGTAGGTGATTGGGGTGGCGCTAGGGTATGGGATGACATGTCTGTGCCCTTGGGTGCGTCGGAAAGTATTTCACCGTCAAGACATGCAGTCTTGCCCTGGAAGTTGACACGCTGAATGGAGCCTCGCAGCGTCTTCCCATCGAACGGCGACCAGACACCCTTGCCCTTGAAGACGTACGGCCGATCAACTTCAATTTCCACAAAAGTGTCGGCTTGATCATGTAGCTCGAAAATCCTCTTGGGGTTCTCGTATAGTCTCTTGATAATGTCGTCAACCGTCAAACGCCCTTCAGACACAGCAGTTAAGAGGATCGGAAGTGCATCAGCCAGTCCAACTGATGGGGATGCCTCTTTGCCAGCGGTCTCATATGGAAGACTTCCAACACTGAAGACATCAATCGTGCTAAGGTGTTCCCAAAGTGATTCCTGGGCCTTCTTCGTTGGTAGATGGCAGCTCTGTGGGTACGTTTCTTGCGAAACGAACAAGGAGTAGATAGACACGTCACAGGTGACTCTAAGTCCTTTCTCTTTGCTTAGCGCAATGAGCTTGATGTCCTCCTGAGAGGTAACACTCATCACATGCACATTACGATTGTGGAGGCTAGCTAGGAGAAGGATCGAAGCAAGGTCTGTACCTTTAGCGTCGGTCACGATAGGCTTGTTAGATGGCCAAGATGCGAAATGGGTCGTGACTGTAGCAACTTTGTTGATATTTCCAGCTAGGTGATTGAATGGGATGAACAGAGAGCCGACTTCGCCGATTATAAGGTCCACCTGGTCTGCATTCGTAGCAGTTGCCGTAACCGAGAAGTTATAATCACAGTAGGAGCCTTTTTGCGAGTTGAGTTGGGCCAATTTTAGAGCTTGAGCGTCGGTGACGAAACTGTTCAGTCCAACAGGCATGATGCGGACCATGGTAAAGCCGGCGGTAATGGATGCTTTGGTAACAGCCTGGAAGTCGGAAGAACCCTTCTCTGCAAGACCGGGGACAAAGGCAGCAATGTTTATGAGCCCGGGCAATGAGATTGTGCGATGGCTAGTTTGGAAATCGATGGGCTGCACGTCCATACCATAGCGCCGAGACATGGCTTCAATCAGGATCTTTGCATTCTTGACGTTCGTCACAAGGGGTGTTTGATAATCAACAGCCATTCGTCGGGTGCGGTAACCTTTGCTCATGTAGTTCGCTGGCCTCCTAAATTTGTTGCTGGATGGAAGGTTGATGTAAAGATCGATGAGGTTGTTGGCCAAATGTTGTGTGAGAGAATATTCGGATTTCAAATCTTCACCATCCCCAGCGAGGAGTTCCAAGTATTTAACTGGGATGCCATGCTCGCGTAGGAAGTCAGCTGTGCCGGCTGTCGCGAAAAGGTTAAAGCCCATTTTGTGAAGCTTGGTGATAGATGGCAGCATCTCCATCTTATCTTTGAAGGAGCCCATGGAAACAAGAATGTTCTTTTCAGGCAGTTTAAACCCAGTGGATATGAGCGCCTTCAGGTAGGCCTCATAACGATCGCGACCGAAGCAGGCAACCTCACCGGTGGAAGCCATCTCAACTCCAAGCACAGGATCCGCCCCTGAAAGTCGAGAGAACGAAAACTGGGGCACTTTGATACCGACGTAGCGCTGAGGAACCGTCACTGGTGGATAAGCCTCGAACGGCTTTCCTATCATAGCTTTCGTAGCCATCTCAATCAAATCGACACCCATGACCTTTGAGACAAAGGGGAAAGATCGCGATGCTCGAACGTTACATTCAATGACCTTGATTTCGTTATCTTTGGCAATGAACTGGATGTTGAAGGGACCAGTGACGTTCAAGGCATTTCCGATTTTGCTGGTTGCTTCTTCGATTCTCCTCACAGTCTCTGGGTCAAGATCTTGGGGTGGAACGATTAGAGTAGCATCACCGGAGTGAACGCCAGCATTCTCAACGTGCTCGGAGATGAAATGACCACACATCACACCGTTTTTAGCGACGGCATCCATCTCGATTTCCTTGGCATTTTCGATATACTTAGTTATAACAACAGGGTGTTCTCGGGAAACTTCAGCTGCTTGCTCTAGGTAATTGGCCAAATCATCTTGGGAGTAGACGGTGTTCATCGCTGCTCCAGAGAGGACGTAAGAAGGTCGAACAAGAACTGGATATCCAACCTTGTCACAGAATCCGGTGGCCTCCTCAATGCTAGTAAGTTCTTTCCAGGCAGGTTGATCAACTCCGATTCTGTCAAGCATACGAGAGAATTTATAGCGATTTTCAGCCATATCGATCATCTCAGGAGAGGTTCCAAGAATCTTAACATTGAGGCGATGGAGAGGCAGGGCAATGTTGTTTGGAGTTTGTCCACCCATAGAAATAGCCACTCCACTGGATGACTCTAGCTGGTAGATATCAAGCACGGTCTCGAGCGTGATATTTTCGAAGTAGAGACGGTCAGCTTCATCGTAATCGGTACTGACAGTCTCGGGGTTGTAGTTGACCATAACGGTCTTATACCCTTGCTCACGAAGAGTGCGGATTGTTCTAACAGAGCACCAATCGAATTCCACTGAGGACCCAATTCTGTAAACACCAGAACCAAGGACCATGATGCCCTGATCGTCAAAGGTTACATCATTCTCAGACCCGTTGTAGGTGAGGTATAGGTAGTTGGTAAATGCAGGGAATTCGGCGGCTACAGTATCGATTTGTTTAACCAGGGGAACGATACCTGCTTCCACGCGTATACGTCGGACAGCAAGCTCGTTAGAGCTCAAGAACATTGCAAGCTGGCGATCAGAGAATCCAAGCTGCTTAGCCTGCAAGATGAGTGGGATAGGCACAGTGGTGGCGGTGTAATTGCTCATTTTCTTCCCGAACTGACTCAGGCCCTCGAGTTTCCGTAGGAACCACTTGTCGATCTTGGTCAATTCCCAGATTTCATCAACGGTGTAGCCAGAGTGCATGGCGTTAGCAATGGCGAAAAGTCGCTGATCGGAGGGAGTCTGAAGTTCGTTTTTAATGGACATCAAAGCACTAGTTTCATTGAATCCTAGATTGTGGAAATCAATGGCTCGAATGGCCTTCTGGATCGCTTCTTCAAATGTCCTTCCAATACTCATGACTTCACCAACACTCTTCATTGAGGAGCCAAGCTGGGTTGATACACGGGTGAATTTCTTCAAGTCCCAGCGAGGAATTTTGACAACGACGTAATCCAAAGAAGGCTCGAAGCAGGCACAGGTAACCTTTGTGACGGAATTAGATATTTCGTTCAGAGGAATTCCAAGACCGAGTTTTGCCGCAATGAAAGCCAGGGGATAGCCGGTAGCCTTTGAAGCTAGTGCAGATGATCGTGACAATCGAGCATTGACTTCGATAATACAGTATTCCCTGGAGAAAGGGTTGAGAGCGTACTGAATGTTACATTCACCCACTACGCCCAAGTGTCGAATGACGTTAACAGCCGTGGTGCGGAGCATGTTGTAGTCTTCGTCAGATAGCGTCTGAGAGGGTGCAACGACGATGGAATCACCAGTGTGAATTCCCAGTGGGTCAAAGTTCTCCATGTTGCAGACGGTGATACAGTTGTCACGGGCGTCTCGAACGACTTCATACTCGATTTCCTTCCAGCCTTTCATACTCCTTTCAATGAGAACTTGGGGACTGGCGGCGAATGCCTTCGTGCAAAGACTGCGCAATTGTTCGTCGTTTTCGGCAAAACCACTTCCCAATCCACCGAGAGCATAGGCAGCTCGAACGATTACTGGGAATCCAATACCTTTAACGGCCTCCATGGCTTCTTCCAGGTTAGAAGCGGAGGCAGATTTTGCGCATTTTTCACCAATGGCTTCCATGCTGCGGGCAAAAAGCTCACGATCTTCCGTCGTAATAATGGTATCTATTGGCGTGCCAAGAACCTTGACACCAAGCTCTTCGAACTCGTCCTTCAGCTGGATACCAACTTGAAGGGCGGTTTGACCACCGAAAGTGACGTAGATCGCATCTGGACGCTCATGCTTGATAACTTTGCGAACAAAGTCGGCGTTGACGGGAAGGAAATAGACCTTATCCGCGAGACCCTTAGACGTTTGAATGGTAGCGATGTTAGGGTTGATAAGGACCGTGTAGATGCCTTCTTCATTCAGGGCCTTGATAGCCTGACTACCTGAGTAATCGAACTCTCCGGCCTGACCGATACTAAGACCACCACTACCCAAAATCAAGACCTTCTTGACATGGACTCGAGGATGGGCAGCGGCATTTTCCTTCAAGGTTCCACCCGGGAAACTGACAGGCTTGAATAGTGCATCCTTGGACTTGAGGCACTCCTTCACCGTGTTAATGAATACGTCGAACAAGAATTCGGTGTCACGCGGTCCGGGTGTACTTTCAGGGTGGAACTGTACACTGAACAATGGGCGACTGGTATGTCTGATACCTTCGTTGCTAGCATCATTGGCATTGACGAACAGTTCTTCCCATCCTTCGGGAAGAGACTTGGAATCGACAGCATAACCATGGTTCTGGGACGTTATATAACAGCGCCCAGAGAGCATGCTCGTGCAAGGGATGTTGTGTCCGCGATTACCAAACTTCATCTTCAGCGTGCTGGCGCCGGCCGCTCTAGCGAGAAGTTGGTGGCCCAGACAGATACCGAAAATTGGCGTCTTGTTCTCCTTAAGAGCGACCTTCAGGTTGGCGACAGTGGCAGCAAGAGTGGCAGGATCACCTGGACCGTTCGAGACAAACAGGCCATCGTATTTCTGGCCCGCGAGGCTAGGGAAGTTGTAGTCCCAAGGAACAACAAGCACTTCGACACCACGGGACAGAAGACACCTCAGTTGGTTGTATTTCAAACCGACGTCTACGCAAAGCACGCGGACTGGGCGCCCTGAAGGGTGTAAAAGAGGCTTTCCAGGAGGGGAGTACAGTTTAGGTTCCTTGATTGACACTGTATATTTACCAATTAGCCTCACCATAGTAGTACCAAGTATGAAGGGCTTTTCTCACCATCGTCAACCAGATTCCTCTTGTTTGGGTCTACCCATTCTATCTCTTCGTAGTTCGCCTTCCAGTTCTCCGGTTTCTGCTCGCTGGCACCGTCCTGAGTTGCGGTTGTTTTCTTCTGGAGGAGCATGCGCCCAAGCATACTACCTTTCTCCCGAATTCGCTTGGTCAAGGCGCGTGTATCGATTCCGTGAACAGCTGGAACGTTCTGCTCTTTCAACCATTCACCCAGGGAGCTCTCGGCCAAGAAGTGGGAGAAGGCCTCGCCGCAATAGCTCGCAACCACGAGACCAGCAACATGGATCTGGTTGGATTCGAAGTGCTTTGGGAGTCCCTTCAACAGCTCGTCCATCTTGTCACGCGACGGCACACCATAATTGCCCACAAGAGGGAAAGTAATGACTAGGATCTGGCCCCGATACGAGGGGTCCGTCAAGGATTCGGGGTACCCCACCATACCGGTCTGAAAAACCAACTCCCCCGCGATGCTTCTCTCAGCTCCAAAGTTGTATCCTTTGTAGACAGTGCCGTCTTCGAGCTCAAGGCAGACAGATCTGCCATTATCCGGGCCCAATTGAGTTGAAGCCGGGGAAAACACGGTGCCGTCTAGTGTTGTTCGGCCTCCCTGGAGCTCATTGTTGTAGGCGACAACACCACCGGTGGAGGGGCTTGAAGGGAAAGCCGGCTCCCGCGTAGGAGTCCCCAGAGGCTTGGGGGCCTTGGGTTCAGGCGAAGAAGGAACGGCAGGCATATTGCCGCCCGGTTGAGACCGATCTTCCTGGAGATAAAGAGAGCAGCGTTTGTGTTTCACTCCAGCATGAAATCTCCGGGGACGGTTGTAAGTCTTGTGGGAAGCTCAAAGGAGCAAGGATAGAGGCTCTAGTCTGCTCAGCCAGTGCACTTCAGGGCCTAGCAGTGAAAGACAACGCGGTGCAGAGCTGTTCCTGTGTGAATTGAGTGTTGACTGAGCAAGACATGTTGAGAGGAAGGGAAAGAAAAATTTGCACAGTAGAAAAATATCCTGGTCCCATGGTGGTTCTGGGCGGCTTAGTGAGGCCCGCATGCGGTTAGGTAAGCGCCACATCGGGTTAGTCTGGTTAAAGTGCGCAAGGCGGAGAGCAAACTTACACACGTGACACGATCTTCGGAGCTTAGGCCCGTTTTTCCGGCACTCTGATTGGCGGCAGAAAGCCTCTTTTGACCTCCTGCCTTCGGGCCTGATATCAGGGGGTGGTTTCTCCATGGAAGACGGCGTTGTCTGCGTGTCTTGCGGTGGTGTAGAGGGCAGAGTGGGAGTTTGTCTCGCTTGCGGGTGGTGGCAGCGGTATGCGGCAGGGTTTGTTTGCTGTCCCAAGCTTTGGCACTAGGTATGCAGCCTTAGCGAGACAAGCGCGGTTCCTCTTCCGTCCCATGCACACGCCTGGCAGAGCAAACCATACACCCTACACAACATATTAGGAACCTAGCAAAAGAAGGTTAGTATAGATCATTATTTGTAGCCATTAGTAAAAATAAGTTTGTTGACTTTGGACACCACCAGGGGGTTAATATTGGTTTGACAGCAATCATGATATTCGTTGCGGTTACCCGTCTAATCTTATCCTAAGCCGGATGCCGCTTATTGTACGCTCATGATAGTGATTTGGTGCTTCTGGTAAGTCGAGAACAGAAATTGGGCCAAGAGGTCGCTTTTATCATTAGGATTACTGGTATATTGATGACTAAATTATTAACACTTTTAATCGTAAGGCGGGATACATGAGGTGGTGAGATTCGCACTTTGTCGAAGCCAATCACGGATAAGAATTGGAATTAAAAGAAATATATGGTATAAGTATACTCCGCTCCGGTATGGAGTAGAGAAACAGCTGCCAGCCATATCGTTGACATCCACTATGTAGAACTTGATAAGTTGGTCTCTCATTCTTTGGTTGTTAGGCTTGCAAAGCTCTAAAGGTTCACGGATTTGTAGGAAAAGCCAAGCAGATAGGTCGACGGCCGGCGAAAGGAATGGCCTGAATGGTGTTATGAGAGTAGATTGCAGGACTCGTCGTTGCTTCCAAGGATTCCACCATCATGATCAAGTCAACTGAGCGTTCGGCGGCCCTCTTTGCTAGCGATTTGATGGGCTCGAGGGTACTGTCCACTTCGAGCAGTTTCAGACACGGTTATTCTGGTATGATTCCGCCTGCATCCTCCAAAAAAATGAACATGCGGCCGGGACACTCCATCCGCGCAGGAATCACGTTGCGGCCAGGACTTGGGGTTGGCGAGGCTACTATGCTTCGGTATTCTGCTGGTACTGACGGAGTGCCAGTCATGTAGACAATGAGGGTAATAACTTATATTCGTGCCAGATGGGTTCTTTGTTCCTCTGGGACTTTCACTTTTTTTAAGACGAACCCAAGCCAAGGCTTTAGTAAGCACAAGTAACAGGGTATGTTCATCCTAGCATCACCGTGTCTTGGTCGGCCAGCTGGGGCTAGGCAGTGGTTGCTCTGGAATAGGAGCCATTTCGTAAGTAACTTCAAACTCCGTTCGGCGCATAATTTCTTCCCTTGAATCAGTGTCGGTCCAGTTCTTGTTGGCTCCCACTCTGCTGGAAACTGCAACTGATGTCGAGTATCCAGATTGGTACTGGTAAGCAGTAGGTCGTGCGTGGCTGGTAAAGAGAGATTTGTATGACGCAAAACATGACACCATTACTGCAACTGTTGCTTCCATTGCACTCCAAAATAGAAGCCAGGACGGGGGTGGATGCTTAGATTTGCCGTCAGTTTCAAGATTGCGAAGAATTGCCATGACGACGACGGCAAGGCCGAGCAGGAAGAGGCCGACGAGACCAAGTTTCTGGGACGCCGGGAGAGAAGACTTGAGGACAAATGCAACGGGAACAGACATGACTAGACGCCGAGTTAGTTGAATTTGGTACAGTGACTATCAGAAAGGTTTTACGTACTTAGGATATCTGTGAGGACATCGGCTATAGTGGTCATGTACATGCTGATAGCCTCTAGCTTGAGATTTTTAGGGGATATACAACCGACTAGGAGATACCAAGTTAGTCCTGAGTATGAGGTTTGTATGTAGGGAAGGCTGTCACTTACGAGCAGTCACGCTTGGACATGCAACCGTCGGCATGATAATCGAGATTAAAAATCCTATCACGGCAACTCCGGCAATCACCCACCAAGCTCGGCGAAATGCTGGAAGACTGCGAAACAGCCTCCAAAGCAGAGCGAGCAGACTAGCTTTGACAGAGTAAATACAAAATCTGAATAGAAAGTTGCTCGCAAATACTAGCTTCGCCAAATGATCAATGTCGCGTAGGACGCCCGGCATCAACAGGCCCTGGTTATTCTCATATAGATGAAGTAGCAAGTAGACTGTGGGAGCCGACAAGGTGGCTAGTATATTATGACCTAGAAGGAACAGATAGGCAAGTCCCGCAAGAATGTCATCCCAAAACAATCGCCGGTGGAGGCGCATCCGAATTGCGAAGCGGCTGGCAAGTAGCAAAGTCGCGATGCCAAAGCCCGTCCATATAGACACCTATGAAGGGAGAAGTTTAGTACCACATTGGAGTTTGAAGGGACACTGTTAAACATGATTAGCCATACCAGGAGCTCAGTACGGCCGATTTTTCGCGCAAGTACCAGTTTATCCTCAGCACCCATGGTCAGACCGCTTCTCCGTAGAGCGACAGCAGGCTCAACGGCGGACTATTCGAACGATTTTGGCGATAATGGCCTTTACCGTGGGAATTTTGGCGACTCGACAGAGACGCAGCAAGAGTATATGGTCAACCTGGATCATTAAGATCAAAGCTCTGGGGAAACCTGGTCAATATAACAAATAACGAACTCTGTGTGCCATGGCATCATCCCATTATCCCTTCCCCTGGCGCGTGCCGGCGGTGGATACCTCGTATCATATTTCCACGTTAATAGTTCATCCAGATCGCAGGGGAATTCACTAGGATATTGCCTGAGGGGGTTGAGATTTGATTATAGATCTCGATGTTGGATACGGGGTAATCTCCACCGGTGGCGCACGCCAAAGGGGGGATCTGGTCAGAGATCAGGACAAAGTTCAGCCCAGCGGTCACAGAATGAAGTCCCTCGTGTCGACTAGTTGAGTCGCCTCTCGGTGATACCGATGGCTCAAGCAAGACCGTTGTGTTGAGTTCGAGCCATGCTTGATCAAGAATGACAGCCCGTTGCTGCAGAGTTATGTCTTGGTATAACCAGTAGGTACGCGAGAGGATCGGTGTGAGCATGAATGCAGACCAGGTCGAACGATTTAGCGTACGGAGTGCCATGTCCCGTACCCCGTATCACGATTATCGTATATGGCTGGCTAGTTGACGAAGATGTGACGGCCTGCAATGGTTCAAGATTTCCCCTGTTTATCCGCCAATGATCAATCAAAGAATCAAGAGCGCAGATTCCATCGGCCTTACACCGTATCTGTGGGGGGTAAGTCTCTAGCCATCCTAAGCTAGCGGCTCATTCTGGAACTTAGTCTCAACCGGCGTAAGAGAACTGATCGAGAAGGCCTTAGCGAGGTGACCGGTGGTTGGCGACCTGAAAGTCCGAAGCTTGTGTCAGGGACGTGAGAGACGAACTGCGGTTCGGCTCAACTTTAACATATGTATAAATAAGAAGCGTCTAACTCGACCAGGGAGGTGAAAAGGCCCTTACCTAATCTCCGGGAGGCTGGCGAGAAGTCTCGCCCTGTGTGCATGGCATTCTATATCGGAAGCAGCGGCGCTCACGGCCTTCGACTAATGCCGTTCATGGATCGCTAGCAAGTCCTGCCATGGATGGATGCATAATTGCGGCGTAGATCGAAATAATCTCTGATAAGGGGCTGCTAGCCGCAACATCGCCGATGCCAACGTCAGCCATCACGTGATGACATATTCCCACGGTGGACGGCGTTGATATCAGACATCCAAGACTGTTTTGTTTCTAGAACCCGACGGGGACACTCGACTTTTCCAGCGGGGCACAGAGTAGCAGCCGATGACTTGCTGATGCTGTGGAATCTCGCTGTGGATCAAAGCGTACTCCGTATCCTCCGTCTGGGCCGCCAGCGAAGCGAACACGCTCGACCGCCTGCCCGCGCGGGGAACTGGTAGCAATATAGTCATATGGGCTCGAGAATGAAGGTTTTCGGTAGAGGATAGTCCGATTCCTCTGCTGTGGTACCTTTGCTATAGCGTTAACCGTCACGATGCCATTCTTTTCTTTTCAGAGAGAATAAGAAAAACTAACATCCACGGACCACAGACTAGAGCTTGTCGTCTAAAACGCATCCTTGACGTAACCCTAACCAGATATTGGCCCTACCAGCGCCAAACAGCCATCGTTTAGCTGGTGCCCAGCTGTCCTTCCTGCGCAATAACTTGGCCTTGTAACAGTTCTGCAGCGATGCTAGCAGGGATGTCGTGCATGTCGCGCCTTATCAACCCTATCATGTGATGCATCTAGCTCAGGGATTAGCAGCCACTGCAGAAATCAAGGAAAAAATGGCCACCAATTTCGCGATTGTCGAGGGCAGTTTCGCGCTTATCATTGCAATCCCTTTTTTTTTCTTTGGTAACGGGCGGATGTTTTGTTTTCTTGTTTAATGGCGTCAAACTCCTTTTCATGCTCCCGCGGCATCGTTGGTCCTAGGGTAGCTTGAACCCTGGCGATTTCGAACCTTGCGTGAAAGCTTCACCGAGTCTCGTCTTGGGAAGAAGGCAGAGAAGAAGCCTGAGAGGACCGAGTAGATATGTTTTCCTCCCTGTTCCGGCCGAAGCGGAGGCAGAGACGAGGGATATTCTCGCCGCCTAGGTCTGTTGAACAAGCAGAGAGAAACGTTCGTGACTCTGAGGCCGACGTGCACTCGCGGTCAGAGTTTGTATCCGAGGGAGATATCGAGGAATATGACGTTGATGATGACGGAGAGGAGGAGGAGTATGAAGATGTCCATGAGAGCGAATACCAAGCTCCCCTATTACCTATGTTTTCTGCTCCCCATCTTGGTACGACTTCGCCCAACCCGCTATGCCATACACTTAGGCCCTGAGTTAATATAGACCGCTTTTTTTTGGTATCTAGATTCCCTCCCTGTTTATCATCTCACGCACGACCTACGTTTACTGATAGCTTCTCGTTGCGAGACTACATTAACATGGGAGCAGCTTCGATCTCCTCAAGTATCGCAGTTTCTGCTGAAACCCATACAGCAGATCATCCATACGAGACATCTATCTAAAGCCACCCTTTATGCTCTGATGGTCAATTGCCTCCAGTTCGACAAGGAGGCCACATCTAACCCAGGAATCAGTGGTGCCAGCCGGACAAGGGTGATGGTTTGTGAATTGCTGGCCATCAAACTGCTGAAAGAGTACTCTATGCGAAGCTTGATAGATGCCTTGTCCTATGATTTCCACCCCTTACAAGGGCAGGTTACTAAACCATCTACGGGAACTTCGAATGGCCCATCATGGGATAATAACCAGCGATCCCGCAATCTTCTAAAGGATGTCCGGATATCATGTCTAGAAATTGCTATCAGAGCTCAGGCGAAACGGTTCTTAGCGCATCCGCTTGTGGTCCAGCAACTGGAGGCACTATGGGCTGGTACCATTGTCTTCTACTCTGCAGCAGATAGCTTGCATCGACAGCCTGCTTGGGATACTCCTTCTCAACGCCAGGGTTATGGCTCTATCAATGTGTCCGAACCCAGGCCTAACGCAAAGGACACGCCCGGCGCGTCAAATAAAGCCGTTTCCCGCCGTACTGTGGCTCTTTACAACCCGCGGGATGCGTCTCTATTCAAGCTATCCAGGCTACGTGTTCCCAGATACCGCCAGCTGCTATCCACGCTCTCCTATGCGATCTTACTATGTCTGTTTCTTACCTTGCTTCAAAAGCGGCCGTTAGACCTTACTGGCTTGGAGATGGTGTTTTGGTTTTGGAGTGCCGGGTTCATGTTGGACGAGATCGTTGGCTTCAATGAGCAGGGTTTCAGCCTTTACTTGATGAGCTTTTGGAACATGTTTGACGTCGGAATTCTGCTCTTGCTTCTTGTCTATTATGTCTTGCGGCTGTATGGCGCAGTTATGCCTCGAGACCAGAAGATTTATGCCGCGGGCCTGGCGTATGATACGCTGGCTGCGAATGCGGTACTTCTCCTTCCACGCCTTTTCTCGGTTCTTGATCATTACCGATATTTCTCCCAGCTTTTAATCGCGTTTCGCATGATGGCGGCCGACCTAATAGCAGTACTCATTCTAATCATCATCGCCTGTAGCGGGTTTTTTGTGGCTTTCACCTTTTCCTTTGGAGACACGAACGCCTCCCCTAGCTCAGTTGCTTATGCTCTGTTCCAAATGGTCATGGGGTTTACTCCCGCAGCCTGGACGCTTTGGGATAGGTATAACCTCCTTGGGAAAATCATATTGACCCTCTTTCTATTCATATGCCATTTCCTCGTCGTCACGATTCTTATCACCGTTCTCACCAATTCGTTCATGGCGATTGTTCAGAATGCGCACGAGGAGCACCAATTCTTATTTGCCGTGAATACTATCTCCATGGTGAAATCGGATGCCCTATTCTCGTATGTGGCGCCGACTAACGTCCTAGCTTGGGCAATCGCCCCGTTGAGATTCGTTATGCCATTCCGGAGCTTCTTGAAACTCAACCGCACTGTGATAAAAATCACACATTTCCCTATTCTGTTCAGCATATACCTCTATGAACGCACGATACTGCGATCTGCCGCCTTTGAGCCAACAGACCTTGTTAGGGGTCGATTCAACCCTTTTAAGCCGGTTACAGATCAAGAACGGTCTTTTGAGCCTTTCACTCCAAGGAATAAGTTCCGTGTACGGGAGCCATCGGTCGCTACCCATCAAAAGGACAAGGCCCTCGACCAAGTCTTCAGCCGACTTCATGATGGCTCTACGAATCAAGGAGGCCAGCGAACTAGAGTCCGACAGCGGTTATCGACGACCAACGTAAGTAACTGGATGCAAAATATTGGGGACGGGAGCTCGAGGGCGCCACCCGAAGTCCAAGATCGGAAAGTTGTTGAAGACTTGGAGGCTAGACGGCTTTGGGCTGGTAGATCACAGCGACGACAGAGAAATCGGGGATTAAGTGGGCGTGATTTCACAGACACGACTCGATCCTTTGCTTCGGATCCGGAAGACTTCATGAGCGTTGCATTCGACATGACGGATGTCAACAGAACACCTAAACCACACCTCTATCCTCAACAAGTCGTAAACCCGTCCACGCAGACAGATGTCGAAGTTCAAGGTGACGATGAACTGAGTAGTGACGAGAATGCTGGAGGTGACTCGAGCCGAGATGGGGATTCACCCGAACTCAAAAAGACCCAGGAGGTTATCTTTGCTACGGACAACCAACTTGCAAGCTCAGTAGGGTCTCCGCCGGTCCTTTCCAGACCATCGACTGCCCGACGATTTTCGCGGAAGAATAGCCCTACTCGCGCTCCAAGAACACCACGGCGCCACCACTCAAGAAACCCTTCCGCCGCAACAATACTCTATAACCCGGCACCTCCAGAAGCTACCCAAATCACGGCTACCGGGAAAGCCCCATCTTCTCCCAGACATGGCAAGACAAAGTCTGGAACAGCAACCCCTATTCGGCGCCGGCCACCGCCCAGTAACTTGAGAGGGGCACCACAGGCAGTTGGCACACGACCACGCCCGATCCCTCAATCTATCACAGCGGCTCTCTCTGTCCCTGATAATGGCGTGCATTGGTCACTGAATAATTTACCAAGTCAACAACGTCGTCCGCTATCGCTGACCATGGGCCTGGGCTCAGATATCGGCGACAACGAGGCCCTAGGTGGCGGGTTTGTCGGTGGTGTTCCTGGAAGCTTCACAACGCAGATGGCGTACGCCATGGGAGGGATTCAACAGGACCGAGGGAATGACAATCGAGACATGCTTAGCCGACTGGTACTGGCCCGGATGAAGACTCTGGAGGAGAGTTTCAGAGACGTCCTAAAGGAAGTCAAAGACCTTCGCCACGCGCCTGGAAGAAGGGAGAGAGTACGCCCAATCACCGCTCGTAGGCCCACGAACTCTACCGGCAGCCCCAAACAGAGTGTAGACACTCAAGGCTCAGGAGAAACTCCTCGTAAGAGCAGCGAAAAGAGGCTGCAGCCAGCATTCGAGCCAGAGAATGAGCCGCTGAGCGAGGAGTCCTCGCCGGACTTTCGGGCGAGCTCCGTGTGATGTAGCCTTGCCTTTGGTTCAAGCGTTGAACTTGTATATATCATGCCAAATTGACTATTTCCATTATATTATTCATCAGTTTATCTTTAGCCACTGTACTGTATCAAGGTAGAATGCCTGACGCCAGGCCCCTGGATATGCCTAGGGTTTGCCAAGCCCTGGCGGTGCATATGCTAAACCATGCAACCTGGGCCATCATATACCATACCTCGCCTGGATTTACTTGCTCGCAGCTTCACCGTCGCACACAGAGACCAATCTCACGTCAGACCAGCCAGTGGACATCGGCCTGCTAGCTGATTTCCTGCTCGCACACCTCCATAGCCACGGCCCTTCGGTCTCTTTCTGTTACCTCTGCTAGAAACTACGGTCTGGCAACCAGCATAGAGCTCCAGCCATGGCATCGTCATCAAGAGCGTCGAGCCCGCTCCTCTAGTAAGTATCTCTGCATATAGCTGTATAGTCTCCCGGACGTACGCTGATACCTTGAGCAGCGCCTGTATCGCACACAGGACAACAATTCTCACAGAGCACTCAGTGCCCGGAACGTCGTCCACCTCCGCCTCATCGCTAGCATCCATCATCCTCCCTAAGATATCTCACGACTCTCCACAGAAGCTCACCTATACCCATGACCGGCTATTTATCCATTATATCGCAGATTCCCCCAGTGCTTCCTCAACCCAGGGAAATGCACAGACTCCCGACTCCCACTCGGCGCTAAGCTACCTGGTCGTTGCCACGGCTGAACAGGGTCGCCGTATACCCTTTGCCTTCTTGCTTGAGATGAAGAGGAAGTTCCTTGCGAGCTATAATCCAGATAGCACTGACTACGCTGCATTACCGGCCTACGGGTGTGCCGCATTCAACAACGATCTTCGCGCACTGCTACATACCTTCAACACGACGCCTCCGTCGGATTCGCTTGCCTCTGCCAGGAAAGAAATCGACAATGTACGAGATATTATGACGGAGAATATCGAGCGTGTCCTAGAGAGAGGCGAACGTATCGATACCCTGATCGACAAGACCGATAGACTGGGAAGCAGTGCTAGAGACTTCAGAGTTCGTAGTCGGGACCTACGACGACGAATGTGGTGGAAGAATACCAAGGTCATGGCCTTGCTAATCGTCGTGGTGTTATTTTTGATATATCTGTTTGTTGGAATGGGATGCGGCCTGCCAGCGTGGGGCCGCTGTATCGGGCGTGGAGGCCATCACGAAGAGTAAAGTCATGAACAGGCGACGAATCTACGTGGAATTTGTTCAGTTTCTTTGATTGATGCCACAAGTTTTTTGTTCAAACTTGGTTATTTCTGGCTCATCGTACAGCATTTCGACCTTTTATCAATGTTATTTATCTGGATAATGCGTAATATATAGGTGTAGCGTTCATAGTTAAGGCATAGGAAGTAGAGAGGAATATTAAATAAGTCGAACCGAAAAGATTACTATGCAACTCGTATATATTGCTTTAAAGGTGTACCTTGCCATCAAACTTGTCTCCATCATTGAGGATTCTAGGGGCAAGTCTGCAGGCGAGGCTATTCAACTTTCTTACCTCACACACTTCTGCGGAGGGGACCGAGGAACGTTCTTAATATTCGCCTGTCGTTTATCTTGACAACCACGAGAAATAGGTTGGCAAGAAGATAATACAGGCGGAGATCGAAGAGGGAAGAAACCGTAGCTCTAGGAGGGGGGTCTATGATGGGAGGATAGAGAATCATGTAAGATTTGGCATTTCATATCATGAAACAAACAGAATAGGGCCCTTATATTTCGAGTCCACTGAACTTTGGGGGGAAAAGCGTTGGAAAGAGGAAGCATTCAACACATAACGCCCAAATGAATCCAGGTCCATTAGGAACCCGACACGGTTATTAAAAACATGGACTGGTATAAAGGAGGGTCCCAAGGCATTTCAGTATCAACCATGGTAGGAAGATGAGAAAATTCTCGAATATGGAGATATTGTTTGCTTTATTTTGTTCGTATTTTGTTTCCGCTCCTAACCATTTAAACACCCAAAGCAATTACTTCCCTGTCCAGATTCAACCGTTTAAGAGGACTTGGAGGCTCTGGCGGTGCGTCCGTTACCAATTCTCTCGAGGATGCTCTCACGGTCCTTGTCGATCTTTAGCTTGGTGATGACGACCTTGGAGGGGTGGATTCCGATTGGGACAGATTGGCCGTTGGACTTCTCTCTGCTGACTCGCTCGACGTGGACGACATATTTGAGACGGTAGACGGATGTGATCTTTCCCTCACGGCCCTTGTTGGTTCCTCGGACGATGGTGACCTCGTCGTCCTTGCGAATGGGTATCGATCGAACCTATACAGATTATACTCGTTTAGACAGATCATCCTTGCCGTGGCTCTTCTCCGCATCTAGGTGGTGGTGGTGGTAATATGATGAGCGCTGGAGGTACGTACGTTGTGCTTCTCACGGAGTTCCTTGCTCAATGGGGCACTCATGATGGTTCGGCGCTCGCTGGATGGAGCGCTGAAGTGCGCCTTGCGCGACTTCCGTCGCGAGCAAGCAATTGCTACAGTAAATAATATCCCACGGTCAGTTATCTTAATTTTGACAGCCCGATTCGAGGTACCATCGTGCGGGATTCCCACGGCGTCCCGAGACCTCGCAGCACTGCGCACGGAGAAAGCGTCTCACGTACCTGTGTTAACCTTAGCCATCGTAGCAGATCGAGTCGTAGTATGTGACCTGGCACCGAGGGAAGTGTGGTTGTTGGATGTCGACGGCGTGTTCTGTTCGTTTTCAAGGTTGAAATTCGTTTTTAGTGCAAAATGTCCAGGCGAGACTGTGGGTCAGCTGACCTGCACTTTTTTAGCGCGCTAGGGTTTGGTCGCGTTGTGCTGACTCAGCATAAATTAGTTGGAGCTTCGAGGACGACGAGGGTTGAGATAGGGAGAACGCGGCGACGAGCAAGGAGGCCCGGAAGCTGAAGAGATCGAAGGATAGTGCTTAGCTGTCTTGGAGACATGGTGTCTGCGTACCCGTGTTACGCGCCGCCCTGCCTCTCTACCGTCTTTATACCCCCCAACCCGTGCTATATCGCCCGCGAATCCATGGACCGCTACCGTGTCCGTGATTGACGACCTGAAAACTCGGCTGGCAGACCTCCGGAGATACCTCAGACATGGCCTACAATGGGTACGGCTATGCGAATTATCAGCAGCCGAATGCGCGGGGCCAGAGCCAAACTCCTTACGCTTCATCGGCCCAAGACCCCAAGCCGGCGGAACGGCCGCTCCAGAACAACCGCCAGGAATACGCGCAGCGAGACACCAACTGGAGCGGACAAAATATATCTAGGGTACAGGGTTCGAACTCGCAGGGTGCCAGAAACAATTACTGGGTGGCCCCGACAAACAACGCCGTGAACCAATCCATGGGCTATCAGCAACAGGCGTCATATCGCACTTCAGACATAGATCAGACCACAAATTCGGCGCGCCAGTATAATAGCCAACCGCAATCTCAGCACCATACCAGCGCACAAGGGAGCAATAGTTATAGGGTTGAATCTACTTCAAATACGGGCATAAGACAGAATGCTGTGGCTCCTAGTACTCATTATGCTACTGGTACTTCACAAGCTCCGGCAGGGGTTCTTCCCACCACAGCTTCACAGGCCTATCAGTCGCGGACGGCATTGCATCAACCTGACTCTACGCAGAACTCCCGCACTGCCGCAGCCACAGCAATGACTGCTTTGTCCTCTGCTTCTAGGCACAATTACAATCAGAATATGACCGCTTCCACTTCAAATACCTATCAGATATCAAATTCCACTCAGTATAGCACTCCAGACCCTGGTTCAGCGAGAAGTCAGGTGGGAGCCAACACTGCAAGCTCGTCGAATACTTTATATCCATATCACTCTGGAAATTCCGATCAAAGCCGTGAAGTCGGTCGCATGTCATCCTCCACTGACATGCGTCAGAGGGGAGACACCTCGGATATGAGCATGCCATCGGCATCGAGCGCGGAACCATCGCCACAACTCCAATACCGAGCCCACCAAACCCAAGTAGCAGCCGCCTCTCGCTCCCCATCGCTCCCACACCAAATTAGAAGGGCCCAGGTTCCTGCACCCCAAACCTGCCCTGGAAAACGACCAACTCCTAATGATACCCGGCAAGCGCTAGCTCTAGGTCATAATACCCACCACCCGCAGCAACATACTGAGACGACCTCAGCTGCGGCAGCATCAACCGCCCAGACATCCCTGCCTAGGTTTGTTGATCCTACAAGCATATATAATCCCTACTATATGCAGGTTGGGGTGTCTGAAGGTGCAGCTACTGCTAAAGCAATCGTTGAACAGAACCCGGCGACCGTCTCAGATCAAACGGAAGCTGCACAAACAGTAATACGGCAAGATTCTACTGGGCCTTCAGCACCGAGTCAGTCTCCCGAGCCAAGTGTCACAGCACCGGAAGAATCCACGCAAGCCACAGCAGTGTCCACTACCCATACGAAGTAAGTTATATCACCTACCAAAAATATAGATTATGAAGTTTAACGTATGATTACTAGTGCCCCTGAGAAGCCGAAGAGGAAAAAACCACCAAAAGAAGTTTCGAAGGATACTCCAAAGAAAGTAAGAAAGAGAGCGAGCCGAAAACGGAAGTCTGATGCTACGTCGACCCCTAAACCAACTATTGCAGAGCCTCAAGCCAGTTCAGCCACCAATGGAGGGGCGAAGGAAAATGAGGATACAGCAAGCCAAATGCAACGGATGCTTGACGAAATGCGCATGAAGGACCCAAATCTGTTTAGATCGCTTTTGGCGGCCAACATGGTTAGTTTAATTCTGTCTCCTAACTATGAATGATACAATACTCATATTTGTACTTCTCCAGAACAAAGCTGAGAATAGTGAACCTGAGCGGACTCCCTCTAACGGTACAAGCAATGCTCGGGCAGAAGGCTTGCCTAATGTTGCTAATACTGCCAGCCCCTCCACACTTCCACAGCCACCTACCTCCAGTGCTAGTACAGGCCGTACGCCTTTAGCAAAATCTCCTAGCAAACGTACACCAGCCAAACGTACGCCAGTCAAAGCGACGGCTGCCCGTAGTACACCTATCCAACAAGCATCAATCGAAAATCCGACTCCTGTGCAGCGGCCACTAGAAGCTACTTCAGTGGTCGGTAGGCCCGATACGCCAGTTGATACTGGCACCGATAGTCCACACACCGCCAAACCGGGGATTATTGATGGTTTACCTGACCTGGGGAAATTCCCAGCATTACGACGAAAGCGGAAGCTGAAGACTGGGACTAGTTTTGTAGCAGATGGGCTCAACCAAGGTACCGTTACCACATTCCATGTGAACGACCCAGGGTACATAGAGGACCAAGCCAGCCAGTCGACCCCTAACCCTCAACCAGTTTCAAACGTTCCCCAGCACTATGCCTCCTTAAGCGTTGAAGAGCAACGCCTGAGTCTTTTAGATAATTTCACTAAAACTGGACGTGCTGAAATCCCCCCAACTCCCGCGATACCCACTCCTGCAACAGAAAGCATCCCCCCTAACCAAGTGGTCAATATCAATAATGCCCCAGCCGCCCATCCCCCGCTGCAGCCGCCAACAGAAGGAACGAATGGAAATCGCAAGGCGGTATCTTTCTGGCCTAATCATAAGCGCCGTGTTTTAGCTGAATCAGCGTGCGAATATATCGCCACATATCCAGGCAATAAGGTCATTACTCCTGATTTTGTATCAAGCCTAATTGAACAAAACCCGAGCTATATTCAACTTTGTCACATGCTAGAGCAACATGGCTATACTATAAATAAGGTCCATTTTGCGAAGCATCTTTTACAAGCATTCCCTGATCTCGGTGAGAGCTCTGGAAAGACAAAGGTCGAAACTCAGCCAACATCGCAACCTCCCCAGCCTATCCTACCAGTCTCATCCTTCGTTTCCCCAACTCCGTCACCCGCAGCCCTCCCCCAATCAAGTCAGAATGGGGTGAGCCCCCAGGTAGCTACTGACTCGAAGCCGGTTCCCCCATTATCGCGAGAGGAACAACGTCAAAAATCCCTTAATCTACTTCATCTTTCTCGGCGCACCAAAAGCGCCTCTCAACGGCGTATTTCAATTTCTGCTTCGCCGGCACCGCAACCTCGCGAACCACTACCCAACTCCAAGGAATCGATGGCCCGAAAACGAACATTCGCAGAAATTGTGGACCTTTCGGCTCTCAGTGATGAGGAAGATGACGATGATGAAGTTGAAGAAGTAGTTGACCAGCAAAATCACGATGAAGTCACTATTGAAGATCCAATGGATACTTCACCTGATGGCCCTATCGAATCCGTGGCGGAGACCACCATGTCCATGCAGCCCTCTGCAATGGAATCTCCACCACTACCAGAGTCAAGAAGCCGTAGCGCCACGCAACCCGTCCAGACATCGCCTGGTATGCCTCGAGACCCCTCGCTCATACCCGAACCAGCTCCAGAGAAAGCCGCCGATTTAGCAAACTTCCAATATACAGAAACATCTTATGCCAGCAGGAAAGAGGAACTCCGCCGTTATGCTGGTATCGTCAAACCCATGGACAAAGCCAAAGCGTTAAAGAGGTCGTACTATGATCCCCGAACTATCGCCAGAGATATCCTGATTGCTGCTGGCCGCCATCCCACAGAGCGCCCTCTCAACCAGCACTTGTTAAAGCTCAAGGAGAAGTTTCAACATATGGATTACTCCTCCGATCTCGAGACGTTCCGCTGGGATCTCGTCGACCCAGGCGGCCCTCCTCCCCCCAAAACTGCCCCTGTCCCCATCATCACCCAGCCGAAGTTCGAGTCACGTGAGATGTTGCAGACTTCACGTGACCCTGCTAGCTCCCAGCAACTTCCTGGTGCAGCCAACGCGACCGCTCATCCCCTGCCTCAGCATCATAATCCAACAGTCGAAGCCGACGCTCCCTCGAACCCCATGGCACCAACGCACACCTCTCCTTCCTTTGCCTCTTCTCTCCCCACGAGACCTGGGCCGCGCCGGGCCGGGCGTCCCCCCGGCGCGAAGAATAAGCCGAAACTTGTTCCTCATACGACTAGGAACATCGAGGTTGCCATCCCTACTGCCACACCGCGAAAGTCGTCGGGCACGTACCAGATATATGAGTGTCGCTTTGATGGCTGTGGCGCCAGGCTACACAACTTTGATATATTTCGAAAGCATGTCTTGAAACTGCACGGTCGACCTGATGAGATACCCGCAGTCTGCATGTGGGCAGGTTGTGCCTCGTTAGGAAAAGGCGGACAAGTAGAACAGGGGAGATTTTCTGCTAAGGAGCTCAGGGAGCATTTGGACAGAGTGCACCTGAGCCAGCTGGCTTGGAAACTGGGTGATGGGCCGAAGCCCATATCCTCCGGTGAGACTGGAAAGTTCAACCAACCAATTGTTATTTCCTAATCACTAGAATTTTTTTCTTTTTCTCCTCTTCTAGGCCATCCTTGCTTCAATGCAGATTCATGTCTATACGATGACAAAGGTCGTACAGTTATAGCGAAGGCAACAACCCAAGGCGCCACGCCTTCCATCATATTGCCAACTACATGGCGTCCAATACGCGACTTCAATAAGAGCCATGGATATGAAAGCGATAGATCCAGCGCGCTACAGATTATGAAGGCGCTGGAGACAAAGCAATCGAATGTAGGGGTTGGGCTAGGTCCGGGTGGATGTATATTAATGAACGAAAATAGGCAAAGCACCGTGGCCGCATCGGATAATGTTTTCAGGATCCTGCCTCCTGAAGAGAGCAAAGAGTCTGAATGACGCTCTAATGCAGAAAGAATATTTGTGGGTGGAGATTCGGTACAATTTTTGACAAGAAACTACAGCACTCAAAGCGCGGCGAAGGAGGATACCTTGTTCAGGCGTTCAGCTATTTATGATTTGATCTCATCATTGCTATCTATCAGGGGTAGACGTTGTCTTGCAATCAATGAACGTTATGCATTGAAACAGGGTCCTCGTGTAGGTTTGGTATTGTTCTACTTATCACCATGCAGGTATAATTGTCGTAGAGACGAGTATTTTCAATATCCGCCTAATAAACCACGTATTCCATTCTTATAGCAGATATTCTTAAAACCAATGTGCCTTGTACCCTTGAAATTATAATAAAACACAGCTCTAGCCTTTCTTCCCGACACCAACCCCAGGATTCCCAATGTTCTGCGTCGTTTGCGATGATCCGGTAGGTTTCACTAAATCCGCAACAGTATCAACGGGCACGGAGTCGGTCTCTGACGAGGTATTCGAATTGACCTCTAAAAAGTGGTAGACAACGATGAGGAGCATGGCGCATGATCCGAGGAAGATGGCGAGCTGGTATAGTTCGCTATCGGATATCATTTTGTCCAGGTTATATAGGAAGAATGTCGGGAAAATATAATCGATACCAGCGGCCAGGCAGTACTCCAAGGAGATTTTCTATAGAATCGATCACCATCTATATTAGCCACTGAGCAATGGATGGGAATAGGGCTGGTGTCCAGATCTCTTGAAGGATGCCATACCAGTGACTGGTCAGTCGCGAGGTTCGGATGGGCCTAAGGTATGATCGACGGCCAGAGTGATGTGAGAGAGGTGTCTAATCAGCCCGTCAAGCGTCTGTCGAAGGTGTCCAGGTCTCTGATATCTGCATCCTCCTGGCCCTGTATAGAGCTGTTGATGATATCTGGCGGGAAGCTGCCCTGGACTTGGACTACGGCCACCAGGCTGACTCAGCAACTTCCGCCTTAATTTTCATCCCCACCAAACTCGCTATCTCGAAGAACTTCGCTAACAACACACCCTCAAAGTCACTTCCGGCGGCGGCAGCGTCGACAAGGACATAACTCCCGTCAGATACGAGCGGTGCTAGGGACCCGGACACTCCTTTGGACATTTCTCTTACTAGTGGTGCCTTTTCTTTTCTCCACAGAGCACGATTTACTTATTATATACACGCGATATTGTCTCACGCCGGATAGAAAATGGCTCCCAAACGAGGCGATCAGCCTAAGAAGGCAAAACCCACTGTGGATGATAAGGTACGCATGCTACATGCTCTACGAGCTGACAAGTGATATTCCGGGAGAGAAAGCAAAGCTAACAGTGTGAACTTTAGACCTTTGGCATGAAAAATGTAAGCACGAGGGAATATTTCTAGAGCTCCCCTTTACAACCACCGGTTATTGACACCACCCAAGAAAAAAGGATCAACTGCCCGTAAACAGATAGCCCAGCTCGAGGCGCAGGCAGCCTCGAACAAGTCCGCAGATGCCAAACGAAAAGCAATGGAGAAGGAGAAACGTGAAAAGGAAAAAGCAGCAGCTGAGCAGGCCAAACGTGAAGTCGCGGAACTGTTCAAGCCAGTGCAAACCCAGAAGGTCCCCTTTGGTGTCGACCCCAAGACGGTTCTATGCGTTTTCTTCAAAAAGGGCAACTGTGAGAAGGGCCGTAAATGCAAGTTCAGCCATGACCTGGCGATCGAGCGCAAGGCAGAGAAGAGGGATATATACCAGGATACCCGGGAGGAACAGGACCCGAAGAAAAGCGATACGATGGATGACTGGGATGAACAGAAGTTGCGAGATGTTGTGTTGAGCAAGCACGGAAACCCCAGAACGACCACAGATAAAGTATGCAAGTACTTTATTGATGCTGTCGAAAACCAGAAATACGGTTGGTTCTGGACTTGTCCAAACGGAGGAGATAAGTGCATGTACAAACACAGTCTGCCACCAGGGTACGATATCATTCCTTCCTCCTTCTTTATCTCGTGCAGGCATCACCGGGCTCTAATGTTTTAAAATAGATTCATATTGAAAACGAAGGAACAGAGAGCCGCCGAAAAGGCTCTCATGGATAAATTCCCCTTGAAAACCTTGACACTCGAGGAATTCCTCGAAACCGAACGCCACAAGCTCACTGGAAAGCTCACACCAGTCACAGAAGAGTCCTTCGCAAAATGGAAGAAAGAGCGACTAGACAAGAAAGCTGCAGAAGATGAAGCTCGCAAGGCTAAGGAGGCTACTGGTCGTGCCATGTTCGAAAGCGGAGAATGGAGAAACCAACAAAGCGAGGCCGAGTCGAGCGATGAAGACGAGGATGATGGCGAAGATGATGATGCGTGGAACCTAGAGAGCATGAGGAAAGAGACCGAGGCTCTCAGAGACAAATCCGAGCAGGAGAGAGTGGCCAAGTTACAGAGCTCGGGCGATGCTCCAGAAGATACCGCCATATCGGATAAAGAACCATCCGCAACTGTTGAAGGAGAAGGTTAGGATGATGTCTTGGTTACGAAAAATAAGTTAAATATTAAATGAGCAATAAACGGGAAGGATATATACGAGCTTCACGCTTTTATGAATCAACTTTTGTCCACTACTTTCCGCTGTCAACTGTGTTCTACTGTTCGTTGCCCCGTCAAATACCAGCATAGCCATTTCCTATCAAGATGCAGGAGTTTTCATACGACTAACTCCACGGAACTACGAGAAAGACCGAGTTTGTTTATGAAGGCTCTATGGGATGAAAAGCCCTGAACGTCATGGCATTAATCAGTACTAGCTAGGTAACATAAGCTGCCCCTCATTTTAGGTTGTCTCTTTTTTTCAAACATAGATCATCCACGGCCAACACAGCCTGGGCACATAGGGTATGATGGACGAAACACCAACCCCGTTTTAGCCATTCTCTCCGTCGAGTCAAACTATGACAACCATCGAGCAAGACATGGCGTGTGGCGAGAGGGGGTAGGGAGAGAGAAAGTCATAAATCCATCTAGGCAATTTCTTCGATCTTTGGCTTGCTGGTAGAACCAGCGGCCTCCTCTTCACCTTCTAGCTCAGGCATCTCTTCCTCGTCCTCCTCCTGTGATGGTAATGTTAGCATGCATTCAGACGACAGTAGTAATTAGAGTGGGGCAAACTATACCATGTCACCTTCTTCACCAGCAGCACCCTCCATGCCTCCCATTCCTTGCATTCCTTGCATTCCTGGCATTCCTCCCATACCCTGCATCATTCCTTGCAGGCCTTCCATTCCTGGCATCCCTCCCATTCCTTCCATGCCGCCTCCGAGTTTGGAGAAATCGAGCTGGTCCATCCCTTCGGGCTCCTCTTCCTTCTCTTGCTCTGACGGATCAATGTACTATAATTCCCATTAGCAACAGATAAACAGCTAGAGAAACATATACACAGCTTCAGACACACAGTCTGCGGTAGGGCTCGAAATAATCCAGGAAGCAGGGGTATCAAATCACTCACCATTCCAAAATCGGGCTTCAGGTAGTGAGGCTTTGGGGGAGCAACCAATTTCTCCCAGTAGTCCGCATCAAGGTCCTTCTTGATCAACTTTACAACAGCCCTGGGCATCGACCCGGCGATCTCGTATGTGAAATTCTCAGGATCAACTTCTTTGCACAGCTTCAGGTCCACCTGGTAGGTAACCTTCTTTGTGGTAGAGTATCCCTGGAAGAAAACGCGAGTCGGAGTGACCTCAAGTTTGACAATGCCCTTTTTGACCAGGTCCTTCTCGCCAGCATCCTTCTCGGCAGAGTCCTTCTTGCCTGAGTCTTCCTTGGTTGGGGCTTCCCCGAGATCAGGAGCCCAAATATTTAGTTCGATGAAGTTCCTCTCCGGGTTAGTGTCCGAGGATCGCTCCCACCATGTGACTAGAAGTAGATGTAAATATCAGTATCTAGAATGACAATGCAGACTTCACCGTGCTGGTCTATTGGTGCGCAATGAATGGGATTGAGCTGCTAGACACCCTCCACTAGCGGGGGATAGATAGCCCTCTTTCCCCCCCAAGCGAAGATGACGATAGCAAGGCGGCAAAGAGAAACTCACCTTCGGGGAAACGTGGCTCCATGTCGGTCATGATGAAGTGCTGGAATGTGAAGCAAGAAAGTAGTCAATGGACAGGTAGGAAACTGGGTGAGTGTGAGCTGGAGGAGAGTCTGCGATGTTCTCCAGTAGCGCTCGAAAAGGCGAGGTCTAAAATGTCTCTGGAAACTACTGGAAGGAAAGCACTGTGGAGCTCGGGCCAGGCGGGCGTGCCAAGACCATGAAGTGAGTGACTAAGCATCCCACCATCACGTGGCTAGACTGCACTCCGCCTTCTGCTTTTGCTCCTTACGATATATGCATAACGGCCGTCGTTGTCTGACATATCGAAGCAACAGCTACAGCCGTTGGCTATACGTTGTTATACGCTGGTTATATGCTGGCTATACGTTAGTTATACCTTGGCTATAGCGGTGTTCCCCCAGATTATACGTCCAGTCTTACACACACAGCCTGGATTCAAGGATCAAGCCAGCAGTACTCGTAGAGCCGCATACCTCACATAGTCCTGCTCCACGCGCTGCACTGTGGCCCTAGGGCCATCTGCCCGCCATGGAGACCCTAAAGGCGGTCTTCTTCAAGCCTGACCCGGCCGCACAGGCATGTCCATCCATTCGGCCCTCACAGCTTTAGCACAAACCATACTAACACATCCCCCCGGTAGATGAGAAAATGTAACGCCCTGATAAGGTCAAACACCCGGAAACTCGACCGTGACATATCCCAGTTAAAGGCAATTGAAATAAAAACGAGACAGTTCATCGTCGCCGCGTCCAAGAGAGCGCAACGGAACCCTTCCCAGGCAGCACAGGCAGCGAAGGAAACACGGATATTCGCGAGGGAGCTGATCCGGATCAGAAAGCAGAACGCCCGTTTGACGACGAGTAAGGCACAGCTAGAGAGTGTGAAGATGCAGGTCAACGAAGCATTCTCGGTCAGAAAGATCGAAGGGAGTCTCAAGGCCTCAACAAGTATTATGAAGGACGTGAATACCCTCGTCCGGTTGCCGGAGCTGACAGGCACCATGCGGCAGCTGAGTAAGTTTCAACCTTTCAAACAAGAGTCTCCTGCCAGTACTGTTAACCCGGTTGAAACACAGGTCTGGAGCTAGTCAAAGCCGGCATCATCGAGGAGACCATAGACGAGGCCATGCCAGAGGGCGAACTGTTCGAGGGCGAGGAAGAGGAGGCCGATAGCGAGGTCGATAAGGTCCTACAGGAGGTTCTACAGGGAAGGCTGGCTGCATCGGGCGGCATCAAACCGGAAGAGGTCCTCCAGGAGGAAGAACAGGTCGCCGAAGACTTCGAAGACCAAGAGGCTACTCTCGAGCAAATGAGGGGGAGGCTAGAAGCCCTCAAGAGCTAGCTCTTACCCTTGCATCTCACGTCTTAACGCAGTTTCTTAATGACCGATCACTTACCACCATGATACACGCTTTGAATATGTCGCCGTTCGGAGCCACGGCGACTGTAAATGGAGTTCAGGAGTATATATACATGTTCAGCAGAGCCAGCTGCTTGCCGTCTTTTTACTTGTCGTGTCTCAATAGCAATCTATCCACCTTTTCTATCTTCTAAACGCTCTACATGCATCCCTACTCTTTATCTCCTAACGGCCCGTAATCGCATTAACCACGTGACTTTATGACCCAAAGCAGTAAGGCGCTGAAACAAAAGATCTCTCCTCAGCCTTCGAAGCGCCTTCGCGCTCTCCCAACTTCACTCCGTCCACGTCGAAGATATCTGCTGCGTCTTCACTGCTCTTATTCACGACAGAAACTTCTGTATCACTCACCCGTTTGCCACTCGTGCGTTTCTATATCTTAACGTTTGCCTCCTGCGCCTCGTCTCTGACACGCCTGAGACCACTCCGCCTTCTTCCTCTCCTTCCTCTTCATCACAAACGCAAGATCCAAACGCGCCACTTGACTGCCTCGTCCAGTCCTGTATACCTTCACTTCAAGACTAAAACCCCATTTCAAACCAAATCATCATGTCTACCAAGCTCGACAAGTCTCTTGATGACATCCTCAACTCCCGCCGCCAGGCGCGTCGCACCAACCAGCGACGCCCAGCGACAAAGGCTGCAAAGGCTGCTCCTGTTGGAGGAGTCAGAAAATCCACCAGGCAAGCCAAATCTACTTCCAAAGCCATACCTACCGGACCTGCCATGGGATCAGGAGAGGGCAAAATCATCGTGAGCGGCTTGGTAAGTCATTTCGCTACAGTTATCCCATTCCACATCCCGCGCCTCGTGCGACCTAATCTACAGTCACTAATACACGTTTTACTAGCCCGCCGATGTGAATGAAGCGAATATCAAGGTATGTTGATAGAGACGCTCTCTGGGTTTCGTTCGCCGTCTCCGTTTTCAGTCATCTTGCGTCGAACGTGACGATCGGAAGAGTCGGCTTTCTTTTTCTTCCCAATCAAGGCGGACTTGCTCTCAGTGCGGCTATACTTCACGGTGATGGGCCTCTCAAAAAAAGACATGCGCGCGTAAGCGTCGGCGCTTGAGCTTGAGCTCTTTGTTATCAGACGGTTGATCCCTTCCTGACTTTCGCTCGCCTGTGCTTAGGCATGATGCAGAGTCATACGGAAGGTTGAATCCTGTCGCGGCCTTGAAAAAATCCTGGTATATGCCATGTGGGGTGCACTTGAGCAGTCGACACGACTTGTCCTGGTATTATAAGTTATATAAACCAGCGTTTTTGGCTCTTCGTTGTGGGACATGTTGGGTATCAGCGAGCGCAGCAGTGATTAAGCAGCACAGCGTACATCTACCCATTATATACACGATATTCTGTCCACCAGGAGGCCGACTGAATCGCCAAATACACGATCGTGCGATATCACCATACAACAGTTGATGGGATTATATTGTTTCCTGGACCTATGAACACACGCATTCGGCCTTGATGGACGGTATCAGAAGTATTCTATGACGCAGATGGGACCGAACCAACGATTTAGCCACTGACCACTCTGGATCTCGACAAACGTCTGGATGCCACGTTTTCCGTTCCGGGCCCATGATGGATGAGCGAATTGGGATCAACACCCTTTGTTCCACCTACCGGACCAACATGGATATAGATATTCTCACTTCAGCCTGTGGAAGACCGATCAAGTTACCCAACCCTCCGGATGAGGGTCGCAGTTCACTCCGGATATACCGACTCACCTTGACTATACTAACATCTAACTGACTGGCTGTTGCTCTGTGCTCGCTGATCCATCTGGATTTTATTTCGTTCGAAAGCCGACGATCCCAATTGCTCATATTTAACGCTTCGAACTATGTTGACACACATACTTTCAATCGCGAACGTACTGATGAATTTCGTGTCACCGTTAGGAATACTTCCACAAATCCGCCGGACCAGTCAAGAAGGTCATGCTTACCTACAACCAGAACGGCACCAGCCGTGGTATTGCTTCTATCATATTCACCCGCCCTGAGACCGCGATCAAGGCTGCCAAGGAGCTCAATGGATTGTTAATCGACAAGCGTCCCATTAAAGTATGGAACCTCCCCAGATCTTTTCATCAAGAGGACACCATTAGCTAACTTGGCCACACCCATAGATCGAGGTCGTTGTTGATGCATCCCGTGCACCCCCAGTCCCAGCAGCCAAGCCTTTGACTGAGCGTGTTGCGTAAGTGTTCACACTGATATTATCTATTCTCATTGCAATTTTTTCATGGTTGCGTTTACTAACAAAGAGCAGCCAACCCAAGGCTCAGCCCAAGCCAGCTTCTGCCGGAAAGGCTGGACGAAAGCGAGATCCTCGTGGACGTACCCAGCGCGGCCGCAACGCTGGTCGCCCGAAATCAAAGACCACCGAGGAGCTTGATGCTGAAATGGATGGCTACTTTGCTGGTGTACCTGCTAACACCAATGCTCCCGCTCCTGCGGCCAATGGAGCTGCACCTCAGCCAGCTGCTAACGGTGAAGACCTCGGAATGGTGGATGAGATCTCTGTGAGTTCCCTCTCTCGGTGACCCCAACCAAGTTGCATGTCATCGCTAATACAATCATTGTAGTAAATGTATCGCTATGACAATTTGCTACAAGGCTGCGAGTGGATAAGAATGTCCGGATGTAGTTGATCTGACAATGCTGCTCTTTTTTTTCCTTCAATGTGTTATGTTTTAATACCTCTTCGTCCGGACTCGGGCAATACTAAAGTGCTTACCGAAAATTGGGAATCATCGACTTAACTAGTTTTACATTACCCCTTAACAATCTCCGGTTCTTTCACTTACCTCACGCTTTACTTCCCTTTGTTGTATTCGTGCTCCGATCTCGACGTGTTTTCATCTATGCTTAATTTTCCTGTTGTCTGCTTGGGCGTTAATAGTATTCTAATGGGGGGAGTTGGTAGTGTTATGTGGCTTACAAGGAATTATCTCTCCAACCACGCAAGACTGAAACAAGCTTCTGTATTATTTTCTTTAGAGCATTTAATAAAGGATGAGGAATCAATGACTATTGAAGTACGGGGTATACGCAGGTTCTATTATGCTATTTGCAAAAACAGTCGCTAATCTAGGCCAGACTATATGCCGTAAAGGGAAATCACACAATGGACACTGCTCCTTTGTTGTTCGCATTGGGAATATGAAGCCAGCCAGGCGGGACAATGAGCTCTCACACATCGCATTTGTGACTGTGAAGTTCAAGAGAGAGAACAAGGGCGGGCGCGGGACAAAGAAAGAAAGTAAATCAAAATACAGGATTTACTCAGCCATAGACCACTCTACCCCTCAATCGACTTGCGCCACTCTTGATTTAACCTGGCAGCAATCGATCTACCGTGTTCCGTAGATCAAAGAGTGGCCTTTGAGGCTGTCAAGGAAACCTGCACTTCTTTTGAAAATAGATACAGGGAAGGACATGGGGAAACAGGCTTTTCTCGAAACGCGGTTCAGCTAATCAGCGAACAACGATATTTGTAAATCAACCGAAAGATCGAGGAAGGGGTTGAGATACCAACCGTGGTTTTGAGATAGGGCTACCGTTGAAGCGGGAGTAGTACCAAGGTTGGATGAGTCTCAATATGCTTAATCGGAATCCTGCCCAGTTCGCCACGATCTGGCTGTTGGTGTGTATGTCAAAGAATGTTTACTTGGTTAATTCGATTACCTTCAAGATCTAGATCAGATTTACGACAGCAGGAAACAAGCTGGTGAGGGGAAGGGAAACTCTATTATTCTCTATATGTCCGAATATTCGATGTGATATGTGTATTTTGAGCCCGTATCGAAATGTTGGATGGTTATTCTAGACCAACCTCAGGAATCCAGACACCACACGTGCGAAGTGCTTGCCTGGCATTCTACAAGTACTTACCGCACAGACACTCGATCAACCTGCTTTTGCTTTGCACAGATCTTTACTTGCTGTGATATGGCTTGATTTATCCTAAGCACGGACTGCTCTCGACTTGAAGATGTAGAATATGTTTTCTTCGCCACAGCTCAGTCTCTGCATATAGTAGTATATACAAATCAGGGAGACTCGGTACCTTGATTTCGGAATTGCCATATATCCTACCTGTTAGGCATACAAAGGTACTAGGCCCAAGGCTTCGCCAGCTCGATATTCACTAGGGATACCACATGAACCTAGAAAGTATGGACCACGTATCCAAGCAGATGTACCTAGATGCTGGCTCTAGTGCATCAACTATTCGACATTGTATACCGGGGTTCGCGAAATAACACGTAATCTATCCAGGTAGATTCTTCGCAAAAACTGACCCTTGTAGTGCGTCCGCAGGATAACTCGCTTGCCGAATGATAGTTGACGCCCAACAATTTTCCATGATCCAGCCACGCCAGGCATAGGTCGCTGATAGTAGCGGTGAGATCCTCCGAGCATAGCATGGCATGTCGAAGCTATGTTGTTCGCTGCTCATGGGCTCGTATATTCACGTAGCACCACCCAGCTCCCAATATCGCTGTGAAAAGGCATGATTCTCGACTTGGCAAAGTGTAGCGTTCGATGGGTATCAAGAGACGCCTTTTGTAGCAGATATATTGCCGTCTCTCTGGCTAAAAGAGTACCTCGGACGCGATGGCCGACGCAGGAAGACCGAAGGAAGAAGGAAGATATCAACATGGATATTAGGTTCCCTCATTGAGCGGTGTCGGAAGCACTGATATTTCAGCTCGCTGATCCCCAATTCACGTCCACATCACTGCGACCAATACGAGCATTGTCAAGCAAATGTAGGCGGTGTCCAGGATGTGCCACATATCTGGGAGGCTCTGCAGGTTTGGAACAGGATCGTGAGATTTGCCATGTAAGACACGAAGGCCGATGAATATTGCGCCAAGTCCCATATTAAGCCCGGCTCGGGCCGCCATGGTCCACAAGGCAAGGCTCGATCGCGGTTAGTTGGGAGTGTTCTTCGAAGCTGTTCTCAGGTAAAAAGTTGTTAGAGCGCAGGATGGGACTAGGTAGGACCTCCGTCGTGGTATCCATGTTATCTCATCTTATGGTAGGGCAGTCTCCGCGTCTCAGCCATGGCCATGACGTCTCAAAGCGACGGGGAACAGGTGGGAACTGCACAACATCGTCACAGAGTTCTCTCACGCCTTGAACTCCTAAACAGGGCTGATACCTATACCTCGTCTCTACTCCGTATATCTCATCTCTTTACATCATGTCTTCATCGTGTCTTCATCGTCTACATCGCCTTTACATCGATGCTTCTGCTTATATAAGCCCTTACTAAGATATACACGTGACATACCTAGCGCCCTCCTGATTGGCCGCGGAAGTCACCTCCCCGTCCCTGAACAAGCCAAAGAAACGCAAGAATCGCAGGTTTTATGTCGGCCGGAGTACACAGGCCTCTTCGGAGTTCTCAGCAGGATGTCTTACCAGATGTGATAGCTGTGTTCGTTAGAGTTGCAAAATAGGTTGAGATGTGACTTCGAGCGGCACATTTGGAACCTGGCTACCACAAGAACAAGAGTCTGGGGTATTCCCCTCCTTACCCTCCCCCAAATCTACCCCATTGAGGCGACGACGGGGGCTTCCGCCACGGCACCAACGCCATGGGTAAGGGATCCGCGTCTATAGTGTAGCCAGTCGAAGTACTAGAAACACCCCTGGACCTGCATCCATGAGGCAACTGGCGCGCCACCGTCAACCTTGCAACGACTTCCAGACGCCTCCAGCCGCCTCCCTTCGAGTCCACCCACACACACTGTCTCTCTCTCTCTCGTCGTCGTCGTCGTCGTCAGGATGGGAGTGTGGGGGTCTCTTAAACTCCGAACCCTCGCCTGTCCGACCGCCGCGTGTGAGGACTGTCAGAAAGTGAAGAGTCGAGTTTGATCGATATTATTTCTCCGTGCATACTTCGCATGGGTGAAGAGAGAGGGGCCGGGTCCTGTTCCTGTCTGTTCGACGCTGTGCTACGGATGTGCGCATTTCGATCGAGCCTGATCGCATGAGATCTATCCCAAGGACGTTGCCACCTGACAATGTAATATCATCCGTGCATTTATTTGCAGGAAGGACTATTATGTTTCTGCTGATAGTTCTAGGTTTCGCAGACACGGTAGGACGCCAATTAGTCGGCCAGGTGCAAAGGCACTCGGTCCCATGGACTCGGGATCTGGCCTGCCCAACTCCTCGGGATGCTTCCAGGCGCAGGTTGGACTATCACATCCGATCTCTCGCGCCCCCGTTTCTAGCAACTATTGAAGATCATTGGTTTCATTCGAAATATTCTACCCCGATTGGGATGTGGAGATGCGGAAGGGAGGCTGGCGGACCGTCTTTCCGTCAAGCCCCTTTAGTTAGGACAGCGGCACTAATATGATCCAGAACGCATTTCGACTGTGAACGCAACAGGGCGGATTATTTTAAATGCTGGGTATTAATTACACTACTGAATACAGTCACCGTACTCGATGGGTCTCGTCCTACCCAGGTCGAATCCTCTTGGGGGGAATTCTCCGCCCAGGAACGATTTCGAGCTCCCCGAGTGGTGGGCTAATTCCAAGCCCACCCGGTGGAGGTCCAGTGTTTTGGGTCGTCTCTCGAACCATTAGTATCTTACACAGGAGTGGTAGGATTCTATACGACAGTGAACAGGGAGGAGCCAGATGCATTTTCTGAGAAGTTGAAATATGAGGAAGTATATGCTTAATCCTGGGTGATATCGAGGCAAAACTTGACAACCAGCATCAACCACTCGTTCCCTCACAACCCAGCTTCTTTTTTCAGATGTTCATGCAGCATTATCTCGATCTCAGCAGCAGCAGCAGCAGCAGCAGCAGCAGCAACTTCCGCCACATCGGGTTCTACGTACGTTAAATCTGAGAGGATGTGCCCCACCTGTGGCCAGCCTGAGTTAAGGATAGGCTTGGGGGGGGGGCAATTCCGTCCAGCGGGAAACTAGCTGCTTGGCTAATAACGGTGGTGGAGGGCTCGAGGACCATAACTGACGGCGGATCGCTGCAACACTGGAGGTTTGTCCCTTCGACTGGTTCAATTAACCATCTCGACTAGTCTAGCATAACGACGACGATGGCCGTGATGGTGTGGTGATGGGGGGGTTTTTTTGTGATGGGTATGGCGGAAGTGTGCTCCGTATGATATAGTGCTAGCAAGGCGGATTTTCGATGCAGCCTCTATCTGGCGTTCTGCAGCACACACGTGTATGCAAGGGCAGAGAGTCAGTGGCTACAAGTCAGGTACAAAGCAGCCATGGAGTTGAAACATAGCGTCGAGGCAAGACTGTGTATATCCAGGCTGGCTTCAAGCCAGGGCTGGCGATGCGATATAGCGATGGGTACGAGAAGGCAGACTTCTGTCTCATGCCCTGTCCAGAATGATGGTGTGCGTACGGGGTATCTCAGGCCCCCTTCGAGGGACGAAGGAGCCGCCATCGCCCATCGACAGACTCCCACTGTACTGGGATTTGGCACTACGACTAGAATGAGTCTCGATCAGCCTGGTTACATGATATCGCCGTTTGAAAATACACAGGCTCTTCTACTAACGGCGGTCTCGACTTCCTCATTCCAGGACTATCACTTAGTCTGCTTAACGGCTTCCTCCTCCTTACCCTAGCTACCTATGAGGATGGACAGTACGATGGGGATGGACCCAAACGAAGGGATCAAACCGCCAAACCAATCATTAATGACAGAACGGCGTGTGGGCGTACTTAGGTTGAAAAAACCTCCATCGGGCTAAGTATATTTTCCTTCTCCAGGAAATCCACCTAATTTAGTCAAAAGCCCTACGCGTAACTAACTGTCAAACTAGTCCTCTTTCTTTTCTTTTCTTTTATGTCGTTCCCTTTGTGCAGAAAAGATGACAGAGAGAAAAGAAAGGAGCGAGTAAGAAAGGGAGAAGAGAAAGAAAGATGAAAAAAAGGAAAAACAAGCTATCGCGGATCCGATTCCGACAAGTCACCGTCTCACGTTCCCCGGACATGGGTGTGGCTATATTTACGTACTGAGAAACGAAGCACACCGCGTAACCCGGGAGAGTAGCGCACCAGTGACAGGCAGCGCATCAGGCTCACAGCTGGTCCTGGAAGCTGGCACGCGTCTACAGAGTACGGATCCTGTCAACGGATAATCGCGTACTGCGGCACCTGCTGGTGAGCGGTCAGGTTGATTTACCGGATCTTTTCTTTTGCTGTCGTCCTGTCACCTGGGGCCGAGTGCCTTGTAGTGAGACTTGTAGCGATACTCCATACTCTCCATACTCTCCATCCTCCCCATACTCGCCGCACAGAGTATCTGTGTTTGTGGGTGTGATGAAGAGGCAAAGGGGCCGGGGGCGATGCCATGACAAAGAAGCGTCTCAACCACGGATGGCGACGACGGATTTCGGGGCTGTCCACTGGTTGACGGCCTGCGCTGACCCGGCGGCCCGGTACATCCTCCCCCACAGCCGTTGACCAGACTAGCCGGACATATAGAACAAAGAGCACAGCACAACAAACAGAGGGACAAAAGGAAGAAAGAAAGCCGGGGGGGAATAAAGAACAGACACAGACAATTAGTAGATCAGATTCAGACTTATGACCAGACAAACAACGACCAGCAGCACATTATTTATATCTCCGGATGCCTTTTGCTAGTCCCCGTCCGTCCCTGCATTGGCCCTACTGCACTCCGCCAGCGGCTCTTTGTAAATCGATCTCCTCGCCTGCACATCTACATATCTATACACATACATACGCACGGCAGCAGGCTGACTACGGAGTACCAGACGACAGACTACAGCCTGCAGAGCGACGGACGGTGGGTTACTTGTTGCTGTACTCTGGTGCACTGTATGTAACCGGCCCTGCGTAACGGTGCCGAGTCGACCCAACAATAAGTCACCGTGTCGCGACGAGTCCATTCACACAGCTATACGAGCATCGTGTCGCATCAGGGTGTGCTTGACTGTGCGGTCAACACAGTATCGGTGTGAAAGCACGCAGACGACGCAGGTCCGGAACCGGCTTCGTCTAGCTGCCCAAGCCGGAGCCCTCCCGCCCAAAGCAACCAAATTAAAAAATAAAATAGCAAAAAAATAGGTCACCTCCTAGGCATACCGACACAGCAGGTCAAATTCGAAATCGCACGTATCTCCTGGTCTGGTCTTGAAGGGCGGAAATAACACGCCCTTAAAGCTCGCCGCACCTGAAAAACAGGGCTATCTACAAACCCCCCACTTGGTCTGATTCTAGGGAAGAGAGGAGAGAGAGAGAGAGAGAGAAAAAAGCAAGTAAGATCGAAAAGAAAAGCAGGATATACGGGAGTGTACAAAACAAAATAAACAAGGGAGCTCACTCACCTGGCGCCGCCTCCCGATATCTTGCTTACATGTGTAACGGCGGCAGTCAGTCGGGAGGGTCTACTACCGCCAGCGGAGATATTTGCAAGAGGAAGAAGGGAAGAAGGGAAGAAGCAAGGTGCTGTTGTTGTTGGTCACCCTTGTGACGAGACCGCCTGTGCAGTCCACGACGAAACAACGAACGAAAAGGCGATATCGGGATTCTTTCATACGGTGAGGCCACGACCCGGGCTTCCTCACCACCATCACCACCATCATCACCATCACAAACTTCATCACCCAGTCAGGTAGACGCAGTTAGTCACCGCCCGTTGCGCCAGGGTGCTTCGTCGTGACCTGATTAGTCGAGCGCTGACTAGACCGCCAGTTCAAGGCACGCGAAGTTGGATACAACACCACCACAAACCAGCGCTCTCGAGCACCCTTCCAAGCATCAATCACCTCTTCTTCACGGTTCACGGTTCACGCCTTCTCCCCAGGTCTCGCACCGCCCTACCCTAACAGAATTCCGCCCCTCCAACTAAAGAGCCAGACAGCCTAGTACGTCTCATCCGTCAGCCATCCCATCCCCCCTCTGTCGAGTCGTGGCTCCTCGAAGGGGTCGAGAGGCGTATTTTTCAATACTCTGTACGGCGTATAAACGCCCCCCTGGGCAGCCCCCCGGGCTCAGCGGACCGTTCCATGGGATCTCACTGGGCTGGACTGGGGTAACTCGATCGGTCGCCCGTGTTGCAAGACAGGACAAGAGGAGCCGGACACGGAGATTAGCTTCGCCTTGCCCCTACTCCCTACACTATAGTACACACGATCTGCCCCCTACGCTACCCACACGCCTCACCCTACGCTAACGACTGGTTATTTACGTTTCGACCGGGGGACCAGTGGATGCACATCCGCTCCACCGCATCTTTTTATTATTCGGGTTTCGCTTTTTGCATATGATATAACATTCTTTTTGTTCACCCCCTTCTTTTTTTTTCATTTTTGCAAGTGGCTATTTTTTGCTTTTTCTATCCTGGAGTATACCTTACACCTTGCACGAGCTATCATAATCCGATATTCGGCTGTCGCTTTATATATTTGCTTCCCTCCCCTCGCACTCCATCTATATCTCTACTCAACAATCACGACCAAGCTCGATACACATAACCAGCAAACAGCCTCTTGATATCCATACATCGACTGCAACTGATATCTCTTATGGCTTGTATCGCTATACCACAACCACCATCACTCTCATCGTCAGTATCGACAATACTATCATCATCACCACCAGCTTCATCATATACCAGCAGTATCAACCGCAACCTCGACTCACGAAGCTACCAGACCAAAATGTGGCGAGGCTACGGATTTGGCAGCAGTGCTGCTTCCTCTCCATCACCACCATCTTCATTCCCACAGCCAGCTCCTCCACCACCATCACCGTGTGACGGACTGCTCGACATCTACCCTCGCAAGACCTCCTTCTCCACGATCTCTGGAAGCAACACATCCTGTGCCTTCCCATCGTGGCCTAACAGGTCATCTCTCTACTCTGGATCCGAGGACGAGGGCTCCAGCTCAGCCTCGGCCTATCTCTCTGACGAAGACCTGTTCCCCGTCTCTTCTTCCGGCAGCAACCCAGCCACGATGATGATGGAAAGCCCGTTCGGCAGTGACAGCTTTGAGGACGACACCCCAGCCATCATCGGAGCTCCTGGCCTGACTACCGAGGAACAGATCCGCCACATCAACGAAGCCGAAGACTGGCGCATGCGCAACTATGTGCAGGCACAGGCACAGGCTCGCGCACTCCAGGCTCTGAGGGCGGCGCAACTCGCGGCCGTCGAGCAGGCGCAGGCATCAAGACACCGCAAGAGGCGCGCGGGCACCAAGAAACGCCGTTCCCACGTTTCCACCACAGCTACCAGCGGCAGCACAACCACCTCAGCCTGTACTTCTGCCTCGGCATCTGTGGCCTCCTCGGCCAGCTCTAAGCCAGTCTGATTCTACCATATCTCCTTTGTGTCTCCTTTGTTTTACATCAACCTTCCACGATACCACGATAACACGAAAAACACACCCAAAATGAGTCACTCGTCGGCGGTTGAGTTTTGGATGCCCAAGGCTCAGCAAGTTAGGCGCGTCCGGTGGTCCTACTTTTTTGTTGTTGGGCCGACCATCCTGGTGATTGGCCAGGGAGGACGTTTCACCGCTTCGCCTTGCGATCACCCAAATCACCAACCCTCGCCAACCATCCAGCGCAGCACCCGACGAGGCCCAACCTTACCGACAGCCCCCTCGTCGCAGTTACTTTCGCTGTCACAGTCACAGTCACAGTCACAGCCGTCGACCGGTCCAGCGTCATCGTCAGCGGATCCAGCGTCAGCCGCGTTAAAAATAACATCCCGAGGCTGACTTGGGCCGGACTTATATAAGCCGCCTCTCCTCGTCGGCTGAGCGCACGTGGTCTCAGGTCACGGGAACGATGACTCAGCCTTTCACCGCCTTCCCTTTCCGTCCTCAGCCTTGTTCTTACCCCGGCTTCTTCCTTCGCCTTCCGCGTTCTTCCGTTGACCGCTTTACTTCTACTTCTACTTGTTCTTCTTCTTCTGATACCCAGCCTGTTACGAGATACCCTGTTTATTCTGTTGTTTAGTTGTTTAGTTATTCCCTTTGTCATCTCCTTTGTCGATACCCTTGAGCGTTGAGCGATCATCATGCACACATAGCCATAGTTAGCCAGTAGTCTTAGCCAGTTAGCCATTATTATTATTATTAATTCAAAAGCACATTTACATCATGACAACCTTTTCTCCCACATATTACTTGCATCTGCGTAAGCTTCTAAGCGAGCGGCATGGTAGCCTCTCTGCGGATCCCTCGGGCGGCGGTGAGCGATGATTCCAACCTTGCAGCATCCTTATTCTAATACTTGCATCCGTCGGTGAAGGCGATCTCCATTTTCTTGTCCTGTCGTGTCTAACACCGGTGAAACTCGCATCAGATCGGTGAAGAATGTAACAGAGTAGAACCTTATCGGATGACGGACGGCGGGCGGGCGGGCGGGCGGCCTGCATCGCTTGCTCGAGTAGGTACATGCCTGCATACCGAGTTTGCATGGTGTTTCCAGGTACCTATCCCAAACAAAACCCTCCGTGTCTGTCTGTCTCGCTCCTCTCTGTCCGTGTCCGTGTCCGTGTCCGTGCCGATGACTGCAAAGTACTTATATGACGATACTATTAATACTGACAAACGAGGATTTACCATCGGTGCATTCAACTGGCGGTGCACTCAACTGGCGGTGGGCTATTCTCCGTACTCGCCGAATCAGCCCTCCCTTCCCACCCTCCCCCCAATGGGGAGTATGGTTGTCCGTGTCCATGTGCGGTGTGCAAAGGCTGAAACTAACCTTCCACGATGACTCCGGCCCCGACACCGACTCTGGGGGAAGTTTGATGGCGATGGCGATGTCACGTCGCACCCTTTGCCATGCCTTGTCCTGCCCATGCCATGGTCACCGGCCTTTGTCGTGCCGTCCGTTAGACCTCGGTCGGAGCGGTTCGTGGTTCGTGGTGGCATCCTGGATGATAGTCACTCCTAGGCTATATAACGGCGAAACTGGAGAACGGTATGGAGAACTCTATGGAGAACCGGATGGAGTAATATGGGTTCATTTATCTTTTTTTTTTTTGCAAAACGACGCCGTTCAGGGCTGAGACGATGACTGCTGCCTGCATAATTACGTCCGTTCGGAGTTGTGCTCGAGAGGGTGTATGGACCCGAGTACGATGGGCCCTTCCATGCCATATTTAGATTATCCTGCTTCATTAATTATTAATGTTATTAATGTTATTATTACTACGGAGTGTACGGAGTTGACGGGGGTACGGAGATGGATGCAACCATGACAACGACGACAACACGGTTGCATCTCCCTTCTCTCACATCTCATCTCCCTCCCCTTCGAGTGATGCTAGCCTCCTGCGTCGTCTCCTGCCACCGTTCGTCTCACCTCGTCTCGTCCTGTGTCGAAGCGACCTGAAACGCCTGGCGCACCTTTTAAGGTTCCATCCGCCGTTTCTGCGCGCGGTTTGCACGGGAGATTGCCACGCCTTTTTTTGGTGCTTTTTTTAAGCTAGCCACGAGGATCCCGCCGGCCATGACATAAAAGGAGTTCGCTTGCTCTCCAGTTACGTACAAAAAGGACGTATATACGAGTGTACGAGCATACTAGTTGGTATGCGAGATGGCCGGCCGTCTCCCAGCCCTGTTCAACGTCTGCTCCTGCAGGCCTGGCTCGGTGGGATAAGGTTGGTAGCGCGAACTGCTCCCCTTCTCTTTTGTTCCTTGGTTGTTCCTTCGGCTCTCCCCCCATGCTCCTTGTCGGCGTACGAACGGAGAACGGTGACCCCCAGCCACGTGTAGAATAGCGAGAAGCGTTCGTTGATCATCTTAGGATACGACGAGGTGTAACCCGTTAAGGGGGCACGGAGTACGTATACGAAGAAGAACCTCGTCTAGCCAGGTGTTCCATGGGTTGATTAACGGCTTGTGTAAGGCTGTATTTTATTCACAGCAGAAATAACCCCCGTTCGTGGTAGTCCGTACTCCCGTATCGGCAGGGGAAAGGAAGCGTATCGTGCTGAAACGGAGGGATGGCGTTTCGTTGACGGTGACGGGTTTCGAGCTGCCCGGACACAGAGCATCATGTATATGCACCATAAACCTCAACGGGAGATCGGGCCAGACCAGATCTCGACTTGGTGCCACGTGCGGTGCATTGCATATATGGCCATGTTTTTGAAGTCTCATATAAAGCCCGTGCTCTCATGCCCGTCGTCGGTAGGGAGAATCTGGGGGTGCATATTGGCCAAGGCTGGGACTTTAACTCTTTGCTTTTTGAAATATGACGGATGGCTACTAGATAGGAATTACCTAGTGGCCGTAATGTAAAGAGGATAGACTGTCCAAGGTATCTTGATGGATGAGAAGTAGGCTGTAGCGGCGAGTAGTACTCCCGTTCACAGAAGGAGCAATACAAACGCAGATATGTGGTCCTATAAGGATGGAAATGTAAGAGTGAACCTGTAGACGTGTCAGTTCCTCGAACGTGTGATGAATATATTAAAATATGGAAGAATCCTACTTAGCCGACCGCATTCGTCTTATATCGACCTATCTAGCAGCGTACTCTCCATCCAAGAACTTCCATCAGCACGCCGATAATCTACCTCTGACAGTTTATATGTCTCGGCTCTGGTGTAATCCAGCGTGACAAGAAGAGGACAAAGGTGAAACTTGATTTTTGAAAGAACCAAGCAAGACTCGAATTGAAAAGAGAACTTCGATTGTAAATGGTATAACCAACGCAGCTCCGTAGGATGTGTGTAACAGTAGTTCACTGGTCAGCTGGGTGCTGCGTCCGAGGCTGCCAGGAGAGAAGCGAGAAAACGTCCTCTGCCGTAGTCAAGGTGTCTATGAGGCGAGGATGGATGCACAGAGAATGGTCAATTTCTTGCTTGTTGCGTCTCCATATAGACCAGTTAATGTCTTGCGGAGGAGAAGGGGTCGAGTAGTAGATGGTATAGGGAACTGTCTGGGTAGGCTCAGCATTTACACTCTTTAGCACTCCAGGCATCCATATAAAGAATTTATATCGGTATCTGAGGCTAAAGAGGGCGACAAAAGGATATTTGCAGGAGACGTACCCGCTTCTCGGCTGCATAGGTAGGAAACTGCTTGGAAGAAGCTATCGGCCAAAGAAGGTCGTCCAGAACCTTGAAGGCATCCTGGGCCCGGAGACAATGGATCTCAAAGAGTGAGCTGTATATATGACAGAGGATGTGTGTCTAGGTGACGCATTACGAAGCTCTGTTCATAGATGAAATGCTATCTCCATGAGTGAAGAAAAAGGACTCTTCTGAGCCTGCTATCAATCGTGAACCCTTCCAACAGATGACGATGTTGGCGTAGCTTCACACTTGGCTCCCATGCCACTGGATATACCGCCCTTGCTGGTGATATATATCGTCCGCTCGATACCAGCAGCGTGGTAGAGCCAAATAGCTGGGCGCGGGAGGGAGAGAAACATGAACTCTGGTAAGTCCCACTTTGGACCAGAGAACGGGAAAACTCAGGGAAGCCAACTTCAACGTCCTCTTCACCAACATCATCCTCTTCTTCATCGTCTTCTGCCCCTTCATGATAACACTCGTACTTGTGTCATGGTCTCTCGATGGTCTTATGGTGGAACGATGGCTCTTCCAGATGTGGACATGACACGCTGCTTATCCGCTGACGTCGCAGCTTCCAACACCGCATCATCAACACACACAGGGCGGCCAGGGTATCTAGGAGAGAAGACGACAGCAGGATGGCGTCCATGGGTATAGTCATCGCCACTGACAGGTTGTCGATATGGAGCAATTTTGTCATGCAGCTTGGGGGCCGAGTATTCGACGGACATGCAGGTGAGTCAATACCGCCGGGGAAGAAGAGCCTGCGTCCAAGATTATGCGTCCTCCTCGAATCCCAGCTCACATCTCATCTTTATTCTGTAGCAGTGCCGCCGGCTAGTTGTTCGCTCTTGATGTCTCTCAGATGACCAGGCACTATTGATAGAAAACCCAGGTGCTGCGGCTCAAACTCCACTATATATACAGCCAGTTGTGTTTACAAGCGTACGACACCTCGCCTAAGCTTCCCTGGGGGGTATTCAAAGACATTGATATCGCGGCTAAGGGCTAAAAATATATCAACCAACTGGGTATCCAGACGTCTGTGGCGCAGTGCGTTCAAGGTTGATATTATCACATCACCGCTGTATATATGCGGTTCCGAGCCGGGATGGGCCGCTCTGGGGTTCCTAGCAATGGATCCCCATGCCAGCGAGCAAATGAGTGATATCGGTTGCCTTTTATGAAGGAGAGAAGGCCGGTTGGTCATCGATGATGAAGAGTTGGTTTTACTGTGTAGTAAAACTTGGCCAATCACTATACTGCCTACATGGGTCCGGAGACATTCCAAAAAAGTTACGCCCTTTCGTACGACTCGGAGGCGTCTTACTCGTCCACAGATCTCTTGGCCATTCAGGCACCGGATGTCTATTATGCCCACAGGAGTTGGGCCCGTTGTCCCTTCCCCCGTCAGAGGCCACAAGGTCGCAGTAGCGGGTGAGCCTTATGTCGTCTTCATGTACAATCGGCGATTATGGACGTTGGGCGCTACCATGTCGAGCACGAGGTATAACGACGGGTTTAAATTCGAGGAAGGATGTCACACTTCTCTATCGCTACGCGCCATCCCTCGATGATGCTATCCGTCCTGGGCAGCCGCTCTGAGCATCAATGCTCACGCTTGCGACAGTATGTGGAGCCCGCCATCACCTTCTATAGCACTGTGATTGGGCTGCTGCTGTGATGCGGGCTGCAGCGTGAAGAACTATCACTGCCATGCCTCCAGCCAATCCCGTCAATGAAGAACCTTAGAGTGACGGACACTAACTCTGATCCCTGTATCTTGGCTACTCTCATCACCTTTGGCCCCACGCTCCTCTCTATCTGGCGAGTACGGAGTACGTACTGATGCCCTGGCGAGGCGTCCCATGCCTGCAAACCGCCAGTCAAAGAGGAGACAGGGTGTTGTTCCTGGCTGTGCAGCTAAGGCCCCGGGAGATAGCACGAAGCCACTGCTATTATGCGAATATTGTTGCTGGAGCACTAGCTATTGTCATCGCTTAGAAGAATACTTCGCATTCACATCTGTACGAAGAAGCAGACGCTGGAATTGACAGAGATCGGCCCAGCTTGCTTTTTCCCCTTCTTCCGCACGGCTGCTTGCATCGTTATCCGTCCACCTCTCACTCCGGGCATCTCGAGTCTGAGGGAGAGCCTGACAGACAGGCCCTGACCTGAAATTATCCTACACAAGGATTGCCCGTGTACAACTGGGAACTTAATGGTCTACTACCCCACTAACTGCTCGCCGCGTTTACTGGTGTAGCGAAAGTTCGTCCAAAGTCCTTCGAGAAGACCGAGTCGTTTCATAATTTCGGCTCCCAATCTCACAGCATTCCCTATATGGTCCTGTCTGCTCTCTTTCCTACTAATTGGCTCCTTGAAGCAGACCCATGCCGGCGCTTATTGGTGCCCACAGCGAGCTCTACCCTTGACTGACCAGCCACCCTCCTAAGCTCAAGTCAAAACTGCTCGCCCCCAGTGACTAGGTCTTAGCCCCCGTCCACCCCATTCGTGCCAGCCATCTCCATTTAAGATCAGGTCAACACGATACCAAGAACAAATAGGAACAGCAAAGCCTTACCTCTTTGCCCGGTTGGACTATCACCTAAATTTACTCATCTCTTAAAGTTCTTGGACCCTCGAAACTCCCTTTCCGGCAAGGTGTCTCCCTTCTTCCGTTTACTAACCTGTGCGCTTCAAGCCTGCATCTTCAATGATCTACTTTGTTGACAGAAGCCTCTTCCCAAAGGGTCTCTATACACTCTTTACTCCGTCTCTCCTTGGATGCTCAACACCATATTGAGCAGTTACCTTGTTGGATCCCGTCTCTAGCGCATATCACTCGTTAGTTGGTATCCCATTGATTGCAAGCGCCTGCCTCTGCCCCGCGGCGCCTATTTCCCTTCGTGATCCTTTTTTGATATTCCGGTTTCATATCCAAGTAACGCATCACAGCCTTCACCATAACCGCTGCGAAAGGGATTAACCGCTTTGCTTGTTAGTATTGTTCATGCAAAGCTAAGGCGCTGAAGGCGCTTACTACACGGGTCAGTTCCAACTACCGTACATCTGTCACTTAACGACTACGACCTTCTTTCCTCCTCCTCCTTCATTGTCGCCGTGCCGTTTTGCATTCTCCGTCTCTCTCTTTAGCGACTGACTCCATGCGCAGATATCTTAGTTTACACTCGCAATCACCTCTGGCCTACAACGATGTCCTCTGAGCACTATGGAATGCGGATGTCGACATCTTCGGGCTCGCGCTCAGCCTCTGGCGCCCTACTAGCGAGTCCCCCAATCGAATTAAATAATGATCTTGACCCGTGCGCCGCGACCGCATCTCTATTCCTATTCACACAAGGCCCGACTATCGTCGCCATACATCATGACAGCTTGGCTGTTGATCGGAAGTTTCACCGTCATCGAGACGACGTCCAGATAATAGCCGTCGACAATGTTAGCGAAAGGGGGGCCGGCCGCTTGGTGGTTAGTTATGATATTGGCCATACCGCGATAATATGGGACCTCTTTACTGGCCAAGAAGTTACTCGCTTTGCTTCATTTGAGCCGATCCGTGTCGCCGCTTGGTTGCGAAATGGACATGTTGCTTTCGGTTAGTTGAGCTCGCACAGCAACACTGAAGCTATAGACGATGTAAGATGAAAACTAATACATATTGCCATAGGAAACGTCAAGGGTGAAATCATATTGTTTGAGCCATCAACGTCTGAACACAAATCCGCTCGCACAATATTCGATCCAATAACTGCATTGGCACCAACAGTGGATTGCAATACGTTTGCCATAGGGTATTTCCTCATATATTACTAGGTCAATTATCTCCCAGCTAACTTTATGGTTCTACAAAGGTACCTTAACGGTTCGATTCTAATTGCGACTCTTCTACCAACGTTTACCATTCTACATACGCTCACAACCACTAGAGGGCCGTCGCCTGTAATATCCCTCTGCTGGCATGCCTCGTCAACTAAGCAGAAAACCGATATGTTAGCATCGCAAACTATCGATGGTGATTTGTTTGTTTGGAGCGTAGCTAAGCAGCCCTCCGCGGAGTCACCTCGGGTTATAAGAGCTTTGAAGAAGTCGGAATCGAATAATTCCAGCCCCAAGTGGCTAGCTTGGTCAAAGAATGGTCGTATCGTTCAACACAACGATGGGTTCGTCTCTCTTATTGACCCCTTAGCAATCCTAAAACTGCTCAAGTCGCTAACCTATATTATAGGGAGAGCCTGGCATGGGATGTTAGGACCAAAAATGTCTCCTATGAAACCATACCAACCATCCAAGGAGTACAAGGAATTGCAAATTACGGACCTACCGCCACCCTTTTTACATTGGGCCCGAACCACACTGTCCAGCAGTATGATGTAGCCAATGCCACGATGGTCGCGAATGCCCAGCACCTTCCACAGAAAACTGATGCACCGATTGAGCAGCCGCCAGTTGCTGAGACTGCGCTAACGATCGAGACTTTGGCAAAACACACGGCATCGGAACAAAAGCATAAAGGTCGTCCTTCACAGGGTTCCTTACCAGGCGTCGAATCGAAGCTTGACTTGGTTCGTGCTGAGGCCTCAAAGAGCCCAGGATCTGGATATAGCATACCTATTTCCAATGGCTCTAGGCCTCGTAACCGCACACCATATGCGCCACGTCCTCCTGGATCTAATTATAGCGGAACGGCAACCACGTTTTCCCTAGGGTCCCCCAGGCCATCTATTGCGGAAACCCTTCACTCAGGCTACTCAGCACGTTATGCAGCATCAGTAAACTCCACAGAGTCTACAATGTCCAAGCTTCGCACTGTGTCTATCCCTGGCATCTGGGATGACCCAGTTACCGATCTCTTCCCGTATATACGTGCTCGGTTGAACAGTGTATCGATCAATCCGTCTCGCAGATTTGATGACCCAAATCTTGGGCCTGACGAACTGCGAAGACAAATGTTGACTGTAGTGTTCGGATGGGAGGGAAATATTGAAGACCTGATACGGAGTGAATGTGAGTGGTTTTTATTAACGGCTACTATATGGTCCCTGGCTAACGTCTCATATTAGTTAAACAACATACTTATGGCTCCCAGCATTCTGCCATTTTAGCAAGATGGCTACTTCCGTCAGATTCCAGCATAATGGCACCTATGGTCGAGGCATCGACCTCCTCATATGTTAACTGGATGATAATAGCACTTAGCTTGTTGACAAAGAAGGAAGGGTCAAAAGAGCCTGGCCAGGCACTTGCGAAGAAGCTTTTAGCTTCCAACGATCCTCATGCAGCGGTTGCAGTGTTGATGGGTATTGGAGAAGGGGACCTCGCAGTTGAACTCTATGTGTCCAGAAACCAATTCATGGAGGCTGTGCTATTAAGCTGCCTTTTGACCCCAGCCGGATGGTCCAGGCAATCCTATCTTATCCGCAAGTGGGGAGAACATGCGGCTACAAACTCCCAGCAACACCTGGCATTGCGTTGCTTCTCTTGTACCGAAACTGCGGCCCCCGTAACCTGGAAAGGTCCATCAACACAGACTCCCGTCTCTGGCGCACCTTCGGATAACAACCAACTGGCGTCATTCAACGCCCCGTCAAATAACCTATCTCCAACCTCTCGAGTCAAAAATCAGTCCCTGAAGCTTATAACTTCATTTGGTTCAAATAGCAACTCTACATTCCAGTTCCCAGGTCTAGCGTCTGCTGATAGAACCCCCACCAACATGCCCGGTGTTACACCCATTGATACTGGGATGGGTGATCCTGTATTCTCTCCAGGTGGCTTTAACAATAGTCTACGACCAGGTGGCCATCGATCTCAGGGCGCAACTCCAGTCAGTCGGTCTCACCCTGCAGGCTTCGGGAGGGAACGACTTCCCTCCATCGGCGAGTCACCAAACGACCCTACCCCGACAGTATCGGCTCCAAGGACCGGTCTTCCCGTTGTTGATCCAGCATCTGAAGCTGATAAGGAAATCAAGGTTATTGACGTGCCTGTAGCACCACCTACCTTGAATCCAAACCCGACCACCGCAGAGACTCTAGAATATTTGACGCCAGCGAGATACACGCCCCTTAACGAGTCCATGAAGGAGAAGGAAACGCCCATGACAGCCCTACCCCCTAACAGAACTTTAAGCTCTTCATCCAACCGGGAAAGCAAACTAGAGGCGGCACTGGGTCAGAAAGATCGTAGCACGAATGGCTCACAATCTCGTAAGCCTGACGGGCTACAGATTCAGTGGCCTCCTGCCGATGACCAGTCCTCGGAGGATCAACCCTTGGAAGATATGTACTATCGACTACCGTCGTCAACGCGCCGAAATGCCGAAAGAAATGATGGCGTGATGAGCCCGACTGCCTCTACTAGAAGTGCAAGATCTGGCGCAAGTATACCACTAAGCGCGAAGAGTCTGGACAAATACATCAGCAGTCTTGATGGAGCTGGCTACCAATCCCACAGACAAAAGCCACACAAGAAATCTGGCTCAAGGGCAAGTTCAAAGGATCCGAATGGACGTGGGAGAAGCAAACAGAGATATATTCAGCCTGCTAAAAGATCACCGTCATCGCCAATCCCCATGTCTCCTGAAGACGTTGCGCTCTACTCATCTTCCTCCAGGGATTACGTTGGTGTCCAGCCGCCATCGCGAAATGGAAAGAAGAGCAGCAGGATGCGCAGTAACAGCCCTGGAGGCAGGAGTAGAGTATCGGGCCGAAGCACAAGCAGACGCCGTGATTTTGATTATGGACTTAGGTCGCCAGCTTCCCCTATTCCCATGTCCCCAGCGGGCGATGGCCATGACAGTGGTGGAGACCCCGACCTCAAATTTCGCCTGTTAAATGCTGAACGGAAACAGCGGTATAAGTCAAGAGAACGAAGTGCAAACCGTCGTCAAGACCGCAGTAGGAGTGCACCCAGGAATATTTCATCCGAGCAAAGAAATGGGACAGAAAGGGAGAGTGACGTCGGCGGAGAAATGGCCAACCGTTCTGATCAGGCCTATCAGTTTTACCCTTCCAACGACGAACAGTCCCAACCACAGCTCCCGGGGTATGGCCTTTCCGATAACCAGTTAGACGAATATGGCAGGAAACGATCAGCAGCAGCGGAGTTGGAAGCTCGCCGCCAGTCGTTAGCACGCCGTCCCTCAGCTCCCCCTATTCCACTTCCCGGAGAGACAAGTCTCAATCAAATTCTATCTGGCCGACCGTCACCTTCACCAGGCCCCCAGAACCACGCTAGATCCAACAGCTCGTTCAGTCAAAGAGCCATGTCAAAAAGCACCGGACCTACCCCTTCTAATCTTGTAGAACGTGTGCCATTTACCGTACCAATTGGCCTCCCGGCGACACCTAGGGCGATGAGGCATCCAAAGTACAGTTCTGGATACAACGACTTTGATGCGCCAGAGGTGCCAGAGGTGCCTGAAGTGCCGCCCCCAGATGCCTTCTATAGTTATGAAAGAAGGCCGTCGTTCAATATCCCTCGGTCCATGTCTGCCCCTATTCCGGTAGATGACGCGATCCCAACTCATCCTCACTTCCAGCGCCAGCTTCCAAGTAGCCGAACGAACCGAGCTGCGAACCATAAACGGGAGACTTCCAACGAGGGCATGTTGCTAGAGAATTCTCGAGTGGAGAACCTCCGAGCGGAGCATACACGAATCACTTCTGGCCCGTTGCCGCCTCTTCTTCCAGAGCTGCAACATTTGCATGCTACCGCCACTCCTCCTCCGCCACCACCACCTCCCGCACCTCCAGCACGCCAGCCGCCGCCTCCAGTTGCTCCCATGCACGGCGAAGCTTCTGTCCAGGACGAAGGGCGAAACTCGCTTATTTCGGGTGTTGGAACGATAAACATTGCTATTGACGATTCACATAGCCCAGCTGTTTTCGGTCCCCCCAACCCGGGATTCCGAGCTGCATCATTGCCAGCGCACCAACAATCATTAAACCAGCTAGAGGGTGGCATGAGAGCATCCGCAGACCCTCACAAACGTGGCCGAAGTGTTAACGACAACGTGCACTTCAAATTCCGCAACCTCACTGACCGCATGCGAAGCACGAGTCGACCTCGAAATGGGCGGTCTCCGGCCTCGGAACGGCAAGACGTATGTTCACCATACGAAAGTGTGACAACAAACGGTCCAATTGAAAATAGAATCTAGCTCCCTGATGCTTAGTTCCTTTCTCGTCATTGTTGAGCTGGTGAATTGATATCAAGTATGGGCGTTTGACTAGAAGCCCATACTTTATTATTATTTTATGCACATTTATTTTACACTCTTAGTCTTATTCTCCGATTTCTTTTTTGCATTTTCTAGCCTATTTCCCAATCACCATTTACGTACCCAGTCTATGTTTTTGTCAACTGATTTTTTGGGTTCGACCGTACATTACTTTTTAGCGATGTTTCTGGATTACCCCAATATCCCCTTTGAGTTAGTTAGCGTACTGTTGGTTCATTATTTATGTCATGACTCCGTATCTCAGATATATTTTTATCATTATCATTTGCACACAACCACTGTCAACCTGAGTAGACTAGACTTTACACATACATGCGTGTCTAATTGTCTAATCATGCATACCGACCAATTTCTGTTTGTCGTTGACGCCCAACCCCCCACCTTGGTGTTTATTTCTGTCATTTTTCGACGGTACATAAAGGAAGGAGTGGGTGAGGAGCTTTGCTGAATTTCAATTGACCTTTGCTTATTGTACAAGTAAATTTTAAACACGAATATATAACATAATTTTCAGGGAGGTATTCCATTAATGCCATGAAATTGCGCGGAGTTTCGTTACTGGCTTGGTTCCCCAGACGCCCTTCAAAAATTTGCTAAACTTGTTCAAAGGCCGAGGGCTTCTTAGTTGAGACCAAAGTGCTCTAGGATCTAGAAGCTACCTATGCCAGTTCCATAAGGCTTGAATTGACTACCCTAGTCCTTGCGTTTCTGCCATGGAGAGGATGAAGAATCGCTATAGTCGCCGTTGCCCGCAGACGAATTGTTCATCGATTGCTGACGGATGCGTGCCCAGGCGCTTCCAGAGGGCGGTGCAGAGGACGAGTCGGCAGAGTTGGGTGCGAAATCCGAATTTACAGGGCTAGCGTCGTCATCCCAGAAACTCTTTCCGCCCGTTGTGCTGGAAGATGGGCTTCTAGGAACCGTGGAAGATGCCTGCTGCTGCTGCTGCTGCTGATCCCCCGAATAATCATTCACGTTGGAATACGAGCTAGAATAGTCTGAGTTCTCCCCTTGTGATCGGTAGGTTTCTCTCAAAATTTTCGATTCCGTTAGGGCTGGCTGGTTTTGATTATATGAAGACCCAGCGGCTCCTTGTTGTTCATAGCCACCGGTCGGGCTGTTATCATCAGCAGTATGATACTCTGACTGTTGGAGCTGGGTCGCATGACGCATGTCACGAAGCTCGCGTTTAGCAGCAGCTAATTTTTCCGCCTGGTACCTTTTAAGACGAGCTTTAAGCTCCCGGGAATCCGCACGTGAAAGCTCCTCTCTCAGCCGGGCGAATCTAGGGTCGGTAGCCGCCAAAGCTTTGGTGTACGCGTCCCCGACAGCTTCACCGATGCCGATGCCTATGATTAAAAATATTGGGAGAATAAATGCGGTCCTTATAAATCTTCCCCTCGTTGTTTTAAGGCTCATCTTGAAGAGTGGCCTGTTTGGGGTAACCTGTTGAGCGGCGGTTTCACTCGCTGCGGTCACCGGTTTCGGATCCTTTGTCCTTGCAATCATTGATCCAACACCCAGCCCTATTGCCCCCCCATAATTGCGCATGTTCTGAGTGGAGGATGTTTGCGAAACCAGCGCATCGGTCTCTTCTTGGGTGGGAGGCCGGGCAAGGAGGGCATTGATGAATTCCATTCGGTTATATATTAGGCGGCTAATGCTTTGTTGGTAGTTCTTCTCCGTCCAGTGAAATATCCGTTTCGAGAGGGTGAAAGGTGGGAGTTCCACTCGCGTGGGGAATTGCTTGAACAGGGACGAGTGCCCATATTCTTCAGAGCCTGAGAAGTATGAATCGCTATCCGAGGGTGGCGCGTCGTCCGTGAAACTCGATTGCTGGGAGTCAATCCCCATCTTCGCTTCACTCCTTGCGCAGGAGAACCGGTCCAGAGGGGTCAGGTTGTAGGCGTTCCCGAGTGTGCGCGCGGTGCAAGAGCAACTAGATATCTTTGTTCGACGTTCGTTTTGTCGTTTGAAGTTGATATAAGTATGATGTTTGGGATGTTTGCACCACCACGCTTAGTCATATATGAGGTCATAAGCACGTGATATATTCTTACATAATCAAGTTATTTTATTTGTTTTTATTTGTTTTTATTTGTTTTATCTGATTTTGCTTCGAGATACGAATGTCACGCCTCGATTTTGATCTGTCCTGGACAAATTAACCAAGGTAGACCAGCGGCCGAGTTCGCCTGGCGCGCCTAGCTCGCTCCCAGCAGCCTTTTGACGGCCTCTTGGACAGCGAGCCAGGGCGAAACAGCATGATATGCTGAAGAAGAACGCCTAGCACAGCGATCGACTCGCGTGACCTGGTTGTTCGTCGGCGGCCGCCAACAGAATCTCTCGGCCTCCTGCTCCAACGAGTCGGACGGAGTACGATAACAAACTAATGTTTGAAGATGGCGTATCCAGCTCCCACGTATCCCCGGAGGGTGGACGGACAACGAACACCGCTATCATGCTTGTGGTAGCAGCATAGCACCACACATGGGCCGATTCTCAATTTGTCAAACGATATGGAGCTCAAATTAATGATTTAATTCCAAGCCACTGATGTAACGCAGAAATGCGATTTCACCAGCTGACAATTCGCAGCCAGTAATATGCAGTCACCTCTTCACTAGCAAACGACCTAATTATTAGGCGTAGCCAAACTCTCCGCATAAGGTCGCCTGCTCGGGCTTGATTGATGCTTGTTTATATATACTCCGGACGTGGCCGTCCTTGCATGATACTTGAACACGCATATTCCCTTATGTCGTCCAAGTACTCCGTACGTGAGGGGAAACTACAGTGTACCAAAGTCGTACATATATATATGCATCTTTGCGGCTACTTTAAGTGCCCGTATTGACCCATTGGATCGAAATTGCCCAATATAATACAGCAGCCATGAAGGGCATATCTATTTTCTTCGCTGCATGTCTTGGGTTTCGAGCAGTTCATGGGAGGGTCGTCGAAGACCGAGAGACTGCCTGTAGGAAGACGAAAGTTGCAATTCTGTGCGTATCCTTGACATACTCCATTGCAGTTATCTTGCTGAACATAAAGCTTATAACTATGGACATGCAGTGGCGCAGGGGTCACTGGCATCACTGCTGCGGTATATTCGCTTTATCCACTTCTCTATGTGCTATATTCGAGCATATAATTGCTGTGGAAGTTGACTAAAGGTGCATTTTGCAATATGTTCAGCAAGCGCTTTCAAACCGGTCCATGACTGATTTTCTCATCGTCGAATACCAGGATAGAATCGGTGGGCGTCTGCATGAGGTTGAATTCGGGACAAAGAGCGATGGGTCACCGTATATCGTCGAAGCTGGTGCAAATTGGGTATCATCTTTTTTTATATCTTTGACTTCATGAAACGAGGGCGAATTTTAATGACACTATCTTCTTAGGTCGAGGGATTAGGTGGTGCAGGGCACCCGGAAAATCCGATATTCTCTCTGGTAACAACGATTGATTTCGCAGTTGACTAAGGAACCGCTGTAACAAAACACTGGCTAATATAAAATGAAGGCCAGAAAACATGGCATCAGTGCTCTGTGAGTTTACGCAAGTAATTAAAATGCAGTCATCGTTGCTAACTAAACTATGTAGAAAGACAGATTATAAAAACAAAATGACCTACGATAAAACCGGCAACAAAGACTACTCTAAGGTGATGGATAATTTTGCAGCTGCTATGCGAAGAGTGGTTGTCCAGGCTGGGTCTTCGCTAAAAGAAAATGTTCAGGATAAGACGCTCCGCGCTGCGCTTCGCCTCGTAGGTTGGAACCCGGCTCCGGATAACTCCCATGCACAGCTTGCAGAATGGTTCGGCTGCGATTTCGAGTCTAGTTATACCCCGGAAGAGAACTCTGCAGTTTTCTCGTCTGTTGCAGACAATGCTACATTCGCCCACTTCTCAGATGACAATCTCTTCGTTTATGATCAGCGTGGCTATAGTATGATACCCATGGTTTCGTCCCAAATGCCTATTTGCAGTGCTAACGGGCCATCTTCTGTTGCCGTGTATTAACAGGTACTATCATTCGAGGCGAGGCGGCTACATTTCTTACGCCCAATGACCCCAGGCTTCTCCTAAATACCATCGTCACTGCCGTTAACTACACTGACGAAAGTGTGACGGTTTCAACCAAAGATGGTACATGCATTGAAGCTGACTATGTTATTTCAACTTTTTCGCTTGGGGTATTACAGCGTGACGTGGTAGAATTCTACCCTCCGTTTCCTAGCTGGAAGAAATCTGCCATCGCGAGTTTTGAGATAGGCACGTATACCAAGATATTCCTCCAGTTTGAGAAAGCCTTCTGGCCGAACAGCCAGTATCTACTATGGGCCGATCCTCGTGAAAGGGGGTATTATCCGTTATTCCAGCCTCTTGATCTACCAGGTGTGCTGCCGGGTTCGGGGATTATCATGGGAACTGTTGTGAATAGGCATGCACACAGGGCAGAGGCCCAGACCGACCAGGAAACCCAGGATGAGATTATGGAAGTGCTGAGGACAATGTACGGAAAAGATATTCCAGACCCGAAAGCAATTTACTATCCACGTTGGAGCCAGGAACCTTGGTATGTAATAACCAGCGAATATTTAAGCTAGAATGAGTTGTTTACAAGCACCTACAGGTCCTACGGATCTTATTCGAATTGGCCTCCGTCAACTAGCCTACAGGCACACCAAAACCTCCGAGCAAATATTGGTCGACTCTTCTTTGCTGGAGAGGCAACCAGCCAGGAATTCTACGGGTATTTGCATGGTGCTTATTACGAGGGGCGTGCAGTAGGGGAAATGCTGGCTACATGTATTGAAGAGCCAGTAAAGTGTACGGATAAGGATGGTCAACCGCGATACCAGACATTGACTGGAGTAACTCCTTATGACATGTACAACGAGCAGCATGGATGGTCCGTTGACACTACAATCTAGACCCGGCTAAGAAACATTGCTATCACCTAACATTGAAAGATCATTCCCTACAATTCTAGTTGGGGTGATTGCCAAACGCGATTCCAGATTATAAGTTATAAGGACGCTAGAACTCTGATGGCGTATTAGGATTCTCCATTATCTCACTAAAGCACCTGCTTTTAGCCCTTGCATGTTTCTCCGTGTCCATTAGCTTTACATTAAAAGTTAGTAATATATGATCGCTGCACACACACCACCGTTACGGATGACCATAGGTTGCCCAGGCATATGTTATGGATATATGGAGTACAGCATCCAGCATAGATTCTGCTGTTAATTAACTTTGCCCCTTGAATATACTATATATAGTAATTATTAACTATATAACTATCTATAAATAGCGCCAAGTTTGGCTCGTCCATCCCATGTCCATCGAGAGGGTGCTACTGCTGCGTTAACTATATGATAAGCTTGCTGCCAATTGCTAGTTTAGTACACGCCTTGAGCTTACATATAAACAGTGCTTTATGCGTGGCCTTTTGCTTTACACGCCTCGATACCATCGGCACCCCTCTTTGAAAGTTGACTCTTGATTTTTTGCTTCTCTGAGCTTGTCACTGCCACTTAGTATAGACTGCAGAGGAGATCGATAAACCACCTTAGGCCCTCGTTATATTTGGGTCCTGTCTCCACCGATTAGCCTCCCGAACCCAACGGCCTTCCCGCCAGCCTCAAGTCGTTTGGCTATAGTTTATTACGCGGTTTATGGTAATTCTTCGGATGGCCGCTTTTCAACTAATAACCTGATGGAGGAGGTTCCCCTCATTAAGTTATACACTCAGTTTTGTATTGTAAATCCTGGGCTAATAATAAATCTCCTAATAGGTGTATATCTCATTGGCTGTCTCCCAGGCTTAACACCACCAACACCACCTATGCCGGCCTTAGGGGGGATCAGGGTTTAGAGTAGGAGGATATGGGCTCAGGAATGGGCTTAGGGGCTGCTGGCCTAGAGGGTAAGCCTTATAGTATTGAGCCTAGAGAGATGGCCAATAAGATATATACACCTGTTGGGAGATTTATTATTGGCCCAGGATTTACAATACAAAATTGAGTGTATAACTCAATGAGGGGAACCTACTCTTAGGCTATCTCATACCTCTGGTCCGAGAAAAGTGGCCATTTGAAGAATTACGCGGTTTATTATAACAACTTTTGCACGACACGGATTAGCATCGCCAATATGGATCCACTCAATATTCTTTCTTCGACGCATACACTCGTTGACACTATTATAGCAACATATCAAACCCTCGACAAAATCTCCAACTTACCGAACTCTTTCAACGAAATCAAGACTAGCCTTCCCCTCGTCGAGCGCATGTTAAATGATGCCAGGGACGCCCTCGATGGCACTGAGCTTTCGGAAGAAGAAACCAAGGCAATCCTCGCGATCATCAACCCCTGCAATGAAGCTGCTGTAAAAATGAACAACATATTCAAGGAAGTTCAGTCCAAGTGCGAAAAGGGCCAGAATGCAAGGAGCTGGCAAAGTGTTCGCTCTATATACCACAAAGCCCTGCGCGGCCAAGGGGCATTTCGGGCGGAGAAGCTCATGGATGTCATTATGCGGGGCTTAAAGCAACTGGCTATGCAGCGGGCGTTCAATACCACGATGCAGAAGGATCTTAAATCCCTTAAAAAGGCCATCGAGGGGATGTCCAAGGCGCAGCCCTCCTTGCGGGATTCCGAGTTTAAGAATGTAGGAGGAACGTTCACCATGACCCAACACAACGCAAACGGGGCTATAACGCAGCAGAATGCCCCTCGGGGGGACAACAATAGATTCTACAGTTCGCAAACTATGAAATTTGGTAAGGAATATTGACCCTTCTCGTCGATTATCAAATGTATATACTTTTCAGCTAAATAAATAATACTGCCGTTTGCAGTAAGCGACGACACCCCGAAACGAAAGAGCGCTGTCCTTCAGAGACTCAGCCAAGACTTGCCGTACATAGAGCGGAAGAATATAAACGTTGAACCTGTCCAGGGGACATGCGAATGGGTTGCGGGCCACAAGACCTTTGAAGAGTGGAAGCAAGGCAAATCGTTAGGCCTGCTCTGGGTGTCCGCGGATCCAGGATGCGGAAAGTCTGTATTGGCTAGACATATCGTCGACTCGGTACTTCCAACGAACTCCTCTAGGACTACGTGTTACTTTTTCTTCAAGGACAGCTTTGAGGGCCAAAGGAGTGCAACGAATGCTCTTCGTTGTATCTTACATCAGTTGTTGATAAAGAAAGATATCCTTTTCTCCGAAGACATACTAAGACGCTTTGACGGAGATAGTGAGACTCTCACGAACTCCTTTGCTGGGCTATGGGAAATACTAGTCACTGTTGCAGAAGATACAAATGCTGGCGAAATCATCGTTGTTCTTGATGCACTTGACGAGTGTGATGAAGAAGACAGGCATAAACTTAGCAAGGAGCTTTGTAGCCTATATCGCGGTGGGAAGACACCCAACCTAAAGTTCTTCTTAACGAGCCGGCCTTATCGGGATATTAAGACTGATTTTCAGCCACTACCACCTTCGATACGCCTAAGCGGTGATTTGGATGAAAGAGAGGCGATTTATCAGGAGATTGATATTTTTATCAGAGATAAGGTTCAAAGTATCGGAAAGGCGAAGAACCTCAGCCAGGAAAACCAGGCCAGGAAAACCAGGATTTCTTGCTTCAGCGCCTTACAAATATTCAGAATCCAACGTACCTATGGGTTGATCTTACATTACAGCTGATCAATAAGGAAAGATACCCCAGCCATGAGACGATAGACCGGGCTACTGCAGACACCACTGGGAACATTGATGCAGTGTATGAAAAGATTTTATCCAGGAGCTGGGACTTTGAAATTACAAGGAGATTACTACATATTGTAGTTGCAGCGGCAAGGCCTTTAACACTGAAAGAGATAGACGTCGCCCTGGCCCTCCAGGGACATTTTACTTCGTACACTGATCTTCACCTCAGGAAAGATAATATTTATGACTACGTACGGGATCTATCTGGCCTTCTCATCAGAACTATTGATGACAAACTTTACTTACTACATCAAACCGTGAAAGAGTTTCTAGTTTCAACGACCCTTCAAATGCCCACTAGCAAATCCAAAAGCGGTCCCAGAGTTCTTGAATGGAAACATACATTTCGGCCCCAGGAGTCAAATAGTATAGTTGCAGATATCTGCATGTCCTATTTACTCTTCAAGGAGTTCGAAATTCTTTCTTTGGACGAACAGCTCACTGGATCCAAGGTTGAGGAGAGGACATCGTTATCTAAATGTGTTGACGATTACCCCTTCCTTGACTATGCTGCCAAACACTGGGTTACCCACTTCAAACAATCATGCCTCGACGTTAAGTACGAGATGGAACGAGTACTGAATATTTGTGACGGTAAACGTTACTTTATTTGGTTTCAGATCTATTGGACACGCGAAAAACCTCCTAGAGGTTTTAACTCCATAATGCTCTTGTCCTACTTCGGACTTACTGAAGCACTGGCTCGTCTTCTCCCAGTGCGTAAAATTATCTTAAACGATAAGGATTTGCATTATGGGCGGTCTGCACTATCGTGGGCCTCAGAAAACGGCTTTGCCGACACGGTTGAGCTTCTGATCAAGGGTGGTAGTAGTTGGATCTGGTCGTTGTCTAGAGAAAGGGCCGAAGTCGACTCTGAGGATATGGAAGGTAGAACACCTCTTTCGTACGCCGCCGAAAACGGGCATGTGGAGGTGGTTAAACGTCTGCTTTCTCTGGGTAAGGCTATTCCCACCATAATGGACAAGCTCTACGAGACGCCACTATACTACGCCATTTGTTTCGAACACGAGGAAGTGGTTCGCTTACTTACATCGAAACCTAGCTTGATGGATTCGGTGGATGATATCCGAGCACGTATGGTAATATCCGCCGCAAGAGTGGGTAATCGAGCTATTGTCAAAAGACTGGTTGATCAAGATGCATGCATCATCAACGCGCGGAATGTATGCGGCATGACACCGTTGTTATATGCTGCCAAGTTTGGATATTATGATATTGCTAAGCTCTTACTTGAGGCAGACAAAGATAACGTCGATGTAAGCGATGAAGATGGCCTAACACCACTGTTATATGCTGCCAAGCTAGGAACATTTGATGTCGTCAATCTCTTGCTTGAGACAGGCAAAGTTAACGTGGATGTAAGCGATAAAGATGGTCTAACACCACTGTTATATGCTGCCAAGTTAGGAAGATTTGATGTTGTCAATCTCTTGCTTGAGGCAGGCAAAGTTGACGTGGATGTACGCGATAAAGATGGCCGCACAGCGCTATCATATGCTGCCCAAAACGGGCGAAGAGATACCATTAAACTGCTTTGCAAATGCAAGGCTAATGCAAATATACCGGATCAGGACCGCGAGACACCATTATTTTATGCCATTCGCTATCGTGATTTCCATGAAGTTGTTGGTGTTGTCGAGCAGCTACTTGATGAAGGCAATGCGAATGTGAATGTAATGGATATAAAACGTCACACGCCACTATTCCATGCTATTCAACGTGGGAATACGAGCCTCGCAGTGTTACTGATTGCTAGAATGGATCCGTTGCTTGTGACATCGACAGATCTTGATGGTAGAACACCACTATCGTATGCGGCTGAAATGGGGGATGTGGTTATTGCCGAAAGAATACTTGTGGTTTACGGCAACGACCTTCAAGCTATTTGGGACCCAGGTAATGTCAAATCTCCATTAGTTTATGCCAAAGGCGACGCTGCAGAGATGTTTTCTATGGTGGATAGATCCCATTTGATTGAACTCGGTTATATACATGAAAGATACTGATCCCTTCTCAAAAACTTCAAGTTGGTGGTATTCGGTTGATAACCTAGGATCCCAGTTTAAAACTGGAAGCAGCAATCATGTATAGTTTTAAAAATCCCTTGTAGTAGCTAAATCTTATCTACTCTTTTGCTTTTGCTAACACTCTAGGCCCAGAAATCTATTCTATGCGGGTTTATAGCCCTGAAGAAGAGTCGAGAAACGCGTGGTTCAACGTCCTTCAGTAGATACAACATGTACCTGGTCTTTGTAAGGGCTGGCGTTCTGAGTAGCATAATTTCATTTGGCTCATTTACTCTTACTTCAGGGGCAACGTATGGCACACTTCTACCGGACTCGTACCTAATGGGTAGTGTTTGGCTCCTTTATATTTAAAGGATTCAAGGAGTCTCCTTGAATTTTGGCCAAGTCAACTGTGGTATCCCATTCTAACACTTGACTAGAACAAAAGAAGTTGCCGAAGTGGTTAAATAGCATAGTGGATGATAGGTAGATACTACACGAAACCGCTTGGCCAAGTTTTGCGAGTTTGCGTAAAAAGGGTATAATATTGAAGTCGTAATCAAGCCTAACCTCGAGGTAGACTCATCGGGAAAAAGAAGCAGCTCGGGCTTACTAGCCAGTTCAACTTCAACGGTCACAGCCTTTCTCTGTTTCTGATTCAGGCTAGCACCTGTTCGCCTAATCACTGCCCCGGCGATAGGCGATAATTCGAGAAGTCCAATCATTTGTTCACAGTAGACATAATTTTCTTGTTTCGAGACACTTTTAGCTGCCTTAGCATGGCCAAAAACTGGAGGGATTTCCAAACAGTGGCAGTGGGTTGGGGAACATATTCCTGCTCAAAAAGCCCTGTTGGCCGTGAAACCTTCTTGGAAGGGGTCAAATGTAAATCGTAAGTTGAAGGTTCTTAAATAAAGAATGACAAGGTTAACATAGCTGTGATCACAACAAAGCCAAAACGTTATGCAAGGGCGTTTAACAGGGTGACTTTCCTCTCAACTGTTTGATTAACTTTTAGACATGCATGTTGGAGATGGCAGATTTAGACACCCGGCTCCAATCAGGGCAATACGACACCCTAGGACTACATCCTGAGCCATGACGTAATGGCCTCGTTCCCCCTTTTTATAGGATAGTGTATAGTTTATATCCTGCCATGTAAACACCGATGTACTCTTTGCGGCGCCCGTAACGCCCTTAGTAAACCCCGAGTCATCATGTGGGGTTATATCTCTTACCCCTGTCACCGCGTCACCCTCGCGACCAGTCTTTCCGTCCTCTACGTCATCTCTCAATGACGAAGGTGCTTGGTAGCGCATGAAGACAGCCATAGCCCCACCCCCCCTGGGGTGACAGCGGAGGTTGGTGTGTATAGCTCTGTCTCGAGCATCGTGTGAATGATAAAGAGAAAGAAAGCAACGTTTATACTGAAATCCTGTCATAGATGAGAGTAGATGTACGGAAACTGGGAGCCCTATAGTCATCGTCTTAGACAACTGTTTACCCAGGAGTACTTCCTTGGATTGGTTGATGTGTAGGCATTTGAACCGTCCGGTACAACAAAAAGGGGAACACACCAGGGTTGAGATTGTGAAATTCATGTGGAATTAAACATTCAAAGCAGTATTCCACGGCACGGGATCAACCCACATTGACCACTTTAGCCATGCCCGTATTTTCCCAAGAGGAATAAGGTACGCTAATCACAGTTAGCATATGAATAAGTGACATGAACAAGCCATACCTGTGTATACTCTGAGTGTCTGTATCCGGCCCTTACCCGAGTAGCTAAAACGGCCTTGGAAACGTTTTATACACTGTAGCGGGACGGGAGCAACTCGCATCTAGAGATCTGCGCACTGCAGCAGTTGCACTGAAAAATGAATAAGTATACTGTCATGGTGATCATCCACAAGAATAGGCAGGTAATGGAAAAATCGACAAGCAGTACGGGATGAATTTGACATGCTATAGAGAGCCTAATTTTTTAACATATACATAGAAAATCATGAGAAAGCTTACCAGTTTGTGGTTATACCAGATATATTAACCTGGACAAGCGTCTGCGGTATATATACAACGACCAGCGCAAGGACATAGATAGGTGTGGCCTATAAAAGGAGCTAAAATTTCTAGTAAACTTCAAGATACAGGGATGAAAGTAAAAACTTACAAGCCCTTGTGTTTCATAATAATCAGTCTGCTTTCAAATGCAATAGGTCATCGCAAGTAAAGCATTAAATAAAACCATATCAATAAGATTCCGCTGCGAGTAAATACCTCTCGGACATACCTAGTAAGGATTTCCATCAGAAAATGACGTTGTCCCGCATGGGTATATGGGACCTGTTTGTGGTAAATTGTAAAATAGTCTCCAAGCTATGAAAGCAGGAAATAGTAACGGCCCATTTTCCAAGTAGAAATTATATATCCCCAGCCAGGATCGAAAGATGTACATGGCGTAGGAGCATGCCCCATTTGAAAAATAAAAGGTTGCATTTCTTCTTGGGTGTTGTGTCTAGGGTAGTCTGTCCTTCTGCAGAAGTTTCACAGCCAGAGCGGCCGAACATGGTGTGTCCCACTCCTCCGCTTCGTGGGCCTGTATATAGAACGAGAGCGTGATATTCCCTCGATGCCACCTTCTCCAGAGCCTATGGGTGCCTGGATATCGACGCCGATGCTGTCATAGCAGTTGGAATAGGTATTGCCCGTTTCACCAAGGGTATGATTCGTGACATTATTTTCAGGGCAATGCTCAAAATATTCGTGCCGTCGTGAAAGTTAAACCATGGGAAGCTGTATTGGGAGAGTCGAAAATGTGCTCCACCGTTGTTAGTTCTCGGGATAGCATCTTCACCGCAAGTAGAATGATATGTTTGATGGGACGAGGTTGACAATGTGAGGTTGTTTTCCTAATTGGGCTTAGTTATCAGATCGACCTACCATGCTTATCTGATCTGGCGTCTCCCTGGCTACCGGTTTAACTGCGATATTAGAATGCAAATAAGACTTGAATTCTCCATACTTCTTCACAATAGCCATCGGTTCGGAACACTCAAGTTACAGTATATGATTGTTGACCAATTTAAACTCCATCACGCGCCAATGATACTTGAATGTCTCGACAGCCCCTATTTAAGCGGACGAAACGGTAAGAGAGTATATGTGTACATTGGAGTCGATCTATATAGCATTAATCAGGATATACATGCTCAGGAACGCTCCGGGAAGATTAACAGATTTCTTTTACCGAAAGATGCTAACCGAAAGTATATACGCCGAACGCAGAATGGTAAGCTCCAAAACCATTCAGGTATTATACCGGAACTGGGGGTTGCGGTCACCCATCTCCTGGACTTCTTCGTGTGTCATTCCTTCGATCTTGTAATCCTCTTTGCCCTCGGCACGGGCTTTGTTAACCCGTAGATAGTAAGCCCACATGAAAGCGTATATCAAGACAGAAAGGCCGGCGAGGGCTAGAGTCACAGAGTGGCCCATGATGAAGCGCGGTGCGGTATTGTGAGGATAAAGGAACGGCGTGACAATCCCGGAAGTGTTTCCAAGCGTGAGCTGCAGACCAGTAGCAAACGCGCGTTTGCCGAATCGTGGTAGGTTTGTTGGTAGCCATGCGGTAGGCAGGCCGACAGCCACATAGACACCGCTAGCGACAAGGAAGCAGCCGAAATAGTGTACACCGGAAGACGAGTCGGATATTAATAGACCGTAGCCGATGATGGTGAGGCAGGTGAAAGCGATGGTGAAAATGGCTCGGCGTTGCCATCGATCGCTAAACCAGGCGACAACGAGATATGTAATTGCGCCTAGGGCATAGCACGGGATCGTCAATGCTTGTACCTGGGGACCCGTCCAGTGTCCGAATTCCTTGATGATGGTCGGCAAGAAAGTGCTGTAGCCATACAGAACTGCATCGGTACCAAACTGGCCGAGACAGAACAGATAAATGGTCCAGTCTTTTGCACCCTCTTTGGCGTCTGCGACATGGAACAGCTGTGCAGAGTCAGTCTGGCCGATCTCTCGTCTCCGTCGCGCCCTCACAAGCTCCTTCTCCTCCGCATTGAGGTAATACGCCGTATCCGGGTCGTCTGCAAGGCCGAACCATGTGGCGATTCCAATCAAGAATGATGGAATACCTTCGAGGATCATGATCCATCTCCATCCCTTTAGACCAGAAGTCCCGTCCAGAAAGCCAATGGCGTATGCCAGGAGGCCACCACATGCACCAGCCATGGCTGCAGCACTAAACAAGTATCCTACTCGAAGGGCAATCTCCCTTTTCCCGTAGAACAGCGTCATGTAGGCAATCAAACCGGGGAAGAGTCCAGCTTCAACCGCACCCAATATAAACCGACAGACGACCAGGCCAGCAAAGTTCTGCGTGAGGCCGGTCAGAGTGGCCACAAGACCCCATATTGTCGTTATTATCGCAATATAGCGCGATGCAGTGAATCTACGGATGAACAGGTTCGACGGGACCTCGAGTAACTATATGCATGATTTTTACAAGTCAACAGCTGGCCGTTGTGATATTGGATGTTTGCAACTTACGCAATATGGGATGAATAGGATCGAGACCGCAATTTGATATTGGTTGCCGGTCAAGCCCAAGTCCTCCTCTAGTGAATACAACCGTGCATTTCCAATATTGACTGTTCCATATCCAGGCTGTTAGCCGTATCCTTCCATCAGATTCGCAGCTGGTGGACAAACCTCGATCCAGGAAGCTGAACAAGTACAATCCAACCAGGAACGGGACGATATGCCGGTCAATCTTCGCGATCAACGCACGCTCTCGCTTCTCGTCGATAACGACGGCAGTCTCTTCAGGCGTTCCCTTCGCCTCGAGCTCGATGCCCTTCGCTTCGAGTTCTGCGACGGCCGACATCTTGACTGCCGAGGTTCTTCTGCTCGCTCCGAGTTGGACTAGATAGAGCAGAACAGCTCAACCACACACCACACGATTCCAGCAGAGATATATACGGCGTGGCTATCGAGAATGTGTTCCGACAAGAACGAGCTGGACGTAAAAAAGATAAACAGCGTCCCTGGACAGACGACGCTCACGGCGAGCTCACCGGAGCATGTCCGGTCTCCATGACGCCAGCGAGCGTGGAGGCGGAGGGTTCGAGGGGAAGTTTCTTCACTCTGCGCGTCTGCGATTGGATTTCAGTCGACGGCGCATGGAGAAACCCCAGCGCTAGCTATGGCGTCGCCCAACCAGGCATTCAGTTCACGCTGGTTAGATTTTTCATTCGGTGGCCACCGGCTTCGAGATGGACGCTAACATGCCAGGAACCGGTTGGACAGCTTGCTTGTTTCCCGCGGAAACTATATACAAGCTTAAATCTCTATCTTCGCCTCTGCGTTCTTCCAGAAGGCCGTTCGTTCCATATCTCGGATTTCCCCCGGATCGCCTGAACACGGCGGACGTCTTTATGGTCTACGCTATCGCCACAGACGGCCCATCTCAACGACGCGGGCTATAACGTTCGCTAGTTCCGGTCTCTGCCAACGAGGTGCTGAGGTTGGAGTTCTTGATGTGGCGTTGAACGGGCGAGGCGAGGATATCGATCAAGGCTGGGAGAGAGCAAGACTGCGGTTTCGACTCTACAACCGTCCTTAGACCTACCTCCTCGCCTTCAGGACTTCAGATATATAAACTTGCCCCACGACATCCCCGAGCCCCGGCAACTGTCCTTCCCCAGTCCCCGGAAAAGTGAAACCTTGGGGCTTCTACCGCCCCATACTGGAACCTGCGATACTACCCATATCCTATCCAGCGGCTATTCTATACCTATTCTCACTAGCTGGCCATGATGCATACGTGTCAAGTTTGCCTTCGGAGGAAGACGTGCGATATTGATATCCAGGAGAGAAAGATATTGCGTAATCCGCGGAGGAAGACAGAAAGGGATAGCTGTCCTTTGGGATGGGATACTTCATCACTCCGGTCCCAAAGACATCAAGCGAGAGGCTGAGGAGATGCATATGTCCTTTTGTGATATTTTACTGCGAATGTAGCCCTCCATCCACATCCAAAGTTGAGAATATATCAAATTTTTTCAGCCTGACGAGCCAAAGGATTCAGCAATCGCCTACGAAAAGCTATCTAAATTTAACCTTCATTCCTCTGCGGCCAGCCTGAGCATACGGGAGTAGAGATGAGTGATACTCGGTTATTTGATGCGTTATCACAGCTGCACAGGGTACGTACACCGTCGTCTCGTCCGCTGAGTACGGAGTATGTCTTATAGACCCCAAAAACCGTAAATCTCACATTCGCCCTACGGCGGTTGCAGGCGTACATGCATCTAGCCGATGAACAAGGTACGGACAATACTATGGTTACATTCGCAGGGGCTGGCATAAACAGAATTCTACCGACAGGATCATTCGTGCATGATGCGAAGACGGAAGCCACATAAATGCCCTATTATCCGATCGAGTAGCATCGGAAGGATACTCCGTTGGCAGGTTATGCAAGAGGTTACCTGAAGGTCGCAGTTGGATCCTGTGCGTTATCGCTAGCAAGCCACCTCCGGGACCATCCAGTACGGAGTATAATCAATAGATAGGCTATTCCGTCAAGAAGATATTCGCCAAAAATTAGCGAGTGACAAGGACAACAAGAGGCACTGCGTCCGATAAATTCCGCCCCCCCCCTTTGGCCAGAGGGTATCTGAAAAATTCGCTCGCACGGACAGAGGATGTTGGCTGAACTATAGTATGGAGAGAAGACATGAATTTGGTTCTAGAAAATCCATCCCACCCCATAACAGGCGGAATAATGGCTGGCATTATAAAGGACTAAAAATTTCGATCCGGCGAAGTGGTAATTGCGAAGCAATGACAGGGTTGGGGAGGTGTAGCTTCACCGCAATCCCCCTTAAGACCAGCACATATAACAACAGGCAGGCAGATCTGAGAAAAGTACCATATGTACATCAACGGTCGTGACTCCTGGATGAGATTTTCCATGGATGGTGCATACTACCATACATCCCCGGGCGAGGCAGGGCTATCCTTTCCAGTGAAGGGTATGCATGATATACATGGGTTGATTGATTGACTTTGCAAAATGATAACCCGGCCAACAAGGGCAGAAGTACCGGTACATGTTGCTGCAAAAGGGCGGGAGAAAGACAAGAGTTAGAAAAGCAAGGTCTTCCTTGCGCTCAATCCTATCTTGTTTCAACATGCAATTTTAACTCGCAGGTGAGACGGTGGTCTGTCCATGATCCAGGAGATCGGTCCTGGTGCAACCCGCCCGGCTTGTCTCTGAGGCTTGTTTCCACCGCTCGATATGTCTAGCATGGATGGGGTGTATGGATTTGATCCTCCTTTACTCCGTGCTAGCCGGCGGCAAGGGGATCTGCGCTACGGTAGATCGTGTGAGTGTTTCTGAAGAATCGATCTCGGGTGGGAAGAAGATGCAGTGCAAAAAAGAAAGAAAAAAAGAAAAGGAACGCGGGCTCTGCGGTGCGACATACGAGATAAGCGACGCTCGCAGCTTGCCTTGCATCGCCGACTGGATATGAATGGCTGGTTGACGGCACTAACTGGCATTCTTCCAAGCGGATACCTGATTTGGGCAGCCTGGCAGGGGACAACATCAGGCAAGAATTGGATTCCAAGAAGTCATGGGCTTGACCCGTACCATTGGCATCATGGACACCCTGCCCTGGTCTGGTCGAGGGCTATCCCTGAGGATTGTTGGAGGGGGGGGTGATCCTACATCAAATCCCTCCCTCGTCTAGTGCAGTCTTCAAGAATTAAAAAATATACACAAAGGAAAATAAAAATAAAAGCAACACCACGGATAAAAGGTAAACGAGAAAAAAGAAGAGTGCAAAAAAAGATGAGAAATATAAATGTGCCGGAAGTTAGTTGATTCATAATCCATGACAAGAGACATGCATACATACATCCGTACGCCCGTACATAGAGACGAGAGAACGGCTTCAATATCAACCTGAGACGAGATCCGGAGCTGGAAGCTCGATGCGATCGCCGTGATCACCCTCGCCCTTTAGCCTACACGTGGAAGAAAGCGTCTTAAGCGAGGCTGGCTTGCGACCTATCATTTTATATATACTCCGGAGACACTGCAGAATTTCACATTGTCACATCACCCACAGCCGACGATGACGGACATGAAGCAGAGTGATCTTGGGATGGGATGAACAGGCGATCGGCCTGCAGACGCTTGATCAGGCAGGACGAAGAGGGAATATAGCAGGTAAATCGGCCGGTCAGACCATATCAGAATACATGGTTTGACGGCTGCAGGGAGAGAGAACCACGGCTGGCATGTCGGCATCCATTCACGTATTCCGTATTCACGTACTCCGTACATGGATGGACGAAGGATGAGGACCTGGAAGATGTCTCGGATGCTTGGATGGAGTAACTAGTATAAAATATGGATGTAGGCATCCTTTGGGCTGGCCGTATGCGAGACATACATATATCATCTTATATCCCGATATTAATCACCTACGCACTATCCACTTATCCTCCGATACTAGTTTATATATACAAGCATCATGTCTTATTATCATTTATTATCTCATTTATCTCATTTTACTACATACTATAACGTGCTATAACGTGCTATAGCGCCAGGATGACATGGACGGTGCTCGATGCCCGCCGGAGCAGAGTCCATGCTATCCCTTCCGCCGCCCCGTCCGCGATCGTCCCAGGCATCAAATCCATGCAAATATTAACAGCATGCCGGGACAGGCTAATTTCCGTGTATAAATCTCCGTCTTCGAGCCTGGGTGTTGAACTACGACCAGCAACATAGATAAGGTATTACAATTTGTTTATCTTTTCTAATAAGTGGTCTTGTTATATACAAGGGACGAAGGGAAGATAGTAGGGGTTTACGAAGAAGTTGTAGGAGGAGGTACGAGGAAGCTGTAGGAGGTGATGGTACGACGACGAGGAGGAGGAGGTAGGTAGGTAGGTGTTTAGCTAGTACGATAAGAAACGACGAAAACAGGAAAGGAAAAGGAAAAAATAATAATAAATGAACCAGACGATAGCGGAAGTGGTATCATTAAATCAGGAAAAGCAGGCAAGCGACAAGGCCAGACATGCAGTAGGAGAAAAGAAAGAAAGAGTGCGGACAGAAGGGAAACGCGGAACGCAAAGAGCACGAAAACAGAAACGAGAAACGAGAAAAGGAAAAACTCAAGAAAAAATAGACAAACGAGCGTGTAAAGAAAGGAAGTAAAGCAGCAGAAGCGATGATAATGATGGTATCCGACCAAACAAGTCCTGCCCGCCTGAACCAGAACCAGAACTAAAATCGACAGCAAGAGGAAAGACGAAAGGAAACGCCAACAGACAAGTCAGAGAACATGAGTTCGATTCGCGAGCGCCAGACCGATATAAGGCGGTAAGTAGAGTGGATTAATGGTGAGTATTCCAGGTTAACACTGGTAGATAGGTGGTAGGTAGATAGATAGGTGTAGATGGTAGGTGATGGGTATTGTGATCCAGAAGAGATCTTTTGTGCCTGTGAAGGCGGGAAATGTAATGTATAGTCATGCAAAGCAGGTACGCACGCAACAACGCAGCCGGTAAGTAGAATCGGTGGAAGGGTTGTTTTTTTGGTGTTTTTATCTCAAGGAGGTTGGGAGTCCTTTTTGATTTTTATGTTGAAAATCGAGGGCAAGGAAGGAGGATATAAAATGTCCGATCCGTGTCCATGTAAATGCATCCATGTAAATGCCGTCCAGAACGCAACGCAGTCCAGTAAAGTAAAGTGGTATCTCAGATAAGAAAGTCGAGATGCAGCAAGTTTGTCGAGCTGCAGTAAATACGTATGGTATGGGTATAAGGATAAGGATTACTTGGAGACCTCGCGCAGGAGATCTCCGCAGTTGGCGTCAAACCGCATGTTCCACAGGCGAACGCTGTTCATGAGCTTCTCGGTGTTCTCCAGCTCTCGATCGCGGCCGAAGATGGAGTCGACGAATTCACAGCCGGCGTTACGGCCCATGGTGACGCCCGTGGTAGAGCCGCCGCGGCTGGCGTTCTCTCGCTTGGCAGCCTTCCACATGAAGTGCTCGCAGGCCTTGAGCAGGCGCTTGAACCTGGACCAGAGCCGCTCGCCGGACTCGAGGAAGTCTTCGACCATCTCGCGGGCCTCGGTGGATCGGATGAGGGGTGCACACTCGTCCGCGCGCTTGACTTTGCCGGAGAGCTTGATGAGGAGCAGCCAGAGATCGCCGGCGACGTCGGCCATGGGCGCGGTGGCGCCGTGGTGGAAGGCGGTCCAGTCGTAGATCCATTTTCCGAGGGAGTTTGCATCGAAGACGCTGCCGAGCAGGAGGATGGGCGCTTCCTTGGGGTTCCAGTTCTTGATGCTGTAGCCCGGCGGGATGTTGTGGTGGATGGCGTCTGCCTCGGTGGCCCGCGGGGGGGACTTTGGCGGAGGAGCGTGCGCCGCGGGGTTCGGCTTGGAGGCGTGCGAGTCCCTATGGGTTGGGCGGGTGTAGGTCGAGGCACGGCGGGCGCGAGAGCGTTTGGGGGTGTCTACGGGGTCGTCGTAGGCAGCCGTGCTTGTCTGGGGACAGTGGTAGTGGTTAGTTGGGGCCCGTCTGTAGGTGTACGTCCGTCTGTAGCGAGGTTGGCCGTGGTCGTGTTCACGGTCATCTAGATCGGGCTGGGAGCCGCCGTCGGACACGCTGTCCGCGACGGGCATCTTCCGTCTGTACATGTAGTGGTGGTGATGATGATGAGGAGGGTACTGGGTCTGTTTCCCATAGCCGTAGCCGTAGCCGTAGCCTTGACTGTGATGATGTTCGTGACTTACATGTTCGTGCTTGCGCGGCGTAGAGAAGTACTCTGGCCGGTCGTAGGCCTGGGGATGGGCCTGCGAGGGCGACTGCGGCTGCCAGGAGTACTGGTAGTGCTGTCCATGGTGGCCGTACGCGGGCGAGGGCTGATGCCAGCCGGCGCCCTCCTTGGTGCCGGAGAAGCTGGCTCGGTAGGCGTGTTTCTTGGTCCTGGGCGTGGCGTGTGGCGACCCGGCGAAGGCAGCAGCAGCAGAGGCAGAGGCAGAGGCAGAAGCTGCTGGCGGAGGGCCGTAGTAAGAAGAGTAGTGAGGCGATGGAGGAGTGTAGCCGTCGTAGGTCGACCACCCTGACGGGGGGCTGGGATAGTGATACATTATGTGTATGGCATAGGCAGCCAGGAGAGGAGAAAGACAGTATTATACAGGATATCAACGCAGAGCAGACGAGCTGGGAGGTCACCGCGGTGAAGTGTCTATTGGAGGCAGGAGAAAGCAAAGGGTCTGGAGTTGCGTTGGGAGCATTTGCGCTGCTTCTCGTCGATATCTGTCGATACTGTTGATATCTGTCGATACTGTCGATACTGTTGATATCTGTCGATATCCTGTCGACTGTCTGTCTGTCTCGACTCTGGTCGATATCACTGTCTGTCTGTCTGTCGACTCTGGTCGACTCTCTGTTGTTTCTGTGTCTTCTGTTGTGTATGTTCTGTGTTTCTCTTTGTGCGTCTGATTTTTCTCAAGGGGTGGTCTGTGTGCCCGAAGAAAGAAGAGTTTTCAGGCGTAATTACGTGACAGTACGAGGGAGGTGGAAGGCGCAGCGACGGGCGGTCTGGTTGGTCACATCAATACCAGTCATACACAGCCACACACAGTCATATCAGTCATAGCGAGGATACGAGATGATACGATGATAGGAGAGGAGGATGATAGGAGAAAAAGGAGAGGAGGGAAAAGGAGAGAGAGAGGCAAGGCAGCAGTTGGGCGTTCATGACGTAGCGAGATCCTGGTTGCCACACGAACTTGCTTACGAACTACTACTACGGCTACTACTACTTGGCGGTCGGGCCGGGCCTCCCTTAGCCTACAATATAATAGAAGTATAGATGTATATGTATGATATATGGTTAAACGACTATGTACTCGTCGGTGAGGTGCTGGGAGTCGATGATGCGGCGCCAGCGAAAGGCGGCCCCCCCCACGACACGGCGGCCGGCGCTGTCGGCCAGCTCGACGTTGGGGTCCTCCTCGCGCCAGATACGCTCCAGCAGCTGCAGACAGGACAGGTTGTTGACGAAACCAGAGTCCTTCTGGATGTCGCAGCAGCGCAGGCGGATGATGGCCCGGTCGGACTCGGACGAGCACTCGCTGCCCACGACGAAGAGGGGCCAGAGCAGGAAGACGTCCGACTGCACGGCTGTGATGTAGTGCAGGGCCGCGGTGACCAGGGTCTGGAAGCGCGGGTGGTTCGAGGGCGTTGATGGGTGGGCGAGCCGCTCGAGGTAGAGCAGGGCAGAGTAGCGGAAGGACTCGGAGATGTTTGATATCTCGGGCAGGTTGGCCGGGTTGACGTGGGATAGGGGGGATGGGGGCAAGGGGGCCGAGAAGAGGGAGGATGTAGGGGCGGACGGGGCGGAAGTAGTGATGGAAGGGGAAGAGGAAACGGTGGACGATAGAGAAGGGACCGGACTGTGGGTGCCTGGGATCTCGGGGAGGCGCCATGTCTCGAGCTTCTGGCGGATGGCATGCCACTCGCTCCAGAACTCGGTGCGAGAGTCGAGGCTGTACGCCGGCCGCGGACCGTCGACATACGGAGTGTCGAGGACGTGGGCTGGGTAATGGATCATGCTCTGCGGCAGGGAGACGGTTGGGACAGGCCGCTCGATGCGCGGCGTCGAGTCGTCGACCGGCTTCGCTTGACTGAGCTGGTTCAGCCTGCCCAGCTGCGCCACGGCGCGGAACAGGCGAGGATCGCAGCCGGCCAGGTTCTCGAGCGCCCACTCGTCCTGGCCCGAAGTGGTGACGTCCAGCAGGCAGCCGTTCATCTGGCTGTCCCGGTCGTTGATGGTCGCCGTCATCGTGTCGAACCAGGTAAACATGCGCATAAACCACTTCATCACGTCCGAGTCGTTGCCCTTGCCCGCGCCCCGGATGATGAATAGCTTCTTCACGCCCGCAAACTGGCTGCGGAACGAGGCCAGCCCGGTATCGCACATGTGGAAGAGACAGAGCACCAGCAGGGTGGCAAAGACCGCGTCTGTACGCCGTTGGACAGGGTCGGCCAGCTGCGCGTTGATCGATCTGATCGCCATCCCCTTGTGGTAGGATTCCTCCAGCAGCTGCTCCTCGGGCGTCGTCACACCAAAGGCCTCCTCAAAGGCCCGGTCGGTCATCCGGCAGTGCGCCTGCAGCGACCGCCGCGAGGGTATCGTCTTGCCCGTCGACAGGCCCCAGTTCTTGCGCCGCTGCCGGAGGTTGCTCAGCGAGAGGGCGGCGATGGCATGCTGCAGCGTCTCGCTGTCCTTGGCGAGCTCGAGGAGGTAGAGTCTGAAGGGGTTGGTAGGGCTGTCGAAGGTGACGATGACGGGCGCGATGACCTCCGTGTAGTACCCTATCAGATACCGCATGCGCGGGTTCCGTCCTATCCACGTCGTAGAGAAGGTCTGGTTTAGATAGAAGCTGTGCGGCGAGTACGGCCGATAGCTGGCAGCCTGCTGCCACTGCTGCACCGACATGTCTGACGACGAGACCGACTCTGCTCGCACCCGCACCCGCGATGGGTCGGAGTCGTCAATGTCATCTTCGGGGGACCGTTTGCGAGCCAGGGGGTAGGGCTCGAGAGGGCTGCCGTCAAAGTGCGAGACAGAGCTGCTGCTATAAGGCGAGCCGTAGGGTGACGCCAGGCTCGAGAAGGCTATGCTGCCGACTCCCGCCGTCGGTTCGACCTTGAGTGGCTCGTGTACGGTCTGGTACAGGGGCTGCTGCTGCTGCTGCTGCTGCCCGTAAGCATCTGCATAGCTGTAGGAAGGGTGCTGTGGCACAGAGTAGGCCGGGCTGGCGGTGGACGGTACAGACGACGACTCGGCCGTGCTGCTTCGCGGAGGAGGAGTCGCGTTTATCGCCGACCAGGGAGACGTCGGTGTCGGCGTTGGTGTCTGCGTCTGCGTCTGTATGAATTCGTGTGTATCCTCGCTCTTCCTGGTCTCGCTCTTTTGTGGTCTCGTTTCAGATGCTGCATCCACCCGCGGCCGATGCTGTTCTGACACCGCAGCCGCCTCCTTCGGCACGCTGCGCGGCGACGTTTCCTCTCCTCCACCTCCACCGTTTGCAGGGCTGACCCTCTTCGCGCCTGATATCGGCAACGACAGTCCGCGCAGTTTACCCCGGCTCGCCACGCCGATGCCCCAGGTCAGCGTCGTCTTGTATCCGGAGCACTGGCGCCCCAGGTCGAGGCAGGGCGTGCAGTACGGCCGCCGTCTATCGCACCGCACCTGTCTGGTCGCGCAGGTGAAGCAGTCGTCGGCCGCACCGCTGCCCACGGCTCTGCGTCGACGTTTGCGCGGCGCGGGGGACGATGACCCTTCGTCCTTTGCGCTCGGCTTGCGAGCCTTTGGGGCAACGGGGTGCGTCGTGGCCGTCATCGCGCTGGTAATAGGGAGCGTATAATAATTGATCAACAGGTTATCGGACGAGTGCCGCTGATGCCTAGGTAGGGTTGGGGCGACAGGACATGGTCACCGTTGACCGTTATCGAGTTGATGTGATGATGTGATGTTGATGCTGTGGTGATGTGATGATGATGTTGATGATGATGGATGCTGTGATCGGGCTACGAGAGAGTCGCGAGATCGACTCCACTGCGAGATCGTGTCAGAATGATTAACCTATACAAGTCGTAGTTTCGTCGGCGTCCTGCGGCCGGTTACGTTAGCGTCGAGCGTCCGACCGAGATACAGATACAGGTCGGAGTCATATATAGTAGACAGACAGTAGAGATAGACAGTGACAGAGATAGACAGTGACAGAGATAGAGAGACAAAGACAGTAGACAGAAACAGGAGGCCTAAGGATGCGGCGAACGTCATGAAGATGGATATGGAGATGGATGGCAAGACCAGGGAGGTTGCAAAAGTCGCAAAGTCGCAGGGAGAAAAAAGGTGGATGAGCGCACCCCAGACCGCCTTTAACCGAATAGGCAATAAGAGCATGGGTTAGCTGCTGAGTCAGCGGGCCGGAAGGCGATGGAGGTCTCCCATTGGCTTGAGGAGTGCAGATCACACGCTAATAGAGAGATGTGATTGGCTGGCAGAATCAAGGATATGGCACGTGGTGTCACGTGTTTTCTAGAAGATACTTACCATACCATACATATATTACGGTAGAAGAATAGAAGAAGAGAAGAAGATATAGAAGAAGATGGTAGAGACGGTATATACGGTATAGAAAGATGTATAAAGAGGATAGAGAGAGAGAAGTAGAAGGATGGTGTCACTCTATGGAGATGGTATCCAACTATTAGACAATAAACAGAAGATCAGAGTAGAAGGGATATCGAAGGAAGGTAGATAAGCCTGTATGTTCAAAGAAAGAAAGCGGAAACCAGAACCAGCCAGAATGAGAACACCGCCGCATGAAACACCAAAACAAGAAGGAAAGCTGCCTAGCAGTAGAGCTCCGTTGACCGTTAGATCAGGACCATGACGATCTATGTATATCCGATGTAAGGAGGAATTTTAATAAAAAGATGAAAAGAAAAGATGAAAAGAAAGAAGAGAAGGTAAGATGAAGAAGAGAGAAGTCTATGCGCTGTTGCGGCCCGTGGCTGGGGTGCTGATCATGTCGTCAGAGACGCTGATGACTTCGACGTCCTCGGGCGTCTCGGCCATGGTGCTGGCGTACAGCCTGCTAAAGGAGGAGTCGGTCGAGAGGAGGGTGTAGGGATCGTCGTACTCGAGCAGCTCTCCGCCGTCCAGCAGAGCGACACGGTCAAAGTCGAGGATCGTGTCGAGCTTGTGGGCGACGGCGATGATGGTGCGCGATGACAGCTTCTCGCGGATGACTCGCTGCATGATCTCGTCGGTCTTGTTGTCGACGCTGTAGATATATGTTAGTTATGTTCGATTTTCAGATGTTCGATGTTTGAATATGCATATGATGCCGAGGCCAAATTTAAGGGACGGCAGGGCCGCCCCGGGATTTAGCGTTAAGGTTAGGGTTCAACTTACTTGCTGGTGGCCTCGTCGAGGATAAGTATCGTGCTGGGCCGCAGGATCGCTCTGGCAAGACAGAGGAGCTGCTTCTGGCCGTGAGAGAGATGGAACTCGTCGATGTCGGTGTCCAACCCGCCTTTCTCGCTGATGACGTTCCATAGCTGCACGCTCTTGAGGGCAGAGATCATGGCGTCGTCGGCCAGGGCACCGGATGGGTCGACGTTGAGACGCATGGAGCCCTTGAGGATGAGTGCATCCTGCGACACACCGGTGATGCGGGAGCGGACTTCTTGACGGGGGATCGTGCTGATGTCGATGCCGTCGATGCAGATGCTGCCACCGCTTAGTTCCATCATGCGGAAGATTGTTAGGATGAGAGAACTCTTTCCACTATTCGTTCATATCTTGTTAGCCTCCGTTGCCGAGCGGACAATACCAATACCAAGGAAAAAAGATGGATATATTTACCTTCCGGTTCTACCGCAGATTCCGAGTTTCTCGCCGGGAGCGACGCTAAGGGTGACGTTCTTAAGGATGGGCTCGCCTTCACGGTACTCTGCCGAGACAGACTTGAATTCGATTCCACCCTGAGCAGGCCAGTTTGGTGGTGGCTGGGTGGTCTCGGTGTCCTTGTCCTCGGGCAATGCAGTCTCGTTGAACACCTTGATACGGGCAATGGCTCCAATGTGGGTTTCGAGTGTCGTCCAGAAGGTGATGAGCAGCTTGATGCTCTGGCTGAACTGGATGACGTTGAGGAGGGCGACACCGGCATAGCCACCGCTGATGGTACCACGGAGCTTGACGACAAGGACGATCAGGAGAACGGCAATACCGGCGACAACCAAGTCAAGGACCAGAGTCAACCATCGCTGCACGGAGAAGAGAAGGTAGAATGGCTTCTGAGAGCGGTCGAGAAGTTTACGGTTCTTCTTCTCCAAGGCTTCCTGCCATCCAAAGGCGCGGATGGTGGCCAGGCCGTTGAGACATTCGGTGAACTGGGAGTACAGAGGAGCCTTGGCCTCGAGATCCATGAATCGGAGCTGTCGAGAGGTGCGGAGGTAGTACTTTTGGATGAAGTACAGGGCACCGAGGATGATTGGGAAGGAGATCGCGGCATACACTGATGCAACACCGATGATGACCATCTGGGCGAAACACAACACGAAGGCTATCGATTGGTTAGCTTTATTCGGCGACTTTTGCAACAGGAGAACTTACTTGCGAAGGTGTTGAGAGCGGCGACGGGAAGTTCCATGTCGATGAGCTGCAAGTCCTGACTGAATCGGTTCATGGTCACACCCTGGTCAGTGGTGGAGAAGAAGGACAGAGGAGCGGACAGAACGGTTTTCAAGAGAGTCAAGTGGAAGGCCTCTCCGGACTTGGGGACCATGGTGATGATCATTTGCCAGGAACCGAGGATGAGAGAGATGATGGCAAGGACACCAAGCATTACATAGATACCAAGGTAGTAACCGAGCTTCTCGTACGGGGCCTCTACGTTGGCAGCTGCCCACCATTTCAACCAGATAGCTAATTTACGTTAGCATCGCCATTACCACGACAGAAGGGACGTGTGGATCAACTTACTTGGGAACGAAATACAGAACACAAATGCGCTGATGAAGAACATGAAGAGTATGGTGGTTGGCCAGCCAATGGATCTCGCATAGTACAGATAGATGGCCATGTCACCCATTCGTCGATTGGCGGCAGCCTCTAGCTCGTCGGAAGTTTGAGGGATATCGGTGATGGCAACAGCCTTGGGCAGAGGACGCTCTGGCTCAGGCTTGTACAGCCAGTCAGCAGATGGAAGGTTGAAGGTGGAAACATAACCGCCGGAGGCATTGAGCTCTTCGAATTTTCCTTGTTCAGCAATTCGGCCTTCGGAGTCAAGAGCAACAATGTGGTCGGCATAGGGAAGACGCTTGGCTAGTCTGGTATTAGCAGGGGGACTATAACAAAGTCAGCCATCAGAAGGAGGCTCAACTTACGCGAAGACGACGTAATGATGACGGTAGTGCCAAGTCGGCGCAGCAATCCTTCGGATCCAAGCAGATGGTGGAAGATGTGGTTTTCTGTGGCAGCATCGATTCCACTCAACACATCATCGAGAATGAGAATATCCTTCTGAGCATAGATGGCTCGGGCAAGTGCCTAATCATGCAGGTTAGCTGGTTGCTTGGACGAAACGATGGACCATGTTAATTCAGAAGACACAACTTACAATACGCTGGCTTTGGCCACCGCTGAGTGCGATACCTTTGCTTCCAACGATCGTCTGGTCACCACGGGGAAGCTGTCGAAGATCTTGGGCGAGACCACAGGCTCGTACAACGGTGGCGTACCATTCTTCGTCCAGGTCCGAAACGGCGATGATACTGTCCTTGATGGTCTCGTTCATGTGCCAAGCGGTTTGGTCGCAGAATGCCATGTTCATAGAGGAAACCTCGACAACGCCTCCGAGACAGACGGTTTCACCAAGAATGGACTTAAGGAGAGAAGATTTACCGCAGCCAACAGGGCCGACGATGATGGTGGTCTTGGAACGGGGTGCAGACATGTTAATGGATTTCAGAACAGCTCCTTTCTCGCTCTCCCATGCGAAGCATCCATCGCGGATGACCACGGCGTCTACTTCGGGGTTGGATTGTCCCAAGTTCTTGAACGGGAATGAACCACCGGACTTCATCGACTTGATAGTAGGCGTGTTGGAGCTACGGGCGGCCTTTTCGTTGTTCTTAGCGGCATCATTTCCCTTGTCGGAGAGGGCGAGGGTCTGCTGGCTGAAGGAGAAGAGGTTGGAGCGGTCCTCAGGCTGACGTCTGGTGTCGACTCGTGGAGCTTTGTCTAGGAACTCTTGAATACGGGTGAAGCATCCGACTGAGCCCAAGAACGTTACCAGGGACATGATCAGGGCCTGCAACGGCTCGGCCAACAGAGCGAACAGGGACAGCGAAGTGAATACTCGACTGATATCGAGGATCGCGTTGCCACCACCATTCCTGTTAATGGCAGCAAACACAGCGAAAGTAATGATAGGACCGAAAACCTGTGACACGAATGCTGTTGTGATACATGCTAATTAGCCACTAGTTGAATATTTAGAATGGGCCTGTCTGGCTTACCGAAACCCATATTCCAAATCAGGAGTTTACGGAACTTCTTGGAAATATTCAATTCCTCCAACCTCAAGTTGTGCAAGTTGGTGAGCAAAATCTCCTTCAAACCGCACATCTTGACACCCTTCATCGAACCGAGCATGACACTGGTGGCAGAAATACGGCGCTCAATGGCTTCTAACCACAAAGCTTGATGGGCCATGACGAAGTTCATTGCGAGGACAGATCCGAAGAGAGAGACTACCGGGGGAGGTCAGTACAATGGAAAAGAGAACGAGAAAGACGACACTAGGGTATACTTACGGATAGAGACAGCAATTGGGACAACACAAGCAACACCGAGCTGCTTCTGGAGCAAGAAGATGGCAATACCGACTTCAGCTGCTGCTGCCCAAAGCTCGTGCATGCTCTGCCATCCCTGAACGATACGCTCGATATCGGCACTCATAAGAGTCATGGACGAAGCTGGGTCAACATCCTGGATGCTAACGTCGGTTGCTTTGCGGTAAAGCATGGAGATCAAGCCACCGCGAACCATGGTAATGGCACGGTAAGTCAGATGCTGGTATTGACCCATAGTGACCTGGAAATTGCTATTAGCATGATGTTACTACCCAAATTATGCAGGAACTGGTGCTTACAGCCAATCCAACATAGACGATGACATAGGCAAAAATCAGCCCGTATCCCTGGTTGGTGGTTTGTTCGGTGATCGGCTCAGAGGCAAGCAGAATTGCTCTGTTCAACAGGAATGGTTGGGAGAACAAGAATCCAATGAGACAAAGTCTTGGGAAGGCAATCGACAAAATCGGCCACTTCAGGGTGTTGAAGGTCACGAACAGCAGCGAATTCGGCGTCTTCGTTTTGACTGTACGGCAGCAAACTGTTAGTTCTACGGCCTCCGTCAACAGCGGAGGTTTCCAGACGCACCTTTTTCCCATGCAGCGTTCATTCTATCGTGAACACCCTCAGAGAGCATTTGCTTATCCACCTCCCACAAATCCTCGACAAAGAGGAGTTTCGAGAAACCGGCAAAGAAGAGAGAGTTCACCCAGACGAAGAAACTTCGGTTGAGAATACCAGCGGTAGCTTCTGGAGGATAATCTTTGTACTCTGGCTTGAGTATGAATCTCTTCTCAGCGATTTCAAGGACCAAAATGACAAATTTCAAGGCAACCGTGGCGGTAAATCCCCAAGCAATGATTTGACCGGAGTCCGTGGAATCTCGAAGCCATAGTGTCCTGGCTCGTACGATGTCGAAAAACAATGTGAAGAAGAAAAACAGGTTGAGCATAAGAGACGGGTGGACGGTATAGATGTGTTCAGCATACGACAGGAGAACGAAAAGAATGGATCCAACGAGTGTGAGGGCATTCGTCGCAATGGAGAGCTGGGTTCTTTCGATATGTGGGCGGGTCCAGAGAATTACAAGCAACAGCTGCAAACCACAGTATGCTGCAAGAGACGTCTATGGAGCAATTTACTGGTAAGCAAACTAACGGACAAATCGGAGAGATAAAACTGAAAGCACTTACAATCTTCACATGGATGAGCGGACTATCTTCGACCTTTCGCTTCTTCTTGAAGAGGTAGGCGATGCGGAATGGGGAAAGCAGAATCATGACACATAATGGCACCAACGTGAGGATACTCTCCTCGAAGAGAAGTGTGAAATCAAACTCCCCACGGCATTGTTTAGCCCAAGGTCCGAATGAGTTGTCTATATCGGGACACGACATGTTGATGGATGCCATGTTGACGACTGCTTCCATGTTGACTGATGCCATGATTCCTAGACGTGATACTAGGGAATCAGGAAGTGCTCAACGATGAGCAGGAAGGAAGGAAAGGAAGCTCGGAGAATATACTTCAGACTTCACACAGACTAGGAGACATGGACTGGGAGGGTCTTCACTTTTGAATCAAGTGGGTTGCTACTAATGGATAGGAGAAGGGTAGATCTATGATGGGGAGCAAGCCACAAACACCGGGGCCATGGAAGTTAACTGAATGGAGGATCGAAACAAAAAATGAAAGGGAAATCCGAGGACAGTTTATCAGCACTTCCTCCGAGCTGTCAAAGCTGAAGAGTTTTCCTTTTTCAGCTAAGCTACAACACTGCCATTGGCATCTTGCCGAGACTGCCCGTCACGATATACTCACGATTGGAGCTATGCACTATTTTGAGTCTCTGGTGTGGAATGTTTGGTCCTGTGCCGTTTAACCTCTCCTTTCCTGGAAGGTGACCATGTACCTTCGTATTGACTATGCCTCTCTAGCTTACCCTTGATATTAAAAATAGAAGATAATATCAAGGGAAAGATCAGCTTGGAGGGATGGTGGTGGTTGTGGACCCCCTACCCCCCGAGCTATCTTTTTCACAGCCTGGAGTCAAGAAGCAAAAACAAAATACTAGAAAACGAAGCTAGATGAAGAGCAAGCAGCAAAATAAAAAAATAAAAAAAGAAAAAGAAAAACGGGGGCAAAACAGGAGCGGAACGAGAGCAAAAAAACGAGAAAATAGAGGTATAAAAAGCAGGTCGTGCAGCAAGGATTGGTTGATACCCGCAGGCTCTATCAAATCAAAACCCGCGAGGAGGAAGAAATGACCTAGACAACAGTCACGGAGTACATATCCGGCCACCCCAAAGGGCAATTCGAGATATCTGAGCTATCCGGTCACGCAAGGGAGGAGGATCACCCCGGCATCCGGGTTCGACCCGATGTGTGAAGCAGCAAGCTTGACGTAAGTCAGGAGCCAGTCGTTGATCGGGGGGCGTGGACGATCCCAAAAGGAAAGAAAAAAAAACAAATGGCGTTTGGAACAAGCCACGTTCCTTTTTGAAAAATTGAGAGGTATCAGTACATTCACGAAAAGGTTAATCGAATGCGTCGATTTTGAGTATGGAGATCTGGCTGGGCCAAGCTTTCCCAGGATGTTTAGGCGAGGAGCATGGGGGTAAGTACATCTACCGCGGTGGATCAGCCAGGGTCGAAAGTGCGCAAGGTTGAGGAATACGACGACCCTGACCTGGGTACCTAGGATTAGGGAGCAAAGCAGGCAAGCAAGCAGGAAAACGGCATCCAGGTAGGCCAAAGTATAAAAAAGAAAGAAGGTTTTATAGTCACACTCGATATGTCAGCACGATAATGACGCTAAAAAAGATTAAAAAATCGACTTGTCTTCGTTCTGAGGCAAGCGAGCGGTTTGCTCAGCCTTACTAGTCGCGATGATCATCGTGGCCAGCGCAATAGAAGCACATAGGCTGAACTGTAAAATCGCTGGCGATCGACGGCAGCCACCAACTGTCGCTACACGGTCTGACGGTGACTGACGTCCAGCCATGTCGCTCCACGTTATATGTTCACCGTTCCCCAGCTTGCTGAAATGGCAAAAAGGAAACAGAATCGCACAAGATCCCTCCGCATCGGATCCGCGTGAATGGTCACCCAGCTGCCTGTACCACCGCGTGGCGTCGAGAGGATTGGATGGATTAAGGGTGTGAATCAGGGGCCCCACAATTCGTATAGGTACTTTCCAGCTAAAATAACTTGCTTCTCACTAATGACCATTCTATTAATTCCGTTGCGCTCCACCGCAGGCCCTCTCTCTGGCGATGTATACCTGGAGACATGGATACATGCAATAGCGGCCTGCATGGTATTAGTGCGCGCACTAAGTGTCGGATAAGCTTGCTGAGCTAAAAGCTGAGCCTCCCGGATCCAAGTCTGCAATCACAATCGCGTATTTAGCCAGGGGCTCAGTCGGAGGCTGAACGGACTCTTATCTGGAATGGGTACCGGATGAGAGGGGGGGCCGTGGTTTGCTCGCTGGCAAGGGAAAATTTCGGACCCAACTACATGCTACTGCCCAGCTGCATACACACCCTGACCTTGCAGTGGCCAGGTTTGGCGAGCAGCCGGACAGCGGGGGTTGTACTGATGGTAAAGTATATGGCGGAAAAAATATCACCACGATCTGGACTCTCCCACTCCTCGGAAGAAATAAGGACATCTGGACTTCGGAAAAGAAGAAACCCCAAAAAAAAGAAACGAAAAAAAAAAAGAAGGATGGAAAAAGAAAGTAACAGAGGAAAAAATGACGGAAACCTGCGATCTGTACCACTTCAGCCTGCACAAAAGATATCATCTGCTCCGTCACTCATTATTCATTATACATAAGCGAATGTGTGTTTGAGGGAGAGAGGGAGATGATGCCATGCATGGTGCTTACTTTTCCGCTCGTCCCCCCCCCAAAGCCTTGCGTGATGAATTTCCGCCTCTCCGCCGTCCATGCATACCAAGACGGCAAATACAGTCATACTGTCCGGTCTCTCGAGGCCTTGGTTACATGGCCAAAAGGAAAAGGCCGCTCCTGCTGCATGGTGGTGATGCTTTGATGGCGGGAGGCGAGACTCATGATTCCTCAGAGAAGTCTCCCCCCTCTCGTTCTATGAGTGACCCTAGTAGATGGAAACCGTATGATGCTATTCCAAGAATAGAAACATTATCGTGTTGGCCTGCGGTCTTCCCGTAAACACGGAAGTCTGCTTTGATGTTTGATGCAACATCGTTACCTGTCGCCATGTGGTACGGGTACGGAGTCGTGTGGACGGAGAGCAAAAGAAGAGGGCAATGCCAGTTAAGATTAGTGTTAAAGAGACCGGAGAGGAGGAGGGATATATTTGGAGCATCGCCAATGCCACGTTATTCTCCTACAGCATGATGATTTGATATAACCATATCTGGCATCGTTCTCTCAAACACCGGCTGGCCTTGGGAGTGGGAAGTGGAGGGGCTATGATCCAGCCATGATCCAGCCCAAGCGCTCTCCCGCAGCCCGTTCATCAAGGGCGCAGTGCGGGACAGTCCATGGGGCTGCGAATCCGAGCCAGTCCCCATCCGCAGCATGGACGTTGGGCTTATCAGCGTGCTGGAATAAGGCTTTGTGGATGTTTATTGACGTCCAGGAGATTATCCGGACCCGGCTAGTTAGTTAGCGTTCGTTACCAAGAATAGAACTCGAGCTTTCGCACCATAATATGTAACCCACTCGATGGAGCCGCAGGGTTTGGCTGGGCGTGATTGGCCAAGGCGCGTGAAGAATGGCCTATAAAGTATATGGTACCTTCATAATAATAAGAAACTGCGGAGCCTGGAACAGACTGGGACGGCTGTTTCCTCTCAGCCAGTCGAATCTCTTCCGCTCGATCTTACGCGGGGTGGAGTTTCAGAAGAGCAGCTCGGCCACCAGGCTGAAGTAAAAAGTCAGTGTAAGATGTAGAGAGGACGTCCCGTGAGCCAGACAACGGCAAAACCGGATCAGTCACATACCGCCCTCCCGCGTCCTATCGCCAGTCGATCCTGAAAAGTGGCTGTGTCGCTATAGATCTGTCGATGCGGTGATCGATGAGCGCTGTCCTGCTCTGTCTGGTTGTTGTGGACGTGAGGATGTGCTGTGCAACCGTGCTTTGTGTCGCGCGTGGATGATCAGCAGCGGCGTCTCGTGATCATCGGCCCGTCGTTGCTCCGAGACGCGCGCTTATCCGTTTCGGGCTCTAGCGCGCTTCTCGAAAGCCGATGCCAAGACACCGGAAGGGATACGCGCATGGGCCACCTATTTCCTCTTTCTGTCATTGGAGCCCGGCCCTACTGTTTGTCCGTCGTCAGTCGTTCGTTTTACCTCCTGTCTCACAGCCGCAGTTTCAAACTCGACGACATCGCTTCTTCCTCTTCCACTCAGACTCCCTCCTGCAACGAGGACGGCATTCTCGTGGTGGCTTTTTCTTCTTGTTCTCTGTCACACCGGTCGCCATGCCTGATGCCATGCAGAGACCATGCATGCAATCCCCGTGATGGTGCCAAAAATAACATAAGAAACTCAGACAACTGCCTACAAATCAAGATGAGGGCCCGTATTTCGCACCCCAGCCCGAGCCTAAAAATACAAAAAACAACTTTCAAAGCATATTCCCAGCAAGAAAAATAAAAAAGAGCGGCAAGATGAAAACTCAAAAATGTGCCAAACGGCAAAAAAAACAAAAGCGCGACCAAAAAAGAAACGAAACGGAAACGCAAAAATAAAATAAAATGAAACTTCAAACAATAATGGCTTCAGGGTCCCTGCTGAGTTTGTCTCGCCTTCCCTGGGTGGTGAACCGACCACCTGGCTTCTGCGGCTGGCTCACGGCAATTTGCGAGTGTCGGTCGACGGAATGCGAAGCCATACGAGCGTGGTTTACCCTGGTCGTTTGTCTCCACGCATCCCTCTAGCTGGCCTGAACCTGGGACGTGCTAAGTCACTTTGCTGGCAAGGGACCGTCGGACATGGACCTGCTATGATTTTAGAGCTTTGCACGATTTCGAGTAATAGTTAGCGCGGATATTACTCCAGATGCCCGAATAGCTACATCACTGACATCCAGGAGATACCGGCCTCAGCTTTGTCCTTCTGCTCAAGGCTTACCCCCCCTTGAAGAGGTCGTATCCTGCCATTCTATTTCTATTTTGGTCTCTTAAGGAGATTTGTGTTTTTGCCATTTCTCCTTAGTGTAAGCCCGCCGTTGTCTCTACGCCGTATATCCTGTTGGTAGGACCTCTTGATTTCTTAGCCATCATTCATCAGCCTCCCTTGCAGAAAAATCATTTGTTCCTTCATACGAACTATTTGCGCAAGCACCGATCCCTCTGCACATCATTCCAAGCTTCATCTGGAGCGCGTCAACGGCTGTCGGATAGCTCAGATCGACCACTACATTTTCCGAAACAATCTAATTGCCCCTCTTGAGAGCTGTCCAAAAAAATATTTGCTCGTCCTCAGGCAGTTTCCTTCAACAACTTCGGTCTTGCACACCCTCCGTCGAACCACATCACCACAACGACGACCAAAGCCGCTACATTTCTTAACCGGCTCCCATCACGGTCAGTGTATCATAATCAAGCTGCTAACTGATATTATCTTTCGTTGTAGCATCATCCCAACCCCATTGACGTTGTGTCGCATTTCTTTGCGACCAGACTTACCTTAATTTTTTTCACAGCTATAGATTAATCCTCCTCAACGACTCCAATTCATATCTAACGACCACATTATACCCCAATAGTTCCCGTATTTGTTTGACTTGTAAGTGCGCCGAATATTACAGTAAAACAATATCTTCAAGTACTGAAACGCCGCTCAAGGCATTATATACCTAGAAATATTCGAATTGGAGACAAACCCAACACGCAAGCAACAATGCAGCCCCCGAAAGGTGATCCGACAGCTCACTGGCAGGCCCATCTCGCCGGTGTGGCTCCGTGCCATTTCCCTCGACTTGGGGCCATAACTACTGGGCCGAAGAGGCCCATGACAATCAAAGTGAACTTGGATCAGACCCAACAACTCAAGGAACTTTGCGAATCAAACCCAGCCGGCCTGCCTGTTGCCCTCCGCGCTGCATGGAGCTTGGTTCTCCGCTGTTATACTGGTTCTGAAGACATCTGCTTTGGTTACCAGGATGCGACATCTACCTCTGTGCTGCCTGTAGCTAGGCTTGCCTTTGAAGATGATACCCTGCTTTCGGACCTGGTCAGCTCTGCGCAAACTGAGTACGAGAACAGCCTGCCATTCCACACTGATGTTCCAACCAACATCACCGGCACCCCAGAGCAGCGCCTCTACAATACCGTGCTGTCATTCCGCAGCGCGGCCAAACCGGGCACGGCACCTGCACCACGCGCCACGAACATGGCCCTTCCAGAAGATGTGAGCATGTTCTCCTACTTTGCGCTTCACATATAATGGCGACCCTGTTTTTCTGACACCGTAATGTACTAGTGCCGCATTCGACTCATGACCAAGCTTATGAATGGAAGAATGAGCATCTTCCTTGAATGGTGGAGCGTGGACATGACCATGGAACAGGCAATGGGAGTTGCCTCGACCATTGGAAAGGCCATCACCGCCGTCACCGCATCTCCAACTATCTCAATCGGCGCGTTCGATCCAGTTACCCAGCTCCATATGAAGCAAATCCTAAAATGGAACAATTATCCATTGAAAGCGGTCGATCGCTGCATCCATGATATTATCCACGACCAAGCTCTCCGCCGGCCAGATGCCGAGGCAGTCTGTGCCTGGGATGGCAGCTTTTCGTACAAAGAGCTAGATCATGTGACTTCACGGCTCGCGCAGAAGCTGGAGGACTTGGGCGTTGGGCCAGAAGTCCGAGTACCTCTCTGCTTCGACAAATCGGTATGGGCTTGTTTTTCCCTCCTCTCCATCCTTCCACACCCAATCGCTCCTCCGCCCCTCCCCCTGACTATGTAGATCGTACGCTAACCGCCGATGGTCCGTCCCGAAGAAGTGGAATGTGGTTGCGATGCTTTCGGTGTTGAAGGCTGGTGGAGCCTTCGTCCCATTTGATCCTACGCACCCAATATCGCGTCTGCAAGGCCTAGCAAAGACGCTTGGCTCCTCACTGCTCCTTTGTTCTGCCCATCATGCTGAAGGACTCGCCACAGTCGTGGACACGGTCCTGCCAGTCGATGAAGCGCTAGTTAAGGGGCTATCCTCCGACCCTGTCGCTTCCACCTCCACTAGCCTCGCCAAGCCCAATAATGCTGCTTATATAATCTTCACCTCCGGCTCCACTGGCGAACCAAAGGTCAGTGAACCATTCTGAGTGGCCACGAACTCCTCAGGAGAGATGTGACAGCTGAGATGTCAGACGTGATTTGAATAATTTGTACTGACTGAAGACTAGGGAACACTATTGGAACATGCAGCTTATTGTTCGAGCGCGGCGGCCCATGCTGGCCCACTGCGGGTTAACGAGAACTCGCGAAATTTGCAATTTGCTGCACACACGTTCGATGCCAGTCTTGCGGAGATTCTCACTCCCCTGATGCACGGGGCCTGTGTGTGCATCCCAAGCGAAGAGGCGCGACTTAACAATATCGTCGAGGCAATTAACGATCAACGCGTTAATAATGCGACCCTCACGCCCTCCTTCATCGGATTTATTGACCCCAATGACGTCCCGGGTCTCGAAACGCTCGTCCTCGCCGGTGAGGCCATGTCCCAGACTCACATTGACACTTGGTCAAAAATTAACCTTGTTAATGGATTTGGCCCAACTGAGACCGGTGTTTCATGCGCCATCAACCCCAATGTCACTGCCACAACGGATCCAAAGGATATTGGATTTCCCGTCGGAGGACACTGTTGGGTCGTCAACGCGGATGATCACGATCGTCTTGTTCCTCCTGGATGTGTTGGAGAATTGCTTGTTGAAGGGCCCACATTAGCCCGTTGTTATCTCAATAATCCTGAGAAAACGAAGGATGCGTTCATTCATGATCCCTCCTGGGCCCGCCGCAGCGGCAATACCTCACATTCGCCACGTCGATTCTACAAGACGGGCGATCTAGTTCGGTATAATTCGCCCGAGGGATCGTTTAACTATGTTGGGCGAAAGGATACCCAGGTGAAATTCCATGGTCAGCGAGTTGAGCTGGGAGAGATTGAGCATAGCCTTAACCTCGCTCCTAACGTGAAACATGGCCTTGTATTGCTTCCTAAGACCGGCAATTGTAAAGGCAAATTGGTTTCTATCTTGTCGTTTTCCGATGATGTTACCAGCCAGTTTTCCAAGGATCCAACCTCTCTCCAACTTGTTGATGCCAGCGAGAAGGATGAATATGTTGAGAAGATCCGTGAGACCATGGCTACTCGCCTCCCAGGATATATGGTTCCATCAATCTGGGTCTGCATGGAAGCTCTCCCCCTTCTCCCTTCGACGAAGCTCGATCGTAAAACCGTCGCTAAATGGATTGATGCTATGACAGATGACGTTTTTCATGATGTATCTGGAGCCCAGCAGACATCAGATGACGTCGAAGAATCATCTGAGCCCGCAAATGCGGTAGAGGCAAAAGTCAAGGCTGTCTGGAGCCGCATTTTGAATATCCCTCTGAACCGGATTAGTTTGGAACATAGCTTCCTCAGCCTCGGTGGTGACTCTATCACCGCAATGACTTGTATGGGTCAATGTAAAAAAGTTGGCCTTGGCTTCACTGTTCAAGAAATCTTGCGAAGCAAGTCCATTCGCACTCTAGCAACTTGTGCAAAGGAAGTTAAGAGAACTGTTGATCTTAAGGAAGAGATTGACGTGGACTTTGAACTTCAGCCTATCCAGAAATTCCATTTCGCCCTTCGACATCACGATCAGGGCCACTTCAACCAGAGCTTTTTCCTTAAACTTGCAAAGAAAACTGAGGAGAAGGCCCTGCGACGTGCTGTTGATGCTCTTCTTGAGCGTCATTCCATGCTTCGGTCCAGATTTAGACAGTCAGGACCGAATGGCGAGTGGAGACAGTATGTCACTAACGATATTAGGTCTTCCTGCTGGTTTAAAACTCACAAAGTGCAGACAAAAAGAGATACTGAGCCTGCAATTGCTGCCAGCCAGGCTGGACTAAACCCTGTCAGAGGCCCTCTGTTCGCTGTGGACGTATTTGACGTCAGTGGTGGTCAGCAGCTTCTTTCCATGATTGGTCACCACTTGGTGATTGACTTGGTATCCTGGCGTGTTATCCTGGAGGACCTCGAAGACCTTCTGCTGAACCCCGTAAACCCATCCCTCAGCGACAAATCGATCCCATTCCAAACTTGGGCCAAGCTACAACAGGAGCACTGCCAGAATCTCACCTTATCCAATGTTCTGCCAACTGATAATATCCCCCGTGCAGACTTCGCCTACTGGGGTACGGACGTCAAGGACAATACCTACGGTGCCTCCGCAGCCGAAGGATTTGAAATCGATGCTGCTACTACTTCTTTTATCCTCACTGACTGCCACACCGGACTACGTACTGAGCCAATTGACCTCTTCGTTTCAGTTCTTATCCACTCCTTTGGTCAAATATTCACTGACCGTGAGCCTCCTGCTATTTTTAACGAGGGCCACGGGCGCGAAATATGGGACGAATCAATTGACATTGCTAGAACTATTGGTTGGTTTACGACTGTTTATCCAATCTTCGTTCCAGATTCCACCTCCAAGGGTTTAGTAGACATCACCAAGCGTGTCAAGGATATCCGCCGTGCTGTGCCCGGGAATGGCAGACCATATTTCGCTACCCGCTGGTTGACCGAGAACGGTCGTAAAGCATGGGAACACCACGCTCCAATGGAATTGTCGTTCAACTACCTTGGTCAGTACCAACAGCTTGAGCGTGAGGGTGCACTCCTCAACCCTGTTGATGAGTTGGCCGGTGAAGCGAAAGAAGCAGGGGGCACTGCTGATTATGCCATCGGCACTCCTCGATTCGGTCTTTTTGAGATATCCGCCGTTATTGCCGCTGGTAAACTCAGGTTCTCCTTCACCTTCAACCGACATATGAAACATCAAGACTCTATTCGACAGTGGATATCTCACTGTAAGCATTCATTGCAGAATGCCTCGAAGCTTTTCAATGGAATGCCATTTACTCCTACCCTCAGTGATTATCCTCTCCTGTCACTGAACTATGACAGCCTAAACTCCATGGTCACCGAAAAATTGCCGCTCGTTGGTGCTAAAGGTGCGCAAGATATCGAAGACGCTTACCCTTGCTCCCCCATGCAGCAAGGCCTTCTCCTTAGCCGTAGCAAGGATGGCGCTTTCTATGCTGTCAACGGTACTTATGAGGTGAAGCCAAGGAGCGGCTCCTCTGTAAGTGCTGAGAAGCTCCTCGCAGCTTGGAACCTGATTGTCAGGCGCCATCCTTGTCTTCGAACCGTTTTCATCGAAGGCCTGAGCAGCGATGGTTTATACGACCAAGTTGTATTGAGGAAGTCTCCATCTAAGCCTTCCCGACTCCGTTGTACTAAGGAGTCTGATGTCGTGAACACTTTTGACAAGCAGGGTTTCATGCAATATACCGACCATTCTCCCGCCAACCGATTCACTATTTGTGAAACCTCAAATGGAAAGGTCTTCTGTCGACTAGAGCTTAGTCACGCTGTCATGGATGGTGCTTCGATGTCTATCATTTTCGATGATTTGTCCCGTGCTTACGCTGGGGAGATTAGAGATGAATCGGGCCCTCTGTTCAGCGCCTATGTGGCTTATTTAAAGAGCCTCTCCTTGACGGAAGGAATTTCGTTCTGGAAATCTTATCTCGATGGCTTGGACCCCTGCCATTTCCCAGTCCTCAATGACGGTGTTACTGTTAAGAAAGAACTTCACAATCTCAGGCTTGAGTTCAAGGAGTTGCCTACGCTTCAGAAATTCTGTGACTCCCAAGGCCTCACCTTGCCAAACGCTATCCACACCGCCTGGGCTTTGACATTGAGGTCTTTCGTCGGTGTTGAAGACACTTGTTTTGGTTACCTTTCATCTGGTCGTGATGCACCAGTTGAAGGAGCGAATGCTGCTGTTGGCCCGTTCATTAACATGCTGGCCTGTCGTGTCAAGATGCCAGGTGATGTTCCACTTATAAATGTTTTGGAGCAGGTACAGAAAGATTACATGGACAGCTTGCCACACAAGCACACCTCATTAGCTGAGGTTCAGCACGCCCTGAAGCTTTCTGATACTTCCCTCTTTAACACATGTGTTTCCTACCGCAAACTGCCCCCGGTTAACGATAAGAAGAAGCCTTTGATCAGCTTTGATGTGTTTGCACCTACCCACGACCCTGATGAATACCCAATTTCGATCAACATTGAAGCCTCGGACGATGTCGTCGCTATTGACCTCGACTACTGGACTGACTCCATCTGCGACAGGCAGGGTAGGAACATTGCTTGTTCATTTATTCGCTCCTTGGAGAACATCACCCACAATTCGCACGTCCAGATTGCCCAACTGGACAACCTTAGCTCCCTAGACTATGAGACGATTTGGAGCTGGAATAGCAGCATTCCCCAAACGATCCCGGATTGCGTTCACTACGTAATTGCTAAGCAAACTGCCCTGCGGCCTGATGCTCAAGCGATATGTGGCTTTGACGCTAGTTTTACCTACAAAGAACTTGACGATGTCTCTACCCGCTTGGCCTCGTACCTCGTTGCCCTTGGTGTTACTCCCGAAACCTTTGTACCAACCTGCTTTGATAAATCTGCCTACACCGTTGTCTCTATGCTTGCTGTCTTAAAGGCAGGAGGCTCTTGTGTTCCTCTCGATGCTACCCACCCAATGCCTGCCCTTGAGACCAGGGTGGTTGACACGGAGGCGCAAATCGTTGTCGCCTCTGCTGCCCGGGCTGCCATGTTTGATGATATGGTGCCCTATGTAGTGGCCGTCGACGCCGAGTTCCTTGAGCAGCTTCCAAACTATGGCGAAGAAAATGGCATCCCCGCCGAGCCATGCAACCCCGCATTCGTCATATTCACGTCTGGTAGTACTGGAAAGCCCAAGGGCGTTGTTCTTGAGCATAGTGCAATGGTTACTAGTGCTGAAGCCCACGGTTCCGCCTTGGGAGTTGGTCCTAATACGAGGTTCCTACAGTTCGCCACTTACACATTCGATAACAGTCTAGAAGAGATGTTCACCACCCTTATGCGTGGTGGGTGTGTTTGTGTTCCTTCCGAGGATGATCGTTTTAATGATTTGGCCGGTGCCATTGATCGGCTAGATGCCAATTTCATGGATCTCACGCCTACCGTCGCCACCTTCATCAAGCCAGCCGATGTGCCAAAGATTAAAGCCATGGCCATTGGAGGTGAAGCTCTAACCAAGAAAGCTCAAGAAATTTGGGGTGGTTCTATCCAGATGCACAATCAATATGGCCCGTCAGAGTGCTCGATAAACTGTGCTCATAACGGGGATGCCGGTACCGTCGAGGATGTCTCCAATATTGGACGCAGTGTTGGTAGCGTTTCTTGGGTTGTGGATCCCAATGACCACAACAAACTTGTCCCTGTTGGATGTGTTGGTGAACTATGTGTAGAGGGTCCGATTGTCGCACGCGGCTATCTCAATGACGCAGAGAAAACTGCTAAATCCTTCGTTGAGAATCCTGCGTGGGCTACTCGTGATCCTCACACGCGCGAATTTTCCACACGCCGTATGTACAAAACTGGTGACCTTGTTCGTTACAACAGCGATGGAACACTGGCCTTCCTGGGGAGGAAGGATACGCAAGTTAAATTCAACGGTCAGCGAATCGAACTGGGAGAAATCGAGTACCACGTCAAGAGCAACCTCCCCGAGGATGCTCAATCTGCAGTACAGTTGGTTGTTTCTGGTGGTGCCAAATCTCTAGCTGCATTCCTCTGCCTTGAACCCTCCGCCGATGTGGACACTGAGCAAACTATCCTGCCAATGTCTGCTTCCATCCAGTCCCTAGCCAAGGATTTGGAAGCCGCCGTTACTAAATCTCTCCCAGTATATATGGTGCCTTCCATATACATACCAGTTGCAAGGATGCCAATGACTTCCTCAGGGAAACTAGATAGGCGAACTTTGACTACGTGGGCGAAGGAGTTGTCAGATGAAGCCGCTATAACATACCGACTTGGCGGAGTTGGTGGACGTACCCCTGAGACTGAGGCCGAAAAAATTCTGCAGAATCTCTGGGCAGCCGTCTTATCAAAGCCCGCTGAGTCAATTGGCGCAGACGACAGCTTCTTCCGTCACGGTGGTGACTCAATTGGAGCCATGAAGCTGGTTTCTGCAGCCCGTGCTAAGGGAGTGACCCTTAGTGTGGCTAAGATTTTTTCTTCTCCCAAGCTTTCAGATATGGCTAGTAGCTGCTCGATGACTTCCATCTCATCTAAGTCACTCGGAGGTGGTGCTACCAATAGACAGCCTTTGAAACGCTTTGAGCTTCTCCCACCCAAGACCTCCATTGACGCTCTCATAGATGAGGTTGCTTCCATTTGCCAGGTTGACTCCAGCTTGATACACGACTTGTATCCGTGTACATCCATGCAAGGCGGCCTTGTTGCTCTTTCCAGCAAATCGCCAGGGTCATACGTCGCCCAGAGCACCTTTAAGCTACCTGCTGATATTGACTTTGGTAAATTCCGAGCGGCTTGGCAAGCAGTAGCTGACTCTGAGGTTGTTCTACGCACACGGGTTGTCTTTACCGATATGCTCGGATTCTTGCAAGTTGTCGTCAATGAACCTATCGAGTGGCACTCTGTTCGTCGTTTGAGTGATATTCAAGACAAGGACCGTCACCTTCCCCCTCGTGATGGAGGTTCCCTCGCTAGATACACTCTAGTTGGCGAGGGATCGTCTGCCCCTTACTTTGTGTGGACTGCCCACCATGCCCTGTACGATGGCTGGAGTATTCCTACGCTCCTTGAGAGAGTGGCTGCCCATTATAGGAATCCGACATCAGCCAAGACAGAAGCCGCAGCCTCCTTCCCAGACTTCATCAAATACCTGTCAACTATTGACAAGAAGGCTTCCGACAACTTTTGGATGACCAAGCTAGAGGACCCTAAGGCTACACCTTTCCCAACCCTCCCTTCTACCTCTTACACTGTTCGGGCTACAAGCAAGGCCACTCACTCCGCAGAGGTTGCAAAGTCCTCTTCACGGGAAACCACCGTTGCGTCCATTATCCGTGCCGCCTGGGGTATGACAATGGCTCTTTATACTTCTACCGACGATGTAATCTTTGGTGAAATTCTTACTGGACGAGATGCCCCTGTCCCAGGAATTGAAGACATGATTGGGCCCTCTCTTACTTCCATTCCAACAAGGGTCCAGATTAATCGTGAGCAGACCGTCACTGAATTTCTTAAAGAAATGCAAAAACAATTGGTAGACACCATGAATTACCAATTTGCAGGCTTGTCGCAGATCAAACGACTTGGGGAGGATGCCTCAGTTGCCTGCGAATTCCAAAACGCCATTGCCATTACTCAGGATGCAGATGAATCTGCGGATGGTTTCTGGGATATGATTAGCTCCGGGACCACGGGCAACAACTTTTATACTTATCCTCTCAACCTTTCTTGCACCCTGCGTCAATCCAAAATTGATATTGAAGCATATTATGATGAGACTATTATCTCTTCATGGCAAGTCGAGAGATTACTTCGCCAGTTTGATGTAATTCTACGCAATTTGTCAGTGGACGGCAATGCTCAAAAGAAAGTTGGCGAGATTGAGCTGATTGGCCCCCAAGAGCTGAAAGAGCTGGAAAGCATTAACAAACACGGAGCTAAGTTTGTTGACCGCTGTATCCATGATCTCATTCGAGATCAGGCAAGGTCCAACCCACATGCTGAAGCTATCTGTGCTTGGGACGGATCATTCACTCACCAAGAACTTGATAATTTATCCTCCGCGCTTGCGCACCATCTTATTGAGCTGGGCGTGGGATCTAAACCGGAGGTCTTTGTGCCCATTTGTTTTGAAAAGTCAGCTTTCGCGATCATTGCTATGTTAGCAATATTGAAAGCTGGTGGAGCTTTCGTGACCATTGACCCTGAGCATCCCATGTCCCGACTCCAAGAGATAACTACTGACGTTGGCGCATTCCTAATTCTTTGTTCGCCCAAGCACCAAGAACTTTGCGATTCGATTGCACCCCAGGCGCTGGCCGTTGACCTTAATATGCTTCAGGAACTGCGCCCATATCACCAGGCAACCCCCAATGTCCCAACCAGTAACGCCGCATACATCATTTTCACTTCTGGAACCACAGGAACTCCAAAGGGAACGCTAAGTATGTGCTTAATATGCCCATTTTCCACATTTTGTTGCTTACTAACGCATCTATAGTTGAACATTCAGCGTACTGTTCCTCTGCTGCCGCCCATGCACCAGCGTTGGGAATGTCTCCCGGTTGTAGGACTCTTCAATTTGCATCATATACCTTCGACGCCTGCTGTCCCGAAATTTTAACTACTCTAATTTTGGGAGGCTGTGTCTGTGTTCCAAGCGAGTGGGAGCGCCTTAACGATATTTCAAACTACATCAACGACAAACGAGTTTCGAACGCGACCTTGACTCCATCATTCGTCCAGCTGATGAATCCCGATGACATCCCTAATCTAAAGTACTTGGCACTTGTTGGCGAGGCCATGTCGCCAGCCCATGTCGCAAACTGGGCGGGTAAGCTCAATTTGCTGAACGGATATGGGCCTAGCGAATGCTCGGTTTCAGCTGTTATCAACAGCAAGATGAACGTTGATAGCTACCACAAGAATGTTGGCCGTCCATTGGATCGCTGTTGGCTTGTTGACCCCTCTAATCACGACAGACTCGTCCCTATCGGAGCCGTCGGTGAGCTGCTAGTCGAAGGGGTTACCCTAGCTCGCGGCTACCTCAACAGGGCTGAAAAAACAAAAGAGGTATTCATCCAAAATCCAAAATGGGCAGGCCGCAAGGATGGAGCAGTGCGGAGAATGTACAAAACAGGCGACCTCCTCAAGTACGACGCTGATGGCTCTATGAATCTCATTTTTATGGGCCGCAAAGATACGCAAGCGAAGGTTCGTGGACAGCGGCTCGAACTTGATGAAGTTGAGCACCACCTTGGTGCGGATAGCCTTATTCAACATGCACTTGTGGCTGTCCCAACGAAAGGGCCTGCGGCTAAGAAACTTGTTGCGGCGGTCACCTTTGATAGCCTCAGTTCTTCTTCGGCCAATTCTGTTGCTCTCGAGATAATCAACTCAGAAGAGGCTACGAACCTGGCATCGGAAGCCCGTGAGCGACTACGAAAACGACTCCCCGCTTACATGGTTCCGTCCAAATGGATTGTGTTCCGAAGACTGCCATTGATGTCTTCTAGTAAATTGAATAGGCGACAAATTATCTCCTTTATCGAGAAGATGACTGAGAACGCAGAAGTCGCTTCCAAGGCCCAGTCTACGGCTCCAAATACCTCCGCTGAAGCAGCTGCAGCAGTTCCTCAGATTGATATTCGTGAACACCTTTGGAAAGTGTGGAGTCAAATACTCAACTTGCCCGTGGAGGACGTTGATTTAGGCTCTTCATTTTTGCATCTGGTATGTAATACTCGACGATAATATACACTAGAATTTATTTGCTAACTTTATTGTAGGGCGGCGACAGTATTTCCGCTATGCAAGTGATGGCTAGATGTCGCTCCCAGGGCATTACTGCTAGTGTACAGGATATCATGCAGAGCAAGTCGATCACGGATTTGGCCACTCGTGTTAAGGTTTCAAAGACCCTTACTGGTACGCCTGTGAAAGAGGTCAAACAAATCGAGAATGGTAAACCATTCAAGCTTTCTCCGATTCAGCAGGTATATCTAGACAATGTCGGGGATAACTGGAGACAGTTTAACCAAAGTCTTTTGTTGAAGATCACCAAGAGAAAGAGTAATGATGCTATTTCTCGAGCCATGGGTGAACTCATAACTCTTCACCCAATGCTGCATGCTCGATTCCAACGAAACAAGGGCGGGGAGTGGCGCCAGCGAGTCAGCAAGGATTTGACGGGGTCCCTTAAAATTCGAACGCATACTGACGCACGACGAGGTCAGATGGGTTCGTTAATTGAGGAGAGCCAAAAGTCCCTAGATATTGAAAATGGTCCACTTGTTGCAGCCGATATCTTCAACTTACCTGGATCTGAGACTCAGATGTCGATCGCCATTCATCATCTTGTTATTGATGTTGTTTCTTGGAGAATCATTCTTCAGGATCTCGAGGATCTGCTTAACGGCGTGTCCTTGAAACGTCAAGATCTAACCTTCGAATCTTGGTGTCAGTTACAAACACAAAACGCGCAAGAGGATAGCATCCAAAGTGTTATCCCTACAAATGCTATTCCAGCTGCGGATCTCGGCTACTGGGGTATGGCAGGAAAATCTAACACTTTCGGAGACGTTCTTACCGAGGAATTTGAACTCGATCAGCAAACGACAACACGTGTTCTTGATGCTTGCCAGAAACGACTCCAAACGGATCTAGTAGACGTGCTGCTCGCTACCGTTCTTCTATCATTCCGTCAAGAATTCACTGATCGCCGAGTACCACCTGCGATCTTCAATGAAGGTCATGGTAGAGAGCCCTGGGATCCTAGCTGTGACCCATCAACTATAGTAGGATGGTTTACAACTATGAGCCCTGTATACCTTCCAGCTGATGCGGACACTGATACTGGTAAGTCATGTCGCATCGTTTGCACCCTGTCTATATCAGATTATATTGTATTATGTTCAAAGTTAACCTGGCGTCAATAGAAAACTCGTTTATTGATACAATTCGATGGGTCCAAGAGTTCCGATCAAGAACTCCCGGGAAAGGTCGGCCGTACTTTGCCTACCGTCAGCTGACTGAAGAAGGCAAAGCTGCGTTCCAAAATCACTGGCCGATGGAAATTGCTTTCAATTATCTGGGCCAGATGCAGGTGAACAACCAATCGGAGTCTCTACTCGAGCCGGTTGACGGTGCTGGAGCACAGTCGGTTAATTTCCTCTCCGACATTGGGTCCAACGTGCCGCGCTTTGCACTTATCGAGATATCAGCAGTCGTAGCACAAGGTGCAATGAAGCTGTCGTTTACTTACAATAAACATATGCAAAGACGCGAAGGCATCCAAAGTTGGTTCTCAAAATGCCAAGGGCTTCTCGAAAGCACATCTCGATTGCCGCAACACCAGCACATCTCTCCCGCACAATTTGCACTGCTACCTTTGGTGTATGGCTCTTCGAGTAAGATTGCTGAAGAACTGCCTTCAATTGGTCTAAAGTCCTTGGAAGATCTTGAGGACGTTTACATGATTTCTCCCATGCAACGTGGTATTCTAATCAGTCAATTGAAGGACCCAAAGAAATATGCCTACCATTCTATTTTTGAGGTGAAGTCAAACCAGAGAAGCCATCATATCGACATTCGCCGACTGGAGGCCGCTTGGCAGGCGGTTGTTTCCCGCCATAGCGCTCTTAGAACCGTGTTTATTGACAGCGTCTCTGGGAACAATTTGATGGACCAGGTGGTCTTGAAAAAGTTCCATGCACGAACACTTCTCCGAGAGCCTTCAGTGGAAGACTACGAATCTGCCCTTGATGATCTGGAGCCATTGGACTACACTGAGAGGCAGCCACCACATCGTCTAACACTCTGTCAGACGCCTAGTGGGCGAGTGGTTTGCAAGCTTGAGATAAGCCATGCTATCTCCGACGGCTCTTCGATGATGACTCTTCTGAATGATTTAGCCACGGCGTATGATTCACGTTCAACTATTGGCTCTGCAATGCCGTATAGCGATTTCATTGCTCACCTTCAATTAACTCCAAAAGAAGCTGGCGTCAATTACTGGAAAACATACCTTAATGGCCTTGAACCCTGCACCTTGCCGTCACTGGCTACAGTCCCCCCACCAAAAGAGAGGAAGGTCGGAGAATATGTTATGAAACTCAACATAGGAGCAGAATTGCAATCGTTCTGCAAGAAAGAGGGCCTCACTCAGTCTAATGTTCTGCAACTTGTCTGGGGACTGGTTCTTCGTGCTTATACCGGTTCAGATGAAATCTGCTTTGGATACGTTGCCTCTGGACGCGACTTACCCATTGATGGGATTCAAGAAGCTGTTGGCGCTTTTATCAACATGCTGATCTGTCGTCTTAATCTAACCGAGAATGCTGTTCTAATTGACGTCCTTCAGAAGACTCAATCTGACTACATGGAAGGCATAGGGTATCAAAACTGCTCCCTGGCAGAGGTACAGCATGAACTAGGCCTGGGAGATACCGCGTTATTTAACACGGTATTCACATTCCAGAAACGTCAAGGATCAGACGAGTCTGAAGACACGATACTCTCCTTTGAATCTCTTGGGGCCACTGATCCCAACGAGTTCAATATGTCAATCAACATCGCCGCTATAGACTCATACCTAGAAATAGATTTCGGGTACTGGTCAGACACAGTTTCCGATGCGCATGCGGAGAATATCGCCCGTACCTTCCAACAAATCCTCGGCGACATTATTGAACACGGAGCTGATAGAACCCTTGGAGACATCGACCATTTTGGAGAACACAGTTACCAACAAGTGCGTTCTTGGAATGCCCAGGCTCCCAAAGTAGTCAACAAATGCGTCCATGAAATTATTGAGGAACAAGCAATGCTACGTCCTCGCACTGCTCTTGCTATTTGTGCATGGGATGCAACCTTCACCTACTCCGAGCTAGATGCCGTGGCATCCCGTGTCGCCGCACATCTAATGGACCTTGGAGTTGGCCCAGATGTCTATGTTCCACTCTGTTTTGAAAAATCGGCCTGGGCAATTGTGGCCCAGCTCGGTATTCTCAAGGCTGGTGGCGCTTTCGTCTCCCTCGACCCCTCTCACCCAGAGCAAAGATTGTCAAACCTGATTGAGGATGTTGGTGCTGAAGTGGTTCTATGCTCTTCACGCTTCCATGATAAAATTAGAAAGATTTCAAAGAAAACCGTCGTCCTAGATTCTAAGACAGTCCAGCGGTTCCCCAAACACCCATCGCAACAACCAGATACATACCCTGACCCGTCCAATGCTGCTTACATTATCTTTACTTCCGGGACTACTGGAAAGCCAAAGGGAACTGTTATCGAGCATGCCGCAATTTGTACTGGTTCTGCTGCGCATGGTAAATCTCTTTTGATGGATAGTTCCAGTCGTGTCTTGCAGTTTGCATCGTATACATTCGATGCCAGTGTTACCGAAATCCTTACGGCTTTACAGGTTGGTGCAACTATCTATGTCCCGAGCGACGAGGATCGAATGAACGACCTTCAAGAAGTTATCGCAAATGGAAAGGTGAACTGGACGCTCTTGACGCCATCAGTACTCAGTACGCTCAAGCCAGAAAAGGTTCCTACCTTGAAGACAATTGTGACTGGCGGTGAGGCAATGTCTGAGAAGGCCATCAAGGAATGGGTTGGAGGCCCGGCAGTCGTTAACGCATACGGCCCAACCGAAGCTTCAGTTGTTGCATCATCCAGTGTAAAGGTCAATAAAGCTGGTGTTTCTGTGGATCAGAATCGGTCAAACATTGGGACTGCTTGCGGCTGCAGAACATGGGTGGTTGATCCCCGAAACATCAATCGCCTAATGCCCGTGGGTGCTGTTGGTGAACTCCTTATCGAAGGCCGCACCGTGGCGCGAGGCTATATCAACAACCCCGAGAAGACAAGCGAAGTCTTCCTGAGTAACCCTGACTTCTCCCGAGACCGCCGCTTCCGTGGCCTATTCTCACAACGGCATCGCATGTATCGCTCAGGCGATCTTGTTCGATACAATCCCGATGGCACAATCAACTACATCTCGCGGAAAGATACCCAAATCAAGCTTAACGGTCAGCGAATCGAACTCGGAGAGATTGAATACCACTGCAAAGTGAACCTACCCGACCAAACTCAAGCTGCTGTTGATCTCATATTCCCGTCTGACCGGGCCAAGAAGACTCTTGCTGTTTTCTTCAGCGTTCCATCAAATGATAACCAGCCCTCAACTCTCACCAATACTGACGGCTCTCCCGCCGATCAGTTACTGGTCCCCATGAGTGATGCTATCAGGACAATTGCAAAGTCCCTCGAGACGAAATTGGGCACCGCAATCCCTACTTACATGGTCCCTCACCTTTTCATTCCCATGTCGAAGCTTCCTTGGTCGGCTTCGGGCAAGCTTGACCGCAATCGCCTCCGAAATATTACCCAGGAACTATCCAAAGAGTCTATCAAATCCTTCAGACTTACAGGCGTCGCTGGCAAACGCAACATCACCACTGGTCTCGAGAGCAAACTCCAAGCCATTTGGGAAAGTGTCTTAGACCTTCCTAAAGGGAGCGTTGGGGCAAGCGACAACTTCTTCCGCCTTGGGGGTGATTCTCTGGCCGCTATGCAACTTTCAGGATCGGCCAGATCCCATGGAATATCGCTCACTTTTGCCAACATTTTCAAGCACCCCATTCTTGCGGACATGGCCACCACATGTGGTGTATTGAAGGGTGGACCGCAGGCAGAGATCACCCCGTTTAGCCTACTTAAACAGACCGACTCCGTTGATGTGATCAAGGCAGAAGTTTCACAGCTTTGTCGCATTGGTCAAGGCCTGGTGGCTGATATTTATCCATGCAGTTCTCTCCAGGAAGGCCTTATCGCCCTTTCTCTTAAGCAGCCGGGCGCTTACGTTGCTCAAAACGTATTCAAACTCTCTCCGACTGTCAACCTCGAGCTTTTCAAATCCGCGTGGCAGAAGGTTGTCGATGACCTACCAACCCTCCGGACTCGAGTTGTTCATACAGCATCATCCAACTTTTTACAAGTCGTACTGAAACGTGATACTATCACCTGGTACTCTGCTCGGAGCTTGGAGGAGCTTTCCGACGAAGCAGCAACTGTTCCCCCATTCAATGGTGGTAATTTGACCAAATATACAATTGTTGAAACTGCCGGTTGCCGATACTTATCCTGGTCGATCCATCACGCACTTTATGATGGGTGGAGCTTCCCTCTTATTCTTCAACGGGTAGAATCTATCTACCGTGGTCAAACCCCAGCTATACCCAAGAGCTCCTACGCGGACTTCATCAATTACCTTTCAACTACGGATCTAAATGCCACTAAAGAGTTCTGGACCGCGAAACTCGCAGATACATCCTGCTCTAAGTTCCCTCCTCTGCCACCCACAAAGGATGAGTCCGAGACGAGAACCTTTTCTCGCCGTATTGCCACCTCAACCGTGGGGGGTATTACGATGCCAACTATTATTCGGGCGGCCTGGGCATTGGTCTTAGCAGGACATACTGCCTCTAATGACGTGTGTTTTGGTGAAATATTAACGGGCCGCAATATCAACGTACCAGGTGTTGTTGATATCGTTGGCCCAACCCTCACCACTGTTCCAACTAGGATCCAGGTCAATCCACAAAGCACAGTCTCAAACTTTTTGCAGGAGGTACAACAAGGTGCAGCAGATGTCGTTCCTTATCAACACGCTGGTCTCCAATACATCAGAAGGCTGAACGGTGACGCATCTGAAGCTTGTGATTTCCAGAATCTCCTAGTCATTCAAACCACAGAAGGAGAAAGCCAGCAAGACCTCTGGGAATACCAAAGCAAGAGTGATGTAAACAACTTTTTCACCTACCCTCTTGTCCTCGAGTGCCACATATCGAAGCAAGAAATAGCAATCTCGGTTTACCATAAAGAAGGTACCATCAGCACCTGGGATGTTGAAAGGATCATCGATCAGTTCACCTTCGTCATGAGCCAACTTTCCAAAAAGTCCCTTACTGCCAAGATTAACGATATCGAAGTTATTTGTCCTGAAGACAAGGAAACAATCAAATGGTGGAATCGGCGCAAACCAATCGCTGTCAATGAATGCATTCATGACATATTTAGTCGAATTGCGGATTCACAGCCAGACTACCCGGCTTTGTGTGATATTGACCGACAATTGACTTACAGTGAGCTTAGGCAATTCTCCTCCCGGTTTGCCGATCATCTTGCCACGTATGGTGTTAAGCCTGAAGATTTTGTTCCTATCTGCGTTGACAAGTCCGCCTGGACTATCGTTGCAATCATGGGAGTTCTCATGGCAGGAGGTGCATATGTGCCTCTAGATCCATTACATCCCAGCTCCAGGCACCAAGAAATTGTTCAGGAGTGCGGGGCCAAATTGGTCATTTGTTCGCCCAAGTACCTCGACCGATTCTCGGTCTTTGCAAACAGCGTTCTCGTTATCGACCATGCAACTGTTATGGCTCTGCCGAGGACGCACTCAAAATCCCCACCAAAAGTGAATGCAAGCAACAGTGCCTATGCGATTTTCACTTCAGGAAGCACCGGAAAGGCAAAGGGAATTGTCATCGAACATCGCGCTTTTGCCAGTTCTTCAGCTGCCTATTGTTCGGCTCTCTCATTACGCCCTAACTCACGAGTTTTCCAGTTTGCATCTCTCTCATTCGATGCTTCAGTCATGGAAATACTTTCTACCCTTACGACCGGCGGCTGCATTTGTATACCCAGCGAAGAAGAGCGAATCACCAATATTTCTGGCGCTATTCGCAGAATGAACATCACATGGACTTGCTTGACATCTTCGGTTGCAAATATAATCGATCCCGATACAACCCCGAGCCTCGAAACGCTCGTCTGTGGTGGTGAAGCTCTTTCCCGCGAGGTGATCTCTAAATGGGCAAACAAGGTTAGGCTGGTGAACGCCTACGGGCCTACTGAAACTTCGGTAGTTGCAACCGCCAACTCCAAGATCTCTTCCGAAAAGTCTACCCCGTCCATTGGCCGTGGTATACAGTCAACTCTGACCTGGGTTCTCGATCCGAGGGATCACAATAAACTCGCACCGCTGGGTGCTATTGGTGAACTCGCATTAGAAGGCCCTGCACTTGCTCGCGGGTACCTCAATTCTCCAGAAAAGACGGCTGAAGGCTTCCCAGAGGTCACGGTTTGGGCTACACAGTTATCAACCGGTGCCCAATCAACCAAACGGATTCACAAGACCGGTGACCTTGTCAAATATAACTCTAATGGTGACCTCGAATTTTTCGGCCGCAAGGATAACCAGGTCAAATTAAACGGCCAACGAATGGAACTTGGAGAAATTCAAAGCCGTCTGGATACAAACGCCGAAGTCCGACACGCCCTAGTGCTGATGCCCAAGTCTGGTCTTTGCAAGAAAAAGCTTGTAGCTATTCTTTCCCTGAACAATCTTGTATCGCCTCAGGCATCCATGACCAGCACCCTCGAGCTTGTTGGCGATGGAGCGCTTATGGGTAAGGCAAACGCAAAGATCAGTGAGATTCAGGATGACCTTTCGAGTCAATTACCACCTTTTATGATCCCGCAGCTTTGGATACCAGTGAAATCGATCCCTATGCTTGCTTCGAACAAACTGGACCGCAAGCTAGCCACAAACTGGCTCCAGAACCTTGACGAAGCGACATTTGCACAGATAAACGCGTCCCCTGAGGAGGAGGTGGATGGTACCATCCAGCCAACTAAGGCAACCGAGATACTGCGGCAAATATGGGCTAGTGTTCTTAACCTCGACGTTAAGGATGTCAAATTGAACAAATCCTTCATGAGTCTTGGTAAGATAATCGCAATTGCTAATCTACCTGTAACACAAACTAACTATCTTATAGGAGGTGACAGTATAACAGCAATGGCTGTTATGTCCCGATGCCGCAAAGAAAACATCGAGCTCTCTCTTCATGATGTCTTGCGTAGCAAATCGGTCGTACACCTTGCAAACTGCGTCGGACATAAAATGTCTGGCCCTCAGAAGGAAGAGACTGTGAACGAAAATTTCGATCTATCCCCTATCCAACAGCTATATTTCCAGTCCTCCCGCGCACATAATGCATACTCCCGCTTCAATCAAAGTTTCACTCTCCGAATTACCAAAGCTACCGACTCCAGGACGGTGAAACTTGCTATTGAGGCCATTGTTGACAAACACTCGATGCTTCGGGCACGATTCGTACGTGATGGTGCTAATTGGCGTCAAAAGATCACCAAGGTTTGCCTTATAACCCCTATTCCCTCCCCCCTTTCAAGATCCGAAGTTAATGACTGATCTAGGAAATGAATACTTCTTATCGGTACCGAGTGCATGAAAATGCTAGGAAATATGCTATTCCCGACATCATTGAGGACGCCCAAATGTGCTTGAACATTGAACAGGGCCCTATCCTTGCTGCCGAGCTCTTCAATATCCAAGGCGATGGGCAGTTTATTTTCATGACAGTTCATCATGTCTGTGTTGATATGGTATCATGGCGTATCATCTTGCAGGATTTGCAAGAATTCCTGGAGACGAAGTCGCTCGCCGTTGATAAGCCGCTCTCGTTCCAGACATGGTGCTCCATGCAAGCTGACAACGTTAAATCCCAAGATGTCTCTACTTTTCTACCATTCCCTGTGAAACCATCAAACCTCGCATACTGGGGAATGGAGGGTAAAGAAAACACCTACTACGACGCTGAATACCAATCATTCCAGCTTGATAAGACAGTCTCTGCCCTTGCCTTGGGTGACAGTCACAAAGCGCTGCAGACTGAACCCATTGATTTATTCCTTACCGCGATTGTCCATTCCTTCGGCAGAGTGTTTTTAGATCGAGAGGTTCCTACGCTGTATAACGAAGGCCATGGTCGTGAGTCTTGGACAGGCGGCCCAGATGTGTCGAGAACAGTCGGCTGGTTTACCAGCATCTGCCCAGCATCTGTGCCCGTGGACCTACGTGAGTTTAACACCCAAACCAAGATTACAGGCGAGGCAATTACTAATTATTTTAAATAGAAGACGGGAAGGATGATGTTCTAGATACCCTAAGGCGGGCCAAAGATATCAGACGCAAGGTGCCAGATAACGGACGACCATACTTTGCCAATAAATATTCCACGAAACCATCAACCTCCGTTGATAATACTTTCCCTATGGAGATTGTATTCAACTATCTTGGTCGCATGCAACAATTCGAACGTGATGACTCTCTCCTACAGCAGGCAGATCTTATTACCGACGAGGAAGACTCTAAAATTGCTGGAGATGTCGGCCCAAATACTGTACGATTTGCCCTTTTCGAGATCTCCGCCATTGTGCTGCAGGATCAAATTCGATTCACGTTTATGTTCAATAAGAACATGAAGCACGGTCAAGAAATTCGTCGATGGATATCAGAATGCAAGCGCACTCTACAACAAACAGTTGAGGCCATGAGCCGCGGCCCTGCTGAACCTACTCTTAGTGATTACCCTCTCTTGCCAATAACTTATGAAGGTCTTAGAAAGCTCGTCAAGTCTACCTTCCCAAGAGTTGGCATCACTAGTCGCGATCAGGTTGAAGATATCTATCCTTGCTCCTCGATGCAAGAGGGGATTCTGCTGAGCCAGCTCAGGGACCCCGATAGCTACGTGTTCAATACTAGCTTCGAGGTTAAATGTGCACAAGCATCAAAGGCTATAGATGCACGAAAACTCGGCAGAGCCTGGCAAAAAGTTGTTGAGCGTCACGCTGCACTGCGGACGGTCTTCATCGATAGCCCATGCCGAGGTGTTACCTTCTGCCAACTGGTCGTTAAGGAAGTGGACAGTGGCGTTATTTACATCTCCTCTGGCAGCTCAGACGCAATGAACAAGCTGAGCAATATTAAACTGAAAGATACAAATGGTACCAAACGCCCGCAACTTCCACATCAGCTTACTATTTGCTCAAAATCGGACGGTGGTATCATCATCAAGATCGAAATCAACCACGCTGTCATCGATGGAGGATCTGTGTCCATTATGATGGCAGACCTTATTGCTGCCTACGAAAACAGACTTCCAATTGGACAAGGCCCGCTATACAGCGATTATATTCGATTCATCCGAAGTCAATCTACCGTGGATGAGGTCAAATTCTGGAAGGCGTACTTGCAGGGACTAAAGCCATCCCAGCTTCCGCGACTGAATTCCCAGCCCAATGCTGAAAAGCAGTTGCGTACGACTCATGTTATATTCAATCGCTACCCAGAACTCCAAGCTTTATGTGAGCAACAAAAAGTCACAATGGCCAACGTTATGCACGCAGCTTGGGCAGTTGTCCTAAGGGCCTATATCGGATCAGATGATGTGTGCTTCGGTTATCTTTCCGCCGGACGTGATGCCCCAGTCAACGGGATCCAAGATACAATTGGAGCTTTTATCAATATGCTTTGTTGCCGAGTTCAGTTCTCCCCCAACGCATCGTTCCTTGAAATCTTCCGAAAAGTGCAAGATGATTACCTTGACAGCTTGCCGTACCAACGATGCTCCCTCGCGGAGGTTCAACACGAGCTGGGATTATCCGGCAAGCCGTTGTATAACACTGCCCTTTCCATCCAGAACCATGCTAAATCTAGTGACGCTGTTGAAGAAAGCATCGTTTTTGAGCCCTTAGGTGGTCATGATCCAAGCGAGGTATGTTCTCCCTTTTTAATCCACCGCTATACATGGTACTTGATATCTAACTGAACATAGTATGCTGTAACTGTCAACATCGAGACTGCTAAAGATGATGAAGGCATTCTTCTCCGATATTGGAGCAATGCTGTAAGCGAAGACGAAGCTCAGAAGCTGGCCTCAACCATGGCCAATGTCTTAGCTTCCTTCGTCAACCATCCCGACCGAATTGTTGCAGACTATGACCCTACCAAGGTTAACGAAGTTCCTCGAAAAGCAAGCCTACCACAATCAACTCGCGAGGAAACGAAACAGACCACCATACAATCAGACGCGACCCAAGATGCTAGCGCCAAGCTTGACACCGAGAAATTGCTCAATGATAATGCTGAATTGCGAAAGATTGTTGATTCCTGCGTTCAAGACATCTTGCAAAAGATGGCTAAATCAGGCCAACTAGCCACCAAAACCGCAGATGAAGTGTTATTAAACGCTTCCCGGATGTCTGGCCGACCTATCGTTGACAACAAAAAAGATTTCGGTGCCGATCAAGCTCCCGATTCTGAGTATGGTCAAGACATGAACCTCGAGACAGCCACCCCATCCGAAAGCTACCAGAATTCCGACTATAATCCTAAAACGGACACTGATCGAACATCAATGGCAGCCCATATCAACAAAAGAGGGCGGTCCGCTCACATCGAGAAAAAACTCCTGGCACTTTGGAGTTCCATGTTGGAGATGGAGGAGGATTCAATCTCGGGCGAAGATAGCTTTTTCGAGCTAGGTGGTGACAGTCTCACGGCTATGAGGCTTGTTGGAGCCGCTCGAGATGAGGGGCTCTCACTCACAGTAGCTGATGTGTTCCGAAACCCTGTCTTTGAGGATATGGTTGCTGTCATCCGTGTGGCTAGTATGATGAATACCTACATTGATGGCGCTGATATGGATGACTTCAAGGCACAAAGCCAGGCTATTCGATCAGCAGCTACAAGCGAACTCTACCAAAGGTTTTCTCTAGTTAAGGCGCCCAACATCGATGCATTCCTTCAAAACAACATTATCCCGAAGGTCGGCGTATTCAAAGGCGGCATGGCAGACGTCCTCCCTGTGACGGATTTCCAAGCCCTCGCCATTACCGGTTCGCTTCTGGAATCGAGATGGATGCTCAATTACTTCTTCCTCGATGGATACGGAGTGTTGGATCTTCGAAGGCTAAAGAAAAGCTTCATTCGTCTTGTTCACTCGGTTGATATCCTCCGCACTGTGTTCCTTCCCAGCGGTGAACGCTTCCTTCAAGTTGTACTCCGAAAGTTGCGCCCCGATTTCTTTGTCTATGAAACCGAATCCAATCTCGACGAATTTACCGCGATGCTACAGCAACGCGATCGTGAGCAAGGCCCACGTCTTGGAGAGGCCTTTGTTAATTTCACAGTGGTGAAGGAGAAAGACAGTGACCATCATCGTATCATTATCCGACTGTCGCATGCTCAATATGATGGGGTGTGCATGCCAAAGATCCTCAGCGCAATTCAAGCAGGCTATGAGGATGAACCGCTTCCTGTGATGTCATCATTTGCAAGCTATGTCCGCGCTTGTGCCTCAACTATTACATCCGACCATTATCAACATTGGAAGACACTTCTCAAGGGTTCGAGGATGACTGAAATCGTCCGACGAGAGGGGCCAAACTATCGCCGATCTGCTGGCGCAACTAGTCAGCTCAAACAAACCATTCTATTGCCCGCCCTTGCCCATGGAAATATCACGACTGCCACTGTTATTAAAGCAGCTTGGGCAATGGTTCTAGCCCAACTCTCAGGCAGCCCTGATGTTGTATTTGGACACACTATTAGCGGCCGCAACGCAACGGTTCCCGGCGTTGAAAGCACAGTCGGCCCTTGCCTCAACATCATCCCCGTCAGAGTACAATTTGGCGAATTCTGGACAGCACTTGATCTCCTTCGCTTTGTTCAAGACCAACAAGTTACAAACATGTCCTACGAGGCTTTAGGATTCAGGGAAATTACGAAACACTGTACTGAATGGCCAGACTGGACCAACTTTACCACCGTTGTCCAGCACCAAAATGCCAGCACCACGAGCGAGATGACTCTTGGCAGAAATACTTACACCGTCGGTGCTGTTGGAACCCAGGAGGACTTTGCTGATTTCTCTGTTCTCTCTAATCTCGCAGAGGATGACAAGTGCGAGATAATTCTCGGCTTCTCCCTAAACAGCTCTATCACCCCCATTTTCGCCCAGAAAGTCCTGAACATGCTTTGCAACACCATCTCCAATTTCATGGCCGACACGAGTATGGCTTTGCTTTCTCCTCAACAAATATCGAAAATGCCACCCCAGACGATTGATGAAACCGGAAAGCCATCCGACAGCTACTTCCTTTCCTCGCAGCTACAGGATCTTACTCAGGCAGAAATCCTTGTCCTTTCAGACATTCTCAGCCGTGCATGGCGACAAGTGCTAGGAGAAGAGAACACCTCCAGCTTAAACCTTGAGTCATCCTTCTTTGACCTCAACGGCGACATAATGGGCCTCGCACAGGTTGCTTGGCTCCTCGAGCAAGAAGGGTTCAAGGTCCGGGTCGAAGACCTGATCGATCACCCAACCATGCTTGGACAGATGGCAACCATATGTTCTCAGCGAACATTAGAAAAAGACAAGGTTATTGAGGCATCTTCGTCTCAAACATCCATCGAAGAAGACTACGATTCTGTCACCCATCCGAAATCAGAGAAAAACTCTTGGTTCAAAGCCCTAGGGATGGCAAGACGGATGGTGAGACGCAATACACGTCCCAACTAATCACACTTTCATTTCAAATTGATATATTACGTTTTCTTTGTTGATGCTTACATCTAATTGTCTATACTATGATCCCCTATGTTGCTATAATTGGCGATTGTTACTCGTCCTTGCTTTCGTTACCTTTTTTTTTGTGTTGATAAAATCGTTGTTTATACTGTCTGAGCGTTATAGCGGTGATGTTTTGTATATAGCGTTCTTTTCCATATACTGAATAGCAGGCTTTATTTCAAGAATTCCTCTTCCAACGCGTAAAGCAACTATTACATCTACTCCGTACAGATATTTTGTTCAAAGCATCAAATGTACGATGGCAAAAAGTGATCATGTGACTGGCGAGGCCGATGACATCACCAGCTTCGAGGTTGAAAGGAAAAGGAGAGGGAGAAGGCAGAGCATCACACCTAGACATTATTAACCTATCTTTTATCTATTATAACTTGATCATAATATTACCATAATGACAGGAAACTCCAACGTTGGCACTCGTGGTGTTTACGAAAGCAACGAGCAGCGAAATTACTCCCGATCTGAGATTGAGAATGCTCGTAGGAACCGAGAAAACCCTCCAGACTCCAACAGACGAGGTAGTGCACATGGCAAAGAGCAGAGGTCGAGGGGAAAACATTCACTCACGGATGACGAGTTGGCTAAAGTGGACCCAACTGCCCCGGTAAACAAAGACAAGTGTCCCGTCAAGATAGCACAATGGGGATGATAGAAAAGTGTCCCGTCAAGATAGCACAATGGGGATGATAGAAAGGTCATTCTAACCTATAATCAAAACCGTAACTAGGCAAGGATGCATGGACATAAGCCGTCTCGTGGTGCACAGGTTGATGCTGAACTGAAGAGGGAGGATGAGGAAAGGATCAGGCAAAAGCAAGGGTTATAAGCGTGAGCTGGAGGTAAGAGAGGGAAATATGGGATCCCGTGTGACCAATATCAAAAGAGCCAGTGTTGGCGAGATCTAGTTAGCACGAAAGAAAAAAACACCGAGACTGGGAAGCGGTAAATGGACGACTAGCAGGTTAAAATTGGTTATTTAATCGTATATTCTTTTAAAAGTGGTATAAAAAAATGTATCATAGCACTTCGGAGAGCGCAAAAGCCAGTCACTCAAAAACGGGTCATCGCCCTACTCCATCTCAATGGTTCCTGGAGGCTTACTCGTAACATCGTAAAGCACACGGCAAACACCATTGACCTCATTCACAATTCTGCGGCTGACTTTCTTCAAGAAATTTCCGTCAAACGGATACCAGTCTGCGGTCATAAAATCAGTGGTCTCAACCGCACGCAGGGCAATTACTTGCTCGTGTGTACGTTTATCGCCCATGACTCCAACGGCTTTGACTGGTAGAAGAGCAGCAAAGGCTTGGCTGATCTCACGGTATAGGCCAGCCGCCTTGATTTCGTCGATAAATATCGAATCAGCTTGACGGGCAATACGGATCTGTTCGGGAGTAACTTCTCCGAGGATTCGGATAGCAATGCCAGGACCTGGGAAGGGATGTCGCCATACGAGGTCCTCTGGAATACCAAGGTTGGTTCCTAGGACACGAACTTCGTCCTTGAAAAGCTCACGGAGAGGCTCAATAAGTTTGAGGTGCATGCCTTTCAGTAGCCCGCCGACATTGTGGTGAGTTTTGATCGTAGCGCTAGGGCCCTTGAAAGAGATACTTTCGATAACATCTGGGTAAAGGGTTCCCTGAAGAAGCCATTCAATTTTATCTCCTTCCTTATAGCCAGCAGATTCCTCCACTAGCGTCTTTGCAGTGTCCTGGAAAATCTCGATAAAGGTATTCCCAATAATCTTTCTCTTTTGCTCTGGATCGATAACGCCCTTGAGTCGGCCAATGAATTTCTCACTAGCATCAATGACAGTAAGATTGATGCCAAGGCCCTTCGTGAGGGTTTCACGGACTATTTCAGCTTCGTTCTGTCTCATAACACCATTGTCAACGAGAACGGCGTGGAAACGATCGCCAATAGCCTCCTTCATCAGCTTCGCAGCGACGGTGGAGTCCACTCCACCGCTCACAGCGCCAATTACCTGACCATGCTCCCCTACCATAGCGCGGATTCTCGCAAGTTCCTTGTCAACAAACTTATCCATTGTCCACTCCTGTTTGGCGCCACAAATTTTAACGGCAAAGTTGTCTAGGACCTGCTTTCCGCAAGGGGTATGGGTCACCTCTGCATGGAACTGGATACCAAAGTATGGTTTTGTCTGATGCGCAATACCAGCGTAGGGTGCATTGGATGTAGTAGCGATGATTTCAAATCCCTCAGGAAGCTGAGACAGCTTATCTCCGTGTGACATCCACACTTCTAGCTTGTCTTCCAGTCCCAGGAACAGGCGGTCGATGTTGGCTTCACCTTTTTCTCCGTGTCGTTGGATGTTCAAGTGTGCGTGTCCGTACTCCTTGTTGTCACTGGCGGCAACATTTTTACCATGATGCCAGGCCAGTTCTTGCAAGCCATAGCAGATACCAAGGATCGGAACACCCAGGTCAAAGACGGCTTGGTCGACGTGAGGGGCGTCCTTATCATACACAGAGTATGGGCTGCCAGAGAGAATGACACCCGTGGGCTTCCAGGACAACTCAGCAATCTTCTGCGTGCATGGTAGCAGCTCAGAGTAGACGTTAAGCTCACGAAGACGTCTCGTAATTAAATGAGAGTATTGCGACCTGGTTACTCCCAATATTAATCTCACAATCCCGATGCGATCAAACGAAGGGTGAATAGTGACTCACCCAAAATCGAGAACGAGAATGGTATCAAACGCCTTGTGAGGCTCATTGGCAACTTCGACTGCTGTCATCCTGTCCTTCTATAGAGATAACCACAGAAATGTATGTGAGAAAAGGAAAAAGATGAGTTCAATTGACGCCGTGGCGGGAGTTTGATACCCCCCCGCGAAAAAAAAAGAAGGAGAGAAAAAAAAGGGAAGAAAAAAAAGATAAAAATCAGCGATAAGATAAGCAGTGGAGGGGGTGACTTTTCCTATCGCGGTTTAGCGCGGCTAACTTGAATCTGTAAATTTTTGGATTTATTCATCAACAAGAAGAAAGAATCAAAACATACGACTTGATATCACAATTAGGAGCGCCAGAGCTGCGTTTGACGGATATAATATAGGCTGGCCGATATATATCAACAACATGGGGAAACGGAAGCAATTGAAAGATGTTGAAATGAAGGATGGCGGGGCTGACGATAGCAGCAGCGACGAGGTGAGAAATAACAGATACTGGACAAATGGTGTATTCTTTTTAGCTAATTAAATATATAGGATCTTGATGTGATTGACGTTGACTTCGAGTGGTTCGATCCACAGCCTGCGGTGGACTTTCACGGCCTCAAAGTGCTGTTGCGACAGCTCTTCGACTCCGATTCGCAACTCTTCGACCTGTCTGCGTTGTCTGATTTAATCCTATCACAGCCATTGCTGGGGTCTACGGTGAAAGTAGACGGGAACGAAACCGACCCATATGCTTTTCTCACCGTTCTCAATCTGCAGCAACACAAGGTAGCTTGGAAATCTATATCCCTATTGAATCGGGCAGGACCAGATGCAGACTTGGTTGCTTACTCGTCATTTTCCAACAGGATGTACCCGTAATCAAATCGCTAACAAATTACATTCGAACCAAATCATCCATTCCGGGCTGCTCTCCACTGAACCAATTGCTCTCTCAGCCTGAAATGCCAGAAATAGGACTCATCCTGACTGAACGCCTGATCAACGTACCAGCCCAGGTGGTTCCACCCATGTACACCATGTTGCTTGAAGAGATAGCGTGGGCTTTAGAGGAGAAGGAACCGTACAGCTTCACACACTATCTAATAATATCGAAAACATACCAAGAAGTTGCGTCAAAGCTGGACGAGGAGGATGACCGGCCGCAGAAGAAGAAGAAAAAGGCCGCCAATGATAGCTCAGAGACATTCTACTTCCACCCCGAGGATGAAATATTGCACAAACACGCCCTCTGTTATGAGGGGTACAACTACACACACGAAACCGAGGGTCAATCTGACTCGAAGAGAGCATTCCAGGACCTAGGAATACATCCACAAGGACACATGATCCTCATAGAAGCGTCGAAATTTGAGGCTGCAGTGACCAATCTGAAGGAGTTCCTAAACCCATCGTCGTAAGTGGGAATAATAAGAGAAATATATAAAAACACATGAAAATTAAAGAGAGTTCTATTAAATATCGTTTTGTGAATTTAAGTAGTCAAATCTTGAGAAATGCGAGAAAAATGCAGGGAAATGCGAATAGATGCCATATCTTTGCCGTTCCGTCTCGTCTAACATTATCTATCCCAATGGATAATGCGCATACCTGAACTGTCATGAATTTTTATCCCATGTTTTTCTCGCATAGGAGGCAGTCCTTATGGCATTCTCTATAAATTAGTCCTCCCACTCCGTTCCTTTGAGTCTTTGCATTAGATACTCCACCTCGACAATCTTCGTCATAGGGATAACACTGTACTGTAGACAAGTTAGCCTGGGAACAGGGCCTGTAAGCAAGGACACCTACCTTATACATGGAGACGACGGCCTCAACATCGATCTTTGGTTTCCCTTCACCGGGATTTGCTGGGTCCCTTCCATACGTTCTTGCCTTTAATCGCAAGCGGTCCAACACCATCTTCTCTACTTTGACGTTGGTGATGGCCTCTTCGATGCCATCGCGATCCTCCGCCTTGATCAACTTCACGAACTTGTCTGTATCGGCCAAGAACTTTGATTCCGCAACGAATTTACCAAAATGGATCCTCCTGGACAAAGCCTGCAAGCAGCTGACATCACTGGTTGCGGATGAGCCATAATTCTCCTGGGCTTCACCCCTATCTCTGGATTTACACTGTGACGGGAGGATCTCATTGATATATCGCGATTTTATCACATCGTTGACATTGACGTCATTTTCATGCAGGATTCTAGGGTACTGGAGAGGCTGTAAGATGGGAGTTTCAAGCACATCAGGGAAAAATGGGTATTCATCGGGCGATTGGTATCGGCGCACGCGGGACTGAAGGCGTTCCTGTTCGCTGAGCACATAGTCCATAAGACTAAGCTCGCTACCAGGGATTTTGACAGCTCCAGGTATGTATATTCGTTTATTAAGAGGGAATTGCACTCGTTCGATAAGATGGAAGGTTATGGTGTCTTCAAGGCGGCTGTTAAGTGTAGCAGATGTGAGTCAGTAGGCCATTGCATCAAGTATACGTGGGTAAAGGAGTTTTAGCTCACATCAGTTGGAAGCGAATATTCTCCAAGTCCAAGGCCTTGGAGGCGTCCGATAGATCTATTGATGCGTCCATGCTGCAGGCACAAGTCCTGTTGTCGGTGTCTGGCGCAGATCGAGCTTCGGCAGTTTTATAGATCTCGCTCTCTCCGTATCGGGCTCGATAAGCAGCGGTTGGGATCTGAAGGCACTGGGACAGGGGTAGCAATACCGCAAAAGCCAAGTAAACAGCGCGCATGGGATAGCTGTTGACACGAAGATATTGAATATCGAGAAATTGCGATAGACAGAGTGATAAAGGAGTGAAGGATTCCTTCTTTTGTTGGGGCTGAGTTGTATTTAACTGACTACGTGCACAATTTTCAGATTTCGCCATCAACAAATCGGCTTTGGGGAACGGCTTCTCTACAAATTCGATATTTCTGTATAGACAACAACCACATCTTGTCTATTCTATTTAAATAATAACCAGGACATGCCTTTTGACGATCTACGGCCTCAACTTTTCCCCCTAATTTCACAGCCCAGATGAGCTTCCCCTGATGACGAGCCCTTTGACTCGGGATATCAATTGACCAGACTAGAGGCCTCCTCCATCAACTCTCCAAGTCTCTGCGGAGTACTTCTTCCTCTTCTCCTCTCCCTTTCTTCTGCTCTTCTTCGTATATATCTTTAATATCTTCTATATCGCCTCTTGCTCTTTTATATTACCTCGGCTCTTTTAAAATACCATGTGTAAGATACCGTAACCATAAATACATGTCTTTTCTTGGTCTGGCCTGGCATTTCTTGGCGTTTTGAGCTCCAAAACATCGAAATCGACATCGAATCAAACGTCGACGGACACCGAGATACAAGTCAAAAGTCTCGCTTGAGGAGTATACATGGCTACATAGCTACATACAGCGTGCAAGGGACACGGTTCTCGTTCGGCCTCGCTGGTCTACGCAACTCCAGCCCTCGCGGCCTAGCTTTCTTTCTCGTCTCGCCTCTCAATCCAACCACTACGCCATATGGCCAACAATACTTCCCGGAGTCGCTCTCACTCCAACAGTTCTAACTACGGAGCGGATGACGATGGTTCTGTGCTGGGAACAGGGCTAACGGTACGGACTCTGCCTTCTGCCATTCTCTTTTTATCTCTACCTTTTTTTTATCCCACTCGGGCAGATTGCTCTCTGCGCATGATGCTAACTGGAATGGCAGTCCCGTCAACTGGAGGCATTTGGCCGGAAAGTTACCACCACCGCTACCCATCTAATGAGTTCCACGGCAGATCCAACGAACAACACTCACTACCAGGCAGCCATGACTAGCATCCAGCGGGAGCTCCGGCGGCCCGCTACACAGAGGAGGATGTTTGCGTTTGCGCAAACCACGCCTACAGAGCTGGTCCGCTCCAAGTTCTCAACCTCTGAAATTCAATATCGCGCCCTCTCCTCCCTCCCCGATGAACTTCTACAGCATCTCCCCGAGGATACGAGCACGTATTCGCTATTCCAGGGATTTCAGGCCTCGGTTCCAGACGCAGACAATGAACACCGGAAATCTCACCGCAGGCGAAGCTCGCACGGCCAGAAACGCTTGGAAGATGTGGACAGGAACTCGGGTGCTTTGCCCCCGACTATAGGCCATCTGAAACGGGAGCGTGACTCGTTGAACCATCGGTTGGAAATGATGGGTGTCCGCAAGAATATGTGCAGCGCCGAAATACACGAGATTGATAACAAGGTCATGAACTTGAACAGGATGCGCAAGATCGTTCTGGACCGTCTAGCTGGGCTGGAGATGGATGAAGCTGATTTGGAACATGAATGTGAGATCCCGGCGTTGAAAATGCGTTGTGCGAGATACAGGATATACTGACATGGACTACGACATAGTGGTACAACTGGATAATAGACTAGAGGATATGGAAGAGGCTCTGGATGAGTCTGCGGCTACGGCAACAGCAGATACGCCCAAAACTGGTGATATTCCTAGTTCTCCCATTGGCGATGGCGAAGGCGACTCGTCTTTCATGTCAGAATCAATCTACGAGAAGATACCCTCGCCAAAAACTTGGAGACACAAGACGTCAAGTACGTAATCCCAAAAGTTGTCCGCCATGTCTAGGTAGCGACTTACATTGAATCTTTAGAGAAACGGTCGACGCCTGTCCTTCATGAGCACTTTGAACCCGGCTCCTTAATAAGAGAGTTGCAGGCGCATAACGACATGATAGCAGCTTTAGACTTTGATGTGCCGTTTGGAACAATGGTTAGCGCAGCATTAGACGATACAGTCCGGGTATGGGATTTAAATCTGGGACGGTGCATGGGTTTCTTGGAAGGGCACCATGCCTCAGTGAGATGCTTGCAGGTTGAGGACAATATCGTCGCCACTGGGTCGATGGACGCTTCTATCCGCTTGTGGGACCTTAGTCGGGCGAAGTATGCGCCCCGGGACCATCGCATCGATAAAGACGACGAGGATGACGAGGACGCCCTTGGGTTCGAGGACCCTGCAGCCGCACCTCCCACGCCTCCTCCGTCTAGTATGGATGAATGTCCCCTCTTCACGCTCGAGGCTCACGTAGATGAAGTAACGGCAATCCATCTACGTGGTGATACGCTCATATCGGGCTCCGCGGACAAGACGCTGCGCCAGTGGGATCTAGTCAAGGGCCGGTGCGTACAGACGCTAGATGTTTTATGGGCAGCGGCCCAGGCATCTTCGACCATGGCTGCTGGAGATGCGGCATGGCGACCTACTGGTCGCCTACCTGACGCATCGGCTGATTTCGTCGGTGCCCTGCAGTGCTTCGATGCTGCACTCGCCTGTGGAACGGCGGACGGGATGGTACGTCTTTGGGATCTGCGAAGCGGCCAAGTGCATAGAAGTCTAGTCGGCCACACTGGTCCGGTGACATGTTTACAATTCGATGACGTGCATTTAGTTACGGGTAGCATGGACAGAAGCATACGAGTAAGTTTATCTACGCTCTTTTCTTCACCCTTATATCTCTCGCTCATTTGCTAACATTGCCGCATAGATATGGGATCTTCGAACGGGCACTATCCACGACGCCTATGCGTATGATCATCCGGTAACGAGCATGATGTTTGATACCCGACGCATTGTCGCTGCAGCAGGCGAGGATGTAGTCAAGGTATACGACAAGACCGACGGAAGACACTGGGACTGCGGCTCGGGGGTGACATCCGAAGAAGACGGTCAGACACATAGTATCATAGAGCGGGTGCGGATAAAAGATGGCTACCTAACGGAAGGACGGAAGGACGGCACCATTGGCATTTGGAAATGCTGAGGCGTCTTAGCAGTTGTCCCTGTCATCTACTACATATATATTATTCCTTCTCCATGGAAAAATCCATTGTATGAATATAAGAAACGTCCTGGCATCAAAAAGCGGCACCAAGTAGTGTATGTAAGCAAGGCCTAAAACGGCAAGAACATCACGCCGCTTTCACTATATCTTGGCGTCACGTAAAGACGCGCTAGTCCTGATACGGTAATTACAACAACAAAAGAAAGCGCAGGCCAAAAAAAGAGGAAGAAGAAGAAGAAACAGGACAAAAAGAAGGAGACGAACAAGAAGTTTCTGATTCATTCAGCAAGATATTCACGGTTAGTGTAGAGAGACCCGCGGCTTGCTTGTTCTCTACCTTACATTCCCATTGTTGACGTTGTCCTGCCTTCGTTGAGCTGGCGACCCTCTTAGAGTGGCTGGGACGCGTCTTGCTTCTCCTGGATAACTCCAACTGGCCCCATTGATACCCCTGGATGATATCCCATATTTAAAGCCATATATTCGCGCTCTAGAGCTTGCTTCTTATTCTAGCCTGAGCAAATCTCCTGGATACTTTTTTTATATACATTTTTTGCTTCATCTTACATATCATAGTATTTTATTTGGAGGCTCCTACATATTAGGTTGGAACACTGGAGCCGGCACAGCCTTAACACCGAGGCAACACTTGATCTTATACATAAGGGGGGTGAGGAGGCTGTTATTGAAGGCTGGTCTAGCGCAGTTCTAGTCCTTACGGCGAAGGGGGGTGCTAGGGGAGGACAATATCTGATGAATAGGAGCCTAGCGCCAGCCCTATCTCGACTTCTATTCAGCTTTCCTCTAAGTATAGCTGGAACCTCCGCTAAGGCTGCGGATAGCGGGGGTCAAAGGGTGGTTTCCCCACCTATTCATTGAGCAGAGTTTTCCCTGGTAAGTCTGTGTTATTTGATATGGTTCTAGGGCGCTGTCGGCTGGCCCTTTATTTTATGATATAAAAGCTGATATCTTCCTCCCAGGAACTTCTCCTTTACCTCTCAAGATCAAACAGCCTGATCAGCTCATCCCTAAGTAGGTCTTCTGTCCTTATACGATTTGCTTCCTCATCTAACATCTATAGATATCTTCATTCCTACATCTCACAGTAGCAATGGCAACATCTCGCAAAGCTGGCCGTGCAGGCACTTCTCGCAGCCGCCGCGGAGCCGCTCCAATGGGCGCCAATGAGGCTGAAAACCCATATCTGCCCAGCATCGACACCCAGCAATCATTTTCCTACGGCTCGACCAACACGCCTGTTCTCCCCCGCCAACTGGGAGGCAATGCTTCTGCCAACGCAGAATACGTAGCAGCGACGCTTGATGCCGATATCCGTCCCCGTGTGACCGAATCAGCAGGCTTCAACCAGATTGAGAACGAGGCGCGCAATAGTCCTGAAAAGCAGAGACTCACTCGCGGCCAGCGCCGGGCAGAAAGCGTCCTCAGTGCGAGAGAAAGCATGTCTCCTGCTCGAGATGTCGAAAGAAGGCGTACTCCAGAACACCAGCTGATGAGTACTTTGAGAGAGGCATCTGGAGAGCCTGAAGACCCAGAAGAGCCTGTTGACCGTCTTGCAGACGCCGTCGAGAGGTCGAGCATCAGCTGGTACACTGAACGCCATGTCTTACCAAACGAACAGCCTCATCCATTCCGCGACGCTGCTCCATCACAGTCGCAAGCACAGGGCGGTCCTAGAATATCATTGGGCTGGCCTCGTCCAGGCAGACAGAATGAGCAATTGCCAGTTTCCATGTCCCCTTCTCGTGCGAGCAGTGCCTCGGTACAATGGCCGCAACCAAGCCCAGCAGCTGTCCAAATTTCGCCCAGAGGCCAGAACCAAGTCAAGATTCAAGCACAGAGAAGCCATGCGACGGCTGAGAGAATTGAAAGAGGTGCTGCGATGGGTGTGCCTGTGGGTGCGCCTGTGGGTGTTTTACAGCCAGCCCTACGACCTACTCGCACTGCTCCCAGAGTTGATACAAGTTCTGTCAATTCAGTGGCATCCCATGAGCCGCCAGATACTCCCAAGTCGGAACATACACCAGCTTCGTCTCATAGAGCGACTCCTCCACCCGGCGTTTTACCCACATCCGCGAGTCTCTCCCAGCTTCTCCCATCCCGTCTCCCATTCGGCCTCTCTCATCTCATTACCGTCCTACTCACCCTCACGGTCGCATTCAGCGCCTACATCGTCCGCGACGACATCAAGTCGATCATGAAATCCATCCGCTTCCCAAGTTCACCCTGTCCTGAGCCTCCTCTCACTCCTATCCATAACTACACCGATGCTATTGATAAAATCCTTACCACCGTCGACAGCCGCCTCACCAGCATGACAAACGACATCGTCTCCCTCAAGGAAGAATTGGACAACCGTCCCACTTTACCTGCGGATCCATTAGTGCCACGGCGTGCCAACTATTTTGCTCTTGGAATGGGCGCCCTAGTTGATCCCTACCTGACATCCCCTACAAAATCGTCCACTGACAGCCTCGCGCAGCGTTTTCGTCGCTATGCAGCCGGCATACTGCCTGGTCCCTCCCCCGTAGCGGCGCTTACGCAGTGGGACGATGTCGGCGACTGCTGGTGCGCAGCTACGACGAACGGCAAAGCCCAGCTGGCCGTGCTGCTCGGACGGCCTATCGTGCCAGAGGAGATCATCATCGAACACATCCCGCGTGAAGCGACCCTGGACCCTGGCTCGGCACCACGAACTATGGAATTGTGGGCTGAATATAAGCTCCTCTACCGTGTTTCTAGAAAGCGGAACGCACCACCATCCGGGCCACGATCGCCATCGTCACTCCTACCACCAGACCCGTCAGATCAGTCTGAGCCATTGGGCCCGTCAGACGAGGCGGCCATGTCGTCTGGCCATGGCGAAACCGCTTCGTCCCTGCGCCAGACCCTGCTCACCACTCTCGCAATCGTGTACCCCGACGACCCTCCAGCGGCCTACTCCAACGACCTTGCCCTGGGCCCGTCGTTCTTCCGCGTGGGCACATGGACATACGACATCAACGCCGAGCACCACATCCAGCGCTTCCCGCTTGAGGCGATAGTCGACGTGCCCGGTGCGCGCGTCGAGCGAGTGGTGGTGCGGGTCACGTCCAACTGGGGCGGCCAGGAGCATACATGTCTCTACCGAGTCAGGCTGCATGGTCGTGTATAGATTAAGCCACGGTCTAGGAGCGGCCATGTCTTGCATACTTAGATTGGTTAACTTATTTACGAAGCAATCATTTAGCTAGTTCGTTTAGCGGTTGCTGGCCGGCCGCAATGATAATACCATGTACTACCACTTCATCTTCTCTCTCTCTCATCTTCATCCTTTCATCCTTCATCTATATATGTATATGTATGCAGGGAAGGGCTGACACAAGTCTCCATGCACGAAGCGTCCAAGCACCGTCTCAGGTTGACAGGGAAAGTGCCTTCCCACCCAAACCAGGCGTAGAGGTACTTCTGGTACTTTCAGGGCGCCGTTTCAGCGTGCAACAGCTTCATCTTCACCCTCGTTGGTTGCCGACAGGGCGTCGACATCAGGCAGTCTATCGTAAACGGCCGGCGAGCTACGAGCTCTCTTCCTGCGACCTTCCACATCAACCCTAGCCCGGCATCTCCGTACTTGGTCGAAGCACTGGTAAGTTAAGGGGCATCGTAAGTTCGTAAGGGATGCCTTCTAGAAGCGCAGCAACGTGGAACTCCACCAGGAGACAATAGCAGCAAGCCTCCCAGCAATGCTCGTACTCCGTACTCCGTAGACCTCTCTCATCTATAGCCCACTGTTTTGCCTTTCCAACGTCCCGTCATGAACGCACAAGGGGCGAATGCACATCATGACCAGGATGCGATCGAGCGATGCGCGCAGGGGCAAAGTTTGCCTCTGGAGATATCCGTGTAGAGAGAGAGCCAACTCGGCTCCCCGTATCCCGTATTCGATGTGTCTTGTCGGTCGATACTGCGCGAACTACCGGATTCCGGCGTCGATAATCAGGATACTGCAGATAGATATCCAAGGCAGATCGCGTCGTCGTTGTTATTCCTGTCGCTCGCCCGCGCGTCTGTCCCGTCCACGGCCCTATAGCGCAGTATAGTGCGTATACTAGTCGCGGCCTAGTCGTGGTGCTACTTGGAGCCATCTTGTGTGTAGTTTGGCGGTTTCAGCCACGGACGAGCGGCCATCCTGTCGATGCGGGCCGGTGGAAGGGATCTCTCTTCTCTTTCGCTGTCTCGTCTCGCGTCGTTGTCGTCTCTCGCTGTCGTTCTCGTTCTCATCTTAACAGCTTCATCTAACTGTCCTGTCTCATCATCAACATCAACAACATCACCATCTTAACGACAACAACAACATCACCGTCTTAACAACATCAACAACATCACGTCTTAACAACATCCGCATACATCATCAGTCAATCCGTATCGTAGCTAACATCGTTGGAGATCCGACGTTTGATGTAGTCTTTTCTTATTCGAGATCTCTAGTGTAGGGAAAAGGGGCTTCGCTTGGCGTCCCGACGCTCGCTTTCTCCGACTTCCCTGCCTCTTCCCTTCTGATATCACATTCTCTCCTCGCCTCCCTCGCCCTCCTCGCCCTCCCTCTCTCCCCTTTCCTCGCTCTCTTTTGCTCTCCGTCTGTCGAGTGCAACCGCTTCTGCCTACTCTCGACAGCCCTTGAATGCGCTGTCTCGCGCCGAGTCGACGTCGTGGCTCCTCATCCGTGACAGGACCGGCCTGCCTGCATCTGTCACATCGCCGTACACAGCAGCAAAAAAGTAATAGCGACAGCACGCAGAGTCCGGAGAGAGAGACACACGCACACACAGCAAATACCAGCCGGCTATGGCCCAATCCCCGCCGGGCTCGCCCTCCCACACCGCGTTCAATCGTCCCCTGAGCCTCATCATGCGCCCGCCGCGAAGTAACAGCCGGATGAGCGTCGGCAGCAAGCACTGTGGCAGCGGCGTCTCAGACGAGGATGGCAAGACGGCCGTCAAAGTCGGTCAGTTGCTCTCACAGCCCTCGATAGTCCTGTCCTGTCGTGCTACTCAATGCATCAATATTATCAAAAAACTAACATGCCTCTAGTCGTCCGCGTCCGGCCGCCCCTGCAGCACACTGACCCGGGCTTCGATCTCATCCCCCAGCGATTTCAGCGCCCGACAGTCCACGTAACCTCGCCCACCAACCTCGCCATTGATGCTCCGCAGGGCCGCAAGCTGTTCGTCTTTGACCGCGTCTTTGGCGAGTCTGTCGACCAGGAAGGAATCTGGGACTACCTGCACGACAGCGTCAATTCCTTCATCCAGGGCTACAACGTCAGCATCCTCGCCTACGGACAGTCCGGCGCTGGCAAGTCGTATACCATGGGCACCTCCGGGCCCTCGGAACAGAACGACTCCAAGGCAATGGGTAGATATTTTCTTCCTGTAATTATATTCTACGGTGGCTAATCATGACTGCAGGGATCGTCCCGAGAGCGGCGCAGATGCTGTTTGAAAAATTGACAGGTGCGCCTGCGACTCACAATAGGACGGTTTCCGGCTCCACGGTGAGCGGTCTGAGGACGCCGCAGCGATACTCCAATTCTTCCTCCCTACCGACTTTTGGTCGCGGGTCTACCGAGAAGAGTTGGCAGATGCGGGCCACCTATGTCGAGGTAGACAATTGCATTTCCCCTACCCCCTGCTTTAACCCTTTTACTTTTTATCCGGTCAATGGCTTGCTGACGTCGGCTAGATATATAATGAACAACTACGGGATCTCCTACTCCCCGAAACTACTCCCCCAAATGAGCGGAATACAGTCACCATCCGCGAAGACACAAAGGGCCGCATCATCCTCACAGGACTACACCAAATATCCATCAACTCCGTCGAAGACCTCATCAACGCGCTAAATTTCGGTTCGGCAATCCGCCAGACGGACTCGACCGCAATTAACGCCAAATCTTCCCGCTCTCACGCCGTCTTCAGCATCAACCTCATCCAACGCAAGGACGGGTCCGCCCAGCCTCTGTCCGCGCAGGAGAAACGGTTCTCCATGCCAGCCGAATCTCCACCCGGTGCTGACCAGGTTACTGTAGATAGCAAGCTGCACTTTGTCGATCTAGCAGGCAGTGAACGCTTGAAGAACACCGGTGCTTCAGGTGAACGTGCCAAGGAAGGTATCTCCATTAACGCCGGTCTCGCCAGCTTGGGAAAAGTCATCTCCCAGCTCTCATCCCGCCAGCAGGGATCCCACGTCTCCTACCGCGACTCGAAACTCACCCGCCTCCTCCAGGATTCCCTCGGAGGTAACGCAATCACCTACATGATCGCCTGTGTCACTCCGCCAGAGTTCCATCTCTCAGAGACCCTCAACACCGTCCAGTACGCCCAGCGTGCTCGCGCCATACAGAGCAAGCCACGCATTCAGCAAGTGTCGGATGAAAGCGACAAGCAGGCCGTCATCGAACGACTCAAGGCTGAGGTTGCCTTTTTGCGTCAACAGATTCGCAACTCCGACGGCGGCGAGCGTGATCGCCGTACCACAACGCCACAGGAGCGATCAGAACGTCAAAACGAGCGTGAGATCGAGCTCCAGAACCACCTGCTTGATGTCCAGGAGAGCTACACCGCGCTCAGCCAACGACACGCCAAGCTCATCTCCGAGCTCACCAAGGCATCCTCCACCGAGATGGGAGACGTCGATGATCTCAAGCACGTCATGGGCGACACTTCGATGGAAAGGTTGAAGCGATCCCACTCATTCGCCGAGTCCGTCGAACAGGTTGTCCTCGAATATGAAAAGACCATCCAATCGCTTGAGTCGTCCCTCTCTCACACCCGCGCTTCGTTGTCCAGTACGGAAAGCAGCCTGCTCGAGCGTGAGACCAAGTGTGCCTACGTCGAGACCGTCAACGGCCAACTTCAAGCACGCATGCAAAAGATGATGGACCGCGAGGCGAACACCGAAAGCTACTTGCATGATCTCGAATCGAAACTTGACGGACACGCAACTGGCGAAGAGAAGAATGCTGCCATCGTAGCCGAGCTTCGAAAAGAGTTGAACCGCGCGCGGGAGAACGAGGCTAGTTGCGAAGACTACATCTCTACATTGGAAGAGCGACTGGCGGAAGCTGACCAGGATATGGAACTGATGCAATCGGAGATGGATAGGTTGGAACATGTCATCGATCGACAGAGGAGCTTGGGAAAACTTGACAATCTTTTGTACGAGCTTGACCATGTCCAGAATGGCACCAATGGAACGAAGGATGGGGAGGATACTGTCAAGAAGGCGCCAACCTCGCGGCCAAAGAAGACCCGAACTAGAACACAATCTCTCGACGTCCTTACCGAGGCTGTCGAGACCGCTATTCCAGAGTCCGACGATGATTTGGTTGAAGGTTCTAACCCCTCTTCTATACAGGAGGAAACTGCTCTCGACCTCGCGAGGGATGATGCCGGTCTAGCGGTCCTCGAAAGAGCAACGCCTACCACATCCACTTTTGGCCGTGAGGATGAGGAAGAGTACACTCCAAACGCTGCCCAGTCGCAATTCGTAGCGGAGAAGCTAGATACGATCACTCAGGAACTGTTTGATCTTCGTATCCAGCACGACCATGCCATGAACGAGTACTCCTTACTCAACGCCAAGTACCAGGAGTCACTCCGCGCAATGGCCGAGCTACAGGATTCCATCGACGAGCCTCAGCATTCCCAGCGTCCACAACCAGCCGTAGCTTTTTTAGACACCAAGCTCGCACAAAAGGGCCGTGTAAAGGTCAACGGAGCCAGCGGTGGAGAACACCAGCCATCCTCGCGCTCGCTATCCTCGGAGTTATCCTCGGCAGAGCAGGGCAGCTCGCTACCAACCTCATCGGCAGTCGTGGCCAAATCCGCCCAACAGCCTGCATCTGAAGCAGAAAGCGAGGTCGTGAAGAAACTCATGGCCGAACACCAAGAAGCCATGGCAGCCGTCACAAACAAATACAGTGAACTGCAGATGGAGCATGATGATAGCCTATCCCTTGTCGAAAGCCTGAAGGAGGAAGTCACCAAATACAAGAATGCTGCGGCCTCCTCGCCACCTCATACTCCTAACGTTATCCGTCGGATGACCAGCCAGAGCATGATGACGGTTGACCGCGCGCACCGTAACTTGTCCGCTCTCCGCATTCAGGCTGCCGAAGAATTCGAGTCGCGACCCGAGACATTGCAGAATTTCGACCAGAAGATTGAGTCCGCCTTACGCGAATTGAATTCGCGCATGGAGCGTATCCAGGCTTTGGAGTCGGAAAATAAAAATGTCAAGAAGGAAATGGAGACAAAGGCTACTATCATCTCCGGTCTCACGAGAGAGAGGTCAAGTTTGCAAGCTGTCTCGCCTGTTGATATGACTGTCGTCTCGCAGCTGAGAGACCAGGTGGTAAACGCTGAAAACCAGATGGCCGAGATGAAGGAGTTGCATGAAGCCAAGGAGCGTGAGTTGGCCAACGAAATCAAGTCAATCAATGCGCTTGTCGATGAGCAAAAGGCAGAATTGAAGTCAATGCAGGAAGAGGTCGAAAAGCACAAGGCTGCTGCAGAGGAATGGCAAGGTAAACACCGTATGGCTGCAGAGGAGCTCTCGGTTGTTCAAGATCGCCTGCAGGCCTCGGAGAAGCAGGTTCACACTACTATTGCCGAGCTCGAGGCATCTTTGGCTAGTGTTGATGCTATGCGCAAGGAGAGGAGGGAAGGAGGAGATAGGTCAATCGCCGATACTGCAGCCAACGCAGATGCTTTGGAGAAAGAGAGGTCTCAACACCAGGAGCTGGTTGACAGTCTCAAACGTGAGATTGACGGCCACAAGGCGACTATTGGCGCACACTTGGCCAAAATCTCCACTCTCGAAAGTGATCGTGCGGATTCTCGTGCTATTCTCGATGATAAGACCGGCACGGAAGATGAGCTCAATACCCACAGAAACCGCGCTGCTGAGCTTTCCAGAGATATCGACGTGCACAAGTCAACTGTTGAAGCTCAGCGATCTGAACTCGAGACCCTACAGGTTGCGCACAAGCGTGAGCTTATGGAGCTAGAAACCAAGACTAAAGCCGCTGTGGAAGCACAGTATGAGTCTCAGCTAGCCGAGAAGGCCTCCGCCCACGAATCTGCTCTCGAGGAACTCCGTGCCGAGCTTACTAAATCAAAGGATGAATCCTCTCAGATCCTCAAGACGATCACGTCCCTTCTGAAAACTCAAACTCCTGTGACAACCTTCACCCTAACAGACCAGCTACAAGATGTTCTGTCCCAGAAAGACCAGTTCGCAGATAAATACTCCAGTCTCATGGATACGAACGAAGACCTGACCCGTCAACTTGACGAGAAGCACGGCACCCACTCCACACTGGAGAAACAGGTTGTCGACCTCAAGAACAAGGCCAACCAGCATGAGATGAAGGTCAACGAACTTGCGCTACTGGTAGCGACCCACGAGGAGGCAATTGCAGCTAAGGAGGCGATGATTGAAGAAATCAAAGCCGAGAAGGAGAAGAGCGTTCGTCTTGTTGAAGAGCTCGAGGAACAGATTACATCCTCCTTTGATCAGCATCATAACCGTCTTTCTGTCATTCAGGCTGAGAAGAGTTTGGCTCTAGAGGAGGCAAAGGCTAAGATCGCCTTGCATGACAAGGAGATTGAGACCTACCGCACCCGTATTGAGCAACTTGAGGTGAGTACTATAATGAAACTCGATTATGATCTGTTTTATCTAACTTGTATTAGTCACAAACGCGTCCTATCTCTCCCGAAGGCCATACCATCGATCGCTCAAGCACCATGTCCACCAACCTCCGCAAGAGCTCTTCTGCGGCCTCCCTCCCCTCCCCACCACCAGCTATCCCCCTTCCACCACTCCCCAACATCGCTGCAGCTGCCAACCCAGCCAGCATCTCCCCTCCCTCCTCGCGCCATCAGAGCAAGGAGCTCGCCAACAACCAGTTTGTTGAAGACCAAGAAGCTCGCATCCGCACCATCGAGAAACATCTGCACGCCGAGAAACAACTCACCGCCACCCTCGAAGAGGCCCTCGGCGATCTCGAGGCACAGAGTAACAAAGTCAAATCAGACATGGAGCTGTGGAAGAAGAAAGCCTGGCAGCTCGAAGAAGAAGTCACAACTCTACGCTCTGAGAGAAACTCCGCACGCCTATCCCTACAGGCTGTCGAGGAGGAGCGAAGCGCACGACGAGAAGCAGAGGCCGCCCGAGCCCATTTGGAAGAGAAGATGAATGCTATCAGCAAGAAGAAGAAGAAGAGTACTCTCAACTGCTTCTAGTTGATTCCCATTCATGCCTTTTTCCTTTCTTTGTATTTATATCCCCCCTTGCCCTTGATGACGCTATTTATGAATATTGTGATCCCACCGGCTTGAGTCGAGTATGCGTTGGTTTTCGTCCTTGCCGGCTATCCTTTTGCAACTGCAGTTTGACGTTTACTTTCCCCTTTCTTTTCCTATCTACTTCGTCGTTATTTCTCCTTGGATTTTGCCTCTTCTCTTTTCCCATCTCTTGATATCCCCTGTTCTATCCTGCTATCAGTTGTTGCTTGCTTTACACTTATTTTTCTTGTTTTCCTTCTACCTCTGGACTGTGTATAAAATACCGTACTCTTCTTGCGCTATGATTTAGACGTAAAGAGCTGCTGATATGTTTGCTATCTTTCTAAACGACCCACTTGTCTTTGCTGATTTTACTTACCTTTCAACCTGAATGACCCCTTTATTCTTCCTCTTTATCAGAATTATTCGCTATGCTTACGGCCCGGACCCTCTAATCTTTCTTATTTCTTTTTCCATAATTCTCCATTTTTCTTTTTCTTTTCTTTTAATTCTTTTCTTTTTCATATAACCATTTCAAGTCATACACGGCACACGGCATTGACGAAGAGAAGATCCAAGAATGTCCAAACTCCGGGGGCCTTTACTTATTTTTATTATTTACCACCACTCTTCTTATACCTATTTTTATTATCACTTCTCCCCAATGATTAGCTATTTACGATGACCGTCAAACCAAAAGCCACTTTATATCACATGACTTATGACTTCATTTGACAGATAAGAGAGAAAAAGAGTACAAGTAAACGCTAAGAGCTCCAATGTAAACAACGATTAACAGCACCAATGCCTCCCTCTCCATCCGTCGCATCAACCTCCGCCCATACTGGAAATGGCCGAAAGAGACAAAATATAATATTCATTCACCCTGATCTCGGCATTGGTGGTGCTGAACGTTTGATCCTCGACGCCGCACTCTCCCTGCAATCCCTCGGCCACAAGATAACAATCTACACCTCCCACCGCGATAAGAGCCATTGCTTCGAGGAGGCTCGCGATGGAACGCTCGATGTGCGCGTCCGCGGCGATAAGCTGTTCCCAGCACACATTAAAGGCCGGTTTCATGTTCTGATGGCGATACTCAGACAACTATGTCTAGTTTACTATCTCACCGAGAGCGCGAGTGCGGACGAAGAGGAGGATGATATATTCATTGTCGACCAAGTCCCCGCCTGCGTACCTGTCATCAGAGCACTGAGAGATATAATGAGCCGAAAGCCGACGAAGAAAAAACAGCGGACTCTATTCTACTGCCATTTCCCCGACCAGCTACTCGCGCGGCGTGATGAAGGGGGCCCAATTCTGAGCGCGTTCAAGGCAGTATACCGCTTTCCCTTTGACTGGTTTGAGGGATGGGCTATGGAGTGTGCGGATAGGATTGTGGTTAATTCTCGGTTTACCAAGGGGGTTGTAGAGAAGGTGTTCGGGAATACCGAACGGGATGTCAAGGTTGTTTATCCTTGCGTTGACACAAAGAGGAAGGAGATAGCTGGTGTGGACAAGGGTGATGATGATGGCCTATGGGGCGGGTTAAAGATACTGTTAAGCATTAATCGGTTTGAGAGGAAGAAGAATATCGAATTGGCGATACGAGCCTACCATGGGATCAAAGAGGAGGACAGAAATGGAACCAGACTAGTGATTGCAGGTAGGTCAATCTCATCTCGCGAAGTACTTATGTTTAGTTTCATCGTACTGATCAAAACAGGCGGCTACGATAATCGAGTTTCTGAAAATGTGCAATATCATAAAGAGCTCGATGCACTCGCGACCAGTCTAGGCTTCCGAACAGCTACATCTCAAACCGTCGTTTCGGCTCTATCTGTCCCAGGCTCGATAAACGTCCTATTCCTTCTCTCCGTCCCTTCTGCATTTAAAGAAACTCTCCTCTCCTCTTCGAGCCTGCTACTCTATACTCCGTCGTATGAACACTTCGGTATCGTCCCGGTGGAGGCAATGCACACTGGTCTACCGGTACTCGCGGATAACACTGGCGGTCCCTTGGAAACCATTGTTGAAGGGAAGACAGGTTGGCTCAGGGCCTCGGGTGAGATATCCGGCTGGACAGAGGTGATTAACCATGTCTTGCAGCGAATGACACAGGCAGAACGTCTCGAGATGGGCAAATATGCGAAGGAGCGGGTTGAAAAGGAGTTTTCTCTCCACGCCATGGGCGAAAGACTCCAAGATCAGATTGACGAGATGCTCCAAGCCAAAGATCGCGCGTTTATGCCATTTCAGGCAATCCTCGTCCTTGGCCTGGCCCTCGGCGTGATATCGGCTTTGCTTATTTGGCTGGTCGTTAATACCAGCTCTGGTCTCGCGCGCAGTCCATTGTAATCTCTTCTAAAACAAATAATTAGTACAACTGAGCGTCAACCGCTCCCGCTTGGTCATGTACAATGACGAATCATTTCACCGGGATCCCGTATTCCGAATCTCGCTATATAAAAGATCATATAGGCAGCCAATGCCCGAAATCCGATAGCAACCAGGTGGGCTACCAATATAGTTATTCCAACAGCCAAGGATCCGACAAGATAACGCCCTCCGTGTGTAGCCAGGATTTGGCCAGGATGAAGGATTCCCCGCGTCCAAGAGAGATTTCGGTTAAAATTCTTTCATGGATGCGTTGCTTGTTAGCTGGTGGAGTACGATTATACCTGGCCATGATGCAAGCCTTTCCTGGGGATGAGCAATTCCTCGATACGACCACGCCCAAACTCCGGCAATGTAACCTCTTCTCCGGCCGTTACCAATCATTCTCGGGGTTGTAGATCATCCTACTCTATAGTTCTGGCCCTATATGCGTCACCGATGAAGCCTATACACACTCGAAGGAACCTCGGAGATGGATGGAAGTTACGTTCAAGATTAACTCCGTACCGTCTACCAGCTTGCTCCCTGTCAGCGAGATCCCTACAGCGCCCAGCATATTCGTCCGGGGGGGGCGCACTCTCATGATACCGCCGGCCATGCGGGTGGTGCATTTTGGGAATCCCGTAACCCAGATGTTGCTGCTGATGATGCTGGCTGCCTTGTATACCAGGGCTGCCATTTGGGACGCGCCCTTGCCATCAGCTTGACCGGCAACATTAACCCCCGTGTCAGCGTGTTCTTGGTGGGAGTCCAAGCTAGCAAGCAGACGGCTTGCTGGGATCATGCATACTTTTCTCGTGTAGATCTTTCTATAACTGCCACGGCCAGTAGGACGAGAGGCTTGCTTATTTTCTGGCTAGACCAGCGAATGCACCATCGCTATCTTCGGGATGGCAAGCTAGGGAACAATTATTAATTAATATACTGAGTACGAGGAGGGGGATTGAGCTGCAGGGGATAGAGCCGAGCTGTCTGCCTGGCTGTGGGGGGTTAGGAAGTTCCCCCAAGCTCTATAAGTTTGCCATGCGCCGGCTGTGATTCAACATCGAGCTGTAATTGATCTTTACCTCTCCGTCCATAGATAACCGCTGCATATAATACATCTTCCACAATGGCTCCAGAAAGCCGGTCCGTTCTCGCCAATGCTGGCTTATTCGTATCACTTCTAGCTCTCACCAGCCTTGTACCAGTGCAGGCCGCCGTCACCTCATCTACTCCAGATTACGCAAAGCGTGCAGAGCGTATTCTCAAAGGCACTCCACTGATAGATGGGCACAATGACTTACCCTTTGCTATCCGGAGATCTACCAATGATCAGATCTATAATGGAAAGGTCCCCTTTGAGACCGCACTGAAAGGCCATACTGATCTCCCTCGAATGAGAAAGGGGCAAATGGGCGGACAGTTCTGGAGTGTGTTCATTCCGTGTCCGTCGGACCCTAACGCTCCAATTAATTTCCCAACGGTATGGAATGATATATCTTTGCTTTGAGACGACTAGGTGGTATGTCGATATGCTAATTGAATAATTTCAATAGTATGCAACCAGGGATACACTGGAGCAGATCGACTTGGCAAGGCGACTTGTGGATAAGTACTCCAAGGATCTCATGTTCTGCGATAATCCTGGATGCGCAAAGAGGGCCTTCAGACAAGGTAAAATCGGCAGTTTCATTGGTATCGAGGTAAGTCGTAACCCTCTATGCGGCCCTCAAAAGGTCAGACAGATGCTTACCTTCACCTGGGGAGTAGGGAGGACATCAAGTCGGCAATTCCATTGCGGCCCTACGCCAGGCCTTCTATGCCGGAGCTCGCTACATGACCATTACCCATAACTGTGACAATGCATGGGCAACGGCGGCGTCCACCGTCAGGGCAGGCAAACCTGACTTGGGCATGACAGAATTTGGAAGTCAGCTGGTCAAAGAAATGAACCGTCTCGGCATGCTCGTCGACCTATCGCATGTTTCTCACCAGACCATGAGAGACGTCCTCAAGATCGCCCAGGCACCAGTCATATTCTCACATTCATCTTCCTATGAAGTTTCCAAGCATCTGCGCAACGTCCCCGACGATGTTCTCAAGACCGTCGCCAAGAACAATGGAGTGGTCATGGTTACTTTTGTGCGCACCTTCGTCAATGTCACTGACCCAGATTCGGTAAACATTGACACTATCGTCAAGCACATCTTCCACATCGCCGAGGTTGCTGGATGGGACCACGTCGGCCTCGGTGGTGACTATGACGGCACCTCCGAGCTTCCAAAGGGCCTTGAAGTAAGTCACACAGTGTCTGTGGAGGGAGACAATATGGTTAGGCAAGGACGTTTTGTGCTAATTCTTCCACGTATAGGATGTTTCGAAATATCCAGATCTTATCGCCAAAGTCCTCGAAAACGGTGCTACCGATGCACAGGTACGCAAGCTCGTAGGAGAGAACGTCCTACGTGTCTGGACCGAGGTGGAACAGATCAGCAAGAAGATTCAAAGGTCCGGCGCACTCCCAGTCGAGGAGATCTGGGAGGGCAGGAATGGAACACTCGCAAAGCGATCCGCATCCACGTTTATTCCTATGGAGGGCCCAGCTCCATACGAGTTCGGGTGCGATTAGATGCTGGCTAGCTTTGTTAGATTAAGAACCGAACATATTTTATGAGAAATTGATTGATGAATGCAGAATGTCCAACTTGTAAACTACTTTTCCGTTTGTTCGTTGTTGTTGTAGCTTTAACCTGGAGGCTGCTTATCTAAGATTCTCACCACGTGACCACGCGTTAAAGTGGCTTCCGAAATCGCGGGAAGTTTTGTTTACTATGGCTTCAGGTCGCGTTTCTGCCTTAAAGAAGTCAGGATATCGCTACAACCAAGTAGCAACGTTGCTTATCGCGGTGATTTGGGCCTGTTTTGGGTAGTTTCCAGGGATAATAACCTTGGTGCTCCTTGTAACCTCTTTGGATAGACCTGTTGGAGCTGGATCAATGGTGAAAAGACAGGAGTCAAGTGTTGGCTTCACTTCGGTTCCCTCACTCTCACTGCCATGGACCAAGTCATCAGCTTATTGACCTCCTCTCCGGCTGTGCCCCTAAAGAAATCCGCGGACAGAGGGTTAGGAGCCAGCTTCGACGTCCTCGAGAGCCCTCACAACCCGTCCTCGGATAAGCTAGACGACTCTCTCTTTGAATATGGCGACTTCATCGACAGCTCAGTAACGAAGAGACGGAAATTAAGCCCTCCTGTGGGCCGGACGCTTCCTACTGCGAACTACGCTACACCCCACAAGTCTCCTGGCTTCATACTCTCAGATATAACAGACTTTGACAGCGCAGGCAACACACCTAGCATAATTCCAAGCAAGTCAAGGGTCACAAACAACAGCTCAAAATATGATACCTGGGACTTTTTCCTTGATGACCCTATCATCTGCTCCTCCTCTGGGCCTAAAAGCCAGGCTCGAGAATCATCTACTAGGGCGAAGCAGTCAGTAACAATCGTTATCGACGATGATGACGATGACGATGATGACATCCTAGGTATACCGCCAGTGACTGATGTTGATGGGGATGACGACGACGATATCTGTGAATTTCGAGCTCCACCGACTTCAAGAGCATTTATCTCAGAGAAGACGGCTCGGCTTCTAGAGCAGCTGAAAAGTCAGAATGCCCCAAAGACGAAACCCAGAAAGAAGAAGCAGCATAATATCGATGTTTTGTCAGATGATGATGTGTTGCCTTCTGTACGGCCATCGCGGGCACGACGACCTGCAATCAGTCAGACAGCTGGTAAAACTGCCGAGAAAGCTGCCAAAGCACTCGAACGAGAAGCGGCGAAGGCGAGACGGGAAAGGGAAAAACAGACACAAAAAGAAGAAAAACAAAGGCAGAAAGAGGAGAGAGAGAAACAAAGACGAATTGCCGCCGACATTGCGGAGGTGAATAAGTCGAAGGTGGATAAGACAGTATCTGTCGGGGAGATGATTGTTGACATGTCTTCGACATTTCAGGATTCTAGCATTGGCACTCAAACTGAAGAACATATGCGGCAACTGGGTGTACCGATGCACTTTACGCCTACTGAGATCCCTAATACAGTGTCATGGCGACGAAAAGTTACTGCACGATATAACGAGGCAGGGCACTGGGAACCATGTCCATTGACGATTAAAGCGGAGGAGCATGTTCTATGTTGCATGACGGCAGACCAGTTTGTGGAAATGGCTATCGCGCCTCCAAGCGGTAATTCAGTGAAATCCCATTTCCAGAAGCTGACCGGTGAATATCCAGGCCGTAAACCGGTGTATCTCATCGAAGGTCTCTCTATCTGGACTAGGAAGAATAAGACTTCCCGGAACAGGTCATACCAAGCCGCTGTCCTTCAGCAAATCGACAACAACCAATCTAATCCCGTTGAACCTCCGGTATCTCAACCCAAGCGAAAGAGAGCAACTAAGAAACCAAATGCCCCACCTCCGGTGGACGAGGATCTAATTGAAGATGCCCTGCTTCAGCTTCAGGTGCAACACTCGTGTCTAGTTCACCACACCGCCGCTCCTAGCGAAAGCGCAGAATGGATCAAAGTGTTCACTGAGCATATATCGACAATTCCCTATCGCCGAGAGCTTATGAAAAGTCACGATGCCTCGTTTTGCATGGACATCGGACAGGTAAAATCAGGGGATGATGCGGGCGATGCCTATATACGAATGTTACAGGAGGTGAGCCGCATCACAGCACCAATAGCCTATGGTGTTGCTACGCAATATCCCTCCGTCGGTCGACTTGTCAAAGCATTAGATAGTGGAGGCCATCTCCTTCTTGAAGACGTCAAGGTATGTTTAATCTAACCTCCCCTTCCAGATAGCAGCTATCCTAACAAGTGGACTGCCGCAGAAATGTGCAAATAAAAATGGCGCCTTGACGGATGCACGAATCGGTCCTGCAATTAGTCGACGTTTATATCATATCTTTACAAGCTTGGACCCGACATCTGCCGATGTTTGATTACATTTTTACCACTAGTCATAGGTTTGCTTGTTTTTGGGAGGCAGCTTTATTTCTCGAGTTATTTAGACTCACTTATACCCCTATTGGCGTGGTTTGGCAGTGAATAGAATTTTGGTCCTGGTTATCTCTACTTTCCCCTCAGCATCAACAATTCAAATCAGGAATCCTAAATGTGGTTTTTACTAAGACATTGGGTTTATTTTTGACACTACAGTAGACGATGTGACTGCATTAAGTCAATTGCTAGAGATAGAAACTATTGTGAAAAGCTATATCATCCTAATGTGCTATTTGTTACAACCGAACATGTGGTACAACCGAAAACCATTTCCGCTGCGCCATATACCCCCATCAAGTGAGCCCGGATATGCAGAAAACCGGTAGCCGAAAATCCTAAAAATGACATGCAGATGCATAATTTGAGTATAAAATATCAAAATATCAAACCGAAATGCCTCTTCTCTTCCACCCCCTCCATGCGACCATCCACATCGCTACGGCAAGCCAAACTCCGAGCACACTCCCCACAGCCCAGTATCCATAACACTTCCAGCCGAAACACTGCCCATCGGGGCCGACACCTGCATCATACTCAGCAGAGTATATGGCGCCTGAGACACCAGCGCCAGGTGCCTGAACCATTGAGACAATAGCCCAGTTGGTTCCAAAGTTCTCCACTCCCCAGACCACGGAGATTATAATGGGTACAAGGGAGAAGCAAGCACCGTATCCAAACCCGACCAGTGATGTGGTTAAGTGTAGGAGGGGCGGGAAGGAAAGTGGGACGGGCGAAGAGAGGAGTAAATAGCCCAGTGATACGAGAAGGGCGCAGGGAATGAGGAAGAGAAGACGTGAGAAGGAGACATGTTTGGTAGTTCCCTGAGTCGGGCGAGGGGCGAAGTAGTCAGACAATGATCCTGTAATCAGGCGTGCAAGAGTGGATGTCAGTGCTACTAGAGCTACATGAGTAGACGGCACGCCTGCTGGCGGAGGGGTGTTTGGTAGAGATGATGGAGGTGTTAGGGTGTTTGTAAGAGTGCCGACCTATGAACGGTATTAGTATGTGGGATGTTTTTTTTTGGAGTCGGGGTAAGAAAGGTAGCTTACATTGTTCATGTAGGCCTCTCCGGGTCCGGATATCAGGATGAATCCGATGGAGAGAAGCCACATGGTTTTATCGTTGAGGAAGAGCTTCGTCTCCTGGTTGAGTAGCCATGTCTTCTTCTCCTCGTCGTCCTGGAGCAGGTCAACTTCGCCGGATACATCGTCCTGGCCGGCTCGGAACGTTCCATAGTGGCTGTCACGTTCGGACAACAGTCCGCTTCTCTCCAGTTCTTCGGCTCCGGCTTCGATCAACTTGTCCTCGTCGACAACATTCAGCGCAAAGGTACCGATGATTCCAACCGAAAACGTCATAATGGCCAAGAAGACGAAGAACTTGAACACGTCCACGTCTCCGCGTATCAGATCTACGCCCGTCCCATCCTTGTATGCCGTGCCGTCAGCACCTTGATATACGAAGAACTTGACCAGCAAGCTATGCCAGATACCACTTAACCCAAACGCGGCTATCGGGACTGCAAGCATAATGCCCTTGTGTTTGCTAGCTGCATAGTTCTTTGCACTCGTTGTCACGGCGGAGAAGTACATACATCCCGTTGCCGAGCCGATGACCGCATACGCCAGAACCATGACGCCAAACGGCCAGCCATAGTGGGCATCCGGTCCGACATCCGTCGAGTCTGGCGGTGGGCCGGACTTGTATGTGAATGCTGCTAGCACGTAGCCAAACCCGAAGAGCACGGCCGAGATGAAGGAGACGATGGACGGTCTCATTCTGTCGCAGAGGTATCCGAACATAGGTGCGGTCAGGTACATGACCATCTCGGCCGTGACAGCGATGACATTGACGCGGAACTGGGTGTAGTGAAGACGGGTAAGGAGAAGAGGCCCGTAGAGCGAGAAGGCCGTTATTCCTCCTGCTGAGAGTCTGTATTGATGCTGTTAGTCGGATATGCAAGTGGTGGTAGTAGCAGTATGGACTTACGTGCTGAGCACACCCGAAGCGAAGGCGATGAGCCTGGTAGCATCCTTCTTGGTGAAGCTACCTCTCTCCTCCGGCTCATCATCTAGTATGCTATCATCGTCGCTGGCTGAGTCGTCTTCATGGTCGTGGTATAACGGCTGTCTGTCGCCGGCCTGGAGGTGCTGACTCGACATCCTGGACGCTTGAACTTCGACTTGTTCGATATCCGGTCACTCGTTCGCAGACAGAAATAAAGAGGCTCGTGGTGATATGTCATTCCATGTCGGAAGGGCGAAACTGGGACGTGGCCCTGGGGGTGTTTGGGCTGGGTATGACGGTGATGGTCATGCTGATGGTTGACGCGGAGATGGTTGAGATCGTGATGCTGGATGACGATGGCTAAGCTGAGCTTACGGCTTTAATAACTAGCTTCAAGCCACCAACCAGGGGTAACTTCGGCTCGTCTAACCTCTGTTTCTTCTGTCAAACGCTTTGTGGGAAGCACGTCGGCCGTCACAGCTCACAGGGCTTGGACAGTTTACCATGAAAGAGATAGGGTTGTGATACAGTCACGCCTCTCCGGCTATAGATATATCATTCTATCTGAGAAGGAGACCTGGAGCTCTATCATGTTCTTACGGATAAATACTCTAGTGATTATATCAATAGTCCACTATGAAATTCTAGATAAAGCTCCCATAGACAGGATGGCAGAGCTGGTATAACCAATTAGTAGGACCATTCCTGTTTATCCCGGCTTCGACCTTCGACATTGACAAGCTAATGTAAACACCATAATGACTCCTATGGGGTAGTATATAGACAGATGCTCGTTCTTCGTCGTTCTAACATGTGAATAATAAGAGCCACAGCCAGAGTGTCAAGGGAAGCAGTGGCTATTTGAGTGCAGCTGTGTACCGTCGACGAAGAAGTGCGACTTGACGCTGCATGCCGAGGTATCGACTCTATCGTTAGTAATATACGAGAACATCTTCGCTGTACCTTCGATGAGTACTGCAATCAAGCCTCGCACTTGTCTGGCATCTGGTCGACGAGGTTAAGCAAATAGTGGCCCTCTGACTGGTCAAGTTTGCGATATCTAATGAATCGACACTTTCCCTGTATCAACGGCAGCGGAGATATGTAGGTATAAATATAGCCTGGCAAGAGTAAGTGCTAGCGAGGGGTTGCGCAAAGGCAGCTTGACGGCGTTTGTGCAGCCTAGATGATATAAATAGTTAAGCATGCATCCCTGATAAACGAATATACGTCAATGTATATATAGAAATAGCTGTATAAGTATAACCCTGAATGGGCAAGGAGCGAGCAGCGGCGGATATACTCTGTATCGACGTATCCCTATACATAGTAACAGTTAGCCGCGTACTAGTGACCCAACCTGAAGAATGACTGCCCAAGAAGTACGGTGTATGCAAGTGGCAGCCGTCGATAGGCGTACGGGATGCACTTATATCGCTCATGGCGAGTCGAGCAATGATGTCAGAGGGCAGAACCCCCGGTCCCTCACGCCGTTGTCAGTATGCAAGTCGATGCTAGGCTCTTCCCTGCCAGACGGCCGGAGTCACCCCGACCGCAAGCACTGTCCCATCCATCCGGCAGACCTCGAAAATGTCCGAGCAGGGAGCCAACCTGCCTTTCCTTTCTGGGCTCTGCAGCTCGCTGGATTCGGGTGAGGGATTATGATACTCCATGGAAGGACGTCCTCCGTACACCGTACACCGTACGTACACTTCAAGGAGACGGGACGGGAGAGCGGTAGAAGGGAGGGAAGTGGGCCAGCCGTTGGCGAGTCCGTACGGTAGAGATATAGGAGCAGAGTATGGAGTATGGAGATGGAGACGGGATGTACGATGAAGATAGCGAGATCGTGCATGCTGCTGCTCCTGCGTATCTGGCTGGTCTCCTCGCGCTTTATCTCTGTCCATGTAAACAAGTTATTCCTCTGCTTGTTACGTTCGAGCCGTGGCGGTGGACAAGGGCCTGGCCAGGCACGTTCTGGGATGATTGGCGCGATGCTGGGGGATGCTGGGCCATGTAGTGGTACCTCGGCCATGGGCGTACGAGGTAGGGCGAAGGAGGTACCAATCCATCGCGACACATCGCTAGCCATCGACCCAGGATCGCCGTACTCGAAACACGTTGCGCAGAGCTGGGAACTTATGCCCTTCTTCCCTTCTTCCCTTCTTCCCTTCTTCCCTTCTTCCCTTCTTCCCTTTTGGCCTCCTTCGTACTTCGTCTTTCCCTCCTTTTCCTCCTCTCAGAGGCAGCGCCAGGCCAACGTGACGTCCCTCCTGCTTCTCTCTTCTTTGCGCCCTCCCTGACCTTCACCTCACCGTTTGTTCCAGCTCTTCCTTGTCCGCTCGTCTCGTCTTTCTCCCTTCTGATTCCAATCGTTGCTGCGTGTGGCGGTGTCTCGTCCTGCTGGCTGGGCAGAGTACTTATACTCTGCCCGTTCTCGCCGTCCGCCCGCCGCGTCTCCCTCTCCCTCCCTTCTTCTTCTTCTTCTATCCTCCCTTTTCTTATTTCTTTTCTTCTTCTTCCTTTTCTTTGCTTCTTCGCTCTAGACGATGGCCGTGCTAGAAGTGCTCGTCGGCCCTTGATGCTTCTTCTTCCTCTTCCTCTTCCTCTTCTTCATCGTCGTCTTCCACCGTCAAACTTCTTGCGGTCAAACTAGCTGCTTAGTCATCATATCCGTCACGTGGCTGTCTTTTTCTTCTTCCTTGGAATTCAAAAACAACCGCCTTTTTTTTTGGACCAAGGAGATCTCGAGATATCAAACCCCCGGACATCACCACCAAGCAGCAACCACCAACACCAACACGACAGAAAGGAAAAAGCAAAGAGAACCCAGCATTCCCTCACTGCCGGCTCTAGTTGTCGGCCCGCAAGCCATCTGCCCTCGTATCCCGCTCCATCTCCAAACCTGACACACAAAACTCTCTCCCTCTCAACTCACTCTATCACTGCGTCTGCTCTCCTCACGCTCACACCTTTTGCTGTCCCGCACGGGATTGCCATTGACGACGAAAATACACCTATATAGAATACACCAGTCGCCAATGTCCTCCCCATGTCAGCCTCCGCTTTTGCTTCCGTTCACCGCGCTTCAGAGTCTGACCCAGCAGCGTCAACTTCTGGAGAGCCACCCATAGACTCGAGACTGTCGCCCTTCTCCGCGCCCTCAAAGTCCGTCCCCCCTTCTCCGCCGCAGACTCCTCTGATAAAGCCGTCAGTCGTGCCTCCGCTGCCGGAGAATCACCAGCACCCGACCCTCAAGCGGACAAACACCTGTCCTGCTCCAGCGGCATCCTCCAGGCAGTACAGATCACAGTCTCCTCAGCTGACCGAGCGGGACTCCATCTTTGCTACTCACTATCTCCCATCAGACGAACCAGATCACGACCAGGCTGACCAAGCTGACCCCGAGAAGCAGCAGCAGCAGCAGCAGCAGGGCAAAGATCAGGAGAGAGACGACTTCCGTGCCCGTCAGCTTGCTAGATATGTTAGCTCGCTCTCGTCGTCTATCGATTCGGCACGATGGCAGCCAGCTCCAACACCAGAACCAACAGCAGATGACCGCATGACCTACCAGTTCCCATTGCCTACTCGCTCCCGAACAGTTACCGACTTTTCCACCTACTCTCACCACCCTCACCATAACAACACTAGCGATATCAACAACAAGTCCGGCATCCCGCTCACATTCGACCGTCTCTCCCCACGGCCGTCACCGATATTCCGACCCCAACCCGGTCCAAACACCAAGGGCCGAGACCGAGACCACACGAAGGACCAGGACCAGGGCCAGGATCAGGACTCCTCCTCTGGTACCGACGCCACAATGGCTCTTCTCGCACCCCGCGATCTCACCTCTCACCACGACATGATGCGTGGGCGTGCCTCTAGAGTCGAAAAGTCCATCGAGGCAAGCCTAGCAAACGTCGATCCTAGTGCTAATGTCCGATCCCGCAAGTCCAGCCACTACCTTGGCCTGTTCAAGGAGAACACTGGATCGCCGGAACGGAGGAAGAGTATTGCACCGGACCTCGCGTCGCTGGACGAGCTATCCGGCTTACGACAGGACGAATCAGTTGAAGTACCGGCTGCTGTCCCACAGGAGCTGCTCGATGAGATACGCAGTCGCAAAGGAACCGCCAATGGGACTCTCCCGGGACTGCCCAGGACTATTCCATCTCGTGACACACGCATGCTCTACCCCGGTCACGCGCTCGAAGGGTTCTCGCCAGACTCGGACTTTGCTCCTCGGCCAGGTCTTGCCGAATCGGTGTTTGAAGACGACGACGAGGAAAAGGAAAGGATCTCGTCGGCTTTATATTTCCCACATCAGCGAGCTGTCGATGCAGATAAGGACAAGCTTCAGCCGGAGCAGCCGCTACCTTCGCCCGCCAACCTAAAATCGTCCAGCGAGACCAACCTGGTTGATATCTCTCTCTTCTCCAAGAGTGAGAAAAGCATCTTCACTGGAGACCTGCGAAAGACCATCCCCGAACCCATTGAACCCTCTGTCCCGCCGAGTGCCACCGTCGTCGTTGAACCAGCGACCGACATCTCTGAGTCCGACTATATCTCTGCCTCTGAAAGTTATGCATCAGCCACTCACGACGAGCCGGACGACGACGACGATGATCTATCCTCCGGCGATGAGGCCACAACCCCGCGTGGTACTCCACGACCCTTCAAGCACACTCACTCCCACCACATACGCCCGCCCACCGCGCCCCTGGGAGCCGTAGAGTTGAAGCCATATCGCCATCAAGTCGGAGGGCACACTACCGTCTTCCGTTTCTCTCGACGTGCAGTATGCAAGCAGTTGAACAACCGTGAGAACCAGTTCTATGAGCGTATCGAGAAGAGACACCCACAGATGCTGGCATTCTTAGCAAGATATATCGGCGTGCTTAACGTGACGTTTTCAAAGGGTCCGAAGAAGTCGAGCAAGAAAGATGTCAAAGACACTACAGTCACGGAACCGCCAGCGAAGACCACGGCGGTTGATGCCCAAACTACCACACCTGCCCCGCCGAAACGCACTGATTCTGGGAAATCGAATGGCCAACGCATCTTCAGCCAATCCCAGGTTACCGGAGTAATACCGAAGGTCATCCTAGAGAATAACCGCCACATAATTCCATTTGACCTCTTCATGACACCGCACTCGACGAAGAGTGCCAGTGCGAGTAGACAGGTCTCTCCCTCGCACTCACAGTGCGGCTCACTCGATGAAGTCTCAGCAAACCTCACCTGTTCCTCCAAGTCGACACCTGAACTAGGCGGCGAGGCCGATAAGTCGACGGCTATGACGTGGGGTGCGACCACTGTCAACACAAAGCTCCAAGAACAAGTCCTACGTGAAGTATTTACACCTCCAACTATACACTCACACCACCGTCGTCATCGGGCTACGGGAAATATACCCAAACTTCGTTCTGGCACTTCGCTCCGCAAGGACTACAAGCCCCATCTCCAACATAGGCTATGCCGTGAGCTCTCTGCTCCCATTGTAGACAAACCCTCGCTTTCTTCGTCAGCTACCGCCGTCATACCACAGGAGGCGTCACGCACTCCTGGCTACCGTCGACGACGGAGACACTCTGGCTCTGGACTGGAAAGGAAGCGCAGCATGAGCACAGGGCCGGGCGATCTCATGTTCTACGAGGACGAAGGATATGGAGGCGACAAGGAGGATGAGATATTCAAGATGGAGGACGACGTGCGACCACCACTCAGGTCTAATGGTAGCGGAAGCGAGAAGATGACCCTTCCCGTCTCCCTGGGCACGTCTACCGGCGAGCCCGTACGCCTGCCCACCAACCCCAAGGAAGCCCAAACAACCACCACCAACGAAGACCGCGTCCAGTTCTTCCTTCTCCTCGAGGACCTCACTGCTGGCATGAACAAGCCGTGTGTCCTTGACCTCAAGATGGGAACCCGTCAATATGGTATCGACGCCGACGAGAAGAAGAAAAAATCTCAACGTCGCAAGTGCCAAAGCACAACGTCGCAGCAACTTGGTGTCCGGCTATGTGGCATGCAGGTCTGGAATGTCTCGAAGCGCGAATACCTCTTTGAAGACAAATATTTCGGCCGTGATTTGTCCTCTGGCCGCGAATTCCAGGACGCCCTCACTCGCTTCCTCTACGATGGGTCAAGCTACACCTCGGTCGTCGGTAAAATCCCCATCATCCTCGATAAACTCTCCCAGCTCGAAAGTATGATCGTTCGTCTCCCTGGGTACCGCTTCTATGCCTCCTCTCTTCTCATCCTCTACGACGGCGACGGTTCTTCCCAATCCCCCAAGACCATGCAACCGCGCACCATTTTCGAAACACATTCAGATTCCTCCCTTCCCAACCCATCAAACCTGACCCTTAAAATTGTCGACTTTGCAAACTGTGTTACCGGTGAAGATGGAATCCCTGCTTCATCCCGCTGTCCACCTCATAACCCCTCGGATATTGATAGAGGGTACCTCCGTGGCCTACGAACGTTACGTATGTATTTCCAACGCATCCTACGCGAAGTCAGTGCTAGTGTTGGCGAAGGATACGTCGAGCGTGGGGAAGGAGAGGCTCTCTCGGCCGCACCATCTAGCATTGTTGGCGCCGGCAGTAAAAGAGGAGAAGCGTGGGGATGGGATGAAGCCTTGGGCGAGCTAGAGGAGGGGGAAATCAGTGTATAACGATATACACGACATGACACGGCATTATATTTTTACTGCACTGCAAGATACCCTCTCCACTCTGCTTTCTTGCCTGTTTTTGCTTGTTTTCTCGTTTTATTTCCTACATCTATCTGTCCATCGATCTATCTACTTGTCGGTATGGGGGCGGCACGGAACAGGCGCCGGCGCAATGGGGGAGCGGGGAATTGACAACGACCCAACCAAAGACGGATACGGCGTTATTTGTTTACTTCTTTTCTCGCTTCCTTTCTATGTTTTATTCCTTGCTTATTCTTGTGTGTGTCAAGCACTTGTGTTTTTATCTAGCCTTTTTTTTTATTATCGTTTCTTTTCATCCTGTTTCGTTATTTCCTTGTCGTTAATCACCGGGAACATGGATGGAGACCACCATTGGCAACCAATGGCAGTGATAGGCGAATGGTCATGGTAAAATGAAAACGATACACCCACTTGTTCAGTTTGCTTATTTGCTTTTTACCCGACTTTAGTTTTACTCCATGCGGTGTGGTCAGACTTTCTCACACTTTTTACGTCATTCTTCTTCTTTTCTTTTCCCATGCAAATGCTTGTTTTTATTCTCGGTTGTTTCAAGTTTGAGGGCTACTATATCACCTTATCGCTCTACGGATGGGAGGGGGTGGAGTTTGTTTGTCTTTTTTATCCTCGTTCTTAACGTTCCAGATTAAATCACTTTATTTTATTGTTTTTAACTCATGACTTATTGAATTATTTATTATTATAGTATTTCCTACCAGAAGGTCTGAGTCTTACGGAGCCGATGCTTTCCTTCTTTTTCTTTCTTTCCTTTTTCTTGCCTCCAACTATACCATCCATGACTTAACTTTCGAAATATGCCTTGATCGGTTTTCTTCTTTCTGCTGGGTTTCGCTGTTACGAGTCGACGATTTATGATATGGGGATTGGTCGGACAAAAAGGACAAAAAGGACGGTGATAAAAATAGTATGTTTAGACATGTAGTGTGAATATTATAATACTGCATCACTCCATCTCTCTCCCCTCTGCCTTTGCTTTTGCTCTAACTCCGTATATCTCGGGATGATTATTAACGAGACCGAAACCGTAAAAATCGAAGAATCGCTTCAAATTAACTCCACGCCTGCGTATTCCCTAATTTATGCACCCTTATCCATTTGCAACCATCGCGGCTCACCATGTTATCCAAGTCACATTCCCTTGCCAGAGTCAATCAACCAAAAGAATCCAGAGACAATATAGTAAAACAAATGAAGAAATGGAATAGAAACGCCACGCCATGTTACATCCATCACCCGGGCCCAGCGAGTAACCCCTTATTCCCCCCCTTCCCACCCTCCATTCCCCTTCCTTTTTCCTTCCTCCTCAGTACGCCCAACTGTTCCAGTCGATTCCAGACCCAATCCTTTTTCACTCTCACCGCACCCTCGTGAACATGGACATGTGCATCGCCAGGACCAGCATGTCCGCCATCGTCGTCGTTAATTTCATCGTTATCTGCCGAGCTACTCTGCGGCAGACCATCGAGATAAGTCAGCCGTCCTGACGTAGCGTTGTGGATCATCAGTTCTATCACCCGTCGTCGTAGCCGAGTCGATTCGTCAAGGTGGGCTACATACTTCGCATCTGCGAAGGGATCTGCGACGGGAACGGTGTACGGGTCGTCTATTTCTTTCTCGTTGTTTGCACCCTCGTTTTCATCGTCAAGAGCGTCTAGTGGAGGGTAGTCTGTGTAATTGTTAGAGTTGTAAGAGGGGTGCCGAGTGATGTCCTTCCCACCCCCGATAAATGGAAGAGACTTGTCATGGCTGTCTTCTTCAGCCTTGTGTTTGATTAGTTCGCGTTGAACCTTTTTCTCTGCTGGTTCGTGTTGTTGTTTCCCACTTCCCGAAACAGGTGTTGGGTAGAAACCAATCGTTATCGGATTCCCTCGCAAATCAACTCTGGTCAATGAGCCGTGGGCACCTCCGATTTCCCCCAAAGTCTTGCAGAAACGCCGTAGTCGAGTAATCCGATTACCCACTAGAGACAATCTGTTCAGTCTTTTAATCCCCTTTAGGCTGCTGATGTCAGGTAGGGCGTTAAAGTTGAGATTCAAGGTCTTTAGATGGGAAAATGTCTCCCCAAATTGCTCAGGCAAGATTTCCAGTGTGCATGATGCGAGGTCTAGGAGCTGCAGGCTCAGAAGTGGTGTATCCGGGGAGAGTGTGGTAGGAGAGAGGAAGTTCGATGAAAGGAAGAGCTTGCGGATCGAAGATAGTTTGCCCATATTGAGGTTTACGGTCATAGGTTGAACATAATGGGTGTTAGAGCGCTGTGAAGGTATGGTTTGTTCTCGCATGGAGAGCGTATCAAGGAATCTACACTCATCCAGCTTTTCTATCGTGTTGAGGTGGTTGCAATCGGCATATAGAACACGCAGCGAAGGGAAAGACGAAACATCGAGATGGCCAAAACGATTGCTCGACAGTTTGAGCGTTTCTAGACGGCGAAGAGGCCGATGTACGGTGAGTTCCTGCATCCGGTTTCCCCGAAGGTCAATAGACTCTAATCCTTGCAGGGTATCGATATTCTGCACGTTATAGATGTCATTTTTGCTCAGGTCCAATTTACCCAGCCGAATGCTACTCAGGAGTTAGCTATATCCTTTGCTCAGATGGCGTGCCTACTTACAGGTCTGCATGCTTAAAGTCAACCGAAGTCAACTGATTATTTGCGACTTTAAGCGTCAGAAGCCCATCTAGCCCGAAAACCCCTTTGATGCAGGCGAGCTTGTTATCACTGGCATTCAAACTCCGAAGGTGAAATAGACCAGATAATCCGTCGAGGTTGTCCAGTCCATTGCCGGATATATTAAGATACTGAAGGTTAGACAAATGGCTCCATGAGGTCAGACCAGAGAGGCAATTATATGGCGAATCGAGGCTGCGGACGGTTCCTGGAATTCCTTTCAACTGGCTAAGTTTATTTTCTCCAACATCTAACTCTTGAAGTTGTGGGCAGTACTTGTCTAGCTGGTGAAGGGTCAAGAGCCCCTTTCCACGCAAGACCAGTCGTCGCATGTGCTCCCAGTATGCTTCATAGGGTTCAGCGTCTGTAATGTGTTGTACTATGTCTTCGGCAGCTAATGCTAATTTTCCGTGTAGCTGCCGTAAAGCTCGTGGGTTTGCTCTTTTAGCAATATAACTTGCCTCGCCTCTCATCGATTCGTCAACCTGATGCACAGTGAATTCTGACAATGGACTCATGTGAAAACTGTAGTTGCTCGACTCCGGGTTAGGCGGAGCAAGCATGACTGATTGGTCAATATCAGCCTCTGATGGTATGATAGAGATTTCATTATTTTGTTCCTCGTCTGGTTCATCGGTAGATCCTTCCGGGTCTTCCTGTATGCAAGACAACTCTAAGCCGTCCTGTTCGGGCAGTGGAATGTTATGTGGCAGGGTATCCCCCAAAGGACTTTGAACCAGCGGATCCGACATCCATTCATGAGCTTCCTGGGTATGTTCAGAGCACAGTTCATCCTCGCCTTGGTACGCGATTCCCGAAACCAATGGGGAAGAAAAGGTGATCGTAGCAGCCCGTGCCCGGCTGCGTGGTTCATGCAGCGGAGCACTGTAGACTTCTGGTAGCTGATGCTCCGTTTCCTGCTGAACCACATTATGATGCTTGTCGAGATTATGTTGGTGGTTTTGGAATTCTTCTGATCCCCAAGATGTGGCTCTTGTGCCTGGCTTCGGTACACTAACGGTAAATCGCGTGTATTTAGATTGTATAGAGCTCGATTCGGAGAGCGGGTTTTGTGCGCTTTCTCGAGTCTGCGGGCGTGAGTTGGATTCTGTACGAGGTGGGACGATTTCCTCCATTTCTGGGAGTATTGACTCATCTGGGCATGCAGGTGGACTTTGGTGTACATCTTCTATTGACGAGAGGCCGCGGGCGGCAACGAGTTCCTTCAGCTCATCGACGCTAAGGTCGGATATGTCCCTGAACGGGTCATCCTCGCTGGCGGTTTGGGAGCGGTTATGGGTATCCTGGTCTGACTTAGGTCTATTCTTTATCCAACTTTGGGTATTTCGGTCAAATATCATTTTCCCAATATTTTCAGGAATCAAATGGGAAACCTTATCGGACGATATGATCCCCTTTGCACCAGAGCTGCCTGAGGAGCCCTGAGAAAAGCCGGTAGGGAGGCTAGTTGCTGATTTCTGGCTTTTCAGCGACTCTTGCGACTGGGGGAACTGTGCTCCACGCCGCTCTTCAGGGCAGACGCTTTCTCTTATTCGGATGTTCCCAGGGCTACTACCCACAGTATCATCGAAATCTGGATGAGAAGGCTGATTCTCACGCAATCCATTCTGCTGTCTAAATCTAAGAGATCCGACGGAAGTCCCCATACCAAGATCAAATTCGTCCTTCTCTTCGAATTTCTTCAAGTGGCTAATAATTCTCGGGTTTTGCGGAGGCATTTCCCTCTGTTTTCGTAAATCGACGCCATCGCGGCTAGGAGGCCTTGAGAACTGTTCTTCACTAGATTCATCAGTATACAAGGCAGAATCGTCTTCAAAGATCGTCTGGTAAGCCTCGTTCCGCCTAGAGGAACCGCTTATTGGCCCTCCCTGAGCTCGAATGTGATCCATAACTTTCGAGGCCTCATTATAGTATTCCTGGGTCGTTATTGAACCTTTTCTTGGGTGATCTATGTGGAAAGTGAAACCGGTAGCGGGAAATGTCGGGGTATCTTGCCCACCACTCCCCATAAACGTGGAATCGCCATTGATTGTGGAAATATCTTGGAGATGTATGTGGGATCTATGATCGGTGGGGGTAGGCGCCGCCGGCCTTGAATGAGACGCCACGCGCTGTCGACCTCCATCTCTCTCTTCAGTGACAGAAGGATTGGAGAAAAATCCTGTGGAATCAAGTATAGACTCATCCCAAACCTGGTTCTGGCCTGGGAGGATCTGTAGCGTTCTTCTCCTTTTTGAAACTGTGATTTTAGACGATCGTTTCAGGCTCCGTTTAGCCTCTGTTTTGGACATGGGGGACAGCTGTCTCTCACTGGTCTGCTGGGGGTTGCCATTTTCTTTATCCCTAGGAGGATTGGGTACATGAAGCAATCCCTGAGCCTGCTTGTTTTCCAAAACTTGGTTTGCCGCATAATTCGAGCTGGAGTTATTGGTCTTTGAAGATAGCTTGGGCCTTTCTTCTTTGGCTGATACCGGGCGCTCAGCACCGAGAGGACTTGCCTCATCGGTGCTGGAGGCATTAGCTGCTTCGAACTGACTTATACGTCGCAGAAGTTTGTTGCTCGTGTACGTGTCGTGGTTTCCAAACAACTTCAATGGGCTTCCTGATGATGATGGCCGAGCTTTGGTATCTCCCTCATGGATTCCATCACCGTGCTCTTGCGGGGCATGAAGACGGATTGATGGTGGGGTGCAAGGTAAGGGGGACATTGGCGGAGACATAGGATCTTGCTCTAAAGTCGAGTCTTGAGCACGCAAAGGAGGCGACGATGCGCTTAGAACCCGGTTGCGAAATGAATCTTCGTCTGAGTAGCCCCCTCGACGAGTTGTGACGAAGTCGCCGCCTGACATGCCATCCTGTGTACCCATCGATAGGCCTTCGGGTAATGATATAGAAGTTAGATTTCCGGCTTCGATTTCAACATTTCCATCTTGTAAACGACTGTCACTAAATGTAGACATATTTTCTTCCCTTGTCAGGCTTCGATTCATCTGATTGCGCTTGGGCAACGAGAAGGAGTTAGTCTCGTTGTCCCGTGCGGTATTGACGCGACTACTAGAATTCAATTTGGAGTTGAATTCTAGGCTTAACGAGGAAAGGTGCTCGCGTAGCGGATCGACGCCATCTGGTTCCTTTTTGTGTGGAGTATAAGGCATCCCATCACCGCCTATTATGACCTCCGACATGTGTTCCATCCACGATGTATCGTTCCCTCCGTAAAATACACCATCGTGGCTTCTTTGGCTTCTTTGGCTTCTTTGGCTTCTTTGGCTTCTTTGGCTTCTTTGGCTCCTCTGACTTCTTTGACTTCTTTGACTCTTTTGGCTTCCGCTTGCTCTGCTACTCCGGAGAAGACCGCGTGACGATATGCTCCGTTCTCGAGAGCAGGCTGCATCAACGGGCTCTGGAACCGATAAATGGGAGTGGAATTGCGACTCTGAGAGAGTTGGCGGCTTGAATACTGACTCCAGCCCCATTGGGCCGAACAGATCGCTAGGCTCGCCCAATGCGCGTTCCCCTCGAATGATTCTCCTCTTCCACTCGGGCGTGTTATTTGTGACTCCGTCGGTCCGCGACTTGATTTGCATGGTCGCATGGCCATCGTCCATCTTGTTTATCGTAGAGCCCGACTCTGAGGGATTGTTGTGGGGTTCATTGCTGGCGATGGACATGTCGCGATAAGGTCGCGGAGACGGAGTGGGAGAGACGTCCGCATAGCCAGAATTGTCGTCGGGTAGGACGGGTGAGTTGCTAGCAGATACAACCTGTTGTGATTCCCAGTCGTCGTCGAGACCATCCAGCCAGGGTTCCGTCATTCTGTTCGTTCGTTCGCTCGCTCGCTCGCTTGCGTGTCTGTCTCTCTATCCTGCGGTCACGTACTCGGGGATGCTCTAGCGACGCGCCCTCCCCTGAGAAAAGGCATATCAGTACAGGGGTAAACGAGAAAGAAATGCGACGACGAGACAACAACAACAATAAATTCAAAAAGAGAGTAGAAAAAAAACAACAAGCGAGATGCCAGCATTTACCAGCGCCACAGGTTAGGTGGCTCTTCTTGCTCGTTGTTTTGGCGAAACTTGGCCCGCAGATCGATCGTTTTTTGGGCGCAATCTGAGACGATAAACAACTTTCTCAAAGCGGCTTAGCGTCAAGCACAGGGCGCTTACTAAAGTCACGTGTTCACTTCTATTTTTGTAACTTTTCTTTTTTTGGACATTTTGTGATTCTTTTATTTTGACGACTTTCAACTATCAAGCTGCTGCTGTACGAGTTGATATCTAGGTCCGTTCGCGGCGTTGGGGGTGTTGCTTTGCCAGGTAGGGTCCTTGTTGCATGGCGGCGGCTGCTGAGCTGCCTCCTTCCTTTTAGCAGTGTTTACGCCAAGGGGTGGTCTTGAACTAACTCGGTGATTTTCCTCTGTAGTCTCAGCTCTCCCTTCTATATACCACTCTGTACACAGCTCCATACACCTCTGGCATCCCTAGAGCACGCCGTAGGGATAGCTCTGGTGCTTCGTCGAGCAAGGCAGCAACCGCCAGAGCGCAGGCAACAGCAGCTTCAAAGCTCAACCCAGCCACGCGCGTTAGACCTAGTGGCGCGCGAGGGTCCTGTGAATAGCCGCCTTCGCCATAGAGAGTGCTGCCGCGAGTGAATCCGCTATTTATACCTTATCGTCCCTTCGTGGCCTCTTGCAAATGCCCTCCCCAACAAACCAAGTGCTGTGTCTGCTGCTCAGAGACCAGCCTCTATTCCGCGGGCAGCTGTCAGACCTCCCCCGTTTCGATCCACGATAATGCCCATCAGACTCCCAGATTCGTCTATATCGTCTATATCGTTTGACCCGTTATCTCCTACCTCGTCAGACTTGGTTATTGGCTCGTCGGATAGCGAGAGTGACCGGGACGATGCTGCCAGGGCCGCAAAGAGAAGGAGGATTGAACGAGTGGCACAGGATTACTTGCAGGGACACCCACCGTTTATCCTAACGGCCGCCCTTAATGGGCCTTTTGATGATGGCTGGGTCAATCCCTGGCGGAAAGTGCGCAAGCAACATCAGATCCCTCAACAAAATGCGAGAATTCCCACGCCGCAGCCGGCCTCGATACACTCAGTGAAACATGACAGATTAATACCGCCAACGCTGCGGGCGAAACCTAGCATCATTCTCGGTACCGACTCACATCATAGTAATGATACTGGTAGCGAGATCCAGCATCGACGGATAAGCGCGAATCTAGACAGCCAGAACAGCTCACGGCGCTCTTCAAAGTCAAGGTCTGCCAGCACATCAGGCACATGGCTTAAGAAGGACAAGACACCTCTTAGGCGCCCCTTGAAAGATGCCCCAAGATCTCCAAGCCCGTCACCGTCAGTCAGGTTAGATAGCTCTCGTGTGTCAAAGCGGCAGCCGGAACGATCCCACCGTGCGGGTGCAGCTTCCGGCCAGGTTGTCCACAGGCGGACCCTCAGCTTTACAGCCATCAACGCGCCCGTACCCACGAATTCAACTTCTACTCCCCATGCCTACGTTCAGAAAATTCACGATTCTCCTGCCGATGAAAATGGAGCAGGTGGTCTCGGCCTTAGTGTTGCCCGAGAGAGTTTGGCTGTGTCGGACAAACCAACCAAACGACCTAGTCGAAAGGCATCGCTTGTGCACCTGTCGAAGAGCCCAAATCCTGGAAGCCTTGCATCTGGGGATACCCCAACTATAGAGTCACTACTGCACGAGAACGGCCACAGAGGAACTGATGAACCTGTCTCGACCGGCAACACTCCTAGCGCCACGAACAAGTCGTCTCTTCAAAATGCTGCTTTAATAGAAGAATATAACACCCCGCATGCGAACGAAACGATCACGTCCACAAACATGGCCTCGAAATCCTCTATTAAGTGTAACACGTTCGTTGCCCCATTGAGCCAGAGAGAAAGCGAGGCGCAGAAAACAGGCTCTACGCTTCTAGAACAAGATTCGGAAACCATACCAGCGGCCCAGATCGTCCCCACCATCTTCACCCCACCACAGCTCACACCATTCACGTCGGCGGACCTACTTCAGCTTCCGTTCAATCAGAGCAATGATTCTGCTAGGAACGATAGTGTGTCGAAAGACGGGGCCCGAGCGTATAATCAAGCCCGAGCTTCGACCCCGGGCACACAGGGGTCGGGAACGAATAATGCATGCCCGCGGCCAATGAAAGGAGCTCAGCAGAATCCTCCTAGCCGCCTTCGAAGAGTTGCCTCGAGCAATGCGTTGCACAAGGTGATTAAGCCCTTCCATTCTTTTCATGGAGGCCCCCGAGCTACGGAAACGGGATCCAAATCTACGGATCTGTCGAATAGTACCCGAGTCCACGACGCGGATGAGACTCCGGGTATAATTCCTCCGGCAGAAGAGCAGCGAGCAAGCACTGACACCCGACCCTCAAGATGCCCAGGAGATGGAAGCACACCTAAAGTGCAAGCCACCCATAAGCCTAACAAACCGGCCACGCTGAGCACGCCAGCCTCCTGTCCTGCGGCCCTATTGCCACAGAAAGACAGTCATCCCTCCCAACCTGCTGCTCGGGTGCCCCTCAGCTCGCTGGCGGAGGATCACTCGTCGACCGTACGTTCCTCGGGAATGCCAATGTCACTCACACTAGCCATGAGCGGGCTGACGGACCTTTCGACGCAGCCAGATGGCCAAGGCCTGCTTGTTCTGCAAGAGAACTTTGACCTCACGGGGGCAATTGAAGATGCTGAGAGCTTCCTGCAGAGCTGGGATATCGAGCGGGACCGGCAACGGCTGCGAGATAACAATGCAGCCAATGGCCTGAAATCGCCCACCTAAGGTTTAGGTACGAGTGGTTCAGGCGATGATCAAGCCATTGTCCCCCTCCCCCTTGTTTTGATCTACTCCGTTGACGGGGAATATCCAGTCTACCATTGTTATCATGTTTGATCGTTAGAGCGTTTCTCATCTTCCTTTTTTGGGACAACGGCGTCTCAAGCTCGGTATTTAGCCGGACAGCCAGTGTCAGCATCCATATAGCCTATAGAGTAGAGAATGATACCCTGTTCCTTTCGATACACTCGATTGTCTGTCTCAGAACTCCCACGTAGATTAACTTCCTGGCGGCGGAGTTTAACTCCACAGTCCGCAGCCAGTGCGATGTATACCTCCAGCTCCATCTCGCCCGCTCATGATGTCACCTTCGCCCCGGATGCGCCGGTCGTATGCCCGGAGTGCTGCACTGCTACGTGTCGCAGCATGGAACTTGCCTGCGCAAGCACTTGCTTTGCTGCTCGCTTGGCGGGGGAGGGGCAGCTTCGACCTTGGAAGCAAACCGCCGGATATATATATGTATCTATATCCCGTTTTCTCTCGCAACTCGACACAATCAAGGAAGACAATTGCCTGAACATCCACATCCACATCTACACCCATACCTACCTATTCTACTAGACAATCAGCCATCCCACAGCCACAATGCCTATCCCAGTCCCAAAGTCAGACAGTCTCAAGGACATGCTGAGCCTCAAGGGCAAGGTTGTCGTTGTCACCGGCGCCTCAGGCCCTCGCGGTATGGGCATTGAAGCAGCCCGTGGATGCGCTGAGATGGGTGCAGACGTCGCCATCACCTACTCCTCCCGCCCACAGGGTGGTGAGCAGAACGCCAAAGAGCTGCAGGAGAAGTATGGCATCAAGTGCAAGGCCTACAAGTGCAACGTCGGTGACTGGAACGACGTCAAGAACTTCGTCGACACTGTCATCAAGGACTTTGGCAAGATCGATGCCTTCATCGCCAACGCCGGCCGCACCGCCGACTCTGGCATCCTCGAGGGCTCCGTCGAGGCCTGGAACGAGGTCATCCAGACTGATCTGAACGGCACATTCCACTGCGCAAAGGCCGTGGGCGCCCACTTCAAGGAACGCGGCACCGGCAGCTTCGTTATCACCTCCTCCATGTCCGGCCACATCGCCAACTTCCCCCAGGAACAAACCTCATACAACGTCGCTAAGGCCGGCTGCATCCACATGGCCCGCTCGCTGGCTAACGAATGGCGCGACTTTGCCCGTGTCAACAGCATCTCTCCCGGCTATATCGACACCGGCCTCTCTGACTTTGTCGAGAAGAAGACCCAGGACCTCTGGCTCTCCATGATCCCGATGGGCCGCAACGGAGACGCAAAGGAGCTCAAGGGAGCATATGTCTACCTCTGCAGTGACGCCAGCACGTACATGACCGGCGCCGACTTGCTGATTGACGGCGGATACACTTGTCGATAGATGCTGAATCTCTCTCTCAGGGACGGACTCCAAAAGTAACAGCAAAAAGCGTTAACCAGAATGTATCTATTTCTAGTCAGCAGTAGATAGGCAATACATCTCTCATCAGCACAAATAATTATTCCTGAAATACGTACATCTCTCATCGTAGACCGTAGTTGCACTTGATATCGCTGTATGTGGCTGGTTGACGTTGACGTTGATGTTGCTGTTCCAAGACGACGTCTAGTGGTGTCCATGACCTCAACCTCCCAACTCCCAACCACGCACCAGTCCATGGCGCATACAGAGCGGACATGGCTTTGACCTCGGTGCGTATACGTGAATACCTCCCCGATAGAAGAGAAGAAGCTAACAGAATCTGTTCCCCCGTCTAGTGGAAGACCTTCAACTTTTTCGATGTCTCGCAGGTTGAGTTCGTCGACGGCGAAGGCAGCTCCATCTTCACAGTATGCGACCCCTTCCATAGCTACGCCAGAGCTGCAGATAGAGCTATACGCATCGTCAACCTCTTGCTAAACCGTCGTCCTTCTTTGATAGAGCGATATAAGCTGCGTCTGCACCGGATCAGATAACCTCTTTGTCGGCACCACCGATGGCGCCGTCCATATCCTGTCACGGGCCTACAAGGTCGTCCGTACCTTTCAAGCATACGATGGAAGCTCAATCACGCATATGAAACAGGTCCCCTCGACGTCATATCTAGTAACCATCAGTGAGGATTTGTCCAACGAGCCGGTCTTGAAGGTATGGGCCCTCAATGAAACAGAGAAGAAGACAGGCGGGCCACGGTGCCGGTCGACAAAATCGGTTCAAAACAAGTTAAGACAGTTTCCGGTATGCAATGATGCCTCTATGATATTATTGGTGATGGTGATGAGCTTATATGTCTGGCTGTAGATCTCAGCGTTGGCCGTCCTCGATGACCTCTGGCAAGTTGCGATAGGCTTCGCTAATGGCTCCGTCACCCTCGTTCGAGGGGACCTAATACATGACCGCGGAGCCGAGCAGCGGATCGTGTTTGAATCGGATGAGCCCATCACTGGTCTTGAGATCCAACGATCTGGCCCGACCTCTCTGGTCATCGCTACCACGAGCCGCATACTCTCACTAGTCATTGGCGGGAAGGGGGATGGAAAGCCTGCCCGTGCCCTGGAAGACCTAGGCTGTGGTGTCGGCTGCATGGCCTTTGATCAAGATACCGGTGATATCCTAGTTGCTAGGGAAGACGCAATATACACATACGGCCCAGGTGGGCGCGGACCGAGCTTCGCGTTCGATAGCCCCAAAACCTCTGTCGACGTTTTCAAGGACTATATTGCGCTAATTTGCCCGCCTAGAGCAGCCCTGTCGAGAACGGAAACCGTTAGGAGGTTCGGAACTAGCCAGGTGGATGATATTTTCAACACCTCAACGTTGACCCTCCTAGAATCCGATCTGAGGTTCATTGGGCATTCGGAGTCGCTTTCTGCAGGTGTTAAGTTTATGTTTATGGAATGGGGGGACCTGTTCGTCGTTACCCTTGATGGAAAGGTATGGCATCGTCTTTTATACTAATAGCTTGGATCTGCATATTAAACATCCCGACAGGTCAATCGATATCACGAAAAACCGCTTCTGCAAAAACTTGAAATATTATACCAGAGGAATTTATATATCTTGGCTATCAACCTTGCCCAGAAGTCCGGGGTCGACAAGCTACAACAAAACGTCATCTTTCGAAAATACGGCGATTTCTTATATCAAAAGGGAGATTATGATACAGCTATGCAGCAGTATCTAAGGGCAATCGACAACACAGAGCCTTCCCATGTTATCCGCAAAGTGAGTTTACCTACCATTTTATTTACTTTATATAGCCACATGCCTAACCTGCTATCAGTTCCTTGATACACAACGAATCCATAATTTGATTGACTACCTGGAAGAGCTGCATGATCATGATAAGGCAACGGCAGATCATACGACACTACTACTCAACTGCTATGCCAAGTTAAAGGATACTGAAAAACTGGACTCTTTTATAAGGGCCCCCGGGGAACTGAAGTTTGACCTTGAAACAGCAATAGCCATGTGCCGCCAAGGTGGATACTTTGAACAAGCTGCGTATCTGGCTACCAAGCATGGCGAGAGTGACATGGTGGTCGATATCCTGATCGAAGACTCAAAGAAATACTCTGAAGCCCTTCAATACACCTGGAGCCTTGAACCCGATTTTGTAAGCGACAGCCATTTTGTTCTATTACCCTGGCTGTTTTATCACTAACCTTCGAGCTAGGCATATCCGAACCTGATGAAATACGCCCGCGTATTGCTCGAGCACTGCCCAGAACCAACAACAAGGCTATTCATCGATTATTACTCTGGAAAATTCCAGCCACGAAAGGAAGAAGAACAGGTTCCCGAACACCAACCCCAAGCTAGGGGAGGTGCAGTCCAAAATCTTGCGTCGCTGATACCCCTCCCGTACATTGGAGGTCCCAGGCAGGATAACGGGAACACTCCCCAAGCTAGAGCAGAACTCCAGGTCGCCGATGAGACACCACCCTCTTACGAGGTCCCCAAACCCAGAACTGCCTTTTCTTCTTTTGTCGATCACCCTGAAGAATTCATTACCTTCTTGGAACATCTAATTGAGCAGGAAGGGTTGAAAGAGGAGGACAGGGTTGACTTATACACTACCTTATTCGAGATGTATCTGGATACAGCAAACCGCAAGAAGGTACCTGATGAGAAGCAAGAATGGGAGGCAAAAGCAAAGAGTTTAATACAGGGTAAAGACGTTAGTACCACTTACCGCCTCCGACCCCTTGAGCATCGTTAACATCTTATAGATTCCTGTCTCTGCGTCGAATGTTCTCCTTCTCTCCGATCTATCAAATTTCCACGAAGGAACAACCTTGGTTCGAGAAAAGGAGGGCCTTAGAGCCGACATTTTGCGATCATATATTTCCGCCAAGGATACTCAAGGTGTGATAAAGGCTCTAAAGAAATACGGACCTGAAGAACCGCGACTATACATCGATGCCTTGACATATTTTGCATCCAGCCCTAAAATTCTAGAAGAAGCCGGCAGCGAAATGGATGCCGTTCTTAAGACCATCGACCGGGATGGATTGATGGCCCCCTTACAGGTGATACAGGCATTCAGCAACAACTCTGTTGTAACTATGGGGATGATTAATAAGTACCTAAGCGACAACATCGAAAGGGAAAGGAAGGAAATTTCGAATGTAAACACCCTATCACCTATTCATCCAATACCCTACTATAATAGTGCAAGACTAATCTGAGTTTCACACAGAATCGTCGCTTAATATCCAGTTATGCTAAGGAAACTGAGTCCAAAAGACAACAGATGGAAGAACTTGGCTCCAAACCGACAGTCTTCCAAGCTCGCCGCTGCTCCTCCTGCGGAGGCAATCTTGACCTTCCTACGGTCCATTTCCTCTGCAAACACTCATTCCACCAACGATGCCTAAATACAGTTGACGAGGATGCAGAATGCCCTCTTTGTGCCCCACAAAACTCTACGCTTAAGGCGATCCGTGAGAGACAAATCAAAGCGTCTAGTCAACATGAGCTGTTCCGCTCTGAGCTACAGCGTAGTAAGGATCGGTTTGGACTTGTCAGCGAGTTCTTTGGTAGAGGAGTGATGAAGCCTAATAATACCGAGTAAATGGGTCATAATACTGCCCGGCGCTATGTGGATTTCATGAACTGAACGGATTTAGATACCCTTATAAATTTAATAGCTATTTCTAAGAGTACTATTCTGACTTTACTTCCATCCGTTCTTCATAGGCTAGCGGATTCAGAAAGTGAGGATTCTGAGCCCCCATACAATTATTTACCCGTGGGATACTATCTTACCCAGTATTATAAACTATCTTCGCCAAACTTTCGAGGTAGTTGAATCAAATTTTATGCTTCCAATGCTGATGATAACCCAAGCTTCTATATAGTACATGCAACTCTAATATATTTATACACAACGGCCGTTAGATAGGCCAGAACTGAGATGCCCCTCAAGCAATAAATGATGAAAGGGTGACATTGGGTACCATCTCATACTTGCCTATAAAGTAGGCGGTATGTGCAAGCCACAAGAACGTGACGAAAAGATGGAGTAGAGAGCGTAATAGGGGAGAGTGTTAAAACTCCAAGCTCACACGAAGCGTTCTCCGTGTAAACGTGAGCATTTGGATGTTATATGGCAACCTTGTGCCATCGTCGTTAAATTGAATGATGTCCTATCATCGTTCGCTTTCCTATACTTTCGCACTTTCCATTGGTTTCTGATCACGTCCTGTCGATAACTCTGGATAATCTGGTAACTTCCAGCCGTGCGCGTCCTCTTTTGAAAACCTCGAAACAAGATCCGGGATGCGGAGGAAGCACAGTATTCCTATAACAAGATGGAAAAGAGCAACTCCCCATCGCGTCTGAGGAAGGTACCACTGCACAAAAGTTCGATTTACCTCCTGAGCTTTCTCAACGAATGGTCGTAATGTCTTGTCGTAGGTTGCAAAGGCCTGAGGTAGATCGTTGACGTTTCGGTTGATCTCACCAGCCAAGACGTAGGCGCCAACAAGACCTACAGTTGTCCCTAACCCAGAGAATGGGGACGGACAGTATCCGGCATCTCCCACCAGAACAACACGACCTTTATGCCATGTATCTGTGCGGACCTGAAGGGCTTCCTCGCAGTAAAAAGTATCCGCGGTCTTCAAGCCTTCTAGAAATCGTCTGGCCTGCCACCCTGCATCGCGGAATCGTTGGGTCCAAAACTCTTTTTGTTGCTCGATTGGGGCTTTAGGAATACTCCACAAATCTTCCGAATGATTGTGGAGCATAAGGTACACTTGAGACTCGGTAGGGTTATGGCTTCTGCGAAATATAGCTCGTCCACCGGGGCTGTGATATGCGCTACCGATATTGTTGTCTGTCTCTATTCGGGGGACAAACCAGTAAGCAATAAGCACCCCTATCCGCCAGTAGAGATCCGGAGAGCCGGGTGGCAGAATAGCTTTCCGGATACGTGATCCCTGGCCATCTGCCCCGACTAGGAGATCGAACTTGTCGGTAGATCCGTCAGAGAAATGGACGACCACCTCCTTTTCGTCCTGTTCAAAGCGATCGACAGATTTGCCGAAGATATAGTTCACGTTATCCTTTGTTGCATCATAGAATATACGGACAAGGTCCCCACGCATAATTTCGTACTCGGACGTTAGGGATTGCGCACCCTTGCCAGACTTGTTGGCAAGAATGGTCCCCTTCACGTTGTTCTGGGAGTCAACGAACGATACGCCTATCTCGTCGACAGTCTTGCTGCGGACGGCTTCAAGCAGCCCCATGCGCCTGACAGCCTCGATTGCTTGGGCCCGAAGATCGATCTGCGCACCCGAAGCCCTAAGCGCCGGGAAACGTTCGACGATGGTGACTTGATGGCCGCTATTAGCTAGCCAGTAGGCCAGGGCCGGCCCAGCGCAGCCTCCACCGCATATGAGGACCTTCAATGAGGTCATATTGCTGTAACCAGCCTGTCTGCTATAGGCTCTTGGGCTCTTGGGCCCTTGGGTATTTGGAGGTCAAACGAATTGGGTAACAGGACTGGATAGAGTAACAGTCACAAAACGATCGATGAGAAGTTCGATGAACACCCAGCAGGACGGTCGCCGCCGCTTCTTAAATAGACAGAAAATCACGTAACATGGGTCAATATACGGAGTAGTTATCTCCGGCAGGAGCCTGATCTACGGCTTACAGGGCGCGCATCTCAGCCCATCGGCCGACCGACAGTTAGAAGTGGTACAAAGCACGAAGCCATATCTCACATTTCGCTTCTCTTCATGTACGGTGTACGGAATAAGTCGTTCCTGATAAGCACACCGTCTTATTAAAATAGCAGTCATAACGCAAGAAGAGGTTCTCTCAGCTCAAAAAGAACGTATCGAGCTGTGACGTTTGCAAGCCGGCTGTAGATGCGCCGATTGGCTCAGCCTGTATGGAAGCAGTCTCTCGGACATTGCGGATATCACGGACATAGTTAGCAGCTGTGTCAATATTAATATCAGGACCGGTATAGCGGGCTGGTCAGGGGTTTAGAAGGATGAACAGACTCATCGTCAACTTATTTATATGTCGGGATGTTTTTCGGCCCTTCTGAGGTTGGAAGAGAGATCAGACCACGTGACACCGCGTCTTCCAACGACGCGACCTCAAAGTCGAGTTACGAGTATAGATACTATAGATGCAGATGTTATCATCGATATTATCATCTTAGGAATAAGAGCTTGTCGGCTGAGATGAAATAGTCACTGAACAATAATACAACCACTAGCTGCCACTATAATGGAGCCAGGCCCGGTGTCTTCTCGCGACACAGAGCCGATGTCATCAACGACCCTATCTCGAGTCCGGAGGACACTGACCGCGCCTGAGCCATATTTACCCCAATCATCGGCTCATAGCATGGACGAACTCGCATTACCCTTCCCGTTTGAGGTTGCAGTCCCAAGATACCCGCCGTCGCGCTCAAACCTGGCCGCAAACGCTGGCTCGATTTCTACTGCCCTAGATGGCACGTCAAGTTATGCTGATACTGGGAGTTTGTGGGAAGTCCCAGATGACCAACATGTCTTAGCACCATCTGCTTATCAATGTATTGAGCCGGCTGAAAATACCATTGATGAAAATGATGGATGCGCAGAGACAGGTAGATTTGAACCCGAGTTAGAGGTCGTGCAAGAAGAAGACCCTGAGCCGGACCTTGATCCAATTTCCACCATCGATGAAGGTCCTCGAAGCTATGAGAATGCACTATATGGAAATGAACATGCACAGTTAGTCGAACCTAAACTCAAGGCAGTAGTTGAAATCTACAATGCCCCCCAAAGTCATGAGGATGTGCCACAGGAGGATGAAAGAGCACACTGTATCGAATCTACAAATCACAATAACTATCCAAAAGAGCTCTCGCCTCAACCGATTGACCCAATCAAACCCCCCGAACGACCCGAACGACCCCCGAAACGCGCGAAAAAGAGCCAAAAAAAGAAAGTAAAACGAGGAAAGACCACTTCTGCAGTTGTGAGGAAGACAGTAGAGTCTGATGTCGAGGACGACGTCATTTGGATAGATGAGAAGAAATCTACTCCCGCTATCATAGACGATACAGACGCGTCCGAGGATATTCTTAGCCTAAAGGATACTGATGATATATTCAACACCGGTGCTACCGCCCAAAACAACATTAATCCCGTCACTGCGATAGCTCCAAAAACAGAAGTACAACCTCCAATATTAAAAGAGACCGCTCATAAGCCAGACCAGCCAGCCAACCCGGCACCAAAAAAGCGGGGAAGGAAACGGAAAATGACAGGCCAGGAGGATTTTTCAGCCAAGGAAACGTCACAGAATGCAGAAGAGTCAATGTCAAATGCAGCCATCGAGGGTGAACCTCAGAGTGCTCTTCCCACTTCGCCTCAGCCTTCGATTATACCTGAGCAAGACGCGGTGAAACATCGAACGCCCGAACCTAACGTCGACTCTCATAGTCTTCACACAGATGCCAAAAGCCCTGGTGATAATGCTGGCGAAGAACCAAAACCTGCCAAACCTATCGAGACCCCAAAGAAACAGGTTAGCAAAGGACCAGACAAACACAGTCCTATCACCATCACTACTAAGGTTGCCTATCGTGTTGGGCTAAGCCGAAAAGCGAGAATCGCACCTTTACTCAAAATCGTCAGAAAATGATGTAACCTGTCCTATTTCGTTATCAGCCGCGCAAGGTATTGTGGCTTCTATATTACTTAATTTATATTGATACCCCATATATTTTCTCGATGAGTGTATACCCGGCGTTTATTTTACATTTACCAATCCGTGTGTTCGATGAGGAATGAACTAGAGAAATGATCTCTCTCTTTAGAGAGTACTACTTGTTGTCCCTATTACCGTAAGCGTAGCTTGTGAAAGCTAGTTCATACAATCACGCCCAAACTCTGGGTTACAATAATGTTTCCTATTTCCAAGCTAATCCCATACATACCCTAAGACCTAGTCATTGAGGGTGAAAAGCACATACTACTCCTATCGAATTGATGGCCCCTAGTTAAAGATACTAATGAGGGCCTAAAGCCCTAATCCAAGTTATTAAAATGCCAGCTCTTATCAACAAGGCTAGTTGCCATGCTGCAGTAAAGCAACTTGGAAAACTAGACTCGCAAAGGCCTAAAAACGGGTTATCTCTTAAACTTCCTCTTCATGGTGGTTTTCATTTTCAGCATTCCCTTCAGCCTCAATTTTCTGAACCTCATCATTTTCTGGTGTCTTGCCACCCCCGGCTTTCTCCTCGTCCCCGTTCTTAGCCTTCTTATCCTCACCTTTCTCTAATTCGTTATCCTCGACCTTCTGGCCACTCTCATTCATTTCAGCATGGCTGGCATTATGCCTGGAATCTTCTTTGTCTAGTCGACCTTTCTCGTTGCCGTCTTTCTTGTTACCCTCATCTAATGAACTCTCCGAGCAGATTCCCCCAATTTTTTGGCATCCCTTTCCACAGTGAAGTGCTCTGTTACCACAGAAACCAGACGCACTGCAGCAACGGCCAAAGTTGGATCCAGTGCAAGTAAAACTAGTGCCACAGGTTCCATCGGGCGACGATGGCTTCACCGGTTTGTATTTTTTACCGCCTCCGGGTGGTTTTCGACCAGGACCCTGTTCGTCTGGCCGTGCGGTCCAACGATACCAATTCGCCGGGGGATCACCAAGGCATTCGCCAAGGGTTACTATGCGATATCCAGTATCTTCGAGCCGGTGAAGCATATAACTGGTCAAGTTATAGACTGTCTGCTCGTGAACATCATGCCCAATTTCGAGGAGTGGGCGACCTTCTGAGACACCCATGGTTACATATGAATCGAAGATATCCTTTGAGCGCTGAATCATGTCCGGGGAATCGTTGTTATAATCGTCTGTGTCGAGGTTGAAGTAAGTAACATGGTAACCTAGCTCGCCCATTTCTCCAAGACAACCAGATGCGGCAGAGCAGCTCGAGTATGGAGGCCGCATATAAGTTGGGAACCCTCCCAGTATATTCCGTAGGGCCATCTCGTTCTTTATAAGTTGTTGTTTCCTATGTGAAGCTGAAATCTGATCTAGATTTTGATGTGACCAGGTGTGGCTAGCAATTTGATGGCCACTGTTGTACATCCGGCGGATCAAGTCAGCCCATGGATAATTGGGATCATCAATCGGACCTTTATTCGAGTTGATTCCGGTTACGAAAAACGTTGCCTTTGCGTTAAAAGCATCTAGAATGTCAAGCAAGTCTTTAGTATAGATGTGAGGTCCGTCATCATATGTCAGGGCAATGGTGTTAGGCACGGTACAGTCGTAAATGGCCGCCTCGCCGTATGGAACGTCTCCGATTTTATCACGAGGAACGTCGGATGTGTCCTCTCCGCTAGGAGTTTTGTGAACATCACAGCCGCTGCTATATTCAAATAAACAATCTGGAGCAGCACAATAGAGAGGCCCCTTTCCGCAGTATCCTATAACTAGAGTCAGACTGGGCGTAGAGGTTATAGCACTATGTCTAGCAATTTCACATACCTTGCGAAGAACAGCACAACCCTTCAGAACAGGAGCCCGCATAAGGTCCACATGCTGCAAGGGGGATTTCTTGGTCATCTGGGCCGACATTGTTACTCGTAACAAAACCTCCTGGAGCTGGCATCGGGCGTGGCACTGGCCCAAGTGGGAACGGGGGCTTTAGGACCGGGAGCAGATGAAGGTTGGAAGTCTGGGGACCATCATTTCTATCACCGCTAACAACAGCAAAGAGGACAAACGGGATGAGATAACGTAGGCACAACATCGCTGCCTGCGCATAACAGTAGGCGATGGGGAAGTTCCGAGAATGTCCAACAACAAAATAGTATATAATTCCTTATAGGCGATATAGAAAAGAGGAATATCGATTGACAAGGCCAGGGGAAGTGGGAGGAAAACACGCTGCGGATATAACGAGCAGGAGAACAACAACAATATCCAAGAGAAAATAACAAAATGGAAAGTGCGAGGTGATGCATAATAGTTCACGGGGGTAGCTACGATGGCGTATCGATTCGTGGATAGAGGACGGAAGGAGCTTTCCTTATAAATATTGCGGACTGTCCCTTGTTAAGGCCAGGGATAAGGTATACTTCCGATTTCGAGTATAGGTACATATATATATGTACATAGGATGAGTTACATATGAAGAGGATAAAGGTAGTCCTTCCAGCTCACCAAGCTTCCCCCTGATAACATAGGGTTGGTTGAACTAAGGGCTAATTCACGACGTAGGTAATAATATCTATTATGATAGTTAGCTATACGATTAGCATTTAGAGCAGAAAGGGGGTACTTATAAAAAAAATAAGGGTTTCCGCTCCTCTACAAGAGAAGAGCGGAATGTGTTTCATCGAACCAGCCATACCCACTGTAGAGAAAGTTGTCTATGGAACCTTCCAAAGTCTGGTATATTCCTGCCCATCATATTACCCCAGAGGATAAATCGATGCAATGTGGCGTTACCGAACCAAACAGGCAACGCTTCGCCTCCAACTCCACAATACCATCAGGTAGCAGGGACAGGGTAGGAGAACTGGGATTATGAGACCCTACAGTTAGGCATGCGCCAGATTAGACAAGCCGGAGCTTTGATCCTCACTCGAGAGAGGTCCCTCTCTGTGCATGGAATCCCAGACCGTGGCACCCCATAATATCCAGCTCAGCTTCCTCCAGATCCAGTGTGCCACGTGAACGGTATTATATTTCGGAAGAAGGGGGTGATGAAGGCCAATCCTGTAAGTTTCGTCCAACAGAGTATCAATTAATCCAACAAAGCTCTCACATGGGGAATTGATGAACCAAAAAGCGCGCCAGCGATGGTATGTAACATTATGACTTGTTCACAGCCCCAGGCAAAGCTTCCGGTCAAATGAATACTGCCCACGTAGTACCAGAAGTTTCCGATGACCCCGAGATACCCCCTGGAGCAACTAGTCGTCTAATAGCTAGCCCTCCCATATGCCATCGTCAACTGGAGACAATGATTTATCGCCGCCTTGTAGAACCTAGCGGGCTAGATCGAACCGTCGCTCTCGAATTTCGTTTCCGTGAGTGTAATGCATCGTCTTCAGAGACTAATTTTTGTTTCCTCTCCAACAAGCACCACGCGTTGGAGGAGCGAACCACGAAGCGAACAAAAATATCTGCAAAAATCGCTTCTCTTCCATAGACGGAAGTGGGCACCTTGGAAAAAATTCCATTGGCGCCGTGTACCGGTGCTCTTCGACCTTATGGGCTATACCCATCAGGGGAAAATTAACGCGGTGGAGAGATACTCAAGATAGAGTCTATACCCAATGGCTGTTGCCGTGGTACAAGACCGGTGAACGAGCGTCTACCACTAGGGTTGTACGATCCCGGACGTGGGTTGGAAGAGGGGTTGTCAAACCCAGAAGGGTTCGGAAGTACGGGTGCATACGGGACAGCCTGTCAGTTTCAGTAAGAATGTATCCAATGGAATCTGTTATCCATCGTGCCCAAGTCCCCAAACAAATATTGTCGACCATTCCGCTACTGGTTACAAAAAACCCCTGCCGAAGTCCAAAAAGCATGCCGTATATTTTGATAGCATTTCCCGAAGGAGTACCATTCAAATTGAATGATTCGACACAATATGAACATACTGGTCGACCCTGCTACAACTCAACCATGCCCGGAAGAGCAGAGGGCCAAACTGATTCCGGCAGACGAAAACCAGGCAGTCCAGTGAGAAGAACCGTTGGTAGGCGACTCTGTAAACAAAGTATATGCTTGACTCTCGGGGAAGTTTTGTGATGCCAGGAAACGAAAAGGGCGGTACAACATGTGTTCAAAGCTGATTTCGAAGATATTCTTCTCAAGACCTGACATCAAGGCTCCCAAAGGCCATACCCAAAAAAAAGGGGGGACAGCCTGATGCACCCTGCCCATCTTCTCCCGTTGCTTCGAGAACTTGCAGGTATCAAACCGGTCATCTCATTGAAATCCAAGTATAATGTCCAGCTTAGATAGACTGACGCGTTTTCCATCTGGAAATTAAACGCATAGTAAATCTTCGCTCACCACTTCGTTAGAAGTTCTGGACATCAGACCCCCTTTATTCCACCCAACCCGACAAGCAGATGTGAATGGTGTATTCAGGGACCCGATAACTATAACCGCGAAACTGTTGCCGAAACCCTGACCCATCCAGGGACGGCATCTAGTCATAACTCAGAATTAGGGCTGGGGTTGAGCCCCGATCACGTCCCGGCCAATCTCTAAGAATGTATTGACAATAAGCTATTGCGGAGACTTAGATTTAAGGGATCGGTTGCGAGGCGGGATCGGGCAAACTGTGGGGAAGTCGGGCTGCATATATATGCTTCGTAGAGAAGCGCGGGAACTGTGAATTGGGAGCGAGCGGTCATTCGAGAGGCAAGCGATCAAAAAAATGACACCGAAGGACAGACGAGTGTTAAAAATGGGAGGTAGAGCTGTAGAGACGCGTAGCTAGAGGGGTGTATCCAGCCAAACTGGAAAACTGATATGGTGGTGAACTGGACGACGTAAACATTGGAAGGACGCGTTTTCTTGGGCAAGTCAAATCGCGATATCACGTGAGAGTTTGATGACGTCATATTTAGGTAGCCACGTGATAGCCACTTTCCGCTCAACTTCTTGACGACATATCAAAAGTGCAGTCTACACACAGATAAGCAACACAATTGCGAATAAATGGAAGATACTACGCAGCTCAAGGAAGCCTTCGAGGCTACAGCTTCGTTTCTGCGACCAGTGTTAACTAGAGGCACGCTATCTTGAACTCATACCCCTACGTTTGAGATGCAGCTAATAATCCAAAAGAGGAAATCCAGAAAAACCCCGGCCATTCACTTGTAGAGTCGTTAAACAAAGGCTTACCTGAGAGCTATGGTGCCGGTGCTGCTCCTAGAGAGAGGGTGATACGACGGAGTCTCGAACTTCTAACAGGTATTCATCAAGCATTTATTCAACCAGGCCAATCGCAAGGATCTCTGAATGAGCGGACGACTGGCCTTGAAGATGCGAAGCGACGCCGGATTCTCCATGCTCTCCTTGACCTTCTGTCATTGGAGGGGATATACCCATTTCTGTCACCTGGGGTTGGAATCCCTTTGGAGAAGAGGGTGATTTCTAGTCTTCCCACCGGAGTCGTGGCAAAACAAGATGGGTCAGGGGCAGGACCGTTTTCGCAAGGGGAAGCCCTTCTTCTCCATATACTTCTATCATTGCGAGAAATACTCCAAGATAGTCACCTCTCGATACAGCCTATCATTCTAGAGAGGCTCCTATCGGACCTAATATCAGGGACCGCACAGCTCGCCTTTCATTCACAGTCAATCCCTCATCTAGATACCGAAAGGTGCAGGGATATGTTCATTAAAATTATCAATGAGTACTATCTGCCTTGCTTAAAAAACCAAATATACATCATTAACGTCGTTATAGTACCCCAACCCCAGCCCTACTCCCAGTGCTTACATTACTCCTGAAACCAACTCCTCCCTCTTGGTTCAAATCCCCAGTTACTTCACAACTTTCAAGGACGCCACTTCGTAAAGACGGGGTTTTCCAGATAATTACCTTCCTCGCCTGTCAATTCGCCCCCACGGCTCCCACGGCTCCCACATCCTCCCAAGACGCAGGACCCCCTATTACGGTTCAGGCGATTATGCAGTCATCTCAGCTACTGTCTTGTGTGCCCCACGGGTCATCTCCAGAGGACTTTCTCATGAATGTTGGACCCAAGCTCCTCTCACTCTTAGATGGAGACGATATGGACCTTAAAAAAACAGCGTCCTATATAATAGGAAATGGCATCTTGGCAAAACGCCCTCTGGGCGCTCCGGGCACTATCGGCTTCACTATATTTGTTAAAACTATATTTGACGCATTTCATGGAAACCTCCGACGCTCATCTCATTGGTGGTTACGCAAATTTAACCGTGACGGGTTGCCAACTACCATGGAAGCTAGTGCGAATTCGAACAACTCTACTCTGGCCGATGAACACCAGCTATCTCTATCACTCAACCGTCTAACGTCGTTGACCACGTTGCATCCCAACCCCGCCCTCTTGAAACGGTTGATTGGGCCCGTACTGCTTCCACTCTGGGGTTTGCATTGGTACGCGAAGTCTCACAAAATAAATGATTGGGCAGAGCAAACCTATACACTCTTACAGAATTTTTTCAGCGTCTCTTCCGAAAAGGCGAGATTTGAAAAGCTGATCAGCCACATTATGTGGGATGGCGGAGATACATGGAGTTATAAGCATGACATGGGCGGTGGGATATCTATGGCAAAGCGTGACGATACAAAGCCGGAGCAAGTTGATATTATACAAATGGTTGGAAACATTGATGGTCGTATAGACTCACTCATAGAGTTTCTAGGATTCGACCCTCAGCGGGAAACGCTCATTGGAGAAATTTTTCTCTTCGTTAGCCGTAACTGGCTCATTGGAGAACATGAGAGTTCTGGCACCACAACATTAGTGATTTTTCCGGATGATATTCAAGCAGATCTAAAAAAGGTTATATATGCTAAAATCACCGAAAAAGTCATCAACCAGTATAAGGATGTTATATGCCGTCAACCAGAGCATACGTTGGAACTCGTCGATCAGCTTGTTGATAGTGAATTACAACTTAAAGGAATAAGGGACAGGAGGATAGATACCAGCAAGCCGACACTACAGTCGATCGGCAGTATTGTCGAGAAACGAAGCGAAAGTTCGGAATCCATTGGGACAATACCAAACTCGACAGAATCATCCGAGTCGTTGGTCGCCGCACTTAGCCTGCTCTCCACAATCCTAACATCCCCCGATTTTGAGCTCACGGAAGAGATAAGCCCTTTACTTGAAAAAATAAAATCGAAATTAGACCATCTCCTTCTCTCAGCCCCCCCGACACTAAAACAGTCAGCAACAACGGCATGTATGCTGCTTGAATTTACTATTTCTGGGTCTTTACCACCACACACTAAACATATTCCCAAAACTTCGCATATCTCTGATATAGAGGCTCATCGGCATGCTCTCAACAACCTGAATTCCCCTTTGCCCCCAGTTCAAGCCGAGGGTCTTTCATTATTATCACAGCTAGTAATGAAATCATCCCCGATCCTCGATATCCCGGCAACCCTGACCACACTATTATCCTTAATACTCAAAAATAGCGCGAATTCTAATGATGAGTTTGTCTACTTGAATGTGATCAAACTTATCGGCACACTCGCCTCAAAACACCCTCGAACAGTTATAAGCACTCTTGCCGAGAGATACAGGGACAACAATGAAGAAGCCACATTGGATGAGAGGCTTAGAATTGGCGAGGCTCTTCTCCGGACCGTACAAGAGCTAGGTGATGCTTTGGTGGGCGACACTGCCAAAGTTTTAGGAGATACGATGGTATCAGTGGCTGGGAGACGAGGGACAAAACCAAAAGCTAACGATAAGAGGAAGGCTGAGATCGAAAGGCAACGGATAGAAGAAGATGAAGCCAGTGACATCGAAGACTTAGGGGTTGAAGCCGCAGATTTAATGAATCAAATGGACGAGCAGACAGACTCAGAGTCGGAAGATCCAGTCAAATCAGCCTACTCGAAGAAAATTCTCCAGGCCTGGGCGGCTGGAGCCGTTTCCGACGAAAATCCAGATGACCTCCGTGTTCGTACTTCAGCAATATCTATCCTCGCATCTGCCATTCAAACGAATCTTTCGGGTTTAGGCCAGCGGATCGCGTCAGCATCTGTTGATATGGCGCTTTCCACGCTTACTTTGGAGCCTGGGCCTGAAAATGCTATTATACGTCGCGCCGCGGCTGTGCTTCTCCTTGATCTTATAACCTCATTAGACCAAGCCATCGAATCGGGCAATAACCCAGGTTTCACTTTCTCGCATTCTTCCAGCCATGGCTCGCTGATTGATACTGCTAATACTGCTATTGGCAATATTCCTGACATCCTTCGCGTTTTGGTTTTCGTGGAAAGCAAAGAAACTGACACGATTGTTCGCGGACATATACGGGTATTGGTCGAAAGCTTAGAAGCATGGACTGAAAAATCGATCCTACGTGGTATTGGTGCTAATACCCAACCCCGATTTGAGCTGGGAGATAGGTTAGCCGGGTTGGATATCGAGCCGCTTTCTGGGTCACCAAGTGACTCTTTAAATAAGAGAGGGCATCCTCGAATCGAGGAAATTGAATAGTGGCAACGAAAAAATGGCTTTGGGGTTATATATGTAGCTAAATGTCTTCCCCTAGAACAAATACTTATTTTAGTCTACTTTGATAAGGATAGCTAGTCTACCCTACACAGATAGTAAACCAGTCCATCTAGATTTTTGACTGATGGCCCTCTCCCCAAGAAATGCACTGCAACACTAACAAATATGATATCCATCTCATTCAATTTAGTTAAAATACAATGGGATGACGCATCCACCTCAAAAACACATATGATGTCGTTCCATAAACATCTCAGTCGTGTCAGATGTAGGTCATGATAGTCGTTTCTGCCAATGGCAGCCGGAGGGACAAAGAATCAACGAGAAAATTTGGGCATGTGGAGGAGGTCTAAAAACGCGATAGGCGGTTATCACGCTTGTGCAGACCTTTGATTATCAAAAAGTGGACAAATAAAACAATTGCAGGCAGGTTGTGACAACGATCGATACGGTTCGACGCACGAAGTGAGGTTTCAAGTTGGCAAAGCGGGATGAGATGGTCCCTTGGTACAAACGTAGAAGAATCAACAAGCCCCCGTCGATCCTAGAATCGCCAGGAACCTATTATTTCCCCAAAGCCAGGCTGTAAGGCATCATGTCTTAGCAGCATCTACCTCAGTAACGACCTCTACCACGTCCTCCACGGCCGCCACGTCCACGGCCCCTACCTCCTCGCCCTCCTCGCCCTCCCCGTCCACCACGTCGACCCCCAAGTTGGAATATGCCTCCTTGCTGGTTAGCTTTTTCGTTCGCCTTACGCAAATCTTCCATCTGCGCTTCACGTTGCTCATCAGTCATAGCAAACATATTTTCGATACCGACCAGCTTGCAAAACTCTGCGGTCTGTGGGTTAGGGTATTCCGGAGGCTGTTCATTGGTATGGATAGGCACAGACGGGTCGTAAACTGGAGCAGTGATTGTAAAATTATGTGGAATAGCCATCTTTCCAGCTTTGACAATATTTTCCTCAACCCACTCGGCCGCAGCCGTAATTTCAGGCTTATAACCGCCGTCACCCTTGTTTGAGGGCACAGGGGCAGATCTATCGCCAACAGTAAAACCTGGATGCAAGGCACGGGTGATAGCAAGCCATTCTTTGTCATATTTCAACTGATAAGGAACCTGGGTGTCTGCTTCATCACTCTCTGAAATCGATTGGAGTTCCGTAAGATGTAAGAAGTGGCGTCGGCCTTCGCACTTATCCAGTGCCACAAACTCGGTAGTAGTGTTTGTGATTCCAGGGGGAAGTATGGATTCCACGATTGGTTTGGCCCTTGGAATAGCTGGGACAGTTGGAGCTTTAGCAAAACTGGCAGGTAATTGGTTGCGTATATCCTGGGGCACGGAATCGAGATATTTATCTTCCTTCTTTTTCTCTTCTTGATTCTCAACATTTCCTGTATGCAACTCGTTTGGTGCAGCCTCCGAACCCTCGGGAGCTTTATCTGCATCCTTTACATCAGTATTCATTTCATCTGCATTCTTCACTGATGTAGGCTGTTTGTTCAGCTCGACGCGAATCGTGCTAGCATTTGGACTCTCGGTCTCTGATTCGTCCTCCATGTCCAAGTTAATTTCATCATCATTTTTCACGTGAACTGTGGGCTCCTCGATGGCCTTGTCGACAGCAGTGTCAACCGAAGTCGTGATAACGTCTTGAACTTCACGACCCGTACCATCATCGACGCCTACTTTTTTCCATTTCAGTTGATATGTAACGTCGCTTCCGGGGTTAATGCTGCCAACCTCAACTTTTTTATGATACTTCTCCACTTCTTTCATGAACAAATCCTGTTCTTCCTGTTCTGTCAGAGCTGCAACATTGTGAAAATCACGCCACGCGTTCTTCTTCGCGCCATCATCACTTGGGAGTTGTTGTGTCTGAGCCGCGTTGGGTCCAGAGGCTCCTTTGGGATGACCCGAATTATAGGCCTTTTCAATTTCGGTGTCACCAGTCTGTTTGTACCCGCCGCTAGTTGGTTTGGGGTAATTTTCACTGGGGTTATTGAATTGAGGTACTGATTGTGGAGGTTCGTACCCCTCATGGTGCACCGTGGCGGTGTATTTGCAGTGTAAATGAGCAGAGAACCAGTTACTGGGCCGGAGTCTATCAAGGACTTGTTTTGCAGCAACATTGCCTAACCTCCCCGATTCTGCGTCCTCGATAAAGTGCGATTTGCTGTTGAACAGACGATTGTAGTCCCCAGCCCATTCAATACCCTGAGGCCAATCGTGGCTAACTCCAATGTCAACTTGAGTACGGATCTGGAGTAATTTGCGAACATCGACCTCCCTAACATGGTAGGCGGATCGTAGGGTATCACCATCGTAAGGGATCCTTTCGTAGTGAGGTCTATGGTAGTCATATCCTTTCCAAATACCGGACATTCCGGCGATTCGAAATGGCCCATAACGAATCACGTTGGCCGCACCCAGGTAATATATGTTTGGAGCAACCCAACCGCCGTAATGGAGCTCGAACATATGGCTGCTGGCTTCGTGGTTGCCGCCCACAAACACAGTCAGGTACGGTGCAACGCGGGCACCGCTGTAGTACTCATGAAAATCCCCAATGGCCCTATACTTAGTTGAGACCGCCATGCAAGAGAGATCATTGGAATTTCTCACGGCCTATAAAGGAGAAGACCAGTAAGTATGATGTTGCAATATAACCCATGGGCAGAGGCATGCATTTTATGAACGCGTAGGCAGGGTCTCACTTGAAAATCGCCTCCAATGATCAACAAGTCAACTCCATCCCAGCCTCGCGATTCTGCTGACCCTTTAACAGCAGCGTAGATATCATGTAACTTTCCATGTCCCTATACGATAGCTTGTTAGTATCCCATACAAAATAAGCTGGATGTATCGACAGTAGAACATACACAACCCTCAACAGCCAGTCTCAAAGACTGACGCGTCTCTGTTGTCTCTGTTGTCTCTGTCATTTTTGTGGTATCTTGCTATAATATAGCATATCAAGTTACAGGGAAAGAGCACTGAAAGTCTGTTAGAGGCTTCACTATTTGCAGGGAAGAAGATGTGAAAAAACAGAAGAAAACGCGGTCGAGGAAGAAAAAAAGTGAAACAAAGAGAGTGAAAGTAACAGGGAAAAGGGTATGCCAGGTGGCGCGTCCTTTTGATAAGTCTTCACGTTTTTTTCTGTTTGTTTGCTGGTCAAAGTGAAGTAAGGTGTTGTTTTTTCCTCTTTGGGAACTGCAGGGCCGAAACCTTTTTTTTCCTCTCAGCCACTTTTATATATTTTCAACCATTCAAAAAGACATCTACACAACCTCCCATCCTGTTTTATAGATACAAAGATGAGCCGATTCAGGAGTTGACTCCGCAATCAATATGGCCCAACCGTCTTCTACAAGGCTGGGCTTCTTGAAGAGTTCTGCCCATTTCCTAAGCCTACAGAGCCCGTCGACGTCAGCCCATCTGATGACGGTACATAATAACATGTTACTCGACCAGTCCTCCCGTCTAACAGCTAGAGGACAGGTAGAAGCCTGTCCTGCATGCGGAAGCATTCGAATTCCAGGCGTGAATAGTAAGGTCTTCACAAAATCTCAGTCACAGCCCAAATCCCCACGTCCTAGGGGTAAACCGCAACACGGAGCTATATCCAAGTCTCCATCGATGCAGAGAAGTATTGTATACGAATGCATGCGATGTAAACACGAGGTGACGCAGCATCTCCCGAGATCTACGAGGCCTGTACCAGGAAAGAGGAAAGGCACACCCGTTGTTCCATCAGTGATGCCACTAGCTACTCACCATCCATCATCAGCACCTTCAGATGCCGGGATGGCCCAGAAGCTGGGAGTTACTGCTAGGTCTCCCAAAACGAGCTCTGAGAACACCGGTAGCAAAAAGCGAGCAAAAACGAGAAAGCAGCAAGGCCTGCTCGCCAGTCTAGCAGCAGGAAAACAACGGTCCCAACAGCAAACGAAGCCGTCAAGTTCACTAGACCTCCTGGATTTCTTTCAGTCGTCCTAACTGGGTGGTGTATGTCATCGAGAAATGCCAGGATCTACCCACATTATTCCTAGGAAAGGTGATAGACATTCCAACACCAATGGCTGAACCGCCAAACTCATCGAGAATCCCATGAAGGACGGATGCCAGTACGTTATATCATCTAATAGCTACAAAGGATCAATCGAAGCTAACATTTTAGTTGCTACTTCCGTAGTCCGGGTTATAATCAAACCAGGTGTTATCACGCTCTTTATATAGAAGCTTCATCTTAGAAGGATCATGACTTGATGTGAGGCATCTGTCACCTTGCTCAACATGATGTGAAAGATATTGTCATCGCCCCAGCCTAATCGATTTTCCTTGGGAAGACGTGCAGCTTGGCAGCGATCCAACCGTATAACTATCTGCCAGACACGAATTATACAGAGAGAATGATGTACAGAATGGGCTGATCCAGCTCTTACACGAACCATCCAGCTACTTCTGCGCCTCCTCGAAGAAGGTACGGCTGTTTTGTATGAGACCGGGGGACATTTGTTGACCGACCAGGCTTTGTCAAGTGTATTTTTGCCCTTACCACCATCTCCTGCATCAGCTGTTCTGGCATCGACATCTTCCGAATCCGAATACCAGCGCAATGTCTTCATGTTATTCGCAGCGCTTTGAGGCTCAAACAGAAATTAGCTTTGTGGAGAGCGCCAGAAGGGATTACTCAGGAAGTCTAAATATTTTTTTTTGTTTCCAATCTCATCGACGGTTTTCTTTTCCGCCAGCGAGATCACAATATAAAAGAGGTCTTCTCTATCTTCGAAATCTAGCACGTATAAAGAACATAAGAACGCTTTGATTAACCGACCTGCTCTATCTCGCGCAGTGATCACACATCTGCTGCGACTTCGCGACTAGCTACCCCTCCATCCGATAAGAAAAATGGCAAGCCACGGCGGGGATGATAACAGCTTGCCCCGCGTCGATGAGAACACCGTGAAAGTTGTCCAGAATGAAGATGATCTGGGGCTCATGGACGTGGAGAGTATGTGCATGAACTGTCATGAGAATGTAAGTTGCCCTGTCTATAACCATTCCCCAACGCAATCCAGCCAGTATCTCGAACGCTAACCAGTGGACTCGCGCATGGCATCACAGGGCTCGACCAAATTCCTCTTAATCAAAATTCCCTTCTTCCGCGACGTCCTCCTTGAGTCATTCGACTGCCCGCATTGCGGCTTCAAAAATAACTCGATCAAAGCTGCTGGCGAGATCCAGGAGCATGGCACTCAGTATACGTTGGAAATCCATGACAAGCGAGACTTCGACCGCCAGGTCGTTAAGGGCGACTCTGCAACCTTCCGCCTCGATACTCTTGGAATTGAAATGCCAGCAGGCCAAGGACAACTTACCAATATCGAGGGGATGTTGACCAAGATTCAAACTCAGCTCGAAGGCGAGCAGCCACACCGGAAAGCCACCGACCCTGCTTTATATCAAGCGCTCGACGAGATTCTGCAAAAGCTCGCCAAGATGACCAGCGGCGAATTGTATCCCTTCACAGTAACCTTGGAAGACCCCAGTGGGAACTCTTGGATTTCTCCTGCGCCGTATGATGAGGGAAGCAGATACAAGCGAAAGGAATACCTACGCACAAAGGAGCAGAACGAAGCACTCGGCATTGGAATCGGCGGAGATGACGAGGAATCGGGCATGGTCCAAACTGCTGGAGACCCTGATGACCTGGACATCATCGACGGGAAAGTGTACAGTCTTCCTGCACACTGTCCTGCTTGCTCTAAACCCTGCGTGGTCAACATGCAGAAGGTAAACATCCCACACTTCAAGGAAGTTTTCATCTGGAGCACTGTCTGTGATCACTGCGGTTACCGTACCAGCGACGTCAAGACAGGAGGGGCTATCCCAGAAAAAGGGAAGCGGATCAAACTGCGCGTAGAGTCCGTTGAAGATCTCTCTCGAGACATCCTCAAATCAGAGAGCTGTGTCTTGAGAAGCGAGGACCTTGGTCTCTCCGTCCAGCCTGGCACGCTTGGTGGCAGGTTCACCACCGTGGAGGGACTGCTCACCCAAATCCGCGACCAGTTACATGGGCAGATTTTTGATTTCGGTGACGAGGACCTCGCACCCGGTGACTCCATGGTATCTTCAGAGAAGGATCGATGGCAGAAATTCTTCGCCAAGATTGATTCCGCCATCAAGGGAGATGAGAAGTTCACTATCACTCTCGAGGACCCATGCGCAAACAGCTACGTGCAGAATCTCTGCCTCCCAGAGCCAGACCCCCAATTAGAGGAGGAAGAATATACCCGTACCGAAGAAGAGGAAGACGATCTTGGACTCAAGGATATGAAGACTGAGGGCTACGAAGAGGAGCACCGGCTGGCTCTAGAAGCTGAGAAGGCCGCTGAGGCCGCTGAGGCTGCTGAGGCCGCGGAAGCAGAAGCCGCAGAAGCCGAGGGCACAGCCTGATTGTTCGACACCTTTCTTGAAATTGCATTATAGGTGCATGCATTAGAAGGTTCTGTTTACGATAAACGCAGCAAATGACGGATACGTGCAAGATCATTTTTCAGCGACCTACTATTTATAAAATATAGAAACGACGGGGGTTCTAAAAGCTATCAGTCCAGGATTTTCTTCTTTTTCAGAATGGGTGGCTATCATATGCTCTTGTATATCGGTGTTGGAGTGTCGGATTTCAGATAGTGGAGTTCATACGGCAAGATGGTCCTTTGCATACCGCTAAGAGGTATAGTAGAAATGATACGTGCTATTCGAAATCCGGCGTCTCCTTAGTAGGTCAGGAACCCTGCTTCAAACCCTTGAAGGCGAAGTCGACGTGTGTAAGCTTTCGTTAGGCTCAGGCCGTTCGCAGCTGTGAAGCCGATATCCTCAAGTATGATTTGGGAGGGAAAGTAGACCATAGTGATCTTTGTTTTGGTGCGTAGTCATACTCATCCAGTATACTATCTCTCTGCACGAGGGTGCTGTGGATGAACCTGACAGCGTTATGTTGATGTCTAGCTGCCGGAATACCCATTGGCAGGGATAGACCGGAAGAAAGCCAATGCATCTTATACGCACGAGCAGAGAGGATTGACTTCGTGTGATCGACGTCAGAAAAGGCCATCAGCCAGCAAACGGATTTGCATGGATGGTGACTCTTTCTATACCAATTTTCTCCCAGGATTCACCCTCTTCGTTGTCTTTCTCCTTCTTCGCATCCGGCTGTACGACTCTTCCCTTCTTATCAATTTTCACATGTGCCTTCTCTAGACGAGTCAACGTATCGACCTGCTCGCCTTTCTCTCCCGTAGTTCCCGGATCAAGCACTTTGCCGAACACGGTACTCTTCCCGTCCAAATGAGGCGCGGCAGCAAATGTGACGAAGAACTGGCTTCCATTTATATCCTGTTGACCTGCACCTCCAACCCCACCCTGGTTCTTGACTGGTTTTCCCGCCATGCTGAGGATCCCTCTCGCATTGTGGCGGAGGGTGGGGAGGTGAATCTCCTGCTCCAATAGGGCTGGGTGGTATATCGACGTCCCTCCCTTTGGGATATCGAACGGTAGAGGCGACGACGACGACGGGTTCTTGTTGGCTGCCGAGAGAGAGATGTCACCTCCTTGGATCATGAACGACGGCATGAGGCGGTGGAAGGGCGTGTCATTATAGGCTCCAGAGGCGCAGAGGGCAAGGAAGTTCTAGCCAGACCGGTCAGCATGGAAGATTCACGCAGATATGCAACTGCTTACCTCTGCCGTCTTTGGGACTGCTTCACAGAATATCTCAACCTTGAGGTCGCCATGGGTGGTGTGTAGCTATGATTCGTCAGATTCGCCGTGCAAGGGTCACCCTAACGATAAATAAATCCAAGCATACTTACAGTAACAGACATCTTCCCAGCCTTTACTCCGTCCTATGGCTCCTCCTCGTCGACTTCGACTTCGACTTCAACTGCGCAAAGTGACGATGTCATGTGACCAGACAAGAAACTCCCGTACCCAGGTAGAATCTATATAAAACACCCACGGCAGGCTTCGTTTATCCTTTCCACCGCGGACGAAGGGCCCCCTGCAACCGTCTCGAGGCTGCTCAGCTCGTTAATACCACCCTATGGGACGTCCAGGAAGCAGAACATCCCCAGTCTCTCCTCGCCAGCCCATAAGAGCCTCATATCACGTGGTCACTAGTAAACATCGATGGAAAAGAAGAAGAAGAGAAGAAGAAGAGAAGAACTCTTGCTGTAGACATAAAGATAGCAGCTTGCCAGTAGCATCTGTATCTGCCATACGTTCTGGCATGCAAGTCGACGAGGTTGGGCCAATACGTGGGTGACTATAGTTGTCCCGGTATCGTGGCCTAACAACCAGTTAGCTAAGTTATATAAACGACAAACCTCCATGACGAAACTCCAGATATAAAAAGAAGCAGCCGGCCCAAGTCACCGCCGCGGACGAGGCTGTCGAGACCGCACCACCACGCAACGGGCCATACCATACCTCGACGTCTGTCTCTGCCCTGCACCAAGTCGAACCTGCACACGGAGCCGCAGAGCCCATGCTGGGGAGCTGGGGTCGGTCGTCCGGCGGTTAGTTATTTAGTTAACGGGCATCCCACCCCCCAAGCTCTAATCACATAGCAAGCCCGCCAATATAGCAGGGAATATCAAGCAGAGAACGAGCCTCCACCCCATAGCGACCCCAATCTTTATCCATCCACGGAGCTCTCGAGCCTGGAGCTACCTTCCCGGCCGTCCAAGTCCAACCCGCCAACCCATCTTCTGCGCCGACCAGCCCGGCTTTCGCGAACACTCTTCTTCCTCGACCTACGCACGCCGTCCCGCATACAGTTCCAGCTGCGATAAGGGGGCGGCATACCCTTAGGCTGAAGCATTGTGGGGGGGAGGAAACTCATGCGCGACGCATCCCAGGGCGAACGACTCGTGGTGAATAAAAGTGGGATACCGGAGACCTCGATTTCAGCCAGTACGCCCCAATCGACCCATGGTGGACTGGGCGCGCAGTTTGGCACAAGATGGCCGCATTCGTGCGAGTGTCGGGCCCTCCCAATAGTAATTTCCTCGTTGGATATCCTGGAATATCGGCAACATTGGTGAGTTTACGTTCCTGTTCCTGGGCACGGTTCCGTGGAGTTGAGGCAACCCACAAAAGGCACACATGGAAATTATCTACAACCCTTAACTCGGCCTCTGGTCTTATATTTATGTGTTTAATCTTTTAAGAGAGATATGCTGACCCTATGGCTAGCCACGTATTGAAGGAAAGGTCGAAGTGCGGCCCAGCGTTGGCGTCTCTGCCGCAGTCAACATCTCGATGGTCACAATATGTCTACAACGACGAGAGACGATACATCCCGCGGCCGATTCAATGACGAAGAGACATCTGGCGGCCCCGCGAAAGGATGTAACCGATATAGTTGGCAAGGAGATGCTCCTGTTTCGATGTCCCATGGGGCGAGAATATGAAGAAATAATAGCCATGGATCTTCCTTTTGTGCTGTTCATACCTTTCGGGAGAGGAGGACAGGAAACCTCAAGGCGACTGCCGCCGGCTAGCTTGCAGCTGGGCAGCCGGACGGCAGAGACATACTATGAATTAGTGGTGATGATACAGCAAGGCCAGGCAGAACAGAAAAAATACTCATTCCCCGTACCGATGTCGAGGTACGATACCTTATCAACGTTTGGCATGTACAATCGCCCAGAAGCTGCGGAGCGTGTGTCAGATCACCTTATCACTCTCGGCATATCGTTACCACGGTGGTCATACGGGCCCTTTGACCCCGTCAGTGTATACGTGAAGCTCTCTCCCAACCCGGATTGGATGAGCAAGGCCCGAAAAGTAACGATTCAGAAGATTACCCTTTCAATCGACGAGGAGATAGTGTACAACCACGAAGGCGACGAGCCGTACCGCAAGGGCAAGACGCTCGCCAAAAGATCGGAGTCAGTGAACCTAAAGATGCCCGAAGCAGGATATCTCACCAACCTCGGACTTGTTTTCCCTGCGAGAGATCTACGTGATTCAGATGGTGTTCTACCACGGGGGAAGCCCGCATTTCCAACCTACGCTGTTAGCGCGTTCACGACCACCGCCTCGTTGTATAAAATAGAATATTATCTAACCGTCAAGGTAGGAAGCCAGCACCTTAGACCGCCCATCCAGAATCGCTTGACTAACATATTTTACAGGCTCATCTTACTTCAGCAAAGGATATAGTCCTGCGACAACCAATTGTTGTCTGCCCTCTAGACCATGCCGGCTGCAAAGAGGAAATGGAGGCCATAGAACAAGCCGCGCGAGAGGCTAGAAACATCAACCCCGACAACCCCATGCTTCCATTGCCCACTATCATCCGGGCTCACGACCACAACGCTCTCCAGTATCTCAACGTCGCAGTTGTCGGCAACACCAAGAAACCGGTGATAGAATAAGCTCACTCCCTCTGCCATGGTCGCCATACCCAAGTGCTCCTACGCTCCTCCTATCCCTCGCCACGACTGATGACAGCTATTAACGAATTTTATTTTTTTTACAAAAAAAAAAGGGAATATCACCTAGGACATGAGTCAGGCGCCAGGATGCTCAGGTCACCAGTATCATTTATTCTTTAACTGCACGGTCACCATCGGTTGGTCTGGCCAACTACCAGTGGTATGATATCGAATGGGAGCAGAAAAGGTACTACACGAAAATTTTCATGGAGAACAAAAAGCGTGGGAAACGAATAGAACAGTATCAAAATTTGGATGCTGAAAATAGAGTTTATTTATCGAATCTAGCAGCTAGGATTGCTATCTTCCACCCTTTTTGAGGTCTTCACCACGTCTCACCCCTTTATCGACAAAATCACCCTTTATTTTACACCTCTCAAAACACCACTGCCATCGCAGTACTCTACACATCCCTCCTACGCCTCACTCCGATCCCGTTTGTCCCTCATACCCTTCCTCATTTCTCCAACCTTCCGACATTTCTCGTCTCGTATTGTCCGGTGTCCTTTTGATTCGGGTCAGGCTTGCAATGGGACGGCTATGTCTGGATTAGGGGTGGTATCCGTTGTCTACAATATTATTTTCCTTCTAACAAACTCATTTGGGGCCTGGGTTGCATTCGGAGTATATGATGTTGGAATTTTTCTGGTTTGCTTTCTTCGATTCGATATTCTCTCTCCATTTACATCATGTGAAACAACCCCGTTACTTCTTCTATTCTTCTCCGTGCCTTTTTGGAGCAAACCTCTTCCCAGGATCTACGGATTTGCCTTTCATCTTGCTCTAAGTTGATACCTGGTTTCCTGTTCTTGATTTAACACTTATTTCTTCCTCTCCGGCCACTTTTACCGACAATTCTAGATGAGTCGCAATTTGCAATTCTCCATATCATTTCACCTAGGAATCGCCCCGGTCAATTCCCCATGCCATGTCAACATAAAAATATGTTACTTTAACTGCATGCAACCTCGGGTGCGATGTGGATGTTGGTATCATCTCATCCGCTGCTGTTGACTTCCAATATTGTTATTAGTTATAAACTGCAGCGCTTGTTTATTACACGGCAATGCAATTATTTTTCTTCATTATCCTTCAACTTTGTCCAACGAGCTGCTTCCTATCTTCCATCCCCGACGTAGGAGTCGATAGAAGAATGCCACCACATCAAAAGAACCGAACAGATATCCAGGTCCCGCATGGCTGTGTCAGACTTTCAGCTCCCTCTCCAGCAGGAGTATCAGGTCCTCTACGTCTGAATCGCCAGCACCAGTCATACGCCCATCTAGTCCGGCCGACCGCTTCTCAAGATCCGCGATATACGCCTTCAGCATATCCAGCACAGTCCGGTATTGTATAGAGCTGGCGCCGAACGTGTAGCGGGTGTTGGCGAGGTTTTGAGAAATCTTCGAAGCCGCAGGCGTATCATTAATGTTCGTTCTACTTTATGGAATATCAGAACTTCCATACCTCCTCCACTAAACTTCGTTCTCTTGAAACCCCATTAGATGTAGACATTGGCCGCTTTTATGTTCCGGGAGAGCTGGTTGTTAAAAAGGGTACGGAGTATATATGTCGAGCGCAAGTTGTCAAAATCGTACTCAAAAGCGCAAGGGGTCGTCTCTTTCACGTGACCATAGCATCTTCCACTTCACTTTTACCTCTTGGAGAGCTATTAAGTCACTAGGTTCAGTTATTGATACTAGAAAAGTTAATATAAAAAATGTATTAAATTACAGACTAGATTATATTGAAATATATTGATTAAAAGAGGATTAGAGATACCACAATATTTAAAACATATGGAACTTCAGGAGTATTGGTAGTTATCTCTCGGCGCCAACATTGCATCTCCTGCCGTCCATAGGAAATGTTGAGCTGCCACCTACTCCGTGCATTTTCCGTGTTTTTGACAGCGTAAATTTCTTCTTCTGTCCTTGGTTTTGTCCTTGTTCGTAACTTACTGGCTATTCTGAAAGGATTCCAGAAGCTTGAGAACTAGAGATGCCCGGCAAGAATGCCATCAAAATAGCATCTGCAATCAATGAACTGGTTGGCCTATCTGGATGCCGCTATCAGTTTAAAGAGCTGATTCAAGAGAGGCCTCATATTGGTCGCGTTTGGCTGGCAACGTTTGAATTCCCTCACGAGTCGTGTACGCTTCTTCCGTTAACAGCTTTACAGGTCTGGGCAAGATCAGTTTATCTTGAAAGATATTCCCACAAACATATTCTCTAACTTCAACGAAATCATACTCCCGAAACTTCGAGAGAGCCCTTACATACGGCTGCCATTGGACACCGTCGTTGACCAGCGCATATTTGTGTACAAGTACTTGACGGATGACTTTCTGAGCCTGGTCAGGAAGAAAATTGCCATCCGAGAGAGAAAGAAGGTTCTCAAGGCCTGCCTAAGAGCAATAGCAGAGCTCCATGAACAGGATGTCGTCCATCTAGGTAAGCTATCATGCCACATCTGCGGTAAACCCGACCTGACTTATGTAACCTTATCTAGATATCAAGGCAGACAATATCATGGTTGACTGCAGCACTGTCAGTAAGAGAGGGGATGGGGAGTCCAGTGACGAAATGATAGTCGAACAGGTTCAGGTTACCGACCTTGAAAATGCAGCTTATCTCCCCAAAGGCAGATGTATCAAGGGGATGCTTGCCGGCAACGACAACTGGCGCAGCCCTGAAGCTCATTTTAGGGGTGAACTCAACAAACCGACCGACCTTTTCTCCTTTGGCGTTGTGGTAAGTGTCTTCACCCTTACACAGTGTCCTTCGCTGACAGCTATTTGTAGTGTCTTTATTCCGAGCTGGGCCGGGTCATTTTTGGTCCCGACGATGATTTCAAGAAACACGAAGCACAAGGCGCGCTTCCTTCTATGATCCGCCTACAACGTCAGGTTTCCTACTTTGGAGACAAGGACGGACTCAACGGTCTCATGACGCATGTAGGAGATGACGAGATGAACTGCCAGATCCTCGGGATGCTCTGGGAAGACCGCTTTGAAGATAACATTCCCTACAGGCCGTTCTCAGAGTGGCGGGATGTTAGCGATGAAGCGTTCAAGGATCTCATCCGGCGGTTAATGAATCTGGACCCTGCAAAGCGAATCACAGCGCGTCAAGCACTGGAACACCCATGGTTCGCGGATATTTGAGATTGGGACTGATAGAATGAACACAGTAGAATGTTGGAACCTTCGTTTTGTATAGCCCGCTATTGCGATAACCTCTCCTGCTGCTATACTAAGCAACCTGGACACATTGCCATTATTTCCCTTGATACTTATCCATCTCAGTACCATGGGACAGACAGACAGTTGTAACTACTTGACGCAGTCCTCTGTAATATGTTTTGCAGTTCTTGTTCAGTCGAGGGGTTAAATATATTTTTATAGCTAATGGCTTGGCATAAATATTTAGTTTCCGCCGGTGACTGAAGCATCAACTTAGAGATAGCACGATATGAAACAGAAGCGTCGCAATACGATAATAACATAGAGAACGGTTCTATAAAGATGGCAGATCTGGACGAAGAAGTTATTAACCAACCGTCAACCTCGTCGCATGATTCTCCCGCGAACGTTGACCAAGACATTTCTGATGAGACTCAAGATTTCCGCTTCCTGAGCAGCTTTGCTACGTGTGTACGGCCTGTATATATCTGCGCAAGCTCAACTGCTAATTTCTCTTCTTCTCTGCAGGCTTTCAGACCACACACAGCCCCAGTCGCTTCCCCGGCGAGGAGACAAAGATTTCGAGCCAAATCCAACACTCCATCAGGCCAATGTCTTGACCTCCGCACGAAATGCTATGCACAATGCCCTCTCCTATCCGCGTCTCCATAACCCGAAAAACCGGATAATAGGAGTCTACCATCCTGGTGCCAACCAAGGCGATGCTCGTGTCTGTGTGCCAAATCCAAAGGGCCAGTATTTTCGAACCATGGCGCAAGCTGACAACATGAATCGAATGTGGCTGTTGCCAGAGGAGGCAGTCTATCTATTAGAGAGAGGTAGCCTGGACATCAGATGGCCGGCGGAAGATAGTGAAGAAGGGAAAACCCCGGATAACACTCCATTCGACCTGGATGGGACCGTCCCGATGAGCTTACAAGCTGCATATGCGTGCCTTCTTGGGCGTAGCGGCTTGACCATGGAGAGATATTCAGTATACTCAGGTCTGAAACGTGGAGGCTATGTTGTAATTCGAGCTGATTCTTGGGGCGAGGCGCAGCATACGAGCCAACAAGTGCGAACAGAGCATAAGAAGCCAATACAGTCTCAAGGTCCAGGAGTTATAAGCATCATCTCACAGCTATTTAGTTCCATATTCTCCATGCGAACAAAAGGGGATACAATACATGGCCCTGTCATAGGGTTGGGTATCCACCGAAGCTATAGTTCGTTCTCATACTCCCGATCACTCCTTTCCACTATTATAATACGGTGCTAACCTCGTTTAACAGATGATATATATCGCTCTCTATCCATCATCCCGGCCCACGACCCGTCTCTCCCTGATACCGAAATCTACCAAGCTCCCACGTCTTCTCCCTACCGAATAGTATTTCACGTCTACAAACCCTCAACTCCATTTAAGAAATCCTGCCCAGGCCAACCAGACTTCAGGCTAGCAGTAATTGATGCCAGGACCAATCCCATTATTCCCACTCTTGAAGAAATAAGCGCTCTTCTTGCTAGCACTCCTTTGGATCCTCCAATAGGAGAAAAAATGGATCGATTACTCTACATGCGTCTTCGGCATGGGTATCGAAACGTAATATTAGCAGTTGTTGACCAGGGAGTGGTTAGCTATTTACGGATCAGCGACTCGGGATTTATGAAAGAGCCGCTATATGCTCAAAAGAAGGCACTGGGCTATGGCAATAAGGGAAGCCGGCGCCCATCCAACAAGAAGGGCGGTAAAAGGTAGGAGAAAGACATATACCTCACTTGACGTCAAACCCAAATCAAAGACTATGATACCCATTTACTATTATGTATATTATTAGCCCACGTTACGAGTTAAGACCGCCTTAGTAGGCCATCACGAAATATAAGAGTAGTTTCATAAATTTGTTCCCTTCTAGCTATCTTTTGATATAAACCCAGCAAAAAGTAGGAAATATCTGGCCAAACCGATATCAGGGAATAATCAATATATCCATTTTTCTTAGACACTCCGTTGAACGACGCGGCAGACCACGGAAAGCAATGCCAAATGGAAACCCCCAATAAGGTGGAAGGGACAGGAAAGAGAGAACATAATAGTTTAATTCAAAGCCAGAAGACTGCTCCCCTACACACCAAGAACACATTAAACATTGAATTATCATTCAGAAGAAGAATATGCGCTACACACGCCAGATATTAACCCTCATGCTACAGGATCAGTCAGTAAAGCCACGATGTAAGATAAAGACGCCGGACAACTCACTATCCAGATAATCTGCAGCCATAAGCAATTCTAGGCACAGCTCGGGTGGTATATCCATATCAGGAACATTGACCTGCCCCTTATTCCGATCATTGTAGAGAAAATATTCGCAAACCTTTTCCAGGACAACTCCGCTATACATAGAATTAGCATACTTGACACTAGGCTTGGATACAGTGCTCGTCTGGCAATCCGCCTTGTTATAGCATGCAGAAATGGAATGGACATACTTCATAGTTTCCAAGACGCAACGACCAGTCACAGCTTCTGAGAAGTTACCTGGAGTATCGCAGGTCAGAATCGGGACAGCAGGCTGCACTCGATCAACCCCAAGGCAGGGTTGAACGTCAAATGCATGGGTATATAAGACTAACTTGTAGGATCCAGCATTCTCCGGATGGTGCCTGATACACAGGCGGCGCTCCTGGGGATCACGAACTCGAAGCCATCGTTGGAAGCTAAAGTGACAAACTCTGCAGGCGCCTCCGGTTTAAGTGCCATGATGGAAAAACCGTAAGCAAACGGCGATGAATCTGTGGATGCCAGACTCTGCTGCGAGATGTTGAAGCCTGGACGAAGGAGTTAAATAGGACTTTGATATTTGGTGCCAAGGACTCGGGCTTCTTAGTCATGCACTAGTTACCGCTATATCGGAGCGCGCTAATGATCGGTACGATTGTGGCGTCTCTACGGGACACAACGGAACGGCAAATCAATGCCTATAAGCCCAAGATACAATAGCAAAGAGCGAAAATAGGCCTAATATCGATGAATGATGATGATAACTAGGGAAACAGGCCATATCTGGCCTCTATATATATGGGGGAAGGCGTAGCGTACGTACGAGCCGTAATCAAACAGATCTGCAGGGGGGGGCGTGGCGTTGGCCTGATACTGCCAAGACGCCGTACACACGAAGATTCTGACACGCTATAAACAACGACCTAAACCTCTAATAGCATACTTGACGAAGGAGATGTTGATATAGCAAGTTATTATATTTTATTGGACAGTTTTACGAGCTACGTAAAGGTACATGCTGTCCCTAGCTCGCTGCTTGTGCCTGAAGCCAGGTGCTGGTCATCAGGCTTCATTTCAATTTACAACAAAACATTACCCATCTCTCAGTACTTCCTCGAGGTACAATGGAGTCAGATTTGCACCATCGGGGCAGCTTTATCCTTCAATTGCGAGGCTACGGTGTTTCTCCAGTGGTCCTTCCTCATCACCGTCGTTGAACCGTTTAAAGGGAACTACATGCATGATTACCGGAGGCTCATCGGGCATTGGCCTTGGTATTGCCCAGCGGTTCCTCATAGAGGGAGCCGAGAGGATTATTCTCGTCGGCCGAAGCAGAAAACGCTTAGAAGATGCCGTCAACCAGTTGAATGCTGCGGACACGGCAGAGCAAGCATCTGAAACTGCCAGTGCAGCTTCACCCGAAGATGTCAAAATCGTCAATTATGGGCGTTTCTCCTTGGTTATGGGGGATGTTGGTGACCCGTCATTTTGGTGTGAGGAGGTCAAAAGGCTCATGGTACACCCGTACTCTATTTATACCCATTGACGATTTTCTTCTGGCAAAAACTAATTCACATCCTCTAGGGTCAAGTTGATATCTTAGTCAACGCGGCGGGGGTTTCTTACTCTTCTCTCCTAGCCACTGCAAAGGACGAACACGTAACACAGACGTTGCATACAAATCTACAAGGGACCATCTTCGCCTGCCGTACTATGGCCAGACAGGCACTGCGGCAACGACGAAGCCAACGCAAAGCGGATGATGGCTTGGCCATCGCCTACTCCGGGACTAAATGCATCATTAACATCTCATCACTGCATGCGTCTAGGGGAGGAGTCGGGGTCGCTGCTTATGCATCCACCAAGGCGGGCGTGATAGCATTAACTCGTGCTATTGTTGCAGAGTCGAATTTATCTACGTCTGGAGCCAATCTTCGTGCGAACGTGATTGTTCCTGGATATATAGAAACGAAGATGCTTGATGGTAAGATTGGATTGTTGTCTGCCTTTTTTATTCTTTATTAACATCAATTACAGAGCTAGGCGAGCAGTTCCGTAAGGACGCACGGCAGGCTATCCCGTTGCGAAGATTCGGCTGGGTCGAGGAAGTTGCTGATGCCGCCGTATTCGTTGCCACAAACCAATACGCCAACAACTGCGTTCTCAACCTTGATGGAGGCTTAAGTGCCGTGTAATATTAAGTGAAATAACGAAGACTACGGAACCTTGTAGCGTCGAGAGAAATACCATTGTAGTAGATATGAATTTGTAAAGGAAGAGGCTAGAGCAGGATATTCCCCGGCGTCTTTCTAAGCGAATGTGTAAGATAATACAAATACAAATGTTATGGTTCGAGATATAGGATCATTGAACATGAAGTGAAGAAGTGGAACAAAAGAAAAAACCAAGTGTAAATGCAAAGAGTTTCAAGCTGTGGGATAATGGTGCGCATTGCCCTCCCTATGAAAAAAATTCCGCCATATCTTTAATGTTTTGCGCCTACCCTTCCCAAGTGCCCATTGCATCTAGTACCATGAGCCGATGCAATAATAAAGAAAATCGCCACGTAATAACCCCGTTTTCTAAGCAAGGCTCTCCTTTCTAATTTTCAGCTAATCGGTGTCTATCAAAATTGCGCCGGTTTCGTCCTCGAGAATTATGGGGTTTGAAGTGTTGTTTTCTTTCGTCTCCACGCCGTTGGAGATCTTCTTCGAGGGCTGTCCCTCCATGATTACGAGTCCAGCTTCATCGGCTGTTCTCTTTCGTTTGCTTGATTCTCCGTTCTCTTGGGGTTCGGGTGCTTCGGCTACCTTCGGTTTCCGTGGGATTTCAACTTCGGGTGTCTCAACGGAGATGCGAGATTTTTCGTCAGTCCTATTTGATCCTTCTGTTAGATGCGGCAAAACAGCTGTCTTATGCATAAATCTTTCACTTACTCTTCGGATACGAGAAGCTCGAGGTTGACACGTGGGTTGTCATCCTCTTCGTCAACGACAGTAATAAAACTGTCCTTTTGAACACCAAGTTCGCTCAGCTTTTTAGGTAGGTTGTCCTCCAAGTCCGGGTCGTAGATAGTTCCTATTTGGTTGCTGATTGAGAGCTCCTCGCCGTAACCCAATTTCAGACGCAGGATGGTTTCTACCAGGTCGTTCAATGTTGCATCCGGGTTTACGAATATTTTCCTCTGAGCCACGGCGCAAACAGGGCAATCAGGATTTGGTGGTTTTAAGCTGTCGGTGTTGATGGCTCGAGCACCAGACCTCTCAAGGAATACCTATGGGCACACGTTAGGGAAATTTTAATTGGACAAAATGAAGGGGGTATTTACGAACCATCTTAGCGTTCTCATATTCATCTTTCAAAACTTTGAAAGCTTGCAGCACGCACAAAGCGGCGGTCATCGCATTGGTTGTTGCAATTGCCGGTATTATATTGCCAGCCATCTCTACAGTAAATTAGTATCGGCGTAGAATAGCACATTAGGGAGTGGGGTAAGCAGTACGTTTGACATCGAATTTGGATTTGGATTCCAGCCCAAATATCGCCGCACGCAGGTTTGAGCTTGCTGTTACAAAGTCTAGAGTGTCGATGTCGTCTTTGTCAAAGGATAAAACCGGTGCGGTTCCGTCGGTGTTGTCGGCTTGTAAATCCAGAAGCCGTTTCTTCAAACGGGAAATACTGTAGTTTTTTTTTTATTAGCGACCGTACTTAGAACCATGGAGGAACGGGAGGCGCCATCAAGCGTACCTATCTCTGAATACGACAAAATTTTCTGCAACGGACCACACTTTTTGATCGTTTGAACAAATGCTTGCATCAATTCCTTTTGACTCTTCCTCTAGGGAGCTATAGGAGAGCGGTTCGGGAGCCTTTCTAGACTTCCACATCTCTTTGATATCCTTGAGACGCGCGATGTCCTTCTGGAAAACCTTCTCAAACACTTTCTCTGTAAACTCGTCCGAGGGCATTGAGTTACGGATGTCCTTCAGGGCTTTTGCTTCCTGTCTCAAGTTTTCAATCTCGCCGGCTGGTTTACATGTTAGTGATATACACGGGCCATATATGTAGCGATTGACGTACCGTTGTCGGAGTCCTCTGAGTGGTCCAGATCAGCGTCATCTTCGCTTGTTCCGAAGAGCTCTCTAAAAATCCAAAAAAATCAGTCCCAGTATCATATAACACATAATTTGTAAAAGCACTCACGGCAATAGATAACTTTTAGCCCACACAATACAATGAATTGGCTGACTGGGCGTGCTCCTTATCGTGCAGACTGGAAACGACTTGGGGACCGGTTTGCTGGTACAGTCGTAGCACTCGGTTCGAGCCTTCTTAATAACCTGGACCTGACCGTTATACCCAGTTGTGCCACTCTCGATCAAGGGGACGTTGGCAGCCAGGCACATTCGATTGACGTGTCTCCTCGCGTCAAGGTTATCCAGGGCGTTAAAAACGACGTCAAAGGAAGAAAACCAGTCGACATTAAACCGGCTCTCTTTAATATTGGCGTGATAGGCTTCAATGGTGGACTGTGGTCGAAACTTTTGGGCGACTTCCTTTGCGACCTGTATGATACGATAGCTGTTAGAGAATAGGGTTGGGAAAGCACCTTCCAACGAACTTCCGCGGGGGACAGACAAAGTCAACGTACCAGGGCCTTGGGTTTTTTTATATGTTCATGGCGGAAGAGGAATTGGCGGTTCAGGTTCGACAAGTCGATGGTATCAAGATCTATAATGTGAACCGTCCCGAAGCCGGAGAGAAGGAGGTTCTTCAGCAGCTCACAGCCTATGCCGCCGGCTCCAACTAGTAAGACACGGCTCTATGAAGAAGAAAGGTGCGTGTCAGTGATGGTTAATCAATGGGGTTCTCTTGCCTGGAACACTCACCTCGTGAACCTTTGTGACCAAGGATCCGATCGACTGCTTCAGAAAGCGATCGCGGCCATGCGCCGCGTGGGGTGACATGACGCTCAGGATACCCAGAGGTAGCTGAAGAGCGATCGTTCTATCTGAAGACGGTGCGATGAGTTGGTGGGCGTAGGAAGGTAACTTGAGGGCTGAGGTCGCGGAGTGCGGCAAAGTGACCTCATCCGAGAAAGGCGGACTTCAATTGAGAATACGGGGACAGGACGGCCAACAGAGGGTGTTGGTCTGTTCAGGAACACTGGCCGGGTCTTTATTCTCACTTAGTGTCTTCGCTGCGGTCTTCTGTGTTGATGCGCCGAGCTCATTGCTTCCTGGATGCGCGCTGGGAGAGGATGGTAGCCGGGTGGAGGATCGGTCTGTCTCTACGTCAGTCCGGAAGATGGATATGCCCCCTGCGTTAACTAATAAACGACAAGAATAGGCCACGGAGAAAGACAGGTACCATGCCAGCAGTCTACCCTTGCAGTAGCATATACAGGACAGGACCAGCCGCAGCCAATGCAGCAGCGTAGATATCCCAGATGCGCTGAGCCCGTCGTGCAGCTAGCCGTACATACATGCGGATGGACAGGCAGACGGCCGCGCAAAAGAAATATACCTACAGACTCTATCTCTCCATCTCTCTACTCTATTCTCTTCTACTCTATATATCTTCTATTCTATATCTTCTACTCTATATCTTCTACTCTATATCTTCTACTCTATATCTTCTACTCTATATCTTCTACTCTATATATCTTCTACTTATCGTAAGTGCGTTGTAGATGTTACTAGTTAAGTGCTAAAAGCGGCACCCAGATCGTCCCAAAATGGACAATATAAAACTTCTTCCATGCGAATTTCAGTCACAAAATGCAGATTTCACACTCGCGGCATCACGGTTTCTTCCTCTCGGTTGGCGTTTGAGCAGTTGATCTGTTGTTTCACTCTTCGCTCACATTTCTTGCTGCCTCGTTTTCGGCGTCTTTCTAACATTCACGGTCTCGTAGAAAATATCCCCTGGTGGCAACCCTTTACTCAACCCCTTTCTTTCTCACCCTCTCTCTCTCTTTCTCTTTCACTTTTCATATTTGCAAAATGTACGACGACTACGATGATGATGGCCCAGACCTTGAGCTGGTAGAGTTGCTCCGACAGTCCCTTGGCCTGGGAGCGCCGAACTCGAAGGCTCCCCCGCCGCCAGAGACAAGGGTGCTCGATGGAGCAAGATACGTCTTTGACAACTCGATTGATGTTGCCCTGGATCCAAAGGGGACCAAGCGGGCAGCGAAAACTATCTGGAAGATGATGCAGGAGAAGCGGTATTCGACGGAAACTTGGTCAGAACACGAGCTTCACCCCAAGGCGAAAGACGAATCTACCGTCGATTTCATATTCACCATGGACCTGTTGAATTTCAGCTTCTGGTCTGACGAACTGGATGCCTCCAAGAGATTTGCTATCGAATACCGCGGCAAGAGATGGACGGGCTATTGGAGTTTGATCGCTGCCCTGCAGAGAGCAATCGACGAAGGTATTACCCCTAACACATCAGGCATTCGCTGGATATATATTCCTTGCTATAAGGATGGTACGATGCTGAGACTTGCAGAGATTCCAATTACGAGCTCCGACTTTTGGCAAGACGAGAATGAGTGCACCGAGGATGTCTTGAGACATGTTTTTCGGTCTGCCACAAACGAGGAGATTCCCCTGCTACAAGAACGAATTGCATGTCTGCGCGAAGCAGGAACTGTTCTTTATAAAGTATGCACCCCCCGTGGCATGACGATTGATAGCGAGTTCGTTGTCTTGTCCTAACCAAACACTAACTTTACCTTATAGAAATATCAATGCAGCTTCACCCAATGCATTGCTGAAGCCAATGGCTCGGCGGCAGCTTTAGTGAACCTACTGGCGCAGAATTTCCCATGTTTCAGAGATGAGACGGAATTCTGTGGGAAGCAGGTCCGGTTCTACAAACGAGCTCAGATTCTCGTTGCGGACCTGTGGGCTTGCTTCCAGGGGGAAAGCTACGGGGAGTTTCACGACATAGATAAAATAACCATGTTTGCGGGTATGTCATGTCTGAGCTCCATCTCCAGCTTGCCCGGCTCTATAGCTGTGAACTAACATTTGTGACAGATTATCGCATTCCACAAATGCTCAATCAACTTGGCTGTCTCCTCTATTCCCCGCCACTAGAGAGTATTATTCGAATGCGTAAGCCTATACCTAGTGGTCACCCGCGGGAAGTCGAGCTTCGCGGCACAAGTATTTGGTGTGTCGAGTTGATAAGACGGGAGATTGAAACCCTTCAGCAGCAGGCGAACGGCAATAGAATAGAGGAGGGAGCAAAACCTATACAGGTGAATGCAATTTTGATCGATTTTTTGTTGTATGACACAGCAAAGGATATGGAGAAAGAGGGAAAGGAGGCCATCCCTCACCACCGGACAAGGAGTATCTGGTATTAATATCACTTTTCATTCACTTAGATATGACCTATAGACAACCAATAGATATATTTTTTAATGCCCTTTTACATCGATTCTATCTTTGTGCAGTTATTCGTTCATATTCATAGCTATAAGATTGAAAACATGAGGTAGGGTGCTCCGTACTCCGTGTATTTATGCAAGGGGAATAATGCAACGACTGTTTCGCAGGCTCCTTCGTATGTCCCAAAAAGAAAAAGCCGGACCAACCCAAAAATAACGCCGTAAGCTCAAAAGAACAAAAAAGGTATTCTGAAGTCGTTAGGCAATCTCGATCTGTTCTATCCAAGCCATAATGCGATCTCTCCAAGTTCCAAAGGTATGCTTTTTGTCCTCACTCAGCCAATCAACCTGGGGATGCATCATCGTGCCGAGCCCAGGTAGTAGAGTATTACCATAGGCGTATTGATCTTCGGCATTTAGCAGCCTTCTTCCAACATCTGCCTCCCTGCTCCTTTGCATCTTTCTCCTAGGGCTCATTATTTCATCGTCGTCCTCGAGATCGGATTCATCACCTAGAACCCTCTTTCTGCCCTTAATATCCCGACGCTGCGCCTCAATTTCCTGAGCTGTTGGCAGGGGAACATTCTCAAACCACTGCTGATCAATGGCCCAACCCATATCCAGGATGATCATAAGCCATTCATGGACCTCCATCTGAAATATTTCCTGTCCATCTACCGCTCGGGGTAGGTTGATGCTATCCAGCGCATTCCCTACGGTCTCTTCCAGGTGCATTTCATTCATTTCCGCGATTGGCTCGTTGGGATAGTTTTGTTTCTCGCCGTCGTATTCCATGCCAAGCCGACGTGTGTACACGATGAAGTAGATAGCAATGATCAAGGTGGAAATTCGGTCTCGGGCTGCTTTCTGTTCAGCAGGATCGTTCCCTGTTTTCCCGTAGGATAAAACAGGGGCTACAAGGTCCTTCCACTTCTCGGTTAGGTGTGCTTCCGAAGGTGATATCAATGATATAACCGAACAGAGGCCTGAGTATATGTGTGGCGGCAGAGCCATCGCAAATGTGTCGCACGAAGCAATCTTATCGGCTAGCTTGAGGGTAGGAATCGTTTTGCATATAGTTCTTATCGAGCCCATGGCCCACTGAGGTACTTCTTTGCTTGATGCATTCCTCATCATCAAATTCGAGGCCACATTCCGTTGGCTATTTGGTTTCTTAGCCTGTCCGGGAGAAGAGATAGCCGATGATGTGGCGGTAGGAGTAGGTAAAGCCGGGGGTGCAGCCGCAGCTTTGCTATGAATTCTGGCAGAGGTTCGTTTTGGCGGTTGAGACTCCGCGCCTTGACGCTTTGAGCTAGCCGAGGAGCTCAAAAGGGACTGCTCAAGGTATGAATAGAGCTTTTTGTATACTCGGGGAGGACATGGTGGGCGGCTGAGAGGGGAGGGGAGCGTCAACATCCTTGACAGCCTATACGTCCAAAGTTAGCTCCTCCGTAACGTTTGCCTGTAGGGAGCCGTCAGAGCCAGCTTTACCTCTTGCAGGCAATTTCAGCACACGCATATGGCCTGGCAATTTCCATTTCCGGTTTTAGGCTGGCACCAGAACTTCGAGACTGTGTGAGGAGAGACGATGCCAAGTTCACCAGTTCGCGAGGCAGCTCCTCCGCCAATGCGGGGAGAAGGCCAGCAAGTGCCTGCTCGATCGACCTGTGACTCATCTTAGGCTATCAATTGAGGAGATATGTAACGTCGACGATACGGGAAACGGGGTGCAGCTGTCCATTATCACTTGTTCCTGCTGCTGCGGTGGTTGGTATGCGATCTCATCCCAGCCACCGCCAAAAATTCATTTTCTTAACAAAACGCGAAATAAACGCGTCAACTAGCGCGCGCCACTTAAACACGCAGACTTAGTAAGGGATTACTAAGGAGTAGCTGACTCATATATAGCTGACTAATCTTCTTTCTTCCCGAGGTCCATCGAAGTGAGATCTAAGTAAGGTGAGAATGAAGGGCAAACACATATATGGAGTGGCTACACAGTGCCGACAGATTATCGAGTCGGCCGACGCTTTTGAGATTGAACAAGGGTCGGCAGTTCAGCTCGGCAGCCCTCTGAGATCCCAAGATAAACCAGAAGAGATTCACCTTGGCTGCAGCTTCAATTTTAAACCTTGGGCTGAAAGCTTTCTGGATAGCTAATTTATACCTATACTCCCGTACAGAGCACTGGATAGACAATGGAGTACGGCGTAGTCACTGCCCTTATACATGAGTCCGCTTCGGTTGGAAGACATCTCCTTTATTCATTTTGTGGGGATACTGCGGGGAGTGATAGCCAGCCAAGACGATCAGATAGGTGCTCTTTATACTATATCCCAGGCAAACCGCGGCAAAGAACTTAATGTGCTACGTTGCCGGCTAAAGGTCGAGAGGGGTTGAGTTGGCCATGTTGATGCATCATCTCTTGCCGAGTTGTCTGAGCTTCCCAGAGGTTTATAAAGTGGTGGCATGTCACTAGGTAGAGGTCGTGAAAATAAGAAGATCTACAAGTTGGGCAAATCCCTCGAAAGATAGCAAACATGGGCCAATCTTATAAAGAGATATCGGCGATTGCACGGAAGAGAAGGGATGATGCCATATCTGCCTTCTGGTCAATCCCCGATATCAAGGACGACGAATTACCACAAGACCTGAGGTCTTACCCGCAAACATCCGGCCTGCTGGCTGCCGACGAGCTGGCTATCGTCAATACGGATGCCACGGAGCTCCTGGAGAAAATCAGGGAAGGGAGGCTGTCTTCGGTCACGATAACCACGGCCTTCTGCAAGGCAGCCATCATTGCACAAAAGCTGGTATGGCCAATGATCCTCACCTTCATTGAGATATTGGTGGTGATGGCTGAAGTTAACGTAAACACTGGTGTATGTAGACCAATTGTGTCACGGAGGTCTTGTTCACAGAAGGGCTAGAACGTGCAAAACAGCTCGATGATCATCTCCAGAAGACCGGCTCCATTGTCGGACCACTTCATGGATTGCCAGTCTCGTTGAAGGACAACTTTATGACAGCTCCTCACCCGTCTTCTATCGGGATGGCTGCATATACCAATGAGGCAACGGAGAAGGATTCGGTGATAGTGACAGGTTTGCGCGAGCTAGGCGCCGTTTTCTACATCAAGACAAACGTACCCACGGCGATGCTGATGGCGGAGACAAACAACAGAGTCTGGGGCGAAACTCGAAACCCAATCCATAAGGGGTTGACCCCTGGTGGTTCATCGGGCGGAGAGGGCGCTCTCATTGCGTTGAAGGCATCGCCATTGGGAGTTGGGACGGATATTGGAGGCAGTATCCGTATACCAAGTGCTTTTTGTCACCTTTACGGCTTGAAGCCATCATTTGGCCGTTTTTCGACATTGGGGGGTCGAGCAGCTATCCCCGGCCAGGACTTTGTTCCCTCGGTGTGCGGCCCAATGGCAACTTCTCTCGAGACAGTCAAATTGTTCTGCGAGTCGGTATTATCTGAGCAAAGTGCACCTTGGAACGCTGACCCCAAACTTATCCCTATGCCATGGAGAAAGGATGTCATTCAACCCAAGGGGCGAAAGCTGCGCATTGGAATACTTGGAAACAGTGATGGGGCCATGACGTGCTATCCACCGGTTGAACGGGCCCTTAAAATTGTAGGCAAGGCATTGAAAGATGCTGGTCATGATGTCTTTGAGTGGTAAGTATGCCCCCTGGTGCCTGTTGCCCTATACATACTAATCCATGTTCCCAGGGCGCCTACCGGTCATGTAGAGGTGCTGAAACTTCTTCTTGAGGCATTTCATGTGTTTGGAGCTTCGGAGATTCTTCCTCGCCTACAGGAGCATGGCGAGCCCCTTTTCAAGTCGATGGAGTCAAGCTCCTCAAGCTGCAAGGTTGACGAACTAAGCGCTGTGAAACTGAGCGAAATGATCATAAAACGCAATTCCCTACAGAAGCAATACCTCGATAGGTGGATGGCTACCGAAACAGACGCCTCTGGCCCAATGGACTGTATCATCTCACCAGTCGCAGTGGCTCCAGCGTCTCGTCTCGGATATGGCGAAACGGTCCAATATGCTGGATACACCGCGTTCGGTAATATCCTCGGTATGCTCTCTTTCACTCCTTCTTTATCGTTACCCATAATGTCATTGGGAACTGGAATTACTTACACGCTCTTCAAATCATACAGACCTTCCTTCCTGTACCTTTCCTGTTACCTACACCGATAAGGCCACCGACCTGAAAAGAGATGCGAGCTGGAAGGCGTTGAATGATCAGGACCAGCGGATGCAGGATGAGTACGACCCTGATTTCTATCATGGAGCACCAGTCTCCCTGCAATTGTATGGGAGGAGACTCGAGGAAGAGAAGGTCATTGAAATGGTCGAAGTTGTAGCGGGCATCCTTAAATTCCAACACCGCAACTAACGAGGCTAGAGTGATAGATCTCGGTTCAAAGCATCTCTAGACTATAGGTAGTTTAGCGTAGAGTATAGTTATAGATATAGGAGAATTCTCAACCTGCGAGTAATGCGATGTCGAGCTGGTTAGAATGTGCTATGTGCTTGATGATGTTGAAGAGTAAGCTCTTGGCCCCAATCAGGAAATCCGTTGCCATGGACAACCACCTTTTGGTCAACGGCCAGGCAGCGAGATCTTGCAAGCAACATACACACAGCCGAACATCAAGTTACCAACGCCCGTACCATACTGCTAATCTGCCGATCGCCTGCAGAGGTACCCATACTCAATTCGCCATCTGGTCAAATTAATCTCAACAAGAAACCGTTCATCATGGCGCCCCGCCGAAGAGCCGCAGACTCCAGCGCCTCCCGCAGAAGCAACCAAGCAACTCTCCAATTCGGCACTCAAGCAAAGATATCAAAGCCATTTTCAGGCGCATCGATACCCGGAAAGGAATCTAAGAAGGCATCTCCCTCTCCCAAGGAAATATCTCTCCCCACGCATCTACCGCCGGCAGAAGCAGCAGCAGCAGCAGCAGCCGCAGCAAAACCGCATGATGACCATTCTACCACCGAGCCCGAGGCAACTCCGGCGTCAACAACTTCGACCGCCGTCGTAGAAGAGCAGGCTAGGGCTGAAGCAGCGCAACCAAAATCCAAGGAAGACCAGCGAGCGGAAGCGTTGACAATAAGAGATTTGGAGAATTATTGGCGGGCGGAAGAGAATAAGCGGACGGCACCACGAGGTAAGTGGTCACTTTGGTGCAATGAGGACTCGTTTGAACTACGTTCTGACATTTGGCGGGGTTTTCTCTTTTACAGTGCATCAGAAATACATAAGCATGGAGGAGAGGATTCTACGACACTTCGACCTATGCAACCAATATGGCGTAAGTGGCTCTTCCCCAACCAGCAGCGATGCAACGCACGACGGACGCCTGGCAGTTGACAAAGGAGACTGACTATCACTGAATAATCGCAGCCCTGTATTGGAATCGCACGGATAAAGCGTTGGAGACGGGCCCATATGCTGGGTTTAAACCCACCACTTGAGGTTCTTGCGGTTCTGCTCAAGGAGGAGACACGAGAGAGGGCCAGTGAGAAGGCGTATATAGATGAGTTGCTATCATGAAGTGCTAACAACCCTCTGTTGGATATATATTCCCTATGTGCTGCCGCTGCCTGCTGAGCGACGGATATGTCTTTCTTTTTTCTTTTTCTGGTTCATTCCCCTTGGATGGAAATTGACCGATGTTGATTAAACTGCTTTCTTGGTTTTGGATCACGGGCGTTTTGGACGGCGGCTTGATAGTCGGGAACGAGGTTGACCAATTTTAATACCCATCCATCATTATCATAACACCTGCATTCACAGGCCTTCTTTCTTCAACACTTGCCGTGGCTATAGCGTTAGCGAACCTCCGGTGAGCCCGTGCCCAATTAAAGGATCGTTTCGCATTGTCAGAGCTCTGAAGCTGCAGATCGCAATACCGCGCAGTCCTACTCAGCCGGACTGGAGGATGCAGCGCGAGGCAGTATAGCTGACTCGAAGGCCACAAAACGCAATCTCGATGTCTTTCGGCCGGCCGCTCCTTCACATGAATGAACAAATGCGGTCAGTGCTCCTCAAAACCTGGGGAAAATATCCTCGGGATATCTATATCTAAATACCCCAGAAGGCCCGTTAGCACGCGGCAAAGGGCCAGCAACCTCGACAGGCCCAGCCACCCCTTTTTATTTCCCGCCGACGAGGGGAAAGTGTGAGTGGGCATGACCTTGGGATCCTACATTGCACGGCCATGTCATGCAAGGCATCGTAAAGGATGTGGATGTGACGAGCCACCCCTGGAGTAATCTCAATAGTTACGACGGTGGTATTGTGCCAGAGTTCAATAACCCCATATTCCCTACCCGACAATACAGGGCCCCTTTCCACCAACCGACCAACCAACAGCCTGGCACACAGAAACACTCTGGTTAAGCAATGCAACAGGGCCGCCAGATTAGCTTCGTCTCTTCGAATTCTCTCGCTTTCTTTGGTGCTAGCCCCTTGGATGAGCCCTGGGTTCCTTCTGGATCCTCGCATGCAGGTACACCAATTGGACGCCAGCCTAGGCGTCTTCATATCCGAGGTGTCAAAAAGCACAGCGAGAAGGAAAGTGAAGAATCCCTTGGGCCTTCAGCAAGCGGTGTCTAGACTCACATCTGCCTCGGAATCCCTGTCGCCTGCCCCTTTTTCTTACATTTGAGCCATGTCTCCTGCCCGGCGGAGAAGGGCGAGTAAACAGTACCCAGAGTAGCTGCCATAGTCGACATGGTCTAAAGCGAGAAGCATGTATCCGTTCAACTGTATAATTCTAGGTCTTATCGTGCGCTTTCCCGTACTTATCGCTCATATACGCCAGGGATATCTACTATAAGCTGTCGAGAGCTGCGGGGATACGACATGGCATGCATCGCTTCCCCGAGCCCAAGCAAAGCATCACTCGGCCACAAGTTCCCCGTCTAACGGAACAGGCCATTATATACCGCCAAGAGGAGTAGAAAAGCGTCGCGAAACACCGAGTTGTTTTGGAAGCGAGCTTGGGACGCCATGTGGGAAGCGCGCGACGACGAGGATGCGATGCACTCTCGGGAGAAAGGGAACTGCTAATGAACATCCACGACAGGACTGACAGAACTCATACATGCGTTGCGGCTAAGGCAAAGCAAACACGAACTCTCGGGGGCTGTGAAATGCTACATCCGTCATCGCTATCGTGGACTCGTGGATGACATCGTCACACCGGAGCTCCCTATAGGCAGCTTACCCGACTTATACATAGCCATCCATCCACCTCATCTCGCGGTTATCATGGCCACTCTCTGGGGGGCTTGGACGTTTCCCGTCGCTCGCCACGCACTCTGCCGACACTGGCTGATACTACCTGTGACGTTATCGACGGAGCATCGCCTCTTTGGGAAAGGCTGTTCCCTGAACTCGAGCTAGGGGCCCTTGGATCGGTATATTATAGCAAAGGGGCTATCATGATTCGGCCAAGGATACACATGGATCGTGCTGAATAATAGCCCTGTTAATATTCCGTACAAGCTTGCTTGCAAAAATTAAAAAAGGAAAGCAAGGAAAGGAAAAAAAATAAAAGAGGAGAAGGGGATAAAAATACCCCAGTGGGCTATCGATAATGGGAAGATGAGGTCCGCTTCGATAGTCAACGCTCCGAATCGGTTCAGCGTGGTGATACGACGGTGGCACAGCTAGCCAGCATGATCTTCCAATGTGGCATCGGTCCAGGTGGCATAGTCGTTACTATTAATTGATCGATCCAGAAACGGATGCATGGATCGATCTGCCTCCGATCGTCCTCCTCCTTTGGGCGGGAAGGGAGAATTTTGCAAGCTGGGCGAATCATCCTCCGATTCCTACGATTACTCCGTACCCAGGGCAACAGAAGCGGCGGCCCTCGGGAATACCTACCCACTCCAAGGACGCCCCGAGAGGGTTTGTAGCCCGCCTGTCGTCTGGGGTATATCCGACGCCTACCCATCACAGAGCGAAGCGTTGCTTTCGAGTCAAGGCCGCCCCGATCCAACTTGTCCAACCACCGTCATAAACAAAAGCGCTCAAAAGAGTTAAATGGGCCAGAGTTAACCCAGAGTCAAAAGGGAATATGCAGCCCAAGAGGGATTACGATACAATACGCCGCGCATCCTACAAGGATCTCCACAAATAAACATCGATTATAGAGGCTACTCCGTGTTTAAGTTCCTACATCCATTGCAACGATGAAGTTATGGCCGGTAGTGACGCCCCGGGTGGAACCTGACGTGAGACAATGATCCCAGTCTCCAAAGATTTCGCATAAACAATGACATTCACCAGGCCTTGGGAGCTCTCCACTCTCGAGTAGCTGCTTGCTCCCCGTCAAACGCGCCGAGCGCCACAAACAGAGTCATGGATCGCCCCCGGGGAACGACGATAGCACCAACGCCAGAAGCCAAGAGCGAGATTTACTGACATTCCATATATTCGAGAAGTTTTGACAGAGCGCAGGGGGATGCAGCGATGCGCCCGTAACCCTATATCATGCTCCCTACAGGGTTCTTCGCTGAGCAGGCATTCGCACGAAAGGGACTTCTCGCAGTCAACCTCAGTAACTCCCGTTCTCCGTATACTCCGTATACTCTACATTGAGCAAAGGAGAGGGAGGAAAAGCTTGACTAGGGTTAAATTGATATTTCTTGCATCTCCTTTTCAAAACGATCAGATCTCGGTTCGCCACTCCTAACGGAGTACCTTTTTTCGCCCTAAGCTAAGAGAACGAGCTTCGGGGTCCCAAGGGAACCAGGTGTCTCATTGGCATGATTGCATCTGCTCGTACCTTTGGGTTACGACGACTCTCCACCAGGGAAAGCCTGCGAGACAGTCAAGAGGCCTGTCCTCCGTAACCGCGGTCCCCATCCTCCGGCTTACAGGACGGCAACCACCCAAGCAACGCAACCTTTACCAGCAAAATACCATTTACCAATCAGTCGCCATCGCCATCACCACCGCAACCACCGCCAACGCAGGATCGACCGAGGGAATGCTATTTTTTCCTTTTTCTTTTCCTTTCTTTTTTGCCTTTCGACGGCAACGCAGTTCCTGGTATTGCTGGATACACGGTATAGCCCGAGGACTGGGGCATGTGAAATGTTTTTGTAATTCCATGCATCCTGCCCTCCCCCGGCCTGCCCTAACTCCTAGGCTTTCCCCCTTCCCCCAGCCCGTCCGTCCAATGTTCTGGATGTATCCATCCGCAGAGGGCCCTCTTTTTCCTGAGCTTCTCCCTGGCCGAGGAACCAGAGGGCGTGGGGTGTGGAGCTAGCCTCCCCCCTAACCACAGGAAACCAGGCCGGGGTTCTGACTATCAACCCTTGTTTTTTGTAATTTGCCCTTTCGTTGCTTTTTCCATCAAATTCCCTTCCTTGGTGCTGGCCGGTGGGTATAAAGCAGTACCCTCCTCCCCGCCTTATTCTCCCTTCTTTTTTCCCCTTTCTCTCTGCATCCACCGATTCAGCTCGATTAATACACATCTCGACACTCGTTTCGTCGTTCAACTGTCGTTTACGCTCGCATTAATACAAGTCTTTCTTGTCTTCCAACTACCGACAAAATGAAGTTCTCCCAAGCCGTCGTTGCCCTCGCTGCTGCCTCCGTGGCCACCGCCCAAGGTCTCCCAGACGTCCCACCATGCTCTGTATGTTGCCAATTGAAGCCGATATGATGGATTTTGAAGCCAGCAATCCAGGGGGAAACATTCGACTAACGGAATCTATAGCTCAGCTGCTTCGTTGAGGCCCTCGGTGGTGATGGCTGCTCCGAGTTGACCGACTTCAAGTGCCACTGCTCCAAGCCAGAGCTCCCAGGCAAGATCACTCCTTGCGTCAAGGCTGCCTGCCCAATTGAGGACCAGATCAGTAAGTTTCTTCAAATACCTATTCTGTGAGAACCAGCTCTAACATCTCTATAGTTGTCTCCAAGGCTGTCGTCAAGCAGTGCTCTCAGGCTGGAAACCCCATCTCTATCCCCCCAGTTGAGGAGTCCTCTTCCGCCCCTGCCTCCACCAGCGAGGCCCCAACTGCCTCCCCAACTGAGAGCACCCCAGCTCCATCCACCACTGCTGCCCCAACTGGCACTGGCTCCCCATCCGGCACTGGTGCTCCAGGTGGCCCATCCGGCACCGGTACCTTCACCAACACCGGTGTCCCAACCCAGTCCACCCCCATCTACACCGGTGCTGCCTCCGGCCTCGCTGCCAACGTTGGCGGTATGGGAGCTGCTCTCCTCGCCCTCGCTGCCTACTTGTAAACAATGGTCTCCTAAACTGTGTCAATTAATATTTTTTTTTCATGTCTTTTATTTGATAAATTCCCCCCCGTGTCCTACCCGGGCATCGACGACTTAATAATATAAATCTACTTTGAAGACCAGATCAAGAGCACTAATGCATGGTGGATGGTGAACGTTGTCGTGTGCGTTGTTCGTTGTTTCGGAAGGGGGAAAAAACGGTTCTCTTTTGCCCAACCCAACTTAACTATTAATAGCCTGTATATACAGTATCAATATCATGCCAGTTTGACTTGGAAGAAGAACTTGATTTGGTGGACCTTGACTTGGAACAGGGAGCTCGTATCCCTGGCCACTCTCCGCATACGGTTTATATAACCACCCATGTCTATACTTGGGACAGACGTTACATCAACCAAGACGGGTCGCCAGTCACGCGTGAGCTCTATCTGATAGACAGACTCCGTATTGTCTTAAACGCCCTCCTCGTTGTCGTCCATAGTTTGGGCCAGGATGCCAGCAGATACGACTTACGTATGCCATCTGAACTCGGGCTGACCGACTCTGACTTGGGTGTACATTACCTGCAGCCGATCGTGGCGGTCTGGATAGGCGAGGTCGAGGTCGCAAGCTATCAAAACTGGCTGCAGCTCGCCGGTGGAGGCACTAGACGAAAAGCCACCGGGCGTGAAACGAGACGATTTCATAGTGATCGGTCGCTATTGAAATATTCCCTTTGCAAGCTGCACAGACAAGCTGGCATCTGCAAGCTATCTCACACATTCAACCGTATCCACGTCGCACCGCAAGCCGCAAACAGCGAGCTGGAAGGCCGTGCGACGTGCAAGATATACCTGCAGACGTTGCAGACGGTGCAGACGGTGCAGACGGCTGAGATGGATCGGCATGAACGGTACAGGTACGAAGCAGGGCGTACAGCAACGTACAGCAGATGTACAGCAGGATGTACAGCATGAGACGTATCACGGCGTTGAATGCTGACGTTGATATCGATATCGGGATCATGCATATCAAGACACGGCATCTCTGCTCCTATCTATGCTACTGTGTACATGCTGCTGTTGTCTACTACTGCTGTCTATATTGCTATCTATGCTACTATCTATGCTGCTGTCTACTATGTAGAATGAAGCTTCTATCAGCAACAACGTCTGATACAACTGCCCTGCGCCTGCTCTCTACCATGACTATCTACCATGGCTACCATGATATCTACCATGCCTCGATGGCTCACTACAACATGCAATGCAATGCATAGAATGAAATACCATACCCATCTCAGTCGAAATGCCGACCCTCATCCCGACCGATGCATTCCCAGAGGCATATACTGCATCCACCGTTCCCTTCCCCATCAACGTCGCGGGCGAACCTCGCCGTAATGACGTCGTGATAGCGTTACCATGGGACTGCATCCATCGCATCTTCCAGGAAGTAATTCTCCTGGAAGACCTGTCCGAAATACCTCGACATATCCGCGAGGCGCAAGCACGAGAGAGCTGGGGCCAGGTCGTCAAGCTGATGGGCGTTAACCGTGAGACTACCTCTGCTCACTCATCTAGATGATATTCATCAGACTGACAGGTATAGGAGCGTGGTATTCACTTGTCCGCGGCGCGCTGATATCCATGCCTATGGCCGCGATATTGGACAACTGCCCTGAAAAATGGGCGTTGAAGTCACTAGACATCAACCTGACGCATCTACGCCAATGCAACCATCCAGCAACGATGTATACGAACGGGCTATCGAACGTCAAGAAGCTCCCCTACGACCACCCAGCAGTCAGGGCGACGGTGATGGACCTCCTTCCCCGAGCAGTGGCAAGACAGTTCCACAAATGCACACAGATGCTTGTACGGGCTGGCGCAAACATCAGCGCGAGAGACAAGCTGGGATATTCATGCCTGTACATCGCCGTCGATCAAGGGTGGCATATGGGTCTAATATGGCTATTAGAAGAGCACACAGGCCATAACCTCGACATCGACAATCCTACAGCCGCTGCCCTGGCGATGCTAAAGGAGGACCGACTCAGCTTTGCCTCGCTGATTAACTCTGGTGGGAAGCTGGATTCTCGGTTCAGATATAGGGGTAAATTGTTCACGCTGCCTACCTTCATGGCGACCCATGCGACTGGCACGATGATACATTCTATGACGCAGAGGGGGCTAAAGGACGACCTCCCGGACGACCATCCGGATAATCTGATCATGATCTGTCTCCGGGTGGATAATACTGGATTACTGCTGACCCTGCTGTCGTGCGGATGGATGGTGGACCATGTGGCCGCGGAGCTGGAGAGAAGGGGCTGGTCGTGTTCTGAGCGGGCAAAGGCGCATCTCGTTCACTTTAGGATGTGGCCGTCTCGCGCGCCTCCTATTCTGCGGTGGGTTGCATAGCTATTAGCACTCGGTGTATTATTACTACAAGCTCTGATATTACTACAAGCACTAGTACTACTATACAAGCACTGGTACTACTTCTACGAATTGAGTACTACGAATGAGTACACGAATGAGAATTGAGAATGGGAAGAGATAGATTATGTCTAGTATCATGCATCGTGAAGATTAAGCGCCAAACTCCTTGACGTCGGTGGTCTTGCCGCTGAGAGCGAGAGGCACGATGCCGCTGACGTGCATCTCTGGACCAAAGACGTGCATATCCAGATGCAGCTCCTCTCCGACGGCCTTGATGTTCTTGAGTCCCTCCTGGTAATTTGGACCAGCTCTCCTGACCCAGATCTGCACTTTATGTTCAACAAGGACGGGAGCGACCTCGCGTAGGGCCCGTATGACGCCCTTGAAGGTGGTGGCTACGTTGGTGAAGTTGGCGATACCGCCTCCGATGAAGAGAACTTTTCCTTCTGGTCTGAGGGGTGCTCTGAGCATGAGGTCGAGGACGGTGCGGGCGTAGTTGTATGTCTGGGTCTCGGTGGGAGCGCCAGAGTACTCACCGTAGTTGGCGAGCTCGGAGACGTGGCCGGCCGAGGCGATGGCGTCCGCGTAGACGACGGAGGCACCACCACCGGCGACGAGGGTCCAGATGCGGCCCGAGGCGTTGAGGACGGTCAGCTTGAGGGAGGCACCGGTCTTTGCATCCATGTCGGAGATGTATTTCTCCTCCTTGGTCATCTCGCGGCCAAAGGGGGCGGGGAACTCCATGGGCGGGCCGGCGTCGACGGTGACCTTGGACGAGGCATTGGCTGCGGCAGAGACGCCGAGGGCAGCAGGGGAGCGAGCAATGGCCCACTTGGTGCCGCACTCGAACTCGGCGGTCTGGTCGAGCTTCGCGGCGAGGTCGAGGAAGTGGACGGTGGCAGAGGTCTTGGAGGCATTAGGAATAACGACCAAGGGGTTGATCTCGAGGTAGGTGAACTGGCAGTCGACGTAGACGGCGTAGAGGCGGGTGATGAAGTCGACCAGCACGTTGTGGATGCCCTTGGGGATCTTGCTGAGCAGGCCGGCCGCGATCTCCTCGTTGCTGGGATACTGCTTCAGGTTGACGGGGACGAGCAGCTTCTCAGCTTTGGCATCGACATCCCCCACGTCCACTCCTCCTTCGTGCGTAAACAGAATCCAGTCTCCCTATTCTCGTTAGCACACACACATATAAAGAGATATAGGGGGACTACCTCTCGGACGGAGTTGATGTTGATGTAGTACTCGGTGTCCTGTGGGTGAGGGACAAAAGGCTCGACGAGAAAGTGTCTGAGTACGCCCACGACGGACTCTACCTGCTGCTCTCTGCCGGCTCTCTCTGCTATCCAGGCCCTCGCCTCAGGCCATGTCTTGTTGAGTGCGAGCAGGCCCGACTTGCCCCTTCGCTTGATGAGCTGGTCGGGCTTTGCGACGAAGCGGGCGTCCTTGACGAGCAGCCAGGGGTAGGTAGCCTCTGCCTGGTCGAGGACGGCCTCTACAGAGACGTCTGCCGGGAAGTCGAGGGAGGCGAGCTTGGAGGGCGCGTTGTGGGAGGCTGCCGGGGCCAGAGGAGAGGGCTTGATGACGGGGGCGCGGGTGAGATGGTAGTTGAGGATGGCCTTGCCGTCGGCCTCGTAGATGGACTTTGCAGACATCTTATTATCAGTTCAATTATGTCGCTGCAATCAATTGTGGGAGGAGAGGGTGGTATAAGGGTGTAGGTAGAGGGTAGATATTAAAGTAGGTGTAGGTGTAGGTGTAGATATTAGTGTATGTATGGTGGGAAGCTGGTGGGAAGCGTTGGGCAGAAGGTTGAGCTAGCCCCTCGACTCTTCTTCTTCCTGCTACTCCTTCTGCTCCCTCTGCTCCCTCCTATAAGTATTCCATCCGACCGCGGGCCTTTCTCTAATCCTCCGTCTCCGTCTTACTATATCTCAACACTCAGCCTGGTCTCTTCTTCATCTCTTCTCTTCAACATCCTCATCTTCAACATCTACTTCTACATCTACTCACTGGGGCGCCCTAGCTGTTTCTGGCTAGCCGACGCGCTTCTCTTCGCCTGAAAAGGAGCTCGAGCACGCCAACTTCTATCTCCAACACTACTCTACTCTCTACTCTCTTCTCTACTCTACTCTACACTCTACACATACACAATTACATCTACATACTCAATTACTACAGTACTTCTATAAGCAATGGGCGCCGCCGACTCCAGCGGAAACCTGTCCGCCAACGACAACATCCGCCGCTTCACCGCAGCCTCCCGCCCGCTCACCCCCCTCGAACACAACCTCTTCCACAACAAGACCAGATGCTTCGTCTAGTACGTATATACCCAAGATAAAGATGTGAATATTATACTGACGATTGGCAGTGGAATGCAGCCGAGGGCGGTCCAGGGGATGCTCGACTTTGACTTCATCTGCAAGCGGTCGACCCCCTCCGTCGCCGCCATCATATACACCTTTGGCGGCCAGTTCGTCAGCAAGATGTACGTTCACCCCCATATAGAAAGAAAAAGAGAGAGACTGACCGGACAGGTACTGGGGAACGAGCGAGACGCTGCTGCCGGTGTACCAGGATGCCACCAAGGCCATGGACAAGCACGCAGACGTCGATACCGTCGTCAACTTTGCCTCCTCCCGCTCCGTCTACACCTCGACCATGGAGCTCATGGAGTACCCCCAGATTAAGACCATCGCCATCATCGCCGAGGGCGTTCCAGAGCGGGTACGTCATTAACAATACGACATAAATGAGATATATGCTAACGTGAGTAGAGAGCGAGAGAGATCATGGTCAGGGCTAAGGAAAAGGGCGTCACGATCATCGGCCCGGCCACGGTGGGCGGCATCAAGCCCGGCGCGTTCAAGATCGGCAACACTGGCGGTATGATGGACAACATCGTCGCCTCCAAGCTCTACCGCAAGGGCTCCGTCGGCTACGTCTCCAAGTCCGGCGGCATGTCCAACGAGCTCAACAACATCGTCTGCCAGACCACCGACGGCGTGTGCGAGGGTGTCGCCATTGGCGGTGACAGGTACCCAGGAACTACTTTCCTCGACCATCTGCTCCGCTACCAGGCCAACCCAGAGTGCAAGATCCTCCTCCTGCTCGGTGAGGTCGGCGGTGTCGAGGAGTACCGCGTCATCGAGGCCGTCAAGAACGGCGTCATCACCAAGCCCGTCGTCGCCTGGGCCATCGGTACCTGCGCCAGCATGTTCAAGACCGAAGTCCAGTTCGGCCACGCCGGTGCCTCTGCAAACTCCGACCTCGAGACCGCCGTCACCAAGAACAAGTCCATGCGTGCGGCCGGCATCCACGTCCCCGACACCTTCGAGGACCTGCCCGATGTCCTCTCTGCCGTCTACCAGAAGCTCGTCAAGCAGGGGATCATCAAGCCACAGAAGGAGCCCGTCGTGCCCAAGATCCCGCTCGACTACTCCTGGGCCCAGGAGCTCGGCCTTATCCGTAAGCCGGCCGCCTTCATCTCCACCATCTCCGACGACCGTGGCCAGGAGCTGCTCTACGCCGGCATGCCCATCTCGGACGTCTTCAAGGAGGACATCGGTATCGGTGGTGTCATGTCCCTGCTCTGGTTCCGTCGCCGTCTGCCCCCCTATGCCTCCAAGTTCCTCGAGATGGTCCTCATGCTGACTGCCGACCACGGTCCCGCCGTCTCCGGAGCCATGAACACCATCATCACCACCCGTGCCGGCAAGGATCTCATCTCCGCCCTCGTCTCCGGTCTCTTGACCATCGGATCGCGGTTCGGAGGTGCCCTCGACGGCGCCGCTGAAGAGTTCACCCGTGCGTTCGACAGGGGTCTCTCCCCAAGAGACTTTGTCGATACCATGCGCAAGGAAAACAAGCTCAGTAAGTCAACCTTATTACCCGTCCCGCCGATCCGTATACCCGGGTCATCGTATATCGAAGTATCCCTGCTAACCCTTTTAGTTCCCGGAATTGGCCACCGCGTCAAGTCCCGCTCCAACCCTGACCTCCGCGTCGAGCTCGTCAAGGAATATGTCATCAAAAACTTCCCCTCCCACAAACTCCTCGACTACGCCATCGCCGTCGAGACCGTCACCACCTCCAAGAAGGACAACCTCATCCTCAACGTCGACGGCTGCATCGCCGTCTGCTTCGTAGACCTCATCCGTAACTGCGGCGCCTTCACCCCCGAAGAGGCAGAAGACTACCTCTCCATGGGCGTGCTCAACGGCCTCTTCGTCCTAGGCAGAAGTATCGGTCTGATCGCCCATTTCTTGGACCAGAAGCGTCTACGTACCGGCCTCTACAGACATCCTTGGGACGACATCACCTATCTCCTACCAACCCTGTCCAAGGGCGGGCCGGGAGCCGAGGGCAGAGTAGAGGTTAGCATCTAACCGTCGCGTTGACGAGGTTTACGACGATCGAACGACGATAGATGTGATAGATGGTGAGCCGTGGTTGCTTGCGATACGAAAATAGTCCATGATTAATTAATAGTTTACATTTTCTTCACCCATATCCACAGTAATCCATGCATTTTACCTGTAACTACTACGTATCTGTAACTTGTCTACGTGTAGATGTGGACTAAAGATTGAGATTTTAGCCCTGCAGGGATCTGCGTAGAAAGTCCATCCCGGTCAATGAATGGCAACTACTTACGTCTGCTCTATTCTTATAATTGGATCTGCAATGTCAAAAATAAGGCATGCAGGATGTAGACTAAATATTGGCTTATACAAGGGTTAGACGGAAGCGAGCTGACGATATATAGACAATTGGAGAGCACAATGGGTTTAATCCATCGTGTATCTAGATATTAACATGAGGGTCCTCGTCACGCCAAACCATGCGCCCGAACGCTGGCTTGGAAATATCCTCGACGACGCGAATGGCAAAGATACCCCCTCAAGCCTTGCACCGGTCATCCAAGAGTTCAAAGACCTGATCGAAACCGATCCGATACTCTACATGCTCGCTACGTCCATGTTCGATGAGATACCCAATACAGCCCCCTATCGGAATGACCCAACAAATCGGCCGCAGGTCCGAAGCTACAGAGCAATGCTTCACCTGTTCAATATTCTACTACCCAGAGCTCCAGAGTGGTATGATGACGCCTTCGTTGCAGGCCTAGTTGGGTTCCCATTCAACGCCGTGCTGAACTGGCCTATGAACACGAACAGTGGACGTCAGTTCTTCCTACATAGGAGAGTCAACGATCAGATCAAGCGGATATTAAGTGTCTGGGGACATAACCTCACCTTAACCTCATCGATACCCCAGAGCGACCTTGAACGGGAGAGGAGCTGGTTCGGTGACGCTGCCATCGCCCAGATGACCAGAAAGGCAAATCTCCGTGGTAGAACAGACCTTCAGTTCCACGAGCTATTCGACTGTCAGCAAACTGAATGCTACGGATACAAGTCCTGGGACCAGCTATTCACCCGCAAGTTCAGTCCGGGGATTCGCCCACTACCGCAAAACGACAGTGACGCCATCATAGTCAACGCATGCGAATCATCCCCGCTATCGTATCAGGAGAACGTATCGAAGCGAACACCCTTCTGGCTCAAGGGAAGCAAATATTCCCTCCAAGACATACTTGGTTCAGAGTCCCGCGCCCACCAGTTCAGTGGTGGCACGGTATACCAGGCCTTTCTCAGCGCAGAGTCATACCACCGCTGGAATTCCCCTGTTTCAGGCACCATCGTAGAGAAAAGATTGATTAAAAGAACATATTTCGCCACAGCCCCTGGTACGGGCTTTGCATCAGAATACGGGCCAGACGCGCGCGGGCCGGACAATTCCCAGCTCTACATCACGCATGTCGCTACTCGGGCGGCGATTTTCATCGAGGCAAGGGATCCGCGTATCGGCCTCATGTGCTTTCTTGCCGTGGGTATGGCGGAGGTGTCGACTTGTTGTATAACTGCTCCGTACGGAAATATAGAGAAGGGCGATGAGCTTGGTATGTTCCGTGGTGGCGGATCGACTCATTGTCTGATATTCAGGAACGGGGTGAAATTAGACTGGATCCCGCAGGCTATGTATCCTGAGACCATGATGGATAATCTTCCTGTCAGGAGTAAGCTGGCAACTGTTATGGATGATAGATGATACATAGGTATCTGGGTATAAGGTGTAGTAACGGCGGTGCCATTTTTACAGAGTTTATGATATAGAGTAGAGGTCATATCCAGCTAGAATTAGGATTAAGCAATGTTCACGTCAATAGAAGTTATATTCCCTTGTTTAATGAGCGTATGAAGATGGAATGTATGTTCATGTTTAGATGGAGGTAGCTGGCTCAAGTGCAATTGATGAGGTGACGTTGAAACAACTTCCACCATCAAATTTCATGTCGCCAAAACATTTAATCCAGACAACCACAGAATAAATATCAACCGATAGGGAACGGAAATAATACCAATTCTTACATCCAGCATCCACGAATATGGTCCGTCTCAAACATCGCTATCTTCTCGTCAACATCCTCTACCCGCCGCCCCAGACGAGTTTTGCTCAGCAGAAACAGCGGGATGAAAATGAATTCCATCTACAGATCCACCGTCCAACAGCGGATGCGCTCACGCCGCAGGCCCTGGCTAGGATGGTCAGAGAAGCCGTGGCTGAGATGTTTGGCGACTGGGGGATGGGCAAGTTAGGAGGCGCTGGTGCTGGTGCTGTTAGTGGTCAGTACATCGCGATCATTCTTATATCATGCAGCCTGAGGTTATGGATTCATTTTATGGAGGATATTTACGCGTCTATCTCCTGCTTTATACCATATCCAGTGCAATTGCGATTGGATCATATACACGCTGTTCGTTGCCTTTTACTGACCGCTGGAATAGTGAAATATTTATCGCCTGCAACATCAACGGCTATCATACGCTGTCCTCGTGCGAGTTACCGCTTGGTTTGGTCTGCTCTGACATATACGTCAAGCCTCCCCTCATCATGCCGGCCTGCTGGCCAGGAAGGTACCGGTACGCAGCGGGAATGTGTATTCCGCGTAGTACGAGTGTCCGGTACCATGAAGAAGGCTGAGCTAGAGGCCATCAGGAGGGCTCGAAATGAGGTGGTCAAGCTGACGAAAGAATGGGAAAATGGAGGGAAGGCCGCACTTGAAGGCATGTTTACCGACTCTGCTGATGGCCCTGGTGCGCTCGCTGCTGGTATAGAGAGTGGAAGCGAAGGTGACGATGACAGTGAATAGTCATGTTTGGATGACGGGCTACAAATCAGTACGTATATTCCCTCGGTATATTTCTCTATCCGTTAAAGGCGTTCATATCATAATTCATTATAATCATTTGTTTTTCCTTACGACCTTTACGCCGATGTCCGGCGGGATATTCGACATCAAGTCATCCATATCCATGTCCAAGTCATCACGAGGTCCGCCGCCGCTCCCCTTCGGCGCTGCTTCTTCCCTAGCCTTGGCCTCTGCCTCCCAGTCTCTTCTCTCCTTTTCATCCCACTCGTCTTTCGCGTCTATCCATCTCTCCTGCACGTCTTTTACATCCATTACTCCCATCCCTTCTCTAACAGCAACTTGCCAGACTGTATCATTGGCTCCTTCTGCAGATCCAAATGCATATCCGCCTGCGCGATCAATCGCATGAAGCAGGCTCATCATGCTCTTCTTATCCTCTACCGCCAAGGTCTCAAAGCCCACCAGGCTGAAATCTTGCACTAGCTCGACTATTGCGGAATTCAGCGCATCAAACTTGGAGTTCGCCAGCCACGGTGCCTCCTCATTTAAGTGCGGTATGAGATGGGAGAGATCGTGGACTTCAGTGTAGAAGTCCAAGTTAAATGGGAGGGGTGGGTATTTGCTGAGGTTATCGATCTTGGTGAGGACGTTGAGATGGGGGAGGTCCATTTGAAGCATTGCTCGAAGAGATAGCAATAGCGCGGAGATGTACATGGACGGGAGAGTGAGGTTATAGGAATCAACCAGATGTATCACGACTAGCTACAGGTCAAGGAGTTAGCATTGATCACATCGACGCGCAGTGGAAAGTTCCCAAATGTATTCAAATCCAGAGCTAGTTAGGGCACTGCACACTCTATACCCAAGTTTTTGAATCTTGAAAAACATATTCCGAAGAGAGCTATGGTGCGTAAATATTTCCACCTGGCCAGGGCAGTCGAATAGAACATAGTCGTCTATTAAATAAAACAGTTAGAGCTCGGTGATATCGATATCTAGAGGGGTAAAGCCGAGTACCTCCAAGGTCCTTTAGCCCTTCTTCCAGCCACTCGAAATTCTCTTCAAGTTCTTCCAGCGCATATAAGACAGCACCGTTAGGTCCCAGGGTGTCTTCCTTCATGATCTCCTCCAGCGTGACGAGCTCGCGCACATCTACTGCAGGGGTGTATGATGTCTGGTCGTTAGCTGGATCAAGGTTGACGATAGAGCATTTTCTGCCAATGGCGGACATGAACTGCTGCATTCCATTGCAGTAGGTTGACTTCCCCGACCCAGGAGGGCCGATTACCAGCTGTGCGAACGGCATAGTGCGGGTTGGGCAGCGGGCGAGTTCTTGTATAAACTTGAAGGCGAAGAAAGCGATAAGAAAAGCAGCCAGAAGGCGGTGGGGGGTGGCAGAAACCACTATTTTGAAGCTTCCCGCGATTTTCGAAGAAGTTCGACAAGATACAACAAGTTCAACAAAGGTCAACAAGCTCGAGTTTTCAGTCCCGGTTCTCATTTTACCTGCCTCTCGTCTTGTAGAAATTGTCCATTACACATTAGCGCATCGTGGGTGTCCGCAAATGGCTTCTAGTATGCAGATTTACCCCCGACTAAGAACGACTAAAGTAGCTAACATCCCATAGACCACTTCGCTGTCTCGAACCCACCGACGGACGTGATATCGGCAGTCCAATTTTCCCCGGAGCCAGATTCAACGCGATTTGTGGTATCGTCATGGGATAAGAACGTGTATCTGTATGATCTAAGAGACGAAAATGGCAACATTGGCGAGGGGAAACTTATAGACAAGTTTGAACATCGCGCGCCGGTTCTAGATGTCTGTTTTGGTCAGAACGAGGATGAATTATATACCGGTGGGCTGGATTGGGATGTTAGGAAGTTAGTACCGGATGCCGAAGTTGATGTCTCGAATTACAGGTGCGCTGACAGGTTGCTATGTGAACTCTTAAGGATCGATGTACGGGCTTCCACTCAGACGGTGTTGAGCTCCCACAGCCAGGGCGTAAAGTCCGTGGTATACAGCAAAGAGCACGGGTTGGTCGTTTCTGCGTCGTGGGACGTGACTCTACATATTCATAAAGCCGATGGAAGCAGCGCCCCCGCAACGATTCCACTGCCATCGAAACCCTTTTCTCTCTCAGTTACTCCCACCAAACTAGTTGTCGCCATGGCCTCAAGAACGTTACACATCTACGACCTCAAATCCTTAACCACATTCCTTGAACAATCCGGTAGCCAACCCCCGGCTCACACACTCGAGCTTGAACCGTGGCAGCGTCGGGAGAGCAGTCTCAAATTTATGACCCGGGCTGTGGCATGCATGCCCGATGACGCGGGGTATGCATCATCAAGTATAGAAGGGCGAGTGGCAGTAGAATGGTTCGATCCATCTGAAGCATCTCAAGATCGAAAGTATGCATTTAAATGTCATCGGCAGAACGTTGACGGGGTGGACGTCGTTTATCCAGTCAATGCGCTCGCTTTCCACCCCGTATTTGGCACTTTTGCGTCTGGAGGTGGTGATGGTGTCGTCGCATTTTGGGATGGCATTGCGAAGAGAAGGATACGGCAGTATCCCAAGTACCCGTCTAGCGTGGCTGCTTTGGCGTTCAGTTCCAATGGCAAATACCTTTTAGTTGGAATTAGTCCTGGGTTTGAGGACGAGAAGGACGATGTCCCTGAAGGCTCTGTCAAGGTGATGATCCGGGAGCTGAGCGAGACGGAAGCGAAGGGGAAGGGAGCTAAGTAGAATCGACTATATACCACATTCTCGCTCGCTCACCAAGTATGCCAATGTAATAATGCATTGATAATGATGTAACCTTCGCCGAAGGTTTCCCTACCTAAAGCAAAAGATACAGGCTCGCTAAAGAAATAGAAATGCCCATTTAAGGGGCTTTACTTAGCCGTCTTTGAAGTCACAGTTCCATCCGTCATTCCAAAGTAGGCCGCAACAGGCTTTTGTCCGCCTATCCTTCCGCTGGCCTGAGCCTGAGGGCCAGTAGGCCCGCAGAACAAACCTACCTCCAACACGCCGGTGATGGCATTGATAGCTTTGGCTAGTGCCTCTACCTCCCAGACACCACCTTCTGCCTTCTTTCCAGCAGCAATATCAGATGGCAAGAGTAGGGCTGGGAATGGTGCATCGACGATGAGGAATGCCTGGTCAGTCTTCAATGGGCCTGCTTTCTCAACTGGATTCTGTCGAAGGAGAGGGTTCGGGCTCCCCAGAACCTTCAATTCGCCAATTACTCGTCGCGCAGCTAGAGGGGCCACCTCAATCGGGATCGATGGCCAGGAAGTGAGCAGACGGCTTTGGTTTTTGCGCCAATCTGCCCGTGGCTAAGTTAGTGAACAAGTAACTAGGAATCAAGAAACGGTGCTGTTTTGGGGTATGGGAGTTATACCGGCAACACAGATAAACTCCTTGGCTTGTAGAGCAACGAGCTTCTCCTGGAACAAGCAAGCTCCTCCGCCCTTTATGCAGTTCAAATCGTCATCGACCTCGTCCGCGCCATCGAACGCTACGTCTAGCACTGTTCCCTGTGGCAGTGCATCGAAGGCAACGGCGGTCAAGCCCGCGTCAACAATCAATTGATTCGACTGGTAACCGGTGGGCACAAAGCTCGTGGTCGAGGTATCAATACCCAGCGCCTTTATGGCTTCGACAACATAGACGATGGTAGTTCCGCTGCCAATACCAACGAACTTTGCGCCGCGGGGGTAATGGTTCTTTACTGCTTCGGTAGCAGCGGCTTTTTTTGCGAGTTCTATATCTGCCATTTTATGCGCAGGTGTCCTGGTCGATAGGAAGCGGGACTGGAGGGACGACGGTTGGGTATATGCTCTTCTGGGGGAGGGGCAGGGAGATGATTGACGGCTTATTGGGAAGCGGATGGCTGTACAAGTTATAGAGCGAGCGCAAAGCGAAGAATATGACGGGGAGATCTTTGACCTTATAACCAATTGTTAGTCAAAGGACAAAATTGTTGTGGAGAAACGGGGTGTTCTCGGAATGATGGAAAAAGGGGTATCCACCTCCTCCAGGGCGGATTGGAGGCAGATATATAGTCGTTAAAGCCTATATATACTCACAGAAAGTTCTTCGATGCTAGTATCGATTTCATAGATCTGGTCAATACTTCGGATGGCGGGGGTGTTCTCCGCGTTCAGCTGTCTTTGTGTTTAGTTATAGTTCTAGTCAGATGTTTAATCCCGGCAAGTATAGCTATGCACAGTGGTATCCTGTCCAATTCCTTGAATAAGTCTCTTCTTATACTCCGTACTCTGTGCATGAGATGAAATATGAATCTTTAATGACTCTTCAAGTAGTAAAAATTAGTCGCGTCTCAAGGGGAAAACGTCGCTATCGATAAAGAACTTCCCGAGGTACAAACCACGTGATATTAAACGCGATTTTGCTTACATAAGCTAGGCCAACCTGGGCTGTTTACGCGGGGCAAGAAAGACGAAGAAGCAGAAGAAGAAGACGAAGCAGGAGAAGCTCTTCCTTGACTATACATATACCGCTTTTTGACAGCTCGAGGGGCTGCGAGACGCTGCAAGGCAGGGCTTGAGGCTGCTATCTCTCATCTCCGGGACCCAAACGCATTTAACATGGCCGCTCACGTTGGTCCTACTGCGAAGGAGAGGAAGTACGATCGCCAGCTTCGATTGTGGGCTGCCAGCGGCCAACAAGCTCTAGAGGACTCTAGAGTGCTTCTAATAAACTCCGATGGCCCAGTAGATAGCGACAATCTCGAGGTAGCTGGCGTTGTGGGTGTCGAAACCCTGAAGAATCTCGTCTTGCCTGGAATAGGCGGGTTCACCATTGTTGATCCCGCAACTGTTTCTGAGCCTGACCTGGGGGTAAACTTCTTCTTGACTGAAGATAGTCTGGGTAAATCTAGGGCAGAGGAGACGTGTAAATATCTGCGGGAGCTGAACGAGGATGTCGACGGAGGTTATTCCTCAAAGGTACCATCTTCCCCATAATATATTCTCTTTTTTTCTTTGACATTTTTATTGAAGCAACTCCTGTCTGATTGAACAATCTATATCAATTTTTTTAGCCCATTTTAGATTTGCTTAAGGACGAGACCTTTCTCCCACAGCATCAGCTTGTTATTGCCTCCGGACCCATGAAGCAATCCACGCTCCGAACCATATCACAAGCTGCAAAGCGGCTTGAAATACCCCTTATTTATACACACTCGGTAGGATTCTACGCATCGTTTTCACTACAACTCCCACCCGTTTTCCCTATAGTCGAAACCCACCCCGATGCCAGCTCCACCGAAGACCTTCGCCTAACGAATCCATGGCCAGAGCTCGCGGAGGTAGCTAAAAAGGCAGAAAACCTGGATAGCATGGACGATCACCAGCATGGGCATGTTCCCTATCTAGTACTGCTGCTGCACTTTCTTGAAAAATGGAAGGCCAGCCATGACGGACAGTGTCCTCAGAATTATCGGGAGAAGTCTGAGTTCCGGGACATGGTTCGATCAATGGCCAGAACTAATAACTCAGACGGCGGCGAGGAAAACTTCGACGAGGCTGTGGCCGCTGTTTTAAAGAGCGTCGGGCCCTACTCCTTAAGTAGTGACTTGCGGGCTGTTTTTGAAATGGACCATTGCTCACAATTAACAAGTAACTCGGCTAGTTTCTGGATAATTGCGTCCGCAATTAAGGAGTTTTATAATAAGCATGCCGTTTTGCCATTATCGGGATCGCTACCGGACATGAAGGCCCAGTCTGCAGATTATATCTGGTTACAGAACATTTATAAATCAAAAGCACGAACCGATGCAGCCGAAGTTGTGGCCACTGTTCGAAAGCTCGAGGATAAACTACGAGGCGGCTCGGGGGAGGCGACTATATCCGAAAAGGAGATTGAAACCTTTTGCAAGAACGCAGCCCATATTAAAGTGATAAGGGGCCGTGATATTCCCATCCTACCCCTAAAGGGTACAGCTGAGGACACCCAACAAACAATCAAAACAATTAAAAGTAGCCTTCAAAACCCCGACTCGCTTATTCCTATCTTTATCGCTCTCGCTACACTCGACGGCCTGGTGACAGAATTTCAAGAAACCAGCCCTTCAACAACGACAGAGGGGCCATCGTATCTCGAAACCTCTGGGAATTGGGCCATGATGCTTTCCAAGCTTCTCGCTAGCCTCGAACTAGACGGTATTGGCGGCGAGGGTACTGACGAAAGCGAGGCAGAGATGATGACGCAGATCAAGTCCGTTGTGTCAGAAGTACAACGAGCAGGAGCTGGCGAGCTCCATAACATTTCCGCCATGGCGGGAGGGTGCGTTGCCCAGGAAGCTCTCAAAGTGCTCACTAGACAATATGTGCCGCTTGACAATACCTTTCTGCTAGACGGGGTAAGATCTCGGGGAGAGATGTTTAGGTTGTGACGGACTAGCCTAACAGAGTAGGTTACACACCTAAATTACTGTAGCTAGACTGCTTAAACTATTAGATCTAATTAATATTATATGGCAGAGTTTTGATTTACCGAACACTGTTCTGCCTCCCTGATAAGTTTTTAAAACGTAAAATTTATAATATTGTAGGAAAATGCAGATATCAAGAAGGTTGAATGTAACATATGGAAGAAATTTGCGACCATGCAATTGAGAACATAATGCTTGAAATATAAAGGATAAAAGCAAAGAGCGGGTAAGCATCCCCCTTCTATGCTATGTTTATAATACATCGCTAATTGAACCAATTAATAAAAGGGCAAGTCCCCACCTCAGAAGAAGAAAAAAGGGGGTGAGGGTAAATGGTCGTTATAATAATCCAGCAAACCCGCCAAAAATAACTGTGGTTACTATCCAAAGAATAAATGAAGTATCTAGTTTACCGGCCTTTCGTATCGCAAGATTACGGTTGGGAGGAGAACCGCCTGCGGTGCCTGTTGGTCTGGGGTATATGGTATTCCCTGCGCTGTCAGTATGGATGCCCTGTTGGCCATCACCTCCATCAGACGGGTTAGAGCTGCCTGATATCAGAGGTGGGGAGACTGTAGGATCCGCGCCGAGGCGGAATGTGGTATCTAGATAGATCACCTCTGAAGGGTTGACGGTAAAGGTGTGGCCGTCTACAACAAAGGTGGTAGGTGTGGTATTGCTAGTAATAGTGGTGCGTGAAGGGCCGTTTCCGATAGTAATAGAGCCAGTTTCTTGGATGGTGACTGGGACACCACCTAGATCAAGCATGGTCCTGGTAGGAATCGCATTGGAAGGGCTAGGACCAGAGGTTATAGGTCCAGGGTCGACTGTGGATTTGGACGGCTGGGGATTTCCCGAGGGCTGAGAGCCATTTTGCTGAGAACTTCCATTCTGCTGGGAGCCACCATTCTGCTGAGGACTTCCACTCTGCTGAGGACTTCCACTCTGCTGAGAACCGCCATTCTGCTGAGAGCTTCCATTCTGCTGAGAACCGCCAGTCGGCTGGGGATCGCCTTGGGAATCACCCTTGGAACCACCCTGGGAATCAGACCGTGAGTACTCAGACGGCCGCGAACCGTTGGAGCCGCCAGCCGGCGAAGTCATCGTGGGAGTCTTCTGTCCTCCCGGGCTATCAGAGTCAGTCTCTCTAAACGACGGCGGTGGTTCAGCAGAAGGAACACCCAAGATGGTCGTCTTCTTGGTAACGCTGATAGTCGATATGAGAGGAGCCATAGAAGGGAAGATGCCGATGCCCATCTTACAGCGGCTGGGCGGACAGCTGTATGTCGAGCATGGCGGCGGAGGTGTGATGAGGGTTGGAGGATTCGGTGGTGCAGAGCCGAGCGGTCTGATGGTATGTACTTCGGTGATGGTGGTATATACGAGTTCTGGAGGTCTTGTGGCGTAGAATAGGTCTCCATTGCACTCTACAGGCAGCATAGGGACGTAGGTGATGGGACAATGGCAGGAGTCCAGGTTGGAAAGCCATGACGACGGCGGTATAGGGGCTGTCTGGGAGGTGTTGGTGACATAGGGAGGAGGTGTAGGAGCCGGCGCAGAGCCAAAGAACTCAGACACTATATCGCGTACAACGATTCTACCTATATATCAACCGTCTTATCAGCTTCTTTTTTCGCCCCTTTACTCCCATCTAAGGCAGAGGGGTATAACGCACCGTCATAATAGTGCCAAGGGGATCCGATGACGGTGGGGGAGCCCATCAAGGCCAGAAGGCCATAATGCCGTATCTCCTTCATCAAGACGAGGCCCGGTATGCTCTTGAATCTACTCCGTACTCCGTGAAGGGGATTATGCCATCGATTTCAGGATGGACCGAGGACGAACAGAGCAGCGCCGGCGAACTGCGCGCTTAAAGGTCAAGGGAATGCATCAAGTCTACGCCTGGACCAGCGAGTAGGATGAAAAAAATGCCACAATCGATTGACTATTAAAAAGCAAGCAAAGCCACCGAGCCGTTAGTCTCCTCCGTACAAAGGCAGAGCCTGCTTCGACGAAACAGCGAGCATGAAAAAACCGGACGTAAGCAGTCGGCGTCCTGGCCGAACCAGCGGCCGCCAGGGAGGCTGAGGGCCTAGAGAAAAAGTCACTTTCGACATGTCAGACCAGGGACCGCGTACTGCGCCAGTTACGGAGGATTCGAAGGCGAAAATATATTGGGGTGGATTTGCCCAGGAGTCCGTACGGAGTACTTTTTTTTTATGTCCCCCTTGCTTGCATTACTCCTCGAGTATAAGATTAACGTTCGACGGAAGCCAGACGGCTTTGGCTGGCAGTTGGAGGTTTGAAGTTTTGCCTTCTCGTATCACGGCGAGATGGCCCGGTAAGATGTTCTGCTGCTCCGTACGCTCTCTGCGAGCGTGTAATCCAGCATACCGGGAGTCTGCATTCGCCATCTATGGAGTATGTATGCATGCATCCTGCGTGTTGATAGATCGAATTCACGATATACTCCGCCGTGGGCGCGGCGTGATACGGGACCAGCTGGAAGTCGAGGTAGATCGAAACTGGCCTCCGATACTCAGCCCGACTGTTTCAAGGGGCCCATGTTTGCTTCTTCAACGTCTTCATCGTCCGGGTTCGTAGTCCAAGTACGTACGTACGAGCGAGCGAGCTGGATAGTTAGCCTTCCATGCACAGTTACGTTCAACTAGCCAGCAGCTTACTTCGTGATCTCTCCAATAGGGGAGCATCTTGCGCATCCACAAACAGCCTTGCCCGGGTTCCATCGAGGTGCATGGTTCTCCCCTGATCAGCTCTAAGCGAATGAGCTGGCGTATCCAGAGCAGGAATCATTTCAGACTTCAGAAGGAGGGAGTTGTGATAATTAATCCGACCCTGGCGCTTTTGACATTGCTACAAGTCTACAAGTAGATAGGACCGGCTCTCATCCCCGAACTGCTAACTCTACGGCTCTTCGGCTTCGAGCTGGTTCGGCCCGACTCGCATGTTTTCACGATGGACTTTTTCACCCTGGCCAAACGATGCCTTCGCTCGCCACCCCGACCAACAGCGAAAAGCGAGATAACAGTTAAAGCGAGATAGGAGTTGGTGTGGACATGAATGCTCCTCCGTCGTTCTCCTCGCGCATACCGACTACGAGGGGTGTAGGATCGGCTACAGTCGCAGACTCGTTCTATACAAGAACGGCGTATAGGCACTTCCTGGGGAACCCCTGAGGGTGCTGGGTATGTCTATGCAGCTCGTCCGATGACTTTCCTCCCCAGCATCGCGACAGGAAGACGTACAAAGTGACTGACGAGCTGTAGATTTAAGCATACGGACTTTGATAAGCAAATCTGGCCGAGACCCTCCGCCATCTGGTTGAAACATTTTGAGGCGCCACCAAATTAGCCGGGCCAATTGACAATACGCTGGGCGAAATAGCCCCATGCCATGGACCATCTGGTCAGGCCGCTAGAGAAAACGATCTTCAAGCGTATTCTAATGGTAACGGGCTCAAGGTTTCCTCTAGCGATGTCCGGTTGCTCGTTAGTGGTTCGCCCATGGCTTATGCCCCCATGGCTTATGCCCGAGAGGATGGAGGCCTACGGCGCTATCCGCCGAGTGACAGAAAACGCCTGGGATCTAGATGTTCCATGTCCCGGGCTTTTTCTCTCCCTGCTTTCTGCAGCTTCATCATCGTCTTCTCTCCTGCCCGGATCATATGGATGGACGAGCAGGCTGTGTTCTAAGCATGCCTCTTTACCACCCAGCTAGGGCGCAACCTCGACCTTCCCTCATGTCTGGCCTGGATACCGTGCGCCAACTATGCGCATGAGTCCCGTCGCCCTCGGCCGCCATGATCCCCTGGGGAGTGTTCCTGGGTGGAGTTTTGGGCTGGCTCTGATTATATTCTCATTGAGCCATGGACTTCCTGCTGCTGCTGCTGCTGCTGGAAGTCCGGCGCCGCTGAGCGTTACTCCAAGTACGAACTGGTATGTTCTCGCATGGCGGTCTGCAGCGTGTCGTAAAACCCGTGTCGGCTCTAACGGATTTGACGTAGGATTGGATACGATGGCGCATGGAGCTCGTACGTTCATTATTCAGAAGAAAGGCTGTGGTTTACCGCATTTACCTGGCTGACTGCGTTGGGGTTTGATTTAGGCTATCCATTCGGGTTGGAACACCAGCACAATGGCTGGAGGTGATACCGGATACAGGCTCATCAGAGACCTGGGTAATTGGCCGCGATGGATGCGATGCGAGTACGTCACTGACACTTCGATTGTTTACCTTGCTGTTGGGCACACGGCGGCGACGATGCGATATATGGGACCATTTCTAACATGTATTTGCAGCAATGAGATGTCGGAAAGAACGGGGTGGCCTGTTTCTCGCAAACGCTTCATCCACCTGGGCGCCCGTCGGTCTCTATGAACTGGGGAATAATCTTCAGCTGGGTGACTCTGGATACGGCAACTACGGTTACGATGCCATCGGTTTAAACGACAGCGTCTCTGTTCCGGGTCAGGTTATCAGCATGATCACGACGGCCAAATGGTGGATAGGCTCGTTGGGACTCGGCGTTACAGACACAAACTTCACAGACGAAAACAAATTGCCCCTTCTGAGCAGCTTGGTACAGAATGAGAGCGTCGTTCCCAGCCATAGCTATGGTTATACAGCTGGCGCCTTTTACCGTATGTTTTGATATCTCTAATGTGTTTTGCCATGTCTAACTTATCTGGAATAGAAATGAAGGGCGTGCCGACGTCTCTCACCTTTGGAGGGTTTGATAGAAGCCGATTTACCCCCAATAACGTCTCGTTTTTCTTATCGCCGGACAATTTACCTGCCGTCACTATCAAGTCGATCAAACTCGAAATCGGTGTGACACCACCCAACTCGAACTCTCTGGGCGACGGCCTTACTGTCGACCTTGCATCCGCTGGAACCTTTGTAATCGACTCATCTACACCGTTTTTGTGGTTTCCCGAGCAGATTTGCGACTCTCTCGCCGGCAAGCTTGGTCTGGTTTATAATTCTACCCTTGACATATACACCTATGGACCTAATGCCACAACATACGACACGATTGTCAACTCAAACGTGTCCTTCAAGTTTACCATTTCTGATCTCCCAGACTCGCCCAAATCTGTGGACATTACTCTGCCGTTTTCTGCATTTAATCACAAACTTACCTACCCTTTCCCAGGCCTTGATCGGAACCTGACCAGCGAGGGCCTCCGCTATTTCCCACTTCGACGGACTAATGACCCCAAGAAGCTTACTATCGGAAGGGTCTTCCTTCAAGAAGCATACCTAATAGTCGACTACGAACGTCGCAACTTTTCCATCTCCCAGGCCACATTCAACCCAGACTCTGGGATTAGCATGGACCTTGTCGCCATCACCCAGCCCCTGGACAGCCCTTTCCCTGGTCCCGCCGGCGAGAACGCCGCACGAAGCCTATCTACTGCTGCTATCGTTGGAGTTACTATTGGCGTTTCCGTGGGAGTCATCCTCATATCCTTGTGTGCTCTGTACTTTTTCCGGAGACAGAGGTCAAAGGAACGATTAATTAATGAAAAGGAGGAACACGCGCCTAGGTTCACATTCCCCTGGAAATTCTGGCGCAGACCCCGTCCTACCACTCTGCCGGCAGAGTTAGTTGCAGATCGGCATCATCCTGTCGAAGCCGACGACTCAGCGGTTCGTTACGAACTCCCGGCATGCACTCCAGTCGAACTACCGGCTTCCGAGGTCTCGAGCCGCGGGTATGGAGATATGCACAAGTCTGCAGATATAGATATGGAAGCGAATGGACACGGTCACCATCTGCCATCGAGAAACGGCATACAGTTCCAGCATATACCTCCTACCCCGTCAGACACGTATATCGTTAGCCCGGTGGGACCATCTTCGACCCTCGGAACATCAGATCTAAATAATAGTCTCGGTATTCCATCCCCCATCGCGACATCCACAAACTCCACGGCTCTATCACATAGCCGGCCTGACTCATCCCCCTCGCTACTCGCCTCCAACCGGACTCTAGAGGAAGCACAAACTGCGAGGACTGGGCCCAGCTCTCTTGAAAATCCCCAGCTTCAGGAGGAACCAAACCAAAACCTCACGAGGAAGTTCAGCTGGGAGCAATAACCTATAACTGAACACCCGGCGAACAACTGCCTAGTGAAGACAGCCTAACGACTTTTATCCCTAGACCTATTATACCTGTATATATTCTTTCGCATACCCCCTCATGTTTATCCATTATCTGCATTGTTCTCTCTCAACTTCTCAAGAAGCCCCCTGCCATTTTTTTAGCGGTTTTGCATGCATCGGTATACTTTCTTGAAGCCATCCCTGTTCACTATGCATATCTACAATGATATCTTTCTTCACATCTAGAAAACAAGGCCTATCAACGAGGACTGTTGGTTTTGATATCCGTAGTCGTATACACTGTCGTATGATTACGTCAACAACGCCAAACGGGCCGTGGAGCACGTGCCGAGGACGTTGAACTTCTTGCGATCCATGGATATAAAAGAGTAAAAACAACAAAACACCAGGAAGCAAACGGTTGTTCGCATAGAGCCCGTTTGTTTTATTATTTACTCTACCTGAACGCGGCTAGAGGCCATAGTCGAGACACTGGCAGAAGTTGTTACCCGGAACTACGCAACAATGCAGCAAGACACACGCCTGGACCAAGAGCATCATTAAATCTCCGAACCCTCAAGAGTCGGCTGCTCCACGACACCATAGCTACGACAATAGCTATGAACCCATGTCTCTCCCCACTAGAGACTGGATCTTCTGCTTCTATCAGTAAATAACCGAATAGCTGCCAATACCATGACCGCCGACGAAGCCACCTCCCTCGCTGCGGACGTAGCCAACAATGCAACCAACTCTACCGGGACGTGGCTCACTCTCCTCGCTGCGGGACCCCGAGATGCTCTCCTATTACCATTCCGCGTCGTGTATCAAGCCGAAGTTTTCATCATCACACTGCCGCGTCAACTGGTCCGCTTCATTGGGTTGGATGCTGCGGTATCATCGTTGCTAGACGGCACGGCTGGGATTTTCGGCATTGGCGGCGGAGATATCGGTGACGATGCAGCGGCTGCAGCGGCCGTTATTGCTGCTATGACAGCTACTGACGCGAATGGGGCGCGTGTAGGAGATGCAGCGGGGGGTTCTGCTGGTTCCGCTGGAGCAGGCTCGGGGTTTACAATGGGAGACTTCATGCCCGCTGTAAGGAAGTTCGGAGGGTTCTTCAATTATATGACTACTAGGTGGTCTTTGGCGTGTTTTATAGTGGTATGTATATAAACCCCAAGTTGACTGGCTGTGTGGTGCTGCCTGCCGAACCTGTTTCGCTGATTTATTTTATTCGGACAGGCTTTAGTTTTGAACCGCGTCACCGTTTATGCTTCTACCCGGCGGCAAGTTACCTTGAAGTGGCACAGGACGCTCGTTCTACGTATAATTCCGATAATCCTATTCTCAACTCAGATTCTTAAACTACTTCGCGCGATCCGTTGCCAAACATCTCCGGAGTACTCTACCCTACGGTATGGCCAACCCGGGAAACCCTCAAGCTTAGATTACGCCGGAGAAGGGGGACTTTTATACAATCTAAGCTCGTCTTTGCTCCAGTGGGAGGACGAACAGTCATCATGTAGCGCCTCATTGATACCTCCTGGGTCAGGCGCTCCCTACGGCTCATTTTCGCTACTTTGGCCAGTTTTTATTCGACTGTGCCTAAGTCATTTTGTCGACACGTTGTCGGCAGCCCTCCAGGGAAGACCACTCGCTACCGAAGGTGGCATGTCCATCTTCGAACTTTCCCTTGCATTTGCAGAAGCAGAGATCCAGATTGTCCGGTCCATCGGGTTAGAATTCATTGGTCTCACCAAGTCTGGCGCAGGCGTATCAGTCGAAGGCGCTGGACTCGGGGAGTCGCCTTCTAGTATCCCCTTATTCTCGAAAGATCGTGTCTTGGAAAGACTCAATGTTACACCTGAGCTTTTAGTGATTGCGCTAATAGCGTGCTGCAATAGCCTGTCAACAAACATCTTAGATGTTTTCGGGAAGCAGAGCCAGTATCGGCTCATAAATACGACATTCTGGGGCCTTTGCTTTATGGGATCTATGGTTTGGAGCTTCCTTAAATCCTATCCTGATAGCAACGACGCTGGACTCTTGAACTTCCCCACCGTTTGTATCGTTGGATTCGTACCATATCTACTCATGTTGGCAGGCATTTTGACATGCCTGGCGATATACGCTATTGCTCTTCTCTTGACCGCGTACTCTCTTCCATCCAGTCTTCCCTACCCCACCTCGTTCCGGGAGCGCCTTTCTCTTGCACATGGAAATATGCAAGGTTCCTCCCAGATCCAGAATACCCGCCTCAATATGCATGACGATTTTTACGCTACCCTTGTTAGAATAGGCTACGCTTCGTTGTCTGCGGCTAGTGAAGCTGTGTTTTTAAACGAAGGGAAAAGCGTAATCGTACCCAAAATGACATGGCTGGAGGAAGATAGGCTTGCAGATTTTGCGGCCCGGAGAGAGAGAAGCGATCAAGGGGCCTTGCCACGAGGTACTGATCTTCAGCTCGATGAAAATTTTGATTTTGAGATCCCGAACCACCCAGGGCAATGGGAAAGTGGGTATGCCCGTGAGAAAAAAGTTGAAAGAGCCCAGTCTAGCTCGCGCACAATGAAGAAACAGTCTGGCTTGGGAAGCGTCGGAGCATTTCAAGGCCCAACCAGATGCTATCACGGCTTTGCATTTTTCAAGGCAATTTTCTTTGTGCTGGTGGGTTGGTGGGCGTTTGGGTTGGTAAAGCTGTTAGATCACTTTAAATTCCCCCTTAAACCTCAATGGCTGGTACATCTCGCAGGGGTGTTCCAACAAGCCAGCAATGGGAGTGAAATGGAACGCCGACCTCCTCTGGATTTTTGGATTTTAACGGATGACGGGGTCCTGGAGCTGCCCGCAACCGACGAATTTGACGTGGAAAAGGAGATGAGGAAAAGGGAAATGATGGTCAATGAATCATGGGGTGAATCACAGGAGGAGCAGCTAGACAACAAGCTCTACAACTGGTGGAAGGTCGGCGGTTCTTGGGGAAACCAAGATATGACCGAAGATTATTCCCCTCCACCACAAGACTGGGATACAACAAGTATTGTGTCTACATCAACTGCTGGGGAAAGCGACTGGGAGTCATACGACTCTGATGGCCGCCAGACACCAACTCAAAACAACCCATTCCCAGGTTTATCTGGTCAACGTGAAGATACTATAGACCTAGTATCTCTGGCTCGCCTGCTTGACCCAAAGGATAAAGAAGCCAGACACGAAGCGCGCATCTTATCAGCACATATCCTAGCATCCAACGAAGGCAAGATAATGACACGACGCCGCTTTCAACAACAGTCGGATGTCGAGCGTGCGAGAATTTTGACATCTTCTAACTCATCTCGGCCAACTGGGACAACCAAGCAAAACCGTCCTACTTTGGAAGAAGAGTCCGAGATCTTAGAAAATTTAATTCTTGAGCGGAGACTGGGCATTGATCGTGGAAATACTCATCATCCGCCATCCGAGAATCCACAGACTTGGGCTACGGGAGCCTCAGGCCTTGGCCCGGACGGCCCGCAGTGTGTTATCTGCCAGGCATCCCCAAGGGCGATAATTACCTGGCCCTGTCGTTGTCTATGCATATGTGAAGACTGTCGGATAAGCCTTGCTATGAACAACTTTGGTAGTTGTGTGACATGCCGCCAGGAAGTCACAGGCTTTGTTCGACTATGGGTTCCCTAGGTTCTTATACCATCTTTTAAGGCTGGCGTATATTCGGCGTGATAATGCTACTAATAATATCAATATATCCATATCATGTCTTCGCAAGACCCATACCATCTCCTAACTATGTATGGGTCATTTGTCTATACGCTGCAGAAGTCGCATAGCCCTTATTAGAGGCTATTGTTATTATCGAACGTGACTATTGATTTAGATATGCGAAAATGGGCGGAGTCGGTTTAGTCAGTAATTTCTAGCTTGCTCTATATACATACTAAGTTTTCAAGGTGAGTTGGTGACCATCAGCTTGCGGCTATGTAACTGCGGGAAATTATGTCTCTTTCCTAGCGAGTCCTATTTAGCTGCGTATCTAAATATATATAATTGACGCAATAATATATATCTCCATCTTTGCCAGATGCTGGTATCATTTCACGGGTGGTGGGCCGTAGAAATGGGTGGCGTAGATAAGTCAGATAGAGGAGGGCCAAATGCTGGAAGCCCAGGCCAAAACAAATAGGAAAATCAGCTCAGCCATGCGTAAGGGCAAGTTATATTATATCACGGCTAAACGTGGTATCCGCTGACCGGCCTATCTTCATACCAGCCCCTAAACCATGACTGCTGTGACTTCCGCCTGTCACTCTATTCACCTGGTCATCGACCATTGACTGATATTGGGGGCTGTGAAATGAGCCCCTGGGAGATGCGAACGAACGGTTAGGGGGATATTGATTATGCGGTGAATGGCTGTTTGCTTGGCTTAGAGGAGGTAATCTCGTACGATGCCGCGGTGTAGCTTGGACGTTGTTTGCTAGGTTTAGAGTGAGATGAGGTAGGAGAATCATGGAGTCGGTAGGTACTCGACGAATGTTTACTTACAAGTTCGCTGCGATGGTAGCTCGTTGGGAGGAGGCATCATAGCTACATCCCGGGGGTTAAAGGTTCCTCTCTGCTCCCGCTGGGCCCTTGGTTCGTGATTGTTAGATGGCCGGGGATGCTGGTTGTAGTTACTGGCCCGTGGAGCCGCAAGCATTGTAGTAGGCCGTTGCGGGTCTGTACCAGTACTTGTACTGTTTTCTGAAGCTCCGTATGCATGAAGTGTTTGTGCAACCGTGTCGGAGACCGCTGTTTGGATCTGCGACCTGATGGCGCGATTCTTTAGTAAGTTATAGAGGTTCGTCATTTGCGCATGTTTCTTGCATTTATCACGATATACCCCAACCAGTTCCTGGTTTTTCTTCTGAAGTTGTTCCTGACCGATCTCCAGCTCTTATTTGATATCGGACGTTAGACGGTAACCGTCAAGTTCAAAATTGCGGGTATGACATTCATACCTGATATACGGCGTTGGAGAGTTTCGATTGCGGAATTTGCGTCATGTGCCATCTGATCCATCTGTTTGCTCATTGTACCGCATTTATCTCTCAGTGTCTTACTCAAGTGGTCCTGGTAGAAGCTGGCGTGTATTAGATGAATAGTTCAAGTAAGAAAAGGGGGGGGAACAGGCCCAGCAATCGTACATCTCTTGGGTCGCCTGGTACGTCCAGAACGATAAGGCCCTGCCAGCACATTCCACTATCGTAGTTGGATCCAGTCCACTGAGTACACTCGTCTTGTAATCTTCTGTCGGGCTGAGGAGAGTAGAAACGACATCATCGGGGTTCGGGAGGCTGGACTGGCATGCTGGGCACTGGCGATCCGTACTTGTTGACTGAGATAGCCCTGCCTGACTAGCACAGTGGAGGCAAAATATGTGACTATTATAAGTGTGAATGGTCAATTACAGTACGAAGGGCTGGGGGATGGATGGATAGACTTACGAGCAAGTGGTAACCACTGCTTTCTCCGTCAACGCTGCCCGGCAGCTCAAGTTATTACAGCGTAAACAAAGATCCAAAACCTGAGCCATCGTAAGAAGCACACGGCAGAGCCTGAAGTTACATATGCGTTACCACACGTAGTGATGAAGAAGAGAGTGCAAAGCGCTAGAAATGTAAATGCGAAGTTAGCATCGCATATTACTCGATTAGGAAATATCAACCCAGACCTCACGTGCTTGGTACCTAGAACTTCCTCCAGCCATTTACAGGAAGGCTCGAAGGCTTCTAGCGAATGTGCAAGGCAAAGCAAACAGCGCTGTGGACTGACAACGGACGGCCTGGGATGGGTATATCCAAAATGAAAAAAAGGTCCATAAAATGGTACTGGAAATTGTGGTAAAAATACAAGCAAAAGCCCAAACGCCTTCCCGCCTTTCTAAAGAACCCACTTGAACCCTCTTCTGGCCAGGGAGAATAGAGGAGCATAACCAGAGTAACCATGGAGTGCGTTAGAAGAAGAATGCGTTTCCTTGATTATCCCGTCGGACTCCGCGCATTTTCTCCTCAAATTCTGGTCCAGGTTCATATTCGCGCCAAAGGCTCGCAGGAAATATATGTTTATTTCGTTCGAACCATCGCCGATCGACGACCTTGGTAAGTGTTGGATCCATATCTCCTCCTTCGAGTGCGGGTGTGGAGTTGGGTTTGTCATCTGAAGCAGTTGGCGGTGCGGCATCCGAGTAATCAAACAGTAGCCCACCGTTGCCAGAAAAATTCGACACCCTATTTGCGATGAAGTAATAAAATTCATAGTGCTAGAAAGCTGTTAGTATTCATCAGAAGATCAAGGAGTATCAGGGGTTTTTGGGGCGTACATGAGGGACAATAACTCCTCCTCTAACCAACATGAGATCATCAACTCCAACTCTTGCCCATTCTCTGCGATGGTCCTTTCGCCCTCTGGCAGCTCCTCCGGCACCTGCAAGTCCTAGTTTTGCGCCGACTTTTCGACAACGGTCTAGGAAGAGCCATACGGGGTCTCCCTTTTTCATAGTGACCTGTCCAGCCGGTATATTCGTTCCATCGTAGAAAATAAATGGTATCACTATTTCCGTAGCTTTGACCACATCTTGAAGAGCTAGGAATTCTCGACGGAGTGCATCCCTAGCTTTTGATTCCGCATCCAGCGCAGATTTTGTAACCAGCTTCGGCCGGGGCAGTGTCAAGTGTGGATTTGGAGCCAACCGTCGAGCGGGTTTCGGGCTTGATTCGCGAGGAGTGCCTGACCGAGATCTACTCTCACTTGCATCGCGGGATATATTCGGGGTATCCTCAGCTCCAGGTTCTTCGTCATCATCACCAAATGATAGTTTGCTCTTTGCTAAAACGCGGGTCTTCTTTTTCTTCTTTTTTAAAGGTTCGGTGGAGGCGTTACTTTGCTCTCTGCACTTTGACAATTAGCAAGCTTACTGGCGGTTGGCTCTGAGCAGAAAACAAGACACACTTACCCGTCCGCCCTATCTCCTGTAGATGGAGTGCCGCTCCTCGACACTCCAGGAGTAAACCGGCCTAACGACTTGTCATGGGCTTCACGTTCCTTTATTTCAAGCGCCTCCGCTCGTCTCTTTCGGTAGTCTGAGAGCTTCACCAAGCCAACAGTTTGTGACTTGAATAGATCTTCGGCAGTGGTGGACTGGTTTGTAAACGACCGCGGAGTCGAGGTCCTGCTCGGTGGCTCGGACGGCGTAGACATATTGTGATATTGTGTTGAGAAGAAGAATGGCCTTCTCCTTTGGTTGTAAGATCGTGATCCGGCATTCTTGCATCTCTTATCTCCACGGGTTGTAGAAATATTTGGCTGACTCAGCCGAAATGATACCAAAATTACGGTATTTAATGGCAAATTTAGCAGGACTTTCGGTAAATAGTATACGGAGTATATGCTAATTTCATTCAATTCATCAGACGTGGGGATAAAGAGTAATCTATTAAATAATCTAAGCTCATCGTAAAATATATATATTTATTATATGATATCTTTTTAATATTTATTTTTATAACCTCTGTGGGTAAGTAAGGAGGCGCTATCTTTAGGGATAATACTCCTTGTCGATAGCGCCGTCTGGTTGATGGAGAGTTGGCCGGGAGTTTGGCTTATGTTCGCGGCCGTGATTGAGGCCCAGGACAGCGTACCAATTTAGGGGGACAGAAGCTCAATCTTGTCCTTGAGGTTATCACTCTGTGAGATTAGTTTCTTTGCCCATTCTGCAGCTCTTCGCAGTTGATTACACATAGTAGCTCCTCGGTCCTGGACTTTGTCAAGATAACATCCAGGCTACTTTTTTTTTGACTTTCACAATCGTTGGCGTCTCTAGGCGGTAACACCATCAAAACCAGCCGCTAAGCTTCAGCGAGACCAGGTGGCCCAGGTGAGCAGAGCCGTCGCTAGGAATATATGGCTCCTCTTGATCCCTTAGGATCTGGTCAATATACTCTCCCGCTGCGCTGAGGTGGAGGATAACGGCACACGAACGATGGATGTCAAGAAGTCTTGGGGAAGGCGGGTCGATGGTACAGTTAGGTGAAAGGTAGAAAGTCCTTATGACTGGTAACCAAGAAGGTAAGAAAGGGGTACTACCTACCTTCGCACTATTTACTCTATAGGTGTGTGGCGGATAGGCTGCTGGATCCATTGACTCAAAGTGGATTTTGAAGCTTCCAAATTGTCGGTGAACGTTATACCTGAGACTAATGGCGTTGGTTGGCCGATCAATGTTGGCGCCTTCGATCTCGTGGATCACGCCGGGAGCAAACATGTCGAGGATAGCAATGGCCGACTTCTTCGAGTCACTCTATTAAAGCTTATTAATACTGCCCTAGCATTGCCCATTGCCAACTCGGGCGGAAATGGGGAGGTGTAGAATATAGGGTAATCTGCATACATACTAACTGCTGCTTACTATCTGTCGACATGAGAGAGTGTGGAATGATATGTGCCACCTCGAGATGCTCAACCGAATCTTTAGATTCGATCAATGGCCGGTCCTCGTCATCCTTGGCTTCTGAACCGTCCCTGTCGTACCTCCTCACCGCTTCATCTTCGTCAAAGGCCCGCGTAGCCACGCAGCGGTAGTGATCGCGGATGAGGCAATCGCGCCGCAGAGTTGACAGCCTTGATGGAGTTCCTACTACGTTTTCCAACAATGGGGCTGATAGGGACGCAGGTGTGGGCTGTGGTGTTAAAAGCCCTGATGCCTTCACTATGTACATAATAAATCGTAGTTAGCGTCATGATATCCATATCAACTAACCATCACTCACGTGGTAATAGATTTTAGATTCGCGGTGATCGACCATACACGGTAAAAAGAAGTTATCGAACAGGTAATTGGCAAACGCATCCACAGCGCTCTCCGCATCCTTTTTCACATCATTTGGGTTCGAGGCATCGAATCCAGCGAACCGAGCCAGGCCCTTTGAAACGCCAGATGCGCTGGATGCGCTGCCGCCGCCACCGTTTTCACTTCCAAGGTAGAGGAAGAATTTCTGCAAATAAACCTCCTCCGCGCGAGAGTGCTCATGCATCAAGCGCACTAGCGTGGCTTTCTTATACGGTTTGTTATTTTGTATGGGTTCGCAGTGGTCCAGCAGCCGGTTGAACGTAAGCCTGGCTAGGGCTAGATCCGCGGGGCTCAAAGGATCTGATGGCGAAGAGAAGTCAATGACTCCTTCGAGGGAGGCTTGGTGTCGATGATGGGCGGCCGTCTGGAGTCTTCGGCTTAAGGATCCCTGAAGCAAACCCCCTGGGGCCGAGAGCACTGTTACTTAAGTAAGGAGAGGAGGTTGGATGCCTGGGCGGTTTTTTGATGTGATAACTTAGCTTAAGGTTAGTTAAGGTTTCGGGGAAGAAACTCAAGTGACACGTGATCGAGAGCCTCATACTTCCCTTTTTGGGCAGCCGGGTAGTCAACCACGAGGAATCAGCACCGTCAAGGTCAGTAAGGCTCAGAAGAATCAAATGCCTGCTCGCGTGCGCGTGCTACACAAGGGCTAATAATAGATTTCTCTGCATCTATCGCTGCATGTATGATTTCTACGTGCATGTTGGATGATCTCTTTGGGAACCAAATATTCCTAAGGTTAGAACATGTATAATCAATAGAATCTTTCAGTATCCGAATGAGCTAGCATAGGACTCCCAAGCTTCAAGACAGCTCGGCTTATTTAGAAACAGTGGTATATACACGTCCATCCATTCGCCATTAACATCGGCTGTATATTCAGCTTTACAGAACTCCCAGTAGTCTGGATACCATCCTGATTGCCGCCAGTCGATAATCGCGAGAAGTTTAGAAGGAGAATCTTCTGAAACCATGACGTTGCTTGGATGGAGATCGGCATGTGTAAAGACAACTTCCGCATCATCTGGCATACTATTCCGATAAGGATCTGGAATTTCAGAAAGTTCTTTACCCGGCCAATGATGTCGAATACCTGTCTTGATTACTATCTCCATCCAATCGTGAAATTGAGCGACCGAGAGGAAGGGTCCCGCGGGGGGGCAGTTATTGCTGGTGAAAACGATATCGCCAAGTGGCTCACGGTTGATATGACCTTTATTATAAAAGTAAGTACGGAGTGATATTTCTGGTGTAAAATCTTATTTATAAGGGTGCTTACCAAGGAAAAAGTCGCCTGGTGCGTGCTGTAGCTTGCGAAGTTCTAAAATCATAACGCGAAGCTGCTCGCAAATCTCTATTCGCTCGACCCGATCTAGAGATTCCCACCGTTGCTCAAGGGTAACGCCCTGTACTAGCTCCATATAGATAAAGACTTGACCGTTATCATGAGTCCAGCCGTACACTTCTGGGACAGGTACGGTAGGTAAGACGCGACGGAGCGCCCAGAGCAACTGGCCTTCGGCCACCGTTACCTGAGGGGCGCGTCCGTACTTCACAATTAGGCCGAGCTGCTCATAGCGAACAGGTTGAAAACTAAAGTCACGGTCCTTCGACGTTGGGTCTTGTACCGTGCCCTGTTCACGAACGTTTGCGGGAGATGGCAGCTCAGTCCCCGGTCCATTACGTGAGAAAAATGAAGACTCGAGGAAGGTTGCTGACTCTGCGGGAGGAAGGGCATGCGGGGATATCTTGGGACGATTCTCGACAGCCATAAAGACGAGACGGTTTTTACCTCTTTTTTTATTGATGCTGGCAATGTGATCAAGGAAGCTGGGGCGGTATGATTGTGTAGGTGGGCTAGATCTTTGTTTTAGATGGAGCTGACACCTTTATCATTTATCTTTGGCGTTTATCTTTGGTGAGGATATGTGGGGTTCTCGTTTGCGTAGGCGCCGCAGCCTCCTATATCCTTCATATCGGATTCTTAGTGATCTTTGGTCCAATGGTTCTGACACTCTATCATGCATATCACCGTACCCTGCTTCCTTGCCGTTGCTACATACTCACCCCTCGGCCTGGAAGCCTGAGCTCCCGACAAGGAGCTTGACGCAACTTCCAATCAGTGCGCGAACACAGCTATCCATTGTTCTTAGCCGCCGGTCAGCTAAGTTACAGGTATGCATATATCTCTTTCCACTCTATGACAGATACCAAGTTACTGAATATGAGTCTTGCCAGCCCAAACATGACCCTATATGTCTACCTACTCGTTTACCACAAGAAGAATGTTCCCGCCCACTGGTCCATTTTCGTGACCACTACAAAGGATGGTAAAATTGGACAGGTGTATCACGCCGTTGGCAATCCTTTCCAAGGCTATAAGACCGACGTTAAGGATAAATATGACCTCAGCATGACAAACAGAAAATATTCGACGATCTTTCTTGGGTGCTTAGATGACGGGTGGCACTCCCAGCTTGCCGGAATTGCGTATGATATTGCCGCACCTGGGATAAGCTCCGCTCCCCTCGACCCCTTTGCTGTAAGTTTTCTCTGTCTTTGCACCATTGAGTGCCGCGAAGACTAACTTTATGGTTGAGGGCGAAAATTGCCAAAACTGGGCCGAGAATTTCATCCAGTGTCTGGTTGATCGAGGAGCACTGAACTCTTCTGCGACAGGAACCCTTTCCTCAGCTCCACAGGTATAAGTTCTCTGCCTTTATGCTCGAGGTACCCTCGGCAAATTGTTTCTTATCCGGGTATTTTGCTTGTCCTATGTATCTAGTTAGATCTCAACCACCACTGTTCCGAAAACTTTACTCTTTATGGTACTGCACCAGTAAAATGTCTATGGTGTTGTACTACCCCTGTACGGGCGATACGTGTATAGCTAGAAGGTTTATCAGGGCATTCAGCGTCGATATGCAAGTAAAATCAAATTGAAATTGGTCGCAAATTCGCTGATGAGATGATCTGTTGCTCTAGACGTTTCTGTTAGAGTGTCAAGAAGAGATAGAGTGCACATATGTGTGTGGGGTGTTCTGGGGGGTATGTAGGTTATATCTAATAGAGCTGCCCTTTGTCATACCTACGTAGACTCTTCTGGCAAAGTATTGGGCCTGGCATAACAAGAGGATTGTTTTGCGAAGACATGGGGACGCAAGAAACCGATAAAGGGACAACCTGTTGAATATAACCACAAATGAGGGATGCCATAGGCCCAGCTCCTCGGTCCGACAAGGCCACGACACCCGATTTTGGATAAAAACAGATAATTCAAAAACAAAGGAGCCGCCTTATCTCGAGTGCTCCGTTCCATATTTGAGAACGATATGGATCTAAGTAAGTAGTCACGTGTTGAGCTATGTGAAGGACGATACCTAAGTCAGTGACGGTTACAGTATTATTCAATATATTTTAGAATAGATAGTTAATAAATTAGATATATTTAAAATAGATTAAAAAGTCTATATTATAATATAAATTATAAAGAGTATATATAGCCTGGGGCTGGCCTAATATCGAAATTGAAGCAATGGCACGTGACATCTCATTACACTTTGAGTTTGCGTAGCTTGAGGTCTTCATGTTCTCTGCACTCAAGGACTGCAAGCAATTCTAGTCCCAATTCAAGTGCACAAGGCAAAGACGACGGCTATTTGATACCTACAGCAGTTAACACGCTGTTGCGTTGGCGTGAAGCTGCATTTTACGACTTGAGCTCGAGCTGAGCTTGAACGCAGCCACAGATTTGAGGCCTTGGCCTACGAACACAACTACTCGAGCATACTCGACCAAAACATTCAGGATTTTAGACTAGCGGTGTTATCAGGGCCTTGAGCTGACATTTGCCCTTGTCGGCCTTGAATTCACACAATGGAGGAAGATGACGATGACCTCTACGGCCCAACCGACGCGGTACCTAACCAAACACATCGAGCCTCCGAGGCCCAAAATTCTGAAAAGCAGGGAGATGTAGGCATGGCGGAAGTGGAAGAATATGAGGAGGAAGAGGAAGAAGATGACGAAGTATGCGCGTGTTTCTCTTCCTTTTTTTTTTCTGCAGTTCGCTAATCGCAAAATAACTAGGACGACTTTAAGATCATCACCGAAGCTCCGCCGGAAGTAGCAGCTGAGCTTGCTGCGTAAGTCCGGCCGAAGACGAATATCCTATGTTGCGATCAGTGGACTAATTTTCCGTAGACAACTCCCTCGCCATACTCCATACCGCAGCGAACCTACGAAGTCTACGGCTGATTCCGCCAGTGCAACCCCAAAAGCTGCCCCAGCACCTTCTGCTCCAAAGCCTGGGACGCCGGCCGTAGCGTCTTCTGCCCTTGCTGCAAAACCTGCCGTACCTCAAAAACCGGGCTCTGCGTATCCGGCTCATCACACATCTACGATTGACGTATCGGCCAACCCAGTCCACCCCTCTACCAATAAACCAATTCTTTCTACAGATCTAGATTCGGATTTCCCTACAGAAGATGACAAGCCCTGGCGAAGACCAGGCTCAGATATTAATGACTATTTCAACTATGGATTCGACGAGTTTACATGGGCGAGTTATTGTCTAAAACAGCAGGGCCTGCGAAAAGACATAAACGACCAAAAGACCCAGATGGAGGACATGCAGGCATTCCTCAATCTCCCTGGAGGCCTACCGGGAATGCCCGGCGGGCCAACCCCATCTCTACCCGGCGTAATACCTGGAGCAGTCACCGGCGGAGGGGGAGGGGGAGGTGGCCGAGGCACCCCAGGCCCGCCTCAGGGAGCTGGGCCGGGACCCCAGAACGCAATGCCAGGAATGCCGCCAGGAATGCCGGAGCTATCCCCTGACATGATGCAGGCCGTGTTCGGGGGAATGATGGCTCAAGGCATGGACCCGTCGTCGATGGACCCGATGACGTTCATGCAGCATGCTCAAGCTATGATGGGAGGCGGCCAGCCCGGCGCTGGTACATCGCAAGTCTCCCAAGCAGGATATGGAGGCCAGGCGTCTGGACAAGGGTTTTCCGGACAGGGTGGTGGCCAGGAGCAGATGGGATATGGAGGCTATGACCAGCATGGGCCCTACGGCGCCGGTGCAAGGGGGAAAGGCATGAGGAGATGGTAGATCTCTCGCCCAAGGACTACAGACAGAAGTTATCGCACCATCATAGTATTTAATCTCGTGAATCTCACTGCTTTTGCACCTATATTCTCCGTATATCAACTTCGTTCAAACCCCTGTGTCTTTCCTCTTTGGGCTTTCTCCAGATCTGGCGGCAGCTTCACCGCGCTAAACCGTTTCTGACGTAGTGATCTTGGCATGTTTTCTCGAAATTTCTTGGGCTCGAAAGCAGAAACAAAAACTTCTTTCTTCTTCACCCCCAGTCCAGATATACAATTAACACGATTCTCTTCTTATTCCACAGTCCTTTTTTGTAGTTCAATTCCTTCTCTACGACTTCACGCTCTACACACATCACAATGGTTGGTCCTCCGCTCTCCGCATGACGAGACTAGCTCTCTAACCAAGCTTCAATTCGAATCTCTAGGCCTTCCGCAGCGTCAAGAACCTCGCTCCTCTCCTCGACCGTGTCTTGGTCCAACGCATCAAGTCTGATGCCAAGACTGCTTCTGGAATTTTCCTCCCAGAAAGCTCTGTCAAGGAGCTCAACGAAGCCAAGGTCCTCGCCGTTGGCCCTGGAGCTCTTGACAAGGACGGCAAGCGAATTGCCATGAGTGTTGCCCCAGGTGACAAAGTCTTAGTTCCTCAGGTTCGTGAAATCAGGCTGTATACTGGTTGACTCCATGTCAGGTTATCGAGGCTGACTATTCTTGCCTTCTCTGGCAATCTGCGTTATTTAGTTTGGTGGAAGCCCCGTTAAACTCGGAGAGGAAGAATACTCCTTGTTCCGAGACCATGAGTACGTCGTTCTGTCCTCCGTGTTTGTGATAACCGAAACTAACAAGCTACTTACGAAATAGGCTATTGGCCAAGTTCAGGGAATAAATATGCCCAGCCAGCTACGTTTTGAAATAGATCGTCACGCGATGAGACCGGCCACGCATAGCTAAGCTCACGTTGCTTGAGTGATCTGATTTTGTACAATACTATGTAATATAATGAATACAACCTCCCACCAAGCAATCCGAGTCCACCGAATCGCCTAGCCAGATACGGCAGAAGAGAGTCAGTGAAGCAGGATTATTTCATTTTCTTTTGAGCAAAGGAGAAGCCGTGGTTCCTGGAAAATATACGTTCTAATGAGATATGGGGAGAGATGAAGGTTGCTTGTCGTTACTATTTCTGTCGTTTTTATATACAGCCAGCCACTACTTTGCTTGGATACCTACCTCATCACCCCTTCTCTCATGTTCCTGTAACTTTACTTGGACGGTTTGTATTTCAGTTTTCCCTACTCTTTGATACTCTAGGCGAATTTCAATATGCTAAAATATCTCCCCTCAATGTTGCAATTTGGTAACGGTGCCTGAGCATGATCTAGATGAGTTAAGCACATGAATGAGGCAGTGTAGAATAAGTATTTACTATCCTGTAGTAGAAGGTAACGAGGGCTGATGGCTAGACAGGGTAGCCCCTATTACTCCTGCCTTTGGCTAATTTACCCTGGCTCGACTAAGAATATCATATGTTCGAGAGAAAGCCCGCCCTCCAATCATCCGCACTAGGCGAGGCTTCCACTCTTCATTAATGATACTTTTCAAGCCCTTGTGTAGCTGTTCATGAACTTGGTTTGGAACTTGGCCTCGTGGTATTCCTATTGTCGACGCCCGAATTGCTCCTCCTAGCTTAGGGGACAAAACATAAAGGAGAAGGCAGGCAGAAAAACAGTTAAATCCTAAGCACTGTCTAAGGAGCATCTCAGCCAGAGTACCATCGTTAGGTGGGTAGAATGGGACTTGGCGGGACATGCTACCATCCCTACCGGAAATACCAATACAGTCGGTTGGCGATATCGGTACGTGATATTTCCTTGCGAGACTGAGGATCCACCGTGTGAATACCGCTGGTTTAGAGGATATATTCACTGCTATAACGTCTGAATATTCATGCAAGGTGTCGCAAAACTCCCCTAGAGAGAAGAGTGCATCGGATACCTTTTTATCCACAGATACCGCTGACGCTGTTGCATCTGTTGCATGGAGAATAAAGACATAAAGATGATCGTATTTTCTGCAAGTGCGGTAAACTCGCTCCCGAAATGGTGAGTTTAAATTTATGCCAGGGACAAGCTCGACCGGATGCCCGGGAAGATGTAGCTGCACACAGTCTTGGGTAGTGGCGAGGAGTACACCCACTCTTGGGGAGAGCGTTATATCTGCATCGCGCCATGCCGCGCACTGAGCGGCTGGAACGGAAAGTGACTCGCCTATAGCTATATTATATTGAGAAAAATCTCGGAACACAAGGGTTCGAGGATTTGAAATGGCTTCCAGGTCGCGGATAAGAGGCCGATGCGTTTGAAGAAGTCGTGTCGATATAAAGAAAATTGCTGGTTTGGAGCTGTCATCATATGCGGATGGAATATCTAGTAGGACGTTGCACAATTCCCTCTGGCTTGAGAGATCTAGCGAGCTCAAATTTCCGCTCCGCCGCTGGCCAGCACCTGTGATCCTTTGGCTTTGGGGTGAATGAGAAGGAGTTATATCGGGCTTGTGGTTTACCTTCTGCCGCTTCGCCCTCCCACGCAATTCCATAAAACTGGATAAATTTCCAGGAGCCGAAAACTGAGGTGGAAGTAGGTATCTCGACGTAGCCGTTGATGCAACCGATAAGCCAGCTTCTTTTGATATATTATTATCCAGGTGATTTTTAACTTGCGTGTGCGACCTTGATTTTGGGGCAGTTTTGTCACTTTCATCTCCAGCATTGAAGTTGCGCGGACGTAGTTCATAACTATCAATTTCCTGGTCCATCGTTATTTTAGTTAGATAGTGACATTTTGTACTGGTTTATAATGCTGGATAATGCAACGAACCTTGTGCAGCAAGGGATAATGGCTAGGTTTCGGACCTATATATGGCAATAAGCTGCGAGGTGCCTGGTCCTGGTAGCTTTGTACCTCCCGCAAGTACGGCGTAGAGTATGGACGAACTATGACTTCTTTGGCGATTTCTTCCTCAACCTCTTTCGAGAAGTTCAACGCGTAGCTAGGAATAACTAGGCTTTCATCGTTTTCATCGTCTAGCTTTTCCAAAGGCGGATCCAGATGAAACTCATCGAGTGACGGCAGGGCTGTCGAGAAGAGGAGCTCGCGCGGTGCGGCCGGTCCGAGAATTGGTGAATCTATATGGAATCGGTCTGCTCGGTGGCGGTCTGGAAGTCCCTGACGCGAGTAGCTTCCGTCTAAAGGAACTTTGAATTTTCGGTGTAGTTTGTAGATAGATGACAATAACTTCCCACCGGTTTTACCTACTGGGAGCTTTTCAGCGAGGTCTGATTCCACGGAGACCCGTGCCTGAGTCTCCTCAGTGTCGCCCTCACGGAAGGACGCAGTCAAGTCATCACCGCAAAAAACTCGATCGAAGTCATTAACAAATGTCCAAGGGTCAAGAGATCGATGGTCTATCGTGACTTCGGCGTTGCGTGCATATATGTGCAACGGAGGTTCGTTCGATTCGGACATGTCGAGTCCTGATGTGTTGCAGCGGCGGCGGTCCCAACAACGCAGACAGCTTGATATTGAGGTGTAGAGTAAGGTTATCGAAGATATCTCCGGGGATATGTTATAGTGGACAGACACAGCGATACATATAGGGCGGAAGTGCCTATAATGATGCGTCTGGGTGTCTGGCAGACTGTTAAAACGGGCTGGTGGAGGAAATTTGATAAGGAGGCATAAATTTGCCGGACCAGCGCCCTGGAATCCGCCCGGCCTTCAGCACAACAAAAACACTTAGAATGGTAGAAGAAAAGTAAATAGATTACTCTGAGAGCCCGTTGAGCTTGCAGAAGCCGCTGGTTACGGCATCTGTGATAGGTATGGCTCCTATGAAAGTCTACCTAGGGCACAGGACGTGGGTATCAGTCAGAAACAGGTGGACATTGGGAAATAGAAAGGATAATATAGGATACAGGGTTGGCAATATCAGTCGAGAAAGGATAAGCAAGCCGTCTCATCAAAAACTCCATGTAGACGGGGGATAAAAAGGTATCATGCAAACCAACCATAACCTGGATGGCGTCTGTCTATCTGTAAATTCGTTTCGCACATCGCATCCACTGAACATGGCGAAGGTGGGATAAAAAAGGAAGAAGAAGAACCAAAAAATATCAAGTTAACATTAAGCAGATGAAAGTCGTCAGTACGCCCTTGATTGCCATCCACTGCCTACTCCTGTTCCATTTACCCCCAATGGCCCCAATGCTAGTTCTTGAACTTCCTCCTTAGCACTGCCGACTCTAGTGGCCACGCCTAGGATGGCCGTTTCGACATCCCCGAGTGTTGCAGCGAGTTCACGGACACGAGAAGATTGTGCATTGGCCGTGTTTCCACCATCTCTGCCCCTTGAGGAAACCAGGCCGTGGATTTTCCTCTGAAGGGAGTCCTCGACGTTGTACAAGTGGTCTTCAATGTCCTTTAGATTCTTGCGATATTCCTCAAGTACAGAGCCCATGTCATCAGTTCGCTGTGAGAAGTAGTCGACCAAGTTTCCAGGTTCGTTTTGTGATGTGCCATTCGAATCTGCCTCGATACCTTCAGGTAGCGCAAGGGTGCCACCGTGTCGAAGTCCCATTGTAGATCGTAGTGGATGTTTGGACATTGACTGACCCTGTTGGCCTGCCGGCCACCACCGTTCACCGGGACTGGGCTGGTATTGTAGGGGTAGGAGTAGGGTATCAAGTGTGCGGAAGGCCAGCTTCGCTTCGGTTGCGTCCTGTTTTGCGAGGTTACGGGCGTGTTCAATGCCGTTAGCATCGTTTTCGAGAGCTTCTTGAAGAGTATCTAGTTTTCCTTGAACAAATTCAACGTCATTGGGGATCATGGCGCCTTGAGCGGATATTGTGGGTAGAAGATCGGATACTTCATTACACATCCGAACTTGGTTGAGAATAAAGGTGTCTATAGCTTCAATCTCCCTCTTTAACTCATCACTGCAGCTCTCGAATTTTGTGGTTGGAACGAGGTTTGAGACGTCGATTTTAACACCCGATACGACATTATTCCCCGTGGATTGATCTTGTTTTAAAGGCCCTGTAGGGTTTCTAAACAGGGACAAGGTTGGGCCCTGCTGCTGCTGCTGTGGCTGTGGCTGCTGTTGCTGCTGTAGGGTATTTCCACTGAAAAGGAGACATACGGTTATTTAGCTGAACAAACAAGTATAGCGTATGATTGTGAGGGAACTTACAACAACCCTCCTGTATTTGTGGACGTCCCAGTCCCCTGTGCAGTGCCTCCAAACAAGGAAGGCTTGGCTTGATTCTGATTTGCGGTTGAGGTACCAAGTGAGAATAATGAAGGCCCGCTGGATGCTGCAGTGGTCTGCAGTGGTTGACTGCCGGACGTGGCCGTCCTGCCAAAGAGAGAACCGCCGCCCAGTCCTCCCTGCTGCTGAGGTTGTGCATTGGATGTCCCTATCCCAGAGAATAAACCTCCAGATGCTGGTTGAGTGGCCGTTGCCGTAGTGGTGTTGCTCCCAACCGCACCGAATAGGCTTTTCTGCTGAGGCTGGCTAGTGGTAGTCCCTAGTCCGGCAAATAAATTGCTTGTCTGTGGCTGCGATGTTGCTGTTCCTCCGATGGCACCGCCGAACAGGCCACCAGCGGATGTGGATGTCGTCGCCGGCTGGGGGTTACTTCCACTATTATTCAATTCAGGAGCGTCAGTACTATTTATTTCACCATCTGGCTCATTATGTGTCTCCTTTGTGGTCTGCCTTGCTGTTTTCTCTTCTGTCTGATCCTTTTTCTTCTTCTGTTTAGCTGCCACTGCCAGAGGAGCAGGTGCCGGAACTAGGTTGCGAAATGTTCCACCCTTTGCTTCCCGCATGCGCTGAGCATGACCATCATATGCATTTCTCTGTTCGGCAGCTTTCTTCGCCATGGCAGTAGCTTGACAAGCTAGTAGAAGAAGACCGGAGACTCCGTAGGAAGGCGAAGAAACAGGGCTCTCAAACACGCAAGCCTGGGAGGAGAAGTTCGTATCGCACGGGTTCAAGGCCGGGTGCAAACAAACGGGTGTAACGATAGACAAAGCAAAGGGACATGCGTGGACTTACAACAACGAGTTGGCGGTGGAAGTATTCACCGTTAGGCCTCCTGGCGTCGCCGGCTTCTGGGAGAACATGGCGGGCGGGGAAACGGGGGACAATGGTAGAGTTTTCCTATTGACGGTGGATGAAAAGGGCCGCCTATTGTGGCGGGTAGTACACGCGGCGGAGCAGGCAGCGGAGGAAGAAGCCGGCGGGTGCAAGATAGCTTGAATTGAAGATGCGAAAATGAAGCTGGAGCGAAAAGAAAGATTGTTGATATCGCTTTAAGCTTTGTTGTCGCGCGCGGGCTTGGCAATCTTGGCATTATTCTCTTCTCCTTCTCTTCTACTTCTACTTTCTTCTTACCTACAAGAAGATGAACCTGTATGGGCGGTAGAAGACGACTAGGATTTGAGATGACGGCAGAGACAGGTATGGGATAACATGCACGAACCAACGACCGATACCCCGAGAGTAAAATGCGTCGCTTGCACATCCGTCGATGATGGACTGGCCTTTGCCAGCGACTTGACATCGGCCAGCAAGCTTGTAGATGGCCCTGTTAGCAAGAAACCGGTCTCGAACTACTTCAAAAGCGCCCAGTGGTAAGATAAAGTGCCGTATAAAATATGGAATGCAGCCTAACGAGTTCTCAGGTCTGCAGACGGGACCACAGTAATCACCAATTCGGCTGATAACCATATTCGGTCCTATATCCTGTATGTCCCGACAGCGCCCTTCAGAGATTCCTTTTGTCGTCTCTTGCCCTTGCTGATGCTTACAGACCGCCGGACCTTTTGGATGAGAAGGATGCTCCCCATACGCTTCGACCGTACCATGTCATACCTTCAAAGGAGCCCATTTACTCGGCGGCGATATACCCATTCTACGACTTGCAGGACCCTTCAACCACCTGTCTGCTGTCTGGACTTCGAGACCACCCAATTAGGTTGAATTCGGCCTTATACCCCGGTCTACTGACGTCTTACAGCCTCGTGTCACCCACAACCGAGGCCTTTATAACCCCCCATTCCCTTCTATACCCGTCAAGCCTTGGAGGGACGCATTTCCTAGCCGGGTGTGACAGTCTGATCTGCCTGTTTGATATATCTCGCCCCGGGAAAGATGGGCCTGTATCGAGGCTACCGACTATTCCAAGCAAGCGGAAGAAGATTGTCGGGGGAGGCGTGGGGATGAAAGGTATCGTTTCCGCAATGGCAGTCGACTCTAGTGGTAGCGGAATACTTGCTGCAGGTACATTCACCCGACATATTGGGCTATATGGAGATACCGGAAGTGGTGATACTATCGCCACCTTTAGCATCGCCGACACAGCTGCCGAAAGGGCCATCGGCGGGAATGGCGTGACTCAGGTCCTCTGGAGCCCATGTGGCCGATATCTGTATATTGTGGAGAGAAAGAGCGACGGAATGCTGGTGTACGATATCAGGGTGACCGGCCAGCTCGTCGGGTGGCTTGAAGGGAGGAAAGCGATGACGAACCAGAGATTGGATGTCGATATCGTTGCCGTCGGCGAGACATCCGAAATCTGGGCTGGCGGGACAGACGGGGTTATTCGCATGTGGAAGAACCCGTCTCACGCTGAAGGAGGCTTGCGTCCGATATGGGAGAAGCATATCCATGACGGTAAACGAGCACCTTTCTCTTTTGCGAAGTGCAACCCCCACGTACTGACTGCAGTATACAGATCCGATGACGAGTTCCGTAGTTCATCCGACGGGAAGTGTATTGGCGACTTGCTCAGGGCAAAAACAATATCCATCGTTTTCAGATGATGATGGCACCCAAGAGATCTTGGTAGAGAGGGATCTGGGGACCAGAGGCCTATCCGAGGGTCAAATGGATAATAGTCTCAGAATATGGCAGCTATGAGTCGCCAATTACATCTCACCCCAGTCGCCCACATCCTGTGAAGCACCACCCACTCCCGGCCCCTCAATTTCTATCCAGAAAACAGCACTCAACTGAATCAGGTCACCCTGATAGATCGATTGATAGGAGCCTAGTATAGAGCCATCTAGCAGATCAGTAGCGCTGTGTATCTATAGCCTTATAACAAAGGAGGCTGGGTGAAGATTCAGATAGTGTCTGAAAACTGACCCACCAATGCAGTTCTGCCAGTCATCTTTTATATATAAGATACTGCTCAGTCTAGATATATCAGATATACTGGACATACCAGATATACTGCCTATATATGACTTCATCTTGTCAGCTCCTTCTCATAGACTACTATTTAAGTAGAGGCAACCACAGTGTCTTGGCACTAACAAAACAACAATAACAACCACAAAAGTAAACAGACTAGAAGAGGGGCACCTATACATCTCCAGCAGTATGTCTATAGTGTATCTGCAGTGTGTCCATAGTATGTCTATAGCGCATCGTATATGAACTTTTATAGGGCTGACTTTTGTGGGGTAGCCAGGGGTATCCGTGCTGTGCAGCTGTCCAATCACATCCCAGGGTGAACAACCGCATCTCTTCAACCTCGTCTGCAGCGTATACCTAGACAAACATGTTCATGAATCAGTTTTATATCATTGAATATAGACACACTCCCTGGTGACTGGTTATCCCTTCTAGAATGGCTCCATGTGCAATTAGTCTCTCGCTACTGGCGGAAATATCCATCTATTCTTCTCTTGGCTGGTTCTATCCCAACCTAGACCGGTGAAGGTGTAGATTAGAGCCAGACAGCCCATTGACTCACTGCAGATGCCGCAGTTAATATATCTTAACGCCTGCAGTATATATCTGCCTTCTTCTCACCTTCGTTCTCACCGTCCTCAAGTCCTGCAGCTTCCCTCGTTCAGCCCCGTCAGGCGCCCAGAAGGCGTTTCCATCGTGCCAAAGGTGGTGGTCTCCTCAATATGGCAACTTCTATTTATCTTGACGACTTTGTGCGAAAGGGAACCTCGTTTGCCGGGCGGTATGTCGGGTTCAGAGTGGAAGACAGTTGTCAAGGGCATGTGTGTGGGACAGCAGCAGTCTGATGAGGTGGAAATAGGTTTGATATGCCTGGCTGGGGGGCTGAAAAGTATCGTTGACTCTCCCTTGATATCTGCTGCCGTCAGTATCGCTCACTTGGCTGGGCTCGAAATAATCTGGTCTTCCTGGCCGTGGGACTATGTCGCTTCTGGGCAGAGGGGTGGGATACTCATCTGTTTTCAACGGCCCTTACCCTTTTGGATAAGGTGTTGGGTGTATTGCAGTCAAATTGCAGGATGTGCTTGTTTTGTCGACGAGCTCGCCTGCAATATATACTGCGATATTGAGCTTCTGAGCCGTACCCCTTAGAAAGTATTGCATAAGGCGGAAAATGTTTCTATGAAACGAATGCCCAGCCTGTCTACATGCTTGGATCAATGCTCTGCCACTCGAGGAGGCCCAGCCTATTAACCGACGGCTCCTATGTAGGTCGATCGATTGATATGGCTCATTTTTGTTGATATCAATTGGCATCGCTTGCTGATAGCAATACGCAACAGCGAATTTCTCGGCCTGGAGCGTGATTGAGCTTCCCTTTGTTGCCTTGTTACAGCAATGCGAACCCTTTGCACAATAGGGTCAATAGGCGTCAGCTGGCCTCTGGATTGATTGAGGAATGACCCTCGACGGGAACTACCGCCCCCGGCGCTTGCGGTATCGGTGATTCATTGAGCTGGGACTCTGATATCTCGATTACTGTAACTTACGCTAGCGCGGATACAGAGCCTTACGGGCATCATTTACTACGCCAGCGACATATATTGTATATTCACGACCGGTTTGAAGCTGGGGGGCTGGGTTCACTAGCTAGTGAATGTAGCCAGGACAATGGGCCTTCCTTAAGAGAGCCCTTATCTTCGTCCTCGAACTTCCCCCAGCTCCTCGTCCTCTTTCTTCCTTCACCCTCCCCGATTACACCCACATTTCTACACCCGCCGTTCACAAGTCAACCCCAAAGCCCCCTTCTCTCATCAAGCTGCTCACTTGATCGCACGTCTAGGCTTGAGATATTGCTGGACGCCCTCTATCTGAGCTAAGATCGCTTTGATCGCCGCTGCACTTTCCGTAATATCTCACTGACATCCGCGACGAAGAAGCAAAGTCCTCGCCGAAAGGCATATTCCATTTTGCCAAAGCAGCCTCGGTGAGATCCCAAGCTCTTTATCTCTTCTCCAGAACACCACCAACCTTGATAGCAGGTAGCAAGATCTGTTATCTTCGTCGACTTTGGGCCGTCATCTTTCACTAACACTGACATCCTACACATTTGTAGTTTGGAACGGTTGGTTAGTTAAAATGGATCAAGAGAATCCCTTTGAAAACAAAGACGTCCGCGACAGTCTTCTGCAAGAAGGCTTTTCAATGGATGACTACATGGCCTTATACAACTATGTGTAAGTACGATGATGTGATGTCTCTTATTCTTGGATGACATTCCTTTTGCTGATATTGCATGTTCAGTCATGACCGTGAAAACCAAGCTACTGCTGCTTCTATGCATGAGGGTATCATGTCTGACCAGGAACCGGCAGAATGCATGGATGGATACCAAGCCCAGAACCCAGAAGCTGAAAACCAAGGTAGCCATTCTCTGATATTTTCTTGAAAACTAATAGTCATGGCTTTGATACTTGATTAATACCCATTTATTTGATCCGCTTGTTAACACAGGGTTTTACAGATCGTGGGGAAGTGAAAGGTGACCGCATGGTCACGGATAACGTCTCGTTTGACTTCGGCGATTTGCTGAACCTCGAAGATGCCCCTGCGCAGATGTACGACGCAGATCTTGCTCCAAAACATCAGCATCCACACCCACATGCGCACAACAATTTCCAAGATACTCATACTCCATCCGCTTCTGAAATGATTCGTTCTCCTATCATGCCACAGGGTGCTATTCCGGCTGTCAATACGCCATGCCCAGTTGCTACTGAAGGAAGTGAGCATGCAGTTATGAAACATTCTCCAGCCGATTATAACGCAAATATGGGCGTTGATGCATCGCCAAATCAGCCTTTTCCCCCTGAATTTAAAGATCCCCGAATTCGACAGACGCCCCCTTTCCAACCACACCATAGCCAACTTAATGCCAACTCCGAAAAAACTCAAGTTGGGCAAATTCATAGTATCCCACCAGCAATCTCCAACTATTCCGGTGCTCAGGTTCCCTCAACCCCAGCTTCCAACTTGGCCTCTACTAATATGGTAGATACCACTTCTGTCATTGTGGAAGAAGCTTGTGCCCAAGAAGCCCAGAAAAAACCAGGGCGCAAAGCCGGGAGAGCAAAAGGAAAGTCTCCTACTGTCGAGCCCAAGGATGAGAGAGCCAATTTACGAGACAGTGATGAACCAATCGTTTTACAATTTTCTTCTTCACAAGAAGCCAACGACTATCGCCCGGATAGGAAAATTATGCCAGTCGATCCTACCGTTCCATGCACAGTTGGGCAGAAGAAGGAATGTGTCGTCCAACTTATCAGAGCCATGAAAAGTGTCGAGCATGCCACAGATAACTGGGGTATGATTAAGCCCTTCGCGAACCGGAAATTTAGCGACCGCAAAATCGAAGTATGCTGCTGGAACATTTTGGTAAGCTATCTGCAATTAACGAGCAGGCTTGATATTCTTGAACATTAATTTGTTTTACCAGGACTGTTGCGTTGTTCGGCAAGCAGTAGGACCATTCCTCACGCCTGAGGAAGAATCATTGAAAAACAAGACCAAGAAGAATAAGCAAAACTTTGCTGAGCGCTTTGCAGATATGATCAATATCTTAAGGGTGGGATAGCCTCTATTCCCGTTATTTGCATAATAATACTCACAAAGTAATAGGTTCGCAAGACTGTCTGCCGCCATCTACTGGATCCTTACTATCTGCTTCAGTTTGTAGATGACCCAAGTTCCTGTTTGAGCGTGAGTCTTCCTCGATTTTACCATTCTATCCTGCCATTAAATCAAGATTAACGCTAACCAATTTCAAGCGTGTTGATTCCAACAAAACTCTCAATGCTAAGAAAAAGCAGGCTATCGACTTAGGTAAAAAGGTTATGGCCAAAGGGACAGCTGGTGATGATGATGTGACTGCAGCAGATGAGCCCGCACCTCAACTGGCAAGCCCATTCACCACCCCGAAACCTGAAACCCATACGACATGCACTAGTTCTCGTGATCCATACATGGATAGAAACATTGTTTCCAGCATTGAAACTCCACAAGGCTCCCAATTTCCACCCAACTTACCTCAAGCAAACTTGCAGGCAGCTCATATGGCGAGCTTGCAACCAGGGTCATCTAGGCAGCAACCCATTCTAGGTCCATCAATGGCCTATTCCTCTCACCCAATGAACAGTTTTGGCACTGGACCATCCATTGGGTACTCCCAGGGGCATGCATATAACTCCGGCCGTGGAGCGGTTGGAAATATGGGCTACTACAACATGGGCACGACTATGAATGCGCCTCAAGTCAACATCTCTCCCACACCAAGGTCACCATGGAATCAGATGTATTCCAACGCTATTCCGTCGGCACAGTATCTCATGCCCCCAAGAACCCCAAATATGCCATCATTGACATCTCAATTCCCCACCCCTCCTGTTTCTGGGAGAGCAGCTTCTCCAACCCAAGCTAAGCCTGCGCGCAAGAAGTCTGGCAAAAGATCGGCAGATGGCTCTGATGAGTCAGAAAGCCCAAAGAAGAAAGGACGCCATTAAAATCTTTCATAGTCTTCAATACTTGGTTGCAATCATCAGCGATGCAACACTTTTCAGCATAGTTTTTGAAATTGGTTCACCATATTTCTCCTTCCATCGATACCCTCATAGATACCCCCTTTTCGACTTTGCATCTCTCAGCCTTTTCTTGTTCCCGCATATCTAGCAGCAATCGGCTCGGACCATGATTTATACCCCTCACCTGACCTCGGATTTGGCCTTTGACTTCATACCACAGCCTGGACACGGAACCAGCCACATTCTCATGGGCTCCTTTCATCATCGCCGTTCTCTTGTTCATGGTCTCTTTTTACCTCCAGGAATTTTCCCACTTTAGTCTTTAACTCGCCGTCCGCATAAGCATTTACTTCCTATGCGCATTGCTTCCACAATAGATAGAATATGTCGACTGTGCAGGTTTTGGGGCCTGTACAGTGGGACAATTCATATCATTTTTGTCCAACACCCTTGATAAATCTCAAATTTTCCATTTCTCATTGATTACCTTTTTGTTTCCATGCTGTTATCAACGCCTGGTTGACCTCATTTATCACCTTCTGAAAGCCCATCTGGTCAGGCAATTAACTTGCTAAACAAACCCAACAGGCCAGGGAACACATCATGTTTACAGAAGCCCCTCGCATGCAGCTTCCATACCTTTTATGCTTTTCTTCCTTTTCCTTTCTATTATATTATACCCTTACACCACAGCCATGGAGGAGCAGCGCTCACCCAGTCTCTTTCTTTCTTTATTTTCTAAAAACGGGAATAACCCGGCCAAAAAAAGGATCCCCCTCGATTTATTTTGCTAATTCACCCGTTCCCTTTACATTTGTTAACCCACACTATATCTTTTATTGTTTTTTACCTCAAACCCAACTTTTGTCACTCCTTCAGGCCAAGGACGTTTATTCTAGAACGATAGATCTCCAGCAATTACAATACAAATTGAAATCCATATTTTGATTGGTGAACTACATTTACAGTATCCTATGAATTCTCCACGTATATAAGCCAGTAATCTGGGCCCCATTTTGTAAGTACATATTCCTCTTCCGCTTGAATATAACGGCATCCGGTTTCTTAAGCAAAAATCTTGTACGACTTCAAAGATCATGAGTGAGTTACATTACGGATGACCTAACCCTGAAGTGGTTATCTGACAAAAAAGAAAGTCTACTCTATGCAAGGGATATCGATTGATCTAACCTGTAAATCGGGACTCCACGTCATATCATCGTAAAAAGGGGTAATATCGTATCAAACAACCTTGATGCCATACTTTGCATACGGGAAGGATTCCAAAGTACGAACTAGCTCCCCCCATCCATCATTCAGGCTACCAGGCTTGCCTGAGTTGAGGACGGCCGGGGTATCTAGCCCGTCATGATCGGCGTCCTTATGTGCGCCCGTCAGACCAGCCAGCACTTCCGGCACCTGGTCCTTGTACACTTCGAGCAGTCCATCATACGGGCACCAGATGACTCTCATACCAGCTCTGCGGCCAGCCTCCACGCCAGGCACGGAGTCCTCAAACACGAGACACTCTGCTGGTGTGATCGGTGGCTCGCCCTTTGCCTGAATCTCCTTGTTGATGGTATCTAGGGCCAGCAGGTAGATGTCCGGCAACGGTTTCCCCCTTCCTGGTGCTATTCTGGGGTCATCACCTACAATCGTCCTTGACGGGGAGAACTGAGAGAACAGGCTGGATAAATGGGATGTTTTGAGGTTGAAATTTGTCGTGGTGGAAGAAGTTGCCAGTGCGATGTGTACAGGGGGAAAATTCAATGCCGCGCGGGACAGTGTGCTGATCAACTCCACCACGCCGGGAAGCGGCTTTGTCTTGGGGAACTGGGGTTTCTGCAGGGCCGCTATCTTCTTCTGTAACTCGGCCTGGGGGATGGGCAACTGGGCCCATTGCTGAAAGACTTGGCCGGACTGTTGGCGCGCGGATACCGCAACGAAAGGTCAGCGCATAATCTTTGCCAGCAGTGCTACACTACCTAGGTAGAGATGTGTGCGCGCGCGTGATATACCTGTGGCTGCGGACGACCCTGTAGCTGGGCCTTGATCGACCAAGGCAGGCTGGGTTTCCCATATTCGTGCAAGATCTGGTTTATGACGAGGGTATAGATATCCTCCGAGTCGATCAGGAGGCCGTCCATGTCGAACAAACACGCTCGGACGGGTGGGAGACTGCGGTTCGAGCTATGGTTAACGGCCATGCGGGGGGTGTAGAGACAGGGTCGAAAGCTTACTCCTGGGCAGACATGGCGAGAGTCAATGTATCAGTGTCAGGTATCAGTATCTGGAGGCCGACGCGTCTGGCGGCTGCAGTGAGAGGCCGTGGAGGTGGACTTGCAAGCTGCGTCGAGGTCTGATATATCGACCTCTTTGTTATCCTGACTTTCTCCTTTTTCCTTTTTCCTTTTCGGTTCCTTGAGCCTAACTTTATTCCAACCACACCCGCTTAGCCTCGGCTCTCTCTATATCTACATCTATATTATATCAATCTATATCTATATCTATACTATGTCTTTACATTTATATCTACCTATGTCTATATCTGTATCTACCTATGTTTATATATCTATATCTATATCTGTGTCTACAGTATATTTATATCTATCTAGCTGCCTTTTATATAATATCCAGGTCATCGTACTCCAGGTCAAGCGAGCGTAGATTGTGTGCATGTGCAAGACTGGGATCAGTCAGCCAGCCACGACAGGTAAACATCCTTGCATTTAGCTATAATATCGCATACTCCGTGCGCACATGCTCAGGTCCTTTGATCGTTTGTCCGAAGCACCGTTGGATGGCATACGGATAGTCACCTTGCAAGGCCAGCGTACATCTATAACCGAGACCCTTACCTTTACTATTCATATAACTATCTATTGTAGCGAGTATAGAACTGTTGTTGGTGGAAGTTGTGGTAGTTGAGATAGTTAACGATCTTGGCACTTTGACTTTGGGCAAGATTTAATTTGAAGCCTCAAGCTACGACAGACAACAACAACTACGAAGTACACCATGTCGGACATAGAAGATAAGCCGCAGATGGCCAAAGGCAAAGATACAGAAAGTGACGATGAAGGAGAGGTCTTTCACGACGCCCGGTTTCCACCAGACGTAGAAGCTGTACGTACTTGCTCCCCCGCCATCAAGACCAGCCAGAGCCTCACTAAAGAAACCACGTCAACAGGAGCTCCTAAACCAGTCTCATAGCCAGAAGGCCGAAGCAAACACGCTGTTTTCCACTTCCCGTTACTCCGAAGCCATCACCACGTACGGTCGTGCCATTTCTATCTGCCCGAACTACCTCGACTTCGAGATCGCCGTTTTACAGAGCAACATTGCAGCCTGTCATTTGAAGCTCGAAGACTGGAAGGCTGCTGTAGATGCGGCAACCTCTAGCATATCATGTCTCGATCGACTAATCCCGACATCCCCGCCTACTTTACACTCCTCGTCCACGGAGAGAAGCTCCGGGGGTTCGGGGGTGGACGAACAGAGCTCAGGTGCACAGGTCGTTGAGCTACCGGACGATGCGGACCAGGAGCAGGAGGAAGATGTCCTCAAACGGCTAAACGAGAATGACACGCGCAGGGAGGATGTGATGCGGATACGGGGCAAGTCTCTCATGCGGAGAGCGAAGGGGAGAATGGCACTGGGCGGATGGTCGAATCTTCAGGGAGCAGAAGAGGATTATAAGAGCTTGCTCCAGCTCAAGGTCCTCCCTCCACACGACCAGCGAGTGGTACGGACAGCATTACAGGAGCTGCCTGCCAGAATAAACGAGGCAAAGGACACGGAGATGGCTGAGATGATGGGGAAATTAAAAGACGTAAGCATCCCAGACCTGAACAGGAGCCCAATTGCTATCTTATAAGGCCATAAGTCATGTTATTGACTAACCGACTCAACCTGTAGTTAGGGAACGGGATTCTAAAGCCATTCGGTTTATCTACGGACAATTTCAAGTTTGTCAAGGACGAAAAGACCGGTGGCTACAGCATGGGATTCGAGAAATGATCGCATTAAATTCAATAGAAACGGATTCCACGTGTAGGCGACTTGCATACGGCCTCGGGAAGCATTTTAGATATGGTCGCCTCAAAAGCCATGAATAGAACGACATAACTCGGTCGATCAGTTGAACAAGCAAGCGTGTTCAGTGTGTTCGACTTGCCATGTGGCTACACCGCAGTGTCTGAGCGACATGGAAGTACAGGTGTAACGCCAAAACATCCTCACGAGATGCCTCGCCACAACAATCTATGTCAAAGGTACGAGTAGACCTGAAGTTTTCATATCAACTACCAAAAAGAGCTTCAACTGCTTGCTCAACCTCATGGAGCGATATACGACTGCTTATGTCATGTGTGTCGGTGTTTCGGTGCTCAGTTCTCCCCGACTTTCCGATGCTCACCCACCCTCGCGTCGATGTTCGCCATAGGCCGAAGCGGCGGCGTTGCGAGGCCATGGATCGATGACTTCAGCCGGCATGATACAGGGTGCAAGGCCCGATCAGCCTGCCATGGCCAGCGAATTACTCCTCTCACCTTGCTCGACAAGCACTCCGTACGGGGTTTCCAATATTTATCCACGGGCGGGATGACAATATCCTGAGGCCGGCCTCCGAGACTTCGTAATTATTAGTGTCCGCTTCAAGTCCCTGGGGGATGAGCGATGCAACAGGTTATTTCTTATATCTGGCAGCTGGCTCTCTTTGCTTCTCGATTCTGATTTTATACTCACTTCTGCTATACACATCAAAGTCGACTACTGAATCCTGAATAAAGTTGGGATTGATTGTCTATACAGTTTAGAATAAGGCTTAGAAATGTCGAGTCCGCACGCGATAGGCCATGGCCCTCAAGGGAATGTAAGTTCAGCACACACTTTCTTTCAAGCCTTATTGGAGTAGGCGGCTAATTCTTTTGTACAGCCTGGTATGGCGATGAAGGGGCCTCCATACCCTCCAGCCGGTGCTAGCATTGGCGGCCGCGCAACCGCACCTGTGGATGTCCCAATAAGTGCTGTTTTCATAGCTATATTCCTTGCCGGAGCTGTGTCTCATTTCACCATTTTTCGAAAAAACCTCAAACGCAACTACAAATTCATACCGTCTGCAGCAAGTGGTGGCTTCTGCATGGCGCGTGTTGTTGCCAATGTTCTCCGCATAGTTTGGGCTGCTAAGCCGATGAACGTGAACGTTGCAATTGCGGCCCAGGTCTTCGTCGCCGCTGGTGTTCTTATACTCTTCGTCCTCAACCTGATATTCGCACAACGACTACTTCGTGCAAGCCATCCTAAGGTCGGCTGGTCTCGCCCGGCGTCTTATGCCTTCAAGATGCTATACATCCTCATCGGTCTAACGCTTGTCATTGTCATCACGGCAAGCGTACATAGCTTCTTTACTCTGAATCCGAATGCCCGACGAATCGATCGCGATCTCCAGCTCTTCGGTGGTAGCGTGTTGACTTTTGTTGCGTTCCTTCCGTTGCCCATCGTTGCATTCATCCTGGCGGTTCCCCGGAAACAACCAATCGACCAGTTTGGCTCTGGGTCATGGTCAGCAAAGGTTATCATCGTGGTCACCGCGGCTTGCCTGTTGACTCTTGGTGCGGGCTTCCGTATTGGAGTAAGCGCCTCCCCCCCAAGACCTGCAAACATTCCCGCTTGGTATCACCACAAGGCCAGTTTCTATATCTTCAACTTTGTCCTCGAAGCTATAGTTGTATACATGTTCCTCTTCGGCCGCATCGATCGCAGATTTTATGTTCCAAATGGCAGCTCCAAGGAAAGGAACTACGCTGCGAACCGAACCCAACAAGGCCCGAAAGACTCTGAGAGGGCCACTGATGACGACGAAGCAGGAACAAGCGAGAAAGTGTTGTCGTGAGCCAAAATTTGCGGGCAGACCCTTTTTTTTCGTATATATTTCCGGTACTATATCCAATAGATTCCTCTCCTCCCCAGTATATCCACCTAATGAGCATGACTTGTTTATTAATGAAAGTCTACCACCACATATAAATGCATATTGAAGTTTCATTGCGCAATTGATATGGTTTATTTCAGTTATCGATACCCATACTATTTATATTTCCCATTGTTCATGTAACCGCATGCATTTGCCTTTATCGACTGAGCTAATCTAGCCTATTCAATGACCTTCGAGCTGTATGCTCAAATATCTCGACCCTCCATCAGCCACAAACTCGACCCCCGTTGTATAGGTGGCATCGAACCCCAAAAACAAAGCTGCCTTGGCGATTTCCATCGGCTTTGCAATCCTGCCCATTGGCGACGTCTTGGCTCCAATGTCCGCGAATGCTTCCTTTTCCTCCTTGGAAGCCTCTATGATTCCCATGGTTGGCGTATCCACGAACCCAGGACTAACGGCATTGACCCTGATACCCTGTTTGCCATCCTCTCCACGCGCCAGCTCTGCCGCCAGCGTTTGCACAAGCGAATATACCGCCGCCTTCGATGCGGAGTATGCAGCCATTCCTGGATATCCGGTGCCAATTGAAACACTGGTAGTGAACACAATAGAGCCACCTGGTCGAATGTATGGCGTCAAGCGTTGAGCGATGAAAAATGGACCACGAGTGTTGGTGTTGAAATGCTTGTCGAACATTTCTTCGGTAACGGCCTTAAAGGGGGCAAGGCCTGCATATGCAGCATTGATGAAAAGGAAATCAATTGCTGCAGTTCCGTCGATGGCCAAATGTTTCTTGACGGAAGCTTCAAGCTCAGCATGGCTGTCCATACAGGTGACATCGGACTGCACAACTAGGGCTGCTCCAGCGGCAAATTCATTGAGCTCTTTAGCTGCAGATTCGACGGGTTCTGCGCGCCGTCCTGAAACCACCACTCTCCCACCTTGGGATACGAGGGCTTTGGCAACTTCGAGGCCAATACCATGAGTTCCACCGACGACAACCGAGTTTTTTCCCGAGTAGATGGCCATAGCTGTTGCTTTGCGAGAGAGACGAGAGAATTGATATTCCTGAAAGGGATTGTAGGAGAAGTTGGTGGACTTGTCGAGGACGGATGTGAAATATCTCATTCAAGGGAAGTTCTGCCCTGATTTATATACATCCATATCTTGGTTCCACTCAATGGGTAGAGTAAGAGTTCCAGTACTGGAGTCATCTTCATAACCAGCATCGTATCTGCTGTAGGATGATTTTTAATCAGAGCCAGCTTTGAATGTCTACCTACTCGTATAAACTAGATATCTTTGTAAACATGGAGAATCCCAAGAGACTTGGACAGTTTGATATCACTACTAGATCTGGTTGTTTGTTATGTTTGCATGTTTGTTTCTCGTGTTTGCGCGTTTGCATGTTTTGTCTTGTTTGCAGTATCTATCAGCAGTCTTGGCATTCTCGTTCTCTATAGAGATATAGAATCAAGAAGATAGAGACGTTGGTTTCGAGGGATCTCTATGATGCAGGCTATTTACTGAATATACTGGTGGGCATACTTGCAAAGTATGAGGTGTGATACAATACTGAACAAGCTGCCACTCTTGGAATGTAATGTCGATTACGATGTGTTAAGGCAAAACACCTATCATCTTCATATTCAACTCTAGTTCTTTTTTCATTCGGAAGTCGGGGTATTCTAATTCTTTTTTGGCAAGTCACCTTTCCTTTCCTCTCCCTTTCCTTCAATAGGGTCCGTTAGAATCCAGCTAGAGAACCGTTCCCCCCTAACACCGACAGCACGAGGAGGTCATTATGAAACAGAGGAAGGGAAGGGACCATGGCTAGATAAAAAAGGAAACGAATATTAGACATCCCATATGCATCCAGTCATCGATAGCAACAAATAAGGAGTTAAGTATTCATTGAAGTTTAGGCAGGTTCAGCTGGTTAACACTGCACGGGTACAGTGAGATGAAGTGGAATGCAAATAGGCTTTGAATGGATTGAGATCTTTGTTCTCGTATCTACAGGAAGTAATCAGGCGTGCGGCGGGACACCATTGGTTCTCCTGCACGAGGACAAGGGTCGAATTGGAGGCTATGAACCGTGTTAGTCGAACAAGAACAGCCAGTTGAGGGAGGGATTTACTGGCTTGACTTACAAGGTATACTTGAGGTTCTCGTCTATTTCCATAATTGCAGCTTGGTTCCCGCATCTATAGCAGTAATTTGGAGCTGAGGGCCAATTGAGTTAGCATCGCCAAGGAAGACAAGACTGGGGAAGCTGGAGAAGAACGGGCTTGAACGTACCAGAGAATATAGTTACTACATTCCGATCTTGAGACCAATTATACCCTTCCATCACAAGCTGATGTGCTCTCGCGACTAGAGTCAGCCCGTTGTTGTGGTTAAATGCCTCTGAAATATCCTGGCCGAAGGTATAACCAGCGCCACGAGGTGAGATGCCCCACCCGCACCTGTCGTCGGGGTCACTCCAAAGAAGATCACACATGGGTCCTTCATGTGGGACTTCCTGCATACGGTCAAGGGATCTGATATTATCCAGCGTATCGATTGAAGGGCTCAGTCCTCCGTGAAGACAGAAGATCTGATTATCAATGAGGGCGGTGAGGGGAAGGAAATCGAAAAGATCGGTGAAGTATTTCCAAACATTGGCATTGCCATACTTGCGAAGGCATTCATCATAGAAACCATAAACTTGCGTTATCTGACGTGATTCGTGATTGCCTCTTAGGATGGTGATGCGCCCAGGATAGCGGATCTTAAGAGCAACGAGGAGGGTAACTGTCTCGACGGAGTAGTAGCCACGGTCGACATAGTCGCCTTTCAACATATAAGGTGTTAGATAGCTGTGCTCGGCGGGAGACGTACTCGAGCTCTGGACTTACCCATGAACAGGTAGTTTGTGTCTGGATTTGGACCGCCGATTCGGAATAATTCCATCAAGTCGTGAAATTGGCCATGGATATCTCCGCACACTGTCACTGGGCATTTCTGTAGCTAGGGGTTAGTACCATCCCCGGAAAGGCATACCAAGGGGTGGAATGCCATAGGAGAAACGCAAGACATACCACTGGCTGGACGTTCGATTCCTCCTGTAGAACCTCTCTGGCCTATTTATGGGTGAAAAACGACAATCCGGTTAACCTCCATTACTTTACGCAAGCGAACAAGAAAGAAAGGAGAAAAAAGCAAGCGCTGGCATTGCAGAGGTGTGTTGCCCACCCGGTCACATAATCTCTGAACATCGATCTCCGCCAACTGTTTGCAGCTCATGAGGCTCTCGATCCAGCCATCTAGGGTCGGTATTGACTCTGGGTCGGTGATCAAAGACAGGCCATGAGGTTCAGGAGATCGCCCTGAGTCAATCTCCATCTTGCTTTCCATTAGCAGCGGGTAAGGGTGGGCGGTAGCAAGGCGAACGATGGGGAGGCGGCGGTGGTGGTGGAGGGGGGGAGGAGTCGCTTAATCTGATGATGCTGGGGGGTACGTGACAAGAACGGCGGCTGCAGGACGTGCAGGTCGAGGAGAATGGATGCTGGGGTCCCGGAGCGCGAGAAGGGCGAGGACAAGGGCGCTCTGGGGCGAGGTAGAGAAGCAGAAGTAGAATTGTTTCGTGGTCAACGGGGAGCTGGTGCAGCGAGTATGTCTTTGTATCCTGGCAAGCCTTAAAGGGCGATGGTTTGGGACTTTGCGCCACAGAAGCCACATACCTTCACGTGACCATCTCTTTTTTTTTAGATGTTTTTTCTACATGCGCTCTTAGAGAGACAGGCGAAGACAGACAAAAACGATGTGAGATAGATTGATACACTCCAGAACTGTTGACTGCTGCTAGTATGATTTAAGCTATGTTCGTACCATGCGCTCATGCACGGATTAGATTATACCGCCACCGAAGCCACCGAAGCCTCCCAACCCTCCCCCAGGGCCTCCTCCTCTCCGGCCACCGGGAAAGCCTGAGCCCGGTGGTCCTCCCCGTCCGTACGGTCGACCGTCACCAGGGCCAACTGGGTCGTACCTTGCACCAGGCGGTACCTGTGGGTCGAAGCCTGCCTGTCCCCCTCGCTCTCCTCCACCGAACATGGGGTCGTCGAACGTAGGATGCATACCTCCTCCCCCTCCCCTTGTTGGCCCAAAGTGTCCTCGTAGTGGATCGTGTGGAGCTAGGCCCTGGGGATAGAGATCTCTCTCGCCGATATTCAGTGGCTGCCTTCCACCTTGCCCTTGGTGGTAGCCGCGTGGCGGACGGTTGATTTCATATTCATCCTCAAACCCGGGAGGAGGGAAGTCGCCTGCAGGAACTGGATCATGGGACGGAACGGCCAGCGGATCGTCAAATGGATAGGGCCGAGTAGGCTCGGGACTGCGGTCACTGCGTAATGGGCCCCGAGATGGGTACTGTTCAGCAGCTTGTTCTCTCAAAGTGCCCTGTGCACCGTGACTTGACTCGCCATCTTCTTCCTGCTGAGTTGGTACCAGTTTCTGGATGATGTTCACGTCGAACAGGTTGACAAGGGCGTCAAGACGAGATTGTGATACGAATATGTCGGAGAGCGCATTTGACTCGGAGCTGGCGGACAAGGGGAGCTTTGAACCAGACACATATTCCTCTGTGGAGAGATCGAATGAAGTTGTCTTGTCGTTTCCCAGGGCTAGTGCATACACGACGGTATTATTCCCTAGCCTGTTGACCTTGAGAAGGTACTCCATGGACGAGTGCTGGTGGGAATATCTGAAGGAAATCGTCGAACTCGCATTCCAGTCCCTGGGCAGGACGTCGGTGCTCTCTGTTTGTGCCCGTTAGCCTATATATCCGGCCGTCATACGCCTCTGTTTCCTCACCTATACGATGGTCTTCTCCAAGTCCGATCAACCTAAAGTCAGCTGCAACCATACACGCGTGGCCGAGGAGTGCTACCGCCTCCTGGGCGTTACTCAAGCGCTGACCGTCTCCCTCATGTAGACTCTGGGGCAGGCATCTTGTGGCAATGGAAATAACGTTACTGGACGTTAGTGCTTGGCTGGAGCTGTTCGAAGCTCCAGACGGCTGTTTTGTCATGGTCATCCGTGGGATGCTATCAACTGGTCTCGAAATACCAGGCCTAGCGTTGTTCCTGACGCTGTTCTTGACGCTGCCGAAGTTGTTCGTTCGTGCTGTGGCTTGCACTTTTTTCCATGACGCAAGAAACGCCTTCCTGCGCAGCTTTATATAAAGATATCACGTGAGACCCAGAACACCCCGCGAGCAAGGATGACTAATTGCGGCTGTATAATTTCTGCCCGAAGCTACAGGGATTAATCCATGCAAAGCATCTATAATACGTTGAGATAGGGCATGAGAAGGCTCCCACTGGCATGGAGTTAGGTTCTTCATGAACTTGGCTGCCCGAGGATGTGCCCTGCGAGTCCCAGTCATCAATATCTGCAACTCTAAACTCTCATAGAGCTCGTTTGCGTCTTGTTGAAGGGCATCCTTCCGGACTATTGGGGCCTATGGTCCACGGGCGAGATACCCCTTTTGCTATACCCTTGAACAAGTCTGAGTATAGTGCAGACATATATTCAGAGCTATGGTTTTTTCTGGTGCGACATTGGAAATTGGAATCTGGAGACCAGATGCTGGTAGCAAATGTGTTCGGTAGGCGATAGGTATTATATCCTATACGCCAGGTTATTCGCTTATCATATCGACGACTGCCTTCCAATAACCACTCCAACGTCCGCTACATCTTCTCATATCGTGTTCATCGCAGGATCAAAAGCCGAAAAATTTATGACGTTGATGATGACTAAGTAAATACCCTTAGTCATCCTGGTTACATGAACAGCCTGACTTCCCGAAGGAGTAACTCCAACAACAACCGTGGATGCGAACTTCCAGACTGAAGATATTGAAGCATCGTCATCATCCTCTGCATTCCACGGCTGCTACCGGCTGAGAGTCTTCCCACTATGTGAGCTGGGCAATATCACTGCGCCCCAAAATGGATTTGGCATTTCCGTCACTGCTGTCCGTATCTCTCACTCGCTCTATATACATATGTGTATATAGATAAGGAAGATGGGCAGTATCCGTTAAATACCCCACGGCCGACATATATACTAGACCTGAAACTGCCACGCGACAGATATCCCGGAATGGGTGGTTACTGTCTGTTCCATGGTATACGGCCGGCTACGAAAGCTTGGAATTCGAATAAGCCAGCCATCTTGCTTGCTCACTGGTGGCAAAGCTGTCGTCATTTCTAGATCTGGCATCCTGGTCTCTGTGGTTCCGCTCCTCGTGGAACCCAGGTTCTTTAATCTGGGGTAATATAAAAGTCGCAATTTTTCCCACAACCCCTTTCTTTTTCTTCTTTTCGTTTTCTCTCTTCCCCATTATACCTATCATGTCAACATTATCTACTCTACACTATAAAGTTAAAACAAATCCAAATAAAAGAGCCATCATACCTATCTACGGTCTCGGTGTGCAAGTCTCCCCTTAGAAATAAAGATTAATACACTAATACATTTAAGATGGATCCCACACCAGCTGCTGAAGTCGTCGATGAAAATAAGGTGGAAGCGCCCGTTACTTTCCGGGCGTACCTGATTTGCGCCTTTGCCTCCTTTGGGGGCATACTCTTTGGGTATGACTCTGGTTATATCAACGGTGTCCTGGGCATGCCGTATGTAAAGTCACATTTCGGTGGACCAGTTCCTACGTCTGTGGACAAAACTGGGTTCAATGTTCAGACGTGGGAGAAATCGTTGATCGTCTCCATTCTCTCTCTTGGTACGTTCCTTGGAGCCCTGTTTGCGGGCTCCGTGGCTGAATGGATTGGTCGCAGGCTTACAATCAGTCTCTCCTGTCTCTTGTTCTCTGCTGGCGTCGCCATTCAGGTAGCTGCTGTGAGAGTCCCTGAACTTGTTGGTGGGCGCCTAGTTGCAGGACTTGGTGTTGGCGGTGTCTCCACGGTTGTCATCTTGTATGTCTCGGAAATTGCACCTAAACGTGTTCGCGGAACTCTGGTCTCAGTCTATCAGTTTGCTATCACCATTGGTCTTCTAGTCTCGGCCTGCGTTGCCCAAGGCACCCAGAAAATACCAACAAGTGCGTCGTATCGCATACCAATCGCTGTGCAATTTGCCTGGGCCTTCATACTCGGTGTTGGCCTACTGTTCCTTCCTGATTCCCCTAGGTATTACATCAAACAGGGCAAAATGGACAAGGCAGCGGCTGCCTTGGCCCGGGTCAGGGGTCAGCCCGCACAGTCGGCTCGAATTCAAGCTGAGCTCACAGAAATCAAAGCCAATTATGACTATGAGTCTTGCATTTCGTCTTCGTCTTGGTTCGACTGCTTCAAAGGTGGCCTCTCGCCCAGCAGTAACTTAAAACGTGTCTTGGTTGGAACAGCGCTGCAAATGTTTCAACAGTGGACAGGAGTGAACTTCATATTCTGTAAGTCTGGGTCATTATTTTGGTCAACTACTCTTCGAAATGGCAAATAACTAACACTCGCATTTTATTATTCCATTAGATTATGGTATGTCTTACCTTCTACCACCAGAGCAAATTAGGATAACAATGGACAACATTCTCTAATTATTGACGTTATAGGGACAACCTTTTTCCAACAAAGTGGCCTTAGCAATCCATTTTTGATCTCCGTTATCACAAATGTTGTAAATGTCTGCTCTACCCCTTTATCATTCTACACGTTAGAGAGATTTGGCAGACGGCCTCTCCTTATCTGGGGTGCATGTTTGATGCTGATATGCGAGTTTGTTATCGCAATTGTTGGCACGGTTGCCCCTGGATCTACTGCAGCGTCGATGTGCCTGATTGTTTTTGTGTGCATCTATATATTTGGCTTCGCCTCCACATGGGGTCCTGGAGCATGGGTGGCTGTCGGAGAGCTATTCCCTCTACCTATACGAGCAAAGGGGGTCGCTCTCTCTGTTGCATCTAACTGGCTCTGGAACTGTGTAAGTTGGAAACTTCCATTGTAATGCCTCCTGGTTCCGTATTGTGGGGTCTAACGTTAACTCTTATTTGATACAGGTTATTGCCGTGATTACGCCGTATATGGTCGATCCTGAAAAGGGGAATATGGGCGCTAAAGTCTTCTTCGTTTGGGGGGCGACCTGCACCCTATCGATGTTGTTTGCGTTCTTCTATGTACCAGAAACCAAAGGTCTATCCTTGGAACAGGTGGATCAGATGCTCGAGGAGACAACTCCCAGAACTAGTTCAGCCTTTAAGCCGCATGGTACTTTTGCAGGGCGTATGGGAATGAGCGCAATGCCTGCTATAATTTCTGAAGCTACCGTGGTAGAGGAGGCCAAGGCTGGTGCCTAGAAACTTTAATGGAGGAACTCTTTATTAATTTTTTTTTTTTTTTTTTACACATGCTAGCATTAATGCATCAAATTACGGCGTCATTGGAAATACTGACCCAAGTGTACTATATAAACATGCCCAAGAAATACTGTAGCTGGATGGTCAAGAACACAAGGTTAGCCCTGTCGAATCTTCCGTTAAACCCCCCCTTGAGTTCGGACTAGAGCATTGATCAATTCCTTTAAGAGTAAATCCCGATCCTGGGGCATATCCAACGAGATTTTCAATATATGTACTTGCACGTTCTATGGGCGTCGAACGAGGACGGAACTAAATATATACAGGAGCTGAGGAAACACGGCAGCACTAAAAGGGGTAGCCAAACGGACAGAGAAGTTGATTGCGTTCTACCGCGCAAAGAGATATTAGTTCTCGTTCGAACTTTTGCCTTCGATATCCTTCTGGGCGCCCTTGACTAGATGTAAGCATGCTTCCTCAACGTCGCTACCATCTCTCCAGCTATATAGAGGCACCCCCTCGCGATCGAGACTTTCTTTGGCGCGCTCCCAGCGTCGAAGCCACATTTCTTCTCGTTTGTTGAGGCTACCTGTTTGTGTATCGGAAGTTTGGTATGAGTTTCTCCGTCTGAAGGGTGCGGGCGGCATAGAGTTTGCCCTGTTTAGCTCGTTGGCTGGAATTTCGAGTGAGGGTTGCGTTGCTTCAGAAACGGGTGAAGATGGACCTGTGAACCCTGTGGTCGATTTCGATGTCGAAGGGGATGTGTTCGTTACGGTAGCGCTCCTGCGTGGCGGAGGAACTGGAGGAGGGGCAGGCTTCGCTTTTGGGGAGGAAGTAGGGGTAGTCCTGTTCGAGGATAGAGGCATAGCATTGGAGAATTTCTCAGCATATTCCCTGGCAGAGGGTAACTGGTTATACAGGCTGGCAGCTTGACTCCTGAAGCTGCTGACGTAGCTGTCAGTTGACGGACTGCGAGTTAGCGTGGCTGACTTTTTAGGGATGGTTGGAATTTGTTTTCTTGTAATTGTCGATGAGGCTTGGGAGGATGTGTTAGTATTCGAGGTTTTCGGTTCGACTGTCGCAGAGCGAAGCCCCTCTGGTTTGGATGGTTTGGGAGGAGCCCCTTGGTGAGCTGGCTTTTGGCTGGAAATATCAAGTTTAGGCACATCATCGTCACAATCGTCTAGGTCAATAAGATTGCCCATAGGAACTATCGTCTCCTCTGGCTCAGCTTTGTTTCCTTCCACTTGTCTCCGCGGCGGTAAGCTAGGCTTGTTTTCTGGTGTCTTTAATAAGCTGCTAAAATCGATACTAGAATTATTTCGTCTCCGTCTCTCGAGGTGGGGGGCAGATCTGTCAAAGAACCCGCGTACCGCAGGCGTTGTCACATCACGGATGAAAATACCAAGGATCCTGCCCTTGTTGGCCATTGCAAGTTCGGTATAGATTTCAAGATCAACTTCTCCGCTATCGCCAACGAGGATAAACTTCCGGTTGGGGAAGTCCTGTATTATCCTCTCCAAGCTTGGCCGTTTCCGTTCTGCGGTGGGCTCGAATATCCCCTGGAGCATGCCGGAATACTGCTTCAGATGGAACGAACCGGGAGGAAGTCCGGCCAAGTCAAAATACTTCTTCAACAAGGGGTAGAGCTGCCACGGCGAGTTGGAGACATAATGGATGCCCACTCCCATTTGAGCGAGCTTTGTGTACCAGTCACCAACACCAGCGACGGTAAGGTCATTCAGGTTCCTTACGAAAGTATTGCGGAACATCTCCTTTGCCCCGTCCGTGATGGCGGAATGCTTGATCGTGTCGTCTATATCGCTGATAAGACTGATACCGCTTGGCTCAGATAAGCTAACCTCCTCAGTTGCAGACAAGTGTTCAGCACCCAGTACTCGAATATGGGTTGGAACAAAATCGAGTGATGCGCGGAGAATAAACTGGCCGCTAGCATTTGTCGATATGGTCCTTGACTGGCTCTGCGTCCGGTTGAAGAAAAAAACAGTAACGGGGATGTTGACGGCAGGGATCGTTAAAAACGGAGTCAGACGCTCCATGAGCTGTGCGTTGGCGGCGGCCATCTGCTCTGGAGACAGCTGTGAAGTCTGTTGGGTTTCCTCAACGTTATCCTGGGCTTTATGCATGATTGATTCGACCCTTTGATTGATGGAGGCGTCATCTTGCCCTGGCGACTTTGGGCTCCCAGGAGCGGACAGGTCCTCGACATCGGACGATGCTGCACTTGGAGTTTGTATGCCACTTAAGCGTCTGGCAAGGGCAAGCAAGATGCGAGTCTTTCTGTTCATGGGCCCTCGCTGGGGGGAGTATATCCAGCCACGAGCGTCGACGTCGACGATGGCATTTTCGCTTTCGGGCCTATAGCACTCGTTCTGGGCGCTGGGTAAGGCAGATTCAAACTCGGTAGAGGAGGAATGGTGTTCACTCCCTCGTAGATGCCGCCTACCGTAGCTTGGAAACAGTATCATCTGCTCGTCTCCGTGAATTGATCCCTCGGCCTCAGGAAAACCGCCGGGCATACCGGGACTGCTCGCATCTTGGTCTTGATATCCCCTCGTCCACTGAGCCGAGTACGCCTGCCGTAGATCATTGGCCGCCTTCAAGTAACCGAACATCTTCTTCCGCCTTGCTCCTCTCTCGCGGCCATTGCTATCGTACCGTTCTTCTCCCAGTCCTGTCCCGGTGCCGCTACCATTGCCATTCCCATTACCGTTGCCGCTACCACCGCCGACCTCCATCCGCGCGCCAGTAGAGCTCAACATTCCGGTCTGGATGCCTATGCCTGCCGTGCTGCCGGTCCCATGTTTCGTCGTCCGTCCACCACACCCTGGAGCTATCACTGAGGGGCTGTGTCTGCCGCCTAGCAAGCTTCGTCCTGCTAGTCGCTGTCGGGGGAATAAGAGACCGAAGAGACCGGTCCGTCTGGCAGCTCGTCTCTTGAGGATGCGAGCCTGCCTCTCGACTATTGCTCTGTAGATGCGAGACTGGACACGGTGTTTAAAACGGGGGAGAGCTTCGATGCGGAAGTAGGAGTAGCGCGCTAGAATCCGGTGGTGGGTACGTGGGAACAGGCTGTGGAAGACCGACGACAGCGAGCCCCAGCGGGAGACGGGCTTCAAGGGCAAGCCGCGAGGCCTGACAAAGCGGCTATGCAGAGGTGGGCGAGCCAGGATGACAGCTGGATATTCTAGAGCTGTCGTGAATAGTAGTATTGTGGTGGTGGTGAAGTGATGAAGTTGGAGTTGGAAGTTGAAACCTCGGCTGGATACAAGTCTATCGTCTATCTAATCTATGTCGATGTCTATGTCGTCACGTCTGTCTACAGATTATATACATGATCAGGATCAAAGGTCTCCTTGGGCGAGACATAGTAGCCCTTCTGGTTTGCGATGACATGGACTCCGTCCGCCATGAACGAGCAATTGTAATGCGTATGGCCAAACGCCCACGTCCTGACAGCCGGGCTCGTCCAGCACTTCTCGTCCTTCATCTCTGTCGCAAAGCCAGACGTCACCGAGCTCCCCGCGTACTTGGGATCGACCGCCCTGGGATCCAGGCTGGGAGCGTGGTGGGTGAAGATGGCGATGCGCCGCTGGGGTTCTCGCTGCTCGATCTCCTCGACCTGCGAGTTGAGCCAGTCGAGATCCGATCGATGCGCTAGGTTATGCTCCTTGGTCGTCCAGTCGACGATCATCTTAAAGTCCGACATGCGATTGGCGACGGCCTGCTCTTGGTCCGGCAGGATGTGCGAGTAGAGCGTGCAGCCCAGGATGGTGAGCGTGTCCGTGACATCATATCGAGTCTGCGAGAGGAAGACGAAGCGTCCGAGGCTGGAGGAAGACGAGACGCGGTCCTGAAAGGCTCGCACTCTCGCTTTGGCGGCCTCCATGGTGAAGCTCTGGGGCTCATGGTTGCCGAAGAGGAGGAAGACGGCCGTGTATCTGGCGAGCAGCTCCTCGAGGTAGGGGAAGAACTCGTCGTGCTCGAGGTGTCCGATGTCGCCGAGCAGGGCAAGATAGGGCGCCGTCTGCTTGATCTTGAAGTCGTAGGAGGGATGCGTCTCCATGTGCAGGTCTGAGATTATCTGGAAGGCCGCCATCGTGTATCTTGATGCTTGGATGCAGAAGACCGGTGAGCTTTACATTTTTATATCTCGGTCACAGTCGGCGTCCCACCGATCTACCTTAACGTTCATAGAACAGAAGTCTAGATATTTCCTGAGGCATGATGATCTCGCTGGTAGGTCCTCATCTAGCTCACTGGAGTGATTTACTCGGGTGTCTCTTGATTCTTCAGCAAGATGAACTTGGCGGGTTTGCATTCGTATCCCGATAAATGCTTACAGAAGTACGAGGTCATGGTGAGTTTGCTCTCTTTGTCAAGTTTGGATAGAGATACGATCAGAATAGTATGGAGTAGGATGAAGAAGTATATAAACCGTAGAATCGACCAAGAGGATGGAGATAATCCATCAGTCAATTCCATACACCTCGTCACTTACCGATAACATCCAAGATGGCCGCTTCAACAGTCTCAGTCCTGGGCCTGGGAGAGATGGGCGCTGCCCTCGCCTCTGCCTTCGTCTCCAACTCGCACCCGACCACCGTCTGGAACAGAACAGTGTCAAAGGCCACCGACCTGGTCCAGCGAGGAGCCATACTCGCATCGTCGCCCGCAGAGTGCATCCGGGCGAGCTCAGAGCTGGTGGTCGTCTGCCTGGTGAACCACGACGCCGTCAAGGAAACACTTCTATCGGAGGCCACCCTTGCCGCCCTCGAAGGGAAGACGCTGGTCAACCTCACGAACGGAACGCCAGCCCAGGCACGGGAGATGGCCAGTCTCGTCGCCGCCCATAGAGTCGAGTACATCCACGGCGGTATCATGGCCGTTCCATCGATGATTGGCACCCCGGCAGCATTCATCCTCTACTCATCCTCATCGTCAACCTTTGAGAGCGTCGAGTCCACGCTGGGAGTGCTGGGGAGGGTCAACTTCGTGTCCGGCGAGGATGTCGGACGGGCGAGTCTGCTGGACATGGCCCTGCTGTCGGGGATGTATGGCATGTTCTCCGGCGCCGTCCATGCCATCGCCCTGGCCAAGTCGTCCGGCATGCCTGGAAGCGAGTTCGCCAGGGACCTGCTGGTGCCCTGGCTGTCCGCGATGGCGCAGAGCGTCGGCCGTCTGGGTCAGGAGGCAGACGAGGGCCGCTATCCTAGCGGCGGCTCTGGCCTGGGGATGCAGGTGGCAGCGATGCCGAACTTGGTCGCAGCATCGCGCGAGGCGGGCGTCTGGGAGGGCATGCTGCTCCCTATCATGGGCCTGATGGAGCGCAGAGTCGCGGCCGGCGGCGTCCACGAAGGCCTGGGGGCGCTGGTCGAGGAGATGTGTAGATAGTTAGCCCTGTAGTGTCACGATATCATGTCATCCTGTCAATTTAATGTCAGTGTCAGTCTCATGTCAGTCATGTCAATCAAGGGCGTCTCGTATAACCAACATCCCGGCCATCTCATCTATTCTTACTACGCGGCAAGAGGCTCTGGTATATGTCCGAGACTCCGGGTTCTCCCGCCAGTTTGCCGTCCGGTTCGCCTCTTTTAAATAAAACATCGTCAGCGGCTGGAGAGAGCAAATCGCCATTCAACCCGCGGGACTCTGAGCGGCCTCCAGCCCGTTTGATCGTTTGATCGTTTGATCTGCTGCAGTGGCGAAGGGCGTTGGGCTTCTGACAGCTTCTCCTTCTCCCCACAACGTCTGACATGACTCTGGGGTAACGGGGTAACCGGACGACGACGACGACGGATATACAACGGATATACAATAAAGGGAGACGATAAAGGGAAGACGAAGGATACTAAAGGGAACGAAGGATATACGAGATATGACGACCTCTCCTGTCCCGGACAAGATGCGTCCTTCACAGTCGGGCAAGCCAAAAGAGATATCCCAGCCTGGCCGTGACGAGAAACGGGAGATAGGAACAAGACAAGAGAAAGGACAGGAGAAAGGGAATGCTACGATGATGCCCTTCCTCTTACTCTCCCCGACCCAGCATGTTCCCGCGCAGAACTACCAGCAGAAACCTCACACCCATGTACGATCACGCTCGCTTGCTACACCCTCCAGCGCTCCGGTCATGGCCAGGGCACACTCTTCGCCCGGACTGGACTCTCGGGGCAGATACGTCTTCCCCCAGAGTCCAGGGAAGCCGCTGAGCCCTCACGAGATACCGCTACGACGCCCCAGTCCGCTGCGTACATCGTTCGACGGGCCTACATCGACCACCCAGGGCGGCTACGGCATAACCATCTCAGAACCCATATCCGAACAGCCAGAGCTGCAGGCTTCCCCCGTCTCGTATACCAGTGGGAACAGGATAAACGGCCGGTCGGTGTCTCCCTCCTGGTCACCGTCAATCCACAACACTCTCCCCCGCGTCTCTCGCCGGCGGCCGTCCTCTCCCTTGCTCGCCAATACAGCAGCGCAGGCTCAATCCTATTCCATCCCGTCTCCGTCACGGCCCTCCCCGATCATCCTGCCGGCCAAGTTCAACGAGCCCTACCCAATCTACTCCTTCTCGTCCGGTTCCTCGATCTCAATGCCTTCCACTCCCTCGAGTATCCGGTCTCGGTCTCCCAGCATATCCTCTCTCGAAACAATACCTGACATCCCTGACGCGGAGGCGGCGGCCATCGAGGCCGATCAGATAGCCAGGCTAAAGGCCGCCGCCGACAAGGCAGATGCTGCTGCTGACGCCGGCGGTTTCTCGTCAGACCCCAAGAGACGGAGCGCCATCGACATGTCGTCTCCGGGCTCCCGTTTTGGCTCTGGTTGGGCTGATAAGCGGAAACGATGGAGTGTCTGTGGAGCTGAAGGCAGACAGGACCTTGACCTCGAAACAATATGGGAGGACTAGGTCGGCTTTCGTTCTTCTTGTGCCGCCAAGTTTGCATTTTTCGTGCGCTTGTTTTTTTCCTTCTGTGCGTCCTACTTCTATTTCCATTCCCATTTCCACGGCGTATTCTGTTATTCTATCTCTGGGCTGCCGCGAACTTATGGTTTTGGCGTTTTCTGTTGTTTTTTGTCTTCGTTGGCGTTGGCGCTGGCGCTGGTGCTGGTTCGGGTGCTGGCTGAGATCTGATACCCATGCCTGCTCCAAGCCATCAAATATCGACCAACATATATTACGGTCCCTTGCTCGGGGGAATAGAACCTCTCGTTATACCCAAATCAGCATACTACGAACCATGAACATCCTTTTTGCATGCTGTGTCTACTATGCTTCCGACACTCCTTGAGGTTACGTAGGTTTGGAGATGACTAGCTGTGATGATTTTTGTAGGGACCTTAACATGTACATTAGTTGCGAAATTCTATACCTATGAATAAACCTTTCTGATACCATTACTACAGACCACAGGACTATTTCATGTCCTAGTAAAGTGCCCCATATCTAGAGTTACGTATGCTATATACAGAGGGGCAAACACTCTAAGCACTAGTTCTTCTTTGAAAGAGTATCACATATCCTCTTTGCAACCTCCTCTCCGCTCCAGTAAGCTCCAGTTGTGGTCCCGAGCCCAACTACGGGTGCAGTATGTTCGCCGGCAAGCCATATACCCCGATCAGCGCCCATCCCCTCTCGCATGGTTTCAATATCGGCCAGACCATTGGCTAGCCCGACCTGAAAATTAGAGTAGCTTCCATTACCTGCAAAGGAGTCTGATTGCCATTTGGTTGCCAGAAACGAGGTTGGCCTGCATAGAGGTGACTGGGCATCATACCCAGGCAGACGAGAGAAATATGGGTGTAGGAAGTCATGCAGGATGTTATAATATTCCTCAGAGTCGGGCGAGTAAGGAGATATCTTAGAGACTACGTGTTCTGCGCAGGCTCCGTAGGTGTAGAAAAGTAGAGCTGGATGGGCGCATGACTGGGGCAGGTCGGCGAGAGAGAAGCAGTCCTGGTTCCAGTATGGGCTGGGAGGATGGTCTACATAGGTAGGTGAAAAGAATATGAAAGACGGACTGGTGACTGGGGTATCTGTATTTCGCCAGAAGGTAGCGGGAAAGTTAACATAGATCTTTTCCAGCTGGCCGTATGAAATGTTATCGATCGCTTCAGAGAGACGTTGCGGGATAGGAGGCGAGAAGGCAGCTTTATTCCGCTTCAGCCATCCGAGAGGGAACGTGGCAACGACCTCATCAAAGAGATACTTCTTTCCAGCTGAGGTTCGGACAAGGACCTGGCTGTCGGTTCCTGATGAACGATTCTTCCCGTCGACTGCAACGACGGGCTCGTTGAGGTGTATATCAGCTCCCTCGAGGGCGGGTTTAGCAATGTATTGAAGAATGTTCTTATACGTCGAGGCGACGAATAAGTTGGCTGGCAAGAGAATAGTCAACCTCCAAAAGAAAAAAAAAACCAGATAGTCATCATAACATCAGGGTGAGCTGGACGTACTTCCTTCAAGACATTCTTCAAGATAGAAGAACTTCAGACTCTGCCTCTCGATGGGCGAGCCGATATAGCCCCCCCACATCTTCGACAATTCCAAACACGCATCTTTCTCCAGCTGACTGAATCCCGTCTTCTCAAGCTCTTCCTTGAAAAAATCAAGTAAACTCTTACTTGGAGGGATATTGGCGGTGTCTTTCTGGCTTAACGTGAAGGCTCGATCAATGGTCATCCACATAAAATCGGCCACTTTGGTACATAGTGCCGGACCCAGTTGCTTGCCGGCTGTATCAAAAGTAGCCTGCGGCCCATCCCACGAGTCGGTAATGGTATTGGAACGCTCGCTGATCTCAACGAGAGGATTGTTCTGGGTTCCATGGATCCAGTTTGGGCCACTTGGGTGCGCGCCTCTGGGTTAGCACAGGAGCACAGCAGTAGAAGAATAGACAGACTAGGGTCACACCAACAGATCGACGGATGCACCACCGACATTGCTTTGGCAGACCTAAGCTAACTGTCAGATATCACGGGGATATATGCATGGCTTGAAAAACAAGGAAGAAGAGGAAGAAGAAAAAAAGGGCTGGCTGAGGGTCTCCTACACGACCTCCAATCCGATCCCTAGCCTCGAGTATAGTGACTTTCATCCCGCTCTGTAGGAGAACATCGGCACATCTGAGCCCAGCAAGACCGGCGCCGATGATTCCTACATGCAGAGGTTTCCCCATGGTTTGAATCTTTGTAAGTGTTGCAAGATACTTGTCAAGGGAGTCTGGTATCGAGCTGAGATAGGGATGGAACGGATCGAGCCACTTGGTCGGCGCCACAAGACAGTTAGTATTGCACTCCATGGCAAGAAACGATGTTCCGCTTCCCAAGGATATATGACGGTGGCAGCTGAAAGGACCAGAGAAGAGAGATGACAAGAAACGAAGCCTGGAAGAAGGCAGAGAAACAGCCCTCATCCTACCCTAAGCCGAAAACTCGGGGGTCATACCTATTTTTTCCTCCCGGCTAAGGGGGGAGGGGTTCACGAGGATAGCTCTAGATGCGAGTGTGTATGTCCTGTTGCAGCCAATCAGACGGACAGAGTGATACACAGGAGATCATCAGCAGCTAGCAGAGCGGCCGGAATGATTAAAAAAAGAGCTATCTGGGGTCCCCTTGAGTTGTGCAGCCTTGACGTTTCATGGAGTTCGTCAGGGGGTTCGCTACGGACTCGGGAGTTTAGCCATTTTAATGCGGGCCTTGGGAAGCTCCAAAAATAAGACCGGCATGGATCCTGTTATTGGCTCGCTGTTTTATCTTCCCGCCATGGATAGACGGATAGGACGGTGATGGATATACCGTTCTGCTATCATGATCCGGGGACAGTCTTTATGGCGGTGGCGACAGGTTCAGTCAGGGGCTCGATAGCGGTCAGAAGCTCCTCCACTTTTTAGATAGGATAGAACTTGGTGGCGCTATACAAAAGCCGGCACTATCTTATCTGTAACGCTGCAATGAGAATATGCATAGATGCTAGCTATTGAAATAGAGCGATTTGCAATGGCGGTATAAAACAGCTGGAACATGCAAAAGATTAAGAAGCTCGCGTGATAAATAACTAGCGAGTAAAAGCGGATAAGAGAACGCAAATCCGGCATCGCAAGTCTATGCACATTAAAACCCATTGACTCCTCGCTTAAAAGAATAAAACACAAGAAAAAATAACATAAACCCCGTAAACAATTCCCGCCCTGAGTCCGTCTGCATGACCGCTGTTGCTGATTGATGCCGAAGAGGAAAAAAAAGTTATATGAAAAAGTTCCTTGCGCCGCCTCCCTGACCGTCTGGCTTGACCGCCGCCTGGATACCGCCGCTCGTTATGCTGCCTAAAAGCCTCGAAAGTTGGAGAGTTCGAATTTGATTAAAATGAAAATATCTATATGTACGGTTCGAGTTAGCTTGTCTGCTATTTAACTAAATTTTTTTTACAAAGGTGAGAACCACCGTGGTTGTGGCCGATGTTGACGACTCTGCGCGAGACTGTTCGAGAGAAGGCAGTGTGCGGAGAAAGTCGGGTTGAGGGAGAGATGTTGTTGTCGTTGGTTGTCTCCGGCGTGGACTGGGAAACTGTGGCTCTATATTGCTGTTGCAGCACTATGTCAGATATTCATGAACGATGGTAGTACGCTAACCTTCAATTACTGGAAGACATTGACTCGTCATAAACACCCACCAGTCTAGCATCCCGGCTAGGATATTAACTTTTTTTTTTATGTAAGTTGAAGACAACTGAGATGCAGTTCAGGTCGCTGCTGCTGCGATTTTGCCTAGGTTGGCATAGCAGAGTAAATGCAGACCATCGCTCATCGTATATCCACGCAACTGCAAGCAGAGGTTAGCATATTTTCTCCCACACATTCACATGGGAGGCCGGCTGTAAGATTCAGTGGTTAATTATTGTCCGAGTCGTAGTAAGCCGGGGTGTAGATGTATAATGTGTGTGTGTGTGTGTGTGTGTGTGTGCGTGTGTGTGTGTGTGCGTGTGTGTGTGTGTGAATATGTGCTGTGTTTTTTTGATTGATTGAGTGAGTAAGGTGAGTGAGTGCGTGGGACTGAGAACTTGCGAATAGTTCGACTGGTTGGTCCAGTTCCTTCACCTTATTCCTTTTGACACGAGACATGGACGAAGAGGCGTCAAGTCTGTAGTGCAGAGCTATCTGGCTATGTTTTTTTTTTCTTTTGGGTTATCTGAAGCGCAAGTATCTTGACGACATCAGGGTGAGTAGACTATTTGTACTGCTCGTACTGCACGTCCAGTAAAGGACCGAGCATGTCGAAGAAGTCTTGCCCACCAGACCAGCCAAGTTGATTGGGGCCCAGCCCGGCAAAGTTGATCAATGGATCATTCTGCAATGCAGCAGTCTGATCCATCGACCCCGATGCCGGGTGCATCGCATAGTAAGCAGGCGTACCCGCAGCTGTAGCAGATGAAGAGCCAGCCTGGCAAATGTCATACTCTGGGTCAGCGATAGAGTGGTCCCCCAGTCCCATTCGACCCATGGACAATTCATGATAGGAGCCAGGGCCACACACCATCATCTGATTGTTTGTATCACCTTCAAAAGATTGAGCATATTGACGTTGTGAAGCCAGAGTATTGGGAGTAATACTTCCGCTTGGTTGTTCACTTGCCGTCATCTGCACCACTCTGTTCCGCAAGCTTGAAGCAAGAGCATGGAGTAGTTCTCCAAACCTATTGCTCAAGTGAACATCATCCACCACACACGTACACAGAGCATCTGCTGTACGCTCAACGAGACTCAGAGACCCGGACGTTTCAAAGTCCTTGGCACCGAGAGAGGTAGCCTACAAAACCATGTTCAGTGGGAGGTCTCGCAACTACAGACAACAAAGAGAATTTACCTTGAGACAAAACATGGCACCTGCGAGAACTCTCGAATAAGTTCGAATCGGAACATGCTTCAGATGGTTATCCGGGAGCAGATCCTCAACGACGGTCTGTAGTATCGATTTTGCCGCCGCAATGACTTCCATAAAGTACTCTCTGTTACCCTCGAAGGGTTCGAGTAAGCTGGCTTCGGGCATAGTGCCGCCTTCATGCATGACATGGTAGTAATGCTCGATGACAGCCTGGAGGGCGACACTATGGATGTATACTCGTACGTATCCGAATTCGATTGTCAAGATGGACCGCATTTGCCTTGACACTGCGTCGCGGGGATAAGGCCCCATTAGCTCTGTATTTCTGTTAGACACTCGAGTTGTGAGGTGGATGACTTACACTTTGCACGGTCGAACTCCTTCTGCCATTCGCGCAGGAGCGGGTTGAGGACACGAAGCACGGCCAGGTACTCGCCCGTCTTGACGATTTCACGAGTTCGTTCGCGGGAAGGGAACAGGAGCTCGTTGCCCCTCTTCATTAGTGAGGCAACGCCGACCCAACAGCGAATCGTATCGCCGTGCTTTGTACTGGTATCGTGATGCGACACTGATACGGAGGTCAAGTTCTTCCATCCTATTTTTTTTAATTTTTAACTTTAGCAGCTGTATTCATCTCGCTGGGCTGACGTCGTCTTAAAAACCTACCCAGTCGACCGGATGTCTGCGTGAGATAGACCCAGAGCAGGTGCTGGACAAGGTGTGCACGCTGACTGGACAAGGGGTTACTCCAGATATCTCGTCGAGACTCGCGTGCTCCTATGGTGGTGTTGTCGTATTCGTCGAAGATGCCCAGCTCCACGGCCAGGGCGAGGGCGTTCCCAAGCATAGACCAACACATTCGATCAGATCGCCAGACCGGTTCGAGCCAGTCGATCCGTATCCTCCCGCCGATTCCAGCCGTGCTGGCTCTGGTTCTCCGGACGTCGTCCTTCACGACGATACTGTCTCCATCGTCTCCGGCGGGAACGTGAAGGGAGCGCGGGTGCCATTCTGAAAGCAAGAGCAGTGCCTCACAGCTCCCTAGCGTCCTTAGGCTGCCAAAGCTGGACCCGGCAAGAGGATACTCGTGTGTAGACAGATTGGAGGCCTCTGGAGGGCCGTCGTGGGTATGAGTGCCTCCAGTGAACTGCTCTTGACCAAAGATCATGCGGGAGATCATCCCCTGTAAATGTTGCCAGAGCCGCTCATGGACCATGTACGATCTAGACACCGATCCGGGCCCGGAGAGTTTCATATATCGAGACGCCAGCATGAGGATAGTCATGGCAAGGATCGGCTCTTCCTCGATAAGCTCAGAATGCATGGACGGATCCTGGAAGGAGGAAGAAGCGATTGGAGTGAACGGGGCCAGGTAGGTGTGGAAGTAGTTTACCAGATCGAACGCTTCCTCGGCCGTGATCAGGCCCGTGCGGACGAACCGCAGGTTAGACCAAGGGTGAAGATCCGGGGCAGGATCAGCGAGACTCGGAGCCGCTGACGGTCTCGTCTCTCGGCTCGGTATCGGACCCAGCCTCGAGGGCCCTCCCGGCATGCTATGGTCTGATCTCGCAACCCGCTCGCTGTGCCTGCCGGCTTCAAACAGCAAGTTCAGCGCATCGTGGGAGGTGTATGCGGCGTCCCTGAGCAGCTTTTCAGCCGTCTTGTCGCCGCGAGTTGCGGGCCGCGGAGTATCCTGCGCGAGAACATGCTGGAGGGAGTGTTCTCGTTTTATGGCCGGCGGTATGCCGATGGGGCTGGCAGAGCTTTCGCCGGGCTGGCTGACGCCGCCGGACAAGGGTGCGGGGGTGCCAGCGGCGGCGAGGGTCGACTCCTCCCACGGCTGGGTGGTGGTGGCAGCGATGTGGTCGTTGGGGCCGGAGGGAGCAGGCGTGGGAGTGGGAGCTCCCTTCTTCCTCCCGCGGGTGGCAGAGAAGTGACAGAACTTGCGCTCCCGCCGACATCGCCCACAGGGTCCCTGGTGTGGTTGGTCGACCGAGCCTAGGTCACAGCGAACCCTACGCTCTCGACACGGAATACAAGCCTATCAACCTGTCAGACGGACACTCTATACTTCTGTGCTATCAATGCTGTACGCGGGGGGATGGGGGGAAGGGGAGGGGGTATATACCTGGTACGCTCGTTTATGGACCTTTCCGGTAGGAGCAGCGGTGGACATGGCAAACTCCCGCCCAAACTGTCATGGGCGGCTGCTCGCGTACCCTCTATCGGCGCTGACAAGGAGGGAGGCAGAGGCGATGCTGGCGGTGGAGGTGGACGAGGATGTCGGGATGTCGGTGGTGGAGGAAGCCAGCAGTCAAAGAGGAAGAGAAAAGACCGAGAAGACACGCCAAGACAGGAAGTTCGTTGTCACCTGATATGTTATATAATCTACTTATGTCAGAAGTACTGGTACATCCACTTGTTAGACAGGGGATAAGCGAGGTACAGACACGATACATGCTAGGTACAAGTAGTACGAGTAGTACAGTAGACACATCTATAACGACGTGGGATAGCCGGCATATACGAGGCATAAAGAAAGTGATATGATATAGGATGGGATGCACAAATCAGAAGCCGACGGAGACGCCCACCCCGTTACGACCGGCAAGGCAGAGCAGCTCCCTCCCAACCGCGAGATCCATGATGCCCATGCCCACACACTTGAAGACGACGTTGCCGGCAGGAGGGAAGAGGGCAGGGGAGGCCAGCAATTGACCAATCTCCGTCAGCTGGCGCTCGTCGACCCGCGCAGAGATGAGCTCGCCCGCCTCCGCCATACAGGCCTGCCTGGAGTCGACTAGCAGCGTCTGCCCCGAGAGCAACGTGTCCGCGTCGACCTCGTGCATGTGTGGGCGGTACGAGCCTATCAGGGAGACAAACCGCCTTCTCCCAGCTTCTTTTTCTTCTTTTTCTTCTTTTTCTCCTTCCCCACGGAGATAGGAATGGGGGAACAGCGGCTCGGTGGACGGGGTACAGCAGAAGATGGCGTCGGCTTCTGACACGGCAGCCTGCAGCCGTCCTTCTTCTTCTCTAGACATGTAGACGAATGTAACATCTGGACGGGTGACTGTCTCGAGGCTGGCCTGCAGCTTTCCCAGGCCCGCCCGTCCCCGGTTGACCACCGTGACCCTGGAGATGGGAGCTAAGGCCAGGGCTAGCCGTATGTGCCATTCGGCCTGTCTGCCCGCGCCGAACACCACTAGCCTGGCGCCGTTACCGCCGTTGGTAGTGCTGTTGGTAGCGAACAGGTGAAACGGGATCATGGTGGCCAGGGCGGTGCGAAACGCGGTGATCGTCTCGGCGCTGAGGAGGCCCTCGAGCTGGCCGGCGGGCGAGAAGAGGGCGAGGGCACCAGCTGGCGGGCCGCCGCAGCCGGGCAGGGTGACGACCTTGACGCCGGTGGTCGTGGTCGTGTCGGAAGCTGGCATGAAGAGCGTGGTGTTGGTCGCGGTGACGATCTGCTCGCGCATTGGCTGGTGGACGCTGCCGTCGGCGCTGGAGTACGCCGCCAGACTGCGCCAGAGGGCCTGCAGCAGCCCGCGGCACTCCTCCAGCGTCAGGCCCTGCAGCATCGCCGCCACCTCTGGCTCTCCGATCACTATCATTCCCGTATGTTATCTGATACCCGTATGATGTCGATGATGTTATGTCGACGTTACTGTGTCTTAGATCGATGATCGTGGTTCGCAGCATCCATGTCGTCTCGTGTCGGAGCTATCTCCCTGTCCTCTTCCCTGTCCTGCCCACCTTGTTCTTCCTTGTTGTCCTTCCCTGTACTCTTCCCTGTCTTCCTTGTTCATGTTCGTTGATCTGCTTACGTGTCTTGTCTCTTACTGGCTGGAGCTCATGTGGGGGCAGCCCTGGCCCTGGACCGCGCCCACCCGACGTTAGCAGCGCCCTTCCTCTTGCTTAGTCACTCTCAACGTCCTGCATAAAACACAAAACTCCTTCTCACATCCTTAACTGCTATAGTACTGTCTCTACCTACGTACTGTTTACGTCCTACGTATATCTACTGTCTACGTATATCTACAATGTCTTCTTGCTCGCTGTTTTCCAGGGCGGCTCGTCTGGGCCTGGCCCGTCAACCGCTCGCCGGCGTCAGGTACCGAGCTCTCTCAAGCTTCAAAGCTCCAACCATCCTCAACGAACCTAACGTAAGTCAATTGGAGTCTATGAGTCTACCACCTAGCTAACGACTGCAGCACCACTATGCCAAAGGCTCAGAGCAGAGACAGGGCCTGCAGTCCGCCCTGCAGTCCCTCAAGGCCTCCCTCCCAGTCCAGGTCCCATACCACTTCCAGGATGTAAGTCGTCCAAGTCAATCAATCGATGATAAGTGTAAGCTAACAGGATAGTCGACGACTGCCACGGCCGACGTCCAGCGGAACCCATCTGCCCACGCGGAGACGGTCGCCAAATACTTCAACGCCACCGAAGCAGATGTCTCCCGCATGATCGAGGACGCCCTCAAGGCAAAGCCAGAGTGGGAGTCGCTGCCCTTCGCTGACCGCGCGGCCGTCTTCCTCAAGGCCGCTGACCTGGTGGCGGGCAAGTACCGCTACGAGATCATGGCCGCTACCATGCTCGGCCAGGGCAAGAATGCCTGGCAGGCCGAGATCGATGCCGCCGCCGAGCTGGCAGACTTCCTCCGCTTCAACGTCCAGTACGCCGAGGAGCTGTATGCCCAGCAGCCAGAGCACCACTCGCCCGGCGTCTGGAACCGCAGCGAGTACCGCCCGCTCGAAGGGTTCGTGTACGCCATCTCGCCCTTCAACTTCACTGCCATCGGCGGCAACCTGGCCGGTGCCCCTGCGCTGATGGGCAACGTCGTCCTGTGGAAGCCCTCCCCGCACGCCGTCTACGCCAACTACCTGACCTACAAGATCCTGCTCGAGGCCGGCCTGCCCAAGGACGTCATCCAGTTCGTGCCCGGCGACGCCCAGATGGTGACCAAGGTAGCTCTCGCCCACAAGGACTTTGCCGGCCTGCACTACACCGGCAGCACCGCCGTCTTCCGCGAGCTGTACGGCAAGATCGGCCAGGGTATCGCTGAGGGGACCTACCGCAGCTACCCCCGCGTCGTGGGTGAGACTGGCGGCAAGAACTTCCATCTCGTGCACAAGTCCGCCGACATCGAGAACGCGGCCATCAACACCGTCCGGGGCGCCTTTGAGTTCCAGGGCCAGAAGTGCAGTGCAACGTCGCGCGCGTACGTGCCCCAGTCGCGATGGGCCGAGTTCAAGCAGATTCTCGTTCGCGAGACGGAGAAGCTCAAGATGGGCCCACCCGAGGAGTTTGCCAACTTCATCGGCCCCGTCATCCACGAGGCTTCCTTCAACAAGCTCGCCGGCGTCATCGATGCCGCGAAGAAGGACTCCGAAGTGCAGATCGTGACTGGCGGCAAGTACGACAAGAGCCAGGGCTACTACGTCCACCCAACCGTCTTCCAGGTGACCAACCCGGAGCACCAGGTGATGCGCAACGAGTTCTTCGGCCCTGTGCTGGCCGTCTACGTCTACGACGACGCTCCCGCCAGCGCGTTCGGCGATATGTGCAAGCTCATCGACCGCACGACCGACTACGGGCTAACGGGCGCCGTCTTCGCGCAGGACCGCACCGTGCTCCGATTCGCCGAGGACGCGCTGCGCAACTCGGCCGGCAACTTCTACCTCAACGTCAAGAGCACCGGCGCCGTGGTTGGCCAGCAGGCCTTTGGCGGCGCCCGCGCCAGCGGCACCAACGACAAGGCCGGCAGCTCCAACCTGCTCACCCGCTTCGTCAACATCCGCTCCATCAAGGAGGACTTCCTCGGCTGCTCAGAGGTCGAGTATCCCAGCAACAAGTAATCCTCTTATCCCGTCTTATATCCCATCTTATATCCTGTATCATCGTGTATCATCGTGCGACATCGGCGCCAAGAGCCGAGTCTCGGCCTCTGCGCTGGCCTGACGCGACGCTAGCCCGATACGGCCCTGCCAAGCCGGTCTAGCCCGCCCTGCAAACTCTGCCCTGCCCCGTGACCTTCCCTGCCGAGATCCGCTTCGGGCCTTAGGGCTTCCCCTACATGCCCTAGCGTTTTATGTAAGCTAGTACTACGGCCTGGCGTTCCGGTTCTTTCTTTTCTTTTTCTCTTTTCTTTTTTTACCCTCACTTTTCTTTTTCTCCCTTCCTCCGGTAGGTACAAGTATACTCGGTATCTATAGTATATGTAGAATTGACCTTGCTAGCGCCAAAGCTACTAAACTTCCTTATCTCAATTAAACTACTTGGAAAGCCCGGGACGCTAGGGAGCCATCTTGCATGCAGGCGTGGTGCATGCCGAGATCCGTGCGACCTTGTTCCAGCCTATCGGCCGTCTGCCAACTGCTTCCCAGCAACGAAGAAGCAATAGTCCGTAGATGCTGGCGCAGATGGGCATAGATGCTGGCACCGATGCGCACTAGAGGTCTTGTCGTGTCTTGTCGTGTCTTGTCTTCATATAGCGTCTGTTCCCCGCGCATCCTCCAGTCTCTCTAGCCAACGTGTCTTACGGTTGCTCCGTACCCACAGGTCACCGGGCATACTCACTTTTCACCACTCCATACATACATCATATACCATATATAGATAAGATAGATACCATAGACACGAGTACAATATTAGTACAGATGAGTACAGATATGAGTACAGATATAGATTAAGAATAAGATTAAGATACACATAGCCCGTAGAGTACTAGGTAACACGGAGTCGTAGGTGAGCCAAGAGATAAGCCGTGATTATCAATGCAGGACGGAGAAACGATGGAGAAAGAGAAAAAGGAAGAAAAGGGAAGAAAAAGGGCGGAACAAGGGGAAAAAAAGACCAAGAAAAGAAAGAAGGGGGAGAGGCGAAGTCGGGTCATGTGAGCGGAAGGGCCAGGGTGACCCAGGAAAGGCCCGGATGGTGTCGCTTCGTCCGGGTCGGGCGAGGCAGCGAGGATGCAGTAAGCGAAGCCATCCGCCAAACTCCTTCGCCCTTCTGGCCCTTTTGGGCCCTTTTTCTTCCTAGCGAGCGTGCTGTCATCGTGACTTTCTTGCTTGTCCCGAGCTTCCACCGGGCCCAGCTTCGCCCTATCTCGCTGGGTCACACCTGGCAGGCCCACGCAGAGAGTACTTTATATACGCCCTTCCCTCCCTCTTCTCCCTTCTCTCTTGACAATTATACCACAACCATCTTACCAACAAAGAAGTACCTGACCAGTCCTCTACCATAGACATAGATAAGACATGGCCTCACGCGTACCATCTTACATCCGCAGCACCACCAAAGCAGCATCAGCCATCAGACGTGTCCCCATCGTCAACACAGCACAGAATGCCTCGCTGAAGCTGCGTCCCATCCACATCCCTACTGAGACGCCTGGCCCTCTCGCTCCCCGGCCTGCCTGGGACCACGGCCATGTCGTCGCCCACCAGGCCGCCGGTCCTGTAGACGATGCAGGCCTCGGTGTTGGTGTCGGCCAGCAGCAGCAGCCACAGAGAGCACTGGACAGACTGCCCAACAAGGATCTCCTCCGCAGCATCGCCATCCAGACAGCCATGTCCCGTCCGTTCCTGATGGACATCGCCTCCAGCTTGCTGCGGTCAAACATCAAACTCATCACCGCCAACCCGGTCCTCAGCTTCCTCCTCGACAAGGTCTTCTACGCCCAGTTCTGTGCCGGCCGCAACGAGGCCGAGGTCAGACAGACCGTCGCCGGTATGAAGGCCATGGGATACCGTGGTGCCATCCTCTCCTACGCCAAGGAGGTCGACATGTCCCACAGCAGCGACCAGACCGGCAGCCCTGCAGAGATGGAGGCCCTGCACAAGACCCAGGTCGCACAGTGGCTTGACGGCACCCTCAAGACCATCCAGTACTCCAACTCGGGTGATCTCATCGCCATCAAGTACTCTGGCGCCGGACAGGGGGCCGTTCAGCTGCTCGAGCAGGGGGCCGATGCCGATCCGATCATGGCAGACGCTCTCGAGCAGATCTGCGCTCTGGCCAAGGAGAGCAACGTCAGAGTCTGCGTCGACGCTGAACATTACTCCCAGAAGAAGAGCATCGACTCTTGGACCATGGATCTCATGCAAAAGTACAACAAGGACGGCGAGACCGTTGTCTACAACACTTATCAAATGTGAGTATCCTAGCATGTTATCCCTTGTCAAAATTAAAGGGCAAAGACTAATCGGAAAATAGGTACCTCAAGGATTCTCCAGCTACCCTGGCCATGCACCTGCAGCGCGCCAAGGACGAGGGATTCGCCCTCGGTGTCAAGCTGGTTCGCGGTGCATACATCAACTCTGACCCGCGCCATGTCATCTTCGACACCAAGGAGCAGACCGACAACGCATTCGACGATGCTGCCCGCCTGCTCGCCACGCAGCACATCGACGACCACTCCGCTCCAAAGATCAGCATGGTCCTTGCCAGCCACAACAAGGAGAGCACCACCAAGATCCGCGCCCTGCGACAGGAGCAGATCCGACACGGCCTCCCCCTCGCAGACGTCATCTACTCCCAGCTCATGGGTATGGCCGACGAGCTGTCCATGAGCATCACCCAGTCCACCTCCGACGTCGACGAGGACGCCCAGGTGTACAAGTACGTCGTCTGGGGCTCGACCGAGGAGTGCGTCATGTACCTCCTCCGCCGCGCAGAGGAAAACCGAGACGCCATCGAACGCTCAACCGCCAGCCAGACTGCTCTCTGGCAGGAACTCCGAAGCCGAATCGCCCTCTAATTTTATAATGACCCTTCTTCTAATCTCCTTTGTTTAATGCACACGGCAAGCGGTGTTCGGGCGGTGCAGGTTGCACGGGCGCCATCCAGGGGAAACCATTCTGATATCCCTTTCTTTTGTATTCATTGCATGCTTCTTCGTCTTCTTTTTGTCGTTGATTGTCCTTTAGCGTTCCGTACGGTGTTCTGGGTCATTTTTCTGGTGATATCCGTTCTTCTAGCAAGCGAGCGTCTGGGTCTTTTTCTAACAAAAACATGGGGATTGTTTTCATTGTTTATCACCTTCTGAGCACGATAGACTGAAGTGTTCGCATGTTTTTAACGAATAGCCTTAGATTAATCAATATTCTCAAGTTAATGTCTCTTTCTCCAGTTTTGTGGTCGCATGTTGTTTCCTCGGACGTCGCTTTCCGGCTATGTGGGAAGGCCCCTCAGTCTTGGCACGGTATATCGTTGTTCCGTACACCAGATGACATAATCCGTAACCGATGACATAATCTTGTTGCTAAAAAAAATTACAGGTGGGAATGAGAATGTTCGTCTTATCTTCAATTCGATGAAGGTGATAGAGATTGAGAAGAAGGCCCCTTTGGATTGTTCGGCGGTCTTCCGCTTGTGTTCTACCTGATAAGACTGCTCTGACTCCTCTGCGTCGCAATCATGGCTACCCTCCAACGTGAGTGAGATAAGATAGCCCTTCGCTTATGCCCCGCGTTCACTCATACTGACCACACGCTGTCTAGTTGTTCTATCGATATGGCACTCTTATCGAGCCTATATACTAGTCGTATTACTAGGTGTCTTTATCCTCGTCTCTAAAATCTCGAATCAACGCAACCAATTGGCTCCTACACCCCTCGCTAGTGAGACGTCTACCGCCAAACCGGAAAAGCAAGACACTGCTCGAAGAGTCCCTGATGGCCCTATTCAGTCAGAGAAGACACTTGTTGCAGGCGCTACAAGTACGGCATCCTCAAAGGGTGAAACAAAAACTGGCCCAAAGAGACTGCGTGGCACGAAACCGCTGAAGGGGGACGTCAAAGAATCTCAAATCACCGCGATCCGACCACTTGTCTTCTTTACCTCGCTTACGGGCTCTACCGAAAAAAAGGCCCGATACGTCTTTGAACGGTTAAAGACCAAGCTTGAATCAGCACCCCAGGACGTTCAATGCAAACTCCTCGCCCCCGAGATACACGACATATCCTACATCGACTTTGATGACTATTTCGTCACCGCGCCTAAGCCACCCCCTTCAGAACCCGGGACGTCATTCGTCTATTGCATTATACTGCCTAGCTACGATATAGACAGCATCATCAACAATTTCCTAGACCACCTGGACGAAACTCATAATGATTTCCGTATCGATACATCCCCTTTGTCAGGACTAGCGGGTTATTCCGTATTTGGCCTCGGTGATAAAGAGGGATGGCCCACGGCGGAAGAAGGGTTCTGCTCACAAGCTGTGGCTGTTGACAAGTGGATGGCAAAATTGACTGGGAAAAGACGAGCGTATCCACTCGGGCTAGGAGACGTTAAGAGCAACGCAGAACATGCCTTGCAGGAGTGGTGTGATGGAATCGTTGGGGTGCTCCATGATATATCTGAGAACGGTGGCGGTTTAGGCGAAGGTGTCCCTGGTAGCGGTGACCCGATTGAGAGCGACGAGGAAGACGCCGAGGACGAGGAGCCGGCTGGAAACCCTAGCCGTCCAAGACGAGCAAAGGCTAAAAGTTCCCAGGTTACAGATCTCGAAGATATTAAATTCAAGCCTGAAGATCTTCTCGATGACGAACCAATTGATTTCACGACTTATTCCACCACAAAGGCGTCGCCGCCTCCTAGCAAGGAGATGGTGCCATCAACTTCGCCAACGTATGCCGCATTGACGAAACAAGGGTACACGATCGTTGGATCTCACTCAGGCGTGAAGATATGCCGATGGACCAAATCTGCCCTTCGTGGTCGTGGTTCCTGCTACAAAAATTCTTTTTACGGTATCAAATCACATCTTTGCATGGAGTCTACACCCTCTCTATCCTGCAGTAACAAATGCATTTTTTGCTGGCGACATGGAACAAATCCAGTTGGCACGACATGGCGCTGGAAAGTCGACCCTCCTGATCTCATTTTCAACGGTGTCAAAGAAGGACACTACAAGAAAATCAAAATGCTGCGAGGCGTCCCGGGCGTGAGAGCTGAGCGATTTGCGGAAGCGATGCGGATCAGGCATTGCGCGCTGAGCTTGGTCGGCGAGCCGATATTTTACCCTCACATCAACGAGCTACTCTCCCTTCTTCACGGCGAGCATATTTCAAGTTTCCTCGTCTGTAACGCACAGCATCCGGATGAATTGGCCGCACTTCAAAGAGTAACCCAGCTCTACGTCTCTATCGATGCAAGCAATAAGGAAAGTCTACGCAAGATCGATAGACCACTACACCGAGATTTCTGGGAACGCCTCCAACGCTGCCTCGTCATCATTCGGGAAAAGAGAAAGATACATCGAACCGTATTTCGACTTACACTCGTTAAGGGGTTTAATGTCGAGGATGAGGTGGAAGGTTATGCCGACCTCGTCGAGAAAGGTTTACCCTGCTTTATCGAAATAAAGGGTGTCACTTACTGCGGAACGAGCTCCAGCTCTGGTGCCGGCTTGACGATGCAGAATGTTCCGTTTTACCATGAAATCGTTACCTTTGTAGTCGCTCTTAACGAGGAACTAGAACGACGTGGCCTTGCCTACGGTATATCTGCCGAACACGCCCATAGCTGCTGCATTCTACTTGCATCCAACCGTTTCCTGGTCAACGGTAAATGGCACACGAGGATTAACTATGAGCGCTTTTTCGAACTCCTCGAACGTGAACAACGCACTGGCGAATCGTTTACACCTGAAGATTATATGCGAGAGACTGAAGAGTGGGCCCTGTGGGGTAACGGGGGGTTCGACCCCAGTGACCAGAGGGTGCATACTAAGGGGAAGAATAAGGGGAAGATCGGAGTACCGCCTCCTTCAGGGAAGGTTCTGGCTGGCATTGCTTAATATTGCTATAAACTCAAGGTTAGGCTAAACGTTTTATCTGCGTTAAAGCTAATCGGAGCAACATATAGCTACAATTGGCTATAGGGCGCTCAAATAGAAGATTCGTCCAAGCTCTGGAAGGATAGAGATGGGAAACAGAGGTGGCAAGATATCACCCGTGGCTCTTTGGCTCAGGAGTTCACTCCATCCCAACCTTACTTCTGCCTATAACACTGGCTCGGTTCCTGATATTCAATCAATTCGACAGCCAGTTGAACATGGGATTTGATCCCATGTTCGGGGGCCGCTGGTGACTGCAGGGAGTAATTAACACCACCACTGCAAATTCACCTAGGAAACTCAACCTTGGCTTGTCTCGCCTTTCGCAGCTATGCTAGGTCTTATCGTTCGTTAAAGTGGTCACCATCATGTTTGCTAGTCAGATTCGACCAGACAGGCTCATGTCAGATAAGCGATGAAAACTTACCACAATGAAAATTTGGAAAGACGAACTTCTAGTTCACCCTATACGGAGTACCAGGGTCTCCTATGTAACGGCTGAGGCACCTATGTCCTTCTACCTCGCGCTGATGTTGATATATCGATAGCCAAAAGCCGAGGACCTGCTTATCTCATCAATGCCAAGCCGGCACTTCGGACGACGGATACGACGTATTCGGACGGCCCAAAAGGCTTGTCCGCACGTTTTTGGTGCTCGCACTGAAAATATCCTGCTCGTATCCGGGTTTCGGCTTAGCAAACGACGAGCCGAGGTCCAAAGAAGATCCTACGTCATATTTATGCACGCATCATGGGGCGAACTACACCTTGGATAGCAGAAGACAAGTACGATCGGCCCGCTAGATAAGAGCCCGTTTACCATGTACCCACTTGTGCAGTGGCATAATCTTGCCCTGGACGTGGTGACAGACTTTTCTGATGGGAGCTCGGCACGTCCGAGGATTCTGGAAGGAAAGATATTTCACCATGGCCAGAGCTTTAAAAGAGACTGTTTCCGCCTCGTCAGTGGAGACCGTCTTGTTATACACATATATTTATTTACGTTCACTATCCCTGATCACTGCTGGGCACTCTCGTTTTCACCAGCTATCGCCCTAGCTGCCACCCATTGCTCGCCCGCCCTAACTCCCATCCAAGTAAAGAGTGTCACACTATAACAGACGCCATGGAAGGTGAGAAGCCAGCCCTCACGAAAATCCCCCACTGGAGACAAGTCACCGATCCAGGCGCCGTCACCCCCGAGATCATCAACTACCCTTACCCTGGATCTGGGACAGAAGAGGATCCTTACCTTGTACAATGGATCCCTAACGACCCCCGAAATCCCATGAACTACTCCGCCGTCAAAAAGTGGTCTATTACCTTCGTTGTCGCAATTGCCACCCTTGCCGTCGCTTTGATATCATCCGCATATACTGGAGGTGCTATCGAGATCGCTAAAGAATTCCATGCGGACACAGAGGTTATCACACTTGGAGTCTCACTGTTCGTGCTTGGTTTCGCAATTGGCCCGTTAATATGGGCTCCCATGAGTGAACTTTTTGGCCGCCAGGTTCTTTTCTTCGGCACCTATCTTGCCTTGACTGCTTTCAATGCCGGTGCCGCTGGCAGCAACAGCATGACAACCTTGCTTGTCCTTCGATTTTTTGCCGGCTCCTTCGGCTCATCCCCTTTGACAAACGCCGGCGGAGTGATTGCCGACATGTTTCCAGCCTCCCACCGAGGTTTAGCCATGGGTTTATTCGCCATAGCCCCCTTTTTGGGGCCGGTTTTAGGACCTGTAATTGGCGGTTTCCTCGGTGAGTCGGCCGGCTGGAGATGGGTAGAAGGCCTACTAGCCATTTTCTCCGGTGTTGTCTGGATTATCGGGTCGATGCTCCTACCAGAAACCTACCCTCCTGTCCTCCTCCGAAAGAGAGCGCAACGACTTTCAAAAATAACTGGGAAAGTGTACGCGAGCAAAATAGATATGGACCTGGGAAGACTTTCCATTGGCCAGGCATTTAAAACCGCACTCATGCGACCCTGGGTTCTCTTATTCCGCGAGCCAATCGTCTTCCTACTATCGATATATATGGCCATTGTTTACGGCACGCTCTATATGCTGTTTTCTGCATTCCCCATTGTCTACCAACAAAATAGGGGCTGGAGCCCCGGTATCGGTGGTTTGGCATTTTTGGGAGTCTTAGCTGGCATTCTTATTGCGATGGTTATCAATCTCTTAGACAACAAAAGATATACAAAGGTTTCTCAGGAACACAAAGGCTTTGCACCACCAGAAGAAAGACTTCCAATTGCCATGCTTGGTGGCATCGCAATCCCCATCGGGCTCTTCTGGTTTGCTTGGACCAATGGACCTGGAATTCATTGGATCGTTTCGATTATAGCTTCAGCCCCGTTCGGTTTTGGTATGGTGCTCGTCTTCCTTAGTCTTATGAACTATCTCATCGACGCATACACAATCTATGCTGCATCAGTCCTCGCCGCGAACTCAGTCCTTCGGTCACTCTTTGGCGCCGCATTTCCGTTGTTTACCCGATACATGTATCAGAATCTGGGAATTCACTGGGCTTCCACCATCCCTGCCTTCCTAGCACTTGCATGCGTCCCCTTCCCATTTTTGTTTTATATCTATGGTTCGCGCATTCGAAAGCGCTGCAAGTTCGCTGGTGAAGCAGATGCTTTTATGCAAAAGCTTATTCAGTCAAGTTCTGAGAACGAGCAAGAGGTCGAGAGCGAACTAGAGGGGCTTGAAGTACAGCCTACCTCAGCGAGGAGGGACTTAGAGCCGGAGGCACAGGCGAACGCCCTCGCTCAAGTACAGACAGCTAGGTCGGGCCTAACGCGTACCCGAACAGCAGCAACTGTCGAGTACGAGGGAAATCCCTACGATATAGATCGTGTTAACACCCAACTTTCCAGGGTTAGCACAACAAAATCTCGAGGCCACTAGATTCCGGCTTCTATTTTATAATTTATTTAGTTAATTTTAATTATATGATACCCATCATGAAAACTATCTGTTTGGGCCTTATCCATTTTCAATTCACTTTTCAATCTATTCCCTTTATCCCCACGATGACCAGAGTATTTAGATGCACTTTTCTTAAAACCTTTACGGAGTATAATAACTATCAGTACCTTGACTTAGGCAGGCTGTCGTCGCAGTTCACATCATTTCTTTGTATAAATTTATATTGGCTATTTTTATCCCTATCAAGTCTGGTTAAATCAATATATTATTCTTTTTATACTCATACATATATGGTTCCCTACTCTTTCGTCTGCCGTGTACAAGTCCTTTTCTTCGTAGATGATGTAACCATCGTGGCATGAGTACAGATAAATGGAAAGTGTTAAGTAGACCACCTGACCCTCCCAATAAGCAATACCCTAATACAACCCTAGATGTATAGCACGGTAGGTTCACGCCTCAGCTCATCTCGAACACCACCGACGATGGAGGCATTCACCATTCTGGTGCCAGGACTTGAAGCGCTCCAAGGAGCCAAGACACATAATTTCAGGTATCGGTATAATAGGATCAAGAGCCCACCAATGCTTGTAGCCCCTAGCATAATAGCCTCGTACTGCTGTTGGCAGCTATCGAAAAATGCAGTCCGTTGGCCGTATCCTCCATGGATATGCCCAAAAACATGGAGATATGGCTTTTTCGGCAACGTCCATAGCTCTTTGAGAAGAAATTCGCAGCCGAATCTCAAGTCTAGATGTGCTCTGGGAGGTGTATGGGTCAAGAGAATATCGACATTTTGAGGTATAGTATCCGCCCACACATTCTCTTTGCGCGGATACTGGAAAGCCCAGTTCCCATGACGTGGGCTCAAAGGGCTTCCAAAAACATTAATCTTGCGACCACTACACTCCAGAGTAACGCCCGCGTTTTCGAGATATATGATATTACCCCAGTCAATACATTGTCGAGGGGAACACGAGTCCGAGGGCCTGTTGGCAGCCGGGAACGATATGTCGAGAAATAGATCATGATTTCCGGCAATGACAACCTTGTGCTGGTGTGGCAATCTGTTTAGCCAATCAATAGTCTCCTGAATCTCAGATTTCGAGCCGGACTGCGTCATGTCGCCAGCATGCAAGAGAATATCGCCATCAGGTATCTCAGGTTGGCTCATGTGGGTGTCGGATATGCACACAACTGTGATGGCTTTGTCGGGGATGGCTGCTCCCGTATGCAGTGATGAGCTCCAGCCGTAGACAAGGTTGGCGATAAACAATACGGGCGAAGCAAGAAACTGGTCCCATTTGCTCGGTGATGGACGATCTAGCAGCTCCCTAAGCGCCATGGTATAACTCCATAGCCCGGGGGATTTCAATAGAAAGGACAATCAACCGGTTTTCAAGGCTCCATTTTTCATATTCTCCTGCCACTCCCCAGACCCCACTAGTTAACTAGCACAACCTTGGGTACTATTGGCTAAGTTTCATCATTAAATATTATCTTTCACTCCGACACGAAATAATAGCGTCGACCCTACGAAGCACACATACCTCGATAGAGATACTCTGTATGCTTACAACACATAAAACTCCGTACTTATCTATCAAATAATTAGGACACACGCGCGCGCTATCAAAGACGGCCTAGGCGGACGCCGAGCAAAATATCTTACCAACATGCGGTTCATTGAAATTTGTCTAATTCCTATTATGTTGGTTTATTCTTTTACACAATATAGTTTAGCATTAGGATTCGGGCAATCGGATGTGCCCACTGGGTCGTATTGGACAACATTTTGGATAACACGGCTCAGCATACCTTGAACTATTTAATAGTGACTTAGATCACCTTCATTTACCTGACCAATATCAGGGTTGGAGGAACTCTGTTAATCTGAAAGCTACTAATGGAATCATCATCGAAGGTTGATAGATTGAAATACGACTGCTTGTGCATGACTGTCCATTAGGACCACGCACTTAGGTAACTGTTTTTGTTTCGCTCCTCGATATTCTAGAATGTTTATTCATCCATTGCTTTTTACAGCCATCAGCCCAAATGGACAAGGCGTACTCTATATTTCTGATAAAAAAAACAAGAGTTACTACACCATTCCAGTTGTTAAAGCTCTATAGGGCCTTTCTATTAATAAGTAGACTAGGTGCTTATTATATACCGTTAATACCACTAGATTGTCTCTCTCTTTGCGTCTCCTAATATATCGAAGGGTAGTTTGTCCCTTCTTGGCCTAGAATTCCTTTGGGAATAGGGTCCAAGCCCCGAGCGGCTTCACGGCTACGCAAGCGAGGGAAGTCTTGCGGAATTTCTAGGCCAAAGAATGAGTTAACAAAGACCAAAGACTTCAGCTTCCGTATTTTATGAACAGGATAATTGATTCCAGTGCGGCGCCACAATCAGTCGATTCATCCCACCCATTTAATAATGGTAGGCAGGTCGAGATAAGAATCAGTTCGTTCTTAATTCTGGGTCACATGGATACTTTTCCTGGCATAAGAGTTGCTACTAGTTAAAAACTAAATTGTCCAAGGATGCACGAGTAAGGCATCAGAAATGACATTTGCAGCCAGACGACCGCGATGAGCAGCATATGGTGCTCGACAAGGATGTCTTTTACCGCACCTATAAAGAAATCGTCGAATCATCATGCTAGGACGGTCGGCAAGGTTATTCATGCTTGCTTTCAGCCTATCAGAAAAAAATATATAGTTAGATATAATCAACATAGGCTTTCCCTCTATCGTGTCTCTAATGAATTTCATGGCCACAGGCTCGCACTCGCAGATAATAGGCATTCAACTGCTTTTCATCGGAGGCAACTATTTGTATAGAATAAACTTTGATATAATAGGGGTAATTGAGGCCCTTAACACTAAACATAGCGGTAACAACAGCTTTTAACCTTAAGAGACTAGTTGGATATATTCGTCTAATCGAAAACCTATGATAGGAAATGTTTATCCAGGGTCAACTTTAAACTTCACTTTAATGGCAGCTAGAGAAGGGGTATTTAGCGAATCACTATCCAATCGCCAGGTGTACCTCGTCCCACCTGACCTTTATGTGTGCCTTATCTAAACCATCAACAAGTGCTGTGCGTACTTAGTACTACATTTACATCGCCTTTTGAGTTAAGCTTATGTGGGGGTGGAGCAGAAGTTGCAGATAAGGTTACGGCTCCTCCCGTTCTTAGTCAAAGCTTAATCGCGCTGGGGAAACACCGAGCAATAAAAAGAAACAGCCTGGCAGTGAGTTGATATAGAAGATCTTCTGCATAAGAGCCAAAACCTCACAGAAATTCTCTTTTTCTTGTCTTCCAGCGACATTCTACCTCTAATATTAACGGTGCTCTAATCGGAGAAGTTAAAACAGCTGCAGTGCAACCCTCCCGTCACCTTGTTAGGTCGTTATTCGCGCGGACGAACTTGAAACAGTATAATTTAAAAAGTGCTCCCTAAACCTTCTCCTACCTGACTTGGGCACGAGTTATAGCCATAATGTCTTACCAGAGGTGGGACTATGGCAGTCTTGGATCACGCTGACTTCCGAGTACTTCAGCCTATCCTGAGCTCATCCATGAAGCTTAACCTCTGACTTCTCATTCAACTTTACGCTTCTCAACGTGCTTAGTCTCACAGCGTATATAGTCTTTATTTTGCGGAACGATACGAAGTATCGTAAAGAAATATCGACTGGGAAACGATATAAAGGGATTTAAGGGTTGTGGCATATGATTAACTAGTTCTCAGAACGCGTTATGATTAACTAGTCTAAATCGACTTTGTAGCGTAACTTCACCTCTACGCCTGCTTTATTGATATTAGCATACGGAGTACTTGATTTATAACTGATACTATATAACACCAACGCCGTTTGTGGTGAAACTAGTGGACGTGTTAAACCTGGATCATAACTAATGCGGCCTGACTCTACCCTTATTAAAAACCAATCAGACTCCTATCGCCCCGTAATGGTTTGAGGGAATGTCCACGTCTTAAAGCTATGTTATCTCCAACAAATACTCCGTATAGGGTACCTTTCATTGTCGTACTTGGCTTGCAAGTACGGTATCTTTACCATAACTAAGGGGTAAATTAAGAACAGGGGGTAGATGTGAGTTTAAAAGATTGCTAATAAAAACAGGGAAGAAAATTCGGATCACTGCGATTACTATATTTGCCCACACGGTCCCACTAAGGCTGATTTGGTCAGAAGCGGCTTTCAACATCTTCGCTGGTGGAAGAACAGTTGCCGAGATGCTGGTTTCTGTATGTCATCTCCTCACCCCACAAAGACCTGCAACGCTAACTTAGTTATGGGTGTTTCATAGTGCATTATCACTGATATTACTTCTCGAGAGGAATTGTACGCCGCTTTATACCCAGCATGCTGCCCTCATACTAATTAATCTATCAGGTCGACGGTTTTTTTTTCGGCTCTATGCACTTAGCCAGCATAGCATACTCATAGGACCGACTATAGCGGCTGGAATGATGCGGATTAATCCTTGGATTGCAGTTGTCTTCGGTCTTGTCCTTCAAGCTTTGTGTGTACCCATCGCAATCACCCTTCCAGAAACATTAGTCGCGGATCCCAGAAACGAGAGATACCACGAAGGCCAGAATAGAGAGTTACCAAAAGATGTAAGAGACACTGTATGGCATGAGAAGCCATATTCGTTTGGCGTTTCACGATTTCAAGATCCTCTGGACCGACTGGCAGCTTGTCTTCTTAGCCGCGCTGTGCCCGTTTCGCATGATGATGGGCGCCATATCCAACTTGATTCAACGTTATGTCTCCAACCGATATGAATGGACCCTCGCAAACTCGACATTCCTTTACTCTCTCCGGGCAATGGTGTCCACCCTTGTCTTGTCTATCTTCCTACCCTATATCACAAATATAGTTGAGAAGAAGTTTCATCTCAACTCAATTACGAAAAATATTATCATCTGTCGCATTTCATTGTGCCTACTTACTATCGGTTATATTCTCCAGGGTGTTTCTGCGGCGGTTTCCCTTTTTATCGTTGGAATGATCATCGAAAGTCTTGGGTTGGGATTCGGCCCTGCAGTTCGAGCCTTGACAGGCACGCTTATAGAGCGTAAGTACAATGCACGAGTATTTTCTGAGATTACCATTACAGAAACATTTTCTAGAATGGTTGTTTACCCTACGATATCGGCTTTATTTAACATTGGACTGGAGAAAGGAGGGGGCCCGTGGCTCGGGTTACCATTTTATTTCACTGCAGGGATTGCGTCTCTTACCCTTGTGCCACTAACTGTACTTACACTGGGGTCTACAAGAGACTGATTGTACAGACTACTTAATATCTTCGTTAGACAGGACGTGTGTTGGAAAGAATTATTCCAGCAAGGAGTCATTTTTACTCTATAGTAGTCTTAGTAGACAGCGGCATGCTCTTTGCTATATATGTAAACCGAAGGGAAACGCCATATGGCGTGATGCAAAGGGCTATACATTGGCACCTTCGCTCTTAACCTGTCCCACTATCACCCCCTACCCACATTCTTTTGAACCGGGAGTTTTTAGAAAGAAGATCTTGAGGGCTCCCAATCTCGCAAATCTGCCCTCCATCAAGCACCACCACACGATCAAAGTCTAGAATTGTGTTTAAGCGATGTGCAATGGCAATGATTGTGCAGCCTTTGAATTCTTCACGAATAATCGTCTGCATTTGCTTATCAGTGGCCTGGTCAACACTTCTTATAATTAGCACGACTTCTTCCTCAAAATATACTAAATTAGATTTGATAAAAACTTGCAGCAAGACCTACTTGCTTGTTATTTCATCCAGCAAAACAATTCTTGCGTTACGGAGAATAGCAGCCCCGATGCAAAGTAGCTGACGCTGCCCATGACTCAAAGAGCTGGGTTGGAACTCTGACATTATTCCACCTTCAGCGGTTAGTACATCAAAGAGGCCTACCTTCTTTAACGCGGTAACCACTTCAAGGTCTGTAAATTCATTGTGAGGATCCAGGTTAAGCCGAATTGTACCAGGGAGGAATACGGGTTCCTGAGGAATCATATTAAGGCGTGAGCGGAGAATTTTGCGAGGCAGGCCACTGATATCGAGACCATCAATGGCAACTGAGCCATCTTGTACTTCTAGCACTCTTAATAACAGTGAAAGAAGTGACGATTTACCACTAACATAGCATGAGAAGATGTGAAATAAAAATAAAAGTTTGGGGAATTGATTACCTGCCACTTCTACCGCATATACCTATCTTCTCCCCGGCTTCCACACATAGACTGAGGCTCCTGAGAACTGGCAATTCAGGGGCTGACCTATAGCCATGGAAAATATGGTTATTTATCACTATGTTAGAGCTGTTATGGGTCTAGGGGATAGTATGAAGCTTACTCGTAAAATGCGGTAACATCTTTGAGTTCAACTCTACCGTGATGTGGCCATGTCGACGGGGTTTGTATAACTTCGTGAGGCTTGTTTTCGGATGGTGTGTAGTCAGTGAAATATTTTATCCTGCTCACTGATCCGATACTGGTTTCGAGAGTGGTCCATGCTATAATAATAGAGGTAAGTATCAAATTTAAAGACATTACCTGTACAAGGGCAACCCCGGTGAGCCCGCCATCCAAATTTAGCGTTACTGCCAACGTCACGACGATGGTTGCCACGAAGGCAACGATCATATCGAGTACGAAGGTTAGCCAGCGCTGAATCATGTAGAGCAAATAAATCGGTTTTTGAGACTCATCAAGGAGTCTTCGATTTATTTCTAGGGTTCTAGGTGCCCAGCCGAATGCTCTGATAGTGGGTAGGCCGTTCAAAGTCTCCAGGAAGCTGGTGTACAGTGGGCTTTTAGCCTCAAGCTCCAATAACCTGAGCTGGCGTGAAGTTCGAAGATAGAAATTTTGTACCGCATAAAAAATCGGAATAATAAGCACAAAGGTAAGCCCAACCCAAGGTGAGGAGATGATGATCAAGATTGCTTGACCAAGAGCCAAAAAAATAGTCAACAGCAGGTTTAGTAGCGCCATGGGCAGCTCGTTGTCGACTAGCTGAATATCCTGAGAGAATCGGTTGAGGGTGACACCACTATCCGTAGAACTGAAGAATGATAAAGGGGCGTTCATTACCGCCTTGAGAATATTATTGTGCAAGTTTGAGCCTGCCTGAGTGACGAAACGGACGAGAGTATGGTAAGCCACACCAAGTAAAAAAAGGAGTGCCAACCCCTGAAGCATCGCGTATACTCCCCAGTAGGTAAGATCATCAAAGCCTCCTGGATGAAAAGCACCGGAACCATCGACCCAAATCTTGAGCCAGTAGGTGGGGAAGTTGTATAGTGCCGTGTAAAAAATAACTAAGATTAAAAGAAGAGTTGTCGTCCAAATACCAGCAGCTTTGAAATAATAGCTGTAGACAGAGAGCTCACCGGTTTTCCGAATCGGAAAACCGTCAAGGGAGTTGCAGTTAGCTGTCTCTTTATTTTTTGCACCCGGGTAATCACCCGCGATCACTGGTTTTCGACCCACACCTTCCATGATAGTTAGATCACTGACATAGCCGGATTTCGAACGAATAGACTGAAAGTCGCCCTGTTGAGCAGCTTTGCCAGTGCCATCAAGAGCAATAATGTGGTCTGCAAATGGGAGATATTCTGTGGCATGGGTAGCAAGGATCACTGTAATCCTCTCCTGTCTTGCAAGTCCACCTGGACCTATAACGTTCCAAAAGACGTGATTTGCTCCACTGGAATCAAGCCCGCTTAAAACGTCATCGAGAATTAGTATCGACTTCCGAGCATATAAAGCTCTAGCTATCGCAACTTTTTGTTTTTGGCCGCCGCTTAAGTTGATTCCATTGCTCCCAACACTGGTTTCGTCCCCATATGGCAAATGGTTGATATCATCTAGGAGTGCACAAGCCGCAATAACAGTGTTATACCAAGATGGAACAAAATCTGAAAACCCCACAATGTTATCCTTGACTGTTCCATTAGTCAAGTAAGGTGCTTGGCCACAGAATCCTATCTCTTTAGAAGCGGCAAAAACTTCAATCTTGCCTTTTGACTTTGGTATTTCTCCGAGAAGGGCATGACAGAGAGTAGATTTGCCACTTGCAACGGGCCCGACAATGAGAGTGAGCCGGCTTGCGGGAATGGTGACACTGATATCGCTGAGAACGTCATCCTTTCCCCAGCCATAGAAACCATCATCTATCCGAATAATCGTATTGTCAGCAGTCTGTTGGATAGAAAGCGATGGTTTCTTCTCCTTAACGGATTCTTCAGAAACCGGAAACATTGGGAAGTGCCTCGAGTCAGCCTGGGACTCGGTTGACAAGAACCGATCAATACGTTCCGAAGATCCAAATGAAGCAAGCAGAGGGGGCAAGTCTAGCAGAGTCTGGCTTAATGACTGAGCCAGTACTAACAGCAAAGACAACGAGGTAAAAGCTCTAGAGGCATCGAAAGCTTGCCCATTGATCCTTGCTCGCAGGATGAACAGCAAAAATGTAAGGGCAGGCGAGATGAATTGGGGGACGTAACCTAAACCCGTAGTCCATACCAAGAGCATTCGGAACCTGTTCGCTAATTTAATCTCCTGCAACCTCAAATCTTGAATAATGGAAGACATTTTTTCCGTTAATCCACGCATCTTTATCGCCTTGATGGATGATAGCATGTTTGATATCGTCCCGATACGGAGCTGGGCTTTGCGTGTCCAGTTTGTTTGACAAACATCAGATGAACGGCTGGCCCATATTGAGGTAACTGAGGAGATAATTGCAACGACCAAAGGAACTATAAAAGCTACACCCAGCTGACGTTCCAGGAGATATGCCAGTAACCCGGCTTGAAGAGTGTTGGCCCAAAATTCATGAAAACTGCGTAACCCAAAGATAATTCTCTCGACGTCGGTGCTCATTAATGTCACGGCTGCTTTGGGGTCGCTCATTTTATGCGTATCCAACCTCATCGTTTTCCAGCCAATGGCTGACACCAAACAGCCACGAATCATAGTAAGTACTCGATAGTGATGGTACCAGTAAAAGCCCGTGGATATAGCTATTCCAAGGTATAGAAGAGCATAAGCTCCTATTAGGCCATAATCTACAATTTTTTCCCGGGTCTCCGAAGGCTCTCCCAAGTAGTCAAGCAGCTCATTCAGTAGGATTGGTTGGCAGACGGTTAGAGCAAGCAGTATAAGCCTTGGAAATACCACCATTAAAATGGGCCGCTTTAGACTAACAGAAAGGGCTCTCATGGACGCATATTTCTGCTTTTTTTGCATAGACGCGTCCCAAGCGCTGAGGAATGGCGACACGAGGAGGTCGGCGCACATTCCTTGAGTCAACTCGTAGAGGTCTTTGGGAGAAAGAATAGCTCGCGCGCCATGCAATATTATACGGTTCACCCAGAAGAAAAAACTTCGGTTTAACACACTGCTTGTGTCTTCAGGTCCATAAGTTGCGTGTGTGCTTCCCTGGATATATTTTGCTTTTTCGCAGGACTCTAAGACTAGAATAAGCACTTTCATAACCATTGAGGTAATAGAGAGTACTGCTAGGGCTGAAGATGGTTCCAAAAGCCATATTGTACGTGTGCGGGCAGCGTCGAAGATTGTAGAGAAAAGGAAATATATAAGGAGGATGGACGAAGGTCGAATGTTTCGAGCATGCTCTAAATACGAAAGAAGGACGAGTATGCCGACAGCGACCAAAGATAGAGCTGCTGCTGAGATGGAGAACCACGATCGTAAAGCCAGGTGAGTACTCCAGAGTGCAAGAAGCACAAGTTGTAGCACTCCATAGACCACCAAAGCTAGAGGGAAGAAGAAAATCTGTCAGCCAAAGGTTTCCATAGCAACAGAGTCACTAGTATCTCAATCAGGAGAGATGTTATACAGACCTCCTAACTTGGCGAGCTGAAATCTCTGGGCTAAAACCAATATAAGTTTTTTTCGAAGGTAGAAGACTCTCCCGGCCCCAGCAACCAAAACTAGCAGAGATGGAGTTATTGATAGGACTGCATTTTCAAAGAGCAGAGTAAAATCAAAGCCACCACGGCAGTTTATGACCACAGGTCCAAACATATTGTCCTCGCATGTCTCATTCATATTGAAGGTGTTATTCAATACTTTAAAAGATAGACCAAATTTTAGAGTAAGATATCGGAACTCATGAATGCTAGAGTAGTGTTAAAAGCGGTGGGCCTTAGTCCGTATACTTAAGCTATAGATGCGCAGATACGTGTATAGATTAGTTAATTGGCTATTTAGCTAACAGTTAGTCAGTAATGACTATTCGCTGCGCTCTTTTGGCGCAATTCAGTCAACCGTCTCCTATCCCTGAGGGTGATTCTTTGCTGCGCCCCCAACACTCATTGACCACCTACGTACTATATTTGAGTCCGGGGTAAGATGCAATGTAACCTAGCTAGCTGCGTAGCCATGCATATATACTTTACCCCGACTTCATATAGGTAGTTTCAAGGCAGAATGCTTGTCTACCTAAATTACTTTCCGAAACTATCATGACTGCTATCGGACATATTTCCCTACACCTAGGGTCGGAAACAAGCGGTGAGCAAGGAACATGTACATAAGGAATTTTACGACAGGGAGGATATCCAGGGATAGATGGTTCTGAATGCGGGGAAACATTCAAAGCAATCTATATACAGTAAGTAAGGCAACAGCATTAGAAAGAAGATATGCAATAAATCAGCTCTCCAAATATCCACTCTCGAGAATCTCACGCACGGTCAAGCGTGCATTCGGATCTGGATTTAAAATCTCAACTAAGAACTGGATGCCTTCACCGGCAACGCCCTTCTCGACCATGTCATTTGCCCACATATATGCTTCAACTAACTAGCCAAGCTTGCTGGCATTGTTCTTAGCAGGGAACACAAACCACTGAAGAAACTAGTGGGTTAACATTAAATCTCGTTCCTCAAGATGAATATTTCGCATTTTATTTAATTTCTGAGTTGCACGTTAGAGTCGAACGCGTATGGTGATTATGGTTTCAGGCTGCAATATTAGGGATGGCACCTTGAATAATGAAAGACAGTTTAAATTTCCAACATTAACGAAAGTCTCCTATTTTATTACATGAATATGGATATATATATATAGTACACCGCAGACGTATAAGTAGGTCGTACTGATACATAGTTTCATTTGCTCCGGAGTCCAGAAATGGGAATTTCGATGGCCCGTGGCCCACATAACTATACAGTGGGGCAGACAACGACAACGAAACGGTCATACTAGACAGAACATATGGCTGGTTCTCATTCTACCAGGCATAAATGATAAAACTGCGGGCCAGGTTCTAATTAAGGCGCTTGGCAAGAACCGTGCCATAGTAGATAGTTGCAGCCAAGGCAGCTAGATTGACTGCGGCCGATAGTTGATGGAGTCTTCCAAACGACTTGTTCAACTTTCTCATTTCTTTCGAATGAGGTTCTGGGTCGGTATACTTCTTCCCATCGATTGACTCTGGTAATGCTATTAGCAAATCATTTTACAAGCAATGAAATGGGCATAATAATTAGAAGCTAACCTTGTTCCTTTCTCTGGCGCATTACTTTTGCTGCTGCCGGCTGGATAAACAGAAGATTCGTGATTCCACCCAAGAATGTAGTCATGACCGGGATGAGAGTGCTCCATCGGTTGTTGTCGGAAAACACACCAGTAAAGCCTGATGGGCCAAAACGACCAGCGACCTTTTCGCCAGGATAGGTCAAAGCAAGCACGAGTGGCACTGCGGCTTGCAAGCCAAAGTATACTGGGAAAGTGGATGACTGAAGGGCCGAAAATTGGGGCCTAGGCAGTGTTCTAAAAGCAATTAAGCCACTGACAAATGTCTACAGCCTGGATTAGTATATAATAAAATATAGAAGGGCCGGAAATCGCACCTGGTAGGACTGGAATCCTAGCAATGAACCATAGCTTCATATCACGATTAGTATTTGGAAAAATACGAGGAATTGAGATGAGATTGCCATGCACACCTGAGGATATGGGCCGGAGCCAGAAGAGAAGATCGTTCAGGCATTGTTATTAGATCACCTTTGGGGTTTGATGTAGATAATTGAATCGAGTTGGAGAGATGTTCGATTGATGAGCTCCGGCTCGACGGGGCGATGACGTTCATCCTGGAGATATAGATCAGGGAAGTGGTGTCATGTGACTTCGTGTTTCTTTGGCGCGTCTGCCTAGCTTACTAAGCCGCGCCTCTAACGTCAACCCAGCGAAGTAGGTGAAAACAGACCATGGAGGAGCTTGGAATCAAGCAGCTGAAGTCCCTGGAGAAGACAGAAATTGACACCTTACCGTTACCCTATGCAAAATCGTGAATATGGCAGATAAAGAGGCCACCGTCTACATTGTAGACGTAGGAAAGTCGATGGGGGAACACAATGGTGGGCGAGTATACTCAGACCTCGAATGGGCAATGCTCTACGTCTGGGATAAGATTACTACCACGGTACGAGAATAGACGGTATATTTCTACCTTTTTTAAAAAAAAAATATTAACCTCCTTTGTGCAGGTTGCTACGGGCCGGAAGACTGCTACGATTGGTGTCATTGGCCTTAGAACAGATGGTATAAGAGACTCGAATATCTCCCCTTGAACTTGAGCAGATTCTAACTCACTGCAAGGAACCTCGAGTGAAATCTGGGATAAATCTCAAGATGAGGCTTATGAGCATATATCAATCTTCAAGGGAATTGGACAGTATGGTGTCCCAAAATTCTGAGATGCAGGAAGAGGCTAACATGACACGCTAGGGCACTTATGCCTGACCTTAGAGAGCTGCGGAGCCAAATAAAAACAAGCAACACTGACAAAGGAGATGGTATGAGATATAAAACTCACATTATTACATTTCTATGTATACCCAGTCAGATCTAACGAAAAATTAGCAATCTCTTCAATAATATTAGCGATTGACATGATCGAGAAGTACTGCAAGAAGCTCAAGTTCAAAAGGAAGATTGTTCTTGTTACTAATGGAAAGGGGTTTATGGACCCTGATGGAATGAATGGCATTGCAAGGAAAGTAAACGAGGAGGGTATTGAACTTGTTGTGCTGTGAGTCTACCCCTATACCTCCAAGCTCTGCTGCACATTATATCTAATATGCCGTAGAGGAGTGGACTTTGATGACTCCGACTTTGGTTTCAAAGAGGAAGACAAGGATACAATTAAGGTAAGTTACTCATGCTGTTCTCCTCTATTACTTGTCACTAATAATATTCTAGGCTGAGAATGAGTCTTCGCTACAAAAGCTATGTGATGTGTGCGATGGTGTCTATGGCACGCTAGAACAAGCAATATCCGAGCTTGATAGCCCTCGTGTCAAAATTGTACGAGGAACCCCAAGTTTCAAGGGAGATTTACGCCTCGGGAACCCAGATGAGTATGATTCTGCGTTGACAATCCAGGTCGAGAGATACTATCGTACCTACCCTGCCCGGCCACCGGCCGCCAGTTCTTTCGTCTTGTCCGGCGCGCCACCAGAAGCGCAAGAAAGCGGAAAGTCTTCAGTAACACTGAATAATACGGAACCTGATGGTGGAAAGGGCAATACTAGCGAGTTGACAAGTGTCAGGAATGCACGAGCCTATCAGGTTCCGGACGAGGGTGTAGTAGGTGGCAAGCGAGATGTGGAACGAGAAGACCTTGCGAAAGGGTATGAATATGGCCGGACTGCTGTGCACATTAGTGAATCAGACGAAAACATAACGAAGCTTGAAACGAAAGCTGCTTTGGAGCTAATTGGCTTTATACCTACAAAAAATGTCTGATCCCAGTCCCCCCACCCATGGATACAGTTACCAAGATGTTTTACTAACCGTGTTATAACAGTATGATCGCTACATGAACATGTCAACCGCCAACGTTATTATCGCCCAAAAAACCAATAACAAGGCTATCATGGCCCTCTCCTCTATCATCCATGCGCTTTTCGAGCTTGAAAGCTATGCTGTGGGTCGACTAGTTACTAAGGATGGCAAATCTCCTGTTCTTACCCTTCTAGCTCCCTCAATTGAGCCAGACTTTGAATGCTTGCTTGAAGTCCAATTGCCTTTCGCTGAAGATTGCCGCTCCTACCGCTTTCCACCTCTTGATAGAGTTACTACTGTATCTGGGAAAGTAGTCAAGGAGCATCGAAACATACCTAACGAAAACCTCCTGTCAGCCATGGATAAGTATGTGGAAAGCATGGAGCTCGTCGAACCTGGCGAAGAAGGGTAAGCTACATGAAAAGAATCGAGGATAAGACATTTTACTCACATTAAATTAAAATAGTGAACTGGTCGAGTCATTTGCTCTTGAAGACTGTTACTCTCCTCTTCTACATCGGATTGACCAGGCTATTCGGTGGCGCGCTATACACCCTACGAAACCTCTTCCTCCTGTTCCAGAAGTTCTTCAGAAGCTGTCCCGCCAACCTGAGGCACTGCAGGAACAGAGTAGACCAGCCTTGGAACAATTAATTAAGGCGTCAGATGTTAAAAAAGGTAAGTTACAGTTTAATACCCGTGTCTCCAAAGTCGAAGCATAAGGTGCCTTAACTACTTACTTATACCTCTACTTCCCCCGGGTCTCTTTCATTACTAACGATAATCACAGTGCCACCAAAGATCAAGGGCCGCAAACGGAACAGGGACATTGACAAACCTCTTTCTGGGCTTGACGTAGAGGAGCTTTTGCAAGGCGAAAAGCGCCACCGAATCTCACCCGAGAATGCTATACCTGAATTCAAACAAGCGCTTGCGAACACGGATGACATCAATACGATCAAAGACTCTGTGAAACAGATGTGTGCGATTATTGAAAACCAAATCAAGCATAGCCTTGGTGATTCTCATTATGATAGAGCTATTGAGTGTTTGGGAACCATGAGAGATGAAATAATTTCTTTCGAAGAGCCGGACTTGTATAATGATTTCATCCGTGGATTGAAACAAAAGTTATTGGATGATAAGCTCGGCGGGGATAGGAGAGAGCTCTGGTGGCTGATTCGCAAAAATAGAATTGGATTGGTTGACAACAAGGTGGTAGAGATATCCAATGTTACAGAACAGGAAGCGAGAGAAGTAAGCCCCTTCACTAACTATATGAGTGAGATCTGTACTAACTAGCCCCCTCAGTTTATGTCCGCAAAATCAACATAACGATCGAGGCAGTTCGCCTATCTATAGATGGTGGACGGGTAGCTAAATTTTCAATGGTTTCATAGGCATACATTCAAAGCAATTATATGAACTGGGTAAAACAAAGAAAATCAAAAAACTTCATCATGTTCAATACTAAACGCTTGCATACCAAAGGAAATAAACATGACGAGGAATGTCGCTTCATTAAAAAAAAAAATGGAGAAAGAAGGGTATAATGAACGCTTTGTAGGGAGATAGATAGCATCATTTGCTTAAGATATTTTCTTCGCTCGTTTTTGCGCAATATCGATTTTGCTCTTGAGTCTAGAGGATCGCGAGTTAGTATTCTGTTATGGCTTTACGAAAAGGAGACATGAGATGTGCATGTGCATGGGTAGTACTGACTTTCCGGCATCCTCATCCACCACATTCAAGAGCTCCAGTTGAAGCTCCAGCTCATTATTAATCGCGATTCCAAGCTCCTTCTGTCGGGCAACAATCTTCCTAATTTCCTCGACACCGGAATCCTGATCCTGTATGATTTGCTTCTGTAGTTGCAATACACCCTCATTATCCAACTCCCTTGTACGATTAGTCTCTTTCCCCAAAACGCGACCGCCTTTAGCCGTAGGCTTCCTATTCCCTGTAGATGCGTCCACACCCAAAAGGGCCTGTTTATCTTGTATAGAAGCCACGGCAGAGTCCAGCTTATTCTTAGCTACCATGGAATTCAGCAAATCGTCCAACGCATCTTTCTCCTTTCTAGCGCTAGTAAGTAGGTCTTTGCGTCGCCGAAGTTCCCCTTCCCCGAGCTTAGAGCCGCTCCAGGCAGAGTTCCCCGATATATTTTTCAGCCCTTCTTCTAAGGCTCCCAATAGGGTTCCCGTTCTCACAAGGCTGCTTTTTGCCGAAGCAGAACACTCGTGCTGTTTCTGAGGCGTCGAAGCCTGGTCTCGGCGAGTCAGGTGCAGCCTTGCATCGTGCAGATATGACTTAACATCTCGATGACAGTCTAGCCAAGTGGTAGGGTCTGTAATTAGGGCTCCTGCTCCTGGGCCGGTAATAGTTGAATGTAGGTTTGATGCTCTTGTAGATGCGTTGCTGGGAGGGAGATTTAGGAACGTGCGCCACGCGGTAGAGTTACGCCATCGCGAGTCTTCTGAGCTGTTTATAGCTTGTATGTATTCTTCTAATCCTTTGCGCCGTTCTTCCCGAAACGTTGCGTTCGAAGTAGTGCCCGCGAACCAGGATTTCTTAGGCAACGGCGCTGGAGGAGGTTGCTCTACTTGGCTTATAAGCAAGTCATGGAACTTCCGGAAATCTGAATATCGTTTTTCGACTGTCAACGGCCGGAGGGGTAGTCGGATTGAAATATTATATATCGTGTAAGGGTTCGGAGTGGATGAGACCGTTGTCGACGGGATTGATATTTCCGCGTTCGAAGCCATGGTAGAGTGACCCTGCCGGAAATATGTCTGTAGAGTGAAGCTAGGTATTGCAGTAAATATCCAATACCTAGCCTAATCCAAGCAAAAAGTGCGGCGTGGAAGACTGTATAGCAAGAAGGAGTTGAATTGCTTCAACCTTCGGTATGCATAACTGACTGAACTTATGACGTCCACGAGTGCAAATTCCGTTCACGTGATTTAATGAGCGACAGGGGCAATTTGATATTAGATTTCTACGGTAAAATAGGAAAACGGATTAACTTCTTTAATTTCTTCTTTTTAAAGTTGATTTCTCGTGTTAGGATGGGGCTATAGACGCTACTGACAACTGATGTATACATCACAAGACGGTAACGGCTGAACCTCCAGCTTTCAGTCACCTGTTTCCTGCATTGCATCCTCGCAGATAGCCTCGAGGTTCAGTATTTATAGCTAGAGCTCATGTGCTTCTGAGGGCAGAGTAGTTCCAGTATCATTCCTGCCGAGTATCCCATCTACCATCCCTCTTCACCTTCTTCCCATATATCACGGAGCTCAAGTAGATCCCTCTGGCCATAAAACTCGCCAACAATGGTTAATATCATGTCAAGCATAGCCCGAGCACTGTGTTTCCACTCAACTTCATCCAACTGATGTGCCTTGTCGTTACCGTTGGCTTCTTCAGGGGAATCCGTACCAACACACTGCTCCACAGAAGATGTTTCGGTATTATCGTGCAGCATTCCTTGCAGCCTTTTCTTTGCAAGTTCGAGTGCTTCATTTTCATCTTCGGAGTTAGTCATGACACCCACGACTCCGTCAGTTGCACCAGTCCCTTGTTCCTGAGATGTGTCGTTCTCGCTAGCTATGTCGGATGCCTCCTCTTCCGCTTCGTTTCCATCCTCCCAGTCTGAGCTATGCGTATCGGCCTTGTAACTTCCCTCAGTCCCAGAAGAGGAAGTAGCCTGGGGTTCCTTCTCACGAATTTTAATGAGGATTTTCCCTGCTCGCTTCCCCAGATCTCTCAGCTCCCCGACTTCTTCACTGCTCATCTCTCCAACCTCCCTACACCGTCCAAGAAGCCCCCATGCCCAGGCTGCAACACGTGTTGTCCATGTACAGCTTGGACTTTTCGCAGCTTCAGACAAGGACCTTGTAATAATCCGCAAAACCCGTAAAACACTGTCGAGGTCCATGCAAGCTAGTTGCACCATTCGCGGCTCTACCTTTTTCACAAGGGCGGTCCATTCTGTGCGTGCTTGGGGGTTATTGGCAGGTAGGGATATAGGATGGGACGAGTCTAGGGCGGCAATAAGTTTTGCTGGCGGAACGCATTTTAACGTTGAACGTAAGAGAAGGAACCGATGTCGGAGGAGATTGTAGTACTGCTCCTGTGGGTCTTCGAGTTCGTGGTCTTCAGCTGGTAAGGAGGTCGTCTGGGCCGTATTTGACACGGCCGCGCATACACCGTCTGAATAAACCCATTTCTGTTCCATCACCTGAACCCCTTCCAGCGATGTTGCGTTTGCCTCTGTAGACTTATTATTCGAGCTTATTTGAGAATCTATTTTCTCCTGCGCAACGAAAAAGACGGGTAGGTTTCGAGCTTCAGACCTAAAATATCAAGCAAATGGCGTTAAGAGCAGAGCCGCCAATAATATAAAATCAGCAATCTCACCTTCGCTATTCCTTGAAGTATATGTATAAAGGGGTATTGAGGAGCGTAGATTGAGCTTTTAATGAAATTAACGGAAACGAAACCGCAGAGATGACGGATAATGAACGACACAGTAAAGAGTCAAACTAACCTGACCATCCGTAAATACTCGATCCCATCCTCTGCTGGGCCATAGAACAACTCTCCATCTTGCGGACCGTCATCTAAACCCGGAAACGCATGTCTTTGGCCGAATATTGGGTCACTTCGCGGTTGCTGATGCTGAGGCCTTGTGGACGATGACTCGTCGACCTCCTCGTCTTCTGTAAGGATAGGAGGGCGTAGACGTTTTGAAGACGGCAGGCCATCTGAAGGAGATAGTTTGCGTTTCTCAGCCATGGTTCAGGGGTCAACTTGGTCTCATCCAACTCACCGTTTTCCTTGTCCAGTTTGTGGTGAGTTGACGACAGTGATAGCTTGAGAAACGAAGCTCAAAGATATCCACCTATTCTGTACGCTAGCTTCTAAAGCTTAATTTTTCATAGTTAGAGTCTTAAAATCATAGCTACGTCAACAAATTTTGTATTTCTATCTATCGTTTTTCTTATCGTAAACAGAATACTGGGTGTATTAACCAAATTTTCGCCGGATTTAAGGTCGCAATCTCTGAGGGTCTCTAGGGAACAGGGTCGCCAACCGAATGTTGGGCAAACCCAAGAAAAATTGGACAATACGGTTCAATCCCAATCCACCACCGGCATGAGGAGCACAGCCTTGTCTGAAACCATTAATATAATCCTCGAAGCCTTCTTGGTTCGGCTCAACCCCTCTTGCTATCATAGCAGCCTCTAACTCTTTTGCGTCGTTGATTCGCTGAGCTCCAGACATGATCTCTTCGCCTCTCATGAAAAAGTCGTAAGAGTTCGAGTATGTGGGGTCATCTGGGCACGCCTTCGTGTAGAAGGGGCGGACAGCACTTGGGAATTTGTCCAAGACATAGAAATCGGTATCGTACTTCTCTCGGATGATTCGTCCGAGCTGCTTCTCCATGGCTGTGGTGAAGTCGTTCTCAAACCTCTCTTGTTCGGAGACATCCACGCCGGCGTCTTTTAAGAAACCCAAAGCCTCCATATACTTAAGTCGGAGGGCCTTTCCATCCTTTGGTAATTTAAAGTCTCCAGCCTTTGGGTAAGACTTTTGAACGACAGCAATCTCGTCCTTGAATCGAACCTTCAGCTCAGTCAGGATGAAGACGAGGAGATTTTCAGCGAATTCTAAAACTTCGTGATAATGTTTCTGGAAAGTTCTCTCAAAATCAAGGCCGATGAACTATTACTCGTTAGCTGGGCCAAAATAAGGAGGTGGGGGGTTGGGAGCCTTACTTCGGTCAAATGGCGATGGGTGTTACTATCTTCGGCTCTGAATACGGGGCCAATCTCGAATACGCTCAGCATATCACCGGCAATACACATCTGCTTTCCCAATTGAGGGCTTTGAGATAGATATGCTTTTCGTTTGAAGTAAGAAAGCTCAAAAACACCGCTACCACCTTCAGTAGCTGCTCCAGTGATTTTAGACGTAAAGATCCACCTTGAACCACTCTTCAGCATATATTCGGAGAATAACTGAGCCACGCCACTTGAAATTGACATAATGGCCTGGCTTGTCTCGGTTTGGAGGTCAAGAATTCGGTTATCAAGTCGGGTTTTCAAAGTGACAATGGGAGTTCCGTCGGTGTCGACTAGTCCTTCTTCGGTAGACTCGGGTGGGGGTCGTTCTGCATCCTTCACCTGCATGGGAAGCATTGGAATCGCCTCGGATATCATATAGATCTTCGTAATGTGGAGTTCCATGTGTGGTAACGAGGCGGAATGGACGGGAACTTCTGGTTTCTTGACAATACCAGATACTTGAACAATAGAGTTGACATTCAATTGGCCAGTCCATTTGATCATTTGCCTAGATAATGGCTCCTTAAGGCTAAGTACAGCCTGTATTTTCTTTCCTTGCTGTCTGAGCATCAGGAATGCGAGTTTCGCGCTTTGCACGCGAGCATTGTCCACACGAGCAATAACAGTAATTTCCTTCTCATAATGTGCGTCCGACAACTTCATGAGGTTCATAACTTCCTCTACCTCAGCAAAATCCGGCATTTTTCCGTACAAGTCCTTCGCCGTGTCTTCAGCCTGGCTAGCTTGTGCCGTAGCTTGCTGCTGTGCCGCGCGTTGGGCAGCCTTCTCCGCCTTTGCTTTCTCCTTTGCGGCCTTCTTCAAGGCATTCTTGCTCGGGCCTGCCGCCTCTCCATCGGCCTGCTCAGATGGCTTCTCCGCATCTGGTTGTTTTTCTCCTTCCTTGGGATGGAGGGGTAAGGTGGACTCGGAAGGCTTATCCATCGCTCAGGAAGGGTGCGTAGCTCCGGGATTGGGGTTATAAAGGTAGCCGGGGGGCTCAAGATGGTAACAGTAGCAGTGTATAAAACTACAGCAAGAAACTGGAGTTACAATCGTGAATTCGCATAAAATATCATCTTCAATGTCACCCCGCTGCGGAATGGAGGCACGTGATGAGTCATTCCACCTGCCAAGCCCCAAACCCTAAGTACTTTATTTAGAGTATATTAAATACCACAAAACGATGTATTATATCATTTTCATTGGCCAGCCCCTGTAATCACAGTATCAATATGTAACATGATAAGTCATCTGATTAGTCAGTGGTATTATTCCTAAATAACGTAATCCACATGCGAGCCGGCCACTCAAGCGAGTGTTACAGACCACCTGCGGCGCAGCCCCAGGATATACACTCATTGGACGGGAGGATCACAGGCCAGACCTTGAGGGCACTAGTCATGTGACCAATAGCGATAGGACCAATAGGACGGGCTTAGTAGCTTCCTATTAATACTATCACAATAACCAATAGGAGTAATAGGAACCTCTTGGTAGAGAACTATTATACCTATTACTAGATATATACTATATATATAAAGACACTCATTACCTTAGAATTAAGAGTCTTATACTCATAATTAAACTAGCTATAGTTTTACTATACTACTTAATATAAAGCACTATTCTAGTTATCTTATACTATATTTACTAAATACCCTTTTGCCTATTAATATAGATTAACTTTATCTTTATTACTTATAAGGACCTTTAGCCTTTATCTGATCTAGGCACTGACTAAAGCCACACTTAGAACTAAGGGATAGTCTTACTATAGTATTCTATCTTACCCTAGTACTAAGCTATCTTCTATAATAACTTATTTCTAACCTAAGCTTTCCCTAAGACCTTTATACCTTCTGTCTTATAGCAGATATGTCACAAGCTGACGGCGCTCCTTGATTACCTAAAGGTGATCAGAGGTTCACACCTGCCGTAAGACAGAAGGTACGAAGGTCTTAGGGAAAGCTTGGGTTGGAGGTGAGTCGTTGTAGGAGACGGCTCGGTACCGGGGCGAGATAGAATACTATAGCGAGACTATCCCTCAGTTCCAAGTGTGGCTTCAGTCAGTGCCTTGGTCGGATGAAGGCTGAAGGTCCTTGTGAGCAGTGAAGACAAAGTTGACCTGCGTCAATGGGCAAAGGGGTATTCGGTGAATATAGTATAAGACAACTGGAATGGTGCTTTGTATTGAGCAGTATGGTAAAACTGTAGCTGGTTTGATCGCGAGTATAAGACTCTTGATCCTAAGGTAATGAGCGTCTTTATATACATGGTATATATCTAGTGATAGGTGCGATAGTCCTCCGCCAAGGGGTTCCTATCACTCCTATCGGTTGTTGTGATAGTATCGATAGGAAGCTGCCAAGCCCGTCCTATCGGTCCTATCGCTATTGGTCACGTGACTGGTGCCCTCAAGGTCTGGCCCGTGATCCTCCCGTCCAATGAGTGTATATCCTGGGGCTGCGCCGCAGGTGGTCTGTAACATCATCCCCTCCTTTCCCAACAAGTCGTCCCGACGCACGCATATATAAACCTGGTTGGTTTCCCTTCTCCTTGGTTTATTATTGTGTTTTCTTGAGTATGCCTCGCCATGGCTCGTTCTAAGGGTGTTGCTGATGTTCCAAAGTCTTCCAAAGATTCTTCCTCCATCCGTGCTCGTGTGCTAAAAGAAAACGTTGCGAAGACTGGTGTCGCGATGCCTTCCCGTTGTGTTCGTTGTTTGGAGAATGGCGACCTCTGTGTCATGTCGTCTCATTCCACAAAGTGTTTGAAGTGTATCCGTGCGGGTCGTCCTTGTGTTCGCGATCGTGCACCTTCTTCGTCTGACTGGGCCAAAGTTTGGCGTGAAAAGGAAAAGTTGGAGTTAAAAGAGCGTGAGGCTCGCGAGGAATCTCGGCGAATTCGCGAAGCCTTTCAAAAAGCATTAAATGATTCCGATGCCCGTCTCGATCGTCTTGCTCGTCAGCGCGAGTTCCTTCAGAATCGTATCGGCAAGTTTGTTGAATCGTCTGTCGAGACCGTGGAGGAGTTGGAAAAGCTGGAGGAAGAGGAGAGTCGTCTGGCCGAGCTCCAAGAGCATGACTTCCAACGGCTCCTGAGTGAACTGAGTTCTTCGTCCAACCTTACTTCGTTCCTGGATCCTGCTCTGCTGGTCTCTTCTCCTGACGCTGAGTCCGCCGGTGAAACTCCTTCACTAGGCGCGGTGAATCCTTCAGGTGTCTAGCTGGCTCGTAAGTGTTTTCTGAGAAGTCGTATCCTTTCCATTTGACCAAGTAGTGAGTTCGTCCGCTAATCACTCTCTTGTCTAGGATCTTTTCAACTTCATATTCTTTTTCTTGATTTTCTGGTTGTATTTCTGGTTCGTATGGTTTGGCGTTCTGGGGTGCTTTTTCAATTAGTGAGACGTGAAATGTTGGGTATATTTGCATGTGGTCTGGAAGTTGGAGTTTGTAATTGAGTTGTCCAATCCTTTCCAAAATCTTGAATGGTCCCAGTTTCTTGTGGTCCAATTTGTCGCTTGGTCTCAATGTCTTGATGTTTCGTCGAAGTAGGAATACTTTTTCCCCCTTCTTAAAGTCTGGCGCTTCCACGTGCCGTTGGTCGTAGTAGTGTTTCATTCTGTAGTTCAAGAATTCGAGATCCAACTGTAGGTGTCTGTGGAGTTCGCGCATCTGTTCTGCCGAAACCTCTGCTTCTAAGGCGTGTGTTTTGCCTTCTCTTGGTGTTTTTATCGTTTCTGTTTCTCTTCCGTAATTTGCAAAGAAAGGTGTCATGCCTGTCGAGGCGTTCTTCGCTCCGTTGTAGGCGAGCTGTGCCATTGGTAGTAGTGAAACCCAGTCATCCTGTTCATAGTTGATGTAGCATCTCAGGTACTGTTCCACTGTTTGGTTCATCCTTTCGCTTTGTCCGTCTGTCTGTGGGTGATATGCCGTTGAGGCTTTCTGTTCAATCCCCATTCTTTCAGTGAGTGTCGTCCAGAATTTACACATGAATCTTGTGTCTCTGTCTGATATAATTTCGTCCGGTAATCCTTTGTCTGCGAAGACATGTCGTAATAGGATGTATGCTGTCTCCGGTGATGTGGTCTTTTCGATAAATGGTATGAAATAGGTATACTTCGTCAGTCTGTCCGTGACTGTAAGTATCGAATCGTATTGAATGCCCGTTCGTGGCTCTGTTGACTTCGGTAGCTTGACTATAAAGTCCATCGCTATTGATTTCCATGCTGTTTCTTTGTATGGTATAGGCTGTAAGAGTCCATATGGCGCGTGTCGTTCTGATTTGTTCCGTTGACAAACTTCACACTCCTGGATGTATCGTCTGATCTCTCTCCACATGCCTGGCCAATAATAGTTTTGCGTAATCCGGTCCATGGTTTTTTCAATTCCGAAATGTCCTGCAACTTTTGCGTCGTGGTTGTCTCTTAGTATTCGTGGTCGTACTTCTCTGGGTATGTATATCAGTCCTTGATATAGAAGTATTCCGTTTTCCTTTTTGTATTTTTCGTCGTCGTCCTTGATTCGTTCGAATAAGGGATCTTTTATTATTGCTTTTCGTATTTCGTTCGTCAGAGTGTCTTCCTCGGTCGTGACCGTTCGAGTAGCTCTCAATGCTTGCTGATCTAAGATCATACCCTTGGTATCTGGATCTAGATGCAATATTGCTCTGGATTCTCTTTTCTTCGTCATTAAATCTGGTCTTCTGCTCAACGCGTCCGCGAAGGCATTCTCTGTTCCTTTGCAGTGTTGTATTTTGAAGTTGTAGTAGGCTAGCACCTCGGTATACCATCTTGACTGTCGACGTGTGAGTTCCTTAGTCGTCGTAAAGTATGTCAGGTTCTGGTGGTCGCTGATAACTGTGGTCAGATGCCTTGCTCCTTGGAGCTCTTGCTTCCATCTCTTAAATGCTGCAACAATTGCTAGTAATTCTTTGTCATGGATATCATAATTCTGTTCTGCAGGGGTCATGGTTCTTGCGTAGCATGCAACCAATCTTAGTTTTCCTGTGTCGTCTTTTTGTTGTAACCGTGCTCCGATCGCACAGTCTGATGCGTCTGTATCGAGATAACTCTCTTTGTTCGGGTCGAAGTGTATTCGCATGTCTCCTTGACTAAACTTTTCCTTAAGTTCTTTGAATGCTTGTTCTTCATTGGTTCCCCAAATAAACTCTTTTGCCTTCCTGAATAGGTCCGTCAGGGGTTTCGCTGTTGCTGAGAATTTGTGTATGTATTGTCGATAATAATTCGCTAGTCCGTGGAACTGTTGTACTTCTTTGACTGTTGTCGGCGTAGGCCAATCGATAATGGCTTTGATCTTGTCCGGGTCCATCTGGATTCCTTCTGTTGACACGATATGTCCTAGGAACTTGACTGATTGTTTGTAGAATTCACACTTTGATGCTTTGAGGTAAAGCTCGTACTCTTCAAGTTTCTTGAGTACTTGCCTGACTTTTTCTGTGTGGTCTTCTCGGGTTCCTTTAGTAAATATCAGGACGTCGTCCAGGTATACTACCACAAATATGTCCAAATATTCGCGTAGCACGTTGTTGATAAGTGCCTGGAATGTTGCTGGTGCGTTGGTTAATCCAAAAGGCATAACCAAGAATTCGTATAATCCGAATCGTGTCCTGAATGCTGTTTTCCATTCTTCGCCTTCTTTCATTCGTATCCGGTAGTAGGCTTCTCGTATGTCCAATGCCGTGAAGTATGTTGTCCCTCTAAATCTGTCTTGTATCTCATCAATGAGTGGTAATGGGTATCGGTTCTTGATCGTTATATCGTTAAGTTGTCGGTAATCCACGCATAATCGTAGGCTTCCATCTTTCTTTGGTACAAAGATGATTGGGTATCCTGCTGGTGATGTCGATTGTCGTATATATCCTTTTTTCAAGTTGCTGTCGATGTATTTCCGTAGTTCTTCGAGTTCTGTCTCGGTTAATCT